TAGCTTACTCACACAACCACTGAAACCATCTCGGTCTTTCTGTGCCCAGTGCAACCTCGTGCCCAGTGTCTTTCGTAGGACCATAGTACGATACTATATGATGCTATATGATGCGGTGTGATATAGTATGATGCTAAATGATGATATGATACAATAGATGTTTAAAAAAGGGTGTCGTATGTATATTGGTGTATACTGAACATGGAATTATTTTATATCGCCTAGCAAGAGAGAGAAAAACGATGCTCTGCTATGGGCATGCATAACCAAAGCTTCGGGACTGAGAGGTAAAAAGCAGAAAACAAGTTCCGAGTAATGAGACATCTTGAGAATGCAATATATGATTCCTACAAGATGCAATTGGAACTGTCTGAAGATTATCACAATGGGCTGATCTTTCAGTTGTGTCTCTACCACAAATAGGGAGATCAGAAACATGAGACAGGCAACCGTGCCCATTTCATCTGTTCATGCAGGCTACCAAAACAAAGGCCGAGCACTATTGAAATTGTGTACGGATACCAATTTTTGCGGTGCCGTGCCAATAAATTGAGTGTAGTGTAGACGGGGCTTTAGCCGTCCCGTGGCGATAAATTGAGTGTAGTGTAAACGGGGCTAAATTGACTGTATTGTAAACCGGTAAACGGGAGGCTTCAAACACAAACACACCGAAACTTATTGAAAACATTAAGCTGACAGCAATTTGATTTAGCAGATGAAGCATTTTTAAAAGTTATAAATTAAAACACATACACAGAAATGCTGCCATTAGATTTAATAGTATAACATTGTGAAACCACAGGTGAAAACTTATTTTACGACTTTATTCCATAATAATTAATAAATGAAATTTAAATATAGCTCAGTGGGCGTAGGATTTGTTTCTTAGCAACCGTCATTTTCGCGTGATGTTTATTTGCGTACACATTGCTGCGTAGCAACAGTCATTTTAATTGTTATGATGTGTAGCAAGGGAGCAACAAGTGATCAGCAAGTAAGTTAAGTGGGAAAAATGCAAACAGTCCTGTCAAGAATGAACCCAATGTTATGAAGAAAACGTACGGTGTTGTCAACGCCCTGCAATTTCAGTTGACATTCATTCCGCAACGTCCGAAGTCATGTATTGAACGCGTTTCTACCAAGACGTATACTCACTGTCCTGATAGTAAAGAAAATCATGGTTTGTTTTAATTAATCATTGAATTAGCTTAAAGATAATTTGAAGAGAAAAAGTATCGTATATTCAAATTGCCTTGTCTGGATACTTGCAAATATTTTACTTCTACTCGCATGTTCCTTTTCTTACAAACAGCTAGGACGTTTACAATCTTAAATTTATTTAAATTTATAAGTTTAAAGAATTTAAAATTCAGGTTGCTTATATGCAGCAAGTACTCTCTGATTAAAACACAATTCATGGGATTCATTAATGTGATTTCAGGGTTTTGTGGTCTTGGCCCCTCAGCCTCGTTCTCATGTTATAGCTAGCCTATTTCCACATTTATTAGTCAAACAAAATGTATGCATGTATTTCACACATACTTCATGCATGTGTTGAAGAAGGATGTTTTGCATCTTTGGACATGGCTTGTGAGAGTAAAACTTGAAATCCATTTAATTTAATTAAGGTGGTTCTAAATTTAAAAAATTGTGATGTTAAAATGTTGTGACATAATTACGAAAAAGATCTATTGTGTAGCTTTGGAATACAAAACAGGCTGAGTCATATATAAGCAGGAGTAAGAAATTTGTGAAACATGTTACTGCATGGTCTGCGAGTTATTTGCTCTTTTTTATTAATATTTAAGCCTTCAGCTTCACTACAACAAGATTGTGTGAACAATTCATGGCAGCACCAAAGGCAAAGCAGGCTAAAGTTGGATGATTATATATTTATGCCATTTTTTCGAACACAATTCCTACTTACAGTTCTTTTGAAAAAGACTAAAATGAAGAAGAAATTAAGAAAATACTAAACCATACCACCAAAACTATAAACTCTACTTACAGAAAAACTAAGAAGATGTAAAAGTCAACAAGAAATATCTCTACCGTCTTCTGCGGAAACGAATAAGCAACGTTTATCAAGTCACGAATGTCTAGCCTTGGACCCAGAGAAAATAAGTAATGGCATTAGATCACAAGTAATACTAATAGTTTTGTGATTTTATAATAAGAATTTACTTTCCAATGGTTTATGTATCGTACAAAAGACTATGTGTCCTCCAATATGTACTTTAATTTATAATAGATTAGAGAAACGAGATGCATATTTGCAATGCAGCAGTACAAGTAACCGGGAATTTATGCAGAAAGATACACCTCAGTCAGTCAGTCTCAGATTTAACGCAGGAATAGAACCATTAGCAATGCCCAGTGTCCCTTTAACTGCCAGCCACAAAGTCATGGAGACTGTGATTGTATAAAGAATTGGACGAAAAACGTAGCTAATAAACGTTTGGTGTTTTTTTATTAGCAAATCTTGATATCTTCAGCACTACGTCGACCACATGCGTCCTTCTATTCCCTTCTTGACTCACAATCAACACCAGAGCCAGCAAAACCACGACGTCCTTCGTATCGTCCAAAGTCAGCCAGTACTGTATACTCATATGCTGAACGACCCGTGTCTGCAAGCGAGACTTCCCGTCATCTTGGGCGACCAACTAAAGCCAGGTACGTAACTTGCCTTGAGGCTTGACTATCAAACATTTTCTTACTTTACGTCATAAAGCACGAATAATGCTAAAGCAACCCCCCAACGCTCGATTTTAGGCCAAAATTACAAAGTATCGTACGTAGAAGTCTCTAGAAGATATTGACAACCGTTGAGATAGTTACTCTATAGGATGGTTTAATAATATAGTGGTGTATTTTTAGTCTTCTCAGGAGCAAATCGTCGTACGACATTAGGGCGACAAGTGAATCTCCTAGACCTACTAATGATAAAAAAATCGTAAAGAAACCTTGTGCTATTCGTAAGTACCGTTATTTAATATCTTGAATTTTATATTGAGCCTTTTTAATGTAATTGCATGTTTTCCTAAATGGCGTAACTCACTTATTTTTTCGTAGGAAATGAATACATCTTACACAAGAATTCATTAACACCCAAAGAGTAAGTTTTAATTTGAGTTCAGTTTTTATCGGCGGTCATAATTCAATTATTTTTGTCACCTCTTGGCGTAACTCTGTACATACCCCAGTTATGTGCAGCTTTGCTTTCAACCTCGTTCCCAGGGTCTTCTGTGTTCATGGCGCGGTACGGGCCCGTCTTCGTTGCGCCCGTACCGCGCCATGAACACAGAATACCCTGGGAACGAGGTTGCTTTGCTTTTGACACTAAAGGTTGTTACGTTAAACTTTCAAGAGTGTTCGATTACATGAAGTCTGTTCATGCATACCTAACTGGAGCAAGATACAACCGGTGAGACACTTCGAACTGTAGCATGAGTTAAAAACTACCTTTTCAAAACTACCTTTTGTTGGAAGCTCATCATACGCATACGCATACCATATGCATGCATTTGCTGGCCATGTGTATTCTGTATGTGGTTCTTCTTTTTCACAGTTCTTAAACAGAAATTTTCGTTCCACGGCCTTTTATCGTGTTTTCATCTGTAGCATAGAGCAAACAATCGAGTTTCGATACGTGAAACTGCAGAGAAGAGTGAAACTGCAGCTCTACTGTAGTTAGTCAATATAAACTGTCTATGGTGTGCGATTGCATTCACCATTGCCAGTGGTAATCCACGTACGTGTACTAAACTATAGCTTTGGCATACTCAAATATCACCCAGTACTCAGATATCTATATATGTAAACAGGCTAACGTCCCTTTTCTACTTTTTTTTAAGATCGCGACTTGTTGATGCGAAGTCACTAACGAAACATGGTTTATACGTTAGTAAAGATGGCTTCGGAAGTTTTATATTAGATAAAACGAGAGAAATGTCTTCTGATATCGAACACGGTGAGATAAATCATTTACAAGACTAGCATGCAGGTTGTGGATTTTTCAGAAGCCTAAACTTTGTTGCATTTTGCAAGGCGTCTTGTCGTGCTTTTGGGGTGAAACGTGTTCATGCATAATTTTGAATTATTGCGAACGATTATATATCTTGATCGTTAACCGATCGTCAACACTATTATTTGGTCATGCAGTCCAAGTGTACTTTAAAATATATTTCTGAAGAAATAATGTTTAGTTTAATACGGAGGGTATTATTAGATCTGCTTTAGAATTGCCTGCGCTGATGACTATAGTTAACCTGAACGCTATATGATATAATACCCCTTAATCCCTTATAGACTATATCATGTATATAATGTAGATAATTACGTATAATCTATAATATAGACGTACCCAAAGCTGCATTGAAAGTTGTAGAAAGCCAAACATCTCAAGCTGATGTAATGCATACTGGAACAAACACTGAACCTTACTACCTCAGCTTGAACAAGTGGCATTGTGCTGAATGGAATCAGGGAAAAAAACATTTACCACCACATAGAAATAACCAACGAAGACCAATTAGTCCAAACAAAGTAAAACCAATTAAAGCAAGATACATTGATTACAATACGATACATTGATTACTATTGTAAAATGACATCTGATATAAAAGATAAAATTATTTTATGAACTTGGCATGCATGTAACGCTAACGCTAACACCCAAAGATTTGTTCTCACCTTTATATACGTCACCGCGTATAATGAAGCAACATCTGGTAATTCTCAGTATATATTTTCAAATATTCGGTCCAAATATTTTTCGTCTAAATTTGTAAATATAAATATCCAAGCATTTTTAGTCAATTGTGTGAAATACAGTTCGTCTTTGAAAATAGCTAGCTATAATCTTTGAATTGAGACCACTTGTACATGTTGATTTCATATATGAACCAAATTTATTTTCATACATATATATGGAGAGAGAGTTCGTAAAAAATGTCGATTCGAAAAATAGCATTTTGTTGATATAATTATATTTGGAAAAGGTTGATTACTGATCCTGTGAGGGGGGGGGGGAAATATATCCCTTTAAAGAAAACTTTATAAGACTACATAAAAATATAGCATAATTCACAAATTAAGATGAATTAATGACAACGTCTAGTATATGCATGATATAAGTGCATAAAGCCAAATGACTAGTATACAACGATCAATTATACATTTTAATCATCATTTGTTCGACTGCCATTGTATTTAGTTGTCTTCTTCACAAAACCTTGATCAATTAAACTGTATGCCATATCAATGATAGATTTTTCCACCTCAATTGGTGTTATACCAAGCTCTTTAATCATCTATGTGAAATTAAGGTTATGTAGCTACTAAGAATAACTTACTGTAGTAAAAGATGATCATATAAAAATGTAAAAACACAACATCTAACAAATACATGCATAGTCAGACGGACGACGTCAAAACGTGTAAAGAACAAAACAACAAAAGAACAGCCATGCAATATATATATAGGCGTAAAAATAATGTGATACAAAAATCGGTCTTTTGTTTCCTGTTCAATTTTACTAACCTTTTCATTAGAAACATTAACAACCTTCCCAATTTGAGGAAGTATGCCTTTCACAGACTTGTCTACTAATGACATAACACGTAGACCAAACTTTGGACAATATTTTGTAGGAATACTGTAGCCTATATAACAAGAAATTTTTACTTATCAAGATTTACTACATCATGCAAACATGTGAACGCCTTTTAACTACAATCACACCTTGTGGTTTAAACTCCCTATCAAGGGTTTGTGCAAATTCTCTCAACCACATACTTCCAGCACTGACAATAAATCTGTTATCTAGAATAATTCACAAATTCACAAAAAATTACACATTCGAAAAAACGATCATATAAGACAACATAATACTCGTTATTTTCACTTATTATATATTTATAATATACGACGAGTTTATTCGTATATTGCATCAAAAGAAATTTTTTCCTCCCTCAGGTGAGTAAAGATAATCTTTAATTTTAATATTTTTTTGCGTAAGCCCATGGGTTGTTCATCATTAGTTTGTCATTCAGCAACACCTGCATGTAAGCCGATGTAGTTTGCTTTCAGGAAATAAACATGCCAACATTCTTACTACTTATATACCGGGAGTAACAATCTATTATTTTGTTTTCAGTATCGTTTGATTAACTTCCAAATAATTTCTGTAGAACTTGCGCAGATACTTGCGTTCTTTCGGCTAGTATATTTTCACTCATCCCAATCCTCTTATAAATGATATACTTACCAGGAGCATTTGATAGTGTCAGGGATTTTATATGCGCAGTTGCAACATCACGAACATCACATAATGCTAGTTGTAATTTAGGAAGCATTGGCATTTCTTTTTGCAACAATCTTTTGTGGATCTAATAAAAAAGACGGCAGTAATATCTCAGTTATTCGAATAGATACATGGCACACATAAAATATGGAAAAAGGAAAAGACCAGGACAAAAATATTAAATAATTTACAAGGTATGTCTTAACAACAACATAACACCGTAATTTTCAACATAAATTCACCACCATTACATTTATCCCTTAATCCCTAAATTGCATGTTTGGGGGATTGTCTCTCAAATTCAAAACGACTACAATGTTTATATACAAACCTCCATACTAGTGCACGATGAACCATGCAATAATGGTCCTAACATATATCCAGGATTGATGGTAACCAAATCAAACTTTTGTTCATCTGACAGTAAAAAAGTACAGAAAATGATAGGCTAGCTGTGGCGGATTTCAGGTAGACGATCTTAACAAATTATGGTATGACAAGTATTCTAAAAAATAGTTCGCCCGAATTATTAGAAAGAAGGCTCACTGAGCATGTGAGCATGACAAAAAGGCATTACTGCATGCTGATCAATATCAAGACAATGAGATACTTTTCTAAATCAAATGTGGAAATATTGACACTGGTAAAACAGCCAATATTAAATCCTCAGCCTAAGGTTTAGGCTAGCACGGGAAAATTACCGTCGTGAAATGGTCACGAGATGCAGGGCCGCACAGGCAATTTTGGGAGAAAATTCAAGGCCACAGCAAAAATTAACGTCACGAAAAAGAACATCGTCAGTTTAACATGTAATTTTGTACCACTGTGATGCAGTAATGCATCAGGTAAAGTTTGGGTAACGTTTGCACTTTTCGGGGTTATTTTTCAGGTGATAAAGCACTTTTATAGGGAGGTTGTGAAATTAAGGGTACAGCATGATTTACAGCATTGTCAGCAGTCACTTCACCTGTGATATGTCTTATATTTCCTGCATCTCAATGGTTCCAATACACTATACCTGGTAATTTTTTCACAAAATCCCAAGCAGATTGTTCTGCCAAAACTTTGCTTTTTTCGTATGGTGGACAGCTCTCCAAAACTGACCAATCTTCTTCTGTTAACATATAACCCTTATCTTGGTTTCCACCTATAAAGTTAAAATAATAAAGTCAAATAAAATGTATTCCCATATAATGCTAGCTGAGATAACATTTAGCAATGAACTCCTATATTCATCAGTTCAGCTGTTCCTGCTAGAGGATTCTAAGTACTGTCCCTCAAGAGGAGAAAAAAATTCAATTGTTTATGTGCCCCTGGGATTTTTAAGATGTCCTCATCAGTTAACATAAAACTACTTTTTAAGCTCCCTGTTTGCAACAAATTGTAGTTAATTAGTTCACGGCAACCAGGTACATATAATCCATCGTAATTATTGCTACTCTGGTTTTAATAAATGAAAGTAATCACCACACAAAGATTAACTTTCACGACCCAACGTTTCGACACTCCGGTCTAGTGTATTCTTCACCCCTGATGAAGACACTAGACCGGAGTGTCGAAACGTTGGGTCACGAAAGTTAATCTTTGTGTGGTGATTACTCCCTGTTTGCATTCAATTGTAGTTGACCCTACCATTTCTGACAGTGATTGGTTACATATTTTTCACTAAATACATGTATACACACAGAATATAGAGGGTGTGCCAAAAATATTGGATTAGACAAATATATTATTTCCAGTAGTCTACTTTTTACAGCATTAAAATTGCAACATCAGTTATAATTGGTGGATAGGGCAGCACTAATAAACTCTAATTTAAGCATGCTTTCCTTTAAGAAGCCAAACCACTCATACCTTAAATCGAAATAGAGTATTTTGTTAAGAATATAACCATGAAAATTTTTTTGTGCTAGGCAGATTTAAATAATGAAACACTTGAACAAGAGTTCTTGAAACACTCTATGTAAAATGCCAATAATGTGTCTGTATTGAAATTCAACAAGACCGGTCTGGTAGCTTTTTCCGTATAAGGGAACACATCCTAAGTTGCCAGTTTCTACACCTACTTGGATATAAAAAAGACTATATGATAGTATATTATTGAAAGTAAAAAGTGTAAAACATACAGTATATAGCAACAACAGAACTTGTGATAACAACTCTCTTAACACTTCCAGAATTGGCACAAGCTTCTAAAACATTTTTTGTTCCTTCAACAGCAGGAGTGATAACCTCATCCTCATTCTTGGGAGGTGCATTAGGAAATGGTGATGCCACATGAATAACATAGTCACAGTCTTTTACAGCTCTGGATGATAAAATAAAACCAAAAAAAAAATTGAATTTCAGTACTTCGCTGGGAATGTCCTCACATGTGATCAACTCTAGTCATTATAGTGAAGAATATAAATTTAATATATACTGGATTATTTTGTCTATAAAATATTTTTAAGGTCTTAAGTTAGGTTTATCCCTTGCAAGGTATGTCTGGAGGCATGTTCCAAGGAGGATCATATTTAAAAAAAATAGCAAATAGGCAATCCATTATTAGTTAATTACTAGCATTACACTCTTTACAAGTGGTTACATATCAGCTGGTGTTAAAACAGATGATAGCTATAAAAGTATAAACCGTACATTTTCCTGGAACATTTTTGAAAATCATGTATGTTTCTGGTAGACTGGTAGTTTACGGACAATTGCTAATTTATAATACATAATATCATCATGTTACATTATTAATTTTATATTACTCCTGTACTTTTATGTATTGACAACTTTATGACAGACACAGACAAATACACCAACAAGCTGGTAGAATTATTAACTTTTTATTATGACACGCTATATAATACATTGCCTAATAAAAAGGTTTCAAATTGTATAACCATAAAAATTGTTATTGGTTTAATATATTCCCACGTATGCCAACATTCAATTTATATTGAAAGAAATCAAAGAATCAATATTTATTTACAATTTAAAGTCCCAAACCTTATCCAAGATTCAGCTTCGAGTAAATCAGCTTGTACAAGTTCTAGGGGATATTTAGCTTCAGGATACAGCGCTTGTAGCGGTGATGTTTTCTTCTCGTTAGTGAGATCTCTCACAGTACCGCGAACACGATACCCCTCAGATTGAAGCAGTTGATGAATGACATGACTGGCCAAAAACCCTGATGCTCCAGTTACTAACACACGTGGTGATAATTCGGCCATATTCTTCTCCCATAAATTAAATACGATCGAATGGATATTGGTATTTGGTGAAATTGTTTTTTTATTAGCGCTTAACAACTTTAGTCATTGCCGTTTTAGTACCCTCTACCGCCCACTTGAATCAAAGCAAGCTGCTACTCATTCAGTCATTCGCACACATCCCTCATTTACATGTTCAAACTATGACAACTATGACAAATTATGAATATAAATTACAAAGTTGACCGTAGGAATTTGTCAAAATCGAGCAGCTAGAAAGTATCATAATTGCGATGAATCAAGGTACCAGAATATATTTCAATGAGTTTTCTCAGGGAATTTACGTATCACAGTAAGGTAATTTTGATCTCACTATTTCAATTCTTCTTCAAGACTGCAAGCCAACCATTCACCCATGCAACACCCACGTACCATATGACAATGCTGGCCACAGGCCAGTAGCCCGCCAACGTGGCAGCTAGAGGAGAAAACCAGATGAAATAAGGTATATTTTGATAATATTTTAAAACTTGCTGGTAGCTTTTGACGGTCAAAACACCGAAACAAAAAAAGATAAAAAAGAGTTTTTTAGGTTAAAAACTTTTAAAGTCAACAAAGTAAAAAAGTTTTGATTTGTAAAACAGTTATGTAACAAGTTCCATTAATTGCAAGGTCGTAACTTAGGACCTAAGGCACTTTTTTGCCGCTTGGTTAGGCTCAATTTTTTCGGCCAAAATACAGATGAACGATGAATTATACGTCTTCCTTTGGCAAAATCAATGCCAGTTATCCCTTCCAGATAAGGAAATTGAGTGAACGTTAACGTATAATAGTAGATGTCAGATGTTACCGTTCTATTAAGCGACAAAAAATATCGCAATTGCCATGCACAGTGCACACACCTCATAAATTGACTATTTTATTTTGCTTGGTGCTCGGTGGCTTGACAATGTACACAAGGTGTTCTTGAAAACTGTATTTTATAACTGGCAACTGTAAAATGACACGGGACAGTGTAACCTGTAAAAGGGTCTTAAGAGTTCACTTAGGGTACATACAAACATATTTCAAATGTCCTTTAAAATAAGATTATTATTTCAGCATTAAAATTTGTACATATACACTTGCAAAATTCACTCGGAGAGTATTGGCATCTTAAATTACACAAAGTTATTAGTCATTAAGAAGAAGATCTTTAAGCAAGGCCTTATAGTTGACTGCCATAACACCCTCCAATGGTCCAATACGTTCCTAAAAATCAAAATGATATGATTGGAATCTCTTAAGCCAGTAATTTGTCACGTTTGGTTCCTATTCAAAATGCAGTATCTGGTTGCAGGGATGGAGAGAGAAAGGTATTGTAACGAGGCGGGTATTAAGCGACAGAGTTTATAGAAGAATTGGACGTTGTATCTGGTACGAAGGTAAATAATAGTAAAGAAATGTAGGTATAGGAGGGAATCTAATAGATAAAGCCAGTCAGGCACAATGGAATCCAATTTTACGCAGCAAGGCCAGAATGTTTTGAGGTCAGTATAAGACCAGAGAAAGTAAAAGAGTCGTAAGCACAACAGATGCATGAATCAGTAAGAGTCGTAAGACCTTGAGAAGTGTTTTGGCTATTTAGGCAGTTGTCGTAAGACCAATGTTAAAGAATATTGACCCTTTCCAGGCATTATAATACGGAATTTTTACAAGGACACACATTGTCTTTGGGTTCAATAATCACTTAATCTTGGAAATTACAACGTGAAATTGCAACGCATGCAAGCATATAAAAAAGAGCATAGCCATGCAAAGCACGGTCCGTCAGTCCCTAGCCTTTTTTAATAATATAATATAAGCGTTTTCATATACTTTATAATAGAAACAATAATTATTTTAAATAGTCAAATGAAAATATATTAGACATTTTTGTCGATGAGGCATGATTTTTAACTACACCAATTTCCATTTACAAGGACACATTCGCCTTTTACAAGGACACAAAGTGTGTCAAAAACACGCGTATTATAATGCCTGACCCTTTCAAAGCACATTTAGTAAAAGTCCTAGCTGCATGGATGTGGTGAACTTACCTTGGATTTTGTTTCTGCGATAGACACTGGAACGTATTTATGGACGTTAACTAAAAAAAAAGTAGTTCATAAAATGTTAAAATGAGAGGAACAGAGGAGTTGGGAACGTCTATATTTTTTAGACAAATGGATTGATGGTTCTTTCACTTATTAACAATGCCGGAAGCATGAATCTAACCAAACTATTGAATCTACCTGGATGGTCCCGCCAGTTGATAGCATCAATATACTGTTTGTAATCAACTTGGCCGTCACTATTTCTCTTCATACGTAAAAGAATGGCATCTAACAACTCTTGCTTCGCTGGGATATTGAAGGAACGGACGACATTGTGAAGCTCCAACATGTCAATATATCCTTTTCTAAACAAACACAACAGATAAACAAGTCAAATATCGAGTATGACTACACATGATGAAGTTTATAAAAGAATATCGGAATAATAGATTCACAATATTAATATTTTTTATTTCTCCCGACAAATTCTGGGGTAATTCTATATCGGTAAACCTTGGTTGAAACATGGAAGTCTGCAATTTTTTTATTCATCATACCAAAATTCCATTCATTACATAATGGATTTTAAACTCTACACTATAAAGTAATAGAGTAAAAGTAGAAAACCTAAAATCGCGCCCTTGCCCTGGATCTTTGCCATGGCGTTGTCCAAGATGGATTAACATCTCAATACATATGACAGCATCCTGTATTAACGTTTTTTTAACTTACTGTTCAATGTCTTGATGTCTGCAAGCATCGTAGACATTCGTAAAATGTTCGTAGTTTGCTTTCCGCAGTTGTTCCTGGATGGCTGCAATCATTGCATTGTAATTGTCCTCCTCGGCCTACACAGAACAAAACACATTATTGTATGCAATAACGTTATTATCGAAGCTGGATATCGGCTAATCTGTAGCCGTTTCCTCAGACACTCCCTTTTTTATTTTGATTCTGCTGTGAAATATTTGTTTGGCATGCATTAGGAATTAATTTAAAAGACAATTCAACTAATACAAGGAAGAGATAAATGTGAAAACAATTTTGAAATTTAAGAATTTTTAATCTACGAATTAGATTTTAAAGCTGCATGATAACAATATTATAAAATATAATTTCACCACCTATAAGAAAGTCCCCACAAAAAATACTTTTACCATACTAAATCACACATTTTTAGTCTAGAAGCACATAGTCACTTATTACGTTATGGATAAGAAAGTCCCTCGAAAAATACTTTTACGATACTATTTAGTCTAGAAGCCCATAGTCACTTATTACGTTATGAATTATGATCTAACTCTAAACAGGTCCTGGCCATTCATATCGACAATACTTTGACTCTATACCATTCTGTGCTGGAATACCGCGCATCAGGTAACGACAACGATGCTCTCTTAAACGTTTTTCTGCATCTGATACATCAGTTGTGTTGATTGAACTCCACAACCTCTCGGAAATGGACAATGATCTTGGCCAGCTTCTTGACAGGAGGTTTGTTCCATCCACCCATTCACCCCACATGCAAGTGGTACCCCCAAGGACTAGCTTCTTCTGCGCACTTGTTCCATTAAATGCAGTGGGTTCAACTTGATAATATTTTGGCCAATCATCACCATAGGAGATGTAATTCAAATACCACGGAGAGGACAGAATAACGTTCAGGTTTTTTGCTGTAACTTTAGCCATTTCATCTTCCCAACCATCTTTCCAAACGTTGACCACAGTATCGGGACTTACAGTGACTGCGTTATCGATCACTTCTTGCCAAATAATGTATTTTTTTTCCAAACCGCCAACGATATCAATTAACTTCTGTTCGTAATACTGTTCGAGAAGTGAAAAATTTTTGCCAAATCTCATTTTATCCATCCAAGCCAACACATCAGGATTGCTCTCCCAGCAACTAAAGGATACCTCATCTCCGCCCAAGTGAATGTAGTCATCGGGAAAACGCTTTGCAACTTCCCCGAAAAATGACTTAAGGAAGGTGTATGTGGTATTCAATGTTGGGTTAACAGGGCCAAATTTTCCAGTTGGTTTTCCTCCGGAATAACACGGTGTGAGGAAATTCTTGATGCTGACCCATGATTGGGTGTGTCCAGGCGTGTCAAACTCGGGTATTACACGAATACCTCGCAATCGACCGTACTCAATAACTTTACTCACATCATCCACGCTATAGATATGTGTAACGTTGTTAAAAGCACCAACATTACTGAGCGAAGGAAACGTTTCACTGACAAAAGGAAATGAATCATCATCTACAATATGCCAATGCAAGACATTATACTTCGCATAAGCTAATGCGTCAATATGACTAAATATCACATTGACATGAATAAAATGTCTGGATGTATCTATTAGAAAACCACGGTGGTGAAATCGAGGAAAGTCGGTAATTTTGCCTTCTTTAGCCAAGAAGTTGCCATTTTCATCTTGGTACACGAGTTGACTGAATGTTTCAAGTCCTCGCAATGCCCCCCAAATCGTATTCGCGGTTAAACTCGATGCTGGAGCGCTTACTGTTAGTGTGTACGATTCATCGCTCTCAAAGGTCATAGGTGCATATTTCTCCTTCACTGATACATCCAAGGACGTCAGAGCAGACAGACCACGGCGATATCTCATTGCATTCGATTGGATCTTATCAGGAAATGTAAGGCCTTGATATCGTTTCAATGCTGCTGCCAAAACATCACTTCCCTCGCCTGATGAAGTGAATTCAAACTGGTTTGGGCTTAATGTGAACGTTTGTTCGCCAAGAGTATGTTGCTGCGGTTTTGGCCAGATGGAACCACTAACATAACCGTCAGGACCTAAATGCACGTTCTGTCTACCCCCAGAATTTCCATGCGGCGTAGAAGGCCCTACAGGACTACATTGTTGCGGTATTTCAGCAGCATTACAACCAAGGATGAAGACGCATAAAAGTATAGAATAACTCATGATTTCTGCCATTCGTTGCTTTAGAAAGTAGAAAGCTCAAAGCTGTATTTCCGCTTTGTTGCACAAGTTCTCACAAGACCAGCGTGTGACAGATTATCTTCCGAGTTCACCATAGAAACCGGTCACAAGACTCATCTGCGCAGTCGCACCGAAGCCACTTTGATGGTTACTTACTCTTTATTAAAATTTAAGTGAGGAACTCGATTTTTAAGTGAGGAACAAATTTTAAATTTGTTTAACAAAACAATACTTTAATTTTCAGTACTTACCTTGGTACTGCCATACTGTCGACAAGCTGACAAAATTTCATGTTCGGAGAGATTTGACGTGAATTTCAAAACAAGATTTCTACACGAAAAAATCAATATGAAGTTGGTTAAATGAATTGTATGTAAAATAATACGATATTACGGACGAATGAATAACAGGCGCATGCATGCCACCGCTATATACTGCCGCTGCCAATTTCGTGCCGTGAAAAACGGAAAACTCGTACTCAAGACTCAAGAGTCGGATATTTTTGGCTGACAGCAATTTCGAAATGAATTACAAATATTCATAATGAATAAATGACTTACCGGAAATTATCGTAGCTAATATACCCAGAGTCTTGCGGATCAGCCTGAGCGAGGAATGAACGAACACTTTCGAGATGCTTATCTGTCACCTCTCTCAGTTTTGACAAAATGATCGGAATGTTGGCTTGCACGTATTCTTTATTGTTCTTCTCAATGTAATATACAGCGTACTCGTCAGCATCAGTGATAATAAACTTGTGTTTCAGGAATTCCACGTGAGCACCAATATAAAGATTCTAAAATGCACAAGTATATAAATCATATATTAATGCACGCGTTTGTATTCAGCAAACACGCACATCCAAACGACTTTTTGAACTTGAATATTTTTTCATCGCTAAATGCATAGACTAGATCTAATTAATCTATAACATGCATAGACTGATATAAATTATATGTACGTATATGACCTGATAGATATGACCTGAATTAATTCATATCATGCATTCATGGGCCACGGTCAAATTTACACACTTCATACCTGAGAGCTATAGTAGCCCGAGCCATCAGGTAATTTGATACGATTTCTTTCCAAGAACTTTCCTCCGATAATACCGGAGTTTCGTTGAGGTGGTTCATAAACCAGTATTGTATCGTCACAAAGAAAATAGGATATTATGAAATAACGGTTCTGATCGATTGGACGGTCAGAGTCCATCTTTGCCATGAAACGAAGAACATTGCTGTCCAGACCATGTCTAAAAATTGATAAGAAAAACTTTAAGTATATACGTACATGTGGGTATAATCCGGCATTCAAAAACACGAACTAACTACTTGAAATCACTTGCAGTAGGTTTAACTGCATAAAACACAGAAAAATGCACTTCTATTCTTCTATACCAAATTCGTTTTACATATTTCTCAAACGTCTAAATGACGGCTAGTGATATCCCTGAAACACTGACATATGCTAACGTTACGAGGAGAGTTTTTGACTTATGAGTGTCAAAAGAACGCGAGTTTATGCATTGTTAGTCATGGGAGCAAGACGCATGCCACAGACCTGTCTTTTTCCATGAACTTAATGAAGTCTCGTTTTGGAGGTTTCGGGATGAGTCCAAGACACGAACATAAAGAATCTTCTTCACTCCCAAATCCATTGTAGGGAGGAATTTCGCGCGGCTTTGCCGGCTGTGGATCTGATTTGTATTTGATTGGTTGAAAGTTGTCCACACCGAACTTGGTTTGATAATGTTCCTTGGTGAATTCATCGCAGTCAAATAGTAAAAATCGTCTACCCCAAACATTGATAACGCTGCCAATTGTAAGATCAGCATCCGTGTAATAATTGATGTAAACTGCTCCCGTCTTTAAGCTGTCTAAGATCCATCGCCCACCATGACCCATAGGTCCAAACACATTCAACACCGTTCGGCCGGTCATGCGACCTGGTTGCAACGTTGATACTGGTTCCTTAAAAAATAGAAAAACCCTGTTATTCTGACCTGCTCAAATTATTTTGAAGTTACATGCAGATACGTTAATTGCTATCAAGTCTGGTTCAACAAAGATTCTAGGATTATAAACTTGAAATATCATTAATCAGTTGATTATCATTGCGCCTTGTTTTACAATTTATAGTCCAGGGGCCGGTTGTTCGAAAGATAGATAAAATTATCCATTAATAGTGAAAAAATCACTATTCACTTTATCTACCTCAGTTCGAACAAACGACCCCATATTTCGAGATTGAGAGTTAGAACCTACCATGGTTGCATGAATTTTGTAGTTACTGCCATTCGCCTAACTTTTGTATTTACCCTTTGCAAATTTTGTACAACCTACATGTAACCTGGGTGAATATCGTACACACCTTTGGTAACTTTTGTCTCCGCAAAAACATGGGAACTGCATCTCTGCCAGAATTAGCTCGAATTATTTCACGAATTTCGATTGTATCGTCAGCCAAGAAATAATGTAAAACCATTTCCCTAAGATCGCCAAACATGCTATAGAAACACAAATATAAAAAAATGAGAATACTTTTAAGTGCGAAACTATTAAATAGTAACTAAATTAAGGGAAACTATTGAACAAGCAGAAATTTTGCATGCAAAAAATTTACATTAAAAATTTACTTCTCTATACCGTGCCCCATTTTACACTACACTCGATTTCTTTTTGACCCAGTACGGCTAAAATTTTACTGACCCACGCCCAGAGTGCCAATATAGCTAGTGGCCGATCACGGCAGAATTTCAAAAGTGTAAACAGTACTAAAGTTTACTATATTATTTTACACTTTTACACCTCGCATGAACGCGTAAATTTAGTATTATTTCACATATAAATTTATATAAATAATTAAATATACGAACTTTTCCGAGTCATCCCATAGACAGTAGTATCTTAACACTCTTCGATCATACTGCAAGAACTGCTTGAGAGTATCTTCTTTTTCGTAAGGACGCAAGGGCTGCATGCTTTCTTTCATCTAAACATTAATTGGAAAACGTTTTTCTTTTTTACAGATGTACAAATTTTTCTTTATACAGTAAATGTACAGTTTTAGGTTTATGGAGTATTTCAATTATTTTTCAATTTGTCTTGCTGCATTTTTTAACGAAATCACCACGTCCCCTACACAGTATAACTGAACTAATCACGCAAATTGGTAACGAACCTGTGTACGATGTTTAGAGTAAGGATCATCAGGAAATTCCTCTGATTTCCCAATACGGACACCAAGTTTGGTAAGAAAATTTCTCGTGAATTCATCACATCCCTATAAGAGAGCACGTCGTTTAAAAATACGGCCTAACTAAGCGCTACGCTATAATACCATGAAAAGATTCACTCCTAGTTTTGTTCGTATACCACAAGGCAATTACTTACAATAATCTTGAAAACTTTTGAATATACATTGATCTCCTGCCCAACATTGAAGTGCTCAACAGTGTAGAATTTATCATCATTTGGTGGAGGTAGTGGGATACGATGTCTTCTAATAAGTGTGCCTAAGAAACACAATCAAAATCACACTTCAAAACATAATAATATTAAAACTATCTTGGATTATAGTCACTAGTGAAAGCTGGTCTTTCATGTTAAGATTCGACAAACACACCTTGAGGAATGCCACTGTTATCAACTTTTTGTTCATTCACTTGCACTCCATCATCTTCGAGGTAAAAATAGATTTTACACCTGCAAAGATAAAAAAGTGACATTCTACTGTTTAAAATATGCTTCAATATAGTAACTGTATAGTATGAACATGCATGGTAACTGTATAAACTCATAATAATATCTCAATACATACGGTATATTGTTAACTTTCGACACTATGTACACTAAAAAGATAAATGGTAAGGCGATTAATCACCTTAATTTTTTACCTTTTATCTTTTTATCTTTTTATTGTACATAGTGTTGAAAGTTAACAATATATGTATTGAGATATTATTATGAGTTTGAGCAAAACTTTCTTGGCTGCAGCAACAGATATATCTAGACATGGTAACTGTATAGTAATATAGTAACTGTATAGTAATATATTAACTGTATAGTATAGTAATATAGTAACTATAGTAATTAACTGTCTGATTCCTTCTCTTCATGTGTACATGCATAGAAAGCGGTTGAGCAATGCTTGCTTGGAGAGAGGATTTTAGAATTTTTATAACATGATTGCTACTGTATGTTGCTATTTAATGCAACTTATAGCGACAGGAATGCATATTTGTACATACTTGCGTATTCTGTATTGTTCTTCTCGTTTTTCATGGACAGCTTCTTGGAAGTATGCATCGAAACAAAGTACTTGTCTGTCAAATGCCACCCATGCAGGTGCTTCTGGACCAACTCCTTTTGGGTAGACACTATGTCCAGGAGGTAATTTTTGTCCAGGAAGAGCTTCGCCACCTAAAGTTCACAGCAGATTATAACATAAAATAACAGTATAACCAGGTTTCTCATTGAACCAATTCATGTAAATGATGATAAAGACTATGAAATTAGGAAAATACACTATTGATTGATGGTGTTTGACCATGATAGCAACCTCCTAACCAGGCACTAAAGATAAATAAAAGTAGGCACATTACAGGGTTTATGTCTCATAACGGTTCTGATCTAAGTGTCTATAAGCTGAGCAAGTGTGTAATTAAACCCTAGCTCAGGCTATCTATGCTTCTCCTGTCACTACAGATCTGTCTTGAGCTGCATTAAGTTTCAGCAAAAATTTAACCAAGTGCTTGTGGATGGCAAAAATATAATGAAAGAAATATATTTTTGCAGGATACTTATAATGGTATATTTTTACTCAAAACTCAAAAGTTTAGACCAGAACTCTAAACACAAAAAATTTACTTGAACATGTTATGTTGTGTTACGTTAAAACATTAATGCAAAAAGACTTTTATGGGAGTAATGCAATGGTAAAAATATTCCCTGGTTTACCTACGTATATAGGCTCCAATTAAATACTGATTATATATTATAATTATTATTCAATGGTATTAAAAATATATTTGTAACTAGTTAGACCATACCTATTCCGCTTTTCGCTCCACCAACAAAAGAACGAACATCGTTTTTATAGTCAAATAACTGTGATTTATGGAACTTTGATTTGCCAAGCTAAAAGGTTTAGGAATTAGGAAGAATTTTGAAATTTTAAATAATTTAACATTTGTTTGGAATTTCTTAAAAAATTGACAGTAATTTATAGATTTTAAACACAAAATATATTCTCCAGAATAATGTCATTTACCTTTCTATCGAAAACTTGTCCTGGGAGGAAAGGTAAAGACATTTTACAATGATTTACCACAACAACATCGATTATTCCTCTGCAGCCTTCTTGTTGAACTTGAAGCGTTGTTATATTGCTATGACAACAATAATGTTACCAGGCGACGTCACGTATCTCAGCGTAATTCTGATTGGTCAAAAAAAAACTGTGATCTAATCACGCGCGAAACACGCGCGACTAATTCAAGTTTATAATAATGCGCGACACGCGCGTGATTTGTTTCTATGGACGAATGTTTGAACATCTTTTTCGAAGTTTGTTTACAATGAATGTTGTAGTTTCGTTGTTAAGAAATATTGCTTGGGATAAAGTTAGGTGAATATGGTTCATTTTGATAATCTAAAAGTGGGCACTCGTGTTCAAACTAACAGAGACGGTGAAATCTTTCAAGGAACAGTACGATTTAAAGGTGGATTGATTTCCCGAGAAGGAAATTGGGTTGGAGTTGAACTGGATAAACCAGGTGTAATATATTACGCGAATGTTTTTTGGCAGAAAACTATGATTTTAAAGTATGACGACTGACACACCGAGAATCTCAGCCAGATTCTTGATAAGATTTTAGCATAGATTAATCCCAACCAGATTCCTGATTAGATTCTAGCAATTCTTCCAGTTCCACCTCCAAATAAATGTAAATTTTTTTGCCACAGCTGGTTACACAAGTGGATTAATCAAAGGCCATAGGTATTTTCAATGTAATGCTAAACATGGAATTTTCATCAGACCCAGAAAATTACATTTGATTGGAAACTGGAGGACAATGTATGTTTCCTTGATTTTCAAAGTACAATTTATCACAGCTTCATCTTTTTTTTATATGTTATAATCTTGGTTTGATTTTTTCTTACCTGCCACTTTCCAATATCAGGAGTGGAAATTCATACCGAACTATCAATAAAGAATCTTATGTTGATGACACATTATTTGCAAAGAAACCTGCAGGTATGTTCATTTGACAGTAAAACATGTGGTTTTACCCACTATGGACTAAGTTTATTACAGGGATTGCTTGTGTCATTCCCTAACACTACTAACCAGCCAGTACAGACCCTGTAATTCCTAAAGAATGTCTGTGTCAAGATGCTAATACATTGATGCAACTGTCTCCTAACTTTGTTGAGATGCAAACTGCATGAAAAATAATCCGGTTCTACTTTCTATAAGTGGTCACATACTTATGCATAATAATGTATTTTACAGGTATAAACAATGAGCAAAGGCAGTGGCAAGGCTACAATAATGGAAACAAAACTATTGCTGCTGTTACACCTGAATACATTAGTTCATCTAAAAGAGCTTTTTCAGGTATGGTGCATATATTGCAGGTTTTTCTATGGGAAAAAATTCTGCATGGTCAATATGAATGTAGTTTACATATTGTAATTATGAAACCCACCCAATGGATTTGTACTCTTATTTTTAGTGCCATTAACATCACATTGTCAAATGGAAAGGAGGATAAACTTTCACAAGAAGCACAGTGTTGGTCACACTGTATCTCCTGCAGCTACCACGAAAGATAAAATTCGCAATTCTCATCGAAGTAGTAGATGCTCAGAGAGAACGTTCATACCTACTTCTCCTTCTATACCAGACTATCACCTACCTCGCAAAGTTCTTAAACGCATGGTTCAAAAGGAGTACTTTGGTACATCTATTCCAAAACAAAACACTCTATACTAAAATAAGACCACACTTAAGACGCCAGAAGTATGTACCCAGCTTAAAGAGCCTGATACGTACCCTGATCTGATGGTTAACGATGGAAACGTCATTGATCATACATGGCAAAAATTCACCTTCCACTCATCAACGTATATAGGTGTAATCTTTACGTAGCACTATTTAAACTTGTAAATATCATTATTATGACTGTTGGATGCAAGTCGAGTGTTCAAGGATAAATGCACTTTTGATCCCCTCGTAAAGTAAGTCTTTATTCGTGTATGAAACCCCATTTCCACAAGATTGATAAGAAATATCAGCCTCCTCCCCGTCGCGTGTTTTTGTTTTATAAGATATATACCAATGCACATTTTTCTTGCCCAGTTGGTCAATCGTAAATGTTACTACATATTCTTAATTATGAGGACAAAAACTCAAAACTGTTGTCGGACTGACGGCGTGCTTGGGTATAAAACCTTTGCACATGACGTCACAGTAGAAGTTGGACGACAAATTAACGTAGCATTAATTTTGCAAATGACGTAAATGTTTTGGTAAAATACAGAATTAACTAGTGAAGAAAATTTGTTTCGTTTTGTCAGCCATATGAAGAACGATTTTAGTAAGGCAAGAAAGTATGTGAAGACAATACAATAAAGTAAGACCTCAAAAGTCGGACTTGTATCATTGGCATTTGGCACTGCAGAGACTCTCTTATAAGTAAACAAACTCTTATAGTACTATTATGTCATCAGCACAATGAGTCGTACATAAGTATGGACAGTATGACTTATTTCTATCTATTAAACATTTTTACGGAGCTTTTTTAGGAATAGAAATACTTGAAGTAGGTGTTGTTGGGTTGGAAGAAATGGAGACTGAAGAGGGGCTGGTTAAAGGTGGTTTAACTGAGACCGCGGACACAGACGGTGATATAATCGATCTGCTGATGGATATTGCACTAGTGCTTGGTGTAAGAGGGGTTGAAGGAGTAGTTGGTGTAGTGGGTGTTGAACCGGAGGATGTTTGAGAATTAGGAATCATGAGTTTCAAGATAACTTGTTTTGATCCTGAAGGTGATGTTAATAAAGGTCTCTGTCCTGATTTGGCTGCAGCAGTCATAATAGTCTGTCGTAATTGAGAAACTCTTTTGTATATCTCAGGTCCTAGATGCCCAAATTCTTTCTCAAACTGTTCCAGTTTTTCTTGACTTGGACGCATTTGAAATATTGTTGTTGGCAGTTGTTTCTACATGGGAAAGAGAAACAGAATAAAACGGTATACATAATAATGAACTCGTAAAAAGCTTAATGTTTTATTTGGTTGTTGAACAGTATTTTTGGAAAGCCGCAACACAGGACAGATTTCATTACGCTATTATAATATACTATGATAAACTTTGAGCATGCAATATTCATATTTTTGCATTGTAAAAAGGCATAGAGGGGACCTAAAACTTACCAGAATTATTGCTTGGAGATGCTCAGCTGCTGACTTCTCTCTTGGATCACTACCACTGAGCGCAATTTTTATGAGTTTACCTTCTGTTTTCAAAAATGGAACAACCAACACTTTTAACACCTAGTGTATAAATTTATAAAAATTCACAAGAATTATCCGCCTTTAAATCCTGGTTCACACTTGATTGAGGCTATCCTTCAGAGAACACTCTTTTGTATCCCGTAATCTTATCAATCCTCAGCCCTAAGAGGCATTCATTTCCAGAATCAGTTCATATAATTACCTCAGTTCCCATTTCAGCGAGACCTGCTATTGCACCGTAATGCGTGGCCAAAGGGGCCTTGACATTCTGGAGTGCCTGAAATAAAGACGTTTCGATATAGGAATTGGTTTTGCCGTTTGTGCATTTACATATATCTCAGAACCTTTTCATATTTCACAAATGCTCTCCGTACAAATACTGTCAAATAGCGAAAAAAAAACGCCAGTCCAGTCATGCGTGTATATACATTTTCATCAAACTCAGGTAGGCCGGTTGGGCCACAACATGCTTTGTTCAATCTGCTTATTTTGTTCTTATCAACAATATTTTTCAATCATGGGCAAAATACGTATTATGCATAACTTGTGGCAAGTTTGTGGAAATCAAACTTTAAAGTCCTGCCTATTGTACAAGTTCTCTTAAAAAAAAGCGAACTGAAAATTTCCCAAGAAATCATACTCGTTGAGCATAGTTGAGCATACTCTTGAAAAACAATTAGAGGCAAACCAAACTTCCTATATAGGATATTAAAATCTGCTCTTTAGGAATAAAGTGGATTTCTTAGGAAACTCCTTAGAGCATTCCTCTATATTTTAAGATAAAAATAACATATTATTACTGCTTTTACCTTACACAGTGTCTTCGTAATACGTTGCTGGATATTGTTGGTTGTTGTACTAAACGTTCTGTAGTCACGAAAAATAAATTAAACGTGAATTAAACGTTAGCTGACGGGGGGCTGAAAAAAAGCAGATACTACACAAGTATGTAAGAAAACTAGGCGGTGACAGTCGCGGGGGGTGGTGACAGTCGCGGGGGGGGGGCAATATTCTGATCGGGGTGGATACGTGATTGTATCATCTAATATTTGATTTACCGAAGTTACATCTAGCAAAAATTGCTACATGCATCTTTCCGTTTGGTATATGAACCTACAGCTAGGTTGAAGCGTGAACTAATATATATACATCAGGAGCAGATTATTAAACATTAGAAGACTATGAATTAATTTATAATTATCAGAATTTAGATTTTGAAAAGTGAGGTTTGGGACCCACGTTACTCATAGTATAGCAATACTGATCCATGCTCCTTCAATATCATCCTCGTATAGTGACGTACTACCAACCTACATATCTGCGATAATAACTTAGACCCAAACTCTCGAAGTGCCCAATGATTATCACTTTCTGGTTTAGCGCAAACTTGACGACTTATAACACACGTAGCAACTGCAGGGATGAGTTCATGAAGCTGAAATGGATATATTGTCAGTTAGTGCACAACGTGTAACCACATTTCTATATTCAATTTAAAAAACTTACGTATTTTTCAAGAAAAAGAGAACTGTTATCAAGTAACGCTTTCACCATACGCATCAAATAAATTAAAAGAGCCATATTGTGTTGAGCAACATTAACTTTGACCTGCCAGAGAGAAAGAAAATATTCAATGACCATGCAAATTGGCTTTGATTAGAAAAGGCAATTGATTGCCTCTTCAATTGTAATTCCCTATTACCAATACAGCAACTGGTATAAAAGTAATAACCATGGTAGGATTGCAACCATGGTGTAGTACAGCCACTAAGGTAGAACTAAAACTATAGCAAACAGCAATAATAACAGAAAAGCAACAAAAGTAGTACAGCAAAAATATTTACCCCTTCAGCTATAAAAGTGCAAAATCTTGGAAGCATCTGATAAAGACCAGGGTCAGTTGAGAGACTCTGTAAAGCTTCCTGTATAATGAAACACATGTATTATGAAGCCTAGCTTTCTTTAGTGGTTAGTTGAAAGTAATAAATTTGACTTATTATAATTTTCAGAACCGGAGATAATAAGTAAATAAATAAATAACGAGCATTGCAATGCAAAGATATCATAAATAAATGACCAACACAATCCACAGTTGAAGTATGCACAATTTTCAGTGAAAAAGAACTTCATGGAAGTTAGAGAAACACAAAGTCAAAGTGTTATTAACATGGTGCAGTTCACATTGGAATACCTTTCTATTAGGTGTTATGAAAATGCTGAATTGTGTACCTTTTTATAAATCAACATAAAAATGTTACATGAACGGATGACAAGACTTACAGCACGTTTGGCTTCAGATGAACCTACACAAGCTTCAGTGACTTCTTTATAGTACAGTTGCTGTTCCTATAAACAGTTATTACAAATGCAAAGGTTGAAAAGCCTTTCATAAGGGATTCCTATAGTAATACAATTTCATGTTTTTGTACTAAAAAAACTTACAACAGAGAGTTCATGAGTCACCAGAGGTTTTAGTTTATCAGGAGCAGCTGTGGCAGAGACATTTGGCATTGCTGACCATTTTGAATCAGTTTTAGATGTTGCCGCTGTTGTTGTTTTAACTGGTTTTTGTTTCGTAGTGCTGGCAGTTGAAATAACTGTGGTGTCTTTTAATTTCATCTTTGGGGTTTTGTCCATAACATCTTTTGACTGTTGTTCATGAGTCACTAAAATCATATAAAAGTTTTCTTAAATTGCAGAAGGTACAGTATAAATGGATGATTTCTCCTAGTAATAGGATTTGGCCTGATTCAAAATTTGATCAAACTTCAAGCACATAGAAGCTATAGGGTTGCAATATAAGGCTTTGAGTAATAATTTTGCTAGGTGGAAGGTAGAGTGCAATTCCCCCCTAATGGTGAAAATTCCTGACTTTGATTCAACTTGTGAGCTCAGTACTTTTATTTGTATATATGTATGTATATATTTGAGTAAGGAGTAGCTTACAACCATAAAATCCCAGATAATAGAATATGTTGTCCAGTGTCAATTTAATAAGCTTTCAAATGTTTTTGACAGCACAGTTATCAGGCATTTAATAGTATAAAATGTGATCATTTCTATTGAAGATTTCCATTTCTGATCTGAAAAGTATATTCACTTGTTTCCTCTCCCTTCCTGTCAAGTGTCAACCAGAATAGAAAAATCAGCATAACCAACCTGGTGGAGGATTTTCTGGAATTGCTGGTTGAACACCTTCAACACTTAACCAATGAGCTGAAAAAAGGAAGAATATAAATGTTATCACTGTCTGAATACAAAAACACTATCCTAGCAGTATCAATCTATCAAAGTTCTCTTATGTCTATTCAGATACAAATTGTATGTAAATACTGTGCAGTTACCAATATCATATTAGGAGAATTTGTGGTATTACATATCTCAAACTATGAGCTAGTTGTTACTTTAGGTAGTTTCTGTATAATAGAGACATGTGATCAGACTGTGATGAACAAAAAGGTGATATATGTATCTAAGATGAGATGGATTTAAATAATACAAATTATGAATACATAGAAATATCATGCACAAGAAGGAAAAGAAAAATTGATAAGACTGTGATTGGAAAAAGTGAAAATCGCTCATTGATAAATTGTGAACTGTAATTAAACAATTACCTTTAAGTGAAATGTCAAGTGGAAGACGAGGTAAGGGTGTTCCAATTATTTTACTTAGTTCGATTTCTGGATCATCATAATAATATAGATCTCGACCTCCTCCACTTGTAAAGCGAAAGGGAATGAACTCTGATGAGAGAAATCCACATAATGGCTAGTAGAAATAAAAAAAGAATAAGGGGCAAGCAAGCTTGGTAGGCATGCAGGTACATGTTATGCACTTCATGAGTTTTTAAATAATACCTCAACATTTCTCACTCTCAAAGAATTGTCAAAATCACTTGAAGACAGTTTTCGTCGTTTAGCCTTACGCATAAATTTTAATGCTTCCTGAAATAAAAATAGGAAATGAAGTAACATAGTACAGTATACTAGGTTCAATGTTGGTTCTTAGGCCACAGTTCTTAGGGATATTTTTCTATCTATGATCTAGCTTGTCCAGATAAAATTATTCTAGCCAAGACTGCTAAGTTGCCCACTATTTATATTTCTGAATTTAGCAATTTACTACCTGAGAAACCTCTTTCAAACGAAAATTAACATCATCAAGTAAGAACTGGAGTGCTTCATCGTTGAGTTTGGTTATACCATTAGAACTTGCAATTGTTTTTATACTTTCCACACTAATATCATTCTCCAACTCTGACTCCGCTCCACTTTCCTGAGAACTCATTATAGCAATGGTTCACGTATTTATGAATATTTCATTCCTACCATGAATTTCAGCTATGTATTAGACTCACTGATTAGACTATATAAAAACAAATGTATTACATTTTTGTCCAAAATAGCCGCCATATAAATTTTCGAGTTTAATACTGGGTCAAGTCTTCTAACCACGGTAACCCCACAGGGGGGGGGAAAGCCGCCGCGGTGTCAGGAAGTGGTGAGTTGGTGAGAGTTTTACATAACACTTTTATGCTCTCTGGGGATTTCAAATTATGTGAATTGATTATAATATATGCCAAGAAAAAAGAAAGAATCATGCCAAGTTGAAGCTTGTGCCATTCAGAAATGTTTACAAGGTACTGCAATAAGGGAGATGGGATCACGACAATCAACAATGAACAACCTATAATGAACTGAAGTATATGATGATGCAATCCATGATAGTCCATCACTGCAGTTTATACCAGCAAAGCCTATCCACCAAGTAGCTTGAATGCTCACCTGTCCTGCTTGCATTTGAGAAGACTGCTCAAGGGCATATGTGTGTATAATTCATTTGGGGCTAGACTGTAAATGCAGATAGTTCTCAAGAAACGGGATATGTCAGCTGTAACATTCGTTTTATTTCATTTTTTTATAGAAAAGAACTTCCAACAAGATAAATGTGAAGATGTTATCAGAAACATGATAAAATGCTGCATGCAGGATGAGTTTGTAAGATCACTTCCACAGTGTTCAGGATTTTTAAAAGTCAATAAAGCACAGCAGAAAGAGGAAAATTGTTGATTCTTTTCACAAAATATAAAAATATATACAATTTTAGGGAACCCATTTTGGGCCCTTACAACTTATATACAACCTATCACGAAGCCTCCCTTTGCCTTAATTTGGACCATCAACTACATTTGTGCACCATATAGTTATGGAATTGTTAAGTATTTTTCTGATTATTGCTTTAGACTTAATTTAGGAAAAGCCTATTGGTCATTTTGGAAAAGAACTTATTGCTTAAATCTTAAAAGAAACTAATGATAACATTCATTGACTTTAAATACCAAAGCTGTTGGGAACATTTTAACAAATCAGAAAAATATTATAAGTTATTTGTAAATTATAATTTCTATGATACATATATCTATAAGAGATATGATTTGTATTTATACATGAATTGAAGTTTCTCACACAAACCAACAATGATCACTTAAACAGGTTCCCTCTTCTTCCTAAGATAGAAATTGATCATAAGTAATTCTTGAGCTACTTTGTGGAACAAACTGATCTAACCCATTATGATGTTGTTTCATGACATTAGTCTACTAAAGACCTAAACTGTTTATGGTGATTGCAAGAAAGCATTTTAGTCTTTGTGGGTAAATAATCTGAACGAAAATCTAATTATCAATTAATTTGGAACAGATCATATCATCAGAAGACTGCAACAAATCAGAAGACCAAACTTGTCATACATTAAAGTATGACAAGTTTGGTCTTCTGATCAGTTCAAATGTTCTGGGGAAGTGCATCCAGGGAAGTGCAGAGATCAGTTTGTCATGTCATATACTCTGTCAGCTTATGACACACGTACAACAAATGTGATTCCACCGGATCTTATTCATTCTGATTCAGATAACTCAACCCTCTAGTCTCTAGATTAGTGACTGACCATGGCAGCAATCAAACATACGAGGGGCGATTATTACGATTGAGTTTACTTAATCTTTACCTGCTTATCTGAATGTCTTCCGTCTGTTTCAATGTCATAACCAGGTTCCTGAAGCCGAAGTTGATATCTTTCGGGGATTCCATCGTCTATGATACATAAACAGCTTTAGTGAAATCACTACAGTAAAATCCACTTTCCATCGCGATTTTCAAGAATGTAATCCATATAAAATTCTGAGAATTTCTCGCTTACTGATATATTTTACCTTTTGCATTCTGGTATGTGGCCTCTTCGCAGTGTCCATCTGACGCAGTCATGACACCAGAATCCTGGTACGAGGAGAGAGACGATTGACTTGTAAACGAAGGAATTCTAAATGGTGTCGACGATGGACTCGAGGAATCACGATTTTCGCCATATTTGCATTGCAGTATCTTGATCTGTGCATCTTTTTCAGCCAATTTAACATGAAGAGATCTTATTCTATTTGAAGAGGATGGAGACACAGATAATCTTTAATAATATCCATATGTTTTTAGCGGTTCGACAATAGAAACTGAAAGTTTTATAAATATTTCTATGCCTTTAAATCTTTTTTTGTATTTTGCAAAAGTATAGGAAGCGAGTTTTTTACATTCAAAAAGTTTTACTTACTCCGTTTCCAGATCCGAGTATCTTTGTTTGGATTGTCTGTGTTTATGCAGTCGTCTTTCGCTGTTCCGCAGAAAATGGCATTCAAACTTCATTAGTCGAATTATTAAAATGGTTTTTTTGGGAAACTGTAGTGTGGGAGTGCCGCATGTGGCCCCTAAACGGCTAAACCTCTCGAAACCACTGTCAGGGGTGTCAAAAGCATGCCCCCCGCACGTGAACGGTGGGAAGTGAGGGCAGCTGTCTCAAGTCGTCAACATGCGCTGACCATGCATGCGCCGTTACAAACGTCAATGTCTGTATATGGGAATTTCGACTGCATGAAAAGTGATATGTAACTTCCTTTACTTCCTGTAACTTCCTTTATGTAACTTCCATTGTGCGTTTATAATATGCTCACCTAACACTTGATGTCCATTCAGGAACCGACATTTCAGATAATCTTGACATAATCTGCGTGCATGCCAAAATCAGAAAAAAAGAATAATATAAATACTTCAATTTTATCAATTGAACTCCTCAGTGCATGCAATACATTATTATAATCTAAAATATATCTATAGCCCAAAAATACGTCTCCATGCACACTTTTCCCACTGCCAGTCTCTGCATGATATTCTTGAAATAGTGAATAAACGTATATTTTTAAATTTTTATTAAATATAATATGGTTTCAATCGTTAATAGACTAACCTGATCAATTTCTGCCCTTAATTTCACAATTTCCGCATCTTTTTCTTTTAGAAGTTCTACTAAGACTGGTACACATGTATTTATATCCAATTCCTCCTTCGTGTTGCAAAGTCTTTGATTTGATTTGTTTAAAAATCTTGTTCTGTAACGTCCACTAGACTTCATCATTGATTCATGAAATTGTTCAAGATAATCAGCAGATGTTTCTTTTTCTCCATTTTTGTTCTCTCGTTCCTAAGGTAAAGTAAAATTAAGGAAGGAAATGTTGTATTCCATCTTAGTAATGGACAAACTTTACCTAAGTTAAAACCGTTTTTCATACACTTGCAAACAAGATTAGGGGGAGCACTTAGTCCTAGGCCAAGAACCCAAAGCTCTTTCGAAAAATGCACTTTCTAGCAGCCTTTTAGGATTTTCTTAGATAATTGGCCTTGTAAAAATATCCTATTCGTGCATGAATAGGTCATTTGACCAGCTAGTCTCATCGGAAGGTTCGATGACAAACTCACATACTCACTTCTATTGTGCACTAGAATTTGTAACGGCGCATGAATCACACAGTGATAAGCAATACTGACCTCTTTCATTTGCTTTGAACCACAGACATTACAAACACACATCTCTAATTGTTGTCGCAGGAGAATTATCTCTGATGATTTCTGTTTCAGTATTCGTTCTAAGTTTTGCAGAGATGATTTTGAATTCTTTCCTGGAAAAGACAGACCAGCAATCATGTTTAATTTTTATAAACCTTTAAGCTTTGAATCTTGGTGTGACCATGCAATTCTGATAGCATGTCCAAATTTCCAAACATAATCTCAATGAGCATACTAAATGTGGCATCAATGTTTCTCACTATCATCTCAAAGCTTATATAGAGAGCTCATCATGATTATAGTATTATAATAATATAGATTACTATACTAATGGGTGCATATTTATAAGGAGGTTCGGATCAACGCTGACGCGAAAGGGGCGAAAGATTCAGATCCCGCATGACAGGCCCTCTTCCTCGGAAACAACGCAACCGCTCATCGACAGAATACATTTCGATATATATGTATATTTAAGATAAGCAGGCAACATTTAGGTCGACAGTTCCGCACAAACGCGCTCCGGGTCATATAGGGGATATACAGGGTGTATAAAAAAAGGAAACACTTAATAATTAATATTCATATTGTTATTAAAGCACAATAGTACAATAGCACAAAGTGTGTAGCCCACAAAGTGAATATTCTCCGATATTATAATAAGGGCATGTTTACATGGAGTGATAGGCGAGGTAAAAAGCGCATCAAAGGCTTAACCTGATTAGTGTTTCATTATGCAGTTTTCACCTCGCCTAGCCGGGATAACTCGCTCCATGTAAACAGGCCCAAAATGCTTGCCTTTTCTTGATACACCTTGTATGCCTAATCGATCCTGGATATTTTCTCTCAAAACCTTTATTATCAAAATCTTTATTATTTCTGCACCGATTTTATATGTTCTATTGTTCACCACCGAGAGAAATGTACTTACAGCCAAATAAAATCAATTTCACGGTTATAGCGTTAAGATTTGGTGAATTATCGGGTTTTATAAACATAACTCAGCCATTTTGCTTTTTTTGGGTGTATCTGGTGTTCGTAGCTACTATGGTATAACTGCACACTCAGAGAAACGTGCCTAGTAATTTGCGATGAATAGATTTTGGTATTATTCAAAGTGAAAGAAAAACTAGTGCAACCCCTTAACCCTGCCCTGTCTGGCTTTTAAAGTACATCAATGCAAGGCATGTGTTTTATGTATGCTGTGACTGAAAGCATGCAGCAGTCTAACGTTACGTACTGTCTTTCTGTAATTGTTTAACCTCGTCGTCTCTCTGATTAATCTCATCTTTGAGCCCTTGTAATTCTCTTTTAGGTTCCTAAAGTGTATTGTATGCTAAATTATTCTACTAAGTCAATATAAAATATGGGTGCTATTATATACCAGCTAGTGATGTGAAGTCGTAGGGTAAAATCAATGTAGATATGACACAATGCACATGCGCGTGAGGGGAATAACTGTGCCTATATAGAAAAAGGATTTTCATCATATATTATCGACTACTTGGCAAAGTCTTTTAATTTCAGCAGCAATAAAAAAGTTGCCGCATTATAGGCAAAAAAAACTCACGCTTCCAAGCACAGTCTGAAGTTCTTTCATCTCATCTTAAAGTAAAAAAATACGTAGATCAAATTTATTTGTATGCATGGGTGCAACGATGATACATATACGCACGCACGAAAAAGTTTAGGCTTTAATGGTTGTGGCTTGAAATTTAGTTGATGCAGTTAATTAATAGAATAATGGAGCAACGACTGTCAACGATAGTCTAACTCAAGTTTAAAATTTTTGATGAAATATTCAACAGAAAATATTTTTGGCTACAGTTCAGTGCACTGGTCGATCATGCCGGATATATCTAACGTTATAGAAAGAATTGCAGTCTCCACGGCTTGATTTTCTGCTCCAGTAAAGAACATAAAACATCCTAGGTTAGCTCTGGGAACTCACAAAGTTGTTAACAAACCTGTTAACTCAGTGTTAGTCTTCTGAAGCTGAGCAATTTCAGCTTCCATACGTAGACGCATTGCTTTTTCTTTGTGCTCACGGGTAATAAACGCAGTTTTTAAATCTTTGTACATAATATGAGTATCACGAAGCTCCTTATCAACCTAAAATGATATTAGATTATAGTTAGTGCATTCGTTCTGCTGTTTATAATCATGAGAAATATCAGAGCGGGAACGGAACTCGGTGTCAGATGCAATAATTAGTGATGCATTATTTGAAAAAGGCTTACACATTTCAGCTTTTTTATTTCTTGGTAATATTTTTCCAGTTGTTTTCGTAAACACATGTTTTCTTCGGAAATGACTTGAACGATTTGTGTTGCTCTGGACGCTACTTCGTCATCCTCCAGACCCGACGAAGCACGGCTATCATGACCAATCGTGTTTAACATGCCTGTAGAACTTTTGTTGTCAAGCCCATCTGTAAAATAATTACAGGTCAACATTTTCAAAACACGGACGTTCACAGCTCACAATAGGTTGAACAGGCATCCCGAACTTTGCAAAACAGAGTCAGTCACATACACTGATCAGTGCCATTTCTGACTTGCAGCTAACTTTTTGTAAAATACGGAGGCAAGAACCATGAATCAGTCAAAGGAAAATAGTTTGCAGAACCACTTGGAAGAAGATCCATCAACATGACAAGACAAAATTAATGGTGAAGATGGATTTCATGCCACTGAATGACTTTCGGTTATGTCCATATTTGTCCAATGAGACATTGAAAATATTCTAACACTCAGGTATTAGTTTTTGTATTTAGCTCAATGGTGGTACAGCTAGAGTGATCACAAAAAAACCGAGGCCATTAACTACATGTCAAGCGATTAATGGGAATAATTTCTTGGCAGAATCTTATAGCTTTTTTTAAACGCATTCCAATTCCAATTCCGCGGCCATATGTAAAAGCAATTACGGCCACATACTGCTTTGGTAACTCAGTCAAGTCATCATGAAGTTGTAATTATTTAGAGAGCTATGGACATGACACATTAGCTATAAACGCACATTCAACACGAAAACAGTTGGACATTTGCCAATATTTTGTGCTAGATAAGGTTATGAATGTTAAACCGATTCTATTGTGTTATTAAAGAGAAATTTCCCTGACGAAACAACAGGGCGCCGGAGACCAGATCACCTCCATGTCTTTTCCCTGCAGGTAATCAGTATAATCTGGAGGGATGCTGTCAGTAAGTTCAATCACACACAGTGCTGAGAATAGTATATCACTAATTACATCATAATAAAATACATTTAACGCAAATATCACTATACACTTGTCAAATTATTCTTTTGTGCAAACATGCAGGCAATATATTGAAGTAATTATACACACAACACATGCTGGAGTGGAACATATCAGTATATACAGTCAAAAACCAGTCAATTTTCCAACTACCTATATGTGAATAACACCCATGGCACTATACATTGCAAGAACATTATAAACGCAACAACAAATATGTGCTCTTTTCGACATAACACTTTGTCTTCACAAATTTTAAACGTTTTGCAAAAGCCGAAAAGATTCGAATACATATCATAACAATTATATGTCTGACGTATTGTAGTCATCCATGGTAACATCCACGTACGGCTCGAACACATAATGATTTGACTAATATTACTGATCAGTATATATCATAGTTTTTATATAGATAGTGAGAACAATAGGGTAATGTTTTGATGCGTTTTATTGATATTACACATAACTCTATAGCCTGCTATCACATATTATATAAAAAATTACTCCGATACACGCATCTTCTATGCCAGGATATAATTATATGTATCATATCATTCATTAAATTCTTCTTACCTTGTGCTCTCTTAGCCTCAGTGTCAGACATTCTGACTCCTGGTGTAAATATATTCTTTATACGTTTTGGAAACATGTCAATCTGACTCACTAGGGCCATTCAGTGCAAATATTATTTCGTTCAATCGTCTTACACGCTTAATACACACGCGTTGTTGCAATATCAAACATACGTTGTAAGTATGTGTAAAAATAATATTTACCACACAACGTTATGCAAATCTACATGGGGTACGTGTACAGCGACTCTAGTCTATAAATGCATTAATTTGTGGCTTACTGCGTCAACATGATTTATTATTTTGACGAACGTCTTGCAACAAAAAATCCTACCAATTATCAAAGCACACAATAAAAGTTGTAAAAGTATAAAAAAGGTTATAACTTATAATGAAAGATTTCAAAAACTGATTCACTATCCAAAACCATATACAGGAAAACTAAACCGATGATCTACACCAATGAGTTATTTGTGAGCCTTTTTCGGCCTTTTTGAAAATCTGATCTGATTTGGAGGGGATAGACGTTTCATGTTTTGGCGTGTACCGGCGTGCATGTTTGTTTCTATTATAGTGTCTTGCAAACAATACTACACGCGGCGTTTAAAAGGAGTATAGGTGAAGAGCTGCTTGTCGTCTAGTTTGAGGTTAGGTTTAAATTGAACCCAAAAGCCTTTTTAGGCAAAGTTCCATAAAAGCGCTTTTTGGGTATGGTAAGTAACTTGTCTGCACTGAGGGAGGGTACGTGTAAAAATATCTTACTGTCATCGAGTCAAGTAGAATTGCTGGTACCTTGATACTAATAATGTTTAGTTCCTCTATGTTTGGTTCCTCTAAATCTCATGTTTAAAGAGAGAAAGAGCTGCGTAAAAAAATATCTCGCTTTAATTCCTTGATATATGCGCCTTATAATTCTGTTTCCACCATTCACTCTGTTCGTCCTCCCTCTCCCCTCCAAACGTATACACGTGCATGTAATTTAATATAGTGTCAATTGTTGTTCACTTGAATGGCTTATTTGCAGACGAGACGTAAGTTCCTCAATAAATCTTATTAAATTGCATGTTCATTAGCCTTTGTATTGAATTAGAAAAGCTAAAAAATTCCGGACATTCCTGAAAGTTCCATTGTGGTGATGTGAATGGATGATACTACTCTGAATTGTAAAACACGTCGTGCATGCATGCTGGATAATGTTTGACTTGGGCAGGAAACGGACCTGTCAAAGGGTTGTTTATGGAACAATTCCAAAATTACTTAGTGTAGATAGATATGTTCTACAGATATGTTCTTTCATTATAGCTGTTATATAGATACAAAAGAATGAGTTTACCTTTTTCTTCATCTGGCTTCAAAAGTTCACTCTGAGATATGTCTTTATGATATTTCTCTGTAAAATTGTTCATTGAATCATCTGAAAAATGATTCCCTCCTTCATCAGTTTCTTCTTCTTCTCCAATTGTAGGTAGCAGCTCAGCAAATGCGGGAAATACTGTTGTTGCGTTTTCTTCAGGGTCGTTTTCGTTAGTTTTGAGAACCTCCATTTCTGGCTCGCATTTGGTATTGACATGTTCCTCGGTATTAAATGACGTAATGAGCGATGAATCCATTTTTATGCAGTCTTCAACATTGGCTGTAAAACCAGCCACTGATTGCAGTAATATTTGACGGTCACTTATGCTTGTAATATTGAGGTCATCTATGTATAATAAAGTAAAATTGACAGTTCCCAAAATTTATAACAAGGCGTTTTCTTATGCGGTGTTTTCATTCATTCGCCTGACAAAACGCGAAAAATCAGCACTGGTTAAGACAACCTGTTGTCAACCTAATAACTACTTACCCAGCAGAAGTTCATCAAGTTGTACCAGAATCTCTCCAGTGACCATATTGCCTACAAAAATAATTACTGACCTTACTAAATATAGCTTCAGTGAATTACTTGTCTTTTTTAATCATGCAGTTGATACGTGTATATTGAAAACAAGCTATGAGAAAAACAGCCCCGTTTACACTACACTTGATTTATTGGCACGGCACGGCTAAATTGGGTACTCGTACCTATTTGATCTGTGCTCGGCCTTTGTTTTGGTTGCCTGAGCACTAACAAAATTGCGCACGGGTATTCATTTTAGCCGTGCCGTGCCGATAAATTGAGTGTAGGGTAAACGCGGCTGAGATAATTGCAATACACATATGACAAAAAATCAATAAATCACAAACAATCATTGGTTGTCTGTAACTTTCGAAAACATTGAATTCAAGTGTATATTATCATAACTGACAAGAAGGGCGGTCAATTTTTGTTGTTGAAGTAACCAAATTAAAGCAAATCTCTTGCATGTCATTGTGTATTAGTGGCTCATGCAGACGCAGTGTTCGCCGTGTAAAGCTGCCCGATCCCTTGTATAGGAAACTTTTACACAAAAACGTAACCATGCATTGTAGCTGAATATTGTTTGGCCTCCGTTCATGCCTTAAACATCATCGCATCTAAACTCAGGCGAAGACAATATATATCATAAGGTCCAATATTTTCTTTGCACCATCCAATATAAACTGTCACTCAATTACATCTACTTTCAGCCTGACAGTACCATGCTTAGTGCCAACCCTTACTTAGGTCGAGATTTAGGTTGTATAATTCAAGAATACATTATATACCTAAAAATAAGGTTTCCTACTTGGTTACTTACGTTTAAACTTGCCGGTATACTTTTCAAGACCAACTGCTTTTAGCCATTCAGCTACATTATCCATGTTCCATTTTAAAACCGTTTCTGTTGAGACCGGACCATCCATTGACAGAGTCATAACGATAATGTGTTCTACATATAGTCTTATTACCTGATCTCAGTTTTGTTGTCTGGTATATAGTTGATGTCTTCTGAATGAAACAATGAAGTAGTAATATTGCAGAACAAAAGCATCACGAAACATTTACTTACCTGCGTAAACATAACATAGCTGCAAATATGTTAATCAGGATTGCTTGATTGAAGATAAATCCCCCGGATAATAGTGCATGCCAAAACCCATGCTCCATAGTTACCGCTTATATTTACGTCCAACAAACTCGAGCCAATATTTCTTCATTTTCGTATCATTGTAACGGCTTTTTTAATATGCCAAAATGAGTGGTGAAATGTGACAATTCTGTGAAAGCACCTATATAATGATTTTTCATTTACTAATACTATTTGGTGTGTTTCTGCTATACTGATAAAGCGGTTATATGCTGAGTGGAATAATTTTTCTTATTTGACAACTTAATCCTGGTGACATAGTTGAAATTATTTATTTCCGATTGTATACAACAACTATTTTTGCAATTTTAAATTGAAACTGAATTTGATCATGGACGAATGTTAGCTAATGTGTTTTCTGACCTTTTCGACCGCATTGTTTCATTTGTTCAAATTCTGAATTTACTGAACGTCGCGAAAACGTCTTAGCTTATAAAAAATTTGGGAAAATATTACTGGGCAAACACGCGTAGGAGCAGAAAGGACTTTAAACAAACAAAATTAGCTCTAATTTGACGCCACCCTTTCAAACCGCTCATTATTTGGCTTAATTTTACGTGCATCTGCTCATTCAGTGACGTTATTGAAAACAAAAGATTGAGGGAGTGTGTCACCATATTTCAAAACTATATTTTCTAAAAAACGTTTTAATGAAGACGTTCACATCCCTTACTGAGCTACTCTGAAATTGTTTTTCATCATTTCATGACGAAATACCTCATCTGCCCATGGGCATCTGCCTTTTAAAATTCTTCCAGAGTGGGGCAAAAACAGTCTTCACTTTTGTATTTCTAAAAAGTTGTTCCGAAGTCCTTGTTGACAGACACATAATACAGCTTACATTGTTTAACTCTCTTTGTTTTAACTAATTTTATATATTCATATCTCTAATAAAGCTCGTTTAATGACGTCATTCACACGTTAACGGAAGACTTTTCATATTTAATAGGGACATTTAGTTGACGACTGTCTGACGGCTACGGCGAACCTCAGTAAAAGCGCAGTTCAGTAGGAGAGTTTTTCATGTTTTCTAAAGATATCGCATATATACTGATGACGAATGTTCACAAAGAGTGGAATCCCGAGAAAACGCTATTTATCTTTCTATTTCTATGGGGCAATCACATAGACCCTGCATAGTCGCACACAATTTTTCCTCCATCGTTGGAATTTTTTTTAATGGTCATCCCAACATTCCCCACTCTTCAATTCCACTGTTCTTGCGTGTAGTGCTGCTAAGTAGGTACTTTACATGAAGTACATCACGATACCAATTCCAAGATGGCTGTCGTTCGAAGGTTTTTTCACAGTTCTTGTTTTAAGAATAACATAATTTTGGATACCCGTAGTTTATTTAAACAACCCAATAGGACTTGTTGCAAAAGGTAAACAGAAAGTGTCATTACTCCATTTTGAATTTTGATTGTTTAACTACTGTCGCTAATTCGTTGTAGAAGCCTAGAAGGCAAACGTGTGATATATCATAAGACATTGCACTTTTATTAAAACATTGGAGTACCGTAGGCGTAGGCGTAGGGTAGGAGTTTGATCAACAAGCCAACGATCATCTGTGAGCTAATCAACGCTATTTAATACATACAATTATTCTAGTCTTAAAAAATATTTTTATAAGCCATACCCACCTTTAGAAGAATAATTTACGAGCTTCTTCTGTAAAGTCATGACAGACTACGGAGATGACAACTTTTGCTGAGATCTTAGTTGCAGAAATCTTAAGCGATTTGGGTGGGCAAAACTGTTTACTTCATCTTATACCAACCTGATTTTGTCCTTTTGGGGGGTACCTTAGGCATGGGGCCTAGGACAAATCGCTTTCTCTGCCCCATTACTTTTATTGTTTTATTATTAATTATGTACAAAAATAAATGTTCCTTTTAATATCTAATAAAATTGAGCATTTGTAGTGTTGTAAGAAACATACCAGGTAAGATTATGATATATTTTTTAACAGGAATGTGCATAATAGCAATGCATTGAGAAACAAATCAAATCAATATGAATATGATCTAGAGATCTTGCCATACAGTAAGACAAGACTGATCCTACGACCACTGGCTTTCACCCTTGCAGTGAGTTGCTACTTTTCTAAAATATCATCTTTGTGGTGTCCTGCAGTTAGAGTATAATATCTACATGGCCCCTGTTTCTTTCATGAATTTTAATACAGTTTTGGGAGAATTACATTTTTCAAAAGTGTAATTTATATAGCTGAGATGCTGAGGGTAATGATATATACAATTTTTAGGATATATTATTACACGGTAACCAGCAGTTATTATTATTATAGGCATCATTAATTGATACCTGAGATGTCTGAGTTAATTTCTTTTATGTTTTTTTTTTATTTTATTATACTGTATGTACATTGTATAGGTATCCTCAGGATGTTTTGTCGCAGCGACAATTGCACAGTATGAAACAATGAGAGCAAATTTAGCCCAACATTATGAACGAGGTTTTTCACATGTTGAAAAGAAATTGTTTAAATTTAGACAACAGGTATAGTACTGTTTTTAAATATTCGCTATCACAATTGAGTTTCACAACATTTTCAAAAATTTCTTGATGCTGTTTTGAGAGAGTAGTGCACTTACGTTTTAATTGAAATCGTTACTCAACAACATCATCTTTTCTTTCTCCACCATTAATGGGATACGGTAACAAAAATTATCTATTTTTTCTATGAAATCTATAAAATTCGTTTACGGATTTTTATTAACGTTACTACTTCTCAAGATTTTGCGAATGAAATTATCCGACAATTTGAACATACATATTCTTGGTCTGATATGCATGACGTCTAACCTGGGTAAAATTTGTTTCTTAACTTCAAATTAACAATCCAGCGCAGTGGCAGTTTCAGTGTATTACAATCGCACGTATCTAAAATTAAAACGTTTGAATTGTTAAAGTTCTAAAATAACGCGTAAACTCGTAGTCGGTATTCATTTAAGCGTGAACACTGCTTTTGACGTCACGTAATTAGACAAGATGGCGGATAGGCGGTGTTTTCGTTCGCCGATATCTTGCGAAGCAAGGAAGATTAACAAATTTTGTAAATTTCATTGTGAAATTATTGTACCGATTTTACCATCAAAATTGGGAAAAAATAAGGCAAACACCTTACATTAAAAATGGGCACATTCATTATCGAAGTGACACTCCCCAACTCAATCATGTTTAAAACGTCTACAGATGAATAAATGGGTGAACGCAATGCATCCTGGTGAAAAAACTGCTTCAGGTATGTGTGAGCTTTTATTTCAAAAAATTGTATTGACTTCATTAACCTTTTTTTAAATTATTTGCATGTAATGCCATTAAATTATATTGTTAGGTTGCCTGATTAAAATATTAAAGTTTGGAGTGACAACTTTGACGATACACGTAACTTGCATCATATGTAATATTTCCCATTTAGTTATTATCGCGCTTAACGTTGGTGTTTTCTTGCTATGGAGAATTCCGAGTCTGCGTATAACCATGACAAAGTGGTTTACAGCAACCCCTCTCTCAGGTATCGTTTTGTTCTTGGATTCTGGCCGCTATTTTTCGAAACATTTACATTCGCCAAAACTGATGAAAAAGGAGTGAGCGGGTCATGTTCATACACTCATGGTTTTTCACTGACCGTAATAACGGTATATTTCGATAGATGTGAAAAATTTGAAGCACGAATATATGACTGATATGTTTCCCGGTCCCGTATATCGAACTATCGCTATAAAGGTTCTTTAAAAACTAAATCCTGGTTCACACTTGTCGTAACTCGTAAGAATCCGGGATTCCGGCCCTTTGTCTGAGGATACTGGTGCACAAGATGCTTTGTCTGTCGGAAAATAATACAATGGATCCCCGATTCTTAGGACAAGTGCATGTGAACCAGGCGTAAGTTATAGGGGCTATATGCAGAAATATAGTGAATGCAGACTTTTTTATAACAGGTTTATCTTCGCCGATGTTTCTCAGTTGTTTTAGTCACATTGAAACATGGCATTTGGCCTGTAATATGATTGTATTATGGAGTTTCTCACCAGTTATTCATGGTACAGTAAGTGGATTATTATGATCTCACTATAACCTGATGATTCAGGATGCAGTTTACCATATAGGAATATATGTAATATGCAATGCACTCCACTGTTATACACAAACAAGTAATTTTAATGTCTTATTTCACTTCTTTAATATATAGATATGTTAGGTAGAGAGCAGTTCTTGGCGTTTTATATTAGTGGAGGTAAGATCATTATAATGTAGCTATATATAATTCAATGGAACACCAACTAAATTACGACAGTATATTGGTATGATAATAGTAATGGTATTGATAATGGTAATTCAGTATGTAGCTACGTAGCTATGTAGCTGTAACTGTTGTGCGTTCCTATCTGGGACATGCAGTATAGTATATTATAATATGGTATGATGCCTTACAGTACAAAAATTGCCAAATATATGCGGATATTATAACAGACTGTACGTTACAAGTTACTGTGCCGTTATTGTAGGGTTATGTTCGGCATACATCAGTCATTTGTTCAAGCTGATAACAAGTAGCTATGTTGCGTCTCACGGAGCGGTAAGTATCTTTCTAGCAGCTCTCTCCTGTAATAATTATTTCATAGCATCTTTCCCTGTATGTTTCAAGTCTGGTTGTATCCTTGGCGTCCTAGCTGCTGTTTGTGTTGCTAATCCTGATGCCCGCTTGGCAATCTTGTTTTTACCGTTTTTCTCTTTTCCTGCATCCAAGGTATGGACAGGGCTGTAGCTAGAAGCTTAATGGGAGGGGAAAGGGCTGTGTATATTCATAAATTCATCTTATGCCTGACTGATTTCTTTTGTACGCTATTGTTTCTGCGGTATATAAACATGAATCTATGAATGTGTCGAGCGGCGTAGATTGGTCTTTCAGTGTGATCAAAAAACATTTTTTCATCGATTCTTCTTATTGATAATCTGTTAGAGTAATCTTTGTTAGAGTAAACGGTTTTTTTCGATTGATTTTCGATCAAGGCACTGATTGGACTTGTGAGTTTTGACTTGGCTGGATTATTGTTTCGTTGGGGACTTTTTGACCATGCAGCTCATTTGGGTGGTGTAGCGTTTGGCAGGTAAATCGATATAATAATAATATAAATATGGTAAAATATAATAATGAGATGAATATATCATTATATACCGTATGTTTGACGGTTCGGTAAAAATTTTTCCTTCTCCACATTTGTATAGAAACAATATTTAAATTATATCGTCATGATAGGTTAAAGTGGCGCGGCTATTTTCGTGTGCTCAATTAACGAGGGGAGCTTCGAGATATTTTCCTAATCTTATGATTTGAATGCTTAGCAGAATGCTGATTAAACCTTTTATTTCATTCATAATTACTGCATTTCACTTTTATTTTCATATAGTTGGTATATAATGTTCGGGCACAAATATCTCTGGGATAAAAGGCTAGTGCTTACCCGAAAATGGCATGAATTTCGACAGACGTTTTCCAGATAGTTTGCTGAAAGGTTGTATTTGTACATGTTATACCTAACGCAAAGGCAAACATCGGCGTGGCCAAAATAGGACAAAACAAGGTTAAAATGAGGGAAAATGACGTGAGAGTTCTAATGGGTGTGAGGCATACATAACAGTGTGCACGTTCAACCTAGTACTGACACTTCGAGCAAATAGCCTGGGTATACGATATAGGGCTCACCACCATTGTTGCATTTTTACATACGAACACGTACGTAAAAGTTTAAATTTCTAAGAAAAAAAGATTTTAAATCCTTATGTGCGCGAAAATACATAAAAAAGCGCATAATGTAAATCGGAAAACACTGGAAAATATAAACAAAAGTTGAAAACGGTCATAAGTGATGTTCTCCATTGTGCGTTTTTCATACGTGAGTATACGAACGAGAAACGGACGAGAAATTATGGATAACTACTGAAAAAATAAACGAATACACATTAAATATTACAGAAAACTCAATTATACATAACGCAAGGACATTACAGCTCAAGGGATGATGGTTATTGGTATTCACTATTCGGATTCGTTAATTTGGAAATTTGTCTTTTTGAATATATGACAGGATATTATGCATGCGAGGACAAACACTAAAAAAATTCACGTGTTGAATGGGTTATAACAGGTCCCAGCGTAAGACATTATCCCTTTCGCACTCAGAGTAGCAATTTAAAAGACTGTATTAAATTAGCGGTATATGTCTCAGCTCGCATTAATATCTTGTTATAAATAGTACCTTCTGCCTCGATATAGAATTCCTGTTCTTGAGAAAATTGTTTATGGTGTGACCGCTGATTTGTTGTGACAAGTTATCTTGTTTAGACAACCAACTTTGGCGGCGTCGTGCCTATAATAATATTCGTATTCACTAGAAAAAGTTTCACGGGATGATGTATGGAAATGGGTTGAAATTCCTTGCTAAGTGAAAGTTATTTTAGAGATAGTGTGCTGCCTCGCTTAGTCAGTTGTTGGGTTGGAAATTTGCCAACGTAATATGTACGGCTAGTATTACAACAACGATAACAATAATTAAGCTATCTCCTTGACTCTCGACGATTTTTTAAACAGTATTTTTAGAAATTCATATTGATGTATGCTTTTTTGTGATAGTCGGGAAAGCATTTAATGTCTGAGTTGTGTTATAAAATTCCATGTATTCGTGCATGATATATAAATAGACACACACACCTAACAATGTGCGTCAGCAGAGGTGCGTCAGAGAAAGTAGTTTTACATAACATTTCTTAAATTTTATAATGGACCTAAATATTATCGGGTCTTAATTATAAATAGTATTATTAATGGAATCCATGTTTATGAACTCAGGGGAACTAGTCATTGTTAATGGGGTTATCAGTCTTGATAATAACTCGTCAAACCTTGGCCAGCTACCAAAACAAAAAGTATTTAAAAAACAAATCTCGTGGGGTGACATTCTTATGACATTCTTATTCTAAATCAAACCAATGTCCTAATTGTCCTTCAGTGGGAATGAATCTACGCCTGTTCGAGTAGTGCTTTGCAAAACAAAGGCTGCGTTCTTTGTGGTAGTATACCATGGCCGTAGGGTGTGAAGTGAGTGCGAGATGGCGAAGTTGAGTTGCGCTTTCAAAAGATGTTGTATATTCTCTACAAATTGTTTAAGTAATCCGTAAATATAACGACCAACATCATTACATCGTAGGTTTTAGCGGACCTGTGATCGAGGATGAATTTTAGTCTGTATTACATCTCTCATCTGGCATATCTCATTTTTCCACACATCCTCATGGCCTCCTTTTCCATGAAGCAGGATCTATCGACAGACTCGACACTATCCAGGCATTTTCAATTGTTTTTAATTAAGGGAAATTTGATTAGCGGTCAGTTTTTTATTTAGTATACTACTGCTATAAATAACATCATAATATGGTCTATGACGTAGGTGAAAATGGTCAGATAATTTGTCCATTTAGTGATTGAAATTTACACAGAAATTTTAATAGCAGCAATCTTTGTTTAAAACTCTTTGAAACAATTCCATAATTTCCGTTAGGCATGTCTCTTGCCATACCTGATACCTCCATTACAGTTATCAGTCCCACAATAATATCATTTCTTGACAAAACATTGTATGTTGATATATAAGACTGCAGTAATTCGACATCAAAAACGTGTGTTCAGGAAGCCCTGAATTAAAACAGTTTATAGCATTATGCCATTATGTGAATAAATATAGTTTCATAATACGTCATCAAGACAGTGATGCATGATTATTGTAACATTTGACATAGCATGCAATCAATCTGTTTGTACATTCAATATTAGTAGCAACAAAATATGAAATTCAGGCTGAGACAGCAAATATACTGACAAAAAAACTGACGAAGTTTTCATGTGTCGAACAAATTGTCTTCATAGACATCAGCTAAGAGAGAAGACTGCTGCTAAGTGCCAACAGTAATATCTTACATTGCATGCAATCGTTCTGTATACAATCAATATACTTTATGAGCAAAAAATATATAAAAAATACAGGATAACAAAGCCAATATACTCACAAAGAACTGACAAAGTTGCAATGCGGCGACAAACTGTCTTTAGTTTAAACGTTTGTTGCGAAATTTCTCCATAAGTTTGGGGTAGAGAGTATTGCATGCAAGGTTAAAGAATTACATAATGTATACGAAAAGACACAAAAATTTCGTATATACTTTTTTTAAATTGTCTCCCTATCCCACTATATAACATTGTTGGAAATTTTTAGCCTTAAAAACTTGGTGGATTTTTCCGAAATGTTTGAATTTGAAAGTTTTGAGTTCCGTGACTAATGTTATTGACCACACAATATAGGTTTAAGAATCACAATTAATTTAAATATGCTGAACAAAATAAACAGTTTTAGATGAAACATCGCACGAAAATCGCCTTGATAGATAATAGTTGCATGCCTGTCTAAGACTCTAAATGAACATGCATGATAGTCCTGAACTTTTACATTAAATGGTCCGCTCCGAATGTTTCCCTATAAGCTAAAGTAGGTCACCTTCATTTTCTTAAGTAAGCGACAATAATTATCAACTATTTTACTATTGGGCTATTTGGCTCGTCGGCTGTTTTTCTGGATGAAGTCAGTCAAACTTGATAACGTACATCAAGGTATGGAAGCGGGGTTGTGTTATAAGGGCAAATATGTACATTTTAAAGAAGTGGAAAAAAGAATTTCAGTAGCTTAAATTTTACGATTAACGAACTTGGAGTAGGGGATTTAGCTATACAGTCTAAATTTTATGATGATATGAAAATTCCTGACCTTTCTTGACCTGCTGGAATGCTCGCATGAGATTACGGGCGGGTATTCATGGATACTTTAATTAATGCGATTGTTAACCGCCATATGTTGATGTGATGAAATTTCATCACTGCAGTAAACGTGTGAAAAAGTTTTTTTATGCATTTTCTGTTTATCCAGTGCATGTGAAACGACCGAACGATGTACTAAAGTAGTCACTAAGTCCACTTTCTGTAAATCGTCGTTGCTAAATAAACCAATTTTACCAATATAGTGATAGTTACCATTACTAGTATTGATATGTCACTATCCGAGGGCGTCTGATCAGCTGTGTGACGTTACCTGAAGAGTTTTTGTTGAAAAGCTGCATAATCTTGGATTGATAAGCTGTTTGTGGTTTATGGTATTTATGTCAAAATCAAGCCGGTCAAAACTAAATTTTTTAACAACTTTCAGTTGATCACATTAAGAATGTGAAATTATGAAATATTTGCAGTTTGCGTGGTCGGATGTGACGTCATTTTACTGATCTGATTCCTGAATTAATTGCGGCATAGCCATAACATTTTTCAGATCGCCTTTTTTGAAAATATAATAGTGTTGGACATTTTATTAGTCAATAGCCGAAAAGTGGCAATACCTACATACCGAAACAGTGACTGCAAATCCAGCTTAAAAATGCATTAAATGGGATTTTTCAGCTCTAACAGAGACGCCCCAATACTAATAATTGCCAATATTTAGTCTTCAATACTGGAGAAAAGTTTTTTAAAACGTTTTGGCATCACCCTTGTAATACGAACATTAGCTGCTTCCTAGAAGCTTCTTTTGACCCATCATGTAACCATTGTCTTTTCAAATAGCTGTTGTGAATCACCCATATCGATCCGCGTGTAGTCTCTTTTAGGTCGGAAGTTGCTACTCTTTCTCATTGAAATTATTTATCATAATTTATTCACACGTGTATTATTGTAGGTTGATTGTATATGCAGCCCTTCAGTACAAAAATCATGAAAGAATGAATTGATTCTATCATAATAGGTCCTTTTGCTTTAGAAATTTAGATATTCTTTCCGTGTACATTTCTCTATTATCCGTAACGCATGAAAGAATATAATCTTATTTGTGATTTTAAAAAAAATTAACAATATAACAATAGATGAACTCCCTCGAAGCTCAGGCAGTTGTTCTCATCAAAAAAGAATCATGTGTGAAGTATATGTGTCATTTCTCTAAACACCAGACACAATTACACCACCGACACATAGTTTACTGTCTGGTGAATATGACAGTTTAATAAGTATTCTAATAGTCTGGATGTCACCAGGCAGGGAAGTGTTATAATTGCTGCAATTACCTCTTTTTGAGGGTTGAGAATTGGAATTTGATGTTGGGACCATACATGCATAGTATTACTGACATTTCATATTATTACTTTGATATATGTATTGCCTATTTTATTTCATTTTCATATTTTTTTACAGATTTGGAAATTGTTTGAATACCAATAGCATTAATCACTGACTCACTTTAACTAGTTGGTGTCGGATATATCTACTTATATATATCCATGCATTCATGAATTATACAACCAGAAACATCAACAATCATTGTTTATGAGTTGTAACTGAATAGTTCGGCCAAATGGATCGAATTCTAGAAATTTTTACATCTACAATTTTCACAGCGTACAGATTGACGCGATATATCACGCGTAGATGATAATAAAATTGAGGGATTCCGCTGTAGTCAAGAACGTGGGCGACCCTAGCTTTTTCCAGCCGTGAATGAGTATTATCAAATTAACATTTTGCCTCAATCATTAATACAAAACATTTTAAAGAGATAATAAGTCAACAAGCTATGGTCGAGGTGAGAGACACGACTACTGATAATGCAGCTTCATGCCTTCATCTAGTAGCTCGTTTATTTTTAATTTTATGTGCTTGCGCAATATTTTCGGGAAAGATTGACGCAATGCCGGCTAGACTGTAGCGAAACTGCTGTCATACAGATTTTTCTAATATATCAATACCAGCTTATGATGTATACATGTAGATCCGCGCGTGCTTGGAGGAATGTACATTTGCACTCAAAATCAGATTTGCAATATAATTAGTGTTGCAATGAAAATGATTGGCTTTATTATTGCAAACTGGTGCTATATAATTACGATTCTTAGAAATCCTTGTTTATACATCATTTGATATTGTATTGTTTAGAAGTGCATTACATCAATGATGTAGTGCATTAATTACATCAAATGAATGAAACCTTCAGAATACGAACTAAGTCTATGCGCATAATACGCGGATTAAGATTATCGCGCAAGTCTGTGACTGCTGAGTGCAACTCAATTATACTTTTTTTTTTCAAATCAGTGTCAGCAGGTTCAAAGCAACTTCAGTTTACGAAACATATTTTATAGACAAATGATAACAGAAGCATGCATGTGATGTACCCCGCTTTTGGCAGTAGCCAGATAATTTATCATAGTCATAGATTTCAGTTACAGAAAAATCACCGGTTTCTGATGTAATTTGTGTTATACACATGCATGACATTTAGAAATATTCGGCTCATTTTTAATGCTGTATCAGGTTTTATATATCGGCTTTGCATCACAGTATTCATCAATGGTTGCATGTGTCATAGTTATGCATCATAGACACAGACACGCTAACTCGCGGTTATGCAGTTCGAAAGCAAAATCTGCCCAGTCAATCAAATTTCGTACATATTTGTGTTGCGAATCGATGTTAAAAACAATTCCAGTAACAATGCTTGAAGCACTGGCAAGCGAATGACGTGTGTTCGTGACGACCCGCACGCGCTGTGATTATTGCATGTTTCATTTTCATGCAACTGTGCTTGTGGTGAAGTTTTCGTAAGAAGCCAAAATTTTGACATTTTCAGGTAGCACTTATGCAATCATTTGCATGTTCTCGCTAGTTCATGTAGCTTCATGTTGGCACGTTCCCTTCAATTTTCTTTATCCCATTTGTTTCCGGTGTAGCTCGTCAAACTGAGTATTTAAGTAGTTTAAAGTCTTGCAAACTGAGAACAAAATATTAAAACTTTCAAATATAAACAAAATATATTGTCATACCTTTACCGATCTAACCTCTGCTGGGTCTTCCTGACTGTTTGAAAACAATACCAGCAGGAGGCCGCAAAAAAGGAATGCAGCTAGTATACTTATACAGATAATTTTATTCACATAAGCCATTTCTTAGAGTGGATTGTCAACTTTATATTGATATCTTATGTATTCCTCATCCAATCTTAATGTGTGCAATTTTATTTTGTTGGTAATCGTACTTTTGTATCGTTTATGGAGCGTATACTGTTTCGTTTTGTATAAACACATAACACGAGCACATACGGTTAATATCATGAAAACCTGTTGTGTTATAAAATTATTTTCATCAGTATTTCTCACACTTTCATTTTGTTTAACAAGAAGTTGGGAGGACTTACGAGGTAATTGCTTTTAAGGGGCGGCTTGCAGGTGTTACCAATGCAACAAAATGAAACTGAGATTGAAATAATAAGAGTTTGTGTTTAATTTTCATCTCTGGCTATGCGTCAAACTCGAAACAATACCTTATAAAATATCTGTCAATGTCTTTTATATTTCTATAGAATTTTATATTGTTAGTAATGGCCTAATGGGTATCTTAGTATTTTGATATACTTATAAGAACAACAGAAGGTTGAGTTAAAGACAATGATTTAATTTAGGGATTTTGAGAGTTAGATCATATCGAAGCGGCAATGTCTTCGAACTGATGACACCAGCCATTAACAATAAACGATTTCCCTTTTCATCTTTCCTCGGCAGCTGTCAATATATACTTTGCATGCTGTAGAGATCAAACAAACGTTCTGTCTTTCACCTTAAAGAATATCTTAAAAAGGATGAAGCCATGCGACCATGATCATTATAATGAATACCTGGGATGGGAGGGATGGATTGTCTACAAAATCCGTGGAGTGCATGTGTAACCCTATACCAGCATATACGAGCCGTACTAATTCTGAGCTACATATCAAATGATTGCAAGATGTGGCAAAATATAAAACTTAGCATCGATTTTAATGTGTACGGTGTTTACACGGTGTTAATTTATGATTATAAGCTGAACACAAAGGAACTTAGCGAAACAAACGTGCTATATGTTCGTATATTAAGCAGACCTTACCTGATTGGTTAAGAGTATTCCTGGCGCTTTCTGAGTGGGTGGCGCTTGAGTATTAACACGATATAGTTGTATTGGAATTGTCATCGCGAACAACATCATCAGTAATTAGTGGCGTTCAATCTAAGAGGCAGACGGTCGAAATATTTTATGTGTTGTTTATGGTGGAAAATATCTGACTAACAGCTAGATTTTGTTATTCAAAAAGATTAATTATATTGTACATGATCAAACTTGAAGTTAACCTTCATTAAAGGAACAGCTGGATATTTCACAGCAACGCTATACATATAACCTTTCAAACTCGGCTGCCGATAGAATGGCCAAGATTATTATGTTGCTGTTTTCTTTCTTTACGTTGGCTCTGACTGGATTGACTTCACCGCGTGTTGTAACAAGTATTGAAGTTACTCCTTCATGTCAGGTATTGCAGACAAAACAGGAGTTGGGTAATTTAACTGTTAGCCGAGTATTTGTATCAGGTAAGTTATATTTGCGTTGTCTCAGTCTCACACGAGGTCTCTCGGAAAACGCGTGTTCTGTAAAGCAAATTATGTTTTAATACTACGATAGGAATATATACTCGTCTGATTATGTCGACCTCCCTCTAGTTGTCGGGTAACAGGGAATATTAATCAGAGGAAGCCGACATTGGTCTCAGCCACTCATTCTTTTTCTGTACAGATCACAATCTTTCAGTTTGTGCAAACAATGATACAACGTGCTGTACTCCAGATATGGAACTACGACTTCACACGCTCAGTCAAAGCAATATACGAAATATACAAATAGCAAAAACTGACTTAATCAGGAAAATATTTAGTAAAGGTGTGATAAAATTCAGAGGTGAGTGCCAAGTTTTGTTTCTTTGTTTTGATATTTTTTGAGTCAGGCCTGGAGCTGTGTATCTACAGTATACCCACTAAATATTGTTTATATGTCAGGACTTCCCGACAAAATGAACTTTGATTCCCGTTAATACCAGTGGTACTGTTGATTCAATTATAAATGGTGTTTTCGCAAACCACAGGGAATTAACGAGCTTGCCAGTGACTTTTGGTCCTACGCAGCGACAAGCAACATTCACGCAGGTTATAGGACACATCAGTGAATTGTTTACTTTGTCTGACTATGGTTTTGTCGGAAATACCTTAGATTGACTTCCATTTAGATGCAGTCTTAATCTTATTTTACTTTCATTTTTTGGCAAAGATTATCATGAAGCGCGTTAATTAGGTCCTTGCTCACGCTATACGTCAATTTTACTCGACCGCGAATTCAATCATGTTAAAGCGAGTAAAACGAGTAAAGTTATCCGCGAATTCTTAATCCTCACTCCTCTCCATCGCCATCAGCTCTGTCAGAACCAAGAATATGAACGACGTATATGAATAAATAAAATCCGCAACTATATATAATTATAATCTTTCTGCGACCGCTTGCCTTCAGTACATGGTCATCAAGCCAAAATGTTTGCACATGTCTGCGCTGGATATTTTACTTTCATTTACATCGATTAATTTTAAGCCTTGTGTTGGTGTAGTTAATGCTTTTTCCATTGTAACTTAGGGTAGCAAATATCTCTCTTTCAATAGTACAAAGTTTCTTCATTCATGCATACCAAAGGCGTAATGTTTTTAAGTAAACTTAGCAGTCAGGTGAAACAAATGTTTTGTCTCTCAATCAAATCAATGGAGTCAATCAGTGGACTTGAACTCTAAAGAATCTCTCTTATCTTTAGTTACTTAATAACAGAATTTTCTTGATCAGTCGCTATGACACATACATGTACATTGTTTAAGCGCCTGGGATTCTTTTAATATATTTAATGAGCAAATGACTACTGTAAAAAGGCATTAATGCATGCTCCGAAGTCAGCCATTTTTAACACAACTAATTCGTACGCGATTGATTGATTACATGTGTGTTAATGCTACATATTAAAATAGTGCTGACTTAAGACAAAGAAACCTACTCTGTTGTACCTCATTTATACCCATTGAGATCAGGTATATACCATTCATTATTTTGTTTTCGATGGAGTTAGTCATGGACGCATTGATATAACAGATCATTATTTCAGGATTCTGTGATCTTTCTTATTTTGTAACGTTTAATACACTAGCTTAAACTTTGCGAAATCCCTATGCTTTAAAACGCTATTACACAAGTGCTTATAATTGCCAAATGCAATGAACATAGCTGCGTGATTTTATTATCAGACTTTTATGCATGCAGGGCCTTCTAAAGAAACGCCATCACTAAAAGCGTCCTGCTTTTATGAGAAATGAAATTTGAAATCAGCGAGGCGCAATACCTGCTGGTTTTCAAAGCGTCAATTCACTGAATAATTTTTATACGAATAACTGTAGATTTTGCCTTTTTTATGTTTATAATCTTTTCAATATTAAGTTGTATGAAGATCTTCAACCAACTAAGACTAAGTTGCTATATTAATCTTAATCTGTTTGACAATCAGTCAAGGTATGTGTGATAAATGGATTATATATTATGGAGGTGCGTTTCTTTATCATTATTATCATGACTCTTTTCAATATATGATCATGAAATTACGTTACGGTACTTTCTTTTTTATATTCCATATCGATTTTTTGGTTTAATCTACGTATCAATGTTTAATCTGAAGAAAAAAAGAAAGTCCGCGCGCATATTGACTATAGCACATGCTTCGATACCATTGCACATTCCAATGAAGTTCCATATTAATACAAACATATGCCCGAACTGGAATTTTATTTACCAATGGTAAATTACCAAGTAGTCCTTTGCGAAGCTGAGGGCAGTGACTTTGCTTTATAAGCTTTATAATTTCATTTGAGCGAAGGGTTTTTATTTTCAATATAGGTATACAAATGATTTTAGTAATTTTTTCACTGTCACAATAATCATATTGCAGTGTCAGTAGCATTAACGTCAGTTTCAAGGTTTTATCATTATACGCAGAGAAATTACTAAATTTCATCCAAAATTTGCGATCGAGAGCGGCATAAACAAGCCATCATCAGCAGCCGTATATTACAGTAATTGCATTTCAATCTTGGGATAGTTTAGGTTTCATATATTAAAATTCAACGCTTTTTTTCTATATGTTGAGGATGATAGGAAGAAAGACAATATGTGACTCAAAAACGTCACTGTATTGTGTGAAATAACCTTCCTTAACATTTCCTTAAAGCGAAAGATCTTTTGAAATTTGAAATATATATTGTGAATGGCTTGATTGGCCAACTGTTGTGTACATATGGTAAATTTGACCTTTTTCGTTTAATCTGTTTGTCGGGGAAATAATCTCATCATCCACTGTCACGTTTTGAACCATACAAGAACAGGATTGATTATATTAATGAAACACCCACCCTTTAGATCTATTAATACATAATTTACCAATTGAAAAAATCAAATTTAATTGGCTACAAGCTAAGTTTGTTTATTTTATTGTTTTCACTTTCCGTTTGTTTATTGAATCATTCATATACGCTTTCGAATTAATTCCGTCGTCTGTAACTAATGACGCAGACGTATTAGGGTTGTCGTTGGTGAATTATCACTAGAAAATGCCTGCACTTTCATTGCCGTGAAGACCTTACCGATTATACCTTTTTAGATTAGACTTTGGTTTACTGATTATAAGATTATAAAGATCTTTCCGGTGGTCAACTTCACTCTAGGAGCACTTAAAAAGGAATGTATTTCACGTTTTTTTTCCCTCGGGTTATTTTCTGGAAAAAAAGCTTCTTGAAAAAGATCTATTCTCATGCACACAGTGCATGAGAATATTTTTTCTTTCATTTTGAAAACAAATGACAAAGACGATCAGAGACTATAAGACGTCGAACGTTGTTTCCTTATTGATGCATTGATTTCCACCATGTGGGTTAAGTAAAACTTAAAAACTGTACCATTTAAGCTGGTTCTAGATTGAAAGAAATGACGTTGACAACGTAATTACCGAAAACGTATTCCACTCACATGCTTTTTTCCAAACAAATCCATTTCTTCATAATCTTAGGTTAAATAACAGTGATTTTCAACCCTAATGAACATGAGTGACAAGGCCATTGGGAAAATGCATTGAATTTTTTTGGAAGATGCTATTTAATATGCATTTACCAGAATATTTCTATTCGTTTTAGTTGTAAAACAATTTTTTCAAACATTCAACCCATATAAAGCCATCGCCGTACTACTTCAGTCTTACTGTTGTTTAATTTAAGAAACAAATGTTTCATTGCCTTTAGTGATTGCACGTGATTTTAATTACGCTTAGTGAAATCAATCACGAAAGATGCAGGAGGGTGATAATAATGCTACAATATCTTTAATCATTACTTGGTATGTTGATTACAAAGCCTATTGAACTGGGAATTAGCAATAACGCTTAACTATGGCATTAGACAGTCCATTGTCTCTTCATATAACTACGTTTAATCCTCTATTCGTCTGTTGATGGTTATTTTGGGTTAATCTTTGTTTGCGCGAGCAGTTTGGAAAGTCATCTTAAGCGTAAGCACAATAAATACATGAGTGTAGGTAGTGTAAATATTGAGATCGGGGACAATAATCAATTAAACTTTGTCTGTATATTTCAACCAATTCAAACATTGTCTGAATTTCAATACAAGCTTGTGACTCGCGACTATCCAAATATATATGCATATACAGTTAATTCATATGGTTATATTGAATTTCTAGATCTGTAGACTGTACTGTTCACAAAAATTCCACCAAATGACATGTGTGGTTCCTAAATCAAACAATCTTATCCTAAATATCTTATCTTCAATACATCCTGCAAAATGATGATAGAATTTTTCGTAAGCTGATCTCAGATTGTGAGCCAAATATGTGGCAAACTGAAACCCCTATGCATTTGAGTTTAAGTTTTCTCTTTTTCTGCATTAACGAAGCCGTCGCCTTATGAAATCGCTCGAATAAATCTATAATTGTGAGTGTTTCGGTGCAACTAGGTTGACTTGCTTTGTTTTAATTGAAATTTTCAGCGTGGATTATTTCTGTGCGACTGGCACAGAGATTGATGTAGTGTGCTAGGGTATTCGTTCACTTGGTTATATAGGTGTCCAAATGATTATGAACTATATGCCTTCATCACAAGTTTCTTTTGGCTATACTTCAACTACTTTACATTCACAAAAAATACGAAATGCGACAGACGAGTTACGCGAAATATGTAGGCAAAATGCCAGACGGCTGAACAAAAAATGAGATTCTAGACTCAAAGCTTACGTACATTGCGGAACGAGTGGAAGATCTCAATCACTTCGTATAGCTATAGCATTACGATCGTCCCACTCAACTGAGAGATTGATAGTTTGAAAGCTTTACGTCCAATTTTGCCTTTGATTGCATAATCATGAAAAGCACCTTTCCGGTTGATCAATGACACAGTAATTGTTATTGTCAATAAGCTTTTAGAATCAAGGCGAAAAACATGAACCAATTCTCGACCACTCATGCAAAAGCTTATATACGCACACTCAAACTGATTGAGTGTGTTTACGTTGTCGTTGAATGAAAAGATTTACGGTATAAGAATTCAAAATCAAACCTTCATTCGAGTGGAAATACCATCATGGCATCGATTGAGATATTCCACTCAATAACTTTGAATGTTAGTGAACCTTTATGATAAAGACAGACAACGATAAACAACACTTTCAAAACATTTAGAACATCATCTCAGCAAAGAGTAAACACGCCCAGATTAAAAAGTTTGATATTGTATAGTCACCGAGTGACATATTTGGTGATATCACATTCTTATGTATCCACGCTGTGACGTATAGAAGATCTTAACAAGAAGATCTTAACTAGATCTTTGGGACGATTAGTGCAGTGATAACAGATATTATACAATAGCTTATTTATGAACTATACTTCCCCCAACATATACTCATACCATTCGGGCATGGCTCAGTAGTACATGTATTCCCAACAACACTGAACTACAGTCAGCGTTGTATAATTTCCACTGAGCTGTGGGAAAAAAGGCAAAAAAAATGAGATTAAAGTGGGAAATCTGGAAGCCCTGATTGTCAATACGAGAAACCCCCCAGTTTATCGAAAAAAGCCTATAACTATAATCACATTTCCTTAGTCGTTTGGAATTCCTGAAATATTTTACATCTAAAATACTCTCCTTTTTTTCATCACATGAGTTCTTGGTGAAAGATAGTCTTCCTTTAAAGACTTTCAGAGATATTGCAGCCCTGGTCATTTTCCTGTTTTTTTTTATATATTTTGATTATATTTCACGTATATACATAATTTGTAATTGTATTTTGCCATCCGATGATAGTTTTCTGTTTTCTATATACCTCGTCCACATATCTGTCTTTCTACTTTAGGGTGCGTTGATAAGGTAGTGTTTGTTTAGCAATTTAAAATCCAATTTATATTTTTAGACTATTTTGAGGGTCGTATTGACTCATCAGATCGAGCATTGGACGAGAAATTCACAAGACGTTATAGAAAAGTATACGCAAATAATTCTCATGTAACCAAGTCATTCTACAACAGATTACGGAAACACTATAGGAATGGTGAATCTAAAATATCTGACATTGTGGATGATTTTTTTAAAGAAGTACTGAAAAGAATGTATTTGTTTACACAAGGTGGCACTTCAGAAATTGATGTAAACTGTATTCCGTTGACCTACGACAGCATACAGCCATTTGGTGTGATTCCAAGACGGATAATTCCTCGACTAGAAAGGTCTATTACCGCAGCTAGAACATTGATTCATAGTTTACATCTTGGGAAACAAGTTGTTACAAAACTTAGTGACGATATATGGTTTTCTAATGAATGTTGGAAGTCGATTACAAAAATGAGTCAATGTTCACTTTGTGCTGGTTACAGCAATCTTAGGCCGTGTGCTGGACATTGCATTGATGTTTTTACCCAATGTTTCTCTGCATTAAATGAGATGGAACATGTCTGGGATGAATATCTATCCGTTTTAGATGATCTTAGCTATAAACTTACAACAGAATATGATTTCGATGCAGTCACAGGAGAGTTACCTTCTGATATATCTCAAGGAATAGGAAACTGTCAAGATTCACTTGGAGAGATTATATCTAAGGTTTGTATAACAGATCCAAAATAGGACAATACGCTTTTCGCTCCTACATTTTTGCAGCGGCAGGAATGTTATTTATCTGGTGTATATAAAACGCTATCCAGTCTTCGCACAACCTCCAACTATAGTTGCATGAACGCATGTTCCCTGGTTCCGGAACATTCATTTTATATGTCACTGATACCTCGCTGCATGATGACAGACTTTTTTTTTCCCTCACTCTCTTATTAATATGACCTGATTGCTTGTAGGCTAATTCATAATGGTGCATTTAGATTGACAAATTCTGCAATAAGGGCAAAAAGAAGCAGCAAACTAGAGCGGTAATAATATCAAATGATGATTTCTTCTTGGAGAGGAATGGCAGAGTAGAAAGAAGCGATTATGATTCCGGAAAGGAATTAAGATCAACATTTAGGTATGATTCTAGTGATGCTCTTTCCACTGTAACGTCAAAACAGTATGCATTCTAGTATGCATTTGTTACAACGTGCATACTTGTTAATGTTTAAATTTAATGTTCCCACCCCGGTATATTCGCTCCTTCATTGTCTGTGAAATAATATACACTTAATGTATGCTCCAGAGAAATAGTGAGTTTTGTTTTCCCAAGAGTCATTGAGAGGGAAACACTCACCGAGGGAAACAAAACTCACTATTTCCCGAGGTAGTGTACATTAAGTGCTTTGTTATATAGGAACAAAAACATACATGTTACACAAGAATTTCATTTCAAAAAAACACTTCGTTATGACAGTGTGCAGGCAACATTTTTTCACTTGTTCCCCTGGCGGGAAACATTGCATTTATTTAAGTCATTTATTTAAGTCATGTGATTACGAATGAACCAATCACATTTAAAATACACAGCACCTATATAACAACAAATGCTTGTTTGCAAACATGTGCCAGCGAGTTTTTCCCTATATAATGAGAAGCAGTCAAACCACGTGAGGGGAATTCTCATCATACCACTCCTCCTTGTATGCTCAACTTAAGCAATGTAATGTAGTTTTTTGTTACACTCATGCCTGTCAACTGAAATCATGGAATTCCTTCATTGCAAACAACTAAACAACTCAGGGACCTATATGACATGGTCTGCATGTCTAAATCTCTGACTGCATGACGCCCTTCTAAAGCCGTTAACTTAAATAATTTTATTTTTTTATTTTAGTCCCTTTAGATTGATGAACACATATCGAAGACATTTTAATCAACTGAGAAAATTTTGGGCAAGGCTTCCAACTGCCATGTGTGATGAAACAGTAGTTGCCACCAATTCTACAGCCTATTGTTGGAACGGTTTTAAGATCGTGAAGTAAGTGAAGACCTGAGAGAATGCTAAATGCTAAATAAGCAATTATATAAATGACATTTAAATTTTACATCCATGTTGTCAAAGGGCATAGGTATCGATTATTGAAGGGTACCCAAATCTTGGCTACCCGCGGCCAAGGCTATCCAAAAAAAGGTACCCGAATCATGGCTACCCACTGCCTTTTTCCTGTCTATAGCATGCCATTAATATAGATGCCAAAACACTATAGATGATCCCTACGTAACTAGTTATGGAGATATCTATCGTTTCAGTGTAACTGAAATATTACATAATGGCACGGGATAGTTATCGAATATTCTTTTTTCTTATTGTTGCATTAATCTTTTTTGTGTCACAACTTTATAGCACACTTTATTGTAGTGCAACCATTCGGGTGAGTCCCTTCCAAAAATAAAGTTTCTTTTATGTTTTTGGTTATTGAATTGTATCATACATCTTTAGCAATACTGAATCTGTTCAGCAACGCAATGTAAACGGGACTGATCAAAATGGCCAAAATGACATCACAATTACCTCCTTGATAAGTCAGCTCAAGACAATGATAAAGAAAATGAAGGCAGCTGTTGAAGGAACAACTGTAATTCACTCAATAATTGAAGAATATAGTGGGAGTGGGCAAGGTAGCGGGAGCGGATCTGGGGATGATGGTAATTATGTTGATATGGATGGTGAGGATAAGGGTAACGAAGATTCAACTTCAATAAATGATATATTAGATGCAGAAAATGAAACTCCAGAAGACAACAGTGTGGATAAACCCATGATACGGGTAGCATCTCCTGCTTTAGAAACGAGAGAATCTGGAATTGGAAGCGCAAGTTGTCTCCCTATATCTTTTCTGTTGTTAATTACATCACTTTTCATTCAGCTCATATAGAATTACAGCTAGAAATACAGCTAGAACTCTTTGCAGGATATTCATTTCACGTTTCGATTAATATACTGTCTTTTTGGGAGCTTTCATTATTTGTTTGGCTCACCCCTACAACTAGTCCTGCATCACACTTGGCAATTTCTGGTTTGAGGTGTCGAAGAAGGAGCTTACCTGATGGAGAAAGGCTGGTAAGCAATGCGACGTAGGAATTAAATTTTGTAAATTTATTATGTCGGGAGGCCAGGAAAGAAAGTTATCGGGACCGCCTACTCTGCGGTTCCTATTGCTGTAAGATGATCTCTTGAGTACGAATGTCGTGTGTTGTTAAATCAATGTTAATGTGAACATTTCTTTTGAATTTAAAAAATCTTCCTCATGCCCACAGTGGTACGTAAAAACAAGACATGTATTATGCACCATTGCCAATGACGATCAATGACAACATTGTTCCCAGGGTATTCCTCGTTTGAGCTTTATTATTTTAAAATGCACTTAAGTAGATAGGGGCGTAACTATGGAACGATAATTTGGACGGGTTTGTTTTGTAAGCTATTGCACTTACAAAAGAAATCCGTCGGGCAGAACTGGATATATGAATATTGACCCCCCCCCAATTATCGTTCGAGTTACGTCACTGGAAGTAGAGTATATTGGTATTAGGGATTTTAGAACACATGGTCATAATGGTGGAAAGAATACTTTTTACTAAATATCTTTACTAAAATAAAAATTGTATATATTATGTAATCATAATAAATGTATCACGATTTTAATATTATTTTCTTTGCTTCTCACTTAAAAATTAGTTTGTGACCCATGTGTGTTGTGCATGTGCGGGAAGTTTACATCAATAGTATTTCAAATTAATTAGTCAATTCCTCTATGGTATCCCATGTAAACTTCACGTCCAATTCATGTTCTGTGAGTTGCATTGCAAGTATAACATATCTCACGTTTTCATATCAGCACTACTTGGCTTGATACATCCTCGTCCCCAGGGCCTGGGCTCGATATACATCTATCCAGTTCTCTTTTTCGTCGATGCAATGTCAGTAAAAGTATTGGAAAATTACACCAATTCATTATTACCTAAAATTGCAAAATTCATTTGCTGAAAAATTGGTTACAACATGCTGCATGCCAGTAAACAAGGAAGTTAGCAATATTCATTTAAACGAGTTAATCAACTTTCTGTAATGAATTAAAACAATGATTGCTCAACAGTTCTATTGAAAGAGACAATAATGTTGATTGATATTAACGATTGAAACGCTTATGATATCAATATAGTGCAAGAGAGATTGAAGAATTTTCAAGCGTTTCATTCATATGATTTGAAGACTGGATTCAATAATTATTTTACTTGTTTAAAGGATTATTTATTCGCTCGGAATGTCGGTAAAACATTTCCGCTTCCTTGGGACATTGATGTCTTCGCCATTGGTGTGACGTCAACATCTGACACGATTCTGCTCACTTGTGCGCATGGCGTGAAATGATGTCACATCTCTAATTCTTTCAAATAAACAATAAAGAAATGAAGAACAATTTATTTCAAAGTCTTTAGTTTTGACATGATATATTTTCATTGTGTACATATTTATATATTAACACATTATTTTCTATCGTAATGTATAAACTCTATGGTAAAGTTATAGAAAAATACAAACGGGAGCGGGCAACTTAAATGAAGAACTTAAATTACATGATGTATGTAACTTCAACAAACTGTTACACATCACTCAGTAGAACAAATTTGAGAAAACAGCCGTAAGGTGTGCTCTGATACGCCCTACTGTTTAAACAGTGAATTGAAAATAGTGAGCTTAACAGGAAAAAATGCTTAAATTAGATGAGTTCATTGAGTTGTAATGGCGATTGCACAGTAAGTATCTATACCTCATATGAACGAGTTTTGTGATTGGCTTTTTATAACAATAGTGAACAGTGTTTATGATTCGTTGTTTTAGAAATCAATTTCTATAGTTCATTGTGTTTTATTGTTATCATCAACCAATAGCAAAGCTTGCTCATATACACAACCATATGCAAAACCGATATTTTTGGTGTTTCGATGCTATCCGAAGCAGTAAACTGTGTGAATTGAAATTTATCCTTGTCTAAAATTCCCTCATGAATGTCCGTTTCACTGAAACTTAAACATCTTGACACAGAACCATTTTCAATTCAAGATATATTTCATTTGCCAAATCCCAGGCGACGTTTTCATTCAGGCACGTCGACTGACGATTTATATGTCTTCACATTTATTTCTAATTTATTTACACTGATATAAAAATAATATTATATGATATGCTTTAAGCGATCAGGGTTTATAACGTATTAAAATACGTTTTTCTTGAGACTTGTTTAACCTTCAGCGGACCTCCTTCGACAGCTATATACTGTTTATTCGATTCTTCTCATCCAACGATGCTGTTGATATGAATGCTTACCTTGGGAATATTAGATAAAACATCGCTAAAAACCCAAATAAAATTCTTTGCGTAAAATACGAGTTCGCTCCAGAACCCAGGGAATCGGTAACAATAAATTGTGTTGGTCGTTTCGTATGTCCAACATTTATTCTCGGTTCATCAGCAACAATAAGAGCTGTAAGGGCAAGAATAAAATTGCATGTGAGTTTAATGAATCAGCACGAAAAGTTTATGGTAAAGAGATAACTTGTAATTATAATCAATGCAAATCGCATTTTATGTGTGGTTGTTGGTATATGAGCGAAAAAAAATCTAATGGAAGCAAAAATCAAATGGAAGCAATCAAATTCTGAATTATATACATACTTTTTTCTTTATTTTTATCTTTACCACCACTTCCTCGATCACAGTCTTCATCATCATCATTATTACAATCGCTCACGCTTCCTTCACGATTTTCCTCAGGCTCACCTGATCCTCCAGAGCCTAGTAAGAAATTATTTATTTTACGTACTGTGCGTCATTAAACCATTCAAGTCTATAGTTAAACATGCATCGAAACATGACGTAGTGCCACTGTTGTTGGTGGTCCCAACATCATCCAACATTTGCAACATCTTGGCCTCGTTTGAACACTATGTTGGATGATGTTGATTCAAGTTTGACTTGATTTAAAATTTTCATCAAACATCATCAAATTTCGGAAAGTTTCGACGCTTGCATGCATGGGCGAACAGAATTTAGGAATTTAACAGAGAATGAACAATATATGTCTAACTTCAAAGCAACGAGGTATTCCATGGTGTTTGGACAAAACTCAATTACGTCATACCTTCACCACTTGCACTTCCGTAGCCTGAGCCAATGATGACACTAAAATGCCGATGAGATTTTGTTTTAAGGTCTTTCATAGCTTTGCTCAAGTACAATAAAACGTCGTCCACAATTGTATCACTATTGTTTGGCTTCATGTTATCACTAATAACATCATCAGGAACGTCAGCGTTGTATCTAAACCAGATTAGAAAAAATGTATATTATATATTCAGCATCGCAATTTTGTAGATTAAAACTAATTTAAACTCTCGATCAAAGAAGTAACCATCATGCACCACATGATAAAATAGAAGCAATCGATGAAGTTTACCTTCCTAAACCTGTTCCTATCCAACACTTTTTATCTTTTGGTGCTGAGATATCACCTTTCGAACAAATATTGTCAGCAAACATGATCATATGAATTTTTATATCAGACAAATTGCCACGCAGAAATATCAGTTTTCTGCTGATATCACTTGCGGAAGGAAGATTCTGATAGGAATTTTGTACGTCCGTTTGAATATACAAATCACTGTTTCCAAGATCACGTGTAGAGTCGGTCTTTTGTTTTCGGCTGATTATTTTATTCCCCGTGTAATCTGTTATATTACCACACTGTTTCGATACCTAAAACATAGATTCATGCAATCATTTAGGCCAATAGCGAGTTTAAGATGTTCCAAATCTACGACGCGGACGTCACATAAAAAACTGCCACTAGTGTGAGGAAACCAGCATTAATTTGTTTTACATACGGCTTTGAGTTCGTTTATCAAAAATAGTGTATAATTTTCATTCCTGTTAGGAAACTGTGGGAATTAGAGCAGTTTTATTTCACGAATTTACGTCCGCGTCGTAGATTTGGTGAATCTTAAACTAATGTCTTTACAGACTGGTTCACACTTGTCCTTAGAATTCCTTTTTTTGTGTATCCTCATTTTTGGTCCATAAGAATTCCTGCATTCTCAATTGCATTGATCATAATTTTTTGAAAATTTGTCTGTTACTGTTAGTGTACATAATATGTACCGGCAGTATGTGACAAATGCACAGAAACTGTACGATTAAATCATGTGATTGATCTTTGTTACAAATTTTCGAAAGGCCATAAATAGTACAGGTCCTTAACCGTAACTATGAAGTGATTGAGGGGGGGGGGGGGGGAAGTAGGAACATGCAATAACGTCCTCACCTTTGCCGCGACGTTTGAATGGCTTGCATGAGATATTGATTCCGAAAGCGATTCCTGGAAACTTGAGAACATATCGGATGCATCCAATGACTTTGCTAAAGGATCACGCAAATTATCAAGTTTTCCAATAAATGAACTCCACTTGCCTTCAACACGGCTGTACGGCTCCAAGCATACAGATACAACATCAACACAATAGTTTAAGCACGGTTTGACATTACTAAAGCCGTCACATAATGAACAATAGCGCATTTTTACCAAGGCAGAACTACACTCTTCAGATAGTTCGATATTATCAATAGCACCTAAAATATTACGAATGGTTTGCAAACTACGTAAGAATCGTTGCACAGGTAATAATTTCTTCATTAACACCGCTGTCAGCTTTTGCGGGATGTCTTTGAAAGGGGAGATCACTTGCATGTTATCTTTCAAACAATCAGAATATTCTTCTGGATGTTTCTTTTTTGAGACCATATACTGGTAAACAACTGGATAAAAATTTCTGAAAAATGTTGCGGTTGAATTTTGCAGATTTTTAGTGGCCACTGACGTCCGCAGTTCATGGAATAACGTACGAATATGAGGTTTGGTGTATTGAGCAATGTTTGTTTTGACATATTGAGTTTGCAACCAATCTATAGTACTTTCTGACGTTCGCTCAAGGACGTCATGGAATAAACCTAAAAATAAGAATAAGATGAATAAGCTTGTGGCCTGCATCGAGAAGAAACGGTGGCCATTATTATTGGCAGTGTTTTTAGAATAGTTAGAGCAATAGAAACGCCGCCACAGAGACTGTGATTAATAAACTAAAAAATGAGTGGATGAAAAAGTCGTTTTAGACCCTTCTAAGCTAGTTTACTATCAACTTTTTCGTCATTATATCAAGAGTATAGGAAATTGAGAATCTTCGTGAAAGTAAAATATGAACGGATGTTAACGCCTGATTCCCATTTGATCATTGCTTGCGCAACCACGACAAGTGACGGATGTAAAAGAGTGTAATCGATCTCTAGTCTCCACAGTCCAAGATCAGTAAATTCCACTGTTAATTGTTAAAGACTGATTAGAATGCACCACCATTGAACCACCCAAAGAACAGCCTTTTAAAACTGTGGAATTACTTTCATTTAAAAACATTAAATGGTAATAAACAAAGCTCTTAGAGGTGGACGTATTAGAAATAATTCAATTTGGCAACCTGCAGTTGCACCGGAATAAAGTAAGCTGATAAAATTCAGAAACTGATTTCCTATTTTTTCTTTGACCAAATATTATATTTTATAGGGAATGTTGTTGCACAGTTAACATTCTTGACAATTCTAGCCTTTTATAGGTGTTTAATTCATGTTTATTTATGGCAATGTTTTGACAATTTGACATGAGTCATGACCTGGTTTTAGGAGATCCAGTCTAATAAAATATAGCAGACTAATATCACATAGAATTATATTTAGGACCTTTATAATCAATAAAGTTTAAATGTAACTATTAAATTTTGGGCCAACATGACTGTATAATCCAGGGGGGGAGAGAAGATCATGCCATGAAATTCCCACAGGGGCAGTAAATTTAAATGCAACAGTTCATTGAGATGGACATTTAGGTATTGGTATCTATGTTTGATTGCAAAATTTAATATGCCAAACACATGAAACAGCCACCAATTTACAAGAAATTTCTAATATTCAGACTTATTCTGCTGTTACTATAGTTCAAATGCAAGAAAATTTTAAGTGGAATATGAGGGTATATCCATGTTTGTATAACTTTTTATATGGGTCAAAAGGTTGAACTATTTTAGTGAATGTGGTAACAGTAATAATATTATGTGTAATTTAATATGGAACAATAAGTGTCAGCTACATACAGATCAGCTGTCTGGTATAGATGTGCAAAAAAGAAATACTAAACCTGATATACTGGTTTCAAGGATGGAGATTACACTTTCATTCCTAATGGTTGACAACTTTGCTTGAAAGGCATAAATTAACAGTAAAAAACATGGTGCTGAAAAACGTGCATTAGCAGTGGTGGCTTCTCTAGCTACCACTTTTGGGCATGAGAGGCAGGCATGAGAGTCAGACACACTTGGTTTGTTGTCACAGTGATGCATGTATAGTGTATTATTATAAGGCATATTTGTAAAGATATTCAAGGATAATCAGGAAGCAGCATGACAGCTTCTTTAAACAACTTATCATCAAATGTGGTCCAGCAACTGCCAAATCATACAAGACACTTCTCAAATCAAGCACCCCTAACAGGAGAATAGCAAAATGGGCTTTGTATATCTACAGTCTACACGAAGACCCATGAGAAATTTTCTTGTTATTTCTGACAGTTGTCGAACTATATTTTGTGACAAGGTAGGTATTCACAAGAGAATATTTAAAGCTCAATCCCTGGCAATAAGGAATTATTAATGAAGAAACATTTGTGATTCTTAATGTTTCTTTAAATGTTTTCATTTTTTCTGAAATGGTAAGATATTTTATTTTTTATGGTTCAAAGCCTTGGCATGTACAGAATCAATCACCACAGAAGTATTAAAGTCACAGTTCAACAAATTACCTCTCCTCAGCAAACATTTAGGTTGTAATTTGTGTTTTGTCTACATTTGGGCAAGGCCATACCATAGTATGTGAAGGGTATAGACTATATTTGTTCATAATTGAACATTAGAACAAATTATTTTTACTGGTATGCAAGCACGCATATTATAGGAAGCAACACATAGGTATGGCTCGTGTGTAAAGAAATTATTTCAAGTATGTATTTATAGCCGTGCCAAATGTCTTCACGTCTTTACATTAAGTATCAGCTAAGCTCCTTGAAATACTTCAAACATATCTTATCAATAATCCCGTTTATTAAACTGTAAGTGCGGTTGCACATCACGTACGACCATGAATGCAGAGTTCTCACAACATATAAATATATCTTCTTCGGCAAGAAGCGCCAAACGTGTTATTATGTTTTCCATTTTACTTTTTTAAATCATACTCGAATGGCCCGGATGTATTGTTAGAACAGGTAATGAAATTGTACCAATACTCGGCCGAAACAAATTTATCTTTTGAGAAGATTATTCTTAGATCGTGATCGGATCAGATCGGATGTACAACGTTTCAAATCAATGTTTTGTTTTGAAAATTGCACACAAGCCTTTCAAAACAGCGGGAGCATTGGACATGTGATAATAAACTAGCTCTCCGATGTTACCTAAACATAAATGTGTCGATAAACTAGAGCCATTTCACAGCTTCCAGCGAAGCCAACGGTTATGAGAACTCCCCTTTAAACTTTATCTAGAGAGCGTAGCTTTTAAAAAACATATTTTTTTAATGATGGGAGGAATTGTTCATTATAAACATTCCATCTAAATTATGCCCGTATGGCCTGTAAACCCTATATATTTATTGAAATATACATATCGATATTGCAGCTACTATTTATACTCCCCTTGAGAAAGTTAGGTTAGAAACAGCTTTGTAAATAAATTCTTGCTGGGATGTTTAGGAAGTCCAAGGGTTTTAGAATTGCCAGAGAATTTTTATAATAAATTCACCATGGCTCCTGCTGCTTTGAACGTCGTTCGCTCTGATTTTTAACAAACATTGATCATAAAGAATTTATAGTTGAACTATACCTTCTAAGTCATCATACACGTCTTCGAACTGCCTTATCGCTCTTTCATTTCGCCAATGCACGAGATTCATTAATTTACTTGTAATTTGTGATTTCATTCCATTTTCAATGGTTTTATTACAACAACCGAAAACACTTGAACATATATTGGGCCCCGTATCAGTAGAAGCTGTCAAAAATAACAACAATAACACTTGATTTAGACAAACATCAATAAGTTTATCATTATTGAAACAAAATACGCGATACGAAAAGGACAGTGTAGGAAAACGTACCGTTGCTAATGGTTTTGGAAACGGAGAAAGCATTTAATTCTTCGAGACACAGAGTCTGCCGCCTGCCACCGCATTCAATGAAGTAGTGTAGGTTTACAAGTATCAAGATAGCAATATACACGTTCGAGTAAAGCATTGTTTCCCACAGTTGATAAAAAGTCGACTAAGGAAAACGATACACACCAGGTTTCATTCACAAGAATTTTAAGTGCCTCTTTACTAGGTTAGATTTGAGATCAGAGCCACACGATATGTCTCTTTCCGGTCAATTCTTGTTTTAAATTCATCAATTTCGGTGACAAGTAATTAAAACGAAACCTTTTATTGGCCCAAGTTCTGTTTACCCCCGATTGGACGTAATTAAACTTGAACCCCGCTGCTTTGATAGCTTCCAAATGAAAATTGATGCCCAAAAAGATCGAAACAGGATATGAAAGGGATTATAACCCCAATCTACTTGTATTTAGAATATGAAAAATTATCGCAACCTATAGTTTACAGCGTACACTAACAAAAGCAGCTGCATGACGGTAGGCGACTTATATACTCTTAATTTGTTAAAATAAAACGATTCTCTTTGATGTTTTGCGAAAATTTGTATTAACATATGCAACTCCGATTTGTCGGGTGTTTTTGAAGCTTTTTGTCCATTTTGCCGCGGAAATTTTCGCTAATTTGTGTTAATATCTCACTGTGTCTTTTTATACAATATATCAAGATGCATGTTTATTATGCCTGCATTTTTAGAAAGGTTTTTAGAAATGGTCCAGAACGAGAAAGTTGTGATGTAGTTTAGGGCATACTGAGGTATTTGACGTATTTGTGTTGTATTACTTCATCAGCTTTTATCAACTTCAAAATAATTGAAGTCGGTAAATTTTGTGCGTCACTCATATCGGTAAAACCGTCAAAGTAGGACACAATTGTTTTCATTATTACGTAACATTCTTTATATTTGGTATAACTTACAATCATAAAACGACTACAAAACCATGCCGCTCGAACTGAGGGAACCGCAAACAATTAATATTAGTATTTATATAAGAATAAATAACTTTAAGTATTCAACTTTGTTAGTATAAAAGTAGACTAAACTTTCTTTCCCAACTTACTAACTTTCACTTTTTACTTTACATGCGGCTTTTTTGGTGGAATAATGACTTCTTCGTTGGCTTCTTTCTTGTCTGGTGTGCGTCTCTTCCTCAGTACAATGTCTTCCGTTCGCTTGTTGTTGTCTGCCGGTTTGCCTTTGACTTCGAAAGCTTCATTAGCACGTTTTTCTTCACCTGAACCGCTTTCTTCCACGTTTTCCTTGTTTTCGTTATTCGTCTTGCTTCCCTTTTCTTCTTGCTTCACTTCTTTCTTCTTTTCGTCAACACAAGGCACGTCTTTCTCGGTTGTATTTTCGAGAGGTTCGTTTGTAGACACGAGCATAGGCATCTTTTCTTCGTTGACATCCTTGGTATTTTCTAGTTGTTTAATTGGCAAATCGCTTTTTGGGTTGGTGGTAGGTACCGCAGTATCTTCTGTTTTGTTTTCAACTGGCATTTTGTCAACTTTTTTATTGTTCCAGTTGGAAATCACTACTGGAAACGCTAGGAAAGAATATAAAAAAATGCTGAAATAAAGAAGAATTCAGAGCCGTGTAATGTAGTCCTCTGATTGGTAGATTTTTTCTAGGAAGGAACGTTTACATCCATATATGGAAATCGCTTAATCCGTTGGAGATTTCATTCGCGCCACTTTTTCCAAGGTCATTGATCTAGCTTAGTGCTCAATGCAGTGCCACAGGCGCTTATAATTAATCAGTAGATGTACTTACGCTCACTGTGCCATTGTTTAGTTTCTGGACATAACTTTTTCAGGCGGTTTAAACAAATTCTGCCTTGCAAATCAATAATCAAAGGAGTGACACTTTCCACTATTGTTCAGCCTCAGTTGTTGTAGGTAGAAAAGCCTGGCTTTCGAGCTTGGGGGCACTGATGTCTGTCCGAGTGTCCGTCGAGCGGTCGACATAAAATTGCCCCACACGAAAATCTATTATCAGATTTATCTTATTAGCCTTGTTTATTTTTACATGCGTATGGCCACAAGTGTCATTGCCAACTCTCCATATTATCAGTACAGTTTAAGTCAGTTTTTGTAATGTAATAGTGTGACGTCATAGGTTCTCATTTTCTAATGGAATTCTCAGGAGTTTTTGGAACTTCCAAAGTAACCCACCCAAAATGAGAGTTCTGACTACAGAGGACTTTTCACACGATTCAATTTTGTTGAACCCAATTCACTTCTTAAATGTAGTTTACATTTGTTATTGATAAAGTTGTAAGTACCAGTACTGAATTAGCTTACGTTGATTTGCTGGATCCGACAAAATTGGATCGTGCACACAGACCTTAACATAGTTGTAACCAGTGGTTATAACCTGTAACTAATGAAATATGGATAAACTTTTTTATTAAACAGTCAATTGGTTTTCTCCTCGTGAAAATATAATTATTCCGTCTCTTATCCTTCCATCCAGACATCGTGGCTCAGCACCATTCACCTTCTTCAAGCAGAGCCTAGGTACGAACTAGATATTAGATTTTTGTACGTTTTGTACGACTCCGCTGAACTATTATCTCTTTTGTTTTGAACTCCTTAAGGTGATGATGATCCCTGTTAAAAGACAAGCTACGAACGGCAGAAGATATCACCCGAAGGTACATTAGGGTACATTGTTAATCGTCCATCGCTTTGACAGATGCGCGGAAACTTGAAGTGTTTCTTTTAGTTTTTGCCGAAGTTCGTACAAGCAAAAAATGTTGATTTAATGCGATCTTATCTCGAACTATGTCATAAATTAAATCGATCTATCTAAGCCAGCTACCGTGTTACTCCTAACTCTTGCCTAAATTTAGCATAATAGATTTTCAGCACTCACGATAATTATGACGATGACAAACAAAAGCAATCACGAATTTTGGAATAACGATATTGTTGAAATATGACCGATAAGCAGACATCACATCATTTCATCACTAACCCAAACAATAAATTGAATTAGAAAGCAATTTGTTTTATGAACTCCCGCACAGTTTTCAGATAACGTATCCACTAATTAAATTTGCATGATGCATGACTGTGACTATATATATGTGTCTGAAATGAAAATATTTCACAAAAATGGATTGCTGTCTTTTGAATTGGGGCCAAACCATCTGACATAGAGGACATTTAGGGGAAATCTCAAATTTAACTTTTACCATGCAGTGACTCCGTTGGCATTCATCAGTGCAAGGAACTGATTTGAACGGTAGATAAGTGTGTGACAACTCTCGCATAATAGTAAAAATTCCAAACTTAATTTAGTTGGTAGAAAAGTTATTTTAGTCGGTAACAGAGAAGTTTGTCGGTAGCATCAGTATACCAATGGTTAGACGTTACGCAAACTTTATATCTCTCTTGAAAGAAAACTACTAGATCAATTAAGAACCTGCGCGATTACTGACAATTCGCCCCCTTTTTTAAAGAAAACCTCTTGCTCTCAGTTCTAATCTTTGAGGAGGTTGTGATCGCGAGGTCCAAAACTACCTTAAATCAACGATTAGAGCTGTACTGAATACGAGTCGCAATACAGCTACAGCCTACAAGTACTGCATGCCGGAACTCGTCCGGCTACAACTCACCCCGGGCACGAGGCAAAAAGATGTCCGGGGACATTAACGATGTTTAATATGAAATGGTTCGCGCCAATGAAATAATTATAGCTATGAACAAACACCTTGCCCTTGGGTAGATACGATGGGTCAGTAGGGTCACGCTTATAGCCTTTCTACGTCCATGCCCTGATTAGTGCAAGACGCCTGCGTGAATAGGCACATTGTAGTGTTGTTTTGTAAAACAGGGTTTTTTTAACGCCCAGTTTTTTTCTGTTCTATAAAAAAATGCAATCCAAATAATAAAAATACATTGCGTTTTTTGAGATATGATCTCAATTTCCAAAAAGGAATTATGTATATGATCAGAAGGTCACCCATATGTACACATGATTTCGGGAAAGTCATCCTCCGACACGAAAAATTCCGTCTTGTCAACGGTAGAGAAAAGACTTTATCAACATCTTTTATCTCCATTATGAATAAAAACTTACAGCTCTCAAGTTCGTTGCTGCTATGTGGCTTTGCGAATGTGTTGATTTCTGACAGCAGGCGCGGATCCAGACCGTATCGAACGTGGCTCGAGCCACGGTCAGATTTTCCCATCCAGAATTTTCCCATCTGCAATCTAATATTCACACATTATTTAGAAGTACATATTAATTCTTTGAATCACACCAGAATTAAGGAAATATATGTCTAAAACAAATTATTTGAGTAATATCTTTCGTAATCGTTGTCATATTATTACCAATTCCTGCTAAAAGTGGTAACAAATTCCCAATTATTATTCCTTGTTTCATATTATGATTGTTCAGTTAACACTGAACTATAAAATTCGCCGAAAGCTTGCCGAATTGTGCCGAGTATGTTCGGAAGCTAGTCGTGCATTCGAAGCTGCGATCACAGCAACTAGTTGACACGGTCAGCGTGCAGATTATTGCGCAATTGTTACTAAATATAGTAACGTTCGGACACGGTGCAGTGTAGCAAACCAATCACAGGGCAAGCTTTGCCACGTGAGCCACGGTGCGACACGGTGGCCTGTTTTTGATTGCGCAATAAACATGATAAACAATAAAGTTCGACACTTCTCGACTTCGAACTCGGATATAGTTTACAAATAACATGTTAAATTGGTCTGTTCGCTGCATCCTGGCTGATTCAGGCTGAATCGAATGTATTAATACATGAATCCGTCGAAATTTCTCAAAAGCAAATCTAAGCGAGCATATTTCAGGGGAAATATCGCTCTTCATGCTACAACGTGATGGAATGATTACTAAAGAAAGGCTTCGCTCGCTCGCGTTATACAATCGCAACGACAATTTTTAAACTGCTATTTCCCAAGAGACAAATACTGAAAATCTTTACTTAATGTCCTTGTAAGGTAAGACTTTTAGGTTTTAAATCGAACTATGGGCGCTCTTCTTTATGCGGAAAAACGGCCAGACCGGTTCTGTTGTCGGTAGTCGGTACAGACAAAGTATATCGTTATTTACATCTGCCTAGCACAGGAAATGCAGTTTCACCGCTATACTTAACGAAATACTCTATTCAATTAAAATATGACCGGTCTGACCTTTTTGGCCGCTTAATGGAAAGCGCCATATGATACAAATTTGCATTTACGCTGTGAATAATTTGTGTATGCAAATCTCACGTTATGTTGAGTGTGAATGAAAATCCGTAAATACCTTGACAAAAATTTTGAAAATGGTTTACAGTGGTTTTATGAAAGTACAGGGATTTACAAATTACAATATTCGCTTTTAAACGTTCCCGCCATACGCCCCCCCCCCCCCCGACCGGGAAATTTTTAGTCCAATATGACACGGTCAGATTTTCGGCTGGATCCGCGCCTGGACAGTGCGGCATTCTTGCAATTATGAGGTATTAAAGTGTATTGTTGGGTCACCTCAAAGGAAGAGAAAGGGATAGTTGTGTTTTTCCTAACCCTAACCCCAGACATAAATATTAAAAGACGAAAAACATCCTCTGACCTGATGATGAGGAGCAATAATAAGGAGCAGGCCAGATCATCCAGAAGTTATATATAGCTCAGTCGCGGGGAAATTTCGCGGGAAAGGGGAAACTAAAATTAGTAAATATGGCTTCCAAAAACAAGTCGTCAGTATCAGACATATCTGAGTATAGATGTAGTATATGTCTGCAACTTCTCGTTGAACCAGTTGTTTTGCCATGTAAACATGAAATGTGTAGATCTTGCTTTTGTCAAAATGTGGAAGAAGGGAATTTCTTATGTCCTATATGTAGAAAACGTGTTTCAACTTGGGCACGGAAGTGCATCAGAGAAGGAACATTAATCGATGAGAAAAGGTGGAATCTCATCCAAGAGCTTTTTCCTCGCCGTTGCCTAAAAAGATTACAGGGCGACGACGACGAAACTGATGACGAATGTATGTAGATAAACTAACTTAATACCAATACCATATCACTTAAATAAGTTTAATTAAACATTATAGAGTTCAGACGATATTAAACAGTAAAGGAAAGCCGAGCTTTTGTATTGTCTAAGTATGCAAACGTACATGAAAACTTATCCACTCATATTCTGGGTGGGAATAGTGTAGAATGCAAGTATAGAATACCAGGTCTAGGGTTCTCAGTTCTGAAAAGCATTCTCTTAGAGATTTGTTAAAGGAACAAGTTTATTGTAGAGACACTGGAGTGTAGAATTTCCCCATTCCTTAAAAAATAGCAATTTATGTGTTAAAGCTGCCTTAGTAACATTTATATTAAACAAAACAGTTCTATACAATGTTCACTTTCAATTGATCTCTGGTCGGAGTTGGATTGTTAATATGTATTTTCTCCAAGGTTTGGTGATTTTTTATACAATAGCCTATAACTATAGGTATAACTTCATTTAGCAGATCAACCACCAACAAAACGAGTTTTGGCAAAGTCTGGCGAGTTAAGAAAAGAATATGAACAGGAAATGAACAAGGTAAGAAATGTCTGTATATCGATGTGCACTAAAAGATTGTGTTATGGGCTCAAGATTCTTTATTGCCCAATATAATGTGGCAAATATATCTAGTTTGACTAGATTGTGTCTTACTGCAGGTACTACAGTTGCAAAAAGAAGAGGAACAGGCAAGCCATAACCTTATTAATAATCTTATCAAAGAGGAAAAAGCTCTACTACAACAGGAAAAAGAGGATGAACAGCTGGCAAAAAAACTGAATGAAGAATTAAAAAACACAAAGGTACGTGCTGTATAAAACTTGCATTATATAAAAGATAATAATCTCTTGTAATATCTTCAATAAGGATAAAAAAAATCTTGTAGTCTTGTAATCTTCACCTATTTCAAAATAGGAGGATGATGACGTTATTTCAAATTTAAGAAAAAATTCAGATGACACTTCAAAGATGAAATCCAAAGATTTGAAAAGAAAAAAAGTAAACAGTAAACGGCAAGGAAAATCCTATACTTTAGATAAATACTTCTCAAACAACAATCATTCAGGTTAGTATATATTTTTTTCTTTTGCATTTTCTAGCATGTTGAGATTTCAATACTTCATTGATAACCATAATTAATTTATGCATGTCTGATGGAAATCTCAGTCTGGATGTACCTTGCTTCCGGCATTGTTATCTGAAAAGTACAGGCTCTTTTCCACTCGTTGCCAAAATGAAGTAGCAAGCTTGCTTCAAGTGCTTGTATCTAATTAAAATAAACTGTCGAATATTTAGCCTGTGCACAGACCTTGACTATCTGTACATATCGGTATGTTGAGGTTGGTGCCCAGGCTATTGAATATTGTGATTGGATGAAATTACATGAGGGAGTTTGGGGAGTTGGTTTTTGCAAAGTGTAATGGCCTTAAAAGTATGCCACAAATATTCTGCCAATATTGGGGTTCCGTTTCTCAAGCCTGTGAGCTTGCAAAATTGCACATATGCAACCTAACACAAATCTAACATATATAAATTAGCTCATTCCAATCACAGCGAGTCTTAATTTTGAGTTGATCACCACTAGAATCTATATTTGTGTTGTTATATGAAACCCAAGAATTAATTTTATACGTTGTAAATGAAGTACTTCTGTAGATAGTGGATATTCATTCTCATGAGGCTGATTGTCTAGTTCTTTTTGTACACCAATGCCTCTTAAGATGGAAAAATTACTATATACTCGAATTATGTGATTTGTAGGGCAAAACTGTCTCAGACCTGATGAATTGAAACAACTTATAGGGTTTATAATTATAGACCTGGTGCCTTGCATATTGATTGTAGATTATATACATTAACAAGTAGGGTTAATTTTTACACAACAGTTTTGGCCAGCAATAATTTAAGACAATGATCATTAAGCATTTTGCAAGCAAAGGCATCATGCAAAGGTAAATTTTCTATTCAGGAAATTCGCCACCAAGTGAACCACGGCATAACAGTGACTTTGAATTTGCAATGGCATTGCAGAAGAAATTTGACAAGGAAGCATTAGTTCTTAATAGTAAAAGAGAAGATTACATGTTGCGAAAAACAACAGGAAATCATAAGAACAGGGCAACACAAAATTCACATGAAAGTGAATCATACAAACAAAAAAACGGACACACGTGTACTCACCAAGCACGGCTCGGAGAGGATGCGTTGTATGTCAAAGTGAAGAACCCGGTATTAGACGAGGAGGAAATCAAGGTAGCTGACCAACAGAGCAAGGAACCGCGAATTTTGCGCGAGCGTAAAAAAATTGAAGACACTATGAACTAGGTGAAAGAAAGGAATCATCAGCTGAATGACAGAATGCCACTTAGTGGCAGAGAATCAACAATGGCAACCTTTGTGGAGTGGAAAAACTGAACACCCGTGATTATTAGTATTCTTCTTTTAAAGCAAACTGTGGACAATATCACGGAATTGAAAAGAGTCTTGAGTTGGGTTGGTCACAGGAACAAGGCAATAAAATGCAATAAAATGCAAAGTTGTTAAGAGAATTTTATACGAGAAGAGAATATACAGAATTTTATTAGAGTTATCTGCCTGTATTTTTAGTACAGTAAGTATAATAAAACCGTATAATAATTGATGGAAAGTTTCTTTCGGGTTTAAACCAAATTATTCTGATAGAGAATTGACATACCGACAAAAGAAACTGTCCTTTCCGATTCGGTCCTAGTAATAATTTTTCTATGTTGGAACCAGCCTTGACTCATGCGCAAAGGATAGTACGCGGACAGTAAATGAGATTACAGAAGTTGTTTCTTCGCTATTTTTTATTGGCAAAACGTGTCATCTTCAACTTGCAAGTACATGAACAAACACTAGCATTTTACGTTGGAACTAGCAACTGTTAGTTGCTGTGTGACTCCATGGCTCTCAAACCCGCACTGAGACGTTTTTGATCAATCTGGGACAGAATTCACGAACGAATTGATCATCTCCTGAGCTAATGTATCGTCCTATAAAAAATAAAATCCAAGTGCTGAAAACAAATATACATTATACAGGGTTAAGTGAATGTTTGAATTTTTCAGAAAAAATTTTCTCCTCAAAAAAAACTGTCATTGAGAAAAAAGGGTTTGGGACCATCACAACACGTCACACCGCACTGGCACTGACGTCATAACTGTACACCTCTTCATGATGTCTCTCGAAAAAAATTCCGGTGACGTACCTCTGATAGGGTGGTCTACTTGATCATTGTGGTATTGGTTGTTTATTTCTAGTGTATTTGCCTTCAACAATATTGATTATTTCTTCATCTTGGATGTAGAGGCATGCTTTAAATTACCTACGACGTAACGCAAACGAGACAACCAGCTACTTACCTCTCCAGATTCTAACAGTTCTCCCCTGTCTGTCTTCGCTGTTTCTTTATTGCTATTTGAAACATTTTCCTCGACGTTGTTGCTGTTTGTACTGATTTCCTGGGTCTTGCGTCTCTTTACAGTAGAAATGGAATCGCCAACAGCTTCAGATAAACATTCATTCATGTTTGTACTTTCTTCGAAACTCTCTGGTAAACTTCGTTTTACGTTGTCAAATTGTTTTGCGATTGTTTTACCCTCGACAACTTTCTCATTTTCGTTATCATTTACAACCGTGTGGATGATTTCGTCGTGGTCATTTTGCGATTTTCTTAGTTCTTCCAATGAACAATTTCGAGTTTTCTCTGCGTCAGACAGTGTTGTATCCTTATCGATTGCTGAACTGCCTTTTGAAGTAACCTGAGTAATGTGGTCTTCAGTGGAGGAGAATGTAATATGAACTGCATTCCCTGTTTTCTCCACAATTTGCTCTCTATTTTCATCACGGGAATCCTTTTCAAGTTGTTCGTTTGTTTTCATAATAGGCTGATCTGTACCCACGTTCAATTCAATATTTTCTTGTAAATTATTTATGTTGGTGTTATTTTGTGCAACATTGTTTGTAAAAGAACTCGAGATGATGGCGACTCGTGGGTGAATCAGTACGTGGCACATCATTTGAGCTTCAGTACAAAATTTTGAAACCTGTATGAGGAATAGAAAGTAATGAAAGAATGACACAAAGGAATGGAAGAAATTAGTTCATACATTAATAGCAGTATAAAAGTCTTGGTTTTAGGTCAGTGGCAAGGCGTGGGGGGAGGGGCAACTACCCCGAATTTTTTTTCAGAGCTCGGGTAATCAGATTCACAAAAGGATAGAGTGAGTAGTTCTTTGGTTGTCAAATCTGAAAATTCGTCGGAAATTCTGGTCTAGAGTATTTTACCCTCAAACTCTTTGCAGGAGTTTGCAGCAGTATGTATGGTAATACTGAGATGAATGGAATATAGTATGAAGCTGTGTCAAACCACAAAGTGGAAAAAAATACAAATAATTAACAATTTGTAGAGGGCGAGCTTTTGAAAGGCGGTGGGAAACAACGGTTGGAATGAGTGGAGTAGTATACGAAATACGGAATTGAGAGTCGCTGAGACGATGTGATAAGGATGGAACAAAAAACGAAGAGGTATGTTAAACATAAGGTATGTTTTAGAAAAAATGCGGTGCAGCACATATACATGGTTGAAAACCACGATCATTTCAATTTGAAGAATGTTTCTGATATTTTCCACTTTTATAGTTTTCCATATGTTAACAGGCCAACTTATGGATGGAAGAATCTACTATTGGTATATACGTCACCTCAAAATCTCGATCTTGTGTTCCACGGCTGAAAAGAAGTATTGCATGTTGAAGTGGTGGCGGACTTTTTGGTTGGTGATTGTAGAGTAATGTCTGAAGTAAATTGTATAACATTTTCCTGCAGTCAGGCGAACCATAAGGAATAGGATAGTATGACTGAGTCGGCGAGACTGTTTGACACTCCTGTAGAAGAGTAACTATAAACTCCTGCAATTCCTAAAGTGAAATTTAACAGAAATAAAGGATAGTAAATACAAGCAAAACAATCAAATGAATAAATTCCATCCCTGGAATTTTTGTGTGATTGTTTTGCTAGCACGAGACCCCGAGCTAACCAATAATGCGAAATTGTTATGGGATTGTAGTAGTATGCAGATGGCCAACAGCCCAACACGTACGTTACAAGCATTTCCGAAGGAGACTTCATTTCAAAACCTAATTACGCGATTATATAAACCCATATATACCTGGATAATATCAGAAGGAATATCGTTGCCCCCATTCAAAATCAATGTATTCAACGCTAGAAAAATATGAGCAAAAGAAATGTTCTATTCCAATGCGCAATGATGTAATTGACAAGAAGGTGGATATAACGAAGTAGCGCGCGTATGCATTTATAATTTTTGCTTGCATATACCTTGAAGACCAGAAAGACAAAGCTCTCTATTCACATCGTAATCTGTTTTTTGCTCAACTAATGAAGAGAATATGGTGGTAGCCTTTGGGTGAGCAAGATAGATAGATTGCCATTTTGATGAAACATTACTTCACGTTCATGCGTGTGACTGTGTGGAGCATGGAAGAGAACTTACTTTGATTTAATTGACTAACATCGTCTTGCATTCGCTTTCTTTTCGCCTGTAAGAAAACTCGCTATCAGAAGCGCAGGGAAATGGGCGGTTGTATACGACTCTTAATAAACAATATAGGATGCTATACGGTAAACATATTCATCTATAGCGCTGCTGACCTTTCCGTGGGTAGTTTTTGAGGTGGAGACTGTTGGTGCAAGTAACTGTAAAAAAATAAAAAAATCTGAAATATTTACATAGCTATAATACTCAACCAAAGTGGCATGCATACATGTCACTACAATATGTTCTCATCTGATGTCATTTCTATACCTTCGTTTTGGTGACTCGTGGTTTGATATCTTCCATTACATGATGAATTATCTTTCTTATTTTCTCATTGTTTTCACCAACAGATGACGTCATATGCACGAGATATTGTACACAATCATACGTGGCTGAACGTAGTTGACTGTAAGACAATAAGGTGGATCAATAATCGTTCATCTTGTTAGACGATTAAAAGAAAGGTTTTGATGAAACGTTTGTAGAACAAGTCTGATCTTGTTCGTCTGTTTAAAGGTTAGGCTGTACTACATTTCGTAATTTACTCGCCTATATTTATGCTGCAGACCATGGATTTTATCATCACACTCGCTCCAAGATAGTTCCGATAAAAGCATTCGAATTATAATATGATGGTATGGTAATACACTCATTCCACATCTTAAATGACAAGAGAAAAACAGTGATAAGATGGCGCATTTCATTCACTAAATTATAATTTGAGGATCGATCACGCATGAGAAAGAACAATATGCGGGAGAGTTTACATTTAACACAAATACATGTATACCGCGTACAGGCTTTGACAGCATTGTCTTGTAGTGAAAATGTCTTAATAATTAGCCATCCGTGAATACCCTGAAAACTCGGTTACGCTTGCAATTCTTACGGCTATTTCTCGTGCAATTTTCCTCTTTTTGTAGACGAAAAGAGAGGATAGGCTGAATATTATAAAATCACCTAAACGAATTACAGCATTTATCTCTTTGCATCCACGCATCAAAAATAAAAAGAAAATTGTAAATCTCATCAAAAATTGCAGGGGCAATGAAAGACTACATTACTTTAGCACGAGGGTTGACAAAAACTCTATAGCTGATAGATGAATCGCTGGAATACTGCATTTTAACAAAATTGACTCCACTGCCACGTTGTTCTAAAGTAGTAATAGTAAAGAAAAAAATAAGGTTTTTCGCAATAACTATACGTATACGTGATACACTGTAGCCAAGTTATTTTCTTAGCTTCCCGACTCAGAATGAAATTTATTTTCTGAAATATGGGAGCAAAAATGTGTTGCGTTGCCCGAATGAAATCAAACATGGTGAAATAATGTTGTCATGTAGTATGTAGTGACAGTATGTTACTTACAACTGACTTTTCATTGACTGCAAGAATACCCCGAATGATCTTGATTGTACAATTTAATGGTACGTTGACTGATTTAGATAGTTCATTTCTATATAAAATAACAAGAGTATTTATCTATGAAACGCTATATCTTCGCTTTAGAAAAACATTGCCATGTCCAGTAGCTATATATAGTTCATTCTATAGGGTTTTCTTAATCTAGTATTATGACAACCACCTGAGCATTAAATCCAAACATTTGAACAGAAATTTTATTCTCAAAACACATGTTTCAGTTCTTTGAGGTTCAACCACAGGAATAGTCTTCAGCTGAAATGTTTCTGACTCCATTCTGTATGAAGGGTCTGGAAAATACAAACATAATTGGACCATTTGCGATGAAGATAATGAGCGCAACTATGTGAAAGATATTGTTGTATGATAACTCACCAGTTTCATATTCACTGTAAAGCTCATGAATTACTGTAGACAAAGCACTCAGAAGTTTCATCCACTGAGTTTCCCATGCTATTGTTTGTTTATCTGACCCAGTACCAGAAGTATTGCCACATTTTGGTAGGATTGCAAAACAGCTACATGCACTCTGAAAAACATTGGCAATTCAGAATATTTATTGCTCTAATTGTATATAAGTAATACAAACACACGGATATGTACGAAGCTGTCGTGTTAAGCTAAACCTAGAAATGTACCACGTAAAGGGATGAAACAAAAATTGCTTTATTGGACCAGCAAAAAATTTTCGGAAGACACAAATAAGTAGATCGATTCAAAGTGAAGTATTGTTTCAGGTTACTACTTTTGTAATATCTATTTCCCAACTCTCTTTTCTGGGAGAATTACGGCCATTTCCGGATAATCTAAGCTTATATAAGGACTCTACAAGGCACAGCTTTACAGACCTGTATCAAAAAATAGTTATCACTGTTGAATACTTGCAGCAGGAGACTCTCGATGCGCTTCTATACGAAGTGAATATTTACACGGATCAGTTCATTTTTTAAAAAGAGCATCAATAAATGAATATATAAGGTTTCAATAATTTTACCACGAATGATCCCGATGCACCTGGGTAATGTTGTATACATGTTTTGACAACACTCAATGAAACTTCCAGATTCTAGGATTAAAAATCACTAATAAGAGCTTGACTTGAATTCGCCTTCTTTTTCCACACGTACTGTATGTCACACGACAGCACATGTGTTTATAGGGCTGCCTTCCACTGTCGCGTTTTTGGCACGTACGTACTCGCACGTAAAAGTTCAATCGTAGATTTATATTGATAAGTATCATTTGAATTATTCTAAACTTTATGCGCGGAAACCAAAAAACGCAAAAAGTGGAAAGCAGCCCTAATCAACCCTACCCAATTTAAAATCTCTTCAATCAGCTAACCATTTATTATTTGCATGAAAGTTTGCTTACTATTGTCTTCTCATTCAGCACTAGGGCGAACAATGACGGAATGACTGTTAACGAGACTTGTCTTGAAATTTCTGAGATCTAAGATGTGTATAGTAGCCATACTATTAATATAAAGCATCACAACAAAGTGTGTAGTCTCATAAAAGGGTCTCGACAACGTCGCGCAAAATCCTATAACTTATTTGGAATATGATTATAAGATTAAATTATTATTATTGTTGCTTATTGTTAAAAAAAAGCCATTAGTGTAACTAAGCACAAATAAGCATTATGAAGTATGCCAGTTTTTTAGCAAATTTGTATTTTCTACTAAGTGCCATGTTATTTTGCAAAATTCTTAACACAAAATTAACATTACTTAGTTACTGATAAAACTGAACATGGTACTTTACCACTGCCATGTTACTGTTAAATAGATACTTTAAAATAATATGAAGGTTCCAATCTACCTGAGCAGAAAAAGAAATAATTTTTTCCAACATATCAGCTACATAATTACAAACACAGACATTCTGTTTCTCTTGCTAAAGCAAATATAAAAACATTGATACTTGTAGTGTGTTAATTGTAGCTTTTTTATTATATTACAAATTTTAATTATTTCTAACCTGTAATATTTGTATCAGAGTTTTAAGCCATGGCAAACAATTCTCACTGAACAATTCTGTTCCACATTGTTCAACCAAACTATCAAGTAAACAGACACCCATCCACCTAAAATGGTTTGCTTTTTATTATTTGTGTTTAACATATCCCACCATTACCAATGGTTTTATTAAATTTTACAAAAATTTTTCTAAACTTTGTTAGTTGGTAGTTTCCCATGAAGTTTATAAAATAACATGCACTATCCTTTTGTGTTGTTCCTAATCAATTAACAAATCAATTAATCCTAAATAACTATCAATTAACTATTAATAAGCGATAATCTCAGTTAGAGCATTGTGCATGTAATGTCACACTGTAAGATTGACTTAGATTGCGAGTTTAAAAGTTAGTTCAAAGTTAACTCATAAATGTCGACATGTGATTGGTTAGATTGATATATAATATTCTTGCATGCTTTTATATTTGTTTAGAGGTTGCACTTATATGAATTAAACATGATTACTTAAAACAGGATTCAGTGTTCGATTTATCACCATAATTTTAATATCAAAACTATTAACCATATTGATAATCTATTTAAATATAACATATATGGTCAGTATGATGGTAGGAAATTATTATTTTTACTCCAGTTTAGGGTGTTGTAACTTGTACCAGTTAGTATCTACATTTTAATGTGCACTGTGCACATGCCTTTGGAACTCCAGACTCCAGTCATTTCATTTATTCAATTACCATACAATCAGGCAAAATATCAGGCATGCAATTTTGGTCTCATCAATACTGCTAAAAATCTAAATATCTAAATATATAGTTAATCTAAACAGACATGATTTTCACTCACCTGTCCTTATGTGAATTAAGTAATTTATTTGATGCTGCAATCCACTCTAATGCTGAAGACTAAAAAGTATCAGTGAGAATGGAATTAAAATAGAATTACATATATTCCAATTCACTGAATTGGGAGACCAGTTTATACCAAGAAAAAAAGTAAATATTTTTTATTCAATAACAGAGTTTCCTACTTTATCCTGCAGCATTTGAGAATGCTTGACATTTTCTAAGAGTGAATAAATTGCTGAAGCATTTGATCTCAACAGTGTTTCCAATACCACCTTCGCGTCTGCCATGTTTCCAACAACATGATCACGCAAGGTAACATAAAGTATAGAAAGGTATTAAGAAGTAAGAACTCGCGTATTGAGATCAGTGACTGATAAGTCGAGTGGCACCACCACACACGGGCACCACCACACACGGGCACCACTGAGCGGCACTAGTACACAACGCTGTGCACCACTGGAAATGACTGGAAACCGCATACACAGAGGATGAGGTATTTGTATTTGTATTCTGTGTCACAGTATACCTTACAGAGAACTATCTCCAATAATGTTCTCTCAACTTCTCTGCGTAAAATTAATAGATTTGTCAATGTCAATATTCGTCACTTGAAGCCTGGAATATTGGAACCAGGCTAAAGCTTGAAAAAAATCATGCAACAACAGATAATATGAACAATTAGTACGCAGGCATGAGTGACCCAAGAGAATGGAATTCTGTATGGAATTCAAGAGTATGGTATTCTGTGGCTGTGCTCCACCAACACTGGTCACCACTAATACACTGGCACTGTGACTGAGCTGTTCATACTTGTTCATACATGAACAATAATTACACTTCGTGCACAATATTGTTCATAATGGCAACAACCCGATCGTTTTTAGTGCGACAACATGGAATATGACCAGGGGCGTAGGAAGCATCCAGAAATTAACGGGGGGCACCAGATTTCAGGGGCACTTTTGCTTACTAAAAAGAGCAGCTGAAAATATGTATAGGGATGGTTTGATTGCCAAAGATGCAAGGACACCACTAGAGTGGTTTATATTTATGCTCTACAAAACGATTTGGGCATGTGTACTTCGATTTTAAATAATATTCACAGGTACATTAGGTCATTAGTTTTTCCAAAAAAGACATTTTTCATCGCAAAAAAGGCATCTTTCGCCCCTTGAAAACTTTTTGGGGAGGCACGTGTTCCTTGTGCTCCCACATTTCTTTCCTACGCCACTGCTGATATGACGAGAGCTATTGGAACATCGAAACACGTTTTTGTCTAATCCTATGGTCAATACATTGAAACAGATGTCATTACTCATACAAAGGTCAATGAAACGTCAGAAAGGAAAGCTTATGTGATTGGTTAGCATGATAAGAATTAATTTCCTATTCAAAAATCTAAAGTAAACAAAGGCGAAAATACTCAAGTCTCAAGGGTGTTGTCAGGCACTGAAATATCATCTCAGTTGTTTCAGTGTTTGCTGTTGCAAGTAAATGAATCGTTTTGGTGTAATAGCTACCGTTGCTGGTGTAGTCTCTCTTCCGGTCGTTTACACAATGTTTCGAAGATATATCGCTGGCGGTGTATGTACAAGCGAAGCGAGGATGGATGGCAAGACTGTCCTAATCACAGGTGCGAATGCTGGCATTGGGAAAGAAACTGCAATCGATTTGGCGAAGCGAGGTGCCCGTGTAATCATGGCATGCCGTGATATGAAGAGGGGAGAAGATGCTTTAAATGATGTTGCAGAGAAGTCTGGCAGTTCTAATTTAGTTTTAAAACAACTTGACCTCGCATCCCTCGCGTCCGTTCGTACGTTAGCTGAAGATGTCAACAAGACCGAACCGGCGTTACACGTATTGATCAACAATGCTGGAGTGATGATACCCCCTGAGCTACAAAAGACGCAAGATGGCTTCGAAATACAAATGGGAGTAAACCACTTCGGACATTTCTTGCTAACAAATTTGCTTCTTGATTTACTGAAATCTTCACAACCTTCCCGCATCGTTGTGGTCTCATCTATGGCGCATTCCATGACATCATCGTCATTCAACTTTGATAATATCAACTGCGAGAAATTCTACCGCAAATGGGATGCATACGGCCAAAGTAAACTGGCGAATATTCTGTTCACAAGAGAGTTGGCAAAGCGTTTGGGAGGCACTGATGTAACAGTTAATTCCCTTCATCCCGGTGCTGTCAAGACTGAACTCAGTCGTAATACAGGGACCATCGAGTCAATTGCTTTTCAATTTATGTTTCTGTTTTTCAAAACTCCCAAAGAAGGTGCTCAAACTAGTATTTACTTGGCAGTGTCTGAAGAAGTGGAAGGTGTTACTGGCTTGTATTTTACTGATTGTAAAGTCAAGGAGCCATCGCAAGCAGCCCAAGATGACGAAGCTGCCAAAAAATTGTGGGACGTCAGCGCCAAGGCTGTAGGACTGGAATGATAAAAAAAACAATTCGCAAAACCGAGTATGCATCGTGCTGAGGCAAGGCAGCTTCTTTCCCGAACTGTTTAATGAACTTTGCGAGGAAAGCACTAAGCAAGCAGGGTTGTTTGAGAATGTTGCTACTTCCCCAAGAACCACCACAGGGCACAGGCTAAGTGCTTTACGCGCAAAGTTCACAACGAAATTTGCGACTATGCCAGTATGGTACATTGTACTACCGTGGTGGTACGTGGTGATACGTAATAGTTAGGGTGGGGTTTGGGTGTAAACTTTATTATTATATTTGAAACATTGACTGTGAGTAAGGGAAAAACATGTATTAGTCAGTAGAAGACTTTAGATGAGATACCTTGTAAATTAAAAAAAAACCTAATCATTTTACCAAGCTGACAAAAAGAGGAGAAACGATAATAGACCTTTTCGCTAAATACGTCACAACTTTATTGTTTTTAACTGAAATAGATTTCAAGTTTTACTCTCGCGAGCTATATGGAACGGTCATCAGTAATTTACAATTTCAGGAACAGAGAAACTGATCTAGCACCACCCATAACAAAAAAGTTGGTAAAAGGTGTTTCAATTATAATGCAACCTTGAATTGAAATATTCTTCCACGTTAAATGATGAGTTGAAACTTGATCGTTAATCGTTTATGGTAGTGTTGTACAATGTTCCTTCGTTACGCCCCTCATGGAAACACACCAACTAATAATAGCTGTTGAGGCTAGCGTGATAAAAAAGGTTCGGGTTGAAACGTAGATATGTTTCCGAGACAACTGTATGCATTGAAGTTTTTTTTTTATTTCGACTAATATTCAAGAACTCAATTCGAAGCCTTGGCCAGGCCTTGTTTGGTGGCTGACCTGCAAGAACGTCACGTTCCACTGATCGTGAAATACATTTCATAGATTACATGAAGTATTGCCAATATAAGCTATGACAACATGGCTTCTTTGGCAAAAGATGTGCGAGAAAGACTCGGTCTTTGGGATGCTAAAGAAAACAGTTTATCTCTCCTCACTGATGAAGAAAAAGACAGTGTTCTTTTATTAACAGCATATTCTTCAAACCGATCTTTACCCTCAGATGTGAGCTTACTAATATCAATTTTAGAGCATAGAGACTAGAGAGTATATTTGTGTGTGTGACTGTGTGTTGGAGAAGAAGGGGGGGGGGGGAAAGAAAGTTTGTACTGTAAGCTTGTATGTTTTCAACGGTACAGCAGCGCAAGTTCAGGAAGCTAAAATTTTTATTGATATGGTTGTGATTTTCAGCTGCCTGAAAAAGATGTTTCCAGTTTGCCTTCAAAGCGGACTCATGGTGAAACATCAGAGGGGAAAGGCAGTGTGGATATATCTGATATTGATTTGGGGTCAGCTAAGGTGGAAAATGCGCAACAGGTTTGTTGGTATTAACTTGTTTTCAAAAGTGTCATTCAAAAGACATCAAAATTGTGTGCCCAATATCTCGGTTATGCGATGTATACTTTCCACACTTGTGGATAGTTTGTGATTTAATTATGTTATGTGTTGTTTGCACAGTTTTTCACATGGTTTGCTCAAGTTGAAAATCAAATGGAAAGAGAACAGGAATCATCATATCAGTAAGTAAAATGCTTATGGTGGATAAGTGCTGTAGATATCTGAATGTTGGTATAGTGAATAATTAAACAAATGAACAATAATCCTGCATAGGATTATAACAAATATCATCGAGAATACTAACCTAAAATTTTTTTTCCTACCACAATTTTGTAGTGCTTACTCTGAGCAACTGAAGCAATACAGAGATCATTGTGATGTTATATTGAATGAGATAGAAGAAGCTTTGAGATATCTGCAAGATTTACATAAACAGCATTTGTTTGTTTCAACTAAGACTGGAGCCTTGCATGAGGCATGTGAACAGCTGTTGCAGGATCAGGTGAAGGATTAATCTTACTATGCATTTATAATCATTAAGTTTTTTCCCATTAAAATTACCTCTTTTGTTTCTTTTTAGACTCAATTGGTACAAATGGCTGAAAATATAAGTCAAAAATTGTCATATTTTAATGCTCTTGAGAAAATCAAACAGGTTTGTAATCCATGTACCCCTGTATGTTTTTTTATTCCAATGAGACACGCCTGCATGTGAACAACAGTCTACACAATTAAACATGGCAACTTTATATGCTCAGAATTATATAATTCTGGTTGTATTGAAATTATTACTTATTTGTGAAATATTATCACTTTATATTGAGATATTTGTTTTTTTCATCCTAAATGCTGTAGAAGCACATGTGGCTTTTTTTGTCCAGATTTTTATCCATTAAGTAACAGTTGGCACTAGCCAATTTGATTAACCAATTTGATTCATTTAGCGAATACTGTAGAATCAACAAATCTGGCAGTGACTCACTAAGTTAGAGTGGAAACATCCAGTGCATATTTTTTTCATATCTGATTTTTCATTATGCAGAAACTGAACACACCAACATTATCCGTAACCAATGATTCTTTTGTTCCAATGCTCTCAAGACTTGATGAATGTATTGAATACATAAAAAGTAATGTAAGTACAGAATAAAAGAGTAAAACACAATTCAATATAAAGCCATGGAACTTTATGACAATGTCTTCACCTGGACCAAAGTGATAATTAGGAGGGGGGAACTGTTTGTTCATTGATTCAGTTCTGCCTTACGAATTTCTTTTGTATGCCATTATACTTACCAGCACGTTTTCTGGATATCCCATTCGCCTTTTTAGTAATATTTTGCTCTGTATTTTCAGCAACATTTTAAAGAGTCCCAGACATACTTACTAAGATACAATCAATGTTTAAATGAAGCTTTAAACCTCGTCAAGACTCACGTGATTGATTTATTTAAATATGCAACAACTCAGGTTACTGCTAGTAGAAATGTAAGTTTTTCATCTCCTGTTTTTTCAAATGGCATTTACGACAAACCTTTAACTGCAAAATTCATTTCGAATTTTCATTTATTGGAAAATTGGTACATTATGTACAAACATTCAGCTCCTGAGACAAGCTGTACCAGAGAAAATGCCAAAGAACTAGCTTGAAATAATTGAGCCATTTGCCCTATTGGTTAAGCTGAAAGTCTCTATTTTAATGTTACAAATCGCCTGACAATGGTCTTTTCTGTTCTTTTTAAAGGAGACTAGTTCAACTGATGGGTCATTCGCTTTGTTCTATGGCAAATTTCGTACGAATGCACCAAGAATCAAGGTAATCGCATAATATACATCTAGGGACGCATCGTTGTTCTCTTCTGGTGAAAAGAGCATTCTAAAAGATTTTGAATTCTGAATATAATTTTTTTTCAGTCGTTAATGGAACAAATTGAACATCGCTTGACCGTTAGTGCTGAGTAAGTGTTGCTGAATTGTTAGGCTATAACCGTTGCAACAGTTTCTCTGTTTAAAGACTTCATGGCACAACAGCTGTTGTAGCTAAAAGAGTAAAAGTCCCAGTGGTTTGGCTGAAAAAGTTGTATACTGCTTGGCAAACAAGCGAATATAACTACTGACATTGTCCATATATTCACGCCGACACCCTCGCTGTTGACATAAACCCTGACAGTTTCGGTCCTACTAAGGTCCAAATTTCAAAATAAGAGCAGGACGAACGATGAACACATCGCTGTGGTCGTGATGGTTAAGAATCTTACCGCTATGCAGACTGAGAGTGATTCACTGTTTTATATAGTATATAAATATTAGTGAAAGATAAAAAACCCTGGATGAAATGTAATTGACCAGTAAACAGTCAGCCGTTTATTTCGACACTGATAATAAGTCTAATACTAAATCACAAATTCTCTTGTAGGTATACATCGTTATTGAACGACTGCCATGAATTCTACTTTACACAGAGGTATCAGTTGCTAGCTCCATGTATTACAGATACTGTCGAGAAAACCATCAAACAGCATCAACGAAATACCTGTGCTTTGGTATGTAGCCACTACACTTTACTGTGTGTGATTGCGCGTGATTAAAAAATTCACCATGAAAGCGTATACGACATGCCTTTTTCGGTTATTATTCGTAGTTAACTGATTCACGTATGCAGCTTTTCTATGCTTCTTATTTTAGGTTCGAAGTGGTTGCTCATTATTAGTACGTGTCAGTCAAGATGAATATCAATTGTATTTCCACTTTTTTACCCATCCGAGTCCAGCTTTGCAGTAAGTTGTTTTGGTGACTTTTCTTACTTGAACAGCACTCACCAAGAAACTCTTATGGTGTGAAGTCGGGAGTTTAGAATTTATTTATGCGTTTGTTTAGAATTTATTTATGCATTTATTTATGTGTTTGCGAAAAACGCATTGTAGTAAATGATAGTCAGAGTCGTGATTGTCAGAGCCTCATATAACATACTTCAAGTTTAACCAAAATAATTATCATTGAGTTCTGATTACCTGACATATTTCCGCAGAATAAATTATAAATACCTAAATTTCCCCATCCCCTTTCAACCATTTTGGTCTAGGTTGGGTGGAGGATACAAATATTGGTCTTTTACAATAATTTTCAAACGTTTCTATACCCTGTTGCATCAGGAATTAGACTATAGTGCGTCGGATAAAAAATGACTCCTTAGATCAATGGCTGAGAAAAGCAATAGCGCTCGAGTGGTCCTTGGGGAGCCAGAATGAAAAGGCTACGATAGAAAGTGTCCTGTTTCAGTGTACTTTATAACAAACATGCTTTCAGTAAGGTGTTTCTGAGATTTACTTGAATCCCGGACACACCGAAGGTGCATGTATGTTGGGTTTTCACCTCATGGAATTTCGGGAAAAAATGTTCATGCAGTTCAACCTCGTTCCCATGATTTCCTCTCTAGCACTTTGTTGGAAAATTTTTGCAACATTCTGTACGACGCCTTCAGACCCCTTATCATTCACATGAATCACATGGAAACATTGACTGAACTCTGCAGTATACTGAAGGTAATCTTTTAGCCCAGAGAAAAATGTAGGGTAGTGGGGAAAGAACGATCACATTTGATATTATTCTCCCTAAAATAGAATTTTCCCCCTAAAAACATGATTTGATGAAAAGGAATTTCGCTCCTATATAGGTAGAGATGTTGGAAGATCATGTTCGACAAAAAGGTACGCGGTATGGTCATATTTATGAGACTTCTATCTTGTCGGTTCATGGTTAATTTTTAAAAGCCTGAACGAAATAGAGAATTTAAAGAAACGTGAACATACGATAAATCGGTTCACATTGAAATTAGGTGGAGGAGAGCCAAGGTACTTTCTCAACATGTATTTTTTTATTCTGCAGGCGACGAATTATACGCTTTTGGGATAGTAATAGCACAAATGCTTGAAGACGTCCAGGAAAGATTGGTCTATAGAGCTCAGGTATGTATATACATATACATAAACCTTTGGGTTTTGAATGACACGCAGTTACTCTCGAAATGCTTAGGAATAACAAACTCTTTGTGAATTATATCAGACTATCTCACACCCTTGCAGCATTCTTCTTTGCGGGTTGGGTATGGTTGATTATCGGTACGATAATTGACGAAGTAGTGACGCAAATGTGTTTCTTTTTCAGACATACATTCAAACCGATATTCAAAATTATTCTCCTTCACCTGGTGATCTTGCTTATCCTGATAAACTAATGATTAAGGTAATTTACTATGGTATGATTATATATATGACCAGCGTTCAGTGCCATGGCAATTCCATGGATTCAGAAGTACAATCTAAATGGGGAAGTATCACATTGGGTTCTGTTCTGCATTTTCTGCGGGTAGAAATCAAGCCGTAAAACCTGGTTCTCATATGTCACCGACGTTCGGCGATAGGGGACCAAAGGAAAATTTTGTATAAATTTTCTTCGTCATCGGCCACAAACAATACATCGCCAACTGTCGGCGACATATGAAAACCAGCTTAATTATTTGGATGTTTGATTTAGTTAGAGGATGATGAAAGTGAAGAAGATGAAAAGGAAGCAGGTCAAGACGAAGCCGGGAAAAAGAAAAAGAAGAAAAGTTCATTTGGTAATGAATTATTTTCTCTCTTTTAAAAGCATCCAAACTATCAAATGATGTGTTTAAAAAGAAAAACTGAAGGGAACGCCCTCCTACAGGCAATTGTCCAAAGCTATTTGCAACACTAAATTATGGATATATGTATCACCAATTCGTTTTTGTTTACTGATCTTTAGAGCTTCCAGCGGCCCTCGTTGATTTACAAGGCATGTGGTATCCTACAGTACGAAGAACATTGGTTTGTTTATCGAAACTCTATAGATGTATCTCAGTAAGTTAAATTCCTACCTTTAAAACGTAATTAAATCAAAATTGAGTCTCAAAACTGCAATTTTGCATCTGCTGTATGGACAATTGCTTAGATGCAATAGACTCGCCATTAAGAAATTATGCTTAAAATATTTGGAAATTATAAGCATAGGTAATATAGATGCTTATAGAAAATGCAAGCTACCGCTGAGTGTTGTTCCATGTGGCATCACCATCAATTTGGATAAACTTGGATTGTGCCCAATTGTTTTTAGTTGAATTTTGAAGGCGCTCGCTGCCGCCTTAGTAGTTTGTAGTTATAGTACCCCAGTTTTAGTTTTCCGATTGGGTAGGAGTAGTCACTGGTATCTTGCATCGTATAGTTTGAGAATTTTCCTAATAACCTACTGAACTTTCGGCACGGCCCTTTGAAAACCAGGCAACTGAAAGGGCACCGTGCTTTTGAATAAGTTTAAATAATAATAATAATAATAATGATACTGTATTCAGTTATTTACCATTGAATGACAATAGACGTTTGACTACGCGTAATGCGTCCATTAAGCGGTCACGATCCTGCATGAGGGTGGAGAACTCTTTCATTCTCAGCGATTGTTTTAATTTGATACCTATTGCGTTTACAGAAAGAAACATTTGAAGGATTGTCCCAAGAAGCTTTGTCAGTTTGTATTAGAACTTTGAAATTTGCAAGTTCACAGATTACCACAAAAACAGTAAGATAATTCAAATTAATCTGGTTTGCATAAGAGGTTCTTGTAGCGTAATTTTATACCTATATATTCATCTACATTACATGTTCATCCATAGGGAGCTATCAATGGCCATTTATTTTTGATTAAACATCTGCTGATCTTGAGAGAACAGATCGCTCCATTTGATGTGGATTTCACAGTCCGTGAGTTATCGCTTGATTTTAGCAACATGAGGACGGCAGCCTATGGTCTTCTGAGTAAGAGTGCAAGACTGTTTTCTTTGAATAGTAACAATGCGCTTTTGGAGTTTCTCTTGGAGGTGTGTAGATTGCAGAACAATTTCTTTCATTGATACGAAATCCAGTTACAATCGTATATCCTTGGATTACGATTGAGAACCTTTTCATCCCCCGTTCCCTACGTATGGTTCTCATAAGTCTTTCCCTGTTCTTGTTGTAATCAATATAACAATTTCTCTACAAGTTCTGTCATAAACGATTTCTTCTTAAATCAGGGTGCTCCACAAGTTGTAGAGAGTTACGCCGATTCCAAAAAGGTATGATACAATTGTTCTGTGCAATTTCCCTCGACGTGATATTGTAATCCGTTTCACTCATTGTGCACATGTTTTTAACGGTATAAACCAGTGGTATTGTTATACGACAAGTTTATATTCTTTATTCATATTTAGGAAGTTGATAATGAATTGAAAATTGTTTGCGAACAGTTCATCGAGAGTATCTCCAACTCTTTAATAGCTCCGACCAAGGACTTCTTATCAAAGGTAAATTCAGGAACATCGAGTTTTGTCTTCTTTGGTTTCGTGTGTTTATTACGAAAGTTTTAAGAGAACATCGTTCGTTCTTTTTGATCCTGTAGACAAATGTGATTCAGAAACTAGCAGAAGAAGAAGGAAAAGATGTAAAAAGCTTGTTAAAACATCAGCATTTTGCTAAACCTGGTGGGTGATTATTCTCTAAGTTGTTTAATAGTCACGACTGCAAAGCGTTTTGATCGATAAATTGGACCACAAACATACTACTGTATATAAACATTTATTCGAATTTTTTTATTCTTTCAGAAAATGTCCGCCGTCTTGTGAGCGAGAGTTATATGTTGTTGAAATCAAAGATTCCAAGTACATTACAAATCATGTCTTTATTTCTTGCTAATAAGGATACAGAATATATCTTGTTCAAACCAGTCAAGGTAAAACTATTTTTCATAGCAAAATGATCATGAAATTGTACATCAACTATTTAATCTATAGTTTTGAGTACTGTGATCAGATATTGTGTTGAACTTTATCCGTTAAACGACAAATTTTGTGTTCAATAAATTTTAATATAATGTCATTATTACATTTTCTAAGAAGTGTTAGGGAAACAGAAGAAGGGAGATTAAAACATCATATTTCATTCCATATTTATTTTAGGGAAATGTTCTTGAGAATTATAAACAACTGAATCAGCTTATTGTGGATACATATAATGAAGAGAACCAAAAAATTATTGGATGCCCGACAACGCAACAGGTAAATTTAAATTTCCGAATTTACTACATATTACTGCACTGGATTGAATTTAAGCCGTAAAAAGCAGCAAGATCCCAGTTGACCTGGGGTACATATATGAGAATTTATATGGTATACTTTTTCCATATATTTTACTGCATGGGATATACTTTTTCTATCCATGCATGTGTTTAAAACTTTACCCCTCTATGTGCCAGAACTTGGAATTGGGCAAGCTGACATGCCAGTACCTAAATTACACCAACGGTCGGTGCATGTTTACGAACTTCTAGTTTCAAAGGTCATGAATGTTTTTGTTTTCAGATATCTTTGCTGTTATCAATTTCTTGAGCTAATAGTAACACCTTCACTGGATGCGTTTTGTGACCTTATCTTATCCAGTATTATTTTTACAACTACTCTATTTATAAATGCATAAAATGCGTACAGTACAAACAAAATAATCTATGTGAATTATTAAAGTCATTACTCTCCTCCTGAGTAAATAAATATATGCTCATTTAATTCTTATACTTTGTTAAAACTAATATAAATCGGCTGCATGTTGCCGTAAAAACAACAATGCATATAAAAGCAACCATAATAGTTCATTGTTTAATAGCACTTTCCAAGCATTATATATACATATGCATTTACATCACTATTTACAAACAAATACACTATATCATTAGTGTTGTTTACACACATATATATATAAAGTATTGTAGCATGTAAAACTATAATTATGTAAAGTTCAATTAACTACAACAGTAGTTTTATCATCAGGGGAAGTATCAAATATTCTACTCTCCGTAGGCGGCAGTGGTTTACTGCTCCTTCTTTCAGGCATTGGAAGTTTTTTAATTCGATTTGAATGTGGAAATCGCAGAGTCGTCTGAACTCTTTCAATCAGCAAACTAGAACGAACCAACATAGTTATGAGATAACAAGTTAGAAAATTTTTCTTAAATACTAAAGTTCCCGTAAGCATTCCCAAATCATTGAAGTTCCCAAAACATTTTTATTTATGTAATTTGAAAATAGTTTGCAGTTTAAAAATGATTATTTAGCAAAGATTTTAGATCTCATGCAGTTAAATAGCAGTATGCAAATCTTTGATTACGTTCACACGACAGCAATCATCGCTTCAAATTAATTTGATACCGGAATTAATGAAGATGCACCATCTGGCTAATAGATAAGATATCCATATGATTTTAACACAAGCACGTTTTCTTACTTGACAAACTTCCGTATTTCTTTTAATTGAATCTCGTAATATTCCTCATCCGTTGGCAGTTTCACTTTTTTTACAACAGGCTGTAATTGAGAATATAAGAAAATGGTAAAGACCTAGACTAATTGCAAATTTGGCAGCAAAGTAGTTCTTTTTTGCATCATTCAAATCACCTGCCTGATTATGAAACATGCTTATTCGTGCATAATATGTATTATATGTATAAACCTGTTAATATAAACGTACCTTTAATCTGGCGCCAACATTAAAACGGATAGTGTGACGGCCATGGTTGAATGTTATGATTATGTAATCCTTGAAATCAAATTATCAAAAAAGGAAAATTTATTAACTATATATAAAGTGGTAACTAGGTAATAAGAATTCCCATGCATTGACTTGAACACAAAAACTTTATTGCTATATAGCTGTATAACATTCCATGTGACTATATTATGTAACTATGCTTACCTGCCCCATACATCGTAATGATAACTCTTTAGACCAGGCAAACGTGATTGGTTGGAATGGGGGTGCATGAACGTAACTACCAGTAATATTATACCAGAACCACTTCTTTCTCTTTTCACCTTTTATGTCAAAAAACGTTCCTCCAAATGGAGTCAGGACCATTCTAAAAATGTTGGGCAATTCATAGTATTAGCTGCTAATTATTGTCTTCCTATCAATCGTTTTGTGAATGGAATACGCATGAGATGTCATGATGAATTGGCTTTGAGTTAGAAATTCACAAACAGCGGACAATTTAGACGGAAGAGTTCCGCGCGTTTCCTTCCTTCGCTTTCGCGACCTCGCTACGCTCGGTCGATCAAACTCGCGTGTGGGTTTAAAGAGTCGACTTGTAACAAATCTACGGACAGTTTAGTACCTAAGCTTCCCGTTTTGTTGATAATAACAAGAACCATGTCCAGTCGGATCAAAGACTCCCAATACTCCAGTATTATCACGACTGTGTTCATCTGTATCCTAACAAAGAACGTTGAAAAATTCACGTGTGCAAAAAGAAGCCATGCAGAGCGTTGGAAAACAAAAGGCCAGTAGACTAGGTACAAATATATGCATATTTTTGCTATTATCCACAAGGTGTAAAGAATTCGAAAATCTATTTGAAAGACTATAAAGTATACTATCATTATCTAAACTGCAATTATCTCAAGTAAACAAGGCATTGATCGTGGGTACAACTCACAACACTTTTTTATCAAGTCTTACCTCCTGAAGAATATAGGAGTATTTCCCCTTCTCTGTGGACGATATAATAACTGCTGGATTACCACTTGGGTAACTAACCATAGTTAAGTGCCAACTTTTAAGGTTTGAGGGTTAACGAGGGATACATCTTAGCATGATTTTCAACCTAATCTCGCTTAAATCGTTATACGCCAAATTTAAATTCACATCATGCATGCACAACTTGTCATCGATTTTTGCATTTGATAAAACTGAAAGGATACTAACAGCAGCCAGTTCCATCAGGGAAAAGAACCAATAATCTATTGCCGTTCTGATAAAATCTTTCCATAAAAGTTTCCCTTCGCTAAAAACAAACGTGTGTGTTGATACAAAAACTACGTCAACTTAAATTTAGTAAAAATAAACGAGAGGGACAAAGGTGGAGCTAATTATGTAGTTTTATTATATTGAGTCTACGGTGCATGGTTAAATTGGTGCCCCGTCTTTGTATTGGTCGCCTGCATGAACACGGGTATATTTGAGTTGGTGTAATTCTACCCGTGTCGTGCAAAATATGTTGCTTGGTGGCGGTGCAAACAGAGCTATAATAATACGGTGGTTGTTCGCGGGCGTAAATGTGTTCCTAGCTCGACTCAGGTAAAAATATATTTACTGCAACAAAGAGCGTCAACTGCATGTATTACTATTATAATAATTACGACGGGTGTTAGAATTGAGATTACATATTTTGAAACATTTAGTTCACCTGCGCCCTTGAGGAATTAATTTCGATCTCAAAAGGTTCCAAATGATTACCAGATTCAGTTCCGACAGGACTTAGCGGTCGCACGGTCCAACCATCATCCATACATTTGGAAGAGGCCAGAGAATATGTCAACGTCTTCATCTGTCGAGTCACTAATATTATATGAACATATCATATCTTATTATTTAGATTTTTTGTTTGGGAGAAATTTAAGAAAAGTTAATGGCTAAGTGTTAATTGGAAACAATAGCCTTTCAAGAAAATACTGCGCGTAAATACTCCATACTTTTTACCGCAAACAATGACACAAAAATACATTTCTAAGAGGCTTCCGACTGATTAGTTTTTAAAACGGGTTTAACTTTAATCAACATTCCTTACGAGTGAATTTGCGGAATATAATTTTAAAATATGATCCATGCAGTTAAATTAGTATTCCGGGAGAAAATGGCTTTCGAAGTTCGTTATATGCCAACAAAGATTGAACACCACATTGGTTGAAATTGTAAAGTTTGTAAATTGTAATGGAATAAACTAAGCGGATTGGCGATCCTAGTCTTTGTGGCTGTATGATGCAATTTCCCCCCTTCTCTATAAAAGCGTTTAAATAGAAAAACTTTTGGCCGTATAGCGCCAGGTGCAATTCTTCAGTTTTATTTTCATTTTTACAATGTCAGAATTTTCTGTAAATTCTGTTAGTCAAAATATTGACACATCATTCAGAACAGAAATAAAATGCCAGCCAAGGTCAAGGAATAGGCATGTCGAAACTAGACATAAATATGGAATGGATAATTTTAGCGCAACCATAATCTCACGTATAAGTTCAGGAATAAGTTGAAAGCAATTTGTACCACCGATATTACGACGTCAATTTTCCAAGATTCGCAGTAAGAATATCCACTTCATGAAGAAAAGCGCTTTCATAATCAACTTGGATTAAGTTAATCTTCAGTTAGGGGCATACGGCATTGGCGTACATATTATTTACATGGTAGTCTTGGCTGCGAAAAAGGTTGGAAGCCAGGTTTTGTCTTCGCTATTGAATTTTTATATGAACACGGTTTAAGTCTTTAAGACATATCATTAGTTTAACGATACGGATTTCAACAACCTATACCTTAGTGCCATTAATCACACATATTAAAATCACTTTTTTCTGTCTACATTACCGGCTGTACTAATATCATATATATTAAAGAAATAAATCATAATCTTGGGGATCGCATGTAAATTGACCTCATGTGGCTTGTAAACTGAAAACTTCCTCAATTGCGAGCGTCATCAAAACAAAATCTCGTTCCATGCAGATGCGTATGTATATTAGTGTGGTCTTCGTCAACTAACAAAGGTGTTCTGAATGTTTTCAAGTTCGTTTGCTGCTTTTAAAGTAAACAAGAACAAAAATATTTAATATATAAACACGGTTGCCTAATATGTTCATGTGATACCATGCCCATGCAAGCTGTCATAAAATCAGCTGCCCTGCGAAGAAGTACATAAATACAGGAAATTTTTGGACTAATCATAGCTTGTAGTGCGGTTCCAGTGGCGTGGTGAGTCTTAATTGTATGTGAGAAGCTGCTGAAAAGTTGCCGATGGAGAAGTTGAACAAAACAGAACTAATTCATCAACTGAGTCGTTTTGATTGCTTCAGTGCAAAAAACGCAGACAATCCAACTTGTAAGAAGCTTTTTGACTTACTAATTCCGAGAAATGAAAGCTTCGGCAACAATTATAACCACTTTCCAAGGATGAATGATGATTATCGTATTGTAATCCATGTTTCGATCGCCAGCTATTCCTTGGCAATCTTCCTCAATTGTGCATTACTATGGATAATGTATAAAGATCCTTTGAAAAGACTTCGTACTCCATCCGCGCTGTTTATTGCTTGCCTTGCAATTTTTGATCTTTTGGTGCTTGCTTCAGTCTTGCTATCGAGACAGAGTCGTCAAAAAATCCTAAAAGTGATCCTTCCGAATCAACAAAACTCTATCTACCTTGGCTTGTGGTAACAACTGCACAATCCAGTTACTATACAGTCTTGTTGATAACATGTGAACGCTATGCTGCAATAGCTCACCCGTTTCGTTACCGTGTCCTTGTAGTAATTAAACGTTCTGTAATTGCAATGCTCATCTCATTGTTGCTTGCTTTCGCCATTTCGACTTCGCTGTTTTTTACTCATGATCCTCTGGAGTTACCAATGATAGCAAATCAAATCTATGCCATAAATACGTTTATTTTGATAGCAGTACTCCTTGTACTGTATCCTTTAACACACTCCAGTTTACGGCGTCAAAGAAAACAAGTTCTCACCATGAACGCGAGCAATAAAAGGCTAAGAACAAATAAACTGAAACTCGAGAGGAATTTCGCAAATACTATGTTTTTGGTGTGCTCTTTCTTGGTTCTCTTTACATCTCCATACGTGGTCATGTTTTTCTTCACGACAACCGATTGCGTTTCTTGCATGTTGAACAATTATTTCCTACACATTTGGATGTACTTTCGTATCTTCTTTGCTCTGCATTTTGGAGTCAATCCAGTGATTTATGCTTGGAGGCTGCCGTGTTACAGAAAATCACTCCACATTTTGCTTCAGAACCTCCTGAAACGCCATGGTACGAACACAAACCAGCCAAAGAGATCGGTCACAAAACCAAGTGCACACAGAGAAAATGGGGGCACACAGAATGAGACACGGGCATAAGTTTACCAATTATATAGAAAAGTATACGAATAGTTACATATAGAGTGTAATGTACGGATAATTCCAGAGTGTATAGCTGCCTACTGAATCCCGTGAAGGACGTGGTTCTTGCAAAATTTAAACTGTCTTTATATCACTGTATACAATGGAACGATGCCTTAGTTTCAGAGTTGTTTTAACTTGTTAAAACCTGTATATTTCACAGACACATGTCGGAGATTTGGGTATATACGATTTAGAGCGTGTTTTCTCGAGTTGTAATATAACTTTGAACTGTTCAGATTAATTTCAAATATATGCATGTAATAAAGTTTTAATGTAATAAATTATTGCATGTATAATACATGCAATAAACGCAGTATAAAATTATTACAGAGCGTTGTATGGGTCCATAAAAAAATGAATTGCCTGAATTTCCATTTGTTTTTATACTATTGAATGAAAAAACGATTGATGTTATACTGCTAATATGAAACTTAGTGGGCAAGGAATGAGGGGGCATCACTTATTTAGAGTCGTAAATTTTGAAATTTCCCCTTTTAGACGATCTACAACAGAAAACATGCCACAATTTACAGGTTCCTGTTCAATATTCATAGTATATATGATAAAATATTATTTTCGAAGCCATCCTGTTTCAAACATGTTTCAAAGCTGCTAAACTATACGACGAAGATATTTTGTATATTATGTACCGTATACATGGTGACTATAGCCCCGTTTACACTACACTCGATTTATTGGCACGGCACGGCTAAAATGGGTACCGGCACCCATTTAATCTGTGCTCGGCCTTTTTTTTGGTAGCCTTAACACTAATAAAATTTTGTACGGGTACCAATTTTAGCCGTGCCAATAAATTGACTGTAGTGTAAACGGGGCTTATGGCGCGCCACTTTTTCAAGGGCAGTTTCCTAGTGCATGATCTATAAGTTGGGTGAAAGCGCTCAGTTTGGATTATTGCATATTTGCATGCTAAATTTATTAATTTAAGTTATGAAAATATGGTTAGCCAACGGCAACGTATAGATCTATTCTCGTAACCATATTTTTATTGAAACACAGTAATTTAAAAGTAGTTTATAGTGCAGTATGAAGGGACCTTAACATATCACCAGATGCTCATTTGGTACAAGATCGTTCAAATTACTGTATATGTTTGTAGCAAGTAGCAACTGGCTGTGACATGCATGTGAGTATAGTATTTGCCAATCAAATGAAAAAACACAGACATTCCTGTGTTCGCATTTCCATTAACGAAGGTATCATAAATCTTGAAATCATAACACCATGCACGAGGCGATTAGTTTATTATATATCATATAAACAGACAACTTGCAGTGTGATAAAATAGTTTGCAATTATAAGATGTGAAATGCGGATTCGGTGGCGCGGAAAAGTGATATGCAAGTGTTGAAAAGAGATAACTAAAATTCAGATTCAAAACATTTTTGTGTGGTTTTTTAGTCAATTGTCGGGCACGTTTCAGTAAGACATTTTAGTCACAATAAGCCATTACCAGATGATTTTTTTGAAGGCGTGCAACTCCTCATACAAATTAAACGCTGTAATCAGGGCTGTATGTTCTGGCGACTTTCATACAGTAGTATTATTATATAAAATTTCCCCCCCTCAATTGTTAACTTACTTGCATAGTAGTTTACAGAAGTCCCAGATACTTTCTGTCTTTCTACCTCTCTTTCTCTTGCTCTAAAATATTGGTATGTACAATCAGTTGTTGTGCATGGCCAAACCGACTAATAAACACATTAAAGGAACTGCGATTGGGAAATTGACTAACAGCAAAGTAAGATATAGTAGCGTTTTTTGGTCTACGATTTTAACTTCAGCTTTTGATAATCGTCGCAGCGTCTTCAAACAACTTCACAACAACTGCCTAAAAGAGACATAATATTCTTTCTCGACGTTTCGACCCTAAAGACGTTCATCAGGAGAGTTAGTATGTCTTACATCTTAGTTAGTACGTCATACTACCGTAACTCTGCTGAAACGTCGAGAAGTTTTTTGTCTATTTTTAGCAGTTGTTATACCACATTTGATGCATAAAAATATACCCAAACAGATATATAGCTTTCCTCTAGAACACCGACCAAGAACAAAACCTGTTCATTTGGGTCATGTCGCACATGCGTAGACTACTTTCTAAGATTTTTTAAGAAGATCAGCAAAAGCGTAACTGTGTTGAACATAAAAGCAGTCAACTGACCGAGCCCATGCAGTCAGCAGCCAGCAAACCACCCAGCCATCATGCATGTGTACAGTTTATTCTCACCTTGCTGCAGCTCGTTCTTTGGCTGCCTTTCTCGCAGCTTTTGTTCCAAATGGTGGGTGTGGTCGAACATCAATAAGTTCATCTTTCATAAAACCATCATCTTCTTCTTTATGGACTGATTGTTGTTTAACATGCTCGTGATAAATAGGGCATTCGATCTTCGCCTGAATATTATATAAAAGTACTTTTATTGCGACAGATTCAAATGAGAAAAATATATTAAAAAATGCATTTATGTACTGTACGTAGTACATTGATAAACTCTCTCTAGGACTCTAGTTCTATATTGCACGAGATGCCTTGAAAGTTTCGACATTTGCCTAGAATTTAATACGTTGTGTTTCAGTATTCTACACTACAAAAGGCATTTTTTAGAAAACTTACAGCTTCTGCTAAAGATACATGTTGTCCCACATCAACTTTATCCAAAACTTCAGCCCTGCAGTATGCACATGAATGATCTCCTTTAGTATCGTCAGAACGGACATCCTCCGCCTCATTACCGGGAAACTCGTTGGTAAATGGTGGATTCACCGATTCTTTAATATATTGTAAAATCTTAGGTGGCCCAATACTTGGTAAAAACGATTCTTTATCAAAGGTATTGATTTCATCATCTTCATCGGAACTACTAGAACTGTACTCTACTGTTGGAGGTCTGAACAACTCATCCTCAAGTTCTATGATGCAAAATGAACACAATCCTTATTTAATCAATCCAGCACATTCACACCAAAGTCATTGAACAAATGTTTTATGAAGTAAGGTACTTAAAGCGCAGTAATGTGCAAAATATTGATGGTTGAGACGTCAAAGATATGGCCCAATTGATGGTTGAGATGTCAATTAATATAACAAAACCAACTTAACCAAGCTGCTCATGTCATGACTTTCATAAGAGCTAATTACTACAGATATTTAAATTCACACTTTTGCCCTGATAATTATAATTTATAAAAGGGATTTGTTAATTAATTAACTTATCTGCATAATATGTATAATACTATGTAATACTATATAATGCTATATATGTGTATAATACTATATACTGTATAATACTAATATATATATTTATATACTTTACCAGAATCCAGGATGATTTTGTTTTTTTCTTGCATTTTGATATTTGAGAATTTTTCACTATCTTCTGTGTTTTCTATTGAGTGTGTATGCAAGCAAATTAATATAACAATTGTTCCTGTTTCGCTATTTTACAACAACAGTTTTATGTACAATGATCGTTTGGATAAAAATAATTTTTGGTTACAGCTAAAACACCTCTTCTGTACCCTAATTATGTGTGGTACTGGCCAATATCCTTTTTATAAGCATGGCCTAAATTATGAGATCTTATAACCCCCTCGGCCATAGTGGATAGTTTGTAATGCATGCTGGATATATCTGGCATATACCATTTGAAACTTTCCACTCTGGCTCCTCAATGAAGAACCTACCATTTAGAACTGCATCATTTGCAATCTTTTGGGTGGGTTTCAATTCTGATTTTATTTCTTCAAGCTTCTGCATATCCTCTATCCAACTCCATTCAGTTTGTGTACATATAGAAGCAACTTCAACTGGAGCAGACTGAGCTCTGAGTAGATAGTTATCTTCTGGTTGAATATTGTTTGTTAATAGGTATGACTCAGATTTCACAGTTTTATCTTCCATAAATGATTGCTGTTTGACAGGTGTTGATTGTCTACTGTTATCTATTGATAGGTTTTTTTCTTCTATATTGTCTTGGTCAAAAGATTCCATATCCGGCATGCTTGTATTATCTACCGAGCTTACTGTGGAATTTGAATCACTCATTTTCATACTATCAGGTGTATGATCTCTTAGCAGCTTTTTTTCTTCTGCATTATTCACTGCAGCTGTAAGTAGTTTGTTTCGAAATAGTCCAGGATGATCTACACCTACTGTAACTTGTTCTTGAACTCCAATTGGTTCATCCGGGGGGAGATCCCGCTTTGTCCTTTTCAAAGTTTTACTTTTTGATGTACACGTATAGGCCAAAGAATTTTCAATATCAGGATCTGGTGTATTTGGATCACTACCAGAACCCGCTAAACTTGAGACGGATGATCGTCTACCTCTACGAATAACACTATGCTGCAAATAGATTGACGAGGGTCTTTCGTCTGGCTGTTCTTGTAAATCTCTTCTTTCAGACCTTCTGCTAGCATCTCCACTACATGTCGCTTCTGACTGTTCTCGCATTTCACCAGTTATGTCATCTGTAAACATGTCAATCCAACAAAATATTTTTGGCCAATAGTTGATCGGTTCATTTGTTTATCATGTACGTCTCTTTATGGATATTACATGTCAATGGTAACCACGGCAACCGTTTCAAAAATTAACACTATCCTTTTTGAAATATCATGAAAAACCATGTAAAAAGTGAATTCTCATATATTTATTTACTAAAGCATACCTCAACCACAGAATAGAAAACAAAAAGATTCCCACAAGTTTAAGCAAAATATACTTTTTGCGTCGATGTACGGTAACTTAGCAACGCTTTTGAGAGTACAACCCGCAAACAGGCGGACAAAACTGCCCGGCAATTTCAAGAATTTGCGGCGGCTGCAGAGTGAAAACGAAAATACGATAAAAAGTCGATAGCGATAGCGAACATTCTACGCCACGTTGAACTTTACTTTAGCATGCGAGATACCGAAAGAAGTTGTTGCAACACTTGATATATTGATATTATTGTATCTTTCGTAATATAAGGCGGAAGAAACAGTATAGATATGTAAAGAATCTTCAATTTAGTTCTCCATTCTAAAAAGTTGAAATGGCAGGTAGGTTCATAGCCTGGTGTGATCACGTACGACAGATGTTTGTCACTGCTCCGTCTGCTCGTATTAGACTATCAGTATCAGCAGTATCTAGTTCACCATTTGCCTGTTATTCATTTCATTATGTGTTCTAGCTTTCTTTCCAGGGACAAACATGGAGTGCTAAATGTCCTAATTCAACTGTCAGTAAACATGTTTTTTGGTTTCATCACTAGGAGGAGTAAACAACGAAGCTTTCGTGAGTCTTGCAACGAACAATGGTTATGCACTTGGTGCACTAGTTCTTGGCCATTCTTTGAGATCTGTTAACACGAACCGGCAGTTGGCTCTCATGATCACTCAGAGCGTCGATCCTCAAGTCCGGTATTTAATGACAGAAATGAGAAATAAATATTTAACTGCATAGTTAGGGCATTAAAACTACATGTAGTTTAATAACTGCATCCGCACCCATAACATTCATGATTGGAATTACCTCCTTTCCCATTGGTTAACTCCCAAGACTTTTTTTTTGTATATATATTAAGTGCTCTCTATATATTCAACAGACAAGAATTGCTTGGTATCTGGGACCGTTTAATAGTGGTGGATATTCTTGATAGTGAAGATAGTGCCAACTTGGCTTTACTTCAAAGACCTGATCTTGGAGTCACATTCACCAAATTACATTCGTGGAAATTAGTTGAATATACAAAATGTGTTTTTCTTGATGCCGATACAATGGTATTACAGAATGTTGATGATCTTTTCAACAGACCAGAAATCTCAGCTGCTCCTGATACTGGATGGCCTGATTGTTTTAATTCAGGTGTTTTTGTTTTTGTTCCATCATTACAAACACATAATGATCTCATTGCTCATGCATTAGCAGTTGGAAGTTTTGATGGTAAGAACAAGAAAACATTTTTTTTACATTTTCAGTTACATGAAGTGCACACTTTGTGCTAACAACAAAAAAGCATATGAAACTTTGACCTTCTGTTATTATTGTCAGTCATCAACAATTATTGCAAATAATCACATTTTGTTTAGTGCTTGGAACTACAAATATATATTGAGCAAATGTTTATGTAATATGATATAGGAGGAGATCAAGGTCTTCTAAATTCATTTTTTAACAACTGGCTGCATCTTGGACCTGATCATCGCTTACCTTTTGTCTATAATCTTCATTCCAACTCCTTTTACACCTATTCACCTGCCTTTAAAAGGTATATATATTTAATATTGAAGTTATTACAACAGAGTGCTTAAAGGTGCATTTTACAGATACCCACTGATAAGAAACTTTGTTAAAGATACCAGCAGGTGCTCAATTATTTTGGCCTCCGAACAACCGAAGTCTTTTCTAAATTAAGATGTTAACAAAAAGTGCAAAATTAGTTTTTTTCAAGGAATGTCAATAACTCTCAATTATCCATGAAAAATAGCAAAGCTTTCAAATTAAGGTGACATTTTCAAGCAACACATTTTTAATCTTAATATTTAACACTCCTCCTACATTTGATGTTTGCATACTACTTTGTTTTTCTCTCTTGGAGTCTTTTATATTTATATTAAAAACAACTATAGACCTAATTAGATACTGATACTCAGCATTCAGAAAATGGTGTCTATTATATTTTTTATCTCTTTTAATATTTATTAATATCATGAATTGTTTATTGAAAGGTTTGGTGATGATGTGAAGATAATTCATTTTATTGGTCGTAAGAAACCATGGCAATACACTATCAATTTGGAAACTGGTAGAGTCATTTATGACCATGGTATTATTTCAGTGACGTCTTCAGAACATTTTATTCAAAAATGGTGGGATTTGTACAACGAAATTGCTGAACATCGAATAACAGTAAGGCATATGTTTCCGTCATTTCGTTCATTATATTATGGTATGCCATTCTCATTTAACTGTATGTCTTGAATTTCCTGGTAATATGAGTTAATCCAACTCAAAAGTTCTGTAAAGAAAGGTTTTATACTAGCAAAGGTATGCACAAGCCACAAAGTTGCACACTAACCTTCACCGCAAAGGTGGCACCCTGAAGGGACGTCTTTCCTGGAGGTGTAAGGTCTAGGGATGAGAAAAATGCATAAAAATAAATAATTGCACCATTGCGTACTTCTTATTCCTGTGCTAAGCACAAATCGGTTAAAACGCTTAGCATATAGACAGGTATAAATCGTGAATTTTTCGTAATTAATTCGAACTCCAAATTGTGTTTTCATAGTAACAGTTTTCCCGACAATCGTAATTAAGGTAGTACAGGTGCATGGTACTATATATTAGGTGCTTAACCTGTAATTTTAGCTAATCGAATTATCGAAACGAGTATATAGCTAGCAGTTTATATATATATGAATTATGAAAAACATAAAAGCTATAGCGAAGAAGTTCGAAGCTATACAGAGAATGAAAAGCTATAGCGAAAAAGCTGCAAGAAAGGCTATAGCATCTAGATATATAAAACTAACTTGTGCACTGCACGCATGTATGTAGGAAGGTGTTGGTCAGGTATCCAGTATAGTTCATCCTCAAGAAAACTTCTATCCAGCACTCTTGCAGATAGCATCTGATTCGGAAGACTCGGAGTGCTCAGAAAGTGGCAGTATACATGAGACACTAACAGGAGAAGAAATGATTCAGGCGTATCAAACTGGTCCAATAAATATTCCTGCACCTGTAATAACCGCACTCGCACTAACACCTAATCAAAATTTTGACGAGAGCCAAAATGTACATAATCATTCGTACGCAACCAATCCATTATCTACACATTCACTACCATCTTCACAGGTATTGTAATTACAGAACTGAAGTATGTAGGAATGTAACGTAACGACGAGGACCAAAGTATAGTTGTTGGTGATCGCATTCGCATAGGATTCAGTTCAGTATACTAAAAGAAGAAGACGTGAAGACTCATGGTTTTTCGGATGAACAATTTCCCCAGCAATCTTTATCTATAAATATTTATACATTTGATTATTGGTCATTGTCGTCGCGTCACCATCCTCCATTCTTAAGCTTTATACTGTTTAGATAGAGTTACATAATCTCACAGTTAATCCGTGCATAGTTTATAGATTATTTCGTACTTATAATAATTATATACTAATCGTCTTATATACTGCATTATTACAGAGCAGGATAGGGGAAATGTTGTTCAGATAGTGTTATTGTGTAGGACGCATTATAATTGCAAAACATTCATCATAAATGTTGTCCACATTCGACTGATCTCGGCATTAGTTCCTACAGAAACCACTACTGCCAGCATTGCTCGAAAAATATTTAATATTTCAGTTAAAATGTGAATACCTATTGGTCAATAATGTACAAAATGAAAAACATGTTCTGCTACCAATTAAAGATCGATTGACGGGCTTTGGTTTAAAAATCTATAGAGATCAATCAATACGGTTATTATCCATTCTTTGTTAATTCTCAGCCGCATGCGGGGGTTTTTGAAGGTTCGCCCATTGACGGGTTATTATAATTTTAACGTGCACGATATAAGGAAATTGGAAAACAGTTTTGATGTGGTTTTGTTGAAGAAACCTAGTTTCCCTGCTTTATCATATCGGTTTTTTTACAAGGCTTATTTTTCTGTTAACCATTACTAATGAATGAACAATTTTTGTTACAGTCCCACGAAATCAACCAGATTACAAGCGGTATCGGTAATCTTCAATTTCGTAGTACCGCTGGAGAATCACAAGACCATGGGGTTTCGCCATCACAAGATACGTCAGGGCGATGGCGGTGGGAGTATGGTCAAATAGACTATGGTGGTGTTGACAGCTTTGCAAACATTCAACGAAGATTGGACGAAACACTTTCGAATGGGTGATAATGCGTGATAATATTTAACACTTATTTACTGCGAACGAAGGAAACATTTTGTTTTGTGGACCCGAGACCTGCCTATATCGATGGTCAAGGGTCCACAAAACATAATATTTTCTGAGTTCTCGGTAAATAAGTTTTTTATTATATACCACTTGTCAAAGAAAAACCAAACTACAAGGTAAACTACGAAATATCTGTTCATAAAAGACATAATTTCAAATGGATAAACAGTCTAAAGGTAGTACGTCCAGGTGCGCCGCGCGTGATTAAAGTTGTTATTTCCCATGGGAAATAACATGTTATCTCACTCTGCAGGGGTTGCGAGGGTGACATCAAAATTTCGCCACTCTCGCATGATTCGCTCTCGACCAATGAAACGCTACGAACACCAAACTTTAACAAGTGGTATATAATATTTTAGTTTGCCTCCACGTGAAATAACTAGGAACAGACAATTCACGAGATGATCCATTCTGGTAATCAACTTAGCATAGTACGAATAATTTTTTTATTAAAAGCAGTGAATCTTAATCAGAACTCAGAAGTCAGCACTATAGCTAGCGCATGAATAAACAGCACGTCTTACTACGCATGGTTTGGTTTATTGGTTATAAATAAGTCTCTTCGAAAGCATTTGCCCAAAAAAATTTGGGTTTTTTTTCTTGACACCCTCTTGTTTTTTTTTCTTGTGAAAAGTATTTTATATCGTCTTCAATGTTGAAGACCACTCTTCGCGTCTTTCCAATTTGAATTAAAAAATCACAGATTCATAAAACTGTTCTTTTGTTTTCCCACATTGTCCTATAGGTTTAGCTTTAATCATTAAAGAAAGATTAAAGAAAATTCTCTGGAAAATGGCATTAATTTATCCGTGCTAAACTTTCAAAGAGATTTGAACACTAAGCCAAGAATTAGGGCTGCGTTCAACTGCCGCGTTTTTTGCACTTATGTACACGCACGTAAAAGTTTAAAATAATTTAAATGATACTTATGAAATCAACGATTGCGTCTTCAATGTTGAAGACCACTCTTCGCGTCTTTCCAATTTGAATTAAAAAATCACAGATTCATAAAACTGTTCTTTTGTTTTCCCACATTGTCCTATAGGTTTAGCTTTAATCATTAAAGAAAGATTAAAGAAAATTCTCTGGAAAATGGCATTAATTTATCCGTGCTAAACTTTCAAAGAGATTTGAACACTAAGCCAAGAATTAGGGCTGCGTTCAACTGCCGCGTTTTTTGCACTTATGTACACGCACGTAAAAGTTTAAAATAATTTAAATGATACTTATGAAATCAACGATTGAATAGATGCATAGACAGCATAGGTTGAAATCTGTTGATGATTTGGTGTGTTTTTTTACTGGCATAAAACTCATTATACAACAACTTACAAGGTTTTAAGTCTTTACATGCGTTGTATGGACGTGCAAAAAACGCGACAGTGGAAAGCAGCCCTGAAACAGACTTACAAAGTAATTTGCATGCATAGTTTCAATGACGCATTTGCGCGATTGCAAATGGCTTCTACATGATCACATAAATCAAATAGCGATGTCGTGTACTATCAATAATTCGTAGAATTCCTTTTAAATGAAAATGGCGTCAATTATATTGAAAGCAGGAGAAAAATTGAAAATGAAGAATAATTTAAGACGCGTCCACAACCATATATATAAACCCTGTGTTAACGGGTCCAATAACTATCAAACTATTAATTAATAAACACATAGTACCATGCAAAAGTACAATTTGTATAGATTTCTATTCCATGCGTGGTATAATGTACAAGCTTTATACCCACGTTCAGATCTGCTATTGATTTTACTCTGTAAAGTAAAAGTGACCTAGTATTGTTATGTGAAAGCAGGGGTATAAATCGAAACCATGGACTCCTGTTATTTTACAAGTAATCGTAACGCAGGGTGTTTCGTTCAAATTTCAAGATGGTCGGCTGTTTTTCATGCACGAGGTTCGAGGGTCCTATAAAAATATTTTAAAATTAACCCTTTGCCGGCTTTACATATCTCAGTATGCAAGGGTGCATAGCCATACGTTGGGCCCACTAATCTGGTTGGCAGGGGCGCCGGAATATCGATAATAACGGGGGCAGATATTCATATATTCGTGTTCGCAGATCGAAAAACAATCGATTTCAAAAGAAGTTAATAATGCAGAACACGAATATATGAATATCTGCCCCCGTTATTATCCATATTCCGGCGCCCCTGCTGGTTGGGCCATAGGATTGGTCCATGGAATGGATGCCGCCGTTGCCATAGTTATCCAGCGTGGTGTAATACAGAATAAACACTTATACCAGAAGTCTCACTCTTTGCAATTTGCTTATGTTTTCGTGTACGAAATTTTTCCTGATTTAGTAGACATACGCAGCCCAAGCAAACAACGTTGGTTTGTAAGGTTACGTCAATTCATTGTATCAGTGTATATCACCGAGCTTAAATATAGCTCAGTGGAGCATATTGTTTGCAATATTGTTTGCAATATTGTTTGCTGGGCCACTCTATGGTCACAGAGGACCAACACAGAGACCAAGTAGGTCCCCTCCTCGGTCCCCTCTGTGCTATGGTTTAGATCAACTTGCGTTTAGCGCAAGACGGAAGTGACTAACTGGTGAAACCGTGAAACGTGTTCTGATTTAAATATTCTTTTACCCGTTTATATACTTACAGCTGTTATTTAAAAATGCAACTACGTTCGGCTCTGTTTTGTGTAATTGTCTTCGTTTTAGTTCTGGTGACCTTACAGCTTTACTACCTGCTTGTTGATGAAGAAAATACTATCAATTTCTCTGATCATCCTTATGATCAGAGGTATGGTTCGGATAACATGAATCAGGATTATTCATTGGCAAGAGAACACGACGAGAAGGACGGATTTGAAAGTGATATTACTGGTACGTAAATATGACAAGTGAAAGTAAAATGAAATGCAGACTGCAGTTAGATCTCAAAGGATATTTATGTATGTTTAACTACATTGATGGTATCATGGTATGTCATGATATTGAATGATGATATATTTGACAGCAGTAGAATGAATATAATATTAGATGCAGAGCAATCAGAAAGATAGTGAAGCACAAGTGTGCAAATCGATGCCAAATTCACTTTCCTGGGGTGGGAGCTAAGTGTTCATTTTTCTTAAAAATAGGAAGGTTTGTTATGGCACCACGGCCATGTTTGCAATAAGTATAGGACTACTTTTCTATCAGACTTTATTAGGGTTGCTAATAGTAACTATGTAGTAGGAACATAATGTAGATACCATGATTTTACCATCGACAAATGAAAATGTTGGCATTTGACTGTGATAAAATCATAATTAAAACCACATATGTTTTTATATATGCAGAGCTTTTTGTCTGTTAACCTGGGTCTTAATAGGTTACTTATTGATGACTAAATGACATCATTTACTTATTGATGACTCAATTGTTGACAAAATTGTCTAACTTTTGCAATTGTTCTGAATTTTCCTGAATATATAAACTGAATTATTATAACTCTACAGTATTAATTTAAAGGCATGCAAATGCATCCTAGATATAAAATAGTATTGCATGGCTAAAAAATATATAGAAAAAATTAGTTACTCATATATGTTATTTGTGATAAAATTAATTAATTGGTTAAGTCACATATGGGTACAACATAATTTCTATTGGTTCTCATGGTGAAAATTTAATACAGTATATGATGGGGGGCATGATACAAGACAAAGAAACAATATTGTAAACAACTTTTTAAAACTGAACAGTACAATAAAAGTAGACATATTCATATCAAATAGAACTGCATGTTCCAGCTATCTATACTTTCTTAGCACATACTACTTAATCACCATGTGAGTTGAGTTCTAGTTATGTTAAATAATCTGTGTTTCCCAATAATGGATTAGGTCATGTGGTCAGGTGAAGGCATGTCAGACATAGTAATGATTGCAATTCCGCATTCCGGATCTGCATTCGGGTTCCGCGTTTTATCCCGAACAACGTACTGGCCAACAAACATTTCATTTAGCTGAACTTAGGGTCACGAGCTGCCTATGATCTTCAACAAGTGAAGATAACAGGATCAACAGCCTAGTGACAGAACCTGTTTAATTGGATTAATTTTAGAAGATGATGAACCAGTTCATTTTAATTACGGTAGAGATCAAAGTCATGAGGATAGTCAACCTATGGAAAAAGATATTCCAATTTTACTCTGGTGGACACCTTTCTCTTTGTCAAATGAAATACGAAAATGTAGTATGGGTGAATGCTATACGACAGTGCATCGTACAATGAAAAATGACAGGCGAACTCAAGTGTTTTTATTTTATGGAACGGATTTCAATGTCAACGATATACCACTGCCGCGAAAAGGTAAAACATCTGATTAAAAATTAGACGTCAGAAAAAAAGCGCAGGCGCAGGCCAGCTTTGCCACAAATCTGCGCCCTGCCACAAATTGAGACTACTTAGCCAGCACTAGTATAGAGTTTTCGCTTTCTTGGTCTGGGTGCATGTAGCTTGATCTGGAAGAATTTGATCTTACTAAACACTAGCATTACTGATAAGACACGCTATATTTTTCCCTGTATATGTTCTGTAAGTTTTCTGTTAGTTTCAATACGATTGTTTAATATCGCGCAATTTTGGGCCGTCTATGGCTATGGTTTCACACAGTTGTATTACTATTGGCAGTATTGTGTCATGAGCAATGGTATTTGAATATTTTTGATAGATGTAAACAATGTTGCTAAAAAATCATAGAAATATTACTTGCCAGCCATTTTGCAGGCAAGCTCAGTCTACAAATGAGACAATCTGTGGATCATCTTGCAATCTTTTATAGCTAATCACGAATGGGCTCTTTTTCATGAAGAATCTCCAAAGAATAACGCAATTTTGTTTCACGAAGATACAATCGTACTATTTAATCACACAGCCACATTTCGTCGCCATTCAGACTTCCCTCTTGTCACACAAAGTCTGGATTCAATCGATATTTTGGAACAAAAACCATGGTATTCGCTGGATGACAAGAAAAGTGATAAAAACATGGCTTCTGTTGTTTACGTGCAGAGTTCCTGTAACGCTCCATCAGACAGGGATACTTATGTCCAAGAACTAATGAAATACCTAAAAGTTGATTCATTAGGCCAATGCCTTAACAATAAAGAACTCCCTCAAGAATACAAAGATACTTTGACATTTTCAAACAAAGGTTTTTACAAAATAGTCGGCAAATATAAATTTACATTAGCTTTTGAAAACGCGATTTGTGATGATTATATTACGGAGAAATTATGGAGACCCCTTGAGACTGGGTCAGTTCCTATATATCGTGGTTCGCCGTCCGTGCTTGATTGGATGCCAAATAATCATTCTGTGATTTTGGTGGATGACTTTTCCAGTCCGCAAGAGCTGGCGGAATATATTAAAAAACTCGACAATGATGATGCCGCGTATATGAAGTACTTAGATTTCAAACAGAAAGGTGGTGTGACAAATACAAGACTTCTAAAACATATGAAAGAAAGAAAGTGGAACATGGTTAGTGGAGAAAGTGATTTTTTGGCTGCTTTTGAATGTTTGGTTTGTGACAGACTACATGAGAATTTAAAAAGACAAAAGTCCGGCTTACCCATGGCGAGACATGTGGCTGACCAGAATCACTTTGGTTGTCCCAGACCAGTTCAGTTCAAATACCCTTTAGTTAAAGGTGTTGAACAGCCAGAGCGAGATATTTGGAAAAGGGAGTTTGATGATTATAGGAGCGTAGCTAAAGCCTTAAACAAGGCTGTTCGTGAAGGTGAAAAGCAGTTCAAAAGCGACCTATATCATTAAGCTTGTCGTAGGTTGTATATACATAGAAACGATATGCATGTACATTGACGTCGTTCATATTTGATTATAAATTATATTGTAAATTATATATATATATATATATATATATATATATATATATATATATATTATAATATATATATATTAATATATAAATTATATATAATATATATATATCTATATATATATATACATATATATCCAAATAATTGACTGTGACAAAAAGATCACAGAACTTGACAATGGTTGGAGAGCGCTCAATACCATTACTGGCAGAGCGATAATATATATTTATTGAAAGACTAGCTTAGCTACTCGGAGTTTCACGCTATAAAGCGATCATCAGGCTAATGGCAGGTCTGGTTGCTATTCTCTATATTTACATCGTGATATAAGGTGTCGAATTACGTGTCTACATTTCGTAAAGAGTTCAGAGCGTTTGTTCAGCAGTGTTCTAGTTTTGTCTTATCATGAAATGTCCATATCATGAAAGACAAAACTAGAACACTGCTGAACAAACGCTCTGAACTCTTTACGAAATGTAGACACGTAATTCGACACCTTATATCACGATGTAAATATAGAGAATAGCAACCAGACCTGCCATTAGCCTGATGATCGCTTTATAGCGTGAAACTCCGAGTAGCTAAGCTAGTCTTTCAATAAATATATACATATATATATATTATAATATATATATATACATATATATATATATATTATATATATATATTATATATATATATAATTATATTATAATATATAATATATATTATATATATATATTATATATATATATATATATATATTAATATATATGCACGCTGAAAAATAAAGACTGCTTCTATTGACCGAGCGTGAGGTCTGTACCATGGAATATCAGACTGAGACTGTTTAGTATGGACAAAACCTCAGTAAAGTCCGAACAAGCGAGGTCAATAATCTGTTTATTATATGGATACTGGTCCAGATATGAAATATACGGACCATACACGGTCCGGATATGGGTTTTTACGGACCGCTCGTCATTTAATCAGAATAAAGGATCTTGAAAAGCCATATATAATAAATGTATGTTATTTACCAGATTGGAGGTCCGTATAGGGAAATATTTCCCAATTTTCCCAATATAAAGAAAACGGGGAATGTTAGAATGAGAATATAATTAAGCGACATGCATCAGGTAGTTGTCCGATTCACACACGCGCTAAAGTGGTTCTACCTATAGTAGGTCCGAGTATCCCCCGAAAAATACCCGAATATAGCTTCTTAACTAGTAAAGTTATCAAAATGAAATATATTTCATTATTTAGGGCAAAGACTAACTTAAATTGTGTTGTTATATCTGTATTTACGCAAAAATTCGCAGAGATATCATTGATGTCTAAAATAGGTGCATGATAGCGTACTCTGTTACAGGTTTATATATAATATATGCATGTCTCTCTGCTCTTCAAATTCGTCTGCCCGTGTTTACACATAGACGAACTATAGAAGACGAACTTACACACATGCATAATTGCATATGAACTATCTTTCGCTCGCCCAAGTTCGTCTAGACGGATGATCCGTCTCTAGTATAAATCGAGCCAATGTTCTTTGTTGTAGTTCCTGCATTTTTCATTCCCATTTTTATTTTCCCCTGTTTTACGTCTTCTCCTTGAAGAAAACGAGGAGACTGTACGGCATAACACCAGAAAGTGACGGATGAATTTAACAGGACGAAAACGAACTGCAAATCACGGAACCAGTGAAGAGTGATGCAACTGCACTGCTCACAGAAATTCATGATATAAATGAAGGACCATAACAGCATAACATAGCGATGAGAACAACAATAAACATTCTGGTGACTTTGGCTTCCATCTGACGTGCACTGTTGAGGATTGAACTTGGAGTGTTTGCTGGAACAGTTGACAATCTTTCATCTCGGGGCGGTCCTGACGTACTTGGTGCTTGAATGCTATAGGGAGCTTTTCTAACAGTGTCATTATTACTGGACACGTTTTGAGATCTTTTTTGAACCTTTCTCAGCATAAGGGTGTATGTTAGACAAGTGATGACAATGGCTACTGCGACAGCGGAATTCGCGAAGATGAACGCATATGTAGTGTACCTAACTTCAAAATATATATTTGGTAGACTCAAAGATATTAACCAAATACAAGCCACTGTCAATATAATTCGTTTTTAGTCACGTTGGTACGATACGCATGTGTTTTCTCACTGCAAGATATCTTTCTAGAGCTAAACTCGCAGACCTGTAGAGTTTGGGTATGGATTCAGCTCCTAATTTCAGAGATCACTGCATGTGGATGGTGCTCTGAAGATCTTAATGGATTGCGTGTAATGTGGTAGTACCTATACCTTTTTCAGCTATGAAAGAATTGATAGAACAGCTAAAATGCCACGTATCTCTCTCAGTCATTTATGATCACTTTAAAAGTGTTACATTTCAGCCAGCTGGAATTTCTGTAACGGGCACCTTATAACACTCAATTGTATCGTATTTAAAATGGCTATTCCAATATAAAACAAAACGGAGAATGTTAGAGTGAGAATATATTAATTGAGCGACATGCATGCAGTTGTCCGATTTACACACGCACTAAAGTGGTTCCACCTACAGTAGGTCCGAGTCTACCCCGAAAAATACTCGAAAATAGCTTCTTAACGAGTAAAGTTATCAAAATGAAATGTATTTCATTATTTAGGGGAAAGGCTAACCTAAATTGTGTTGTTATTTTTGTATATTTACGCAAAAATTTGCGGAGATATTATTGATTTCCAAAATAGGAGATACCGTACTCCGTTACAGGTATATATATAATATATGCATGTTTCTCTGCCCAGCAAAACTTGTTTAATGATTTGATACGATGTGTGTTTGGATCAAGACAAATCTACAAATATTGCCTTGAACACCAATGTATCTCTATTAAATTGAAATCAAAATCTATGTTCGTCTTCTTCTATATCTCTATCATGAAATTTCTTGAACTGTTGACGTAATAACTTCACTCTTTTAGACGTTATTCAGTATCAATCAAACCGAAGTTCTTTTTTGAACCACCCGGTACTGATATAACCGACTGTTTCTAATGCTTCCATGCACTGTTATCGGACATTTACACCTTTAGCTGGCTAAGCACATGAATTATACGAAAATTCTTTGGGGAAAATCTCGCAGCTCGCTGGTTAAAGTTATACTGCCTGTAAAATGCAAAATGTATCACAAATAGAATTTTGAGTTTGATTAACTCGTATACAATATAATTGAAAGGAAAAGGTTTTAAATACTGATATTGCTTAAAAAGCGTGCACTATATAGCTATTAGTCTCTAAAACTATAATATATATATTCTATTTACGTTAATGCACCAGCTGTCTGCATTCGCAGTCCTTCTTTGTTACTACCCATGCATGCATGCAGTATATGCAGCCTTTACAATTGTAGCGCGAATAGACTTTGTCTTCTCCCCAAATCCTATTCAAGGTAGCTCTAGTGGAACGCTTGCATGGACAAAAGCAAATATTCCTTTGGCACATGCATATAGGTTATACCGCTATATGTTACGGATTCGTGATTATTTCGCGGTTAGAAAAGGGGGGTGGTTAGGTTAAAAGTTTGATTATCCATGCAGTTGACGTATTATTAGTTTCTAGGCTGATTATCTTATAGGGAGCTTCGTATTTACTTATAACGTATAATCGTATTATATAGAGTACACATGCAAGAACCGTTTTATGATGAATTTTTCGATCTACCCATCCAAATTCGTTTGCCTGTGTTTACACATAGACGAACTGGAAGACGAACTTATCCCAAGTTCGTCTAGACGGATGACCCGTCTCTAGGATAAATCGGGCCAATGTTCTTTGTTGTAGTTCCTGCATTTTTCATTCCCATTCTTATTTTCCCCTGTTTTACGTTTTCTCCTTGCTCAACGCTTTTACTGAAGGAGATGGTTTGGATATTATTGATATCGGAAGAGCCTGATTCTTCACTACTATTATTTCGCTTTGTAATCTTCAAGATCTTTGTAAAGGCACTCCGAAAACGAGGAGACTGCACGGCATAACACCAGAAATTGACGGATGAATTTAACAGGACGAAAACGAACTGCAAATCACGGAACCAATGAAGAGTGATGCAACTGCACTGCTCACAGAAATTCATGATATAAATGAATAGAGTTGAAGGACCATAACAGCATAACATAGCGATGAGAACAACAATAAACATTCTGGTGACTTTGGCTTCCATTTGACGTGCACTGTTGAGGATTGAACTTGGAGTGTTTGCTGGAACAGTTGACAATCTTTCATCTTGGGGCGGTCCTGACGTACTTGGTGCTTGAATGCTATAGGGAGCTTTTCTAACAGTGTCATTATTACTGGACACGTTTTGAGATCTTTCTTGAACCTTTCTCAGCATAAGGGTGTATGTTAGACAAGTGATGAAAATGGCTACTGCGACAGCGGAATTCGCGAAGATGAACGCACATGTAGTGTACCCAACTTCAAAATATATATTTGGTAGACTCAAAGATATTAACCAAATACAAGCCACTGTCAATATGATTCGTTTTTTAGTCACATTAGTACGATATGTATTTGCTTTTCTGACTGCAAGATATCTTTCTAGAGCTAAACTCGACAAACTTAATACTGAGGCAGTGCAAGAGATGAAGTAGCTCATATGAATTGCTTTCACTTCACCAGATGTTATCTTTTCATTCAATCCCTCCTTCATATGAATGTACACCGAGATTGGATTCGTCACCGCACCAACGATAAGATCTGCAGTTGCTAAATTTACTACCAACCAATTGAACGGAGTTCTTAGATTTTTGTTCGGATCCAAAACAACAGCTAGAATTATGAGAACATTTCCAGGAATATTCGTGAGAGTGAAGACCATCGACAAACTGGTTGTTATGAAAGATAACTCAGTTGGAGCTGCAGTTGTGAGACATCGTTTTTCAAATGCTCCTTGAACCGACATATTTCAAATCTGTAAGAAACAAACAAGGAAAATATATTCTATGTTAGGGACAAGCAATTGGAAAATGATGGAAATTAAATGATTGAACGTGCAAACTTTTGCTTTGAACCTTTGCTGATTTTCTCGAGAAAAATATTCCATCTAAACACAACCAGGATTGTTGTCAGGTAACTTCTACTTCTGCGTATTTATATATATCTTGCGATATATTTTCTACTTCTATATATATCTTGCGAATCCCCGAGCGGGCCAAAACGAATACTTGAAACAAAGATGATACCTTGAGAAAATTCACTTGTGATGCAGCTGCTCTTGCACCAGCGTCCGCTCATATGGCAAAATGTTTGATTACCAATGCACGACACAATATTACGATAATTGTCTCCCGAGCTTCGTAGTCCGTATTTTAATCTTTAATATAATCATATTACGCTATATTAACAGTGATGAACTATTAATTATATATCCATGCAGGCCAGTGCAAATTATATATGTAAATTGTTATTATATATAGTAAAGGAAAATTGCAAGAATCGAACAACACCCTTGAAATAAACCATTTCGATAATTACGTCACAACATTATCGTTATAAATTTAGAACCACCTTTAAATAATATGGATTTCAAGTTTTACTCTCACGGGCCACGTGCAAAGATGCAAAACATCCTTCCTCAACACATGCATGAAAAATTATTTTTAATTTTGACCTATAAATGTGGAAAACAGTCGTAACACTAAAACGAGGCTACCAGGCCACGACCGGCAGCCTCGTTTTTGTGCTATGGCTTACTTTCACACTTGTTTGTCAAAATGAAAAACTGTTTTTCATGCATGTGTTGAAGAAGGATGTTTTGTATCTTTGCGCATAGCTTACGGGAGTAAAACTTGAGTTCCCCTTCAGTTAAGGTAGTTCTAAATTAAATTGAAAACTATAATGTTGTGACATAATTATCGAAAGGGTCTATTGAGTGCGAGCTATGGCAAAAAAAACACTTTTCTGGGTCGAGCATCACTTCTCATACAGCCAAAGTTACAGTAAGTTCGACAAATTTGTTGTAAAATTTTGCAGGACACCAACAAGCAAGTGAGGCGACGTGTTAAGGTTCGACGTTTGAATCTCATAAAATTCTATCATGTTTTTAATTTTGTTTACATGAGACATGAGTCATGCGTGCATGATGCTTAAGTTGTCGGGTTTAAGTTGGTTTAATTAATCTAAAGATGTTAGTTTTTCTTCAAATAGGCAGCTTCTTTCGTTTATATATTGCATATTTGCAAGCAAAATTGAAACTGATGAAGTAAATAACTAATCTGCCGCATCAAGCCTGAAGCGAGCGAGCAAGGCAGCAGATCCTAATTTAAAATTGGAGGTACAAATCAAACTGAATTTGCCTTTGGTGCATTGCATTTCCTAATGCTTTTTCCCTATTCGAGTTGGTTTCCGAAAATTTGCATGGTACTTGACGATCAGTTTCTGGTTGAGAAACCGAGTTTTGTAAAGACACAGCACGCTTTGGATTAAATTTATCAAATCACAAATTATCATTTCCCGCGTTTTTCAATCCGGAAGTCAAATTTTGGTTTCTGAGTGCCAAGCCGAATGAAATTCATCATATGATTGCAATAGCTTGATAATTGCATTGCATCAATATCATAATTGCAATATTATCAAAAACAATGAATACATAAATGCAATTTTAAATAGCGTAATTAAAAGGATGAATTTTGGTGGATATCAACCCCCATAGATTAAGCCATATATTGTTTATTGTTCTCTTTTATCGGATACTGGTGATAAGACACATCACAAATTTCACAAAGGCCCTGGGAACGAGGTTGCAGTCCTCCTGCAATTTCGAAATGACAAATGAGTGTAAGTTGAGAGACTAGATAGATATATAGGTATTGCAATACATTGGTAAAATCATTGCGAGGCATCTGACATTAAACAAGTTGCATGAAAAATTGCATCGTGTAACATGTGCTATGTTCTCAGAATCAAGAAAGTCATCATATCAAACTTTGGTTATCGTCCAAAAACGTTTTAACAAGGTCATGTAACTTCGGACAGTCTGGGGGTGCAAAATGGGCAATAAAGTCCTTCTTAGTCACAGCACATTCTTTATTGCCAAAACTGCAAAGCGTTTGTAACATATTACTGCGTTCCACTGCAAATTTCCCATCCATACTTCCACTATCCAATTGATCTCTGATAGCGGCTTGCTCGAACTTACTATGAGAACACCAGTCATTTTTCCAAGTTTTTCCATTTGTTATATTTTGAAAAAACTCGTGCATTGTAGGCGTATTACGCATAAGCAATACACCTGCATTTAACATCCGATCCGTGCGTGGCCAACTTACTAAAAATTCTTTTCCCGGATAAGCATCAAAGAAAGACTCTAATGTTCTGTCCATATCCAAGAAAATTGCGTCAGTATCGACCCAAAACAGCAACCTACATTCAGCCAAGTGTTTGAGAATTGCATGAACTTTATCCCAGACTCTGTGACAGGGAGCATTTCGATGAAACCCGAATGCCTCTTCAATATAAGCATAACCATGGTGATCGGTATATTTATGTTTATTCTGGCGAAGACGAGCCAGTTGTGGAGTTAAGCATCCTTGCGTTCTATGACTTCCTATAGTTGAAAAAATCTCAATGAGTCCAGTGGTGATCTAATAAGGTTCCATCAAGAAACAGAGGCGTGGCCAAACTTGGGGAAAAGGAACCAGTAAAATTAAGGCCCCCTTAGAAAATGTATTTTATAAAAATATAGGTATATAGATTTTAATATTCTCTTTACGCTATTATTTTTAATACACGCTTTGATGTTTATATATTCTTTATTGTGCTGTTGTCTGCTACCGAATCCCTCACTCACTCACTAACTCTCATATTTCTATTATTGTCCCATATATATTCGACTAAGTGTCAATCATTATATTAGTATTAACTATTAACTAGCTCAATACTACATAGATCTGGCCCCAACTACAACGGGGTTTTTCTTGTCTCTCCCCGACAAAATCTCCTGGGATGAAAAACCAAATTTAGAAAAGTGTTTATAACTTAGAGTGCTTTACCTGTTAAAACACAAACTTTGTGTTGTTTGCAGCGGGCTTCTTTGTTGCTTTCCCATTGTTTTAGAACTCCATCAGTTTTAATTTCTACTGCTTTAGTATTAAATACCGTACAAGGAAGTCTCATGTCTTTTCTGCGTTTCTCAAAGAACATATCAACCACAGAGTGATGATCTGTACGGTTCAATGCTGCTGCGATGCAGGAACGTTTTCTCGCGCATTGTGCCCATGCTTCGATTAGGGTTTTAAACCGAATGTAATTCACGCCGATGGCATACGTCTGACAATGTCTTGCATGCGATGGATTAGAACTACTCGCTGCAATAAAACTTTTGTCGCTGAGGATTTCAATAATATTATCCAGTTGTAAAGGTAATTTGACAGAAGGTTCTATCCAAATAATTTCACCATACGTAAGAGAGGCAGATTCCAAAACGATTGGTTTTATTGCATTTAAATGGTAGTATCGTAAATGCAGTGGGTGAAAATGATATGGGAAACGGTGTAAATGTATTCGAAATGGAGTATTTAGATTTTTCACGTAATTAAACTCGCAATCGCGAAGATCTAAGCTCCATACTATCAATTCAAGTTCACCACCATGACTGAATAACGTATCGACGAATTTCAACAGCCAGATAAATTCATGCGAACTTATAGCAGTTACCAGGTAGTAGTTATCCTTAACAGCTATTTCTTTTTCAATCTTTAAGATCATGGGAAAGCCATTTATAAACCGACTGTTCTGTGTCTTAGATGACACGTTGTGCTTTCGATGTTGTCGGAAATATATCGAAAGCAAAAAGATACCAATTATAATAAAAAATATCGAGTATCTTGATTTAGTTTTGTAAAAACGGTAATATATCCTTCGATACTGCGGACGAAGATTGAGCATACTCTTTGCTTGCCTCCAATTGCCAGTGCTTGTGAAATCTGTGACTGTGTTCGTGGCATAAATTTGGCTGAAGGTATTTTTCCGTTATTGTTCGTACGGAATATTCCAAAACTGGCAAGAGGTAAATGTATGCAAATTTTAAAACTCTGAAAAGAGAATAGCATCAAAGAATGCGACCACCGTAGGGGTGTCTATATGTATGTCCTCGCAAAACCGAGATTTAATGAAATTCGTGTTTGTGACACCAAACTGTCCAAACAAGCACATCCTATTGCTAGTAGTGTTATACAAAGTGTCCCAAAAAACCCAAAACAACTGAAATCACCCATAAGGCCAGTAACAATTTAATAGCCGGAGTTTGAATGCCATAAGCACCCTGTTGGGGACCAAGAAGTGTATAAATGTTTGACATAAGCATTCTTATACATGATGAAAAACGAGCCGGTAGGCAGTTGAGCAATATCCTTGTCTTTAATCTTTCTTTTAACACAGCCAAAAGATTGATGAGTAGCTATAAATGTCAAATACGCTTACTTTATTATTAATCGACTATTTAATTAAATTCATCAGTACAGCGGGAAATAGCATTCCAAATTGATTGTCATTAAGCGTAACCAGCCTGAAGAATTGTCCCGATATGCTAATATTTTGGTGTTCATTGACTGTGAAAACAATAAATTTCTAAAGACATGAATAATTATAACTATATGAAATTTACATAGCGGGACAAATCGTCAGGCTGGCTACGCCACTAATCATTGCCAAATGTGAAATGTAAAATGTGAAAAATAGGGACCTTAAGCATGTAGGACGGGAACACAACGACGGCAGCTATCAATACAATGCTTGATTGAAAAGAAATGAATTAATAAATACCTATGGGAGTTTTAGACGTGATCTACGTTCTGTTTACAACGGCAAAACTTCGTTTATTACGTCTTATGTAGAACGTCTGCATTTCAGGATCAAGTGAAAGCTACCTCAAATTAGGCTTATAAAATTGTCCCTAAACACGATGTTTTCAACGTCTTATATCTCATTAAATTGGTACAGTTGACAATATACAACAACGTTTTACCATAACATATATTTGAACGAGTATTCCAACCACGTCGTCGTCGTGTTGCCGTCCTACATGCTTAAGTTCCCTATTATTACCACGTGAAGGTGGAAAATTTTGCTGAAAATTGGTATTGTGCAAGTTAGTATTGTGCGGAAAAAAGCCTCACTAGACACTACTTTTCTTTTTTATACTACGTATAGAATATTCGCCATCTTCACACACTCCAGCCTTTTCTGTATTTAAATTTGCACGCAGTGTAGAATTTTCTGCATTTTTCAATATTTTGCCACCAAAATTTCTAATTTTACTAATTTTGGAGTATAAATATACAAAGTGAATATACAAAAAATCATATTTATACCCATGTGAAGCTAAGGTTTCAAGAAGTTGAAAAAAACCCAGGAAAAAACTGAAGGCCGTTGTTGCAGCATTCACCAGACAGGGAAGTAGCTAAGTCAGCAAAGTTTGCAAAAAAGAACCTTAAAAATATAGCTTGATTAATAATCATAGAGAAAAAACGTCTTATCATCATCCGTTTAACGGATGACTATTACGTTCTGTCGAGTGACTCCAATCATGTTTGTCGAGTCGAATCACTCGAATGTGACGTTTTTGTTGGCACTACACTAAGTATACAACAAGCTGAGCTTCAAGAAAATCTTTTTCACAGAAGCATCTATATTTTTTAGCTTGTGCCAGTTTCTTGTTGGAGAAAGGTGAAACATTTTATTATTTAGTTGAAATAAAATGTAGTCTATGGCTTCTCCGTTAACCTTTTTGATTATATAAACAAGATGCAACATTTCACTTTATACTATTTGCGAAGAAGGAATAATTGACAGCTGATTTTGGAAGGTAACCTAGCTAGTTAACATGGACTCAATTAACTAAAAAACGAACGGCAGTGCCAGTGCCAGTCGTCACATGAAGCTCCTGGCTGAGTGTGATGGATGTGAGTTGAGCTGCCAGGTTTTAATCTCGCAATGTGCAAACATCCTACATGCGGATGTAAAAAACTGACAGTTGAGATGCCAGGTTCACGGTATTTTTAGCGGAAAGGTTATTAAAAGATACGGTACAATTATAGAATACCAGGCCAATTTAAAAATACTATTTCTTTTTGTTCTGTGAAAGCCTATCAAGTTCATGCATCCAGTAATATAAGAAAAACGTAGTTCCATATGGCATTCACTGTTAAGAGTTAGGTTGCCCAGGTTTTCTATAATATAATTCTCCAAAATTTATACATGTTTCTGTTAAATAGTTCCATAGTTTTCTTGTCACTTTCAAATTTGTACATTTTGTGTTATATAAATCTGGTTATATTTATATTTAAAATTTTTTTATAAAGACAAGACTTAAAAATACAACACCTTCAGAGCAGGTCCAATAATTAGACCAGAATTCTATGCAGTCAGTTCCACTGACATACCTAATGCCTGCAGTGACAAAGAGGGTTTCGATTCATTCAATTCAGTGCAGTATTTAGATAACAGTTGAAAGGTGTATTTGCTGTGGTAATTTTCAACATTATAATTGAACCTGGTTTGATTCATCAGAGATTTTTGCCACAGATGCTTTCACAGTTCCTGGAATGCCTAAACAGTGATCAATAATAAGCAACATAAAACCTTTTTAAGGACTATATGAGGTAAAGTTTTTTATTGTCCTAATTGTTATAAAGCTCAATAATTTTATTTATAATAAGTTCATTTATTTTTTAAATTTGATGCTTTTAATAAGGTTGCACTACACATGTGTACCTCTCATTAGAGCAGTGATGAACCTGATGAAAAGAGCAATTTCAATTGATTTTGCATCGACCATTGCACTGATTTTGCATCGACCATTGCACCACAGGAAACTAGTCTTCTTCCAATTTTATCTGAAAGCCAGCCCCAAAAGTAACTATATATACAAGGAGGAATAAGTGAATGCAATTGAGTTTTTCTAGAACTAATATATGGTTATGTAGCAAATTCCCATCCGGCCCTTTCAGATGTATAGGCACATTAAATTGTTGCAAATGAAATCATTGCTATGGATACACATACAAGACCATACAAGTTTCCATATACAGTTTAAATAATTAAAACATGAAAAACAAATAGCGTTATTACACCACGTGGCAGAAGTATTCTGCCTTTTGCCTGCATAGCACATGAAAACCTTGTAGAAAACCATTGCATTTCTTAATTTTGACAATTGAAGTGCAGATTAATGATAACTCTATGACAATCAATTAATCCTAGCATTAAAATCTGAGTATCCCTTTCACCTTTACGATCATTTTTTAGATCTAGTGGGTTGAATCACAGAATCCGTATGATAAATCTTTCATCGATGGTTGAATTTAGCCTGCATGTCCGGCGCTCCTAAAATCGGGCAAGACATTTTTGATTTTTCGCGTTGTTTATAATTTTATATAGTGTGTATAATTTTTTTAATCAGTATACCAGTTACACTTTTAATCAGTAAACCAGCAAAGAAGAAGTGATAAACTTTCCTCTTGCTGCACAAAAGTCACAAAACATCAGTGAAATACATAAGATAATTTTCTTCCTCAATGGAAACTAAGTTTAAAGTTCTGGTTTATTCGATCATTTCGATGTGATTAAGAAACGGAGAGGACAGGTTTTGATGTATTTACAGCAAAAATATTTAAGAAACAATGTCTAATCCTTTGTTTCTAGTTCCTGCATTTATCGTTTCCATTTTTATTTCCCCCTGTTTTACGTCTTCTCCTTGCTCAACGCTTTTACTGAAAGAGATGGTTTGGATATTATTGATATCGGAAAAGCCTGATTCTTCACTTCTATTATTTCGCTTTGCAATCTTCAAGATCTTTGTAAAGGCACTCCGAAAACGAGGAGACTGTACGGCATAACACCAGAAATTGACGGATGAATTTAACAGGACGAAAACGAACTGCAAATCACGGAACCAATGAAGAGTGATGCAACTGCACTGCTCACAGAAATTCATGATATAAATAAATAAAGTTGAAGGACCATAACAGCATAACATAGCGATGAGAACAACAATAAACATTCTGGTGACTTTGGCTTCCATCTGACGTGCACTGTTGAGGATTGAACTTGGAGTGTTTGTTGGAACTGTTGACAATCTTTCATCTTGGGGCGGTCCTGACGTACTTGGTGCTTGAATGCTATAGGGAGCTTTTCTAACAGTGTCATTATTACTGGACACGTTTTGAGATCTTTTTTGAACCTTTCTCAGCATAAGGGTGTATGTTAGACAAGTGATGACAATGGCTACTGCAACAGCGGAATTCGCGAAGATGAACGCATATGTAGTGTACCCAACTTCAAAATATATATTTGGTAGACTCAAGGATATTAACCAAATACAAGCCACTGTCAATATGATTCGTTTATTAGTCACATTGGTACGATATGTATTTGGTTTTCTCACTGCAAGATATCTTTCTAGAGCTAAACTCGACAAACTTAAAACTGAGGCAGTACAAGAGATGAAGTAGCTCATATGAATTGCTTTCACGTCACCAGATGTTATCTTTTTATTCAATCCCTCCTTCATATGAATGTACACCGAGATTGGATTCGTCACCGCACCAACGATAAGATCTGCAGTTGCTAAATTTACTACCAACCAATTGAACGGACTTCTTAGATTTTTGTTCGGATCCAAAACAACAGCTAGAATTATGAGAATATTTCCAGGTATACTCGTGAGAGTGAAGACCATGGACAAACTGGTTGTTATGAAAGACAACTCAGTTGGAGCTCCAGCTGTGAGACATCGCTTTTCAAATGCTCCTTGAACTGACATATTTCAAATCTGTAAGAAAAAAAAACGAGCGTTTGTGTTTTTAATCTTAGGAGTTAGGGATTTAGTCTGAAACGGCGGTTTGGTGCTGTTGGCTTTGCACAATCTCTGCTCTCTTGGTACGAGGTCTCTATAATAAAGCATTTAGGAACTTGTATAATCTCAAACCGGACAAGACAACCGGTTCGTCTACCTACTGCAAAATAGTTCAGAAATTAGAAAATTTAGAGCGCAGATAACGGGTTTTGTCGCAATAAAGAGTAAAACAAATTACTTCACATCTGCGGTAATATTGTTTGGCGCTGCTGTGCCTAGCAATGAAATTGGGGTGTAGCATTTTGTACCAATTATCTAATTAGAACTGCCCATTTTAGAAAATGAGAAGCCTTGGAATGAACCTGGCATGATTACCACTGCTTGACCTGAATCCAGGTAATAGTTAATGTTTTCTATCATTGGTATACCAACAATCTTGCAGATAAATAGTCTTGGGAGGGATTAATTGGTCCCCTATTATATATAAGTATATTTATTGTCAATAAGAATTGCAACAAAAAATTACAACAAACTAATCATTAGACACCATATTTTTAACAGGTAATCATATCAGAAATGTCATCTTTTATTTTGGCCCCAACAAGTTTATGACACAAACATGATTTATGTTTATTTGTTTTAACAAACTGTCCTTTGTTAAAAAACACTTTTCCATCATTGACCAGTATATTGTGAGTTGCACAAAACTCTGCAGCAAGCTCGCCAGAGTCGAAACAAAAATTATCCACTAATAATGCCAATGGGTAACTTAAATTTTTACTGCTAAATGCAGTATTCATTATTGATAACCCCTTGCACCTAATTGGTTGAATATGACAAAAAAATGCACAGCTCTCCAGAGAAGGTAATTTTGATGCAGCACGAAATAATCCAATAAAGTTACCATTCAGATGTAACTTTATGAGGTGAATTGCGAGTTGAATCTCTTTACATTCTTTCAGGAGATCATCAATTCTTATAATAAGATAATAGACGTCTGCGCTACGTAAATTCAGGATCAAGTTACAAGCTTCAAATGACGCCTGACGTCTCTGATTGTAAGATTTGTTCATTTTGTTGTGGAGTTGATACAAATCAAGTAGCTTCCTCAAACATTCTTTTAGGTGAGTGTAGTGTAAGATCGGGTCATAGTTCTCCAGAGGTTCTTGGCTTAATTTTACAGCCATTATCAAATAATATCTGGTTGCTTTCTCCAAAATATCGATAGCTTCAAAGCTTTGAATATTCTGTGCAGTTAGATCTTGTCTTATAGACCTTATTCTGTCTGAGATAAATCCATATTTGTAATACCAAGGATGTGGTTTGTTGAGTACGTCTGTCATAAGATAATTCATGGTTTTTACCAAGACTGAGGCAGGACGAAGGTTATTGGGATCAAGTTGTTTTCCAGCTGCTGGTCTGGAGTATTTTTTTACCACAATGTCGACAGGCTGTTTCATGTCGGTGTCGCTGCCATTTTCAACTCTTTCAAAAGGATGCAGCCTTTTTTGTTTCTCTCGTAACATTCGCTCATGATTAGGACACATTTCCATGCATAAACCTTGCAAAAACTTGGGCTCTTCGCTGGCTGCCATATTGCATGCAGATTTTGAAGTGTTGCTCCACAGCAAACCCAAAAATATATTATCCAAATTCGCAAACGTCTAAATCGTAACAGGGGAAACAGGGTGTTTACCACACATTATAATGAATAAATCCTCCTCATTTTAACACATTACAATAAACAAGTTCTTTCTGGTTCTACCTCCACTTCGTTGATTACGTTATTGTATCGCTTCGTACACAGAATTTCAAAGCGATTCTTGATTTACTGGATTTCGTTGGTAAATTGTGGTACAATTTGAAAGGCTTAAAATTCCTCTAATTGTAAAGCCCTTGGTACACTATTTGGTAATTATTGAAATCAGGTGGGGCTGTCCATGTGCACCCGACCGAACCTGTAACTGAAAATTACCAGATCTGGTCACACTGCCAACAAATGTTTTATACTTGGGGGATTAACAGTGGCGTAGCCAGCATCGATAATTGGGGGGGCCCATATTCATATATTCATGTTAACAGACTGTAAAGACAATTGATTTGAAAAGAAATTAATCCTGCGTATCACGAATATATGAATATTGGCCCCCCCAATTATCGTTCTGGCTACGCCACTGGGGATTAAAACAATAATTAACGTTGAGCTGTTATAGGCCGTCAGCTAGCACTCTAAAAAATGGCCAGAAAATGAATTTCATTGCACACCCCGCTAAGCTAAAAAATAATCATATATTCTTATGGATTAAAATACGCTGAATTCAAATCTGAAAAGTTCCCGCTGATACACCCTGCAGTTTTTTTGTATTTGTCGTTTAAAGTCGTCAAGATTCGCTGTTTCAAAATGCGATTCGGCCAAAATCACATCTCTCAAAAAGCCCCTTTGTCTACGAATATTTTCTAATTGAGTTCCGGTTTCTGCTCGAATTACAGGCGAAAACCGTATGGAGTATCTTTTACAATTTCTCATGCATGCATTTACAAATTACAATACAAGAATGCTTTTTTCAAAACATTTTTTCAATGTTACTCAATTTACTTAATTTGTACAATTATGTATTGAAGACTTGAAGACATAACATTTGGATGGCCCATAAACTGTACGTAAAGTTTCTTTATATGATCACGCTCAGTATAGTTTATAGTGATTATTTTTATTTTTAATAATGTCACTGTTGGCCTTCATTATTTGCCTTGGATTCCCATAATAAAGTACTTTGCTTAATACAAATAATTATGATTTCCACAATGAGTTGTTCGATCATATGACATGTCTTGTTCTACTTTGCATTGTTTTCTTTAATGGTCTACAATGCATATCACAATCACAACATTCTTTTGCAATCTCTTTATTTGTCACTGCTGTCATGTGGAAACTATAGTGTGCAGGGTGTATAAGGCAAGCACATAATATTCATGAATATCGATTTGCTAACAGTACAAAAGGTTGAATATTAAGTGATTGCCTTTTTTTATACACCCTGTATAACACCATAATTACATGTACATTAGGCAAAAGGAGATTTTAAATGCCAAATAAAGGATTAATATAAAAGGGCATACTAATAGCAGAATAACAGAACTAATTATCATCATCCTGATCATCATCTTCATCCGAGCCATAATCAATATCACTTTCATCATTTGCATTGCTTTCGACATTTTTACACTCACTGCACTGACATAGCTCAGTGCAGGGTAACTCTGCTTTTTGGCATGAACATCGCTTGGTGGAACGACCTTTTTTGCATCGACACATTACATACTCCAAAATACTCTCTGGAGCACATTCTTTTAGCCCCCATTTAATATCTAGTTTACTACCATCCAGAGTCCAGCCATACCCATTTGGTGACGGTGCAGAAATATTGTTGATGGTTGATCGTCTTCTTATGTATGCTTCATAGTTGACTCTGAGCACATGTTGCTGTAAGCTGTCCAAATTCGGGGGAAGAGATTCTTCTGAGCATTTTCCAAGTTTAAACATCTTGTAACGGGCTTCATTCACTGACGACACATCCGGTTGGCCATATAGGTTACAAACATACTTTTCCAAGATGGCACACACTTCCTCTGATACATCCAGTTCCTCTCCTAAACTACTGAAACCATCCAAATACTCTTCATCAGCTCTAGCAGCTTGCCACGTTCTTGCTTTCCCTTTTCCAAAAAATGCACTGGTCGAGTCGGATCCTATGGGAGTTAGATTGAGGTTAACAAATTGCAATTATACAAGGAATCTGATCCAAATCTTTATGAAGAGTTATGTAGCTTTTCTTTCGCTAAAAATTATATTATTCATACCTGTGAATAAATGAAAGCCAATAAGTGCTTTGCAGCACTTTTCACCATAGTGTTCAGCAACTTTATTAACATCAATGTTCCTTAAGTTGTTCCCTGTGCCAGTTTGAAATAATAATCTGGAATCAATGGTACTTTCAAGTGTTAAGGCGATAATAAAGACATCAGTATCAGGGCTTCTGATTACAACATTGTCTGAAAATTCTGCTGCATGCTTTGCATGTAAAAACATCTTTGAGTCAGCTTCTTCATGGTCAGAAGTAAGTTGTAGAACTTCTTCAACTACCAAAGTATTTCCATCCCGTGGTTTATAGCAGAAACACTTTTCAGAACAGGTTACATACAATTCTTCAATTGGTTCCAGTGCAAAGGCAGGGACTAATTTCCATTGCTTTACCAAAAATTTGATAAGTTCCTCTTTATTGCGACCCACATTTAAAAACTTTTTCCACTGTTTTGGAACTTTTTGATTACCATTCAGAATTGTAACTGATTGCGTGCCAGAAGCTGCCCTATTTAACCTCTCTGCATTCTTTGTGCTAATCTCAGGGTACCTGTCCGATACAAAGTCTACTCGTTTTGAATTGTTGAACCTTGCAACACCGATAACTTTCTTCAAGATAAGGTCAGCTAGTTGATCAAATGTACCAGGAATATCTTTAACCGTCCATCCGATTCGGAAATATATTCGAATGACTTTCCCGCCATTTCCTTTTGCTCGCCTTGTAATTCAAGCCATATTTTTCTGCACTCGAAGAATTTGGATAATGTTACGGATGTAAATTTTTTTAATTGATCAGGTTTCGTATCACTTATAGAGTGATGAATAATGCATGCCATAGTTGTTTCCGCCATGTTGTTTACGAAGAATTTAATTACTAGCTATTTTGTATATTTCAGAGTGACCCGAACTCTGCCCGAACTTGAAGGCGTTCAATGACCTGATTGTTAAAAGGGGCTTTTTGAGAGATGTGATTTTGGCCGAATCGCATTTTGAAACAGCGAATCTTGACGACTTCAAGCGACAAATACAAAAAAACTGCAGGGTGTATCAGCGGGAACTTTTCATATTTGAATTCAGCGTATTTTAATCCACAAGAGTATGTAATTATTTTTTAGCTTAGCAGGGTGTGCAATGAAACGAAACATTTTGGGGCGCCAGCTGACGGCCTATTAGCTCTGTATAAGAAGAAAAATGAGCAAATATCGTTGAATAATCTTGGTGAAAAAGTCATAATAGCTCTGTGTATGACATTGTTTTTACTGACAAAAACTTTTACAATTTTCTTTTGAAATCGTTTCGCTGAATGCAAATTTTATCTGCCCAATGCAATCAAGGGTGAGGTGCTCATTTGGGAGGCAAATTTGAAATTTCAACTTTCAATGCTCAAGACCCATGCGGTTGCATTACATACATTATGGGGCTGGATATTCGACGTACACGGCTTAAGAGTCTACGGAAAGAGGTCTTTCAACTGATCGTTTGAAATATCTGTCCCCCCGAATATACTGTGAGTACGTGTTTAAATATATTTAGCTACTGATTTTGGTTGAAATGATGTGTTATTTCAACTTTGCTATGCTTTCATCTTTAACGTGTTCAAATTGTTCAAACAACTATGCATGCAAGGGTAATTTCTTCAAATAAGTTTTCATATATATAGTCTACAATATGAAATCTCAGTCAAACTTTCCATGTTGTCCCTTACAAGCGAGGTTATTTGAAAATATTTATCCCCGGTACCCTCGATATGGCCCGATATGATCAAGGCATCGTGATCATAGAAAATGGAAGCTTGAGCCTGATTCAGAAGAACCGTTTTATTTAATAGGTTTACCAATTAGTTTGGATATTTTAGGAAACATATACACAATTATCACAGGAAATATCAATTATTTTGGCACATATTCTGTAGTACATTAATTTTAACAGTCATATCCGAATTATGTCTCATAACCAACGATTTACATGCATGTGATTTATTGCTTCTGTCGATTTTAAGGCAAGATAAGCAATACAACCACATTTCGGTCAAAAAATGGTGATCAAGTTGATCAACTACAGCATAATTATACTCGAACAATTCACTTCTGATAGATGTTTTATAGTCTGTTGACTATGCAATGTCAATGTATACTTGCAATGTATATGGGCAGCAATTCCACTAAAACCAATGCTGTACTGCTTTATCAGTAACAAACTTCATTCCATACGTCAAATCCGACAAAATTGATCCGACAAAATTGGATCGTGCCACCGTATGAAATACAAAAAGGAGATGTCAGAGCTGTCATGTATACGATGTAATTTTATCATAATTTCTATAAATCAACATATGTACTATATATAGTCGTTTAATTATTTTTAACGTATCGTTATTAGTAGATGTTTTTTGATGTTCTTAAATCTTGAATTGACAAGGCAACACACCCAAACCTCTAGCTAGTTACATACATTATTATAACTTTTCTGCGGTAAATGCGACTTATATCCGTATATGAAAAGTCAGAAAGTCTATTCACTAGAAAATTATAAAAAACTGGTTGTTGACTTTGGCAGTGCAGAGGAATATCGCCGGAATAATTTCTCATCGGCAGCGTAATATAGACCAAAAACAAAGCTTTTAAAAAAACCTACCATATAGGCATAAATAGCATTGGCAATAACTAGTTTGGGCAAAACATTAAATGAAAATTTTCAGTATGTGCGGTATAGGTATTGTATAAATTCTATAAGATATTATTTACATTCAAACTGTACTGAGTCATTGTGTATTAGTATATTGAATCAAAGGACAGGTTAGGGGTTGGCCGTTGGGTGTTCAAGAGAACTTCTGTTTTGGGAAACATAATGAGTGATATAATTTGCGGCCAACAAGTGCACAGCAGAGTCAAGAGTACAATGCAGCCACAGTTCTCAATATATATCATGTCCTGATGGATAGACGTATATGTTTGCCTAACACTATTTTACTAGCTGCTAAGTCCAAATGCCGTCTGATCCTCTAAATCTAGTATATGTGTGTCCATGTTAAAATATATAAAAAAAAAAGTTTTACTTGCTTTGTTGTTCACGCGAACTTCCTCCTCTTCTCTACTAAAAGCGGCCTGCAACTGGTTGTAGATATAATGAATGTTGCTGAACTAAATTGTAGCATTTTATTCAAAAACTGTTAAATATTAATTAATATTTTGATGATTGAACTGCCATTTCATTTACACTAGCTCATACGCAAGATAAAACTAATTGACACCAAGATTTGCCTGCATGATTAAAACCAAGGGGAGAAAGTCAAATTTAATAAAGTGAATAAAAATCATTATGAAGCCAGTTTTATTGCACCAAACAATCTAGAGTCATCAGAGCACTCGTTATGAAGACATGACAACATTATTTGATGATTTCTTAAAATGTGTTAATTAAAAATGTTCTGATAAATTTACCCGTTTTTATTAGTTTTTTTTGAAGGTGGATTTACACCGACGTTGGCGAATTTTCTTTCCGCTAAATTTTATTGCGACGAATTATTTTAATGTCGTGAATGCCTGCATGCATAGGAAATTTGTAAAACATTTGTTGCGACAGATGTATTTAACTTATTTAGTGAATTCAGCCTTTCTTGTAGGTATGATCCAGGCCTCTGGCGCGAAAATTTCAAACGTAAAATCATAATTGCCGCCATTTTACCTACAAGAAAGGCTTCATATTCCGACATCTTGGCTTCAAATTTTTTTTGCATTGCTAGCGTTCCAGTCTTATTTAAGTTCACTGACATCTACTGGTGCCCAGACCCCTTTCCAGTCATCTCGAATTGCCAAATTTGTAATTTCAAATTTTAATTACGCCTCCAACTCAATTACGCCTCCAACTCAATCAATGAATTCATTTTACACCCCAACAGAAGCAATAAAATACTTCATCAACCATTTATGAGTTCTTGACGACAAACGATACAAATAATGACTTATGTAAGTTATAAGTTCATGAAATATGTTAAATGCATAAAAGTTCATAAGCTAAAGTTCCTAAATAACATGCATCAAGTATAGATGACAATGCAAACACGCGGGTGGCCATGCATAAACCGATCACAAGTTTGATCCAAGTGCTTGTGCTTTTTGAAGAACATAATAGGCTCCTTTCTTGTTAATAAGCTCTTGATGAGTGCCTTGCTCAATAACCTTGCCTCTTCTCAGCACAACAATACAGTCAGCATTTTGAATAGTGGACAAACGGTGAGCAATCACTAAAGTTGTGCGACCTTCCCGCGCTTTATCCAACGCATCCTGGACGACCTATAAACACAACAAGCATGCATGCAAATACATCTATAATACAAATATTGGATAGCTTTTCGTACAAATCCGTATATTAATACATTCATACCTCGAGATCTTGCATGCAGATTCAGGCTTGAATTAAACAGTTGTTGGAGTCATAAATTGGCCGGGTCTATATATCATGCATATCAAGAAATTGGTTGTTCAAAAGCCCGTTGGAAACAGCGATTTAGAAGCACATAAACCAAAACAGTGGATTAAAGTTTAACCCAGGGTTAGCGCTAACCTAGCTTTGAACAACCGGCCCCAGGGTGCTAAATCTGTGATCATTATAACGTATATATCCACGAATCGAAGGATACAGGAGGAGAAGCCGTGTGTTTTTTCTCTCAACTAATTTACCTTTTCACTTTCCGTATCTAAAGCGGACGTCGCTTCGTCCAGAAGAAGAATTTTTGGATTACGAATAAGAGCCCGAGCAATGGCGATTCTCTGTTTTTGCCCACCGGAGATTAATGTACCCTTATCACCCACTCTTGTTTCATAACGCTGTAGGTGAAAAAAATTCATTTGTTAGATAAAAGTTGTGGCCTGCAGTCAGTTATTGTCTGAGGAAACATGCTCAAGGTTCTTTTTATACTTCTAATATAAACGGACTGAAGACTTGACGTTTTAATTGCCGTTTTCCCGATTATGCTGCAAACTTATATCCTTTGTTAGAATACTTGATGATCTATTGCAAAAGCCAAGCTAGGAAGGTTGGTTACCAAGTACCAACCGTTGGTGTGTTAATATTCTTGTATGTTTGCATGGTGACCGTCGATAAGTAATTTAGCTTGTAGGTACACCACGTAAGTATTTAATTCGTTGGTGTATTATCTGTTACAAAATTACTGCATTTATTGCATGATTACCGGGTTTGACTGTCCCAATGTTATTATTATTTTGCTCGCTGGCACGAGTTTACTCTTTAAAACTTACGTCAGTCAGAGAATTAATAAAGTCGTGAATATTAGCATTCTTTGCGGCTTGTATAATTTCCTCCATGCTAACTTCTCTCGTGTTATCTCCATATGCAATATTCTCACGTATTGTCAAATCAAACAACACCGGTTCCTGAGACACGATACCAATCTTACTTCGTAACCATTTCACGTTTAGTGCATTTATTTCATTGTCGTCTAATGTCTGCAGTAATTCAAGAGAAAATATGGGTCAATCTCAGTTAATAGTAATCCTTAATTTTGGGGCCCGTCTTCATTTTATATTTCCTAAATATATCCTCGCTAAGTCATTCAATTAAACCAACTGGGGGACAAACAGCTGCATGGCCGCTGGCATGTCTTTTACAAATGGAGGCAAGAGGGCAACGATTTAATGGACTACATTGGAATTCATTCATAAGAAATATGCTTCAGACAACGCTAGGTTATTTCAGGGAAATTCCCTACATACTGCTGACAAGCTTCAAGCATAGAGTAGCCCTTATAGGTTTGTGAAAATTCAGAGCCAACAGAGTAGCCCTTATAGGTTTGTGAAAATTCAACTTACAATTGAACCTGCTTCTGCGTTATAAAATCTTTCAATAAGTGAGACAGATGTACTCTTGCCACAACCGCTGCTTCCAACTAGAGCTAACGTTTCACCAGATTTTACTCCAAGGTTAAGGCGACGTAAAACTTTGACGCTTTGCCTTGCTGGGTAGCGAAACTCGATTTTTTTGAATTCTATATCTCCCCTTACAACATCCTGAGAAAAAATATGCAAATGGTAAATGGGCTCTTCCCTTTTATTGTGTATTTTTGTTGGCTAAAGGCTCAGTTTATACTGAATACTATAAAATACTGTATATATCAATACAAAGAAGTTTTACTGGTTTGACGCCTTTTTCAGAAGCACTGTCAATTGCCGGTATTCTACTGAACAACTTAAAAAGATGTGCTGCACCAATTCTTCCTTTGCCAAAATCAGGACTTAACGCTGCTAGTTGACCAATCATTAGTGAACCCATAATAATTGCCATTAACACTCTATTAAGGAAAAAGACATGGAAGTATTTATAAGTATGTTGACTACGAAGTATAACTACTGCATGTAACGTTTCTAAAAGTGCGTATTCAAGCTAAAATAGACGTGTTTTTATCGTGCAATTCGTCCCACCAATGCGAAGTGTCTATCTTGTTGAATTTGATACACTTACTTCATTACGTCAGGGAATTCCATTTCGTCATCATTGACAAGCTTGCCAGCATACCACATGGCAACAGCGCTACACACATTGAGAATCCACTGAGATGTACCCATTGAGAGACCACTGTAGTGCGCACTTTTCTTGCTCTTTCTATATTCAAATGAACAACAGTCTTAACAACAGTTAGTTACATCTTAGTTATACAAATGTGATTTATGGTCGCAAATGTGATGTATGGTTCTCTTTGATTTTGAACATTTCTAATACAATGATGGTAGTCACGGAGAGTGATTGATATAACGGAGAGTGATTGACATTGATATTGATATATGTGTCATATTTCCCTTCGAGTCATCGGAGGTGGGTTGACGGTGACTGCTATATATAATTAGGAACAATATATGGTAGTACTTGGATGTTACTCACGCAAAGTTCTTCTCAGCAACGTCCATATATCTTTCAAAAAATAACTCTTCTCTGCCAAGTGAGGCAACTGTTTGCATATTCGAAATTGTCTCGATTGCGATCTAACCAAAAATTGCAAAAAAGACCCATAATGGTCTCATGCATGCAGTAACAGCGACATCGAGTAAAGACGCCTGGGTACGAGGTTAATATCCTGTGTTGGGAAACAAGGAATCACGCGATACCATATCACGTGATAATTGGGGGGAAGGGTATTTCTTTTGTAAATTCTATAGTTTACAATTGAAATCCATCAGGCAGAACTGAATACATGAATAACCAACCCCCCCCCCCCCCAATTATCGTTCCAGCTGCGCCCCTGATAACGGTAGACGGGTTTTGTCGATCCCACAGGAAATATTCGAAACAGCAATGAAATATTTCTCTATGTATCCCTAACCCAAATGGAATAATCAGTAGATCACCTGCCCACTCTCTTCATCACCACCATATCTTGCTTTCCCGCCAAGTAGCAACATTGACAAACTTCCAGCGACGACAATAAATGGGACAAAACACGTAATAACGAGACTTAACTTCCAACCAGCTATGTAGGCGACCATTAGACAACCAATAGCAGTTACCATAGAGGAAATTGCCAAGCCAATGGCTGGACCAGTTGCCTTTAAACAGTAAAGCAGTTCTATTTAGTGTGTATAGACTGGGTTTCTGAAACAGCTGAATGGGAGTAGATATTAGTCTAATGTATCCAATACGTATAACATTGATTGAAATTCAATGACATACAAGGACGCTGTATATTATTGAGTTAAATTAATGTAAGTGGGTGTCTTGTCCAGCATATGGCCTAGTGCGAAATACCAGATTTGTTTTCATCGCTAAATATGTACGGTATGGTAAACAAAAAATAAATTTTCACAGAAGGAATTAGATATTTCGTTTTTTTATATACCCCTTGTACAGCAGAAGCATGAGTTGATAATTGTGTACAGAGAGCTCCAGTGCTGTGCATGACGTCATCGAAATATCCAATATCCTGAAACGGAATGATTTAGAAAATGTTGTCATAATATTAACCCCATTTGTCCCTCAAATGTTAGAATTCAATTAAATGGTGTAATACACAATAAATAAATGTATACATATACAATGTACAAGAGGTGTTAATCACCTGTCGAAGCATTGCTGCAAAAGCTTGTTTGCGTAGTCTTGCTGTTAAAGTCTCTCCAGCTTTAGCGAACATCCAGTTCTGTGGAAGATTTCAAATGTCATTCCATTTTAATATTTATAATTTGTTATAGACTTTGGTAAAACTTGTAACATAGGAAGTAGCTTAGTAAAACTCCTATTTACCTGAAGTATGAAACCAATCGCAGTTCCACCTCCTATTGCTAAGAACAATAAAGCCCATTTCCGAGAATCATCCCTCATTATCTCTCTTTCATCTTCATCATCAATATTGTGTTGTAGGACCTGAATAAATTACGATGTTACATTATGTGTACTACATGAGAGAGTGCGAAGCAAACTTGTAAATAGCAACAAGTAGCAATAAGGCCAACACACCGAACACACAGTGGATAAATTTACATGCATCAGTACATGTGATCCGACCTTTCAACAAGATGCTATATTGGGAGGGATATATTAAGATACTTACTCCCATAAGTTCACCAAGAATTAAAGCAAAGACGAAAGGAAACGCTCCAGTCAATGCTGAGCCAACACTTCCCACTACCATAAATCTCCATTCAGGCAAGTTAAGTTTAATTACTTTAAATATGGGAGCAGGTTCAACCTCTTCTTCTATAATGATTTCATCTTTTACCTAAACAGCAGGATGATTTAAGTAGAATAAAATTATTGAGAGCCTGTCTTACGACGATATCAAATAATGTAAAGCCATAGTTAATAATTCGTTTTAATCGTTGGAATACATGTGCCCCCGGTTACGAGGTTCTAACAGACAAATATATTATACATATAAAGTTACCATTGACTTCCTGGATTGTTGGCGAGAGAGCTGTCTTCCAAATCTCACATTTGCGGCAACACTGCCACTTGATGAAATGCTTAACTGCATGTCCACTTTCTCTGAAATATTTTGGTTAAAGAAAATGATATAGTCTGTTTTCACTACAGAACATGTACGCAGCAAGTAAACTGTTGATAAAGTTACACTGGGTCACTGGGAACAAAGTATTAACAACATAATATCAAAACAGGAATACAATTGCATGGCATGAACCCAGATCGCTACATTCACGAGATGAAATATCATATTTTAAATTTCATGATGATAAGGCATTTCCCGGGATATGGTTTCATCAAGTACTTTTTTCAGCCCCTTTAACACCCCTCTTAAATGTTCCTGATTCTGTCGCTTCTTATGTCTTATTGCATTTCAGTGAAATACAAAACGAGGCAAACAACTTCTCTCATCAGCAGATACCTTCACCATCTCCTTTTTCATCCGGTTCATCTGGTTTATCTTGTTCTGCCGCTAACATCTAAAACGAAAGAGAGAATTGTGTTTAGATCTGAAATACTTGACGATAATTGTAAGTGCAATTTTTATTTCCATGCTCATTGGTCTATCATAATGTCTGTTTTTATATTGACCTCGAATTGTGATGAAGATTGTGACGCAAATAAGACACTGAAAAGAAAAACGAGTCAAACAATATACTTACCTGTAAAGTGACAAGATCTTTGTAAATTCCACCAGCAGTCATGAGTTCGTCATGAGTTCCAATTTCTTTCACCTTGCCCTTATCCACAGCAACAATCATGTCCGCGTTCTTGATGGTGGACAGTCGATGTGCAATCACGATTGTTGTACGGCCTTCGCTTGCCTGCAAAAAATCACCGGGTTAATTTGTTTTCATGTCGGTGGGCATTATTTACGAAGGTAAAGGCCCGTTTACAATGAAGTTGAGGCGAGGTTGAAATAGGTTGAGATGACTGAATTTCATTCTTTATAATATCTTTATATATACAAGTATACAATTTACAATTGCAACTATATATATAGGCTATATCAAAATCTGATTATCACAGTTGCGATATTGGAAAGAAATGCCATTTTTTTTATGGTTCAGTTATATAACTGTAATTTTCAAAATAAAAGAAATAACCGTTTATTGTCACAATTTTTGTGTTTCTGTTGCGCATATCGTCGTCGCGTGATCTTACCTTATCCAAAGCATCTTGTACAATGGATTCACTTTCAGTATCAAGAGCCGATGTTGCTTCATCCAACAGTAATATCCTTGGATTTCTAATCAACGCTCGAGCAATGGCAATACGTTGTTTTTGACCTCCACTCATCTGAGCTCCTCGTTCACCACAGAGCGTATGATAACCCTTGAGGGAGAAATAAATAATGATGAAGGAAGCTGCATATAGCCTATTTTATATATATATATATATATATATATATATATATATATATATATATATATATATATATATATAGCTAGTACTATATATGCTTCAAATCATCCAACAGCCGGAGAGAAAGGAGATAAATGTGTAAATTTTTATGAAGCTTTTAGTGACATGGACTCATCAAGCACAAAGCTGACGTCAGTTCAACCTCTGAGGGGCATCTTTTAAGTTAGGTGAAAAATTATTGAAACAAGAACGAGATTGTGAGTATTTGGAGAGGAAACGATTGAAACTCTTTAGGACGTTTATCCGCGCCTTTTTTTTCACTTACTGATGAGATGCACGTACCTGTGGAAATTGTGAAATGAAGTTGTGAGCATTGGCTTGTTTCGCGACCTCTTCAATCTCGGCCATTGTCGCCTCTTCTCGTCCGTATGAAATATTCTCAGCAATAGTGGTCGCAAACAATACTGGTTCTTGACTAACCACTCCAATATAACTACGCAACCATTTAACGTTCAATGACGTGATATCATGACCACCAACTTTAACCTAAATAGCGCGGGTATAAGAGAATTCAGTGGAAACAGAAGAAAGGCAAATAGATGAATGCAACGTAGTGGAGGTAAATAGTGGTGCTGGGGTGGAGAGTTTCCTTGTTTGATGTGCAGCTATACGTATGCAAATAATTCAAAGGAATAGGATTTAAATTCAGTTGATCGAGTCAATACTTACTGTGCCACTTGACATCTCATAAAACCTCTGAATTATTTTAATAACTGTACTTTTTCCACAACCACTTCCACCAACCAAGGCTGCTGTTTTTCCTTCTGGTACATGTAGACTGAAACCTCTTAAAACCTGGAGGCCCAGAAAATGATGTACGCTTTATCAATCCAATTAATTGGACTATAAAATATGTAGGCTTCTTAAAATACTGATGTGAAAGAATACGTTTATTTAGTTTTGCACCACCCGAAAACGAATACTAATATACACGTTTTATACCTTGAGGTCAGGTCTTGTTGGATAGGTGAATCTCACTTTATTGAAGTCAACATTTGCTTCAAACTTTGCTGGTTTAATACCTTCCTCAGAAAGAGAATCGATATGAGGTTTCTGAAAAACAACGAAGTTGTATAGTAAACTTGGTATATAAGAGAGAAAAAACGGATAAGATTGAGAAACGTTTTAATGTGAATATTTCCACATGCTTTAACAAGAAGAGAATATTGTACGTATGCAAGACCAGAATGCGCGAATGAGTCTGTAAAGAGGCTGAGGGAGATGATGATCACGTCTTTAGAAATGTGCGCTGTATTACATAACAATGTCACCTCACCCTATCAATAATTTCAAAAAGACTGTACGAAGCAGCACGAGATGTAGTTATTGCTTGAAGATTTGGACCAATTTGACCAAGAGTTATCGATCCAGTTATAACCGAAAAGAAGACCTATATACGAATAAATATGGATAAATTTTTTCACAGCAAGGCCGCTATGAGGTTGAGCAGTATACCTTTGTTGGGATAAACGTTCAATCATATCGACCTACGCACCATCGCGTACTTTTTTGCATGGACTAAAATTTCAAGCGAACCCCTCCCCTCAACAAGGCAGGGCTTAGTTGTACTATATCGAGGTTTCATCCATTGCTTTCCGGTAACTTCGTAGTTATTGTTATATAAAAGTATAAAACGGAAAACTGACACACATAAATATAAATTAGTCTGAACTCACAGTCATCATATCACCGCTAGTCATGTCGTGATCAATAACAAGCTTTGAACCATACCTACGTATTGACAAAAAATGATCGAATCATTGCAAACTACCATAACATTGAAATTATGTCAACCAGATTAATTCCTGCCACACGAAAATTAATTTAGCAATTTAGCAATTACCAAAATGCCAATGTATACGATGCAAAAACAACGATTTGAAGAAAACCCATTCCACATCCCATTGCCAGCCCTTTCTTCACGCCAAAATTACTCGCTTCACCAAGGAACTGGCCATATCTATAAATGATTAGAAATATATACTCGTATATATAGATAAGACCCAGCAGTATATTATTACGCATGCAGCCTGGTCGGTAAGCACCTTAACAATCCCATACCTCTCAGCTTCTTTCTCTTCCCCACCAAAAGCTGCAACGGTTCTCATGGAGGAAAGAACTTCTTCTGCCACACTTCCAGCTCTTGCATAGGCATTCACTTCTTGAGCAGTGAAGCCGGCTGCTAGCTAAAATGAATAAATATTGAATACATTATTTGCCAAGAGGAAGAACACAAATGCGGCATGAAATATGCCACAAATCAATGCACCCACACGCAATATTGCATATATTTCGTCCCTTGATGACGGCAAATTGATTTCCTACGCCTTTTAACCTACGGACCAACAGCCGCATGTACATTACACAGAGAGATGTCATATACGACAGTATATTACAACACCAAACACCATCCGGACTACCTCTTCTATTGCAAAACTTGCGTGCATGTATATTCAACGGAAGAATATGATAGCCCTAAGGCAAAAATCGTCATCCCAAAAACTCGCTACAAGTGCTTGCAATCAAATAAAAATCAATCAAGCTTTTTTCTTTGGATGAAAAACCCTCGCAGCGAGGTTATAAAATAAGGTAATAAAAAAGAAGAATTTACGATGCCATATACGCAAATGTTCTTACCATCCCCATGATTCCACCAGATAAAGCCATTAGCGGTAACATTGCCAGTAAAGTTAAAGTCAATTGCCAGCCATAAATAAACCCGATGATGTAGGCTCCAATGAATGTCATCATACATTGTATAAAGCGGGCAAGCTTCTCTCCCATACCATCCACTATTTTATTCAAATCACTATTATAATGAAGAATACATCGTAATTAAAGCGGAAGATCCGTTGGTAGAAGATTGTTATGTTTGCAATTTAGTTAAACAGCGTCCAAAAAATGAACTTATATGCAATTATTTCATAATTCATATTGGGTGGGAAAACTGACCAACTATAGTGAAGTAAGAAGATAGGAAAATTAATCAAGTGAACTTACTCGACCAGTCTAGAATTCAGTTCTCCTGCATCATGGTTGTCAAACCAAGCAATATCTTGTCTCAGGATTGAACGAAACACTTCTAGTCTGATTTTGTGATTTTGTCTCTCAGCTGCAAGACCCCAACATGCCATCATAAGATAACCACTGACGAGAATAACATGCGCAATACCAATATACCAGTACGCAATAGTCCTAGTTGAGTCTTCAATGTCAGGAAGATCGGTGCAATTGACTGTCAGTTTACATCGTCCATAATCAACAAAATCATCAGTAAGACTTCCAAAAATGATAAACTGCCCAGGTTGCATTCCACCAAATATCGATGCACCGAGACTCCCAATAATCATCAAAAACCAGTCATACCAGTCTGCAAAACTAAACTAAAAGAAAATAACAAAACGCATGAGGACAAACTGCATGTTGTGTGCAGAGAATGGCAGAATTTAGCGAATAGAATTTATGAACTGCCTATGGTTGCAATAATCCAAGGGGTGATGCATGGGCGTATCCCCGCCCATTTTTTAGCTGCATTGTCATCGTCATTTCTTTATAAATAGATTGTTTTCATATATAGGCAATGAACCCGAAAATATTTAGCAACAACAGGACTAAATTTTGCCAAGCTGACCGCGCGTTTATTACGGTCATACTTATCACCGTCCACACTAGTTTGTAATACAAGGCCGGACGTCGCATTTTGGTCGCGTCGAATGCAACTCAAACTATCGATAGATAATGAGATGATAATGAAGCTTAATGAGGTTTATCATCTCATTATCTATCGTTTGAATTGCATCCGACGTATAAACCCCGCCTCGCGAGGCTGTCAGCTCAGCAAGTTACTCTCGTGTGCGGGATAGTTTTCGTGAGGAATTCGCCTCGAGAGGCAAGTTTCTAATGTGTGCTGTTGGTTTTCGGGCTGGGCTTATTGCCTCGCGAGGCCGGTTAACTCAGCCGATAGCTCTCGTGTGCGGCGGGCTTAACCTACGCCTATACGTAACATGATGTTACACTTATATCTGCTTTCTGTGAGATTTAGGCAAAAACAACTGATGAATTGTGAGAATATTATTACCAATTTTCCAAACGGTACCATGTTTTGTGGCTTGTCATCCTTCTCACTATAATTATAAGAGGGATTTATCATTATACTAAAATACAACCTAGAATCGAAATTCAACGCAAAAGCTCAAGGCAGGCCTATTTAAAAATCTACGAAAGGCTTTAAATCACTTCAACTGAGTACTTATTAACTGTATTGTTTGAGAATAGAATGGTCCGGAACATGTTATGTCTTATGACGTCTAGAAAGTACCCAATTTAGAAGCGGGTATATACTAAAGTAAAGATCTTTAATGAAGAGATTGCAAATTAGGCTATTCCGTGTTCGCTTCCAATATGTATCTTGTTTATATCTTGATAAAAGCGGATAATGCATTTGCATTTAAAAAACATCGCTTTTATTATAATACGAATAATGAATTTAGGATAGTACGTCCTTCGTCGCGCCTTAGCCCTACGATCTTTGAAGTATTGGAAATGTAATGTAAAAAATCTCGCGTTTTCAGTGAAATAATATCTCTACCACCGAGATCAGCGAAGCATTGATTAATTACTTAACTACAATGAACTCGTAAAGCTACTCGTAACGTTTATTCAGCCCTCAGTGACGCTGAACTGGGATCTGTAGTTTGCCCTTCGTTTTTGTCCGGCATAAATAAAATGCGAGGGAAAAGCAGTGTACAGTTTGATGAATTAATCGCAGCAAACTGACATTACTCAGATTAGAATGGTGCATTTCTGCACTGATGTTTAACACAGGCAAGGCTGCCAAGGCATGCATGATAGATAGCAGTAGATGGACCTCTGAGTCACATTTTTGCCAAGCAGCCAGGTCGATAAGCATGCAGTCACGCTTATAGAGTCAGAAACAATTTAATTACACTATGAATGCATGTAACAAACTATTTGATGATTTAATGGGGTTTCACAAGTTCAATATGCCCCTACCTAGGAAAACCATTATCATATATATTATATATAGTCAAATGTGCTTAGTAACATCTTGCTATGTTAGCGAACATGGACGTCATGTCGTTTAATATGCAAAATATAAGATAACCGCAAGGACTCGCAAAGACAAAATAAACACGCCGTTCTTACCCAGATTTAACAGACACATCGGGAAGCTTTAATGACCGTGATCCACCACTACTTGTTAGTAAAGGTGACTTTTCTGTTAACTCTGATTCGGTGTCGTCTAAATCGCCTTTCATACTGCAACTATGAACTACAAATACTAGCAGCAGCGGAAGGAAAGTTCTGCCTCTCCCTGTCAGGTGTTGTACAGCTATACTCGTAAGGCTAGTTTATTTAGCACATTACCAATTCAAAGTGTTTTCTATACCATTCATGCGGAACGAGTGCTACACTGAAAAAAGCTTTGTTTCAATATCCTGCTATACTGTGAATCTAACATCAAAGTTTGTTAAAATATGCAGTATTTCGCACGATATGTGTTTATGATGGTGCACTAATTGAACTAAATCGCTTTGGTAATACATCTGCAGCCGGAGCAGTATGTTATATTTTATCACGGTTTTGTGATATTTACACATGTATCAGCAAACACCAGCAGTAGGAAATGAAATTATTTGTTTGCTTTTGTATGCTCCAAATCGAGATCGTCATGCACGATCTGTACTTGTTCTTCGAGATCGTTACGATCCCAACTCGAGCATATTCTTTTTCATGAAAAAAGTCAATATTCTATAATTCATGCATAAGTATGACTATGATTATGTTCAGTAATAGAAGTTTTTAATTGCAAGATATAAACATTGACGAGCCGCACAAAAGAATTCGATATTATTTGTCAAGTGTCAACTGAAAACATGCAGCTGATTCTAATAGGATTGTCTTTCAAAATCCTAAATATAAGCGGCGGATACTGATCCGACTGATCGGTTTCCACCTATAATTTTGAGTCTATACTCTCTTGACTTTCTTGTATTTCTTGCGAAGCAAAGATTCCTTAACAAGTCAAGACCAATAACCATTACATCATTTAGAGTGAAGGTTGTTGGAGGTCAATTAGCTGTTCTATATCGGATGGAACAAGTGTATGGACCATAACAGTCGAGTGAGTCGACGTATAAAAAAGGTTCAATACGTAAGGTTTGCTTGTACTGCAGCTTAACGTGAATATTTGACGTATATATTTGAGTTTTTTGACCATGCAAAGCCAAATTTTTCCAGTTAACATCTCTTAACGAACAGTAAACCATCATTTTTCTCAGTTTGGGGTTCAAAGTATAACATTTGTCTCCACAACTCATGTTTTAAAAAACTTTTTTTCTTTCCCAAAATGATGAAAAAAAATGCAATATAACATATAGAACACGAATTCTCTAACATGATTATTCATTTATTGCACTTTGCACACATTCGCACGGGAATATCCCAAAAGCTATGTCTATGCATCAAAAATTTCATAAAAGTAATTAAAAACAGCATTTTATACAGTTTTCAGATGACATGCGTAGGATTTGCTTATATAATTTAGTATTATTGATTAATATTAAGGAAACCCTAAACTAATTTATAGCCAAGTTTATGATTGTTTGTAATCTGTTTCATTAGTTTTTTTTACTATACATTATTTATTTATTTGCATATAACGTCATGATTTTTCTTCATTTGTCATGATGGGGGTGCCATCTTGATTGCTTTTTCGAAATTTCCTTCCGGTTTTTTAAAGTTTAGACACCTTCAGCTTGTTTATTTTGTGATGGCTTACAACGCGTATCGTTTATTGGGTGGCAATAAAGACATGGCAACGATAAAAGATTTTTTGCACATGAGTTGGAAAATCAATCAAGATGGTGGTAACTGGGAACACTAGGACTATGTCCTATGATGTTTTTCCTTCTGCAACATTTCTCAGGCAAATTTAAACACGTTAGTAGCAAAGTAGCAGGGCCAGATTTACACTAAGCGAATTTAGTGACGTTCAGAAACGACTCACTGACCTTCTCTGAGCTTACTTATTTCCAGTAGCGTTCTCCTAACGTAGTTGTGGTCGATTTAGTCCTGCTATATTGCTACTATTTTGGTGTTCATTGAAAATAACGAATTTCTAAAGAAATGAATAATTCTAACGACTTTAAATTTGCATTGCAGGACTAAATCATGAGGCTGGCTATGCCACTGTGTGTATTCTAAATTGATTGTTTCGTGTTTTCTCAATTCTGAACTTCCCCTTTTTTGCACAGCAGAAACTGCAAAATTAGGATCATTTCCAACTTCTTGTCTTTCAACATACTTAATATAAATTGTTTATGAATAAAGTTAGGTATAAAGCTAGATTTGGTAATGGTATTCATGTTTGACACAAAACCTCTGGCTTTGAACCACGAGTATTTTTAATCTCTTTTCCCAGCTTAGAGACACACCAACATTCCTCTTTCATACACTGTTTCGGCTGAAAATAACCAGTTTTCTCATTGCAGTGTGGCATAAAAGAAAGAGGAAATGGTTCACCATGGATCAAGATTGACTGCATGTTTTCCAGATACAGAAAGCAATTTGGCTCTGCAAAAGCAATATTGAAAAAACTGGTAAGGAATGTCTAGAACACAAATAGTATTTGATTTAATTTTGTTTAATTACAATGCATATGCACAAATGCACAATCGTATTTCAATGATTTGTTATGGACTTTAGATAGTGGAAATTTTTAGGAATCACAAGGCAGTAATAATCTTCATTGAGCTGAAAATGAGAGGATTAAACTAGGGCTCTAGAAACAATAACAAAGTATTTTCTAGAATTTACCACATAATGGAAGGCCATTTTTGTCCTGATGTTGAAACTCTATTTCCTGTCCACTCCACTTATCAACACACCAACAACTTCCAGTTGAACCTGAACACTGTCTGGCATTAAAGTTACCATCTTTATCACATTGTGGTATTATTTGGCCAATTAGGATGGGATTCTTCAATATATCATCACGTTTTCGTTGGCAAATTTTATCTATGTACAAGAACAGTATAATGGTAGATATTCACAAGATGTATATACAGGACCTATAGTTACTCGTTTTTCTTTCAACTTGTGTTGGGGGCCTGTTTGATTTTGAGGGGGTATCAAATCCAACATCATTGTTACGAATAATATATTTCAATTATAGACACCTATAAATATTATATAGATACACACAATGAATTAGCTCCACTATGTGCCACTTGACACTTGTTGACAAGCAACTTGTGGTTCACACATAATAATCTGTAAGACGTAGCAAATATCAAGGTCCAAGCATGAGTTCATGCTATTAGATTTATACTCAATAGTGTTGGTACCTTTTAAAATGTTATCCACGTCTGCATTAGTCAGACTCTATTTAAAAAAAAACATGTCAAAATCTTGCTAAATGTCTCAAGAAACAGTATGCATTTCAGAACAAACCATTGTAAGTGCTACAACGAAGAAAAACGACAACAACCACAACAAGCAATCCATCTTTCTTTGAATAGAGAACTGTCAGGAAGTCTGAAAAGTGAAACCAGAGTAAGGAACATCAAGTACTTCATGTTGCACTGAGCCTTGACGCGAAAGATTTGTATTGCAAGAAAATTAGAAATGCGTCGTTCAACTTTTTGACGATCAAAAACGAATGTGTTTTTTATGTTACTTTTAAATTTTGATAAACTGGGGATGCGCATCGGTGAAAATATCCAGACGCCGCAGGCTATAACTTTATTGAACTATATATAGATCACATTCCAATATAACCAGGGGGCATCGCCTGCATTGGAGACTCACCTGTCGAAACGCGAGCATTTTCTTGTCTGTTTTAGGCAGTTGTTAAACCACGTTTGATGCGAAGTATATACATTATACCGGACATATGTAAACAAGAAACACTTAAATTAATGAATATTCTTCCATCTTTTGTGATCAAATAATAGAAAGCGAAACATGAATATTTAGTAGTGATTTTGCTACATCATGTATCGACCACTTGTCGGATTGAGTTTAGTATCTCCTTTGTTTAACAAGGGCATAAATAAAATGTTGACGGTGTTTTAAGAGCAGGAATATATCATTGTTTAACAAGGGCATAAATAAAATGTTGACGGTGTTTTAAGAGCAGGAATATATCAATATACAATCAATTAAGACGAAACCGAGAGAGTTGTGAGATAAAACCAAATATAGATCAGCTGAAGACGAATTGCAACGACTGTCCTAAAGTTCAATCACTTCAATGAGTTCATAGGTTATACAATTAATCGTGATATTTTATTGCTATATATATTTTAATAACTCGCGTGGAGTGTAAAACTACACAAATCATAATTACTATAAAGTTAAAGTATAGTAAAAACCAACGTTACCATCGTTTATAATCTACTAAGACGTCAGTAATGCCATCATGCTTTTATACTACTCCCTGATTTCGATCATTTCAGATTTAAATCCTATCATGAAATTTACGCTGGTCTAGTATAAAATTATTACAATATTGAAATAGAAAAATGTCCACTGTAGTGCGGTTCAATTATTAAATGTTTCCCAGTTGAGCAGCCTCGTCATCACCTGCGAAAATAATTTGATTCGGGTCCGTGTTGTCCACTGAAACAAAATAAAAAAAACTGACTATGATGAAATTAAGATAGCCCTATTGTTCAATCTAAACAGTTATGTTTCGCACATACTAACAATGGAACTATATGGTATTGTGCTCGTGCAAGTGACGTCGGGCCGTCGGCATAATACCTTTCAGTAATTACTTTCTGGAAAGGAGCCCCTTTCAGGAAGTAGAAAAAAACATATACACAGTATAGCTTTCTGCAGGAAAAGGCTTATCAGATTATAAAATATCTACATGAAAGGGGGCCTGTTAAATATTTTAAACATGCAGGGCCCTCAGATTGATTTCCGGTACATCTTTAATATATAAAAGTTCTATCAAATATAACAAAAAGTCGAACTGCGAAAGAATGATGAGTCGATCTTCATCTTAATATTGAAGATAATAAAGATTTCGTGTTGATAAACTTACGGCAATTGACCAGCCGTGATTCCTTCTTTGTTCCTTCGATAACTTCGTTATAACGATCAACACACCAGCAATAGTTCTCATGACATTGGCGTGGTTTGTAATATCCATCTTCGTCGCAATCTGGTTCATATCTACCAAGCATAGGTTCCTGCTCAAGATATTCTTTCTTGGCCTGCTTGCAGGGAGGTTCTATACGCACAATAAACATTAAAGTGCTTTACTGATGAGAATTCTTCTTTAATTCTTTCTCAATTAGAATGAACTTTTTTGCCTCGTTCATCATTATGTATTAGGCTATAAGTCTTCTTTTGCATCTTTTCCGTCTCCAGAGATTCCTACTCTTAGGGGGATGTACTCAAAATCCCTCTATCCACCGCCCCCCCCCCCTCCCCGAAACAACGCCTAACATTAATTAGCTTTCACATTCTCCTAGATATATCAATCACTCACCAACATGCATGAAGCAGGTGCATAGTTCATTCAGACTCAATTTCTTATCGTTATTTAAGTCACAATTGATAAAGAACTTTCGCATGCAATGTTCATCAGGATTGTTCTCCAGTTCAGCACGTTCATCTTTGTCCAAAAATGAATCTTTGTTAGTATCAAGTTGACTAAAGAACCATGGAAGTGCTATAGAATTACAACCTATGTAAAAGAACAAGAATACGAAATTATGAGAACAATTGCCAGAACTCGCTATTTCTACGAACTTGTTATCGTGCAAAATTCATTAAACTCTGTTGAAATAAAATTTACGTAAATCTACTTAATCTGTCTGTCCATCTATCTACCGGTTTATCTATTTTTGCATCTGGTTATAAAAAATGTTCACAGCTTGTTACTTCCTTAATCTTTTTTCTTATAAACTCAGAACTTGTCCTGAAATGGTTGCATGAGGCTAAACCGATATAAACGTCATACTTCGTCATGCTATAATATGTCATCTCGTGATTGATCACCCAGACGCACAAACATTTCTGACTTTATCACATCTATATATACCACTGAGTGTCTGTCACACGGAAAAGAAAAGCGTTTAATATCTACTGAAACCTTGCGACTCTGCAATTGACGTCGCTTTATACGTCTCAATTTTGAATGAAAACACAAACTATAGATTTCGTAGTCATTGGTATAAGGAAAAACGACACAATCTATTTACGAGAAAAACTAACACTGCCTTGCCAACAGAAAACTGGTTGTCGAGTTAGCGAGATTTGAGGCAGTGCTATGCTGTTTCTCACGAACAACGGAAAACTATGCGGAGACGCCATCGCACAGAGCTTTCATTTAACTTAATTTAACAAAGGTGACCCTGGAGTGAAATTACAGTGCTTGAGTTTAATACCAGAAGTTTGGAATTCCGAATTATCATGCTTGCCAGTTTTCTTTAACTCTTCTGACTTCAAGATATGAAACCAATCTAATAGTCGCTGTGGCAGCATTTTCTCGTCATCTTTGTAACAGCCCTCTAAAGATAGAAAGAAAACACGCGAGTTTATTTATTATATATACTAGTTATAGTGAACAACAGTCTTGCATGCTTGAAGTGATCAGTAATGTATTTGAAAAATTTAAGTATAGGATAAAGATAAATATAAAGATTATAATCCGCAGAACACTTGGTTATTATCCTTCATGCCTGACCATCCGTTGAGGAAGATCGAGCGCTGAGCCTGATCTTTTATTTTTACTGAAATTTAAATTGACGTAAAAGGACATCATAACCTTTCATAAATAATATTTTTCATGAATTGGATAATAACTGTATAGCGGCGATGAGGTTGCGCTATATTTTCGTAGAATTCTGCTACACAATATATGCATGGATATATAAATGACGAAGTCATACCAAATTATTACTGAGCCCCGAAACAGTGAACCGCATTACAGATCATATCATTGCAAACATTTCAACGTGTTGCACAGAACCAGATATATTGTAAACGGTTGTAAACTCTCATTTACGTGAAAGGCACATGGGAAATACATTAGACGTCTATAACATTACAGTGGACAGGTCGATTAGAAAAGCCAGTTACACGAAGATGAGGCTAGTCAGGTTTTTTTAAATTAACCAGTGTCCTCTTCACGAAACTCGCATCAGAGTTACAAAGAAACGTTCTCCTATCTAACATCTTCGTTATAACCACAATATTAAAAAAAATGTCATAAAATACTCCAAATCTATTTTTAAAACAATTATAGTGTCTTAAATTCTGTGTCAACATTTTAAAAACCAATTATTCGATTCTCAGCAGGCGTTGCTATTGTGCCCTCTTTTTATCATTGCCAATAGGGCTTCTTGTATCAATATTTGGGTTTTCTCCTGTGAGACCTCAGAGTGCCTATTTGATATGAACACGCATATAATCTGCGAATTCCAATGGACTGAGACGGATTTCGCAGATATTTCGTTGGGGCACTTTGTGATATAATAAACAAAATAAACTTAATTAAAGTAATTTAGCTTGTAGGTACACCACGTAAGTATTTAGCAAAGCTTTCAGTCCGTTAACCCGGGCCTTCATCAGTGTAATTACCTGAATTCACATTTACACGTCACTTAAATATCACGTTAGTCGTGATATTATAAACAATAATATTACAAGAATATTATAAACCTAATTTAGTAATTTGCTACATACTTCTGTTTTTCCATGATTGTCTGCTTCGTGCATTCATGCCATTAAGCATTGCATTTTGCACCCACTTCCTCAGGTATGCATATTTACTCTTTTTTTCTGAAGCAGTCTATAAATATGAAACAATAGCTAATAACTAGTGGTTAGCAAACAATGCATGCATCATGCACCATCTTCCGACTATCTGGCTTCGTGATCGCATCTGCATTATGTTTGTCATCTTCAAAGAAAATTTAAACAATCAGCACAACAGTGCTTTAGTAAGCTAAAGTGCGCTTTATTTATACAGGGTGTCGCAAAAAAGTCCGCTCTATTGAAATCAAGCCTTTCTTAGAATCTGATTGCCTTATATCATTATGAGAAACCCAATCGAAAGCAAGACGCTTTATTTGAAGCCTCAACCTAATAACTATGCTATTTACACACTACTGCGTTGATCATGCATTCAAATTCCAACTGAAAAGCTTCATTTCAATAGGGGGGACTTTTTTGGGGAGATCCTGTATAACAGCATTCATTATAATGATGAACAGGTAAATTAACTTGCACAATTCAGTTACAAATTCATATTTGCTATTTAACTTTTTAATTGGCCTGTTCTTCATTCGACCAACATTTTACTCTTTAAAACTTGATTTATTCTCCCACAGTCCCACTCCTATACAACAGAACTATTGCATGATGGGATGCATTAAATGTTGGACTTCTGTCTTTTATTTTTATAATGCATTTGACACATCACTGTGGACACATGAAGTCGTTCGAGTAAGCCTGACAGTTATCTCTGAGTCAGAAATACTTGTAATATATTTTGATTATATGTACTGATTTACAGCATGTTTAGCAAGGCGTGATTTTTTGGGCATTGCATAATGTAAAATACTCTTGTAAACAGTGTAGCTCAAGTAATATATGAAAATGTTTTACAATTGTTCATAAACCTTGACTAGAGCATGCATATTTGGGATTTTCATCATTTTTGACAATTTCCAGTCTTAGAAAGGTTCACCTAAACCTTTTTTTTCCAGTAAATGTCTGTTTTTTGAACGACGGTGCAAGAATGTAAACATGCATAACCCAAACGGTAGGGCGGCATTGTGGTATTATACAAACTAACCTTCTGACATCACTGAAATACTGATCAGTTTCAAGAATATTAAAGGCCTACTGTTTGGTCTATTTAAACGACAGGGCAGGGAGTGTGCGAAAAAATGGGGATGAGAAAATGTTTTAGACAGGTGTGGTGCCTAAAGAGTATTACAAAACGGTGGATAAATATTCGAAAAAGTACATCCTTTCCGTTCCTGTTGAGATTAAAAACTATCCGCTCAACCTAAAACATCCGGAGAATCAAATTAATCTGCTGGGTACTGTAGTTATGATTAATAGGCCACACATTCTCAAAATTATTATCCAGGACAGTTTTGTTTTTCTGGATTTGAATATGAAAAGTACGAGTCTTTTAAGATTTAATTTACTGAATATAACAAGTGCGAGTCGATTGGGATTATCAAAAATTTATCATACACTAAGTGCTATAAAAAATCTTAGTTGGTCACATATGACACGTATACTCAAACATAACATAGTACACAGCAGGCTCCATGTCATAGGAGACGCCGCATAAAAACATTGATTGATCCTGAACTGTGAAAGCAAAGATGGACAGTTGACAGGATTGCTTATCGTAAGGCTAAAAAGCCAGTAGAAGTTTCATAAAGTGCATGCGCAATGACGTTCAGGCTGGGATAGAGTGGTATAAACTATTCTCAACATAGATTATATCCAATCTATGTCCCCAGCTTCGCAATCCAGGGTTTTTATTTTCGTTTTTTCTCGTGATGCTAAAACCCTGGCTCGCAAGGTTTCGATGTCCTCAATAAAAAGCGAGCTATATTTTTTCCTATAAAAGTGCCTATAATTTTTCAGCAGTATATGTGTTATTAAATTACGAAGTTATGTATCACAAATATGACATATAAAAACGAGGTGTCTTGTATCAGGTAAGATCAGATAAAACAGGATCTACGAGTGCTTTTGAGTACCTTAAAAAACGTCTTGGTGAGATCTCTTTGTATTAGCGAATAAATTTTTTAAATCAACAACTGCTTGACTGAGAATATGAAAGTTAAAGTATATGGATGAAGAGAAAACCTTATCACATACAACAATTTAAGACTCAAATTTTAAATTTCATCATGGATTATTATTGCCTTGAACTGTCGACACGGTCACGCACCGAAAATAGCTATTACTCCATAGAAAGGGTGGGACACCATCACCACCCAGATTCAATTGCCAAATGGCGAGATCATTAATACTTCATCGTCCTTGGCAACGTTTTGATATCAAAATTCCGAAAGTATTAAGATGTAGCGACATCTGGTCCGCAAATTGAGATGACGCATCAATAAGCGTCGCGCTTTTTGACGCAAATTAAAAAGAAAAAGTATGAAGGAAAGCAAATATGTTCGTACACTGTTGGTCAAAGCAAATAAAGGTCCTAACTAGTAACTGCTTGATTAAAAAATCAAAATTCAAACGATGATTTCAATCTCTTCAGGAGTCTGATACGTGACACCTTATCTTGGCCAAACACATTTTGTTAAACTGGCATCCTGCTGGCAATTGTCTGTCAGGCCCGCGCGATCTAGTGTATCACGAGTAACATATATCGTATTTTTACTTCACACATAATATTATGAAACACGTCTCTAAGTATGGTGTTAATGGTGCAATGTGAATGAAAATGAGCATTTCTCAGGGAATTAATTATCATTAATTTCGATTAGCAAGATGACCCTTTTCTATAAGGTGAATGAGCTTTTTAAAACAGTAAAAACTGCGTCAAAGTGTTTGTTTGATCATCAAACACTAGTGTTTCATTCATTTATGTTAATTAAATAAAACACAAAAGGTGCTTGTTTTTAGCACACAATATCGACATCTATATTTAAATCCGTAATGCAAATTATACAACAGCAACTTATTTTTTTGCAATATTATATTTTTAGCAGGATTTGCTTTCCTTGAGGGGATCTTTCACATGTTCGTTCTGCGCATTCGATCACGGCACCAAGTCATTCGAGATTCATTGCTTTCAGTTCCTCATATATCGATACCGTGACCAAACATTGGAATTCAATTTTGAAATATTTATACGTAAAATCCACTGCCATCATTGTGGCAGGAAAATTATGAAGAGACGGTCGAAATATGCTTAGACGGCGTCTCGTAAACATTATACATGATCTATGTCAAACCAGGGGCAGCAGAATACAGCGCAATTTTTAACCTTTTAGTAATATATTATTGTAGATTAGTTATAAAATGTGTCGTCGGTCTGATGAAGTCTGCTAGCGAATCAACAGCATTCATAATGACATAGTAGATCATGAATGCTATATCCACCACCCAGGGGAATGCAATTCGTTAGTTCTTATTACTGTACAAAACCTCATATGAACCGATTTTACGGAATACTGACATTAGCAATTTCTCGTCAACAGTAAGTATTTCATGTGCGTCAAATAATCTTCTTGCTTTGCGCTCAACATGAATCTTCAGGCACAACAAGAAATTACTTTAATCACAACACGAAATGGAAATTATAATACTTTGCCACGCAGATTATGTTAATTAGGAAGAGTCACAATTACCTCTTCTTGGGCACAGACATAGGTGAACAACACAACAAAGACTACGAGCAAAGCAGATGAATATCGCATCTAAAATAGGACACGGAGGCATTACATATTGTTAAAATATTCTATAATACTTTTAGCTACAAAATTTGACATTTCTTACCGTGTTTAGAGTGCTAGTATTCTGGTAATGTGTCGACGCAAATGAAGGATGAGTTGAAAGACACAAAGTGAGGCAAACAATTGTTTTGTGTTCAACTGCTTGTGTCTTGCGGAATCTGAGATTTAATTCGGTTCCAGGACCAAATAGACTATGCAAACATACCAATCATATTTCAACCCCAGGCGAACTCTCTGGTGAAGATCAAGCCGTGATACTGATCTGTAAGTACCAGGAGTGTTTTCTGGCATTTCCGTTCTGATCACAAGTACGCAAGTAAATTGCCAGTTCATTTCAAAAATTAACAAAATTTAATTGACAAGATTGGGAGTGCATTATAGACCATTTTTAAATGCGTTACGGCGTAGTTTGTAGTCTTACAGAATACAGACGAAACGTGTTTCCGAATTCCGATTGAGCAATGCGCCCATTTGACCATTTATATCGCACTTTATATTGTCTTTCTTATCTCAAAATGATCATGATTATCACAGTTTAAAAATACCAAGAACATTTTCCCTTTATCGTCTGTGTAAATTTTCTTCGTCCACCGTTCGCATATTTAGGCGTTTCCCGTCATCGACCGGAAGTAGATTCCCCGGAATCTGACGTTCAAAATAACCCAAAATGGCCGCCATTGAGAATAACTCCGAGGTTGAATATCCTAGAACTTGTACCCGGCAAACGGGATAAAAAATCAAAGCTTTATTTCATTCAAGCGAAGTAGTAAATATTTAGTGGTAGCTAGATTATTCCAAACAGTTGCATGCCAGTGGTAAAGTGTAAAGAAAAAATGCCCGAATCGCAGATTTTCGGTTATAAATTTTCAATTCTCCCAACTATACATAGCTTAGTAAGACTACCTCAGTGTAGGTTCGTAGCAAACTGGCAAGGTCTTTTGAACCCAAAGCATTTTGGACGATCTTTGATTGGAAAGGCCAAACTCAGTTACTGATTTAAAAGTTGACATAGGTTTGACTGTATAAAACAGTGCATTATTAGACGACCTAAGGAAAATGTGTCGAAATTGTACATTGCCACAATGGAGCGAACCGATAGAAGTGGAAGTATCATCACTGCCTGTGTATTTCGCCAAAGAACAAAGTTGGAATTTTGAGAGATTAAATTTTGGCAATGGCACTGTGATAGACACTCCAGATGGTAAATCTGCTCGACCTTCCATAACTGGTCGTGCTGGTTCTCGTCTTCGTGATGGTTTTTCATTAAAACCTCATCCACGCTTTCCAGGAGGGAGATATCTTCTTGTAAGCGAGGTCCTTTATTGTCCTGGCCGACGGTATGGCTGTACACCACGGGAGAATTGTACAGGGAAGCGTCGTTTTTGCCATGCACTGTGTAAGCTTTCTATATTCGCGGATAAGCCAAATGTCGCATTCGTTTATTATGCTGGCTCTCATGGCACTGGAGACGTATCTTCCCCTGATAAACACCGTCCAAATAAACAAATGTTGGATGAGCTTCGAAGACTCAGGGTAGAGCAGTCACTCACACCATCGCAAGGTATGGAGTGGTGCAAGGTGTATTTTGCTGAACATGGCTTGGATGAAAAGCAAATGCCAACAAAACAACAGATAAAAAGTGCAATGAAGGTAATTGTGTGGTGATAAATTTACCTAGTCCCCATCTTACCCTAGTTCCCCTCTCCCTCAGCTTGACCTTTTTGTATTCGTTTGCATATTGCTGTTTATAGCATCCGTCTAAATCAACCCCTAGCATAGCAAAATATCCCATCTCCAGAGATAATGGTAAAGGCAATGCCCCTCCCAGGTACAATTAAGTTTGTGATATAACAATTTGTTAAAATACATGCACACATCACTTTCAGGCTTGAAGTGTGGGCTTGCATGCTATATGGGTGTCACTTCATTGATGTTCACCTAAGCTATATATATAATGAGAGTGACACTTCATTCTTGTGAATGAATTGCCATTGATAAAAACATTTCTCTTCTCAATTAAATTTTGTGTAACAAACTATGGTAACTTTTCAAATAGGTTTATGTTGATAAATGCTTTCATTTGAATAAATGTCAGTGTTAGGTGTCATTTTCTGCCAGGTGAGGCGCTAAGAAAGAGACTGAAATTATATTTTGTATTTTTTTTCATAAAGAGAGCATCTCTAAAGTATTCGAGAATGCGAGAAACTGCAGGAATGAAGACTTCTCAGGCACCTAATACTCCACCAAGTGGATCTGCTTCTCAAGAGGCTGGTACCAATATTGCTGCATCCTTACTTGCAAAGTACACTCAATTGCCGTATTCAGAAAGTGGTGATATAACTACAGATGCCAACTCAACTTATATTAGTGTTTCTCAGGATGGTTCAACTATTAATGTATCATCTGCTAATTACAGCCCAGGTATGACCTTTACCCAAATACCGAACATTTTAGTAGGAAAATACATATAACATGTGTCATGAATTAATGTCTAAATATACAAAATGAAGTAGTGATGACACACAGACAATTGTGATGAAACATGACCAATAATATCATTTTAGGAGACAAGTTTTGATCCACAGACATACACACAGTAACTATTTACATGGTCCTCATTTTCCATTTTAGGGTTGCCTGTTTCCTCCCTTCCCCTACTCCGAGCAGCCCTAAATGCCCAAATACGAAGATAAATCTGTGATATAATCTATCTTGTATTTCAGGTGAAACCCCAGTTTCATTGGGAACTCTGTCAAGAGTGGCAGGAACATCTCTGTTGAATGCTCCAGTATCCATTTCACAATCTTCATCCACGACAGAACAATCTGTAGGACAGAATTTAGCTGATAGTAACCTGAGCAAAGTTCTCGGAATACTAGCAAGTCCTCGATCCTTGGTAGGCCAAAATTCTAGTAAATACAATGTTGTTTATTTCTAAGTCTGAACACATGATTTAATACTAAATTTGGAGTATGAATCCTTGGTATGGTCGAATATTCCGAAATATGGTATATTCAACCTTGATAAGGTCCAATACACTGGAATATGGTATATTCAACTTTTGCATGGTCGCATCGAAGTATAGACCCAATAGAGGTGTTGAAGTATGGTTTAAAACATAGCATCAGTCAGCCAAATGCTGGATCTGCCCATGGTATTGTGTTATCTTCATTTCTTACTGAGTTGCATTTTTTGCAATGTTCTTTATTCTTAAAATTGTAATTCCTCATCAAATATCCAGGAGGTTTAAAAATACACTGCATTTCAAACTTATTTTGATGCATTATTTCAAACTTATTTTGATGCAAATATTGATGCATTTCAAACTAGCCAGCTATTGAATTGCCATTGAAATGCATGCATACTACAGTATATGCATTAAGCTAATCTAAATATTAATATTAATATTACATATCATCTCACATTTTCTATTGTATTCATATTCAGGAGGGGGATAAGGATTCAGATAAGCTCAAAGAACATGTCCGTATTTTACAAGACGAAAATTTTACGAGAATTGCGCAGATTGCAGATTTACAAGTGGAAGTGAATAATTTGAAGGTATGAGCTGGTCTGAGATAATCTCTATTCTAGTTACACATGGCACATTTTGATAGCCTATATTGATGTACATAAACATAGTGAAAACAAAGTGTATATACCATAAATCAATGATTCTATATAGGCTCAGGTATTGGAGCTGAAAGAAGACAATCTGAAGAAGGCCATACATATTGCTCAACTAGAAAGAGAACGACGATCTGGACAGGTTCGTTTTAGACATTTCCATTGTATTTTTCGTATGAATTCGCCCGATGCTGTAACAAAAATATTGTGTGCGTGTGTCTTTGAATCTATGCATCAGCATGTTCGATACTTATACTCGAGGGCAGTCACTCGTGTAGTTTGGCTTTGCAAGTCTCCCGCCTATTTTTGCCATATTTAGAATCGTACAGATAAAAATATCCCAGAACAACTTGGGAACGGCTGTTGGGAGTTGATGGATGGTTAAGTTAATAAATTTAGCCCCAGGTACGGGGTGGTGACTAGTGATAACTGAGTGTGCTTTTGTTGCCGTAGATTGCGCCAAATGAAGAGGAAATTGAAAACGTTCAGCAAAATTTGGCGAATGAAGATGAAGAAGGACTTGTGGAAGACAGTGAACAGACGGTGGTTATTGAAGAGTCTCAGGAATCAGCAATGGATGTTATAGAAAGTGAAGAAACTGATGACAATACAGTTTATCAACAAGAAGTGTGTGAAACACCAATAACAGTGAATGTTGAAACTGGTACAGCTCTTACAGAAGCTCATGAAGCAAGTCAAAGTATTCAAGTACAGTCTTCTGATGTTGTTGCTGTAAATGCTCATGCTATTATTGTTACGCAAGCTGTTGAGGACCACTTGTAAAATACTTCATTTTTTTTCCTCCATTGTTTGTTATATAGTTAAGCCTTCGTTACTATATTCGTATGTTTTCGTATAAGACGTTTATTAAACTGGAAAAATCACAAATGAGTTTGACTTGTGTATCAGAAATGCCTTCCTCTCTCATCAGCCCGTCAGTCAAATTGACTCATGACTCTGCGTACGAGATTGCTCTCTGCCAAGAATTTTTTTCAATGAAAGTGGCGCTAAATAACTATGCTCTATACGTAAAAAAAACCGCGCATTTTTTAATGGCATAAAGAGTGTCATATTTCCTCGTCAAGTATTTCCAAACACCTCCTAAAACCGGGTACTCGGAACTGACAAATCTAAGCAAATATATTGCTTGTATTTATAAGGGTCTGAAATTCATGTTAAGGTACCCAACATGTTTATACTTGGTTCACTCTGACATCTACCTAGGCATTTGCGCGCTCTAGACAGCAACACACCACCAATTGAATAAATAATTCTTTAATAAATGAACAATATATATATTTCCAAAAATGTAAACGTAATGCATTAAATAATATCCTGCATGCATATATTATATCCTATACCCCGTGTTACAACTATTAATGTATGTTTTTATTTACAATTGAATTGAAAAAATATACTCCTATGATTATAAATAAATATTCTCCCATAATCCGTTGAGATTAGATTACCAAGTTATGCAACCATTTCAACTTGACCATTCATTCATTCATTCATTCATTCATTCATTCATTCATTCATTCATTCATTCATTCATTCATTCATTCATTCATTCATTCATTCATTCATTCATTCATTCATTCATTCATTCATTCATTCATTCATTCATTCATTCATTCATTCATTCATTCATTCATTCATACTCCATTAAAACATATGCGACCTCGAAACACGTTTCGTGCAGTCAATATCGACGTCCAGTGAACTCATTGTCACTCATTGTCAGTTTCACCGTCCGTTAAATGCTGAAAAAAAAAGTTGTTTTTTTTTTGTTATATTTTAATCAATATATGACAATCGACACTTTTTAAGATGAGCAATATCAAAGACCAATTTTGTCGTTTCTGAGGAAATAGTTGCTATGACGTACCAAAGGCATAAAGTCTGTACAACGCAAATAAAATATACTTACGACTTTACTGCAAGTATTTTCATCTAAGACAACACCATTCATCAGGCTACACGAACAAATTACCGATTCTGCTAGATGTTTCCAATCATCATTATCTATGGAAAATTGATGCCGGGTTGATGTTGAAAATTGACTATGATATTGTAATGGAGTTTGTCCTGAATTGCCAAAAAATGTATTGTGTTGACAAAAATAGTTATTATACTTGATGCTAATAGTAGGAGAATTGCTATTCTGTAAAGATCACATGCACAGTTCACCATCCATGCAGCAACGATATAACCAAAAACATTTTATGAAAAAGTTTACCTTTGCATTTAGCCCACAGAACAAGTAATTTGACTTTTAGATTTTTATCATCTTCGCACTAAAAACAATTTTAAAAAATTGTTAAATCATATGACATATATTTTCTCGATGCACGTGCATGTTTTAATTTAATACGTTGTAATTTAATCGCAGAGTGAGTGTAAAATGTATGTATGTCTGTGGATCGAGCGTTAAAGTGGAGCATACCTTCCAATTTTGTGACAAAACCAGGATAATCCTGCTTTTTGTGAGCATTAAGTGTTCCTCGCAGCCTAATATTTCCAGGATGTGATTTACAAAATATTGTAGTAACTACATTAGACAAAGAAAAAAATCGCATCTTAAAAACGAAAAAAAGAAATTCAATGTACATGTGCATGTCAACAAGCCCCGATTGAGTGAAAACTAGGGCTACAGATGGAGTCAAAACATGCCATTATTAAAAAAATATAGCTCTTAAGATGTCCAAAAACTTAAAAACCTTAACATTTAACATGTCCAAAAACTGGATATATTTTGAGCCAGCATATATAGCATACCCTTTCTTGGAGTTCTCGGCCGTCCTTGAAAAGTATATACTCCTCAACAATATTTAACATACGACACACCTGGAACACACAAGAATTACCAATAAAGGCTTGCATGTAAATTTCAGGATTGCCAAACAATTGAATAACAAGGGTTACCATAACTCACTGATAAGAATATCTGGCGTATTCAATCCTTATATGTTTCACGCTATATTGGTTAATATTGAATATTACACAGCTTTTTTCAGTGCACGATGGCCTCTTATGTTTATAACAAGTCAGTCTGTTCTGAAAATCACGCTATATCAGTATATACTTACCGTCGATACTTCTATCACATCGTCTCTTCGATTTAAACAGCTCAACCTGAGATCAGGTAACTCGTAATATGTTGCAGCACAGAGTAGACCGGGTAATGTTTCATATGTTATAGAACATTTGTCATTATGTATATACTCAATAACACCAGCGAAAATCTCAGACTCAAACTCATTCATCACAAACTATAAAAACAAGAACAAGATGAAAAATTTTTACCATGACATCTATTACTTATTATTACTATAAATATTCCTTAATGTGAGCTAAACGAACTGGGCATAAACTACACTACAGTCTATATATATACAGCTTACGAGCTGATATACAGAAAGGGAGTTATCACAGGAGATTTGATTCATTTTAAACTTACTGACTTTAAACATTCTAATAGAGGATTTATCCTGTTTTGAGGCCAACCGAAATACTTAATGAGAGTTATATATTGTTAGTTTGTAATTATTAGTGCTAGAATATTTTGTGTGTCTGTACCTCTCTAGTTCTTCCAATACAGTCCAGAGATATTCCATACGTTTGTCCTGCCTTTTTGATTGAGGTTGTAGTTACGTATTGATTAATGTTCGATAATGAGGGCAATGATGTTTCTATCGCAAATTTTCCTTTCTTTGAATTATTTTGCATCATGGCCTGAGCTCTGGCTTTCTTGAAGGCAAGTTTAACCAGTGAGTCTTCTTTTAGTTGTGTGTGATCAGTTGAAATGTAGTTTCCAGGAACAGCCCAATCTGTTAGCATATCTCGAAATACTCTGCAGGAAAGAACGTGTTTAGATTAGTTGTTTGGATATAGTTATATAGTTAAAGGTAAAAGAGCCTGGCTTGCGAGATTGGGTTGGAACTTGTTGTCATCACATAAGAATATTCTATTTATGTCAGGTTGTGCGATTTTTGAAATAAAAAATGTCTACGTGCACTGTGTAAAGGCACAAAATAGACTGAACCGGGATCACTCCAATGAAAGGCGAAACAAGAGTTAAGGCATCAAGTCGCCGAAAATATATATATTGGTTTACAAGAACTACTTGAAACCTTTTAGAGACATTTAAAAGAGGAGACAGGATGGACAAAGTAGTTTACAGCTAAATTTAAGTTCAACAGGGGAAGAACATAGTGGTCTTCAACATGGCATCATGCATTACATGTAAAAAGCTTTCTGACTATCTTGACTGATCTCTTATTACCTGCTTTTGCGGCACATAACAGATCTCGTGCCATATATGCGTTTTTTGTACGTCTTTCCTATGAAAAATATACATCATTCTTATAATTATATATGACAAATAAATTGGTATGCATCACAATTCCACAAGGTTCCACTCAAGCATTGTGAAAGTAGCACGAAGGTGCATGACTATATATAAAGGATTTAAAAAATCTCTGTTTCGCCATATGTTTATCATTTTATTTTTGAGTTACAGAGTGTTCAGAATTTAAACGATGATGTCAGCATTATATTGAAATGATAGTGAATAAACTCTGTCTCTGAGACACTAATCCATTTAAAACACTCTTCAACTAAAAAGGAAATAATCGTATGCATTCATTTTCTTAATGATACAGCCAATAAATCTTCCAACGGGGAGGGTTGCGATGAGAAATCAAAGACAAAGTCAAACGCATTAAATATTCGCCTCGAGCAAAGACGATTTCGCAGGATCGTTGCATGCTTGTATATATTTTCCAACCGATAGTTCTGACTTCTGAAACAAACCTGCTAGGAAGGCCACATCACCAGAGTTAATCCCTTCACCTTGAGAGCAGTAGAAGTACTTTAGTTTTGGACTGTTATCATCAAGGTGATAGGCTGGATCATCAGGAAATAATCTCTCTAAACTATAAAAGTATAACAGAAATCAAGGCATGTCACCTATGAACAAGGCGTACTAGCTGCATGAAAGACTGTTTCAGTACATGTATAGATATATTCCAACCTTTCTAGGCTGCTACTTGCAGATGGTGTTAAAGGTGTGGAATAATCCACTCTAAAAATAAAAAAAATGTTTTCCTGCATGGTCACAAATACTATATATAGATCAACATCGGTATGTACTGTAAGGCACAACTCAGAATACTTCGATACGCATTTACGCATATCCCTAGGAGCATTTTAAACGTGCCAAAAGTGGCCTAGGATGAAGCCAAAAATAAATTTCGTGTGTCGTAACTCGTACCTTCCTTCAACATCTATAACCTCGTTGTCCAGTATACCATTCATGATTTGAGATCTTGTTCTTTGCTGCATAGAAAGATATTTAAGAGGTATATTCATTCACCAATCTATTTAGCACTAAATATAATCAATATTCATTATAAACTAGGTATTTATAAAAAAACAACGACAAAAAACACGTTTTATAAAAAATCAACCAAGAAAGTGGGCGATAGCAAACCATCTATGTAGGAACAAAGCAAATAATCAAACTAACAGAACATATATTTCTCTTGGTTTTATTACTGAGCTTTTTGACTTTTTTAATCTCGAATACGGTCTTAAGTCAAAGCAAATCGCTTATATAACGACTGCACATACAGTATATATAAAATGATTAAACGAATCATCCAAAGGCAGCTTATACTCCTACGCTCAGAGGCTGAATGGCATGAAAGAGAATTAAACAATTACCTGTACTGAAGCAAACTTTGGGGCCTCATAACATGCTCTATCACCATTGATAATCTTCTCCAGAAGCCATTCTCGAAATACATCTCCCTAAGTTAACATTATAAGAACATTTACCTTTTTATAGATTTTTATCAGTAATTCAACAAAGGTTATCCAGACTATGAATGTGGTAGCTACACGAAATCCCACGTTGTGAGAACCTGCAAATGTGCATGTATTTTAAACTTAAACACGTTATTCACACGCCGTTCGGTCGCGTTGGCCGCAAGCTGTGGTCATGCATGCAGACGATCATAAGTTTGTTAACTAAGACAGAAAAGGAAAAGGGGACAAGTTTTTCGCAGGTCTGTTACAGCTAGGGTGTTTATGTGTTTGTGGCAGTGGGCTGCTTTTAACCTGATGGAAAATATGCAGTATAAAACAGTGCGAGTCAAAGATTGGCTACATCGTAGTGATCGTACTTCATCAAATGTTCCGTCGTGGGACAATCGTGGGCCAAACCATGGCACTTCCTGTCTACAAATCACCGAAACCTAAAAGATGAATGAAAGAATGCTGAAAAAATTCTCATGGAGTCTTATTTAATGCCGAAACCAATGATACCTGAAACTTTGAATGATTGTCTGTAGAAGCAGGCAATACTTGAACCAATATGTAAGCGTGAAGAAACTGAGATTTGATCCAGTGGGGAGAAAACGAAGTTTCAATTCGGTCAGTAAATACCACACAGAGAACGTCATTACCAACGTGTCGTTTCTTTCCCAACTATAAAAAAAATAAAATATGATGTAATGAAAAATGCGACTCAACAACGACAACAACGACACCGCACGTCAGGCGTCGTAACAATCACGTGCACGGATGTCGGACAATGCGAAGGAGAGGGGGGGGATTTTTGTGAAGGGCGCTTCTGTATTGACACATACTAGAGAGTGTTTTCAAAACATTGTTCCATTTTTTCTCCTAGTAGATTTCAGTGTGTATATATTTGGTGTCTCTTAGTAGACGATATTCACTGTTTGCAAGAGGCACAGTTTGTGATATTCATGACAATGTCAATGTTTGAATAATGTTTTCAAGGGTTTCTGATAGAAGAAGGCCTGATACATAGCAGTTCTTACATATTTATTATCTTCTCCTGTATTTGGCATCAGTGATGACACATGAAACATAATTCTATTGCTTCGATATTCCGTGTAAATTGACTGTGTTCCATTAAGGCTGTTAGACGTATCGAGACCCCCAGAATAACCTTCAAAATCTTGCAAATCAACACGCTCTCCCAATAGATGTAAGAATGATTCAAAGGCAGTGGAATGTGAAATGTTGGAAAATATTTCGTCTTCAGTTTGTTGTCCATGTTTTATATACAGCACTCCAATCTTAAAATCAGATTTGACAAAGACCTGGCGAAAAAATAAAAACAAAACAAACTCATATATATAACTTTACGTGATGAGCCACAGTCAGAATATTTTATTCCCTGACTTTTCATTCTAATTTCTACCTATTACAATTTCCGTAGCATTTTTTCCGCGGCATTTTTTCCGTAGCAATGGAAATTCGTGCAAAAGAGTGCGATGCTGAAACTTGAAAATTAATTTGAAAGAGAATGAAAATGCTTACCCTATCCAGTTTAACCAGTTTCAAACCAGCAGTGTGATGGTTTACAACTTGTAGGGGCCTCGTAAGTTTTAAGAGTTGCGTAAATATTTCAATCCAACTAAATGGATCAGTGAAATGTTCATATACTCCCAATAGAGATGGCAAAATCACGACATGAACACTGCGTATTGAACTTCTAACTAAAATTCTAAAAAGAAATGAATGATTGTTAGAAATTTGAATCTTGGCACAATTATGTCCCGTATCATACTGTGTGGACAAATATATATATACGACGGTTATGAGATTTTTGGTGCTGGTCATGCATGCATGATCATGCATTAACTGTAAATTCATATCTAAACCGTGTGTGCTCTGATCATGACTCAGCAACCCAAGATGTAGAGCGGTTTGATAAATATATCATACAAGTGATACAACCCACCCCAAATCAGATTTCAAGAATAAGGTCACCAGGAGATTAGCTTTTAGAAGTCATATAAGCTAACTATTAGCTACTCATTTACAACAATTAATATGATTTTATAGCTATAACCGGAAAAACTATATGAATACCCTCCAATCCAATTTAGAATCCTTTCATTTCAGCTAATAGCATTTTGTTGAAATATGTTTTTCATACGAAATGTGAAAATTCTAAGGGTGCTTTGAAAATTTATACAGAATTATATTGTACCTGAAACATTTAATGTATCTTGATCAATAAACTCTGACACTGATCATACTATATAATTGCTTTTTTTGAAAGTGTCGGATGGTCAGAAAAGAGGGTCGAGATTTTAATTTCCTTACAAGATTCCTAATGTATATTGAGCGACATAACCAGCTATTGTTTGTGGAACATATTCCTCTGTGCAAATAATACTTGTCAGAGGTGACGTGTATTCGATATTGGTTTAGGCATCATGAGATCTTTCATGAATTTTCGCTTGTATCTTTCTTTATATGGGCATGAATTATGGGCATGATTTTAACAGCGTATATATTTGCTGGAAACTGTTACTATTTGCTTTCCACCTCCAGCTAGCCCACACACGCATGAATATATGATGTCGTATCATAACAATAAATACAATTTACGACGCATGAAACGACTTGTGAGTTACGTAATAGCATCATTCCATTAACATCGAAAAATCTGTCCAAATGACCTTCCTTGTAACTCGTGCCGGATATATGAAGCAAAATGTATATAATAGGACAATACGACAATATAAGAAAACATACGAGGCACGAGGTTTCGACCTAAGTCGTGGTTTAGAAGTCTTTACAGGAGAGTTCGGCTCTGAAGAACCTCTTCGGCTTACGAAACATTAGAAAGACAGAAAGTTGTTTGGTATATTTTTCTTGGGCAGTTTAATAAACGATTGATTGCCCTGTCTATTTCTTATAATCCTAAATATTACACTTAGCTTGAGAGACATCCGGATTAGTCCTCTTAATATTGTTGTATCTATACCTTTTGAGATACTGCGGAATGATAATTGAACATTGTTTGTAATTAAAATAATTTATGATCACCTTCCTCAGTGGGAGTATCCTAGTATCCCACTTTCTTCTAATCATAATTTACAATGGTTGCTAAGAAAATATGACCATTTACGTCCGTTGTAGGCGTTCTTTAGCTCACATGCAGACAGTGTTTGGCTTTCGAGAAAACGTCTTTGTGCCTTTCCGGGAAGCTACATTCAACATAAATCTGTATAATCATTATACTATAATGATGTTGTGAAACTTGTCTATTAGTATTTGCGTGTATACCCACAGGTTTAGCAGGATTCCGATTGAGGTTTGTTCAACAAACAAGGCTAACCAAATGAAAATTGCCATACAAATTATGACAAACTGGTTTACAATAGGTGTTGATGAACCGGGAGAAGATCAGGAAGTGAAAAATTTAGATTGACAGGGATGCTTGAACACTAATATACAAACTGCCAACGTGGCTGCAATTATCAAAGTCAAAGACCACCAGGTCAAACCGTAGAGCACGCAGACCATTAGAGTTCGAAAACGCGACTGATGCTCCGTTCAAAGTTTAGTTCATAAATTATTGAAGCATATAGTTTTGTAATTCATATTTATTTTCGCGATATTCCACGACTCAATAAAGAAAAAAATTATTTTTATCAAAAAGGATATAATATTTATAATACTACATGAAATTAAATAGCAAAGTAGTAACCCCTGTGCCGTGGCCAGTGAAATGTGTCAGTTGCCTTCCCACCGTTACTACATGCATGCAAACGTTTGAACGCAGTACACCTCATCGAAAAGATTTTGCTTTTGTAGACTAAACATTGCATTTAGATCTTGTTTTTCGGTGTATTGAGTGTGTTGATTGCTGAATAATCGCCAAAATTTATTAGGTAATTTATACTATCTGTCATTTCAACACTTGAACTTTGATGAGGAGTGACATTGCTTTGTCTTGGCCGGAACAATTGTGTCTTAATGATATTTTAAACTGTTTGATGATGCGGACTCAAAAAGATGACATAAGCAAATAATATAGACATTGAAAAGTATATTAAATAACGTCTTTGCCCCACTTTTCATTTCACTCAACTTTTCAACACATTAAAATTTCGCTTACACTTTGAATTAGTATATTTGCGTCAAGTTGTAACAAAGATATGAAAATGAAATTGCATATGTGTATAAATTATGCAGATATATATGTATAGCCTATAGGCTGTACATATATATATACGATTTGTGCAAAAGTATCACTCTATTAGTTTTAGAATCTGTGACAGTGAAAATAAAACAGCATGACTTCATGAAAAAATCCCTCGTCCTCAACATCTTGGCTGACCTAATGACATCGCAATGTCACCACAAAAAGCTACATACTATTCTGTTATGATGATAAATATTGTTACCTTATGTATTCCTTTCCATGTAAAAATTCCACCTTTAAACTCAAAATAACAGCGCCTACATCATCATCGACGCAGTAAAAATTCCAGTGTTTGCAACCGTAGAAATACCCCTCGTATACCTGAATTGCAGCGTATTTCTCGTGAGATAGTCGATTTTCGGTACACTGTATGTCTATGCTTTGTTTATCTGTAACACGATGAATCCACAAAACCTCACATTGTGTTCGCAGTCCATCATTAATGCGGTGTTCTAGTATACTGTTGTTGTCTTTAAAGTTTCTTAATTCCTGTATGCCTTTGGTGAAATTGAACTGCTTTTCCATCACATCAGAGTCTTCTGTGTCGGACATGCCGTCTTTGGAAATTGATTCACAACTCCCTCGAATAACTTCGAGTCTATTTCGATTTATACTTCGGGTATCATAATCGCGATAGGCTCTCAAATTCGAGTCAAGAGTAATACTATATCCTATATCTGTCATCGACTTGGCTGATCTTTTTGACATCCAACACCGGACTGATTTGAACTGTTTTGGTAAACTCATGACGAAGCAGGAAACATATCCCTGCACATATATAGCGCGCTCTTGAAATCACTTTGCTCTTGACAATTAAAATATTACTAATTTACTGGCGATCTTTTGGCGGACTTTACAAAATTGACCTGGCGCGAGAAGAATCCCTATATGAATTGTCAAACCATCTTGATGAGTTGATGCAAGATATTATAATGCCTATGTAATAATCATTTGATCGTTTTCATTTCAGTTGACAGCTGATCTACTTACCGTTGTAGCTTTTAAAATTCAATATTCAAATATTAAATTTTCATAACAATTATTTCATGGTTTCAATTAATTGTCACCCAGCTGGCTTTGCAAATCTAAAGGATTTAAACAGTTGATCGCTGTTGATGTGCGAGTCGTATAAGCGATCTAAAGTATGTTACCAGTAACGTCCGCGAGAGCTCATTTAATAGGCGGCATTGGTGCGCGGGGTCCCTCCCTAGCCATCCTACGTAATTATTATCCTTGTGGCGAATATTCCGTCTGGACCGATTTAAATTCATTTGCATTTTAATTAAGACAAAGAGTTTGTTCAGAGTATTTCCGAAGTTAGTTCGCGTTTTCGAAATAATGTTGAATGATGTTGAATCACAATATTAAGTTCTGTGGTTTCCGTTGTTCTTGTGGGTAGCCGCTGCTCATGCGCAGTAAGTTAGAGTTGGAGGTTTGTTGTCTCAGACACTCGAACTCATACCCATTCATACCCAGATTAACCCTGGCTTGTGTGGTTTAGCCTGCGTGCAGACGTAGTGAGGTTAGACCATACATGTCGCGGGGTTATCTTTTGTATCGATGTATGAAGAAACTACAAAGTTCTGTGTTCAGGCTACGATGTTACATTGTTGCTTGCCACTCAGTTGTTACTTGCCGATAGTTTATACAGTCTTTTTTTGAAAGAATTTTCACTTGGGGGTCGAGAATAGCACAACGAAAAATATTCGCCGAGGTCAGTTGGCGACTCGCGAGTCTGAAGAGATAATTTATGAAACTTTACTAATCGCCCTCCCCCCCCCCCACAACATCAGCTACACAGATACACAACAGATACACGAGTGAGCTCTATATTTAATTGTAACATATACTCCAATTTCACTCTCGACTATATAGATAGCTCAGTATTGTAATACATTATAGTTGGTACAATCGTTGTGAGGCATCTGATATCAAACAAGATGCATCGTGTAACAGGCATATATGGTAACAGGGCCGTAATTATCAGTTGTATACTAATTTATTTTCTTTGAGTATACTTTCACTTTTAATGACAAAGTCGTTGATTGATTATAGTCTAATAGGTAGTCTCGGTTTTCAAAAAAATAATAAATCTCAAAATCTCAATTCAATGTGCTACTTTAAATGTTCTTATCATGAGAAAATCATTATCATATCAAACTTTGGTTATCGTCCAAGAACGTTTTAACAAGGTCATGTAACTTCGGACAGTCTGGGGGTGCAAAATGGGCAATAAAGTCCTTCTTAGTCACAGCACATTCTTTATTGCGAAAACTGCAAAGCGTTTGTAACATATTACTGCGTTCCACTGCAAATCTCCCATCCATACTTCCACTATCCAATTGATCTCTGATAGCGGCTTGCTCGAACTTACTATGAGAACACCAGTCATTTTTCCAAGTTTTTCCATTTGTTATATTTTGAAAAAACTCGTGCATGGTAGGCGTATTACGCATAAGCAATACACCTGCATTTAACATCCGATCCGTGCGTGGCCAACTTACTAAAAATTCTTTTCCCAGATAAGCATCAAAGAAAGATTCTAATGTTCTGTCCATATCCAAGAAAATTGCGTCCGTATCGACCCAAAACAGCAACCTACATTCAGCCAAGTGTTTGAGAATTGCATGAACTTTATCCCAGACTCTGTGACAGGGAGCATTTCGATGAAACCCGAACGCCTCTTCAATATAAACATAACCATGGTGATCGGTATACTTCCGTTTATTCTGGCGAAGACGAGCCAGTTGTGGAGTTAAGCATCCGTGCGTTCTATGACTTCCTACGGTTGAAAAAATCTTAATGAGACCAGTGGTGATATAATAAGGTTCCATCCAGAAACAGAGGCGTGGCCAAACTTGGGGAAAAGGAACCAGTAAAATTTAGGCCCCCTTAGAAAATGTATTTTATAAAAATACAGGTAGATCTGGCCCTAACTACAACGGGGTTTTTCTTGTCTCTCCCCGACAAAACTCCTGGGATGAAAAACCAAATTTAGAAAAGTGTTTATAACTTAGAGTGCTTTACCTGTTAAAACTCAAACTTTGTGTTGTTTGCAGCGGTCTTCTTTGTTGCTTTCCCATTGTTTTAGAACTCCATCAGTTTTAATTTCTACTGCTTTAGTATTAAATACGGTACAAGGAAGTCTCATGTCTTTTCTGCGTTTCTCAAAGAACATATCAACCACAGAGTGATGATCTGTACGGTTCAATGCTGCTGCGATGCAGGAACGTTTTCTCGCGCATTGTGCCCATGCTTCAATCAGGGTTTTAAACCGAATGTAATTCACGCCGATGGCATAGGTCTGACAATGTCCTGCATCCGATGGATTGGAACTACTCGCTGCAATAAAACTTTTGTCGCTGAGGATTTCAATAATATTATCCAGTTGTAAAGGTAATTTGACAGAAGGTTCTATCCAAATAATTTCACCATACGTAAGAGAGGCAGATTCCAAAACGATTGGTTTTATTGCATTTAAATGGTAGTATCGTAAATGCAGTGGGTGAAAATGATATGGAAAACGGTGTAAATGTATTCGAAATGGAGTATTTAGATTTTTCACGTAATTAAACTCGCAATCGCGAATATCTAAGCTCCATACTATCAATTCAAGTTCACCACCATGACTGAATAACGTATCGACGAATTTCAACAGCCAGGTAAATTCATGCGAACTTATAGCAGTTACCAGGTAGTAGTTATCCTTAACAGCTATTTCTTTTTCATCTGGCTTGAAGATCATGGGAAAGCCATTTATAAACTGACTGTTCTTTGTCTTTGATGACACGTTGTGCTTGCGATGTTGTCGGAAATATATCAAAAATAAAATGATACCAATTATGATAAAAAATATCGAGTATCTTGGTTTGGTATTACAAAAACGGTAATATATCTTTCGATATTGCCGACGAAGTCAAAGATTGAGCATAGCCTTTACTTGCATTCATTCAATATCTTTGGAAAACGGAATTAAAAAGCAGTGTTCCAATTGCGAGTGTTCCTGAAATATGTGACTGTGTTCGTGGCACAACTTAATTGGCCAAAAGTATTTTTGGGTAATTGCTGGAATATTCCAAGCGGTAAATGTTTGCAAAGTGGTCTTTATAATAGGTTCCCAGAATTCCTCGTTTGAATAGCCGGAAATAACATTACTACTAACATTACAGCAAAAGAAATACAAGACAATTTGTAGAGCATTTGATTTAATGTTTTCATTACAATTTTTTAAAATGAATAAGTTGCTACTTCAAGTTTCATGCAACAAGCAATCATCAGGCAACGATGATCGCTTGTCGCATGAAACTTGAAGTAAACATTAAATTATTGCGTTCGACGAAGGAGAATTAACGATTCCTAGCCGTGTCATATCGAGACTTGCGATGTCAGATTTGCCTCGTTCTGATGTGTCGTCATGGTAACTGGAGGCCACGTGCTTGCTCTATCAGTTTGACATTTTGTTGTTAAATAAAGCATATGAGCCATAACTTTTGTTAAATTACTCATTTTGCGGGTAACTTTTTAAATCACATACGCTGTGAGCCTATGACGTTGTAATGTTAACATTTCTGTTAATGATCTTTAACTCAAATCAACACATTCCGAACGCACATCACTAATCTGTGATTACTGCTAGTATATATATATATATATATATATATATATATATATATATATATATATATATATATATATATATATATATATATATGTGGCGAATATTCCGTCTAGACCGATTTTAATTCATTTGCATTTTAATTAAGACAAAGAGTTTGTTCCGAGTATTTCCGAAGTTAGTTCGCGTTTTCGAAATAATGTTGGATGATGTTGAATCACAATATTAAGTTCTGTGGTTTCCGTTGCTCTTGTGGGTAGCCGCTGCTCATGCGCAGTAAGTTAGAGTTGGAGGTTTGTTGTCTCAGACACTCGAACTCATACCCATTCATACCCAGATTAACCCTGGCTTGTGTGGTTTAGCCTGCGTGCAGACGTAGTGAGGTTAGACCATACATGTCGCGGGGTTATCTTTTGTATCGATGTATGAAGAAACTACAAAGTTCTGTGTCAGGCTACGATGTTACATTGTTGCTTGCCACTCAGTTGTTACTTGCCGATAGTTTATACAGTCTTTTTTTGAAAGAATTTTCACTTTGGAGTCGAGAATAGCACAACGAAAAATATTCGCCCAGGTCAGTTGGCGACTCGCGAGTCTGAAGAGATAATTTATAAAACTTTACTAATCGCCAATCCCCCCCCCCCACAACATCAGCTACACAGATACACAACAGATACACGAGTGAGCTCTATATTTAATTGTAACATATACTCCAATTTCACTCTCGACTATATAGATAGCTCAGTATTGTAATACATTATAGATTGGTACAATCGTTGTGAGGCATCTGATATCAAACAAGATGCATCGTGTGACAGGCATATGGTAACAGGGCCGTAATTATCAGTTGTATACTAATTTATTTTCTTTGAGTATACTTTCACTTTTAATGACAAAGTCGTTGATTGATTATAGTCTAATAGGTAGTCTCGGTTTTCAAAAAAATAATAAATCTCAAAATCTCAATTCAATGTGCTACTTTAAATGTTCTTATCATGAGAAAATCATTATCATATCAAACTTTGGTTATCGTCCAAGAACGTTTTAACAAGGTCATGTAACTTCGGACAGTCTGGGGGTGCAAAATGGGCGATAAAGTCCTTCTTAGTCACAGCACATTCCTTATTGCGAAAACTGCAAAGCGTTTGTAACATATTACTGCGTTCCACCTCAAATCTCCCGTCTATACTTCCACTATCCAATTGATCTCTGATAGCGGCTTGCTCGAACTTTTTAATGGAACACCAGTCACTTTTCCAAGTTTTTCCATTTGTTACATTTTGAAAAAACTCGTGCATTGTAGGCGTATTACGCATAAGCAATACACCTGCATTTAACATCCGATCCGTGCGTGGCCAACTTACTAAAAATTCTTTTCCCGGATAGGCATCAATAAAAGACTCTAACGTTCTGTCCATATCCAAGAAAATTGCGTCAGTATCGACCCAAAACAGCAACCTACATTCAGCCAAGTGTTTGAGAATTGCATGAACTTTATCCCAGACTCTGTGACAGGGAGCACTTCGATGAAACCCGAATGCCTCTTCAATATAAGCATAACCATGGTGATCGGTATATTTCTGTTTATTCTGGCGAAGACGAGCCAGTTGTGGAGTTAAACATCCGTGCGTTCTATGACTTCCTATAGTTGAAAAAATCTCAATGAGTCCAGTGGTGATATAATAAGGTTCCATCAAGAAACAGAAGCGTGGCCAAACTTGGGGAAAAGGGACCTGTAAAATTTAGGCCCCCTTAGAAAAGGTATTTTATAAAAATAGGTAGACCTGCATAGCCCCAACTACAAGCAACGGGGTTTTTCTTGTCTCTTCCCGACAAAATCTCCTGGGATGAAAAACCAAATTTAGAAAAGTGTTTATAACTCAAAGTGCTTTACCTGTTAAAACACAAACTTTGTGTTGTTTGCAGCGGGCTTCTTTGTTGCTTTCCCATTGTTTTAGAACTCCATCAGTTTTAATTTCTACTGCTTTAGTATTAAATACCGTACAAGGAAGTTTCATGTCTTTTCTGCGTTTCTCAAAGAACATATCTATCACAGATTGATGACCTGTACGCCGGTTCAATGCTGCTGCGATGCACGAACGGTTTCTCGCGCATTGTGCCCATGCTTCGATTAGGGTTTTAGACCGAATGTAATTCACGCCGATGGCATAGGTCTGACAATGTCCTGCATCCGATGGATTGGAACTACTCGCTGCAATAAAACTTTTGTCGCTGAGGATTTCAATAATACTATCCAGTTGTAAAGGTAATTTGACAGAAGGTTCTATCCAAATAATTTCACCATACGTAAGAGAGGCAGATTCCAAAACGATTGGTTTTATTGCATTTAAATGGTAGTATCGTATATGCAGTGGGTGAAAATGATATGGAAAACGGTGTAAATGTATTCGAAATGGAGTATTTAGATTTTTCACGTAATTAAACTCGCAATCGCGAAGATCTAAGCTCCATACTATCAATTCAAGTTCACCACCATGACTGAATAACGTATCGACGAATTTCAACAGCCAGATAAATTCATGCGAACTTATAGCAGTTACCAGATAGTAGTTATCCTTAACAGCTATTTCTTTTTCATCCGACTTGAAGATCATGGCCATGGGAAAGCCATTTATAAACCGACTGTTCTTTGTTATTGATGACACGTTGTGCTTGCGATGTTGTCGGAAATATATCGAAAATAAAATGATACCAATTATGATAAAAAATATCGAGTATCTTCGTTTGATATTACAAAAACGGTAATATATCTTTCGATACTGACTTGCCTTCATTGAATATCTTTGGGAAACGGAATTAAAAAGCAGTGCACTCCAATTGCCAGTGTTTCTGAAATATGTGACTGTGTTCGTGGCACAAATTAGCCGAAAGCACTTTTGGGTAATTACATAATATTCCAAGTGGTAAATGTTTGCAAAGTGGTCTTTATAATAGGTCCTAAGAATTCCTTGTTTGAATAGTATCAAAATAGCAACCACTTGTCATTCGTCAGAATGATAATCGCATTTGCATCTTCCCCGCTGTGTAATGCATCCACCCGCTGTGAAAAATTACCTCGCAGCTGGTAAATAACATACAGGGTGTCTCAAAAAAAACGCAACCACTTGATATTCTAAAATTCATATTGTTCATAAGCTCAATAGATTTTATGCTCTTGGGATCTTAAAATGGCTTCTAATCGTACAGTTCAACTGCTAATAGTCAAATCCGCTAAACTAATAATGGTGCAGCTAACAACCGAACAACGAGTTTTTATTGTCGTGCATGATAACTTGAATGCTAACTGTCGACCTTGTAAAATAAATTGTAAATAAAATTTTACTCGTTAAATACTTTCAATTCAGCCCGTTGGTTTACGCACCCGACTTTGTTTACCGACGATTGTGCCACAGAATACCTAACAGAAGTAGAACTCTATACTATTTTTTCGTAAGTGTGATTCGTCATGACTCGTCACTTAGCAAGTGCATTTTTTTGAGGTGTCACCCTCCTGCCAATGTCTAAAATCAGGCCATTTTTACTACTGGCAGGGGGGTGGCTACCTCAAAAAAATGCACTTGCTAAGTGACGAATCATGACGAATCACACTTACGAAAAAAGTACAGGAGTTCTACTTCTGTTAGGTATTCTGTGATTGTGCCGCTAGAATATGATTACAAGCTTTTTCGCATTCCAGGGGCCAAACGTCTTTTGTGCTGTAGAGCAAAGAGGATATTCATGAATATATATCATGAATATATATATATATATTTTATTTTTTCTATAAATATACGTTTTTTAGTACTAGGAAATTTACAATAATCGAACATGCATTAGAACTAAGTATAACAATTCTACATCACTATTTACAAAAACAACTTAGCTAGACCAGTGAACTCTAATAGACTAATATGACTGGGACGATAACTTGGCCGCCATTTTTGAAGCCATTTTTTTTGTGAGTTGAAGGCGAAGTTTTTTTTTCGGCCCGTTCAAATTCTTTAAATATTTCAAGTACAAAGATGGTACCTCGCCGGTTTTTACAGTAAGATGATACGGATTACTTACAGGTCTATCCAAACAGGGTAAATTCGTTGTTTGAAGTTGAAGTGGTCAAATAAAAATTGCACTTTTCTGGCAATTTAATTTTTGCCAAAAAATACGATTCTTACGGAATTCTCACTCACCCCCCAGTTCTTTTGAAGGCTTGATTTGCTCGCGCGGCTCCCGCCTTAATCAGCAAATTATATTCAAATCGGCTTCATCCAATGACTAGCTATATAGTCTTTATTGTTGAGTTATCGTTCCAGTCTTATAAGAGTTCACTGAGCTAGACTCGTTAATGTTCGAGTTCCATTCCGACAAAGTGATGTCATTAAGTGATGTGATGGACGTAGTCCTCCAACTTCGACTGCCACGAACACACACCACGCAAGCTCGAAGCAAAGCAAAGGCGATCTTTCGACGTAACCAGCTAATCACCATAGATGAAGACTGATTCTTCTTGTTAGCAAGCTTTGCACCCAGGAAGCAGAGAAAATGTTGAGTCTCTCTTCCGCATCCGCCAAAGACGCTGAAGACGACTGGTGTGAAGGAGCCATGCTCGACTTCTACAATCCGTTGGTTGTAATGTCTCTTCCTTTCCCGTTCGTTGGCTTTAAACGAGCTGCTCAACGTCTGGCGTCGATGTCTGGCGTCGATGCATTGGCAAATACGACCACGGTCATATTCGCCGGAAAATGGCAAATACGACCATGGTCATTTTCGCCGGAAAATGGCAAATACGACCACGGTCATATTCGCCGGAAAATGGCAAATAAGACCATGGTCAAATTCGCCAGAAAATGGCAAATACGACCATGGTCATATTCGCCGGAAAATGGCAAATACGACCATGGTCATATTCGCCGGAAAATGGCAAATACGACCATGGTCATATTCGCCGGAAAATGGCAAATACGACCATGGTCATATTCGCCGGAAAATGGCAAATACGACCATGCCGCTCAACGTCTGGCGTCGATGTGTTGAGGCGTATGGATTAAACACCCTTACATCAAAAAATGCCTTTTCACATCTCTGCCAGAAACCTCTCGCAACAATGTCCACTCTGGCGTCATCGGTTGAGTTAGCACTGGATGGAAGAACCTCGCCAGTCAAAGGAGCAAGGGCAGGTTCAATTGAAACATCGTATAAGCAACGTCATAGATAGCAGGAGCAAGTAGATCACGGATCTCATCATGTCTTCGATGGATAAAGCCTCCTTTCAGGCACGACAGGGCATGATCGACCGTGAACGATTTTCCACAGGCGCAGAAAGATGGAAGGAGTTTCAAAGGCCATCGATAACGCATGTAGATTGCATCAAAGAACTCACGCTTGGTCAAGATGTAGCCCTCATCAGCAAGTGGCAGAGCTGTTAGCCATGCTGAGGATCCTTTCAACTGGGCGAGGTCATTTGCTCGAATCTGCTCTTCACTCATGCTCAATCTCAAGTTCTGTAGCAGCAACAAGTTCCTAGCTTGACGTTGTTTTGCAATCTCACGACGAAGATCCTGGATGGAATTTCCATGTTCGGCTGAACCAGTGTACCATTCTGGTGGATGATTCTACTTGAGAGAACATGACAGATGGTTGTGGAGTTTAAATGTTCTTCATCACAGATCTCATTAAAGATCGGAATGCCAAGACCTCCCATACGAGCTGGAAGCGAAACCAATTGTCGCTCATAGATGGACAAGATATACGGTTATCGAGGAGCGCAGGAATATACTTATCTTTTCCGTCATCCGATCCAAGATATCCTTCAAGGTACTTATGCTCTTCACTTGATATTCGTACATTAGTTCCAGCGAAGATCTCAATGGCAGTCTGCTCCAGGTGTGGCTTCACAATCAACCAGGATTTATCAGCTCGCGGGTAGTGACCAAGACTCGGACCGTGCACGGCAATCTTCTCCCACGAGGCACGCAGTTGCATTAGCTTACCTGCACCACTAAGGTCATCCGCGTATGCAACATGCCTTACATCACTAGCTTCATCAGATTTAATCATGAGCAGGAGTGGAGTAATGGAAACGGCGTATAACGGCATGGCTAACGGATCACCTTGCGTGGTACCTTCCGCTGATGCAATTTTTTTACCATCTTGCACGAACAATCTTGAAGCGCCATTATGCTTGCTTGTGCTCGCGTGTTTGGCTTGCGTTATGTGGCGTCACCACTGTCACACTCTCAAAAAATTTCGGACGCGAAATGCAAAGAATGAGGCTTCTGGTAATTGTTTCTTGTTTCTTGTTTCTGGTATGTCTATTCTGTGCTAAACAGTGGTGCTAAAAGATACACTAGTCTCCAGTCTCTTCATTGTACCCAACAATTTTTAAAAATTATAAATATCAACATGGCAGCAATGGCAGCAAAAAGCGATTTTGAATTTTGTAATGTTTGCCGTCGAAATCACGGTCTAGGAAGACGGCACATTTATAGCAAAAAGCATTGTGCAATAACAAAACAGATCTTAATTAAGTATGGTAAAAAGGTAGGCAGAAACAAAATTATGAAACTGTTGAGCGACGTTTTACTGACTTTGACACCTAAGTGGCAGTATGTCAGACTGTCAGTCACTGTCTGTATCTCAGTTTGAAAAATCTCAGCATATCCTATGGCCTATTCATATTACACAATTAAAAAGTGCGTTATCTAACTCTAACTCCTGCAAAATATCACCCTACCCCTGGAAACTACAATAAAAAATCCTACTCACGTTTAATACCTTCCAAGGGGACCACAAATTGATGCCCCTGCAAAAATTGATGATAGCTACCTAAAGCTCCATACAGATGAGCATGTTTCCTTCGACATACCACCCTGTATGGTACAGATAAGAAAATTTATTTGACAAATTTCTTGATGAGTTCATTTGCTGCTTCTAAGTAAATTTGAGTCATAAAATCTGCAAAAATAACCAAAAAGCAGCTGATCTCTCGTTGCAGCAAACTGGAAAACATTTATAAATAATGAAAGAGCTTAGAGGGTGCAACATTACATCTATAGAATTATTTGTTTTAGATAAATGAAACAAGAAAAGTAATAAGTGCCCCTTCTGTTGTCAATGGTGAGCTAGAACCTGGATCAAAGTTTTGGTGTCATTTTTGTGCCATTGAAGTAGCAAAACATATAACTGATGGTGATGTGTCTGTCCAATTCGGTGGTGTTTTTGAGCATTTGGCAAGGTAATTTGATGCTTAAGTTAAGTCATCAGAATCAAATCAATCCTAGGCTTATAAATATATCAGAGGGACAGGTTCGATTCCTGCCCGAAAACCGAAGTTGCATTTTCTCAAACCCAGTTAAGATCTTTAAAATCTTGTGATGCTAATCATGACCTGTGCTGCTGAATCTTCTTGACAAACCTGAATTTACACCACAAGCGACATTCTCCTTAGCTTATTGCTTAGAGTGCTGTGCGGGAATCTCAGAGGCTCAAATCCTGCATTTTTCGCAACATTTTCAGTTAGGTATTTAAAATTGTATGTTTCTGCTTGCACTTTTATAATCTGTACCCTCATTTCCTTGCTTCGACTACAGAAAAGAAGTCCATCATGCATTCTAAGCGAGTACATGGACAAGATTCATCAGACTGAATAGTGTTAATTGTACAATACATCTTTTAGCGTTGAACATCTGAGGCACACAAACAAATGGTGGGCTGTTAATGGTGCAGATAAAAATGAAAAAAACAAATTTTTGCTTACTCAACAGGAGCTTCAGAGGTATTATGACAAATTTTGTAAATAATAAGTGTTCTCTTACCTTTTCATTTTACTTTTGTTTGTATTATTTATATGTGTTTTTTATACATGCATGAACTCCATTTTATAATTTTTATTCCTTTAGATTTAAGGAAAGGGTTAAAGATAAATTGGAAGATCTTGCAACAGAAGTTGGAAAGGTCTTTGACAAAGTAATTATATACTGTTTATGTATCTTTGAAATCTTGTGAATTGAGAGCATTATTGCAAAATATTTGCTGAAAAATGAGGGAATTTCTTAGTATTCTCACAACTAACCACCTAATACAGACAAATAAGATGATGAATGACTCAACTTGAAATGATTTGTATAATTTCCATGCTAAGTGGTATCAAATGAAGTTTCAAGTATATATAGCTTTCGTTGTTTAACTACTTCCTTATCCTATATGAACTCTTTAATTAAAAAATATAACTCTTCCTTATGAACTTTTTAATTTGTACTACATACAAAGCTATTTGACTTCATATGAATCTACTTTAATAGTTTGTACGTATATACCTCTAATATTTATATATCTTACGTAATCTTCCGTTATTTTCATAGTCTGTGGTAATTATTCAAGAGAAGGAAAAACGTCAGAAAATTGTCGCTGCACAGGTCGGTAGTCGCCAGATTAATGGTCATGTGTGCTGCTGGTTAAAGTATCCACAAATTTGTTTATATTATTTATGCTCTGCTTTACTAGTTTTTATGTTACATATTATATTATCAATATTGTCTAATGGTAATGTAAGATCATGAGACATCCTGGTTAATTAAGTCATGCAGTAGCCCTTGCAAAGGTTATACTCAATTTCATGTGCAAGGATGTGCAAGCACTCTCTATATTTAATTGTAATATAATGTGCATGTGTACATAAAGAAAAGTGTCTGTAACAATGTTGTAAGGTAACCACTGCATGGACCTCTATTTTGTGGTTGTGGTTGTGGTTGCAGTGAGATACAAAGGTAGGAGCTTCGTGTATTTGCTCTGAGGGAACGTCCGCTTTCAACAAGGAAGTTGGAAGCAGAAGTGAAGAACATTGATTGACTCAGGATTACCTCAAGTCAGTTTACATGTTGCCTAAATAGGTTTTTAACACATCGGAATCACCAATTCAATAAAAATTATAGAATTGCACACCTAAGTTATAAAAATTTTAAAAAATAATTCATACTTTGCCCTCAGATTCGCTTCTGAAGCTATTTTACCCATAGAAAAAATAATACGCCCCATACACCCCAGCACTATATGAACCAAGTAGTAGAAATTATAATTATATAACGTTAGTTCAATGTATCCACAATTCGACCTGATGTTATCACAGCCGGTGTTACAGAGGATAGTGTCCCCCCGCGGATAGTGTCCCCCCGGACACTATCCGCTAGCGGATAGTGTCCCCTTTAATTACTTTACCGCGGATAGTGTCCCCCACGTGAAGGTCCAAAACAAAAGTTAATATTTGCTAGAAAATATATTTCATATAAAAAATTTGCTTAGTAATACATTTTCTCTCAAGCTGCGTTTCTGGGGTTTCGTAAACTCATCCGGATATTTCTCATTTCGTAGATAATCGTATATTCGCTGATACAATGTTGACTCGTTCTCCATACTAAACTCCAGCAGATCACTTTTGAAAATAAGTGGACAACTGTTTGGCAACTGGCAACTCTTTATACAGTTGTTTTGCGGCTTTTCTTTGTGAGTCATACAGCCATTGTGCCTGGGCATTCGTGAAATGCTTTTGTGTAATATTGATTAATCCTGCCATTGTGCAGCTAATGAGCGCTTTTGTTTTTGAGGAATGCCTTGCAAGTCATTAGTCATGTTTATGTCGTATATTAAAGTTATGATATTGTGTAATAACATGTTTAAATTCGAAACACTAATAACACTAAAATTCGAAATACAAATTTAGAACTTTTTCAATCACGTAATCGTGATCGACCAAAGAACTAAATCTTCTTTAGTTGTTTTTATCGGGGGGACACTATTCGCGAAGGGGGGCATTATCCGCGTCGCGGATAGTGTCCAGGGGGACATAATCCGCTAGCGGATAGTGTCCGGAGGGACATAATCCGCTAGCGGATAGTGTCCGGGGGGACACTTTCTGCGGGGGACACTATCCGCTAGGACACCGGTTCACGCTTTCAGGATCCCTGCTGTCCAAAATGGAGAGGAAACTCGAGTAATTTAATAAAGGCGAAAAAAAAGTAGATCGAATAGATTTCAAACATTTTCATATGTTACTTTTTCCTGAATGCTACATGTAGCCACCTGAACCTTGTGTTCCACCAGCAATAGTCTATCGTACAGTCAGGAACCGCCATGGTGTCATGCAGAATCCAACAGGATTGTATGTATTCAGTATACAAGTGTATATTTATATATATTATATATATCGGTCAACTTATTTTGAAATATTATAGTACACGATAAGACTGGCATTCATTGTTGTGTCAACTTTTAGAAATAAAAATTGTTTCGTAAAGTGTTTAGGAAGAAATCCAGTGGCTTTTCAGAGTTGTGGAGACATGCTTTCTGTGAATTGCAAATAATGCCGTTTTCTGTTTTAGTCACGACGGGCAGAGAGTTTGGGGTGGAGGTGTTGTAAAACACAAGTATGGATTTAATTATTTTTTGCCTGTGGGCTATATTACGATCAATACCGTCTGAGAAACAAACTAGAATAGGACTTGTGAATGTAGTATATAATAAACTGTCTGTCCTGATGTCATACTACTAGAAATGCACGACCTGATCAGTGGTACCCATGGGAGTTTGATTTTGAGGATGGGGGAAAGACATCCGGTGAGTAACAGTGAAATCTACAATCAATATTTCTATATAATTGTCACGTTTATTAAGGTAATATGGTTTGTTTGTATGCCCGGCGAGGCGTTGTTTGCTGTACATTCATATGAAGTATACCACATTTACCAACTCCAGGCAAAGGTTGACAAATCCCTGAAATTACTGTATCGTTAAATTCATTATCATCCCCAGAGCAACGCAGCGATGCCCTAGGCCTAGGGACGAGAATGCGTTAAATTTAGATATATTCGCTGATCTAAAACACTAAGTATGATTTAACGTTAAATAGGTGGTTATCAGCTTTTTTCAAAATTTCCTGGCGAGACCAATGATTTAGGTGAAAGCGAGGTGGGTGTGTTCGGTAAAGTAAAAAGTTCGATTCTGCTGTACTGAAAAATCTTAGCTTCTTGTCCATTTTCTTTTTGTCCAGGACATGAAAAGTGGCAACATTCATACTGGTATGTCTTGAATTGTTGACGTTGATATTTTTATTTACACACAGTGTCTAAACAGGAACCCTTACTACACGGTTGTTGAACCTGCTGCTGAGCAAAATGCCTCGCCGAATAGTCTTTTCTTATTTTTGTTATATGACTTGTTATGCCATATACGCCATATACGTTTTTTAAAACTTCTTTAAAAAGATCATGGAGCAATTTTCGAATCAGGCGAGGGAAAAGGAAAGGATCGAGGGGACTGAAGGAAAGGCTTCTTTGGGAAGGGGCTTTAACCATACTTTGGTCACTACAAAAACATGACATGCATATGCGTGTCATTGTGGACAGTTACAGTGATCTACTTCGAGAAGGGTTTAGACTAACTAGGAAATATACTCATATCTAGTATAAATTATACTAAATAATGTATAATACCATTTTACTTCCTTCACACATTGTTTGTTTTGAATATTTTTAGGAGCTACACCGCCATGGCTTCTTGCTGTAAGTACCTACATAGTAAAATACAAAATTTAAATAATCCTGTTAGTTGCATCCATAAACAAGTATGGATGTGCGTGGATTTGTTTACTCAATAATTGCTATGATTGGCGTTTGCGCTTGAAAACGCTTACAATTTAGAAACATCCGTTCGAAGTCATTGTGACATATTATATACCACTACATTTTATTTTAATCCGTGCGGAGATTGATTCCAAACGACAAAAGTCACTCGCTTTCCGTTTTCTGAAGTCGGAAGTCTGAAGTCTCCTGTAATCACGCGCAGTCTCAATTTCCCCTATTATCACGCGCGTTCCAAATTTCCCTGTAACACACGCATCCATTGCCCCCTGTTATCATACACGGACAGGACTCGATGTCCCCCGTTATCACATGCGATCTCTTTGTTCACTGTCGTCACACAGTCTTTTTTTGCTTGAGAGTCACAGGTCACCAGCACAGTTACGTTTAATAAAGTTGCACGTTCCGACGGTTCCGTATAAGCAAGAATGTCTTTTAATGTCAATAAAGACTTGATTCTTAACATATATTAGCCAGACTTTCCCTGATTGCTCCTCCCTATAATAAAACGGTTCATCGTCGCCGACATTCCTGTTGAGCACTTTGCTACCTTTTTGTTTTGAAACACTCCCCTTGGTCGGGATTTTGAGAGGCTTTTTAAAAGCTGTAATCCTAAATGTCGAGTGCTCTTTTAAATGTCGCGTCTATAATCAAACTACTTACTGCAGTATTGTACCGGAAACGATTATTTTCTCAGCGGAGGTCGAAATATTAGCTTTGCATATATCGTTCTAAGAACCTTTATCTTCGACTGACTCTTTCGAATTTAGTCTACTTTTCACATCGGATATCTATGTATAAAATTATGATCAGTTTCCAAGGTGAACTTTATATCCTTGGTCACGGAACCGCTGGAAAACTGCGCCTGCTGTACCTTTATGGAATCATGTACAGCATTTATCGTTTATGGCATACATGGTGGAATTTGGCATTATAATCATCATTTTTTTATTCTCTGGCTCCGTTCAAAAAAGAGCTTGTAAACTGAGAGCGTTTAGCGTTTTTTAGGATGACGAACACGACACCAACTCAGTTATGATTGGTCCATCGTTGGAGGAATTTCAAAAACATGGCAAGTGAAAAAGTGCATTAATATCTTAATAAAAGATATTATTTTGATTTTATTAAGTTTGGTTATATCAGTATCATTCCGAGCCCTGTTACTCCCTTCTGGAAAATAAGGGGTTAGAGGAGAAGGGCGAGAAACGAAGCTGTGTGAAGAGGGAATGTTCGTTGTTTCCCCGCCGAATTTAGTCTTTAAACTGAACAGACAAACCTTTACGGAGAGGAAACAAGCTTGGATGATAAGTCTGTTGAAATTCTGAGTTTTTCCGTATTTTATGGATAACCGCTTAAAAGAGGAAATGAGATGAAAATGGAAGGAAACCGAAGCTTCACGCATCAATTAGCAGTTCTCCGTGAAATACGGAAAATCACGGAATTCACAGAAACCCCTGCGGTCGAGACACGTATGCGTCTAAAATTCTATGGAAGCACGGAAATGTTTTGATTGAAAATTTTCAAAACACTGAAATAATATTGTTTTTACACTTACACCCGTTCAAATATTAATTATAGTTCGTTTAAAACCCCACGCGATCTACACAGTAATTGGTCTGTTTCTATTAAGTTATGGAAACATTTTTTTTCGTAACTTTCACACCAATCAGCGCCCGTGTTTTTAAAAGGACGAATATGAGTATAAATTGTGCTTTTGTTCAAGCCTTTTTGAAGTCTAATTATATAATATTTGGATAATCTGTTTATTCGCTCGTTTCTTAGTGAAGCAGATGGGGATGTCTTTATTGTTTTAATGTTTGAATATCAATGTTTTCTAAATAGTTGAGAGGTCGAAAAAATCTGGTAGGAATCCCAACCGTGTTGGCGCAAACTTTGATCGCAAAACTGAGGTTAACAGTGATTGGTAAGTTTCCATATATACGGTGCAAATGATATTCAGTCACAGTATGCAGGCGGGCTAGCTATAAAAAAGCTATAGAATAAGATAGAAGAATATTGATTTTGTCACACTGTTAGTATTTCTTTGATATTTTTTTAGCATAAGACGATAAGTGAAATTGACAATGTATAAAAACCACAATGCTTGCACATAATCTTGAACATAATCTTGATTACTATCATTCCAATGAGGTTACATTAATAGATTGGTTATAGTTTGTTTTCATAGGCTTCGTTTTCTATTCATTTCTTTACAAATAAGAATCAATTGTGGGGGCTCAACATGTGAAGTATTTTCATTCATGATCACAACAGGTTCACATTAAATACTGAATGATTAATCACCGTGTCAATACCAACACGGTATTCAAATTTAGAAGCCATTTCATTTGAAGCTAATATATAACTATATACATCTTACCTAGATCTTAGTATAAAATATACAATTTGATGTCGTGTTTATATAAATAATGTAAGATTAGTGTATCTGTAGAGTTTTCCATGCATGCAGGCATGAAGAAGATTTATCACAAGTCCGGGTGCTCCGGCAACCACCCCATATTGGTGTTTGTATAACGCTAGAAATTCATGTTTATACTTTTAAGGATATGAATAAATATTATTAGTGTTGTTTGCATGCCGTATTTGCATGCTGAAGAGACCGCTATAGTTATAGAAATTAGCGCTGTTAAGAGACGGCTCGTTAAATCCGGATTTAGTCAATTAAATTGCAGTGAGTCTGCATGTGGTCATGAAAAAGAATAAGGCGGAAATTTGACTATGTAAGGAATAATGTAATAGTTTGTTTTCAATTAGACAACATTATCAACTATCATTAATTGATAAAACTAATGAACAAAGTGCCAAGGGCATTTAATATCTTCACTTCGCGGATATCTAAACCTTGTCAAACTATGGAAGTCGTATATATATTTAGCACGGTATAAAAATTAAATAAGTGAAAATTAAAATTTTATATAAATATATACATTTTTCAGTAACTATCAACATGCAGAAATGATATACCTGATTAATGTTAAGAACTGTTCGAGGGGGAAGGATCTTAATAGCTATAGTAAATGCACTCACGAAACAGCATTTTAAAAATCATTTAGGACTTGACAGTTAACATGCCACCTACAGTGTACAGTTCTGGATTATACCCAAATCTTAATACCACAGCAATATCGGCTGAATTATGGGATCTGTATACACTTCCTGGTACTCTTTTAGAAAATCTGTTTCGAGAGGATAATATATGTTGTAAACTGACAATCGCCCTGAAACTATCATCAGATTAGCTTCTTTGATTAAAAAGTTCTAAGGCAATAACCCAAATATATATGGGTATAAACAACAAAGATGGGTCAGCATATTATAGACTACCAGTCAGAAGCAAAACTAAATAACTTGATTATCTGCAATTATTTTAGCTTCTTTCATCTTTACTGCTTCTTTTTTGACAAAAACATTTTGTGCAATTTGAGCCTTCAGCTGCTTGGTTGACGTCTTTGGGGGATAAAACGAATTCACGATGGGATACCAATAGAATAGTGTACTTCGAAACAGTGCTGTTCTTCATGTATATTTGACTGAAATATGTATTTGCCGTTTGGCATGCAACTGTACTGAGAAACAGGACATGTTTACCATTTCATGTATGAATAAATAATAGAAAACATGTGATATGGAACCAGATATGGGAACCATATTGTTATCGTCTTCTATATATAGACGATGCATCCTTTATTGTTTCTATATTTAGGCTGCCGTCCTTTGGCGGTGTTTGGAATGCTGGTCCAAGATGGCAGACAAGGTTTGTCAGTAATAACCACTCTCCTCCTCAGGGGCTAATTAAACTATATTGAAAGCAACCATTACAGAAAAAAAGTCCTATTTAAATAACGTTTGTTCTCATCCCTATATCTTAAAAACATGATGCCCTGTGAAGGAGAACTGTTGCAAAGCTTAGAAAGCGTTAATTTGCTTTAATGCAGAAGTTTCTCTATCTTTACGAAAACTTTTATTATTATGATAAACTTCTGTTGTTTTTCAAAATGCAAACTTTCCTCCGAAAGATATATAACGTTCTCATATGTGATGTATTCAATACGATAAATACGATTTAATATACGATTAACGTACAAATCTAAGTGAAAAGCCTTACGACTATAAACATTTCCGTTCCTCATTTCCAGGCGGAATTTCAACCCACGACATGAAGACAAGAAGTGACGCGCATTTGTAATAATAATAAAGTTCATTATACTATGCGTATTCAATGAACATTTCTCCAGATAAAATAGACTAATTATAATATAGCAAACATATGCGGTCATATAAATCGTTTTGTTACGTCATGAAGCAGTATATATCTTTTTCGAAAACGTTACCTTGTGCCCGCAGTGGTTAAAGAACCTTCTCTAAACCGACCTATATTATAAGACCGGTTTTAATTTGAATGAAAAGTGAGAGCTATCGATGAGACGACATCCAGGGCAGGCAGACAGACAGTTCTGGAAAATAACCCGTGTAGCTGAAGTGCATACATGCCTGCACTCATATATATAGTTTTTATTTCATAATTCGTCATTTCGCGAATTTTTTTGGGCAAAAAATAATACCAGAAACTGATTTCTCTACCAAAGGATGGCGGTGATTAGCTTGAAAGATTTTGATAACATTGGGAAGAATGCTGCAGAAAGCAAAACTCGCCTGAATATTGCATAAAGAAATTGCTATGAAATAACCATCTCGACCGTGAATGTGGAAATAATTCTCGCCAGCAGAAAGAAATCTAGACGTGCTTTGAGAAAGGCTTGTTGTTTTTTTAGGAAATGACTTGACACTCCATAGTACCTACTCATGATAATGATAATGATAATGATAATGATAATGATAATGATATTTGCAATGATAATGAAGGTGTCATTTTCATGTATGCAGATGACACTACCCTGTATGTAATTGGGCCAACCCATGATCAAGTTTGTTCAGCACTAAATAAAGTTTTATCTGCGATGCAAAACTGGTGTAATAGTAACCTATTAACACCACATCCAGGAAAAACAGAATGCATGATATTAAGTCGAAGCAACTTTATAGGACCACTACAAGCGATTAAACTGGGAAACCACTGTATTAAACTGGTTGAGAAATCAAGATGTCTGGGTATTGAAATTGACAATAAACTAACGTGGAAAGCCCATGTTCAAAAACTAATAAAGTCTTTTGTACAGAAACTTAACCTTTTAAAATCTTTATACTTTCTCCCTATCCAAGCCAAAGGGGATTTTTACCATAAAGTATTACTGCCCTCAGTTACTTATGGTTTGATCATTTGGGGATCATGTGGAACGGTGCTCTTTGACGAATTGGAAAGAATACACGTACGAGCTGCTAGAATCATCTATGGGATGGACTGGCAAACACCGACAGCAGACGTTTACAGGAAAGTAAAATGGAAATCACTAAAAGAAATCTATTCTGAAAAGTTACTGACTTTAGCACATAAGTGCTATTATGGTCATTTGCCTGAACTACTTTTGCCGTATTTAGTTAAATACAAAAGTAACTATAACTTAAGACGGAAACAAACAGTTTTACTACCTAAGCCAAAATCTGAATATCTGAAAAAATCAATTTTTTATCAAGCTGCCGTTTTATGGAACTCCTTGGAAAATAACCAAAGAGCTATAGTTAATTTAGGTCATTTTAAACATGAAATACAGAACAATTAATTATGTATATAGTTAGGTTAATTAGTATACTTGTGTACTATATTTTAATTATTAGGATACACGACCACATCAGCTATGCTGTAATTTTATCGTGTGAAAATAAATGCTTTGTATTGTATTGTATTGTACTCCTTGTTATAATGTCCGGCTCATTTTTTCTTTACAGCCATATATGCGATACAACGACAATTTTTTGGTTTATACCTACATTCTTGTGCATGAAGACTGAACGTCATCGCTTAAAAAACTATAATCTGCGTATTATTCACAAACTAGCCATTCAATGAGATATAATGGTCATTCATTTGAATATGATTCACCTGCATGGTTCCTCGTGTTCCATTCATATGATCAGTATAGTCCTATTAGTTTCACGGTTGCAGGTATTTTAAGCTGTCAACAGCTTGTTATAAAACTCTCTATACCGACTGAAGTGCTTTGATACACGTTTGGATCTCCACTTCAAGGATTATATATCCACATCATTTGATACTATACAGTTTTTTCGGATAATTCCATGTTTATATCCCGTACAGGTTGCTTCTTCGTGGATTAACTGATATTTTATGCTGATATAACTTGACTTACATGACATCTGATTGAAACTTGAAGTTGAATAGGGTTTAGAGTCCAGTCGACGTTGTTGAGCAACTTGAGTTTATGCTATTGACTTGTTCACCTCGCCGCGTTCAAACGATACAAGAATTGCGTGGAATTCACCAAATAATAGCGTCACGAAAACGTTTTTGTCTGTTGTCGAGCTCTCAATAGTAAGACGCAAGGCTTCATGAGAGCGAGGCTTCCAAGTCTAACATAATTATCGGAATAGATGTAGCCATTTCGTTAGCAGTCAAAATGTCAAATAAACTTAGTAAAGAGATGTCTATTATGAACCAGACCATTTTTTAATATCGCAAATTCGGAATTGATCAATATGAATTCCTGGTCAAACGCTAGCCTGTACAGGCTGACACCATCGTGGTTTCGATCCATCTTTAATTTAACTGCAACACAATATATACCCATATATATATAACCATAGTGACAAAATATATGCCATTAACAAATTTTTAAATCCCTTTGTATTGAGCGTCTGGATACATCTCTGCATGCCGGTGTTTAGATTCTCACATAACGCATAAAAGAATTGCAGTATACTGCACAAGCCATCAGAGTTCCTACACCATGGCCAAAATGAAAAAATTGAAATCAAATAAAAAATGGGTTTTCAAATAAAGGATCTTCGCTTTCCAGCGAGGCAAAATTACCAAAGCAAACTAACCTATAGGGATAGAGATTTAACCCTGCCTATGAACAACCGGCCCCACGCTCCTCGGAGCTATCTAAATATTCAGGTATCACACAACCCACTTTCTGACAATGGATGCTTTCCAAGTGTGCGTTTTTGATACGCATGGAAAGCAGCGTTAACTTCTTTTAAACGTATCGATATGATGATACTTTGTCTTTGACGTTGGCTGTGAGGAACAGATGGGAGGAATTAAAAGGTAAACGTTACACATGGAAACACGGGACGACGGCAAATACAGGAGGCACGAGGTTAGACACAACTCACTCAACCATAAAATATTTTGAACAGTCGATTATTTGGATTCTTGTATTCTTAAGAACGAAATTGAATATTTTAGCGTTATCTTTTCATACAATTGTTTTAGCGCTCATTAATGAGTTAAGTCTCAAATGGTCCATATCCGCATATAGAACAAACAAACGCCGAGCCCATTTTTTCAAATCTTATTGTTCCCACCCCCACGATGTATTCCGGTTGTGCCATCATTGTGGTAACATGATAGCAGCGGGTTAGTCGCGTCTCAACAACATCACTTATATGAATATCGATTATCGAACTGGCGCTTTTCGCTCGACTTAATACATGAGGCGCTGCTGTATTGGGCATTGCTGAAAAGTCTGATTTCAACAAACTCGGCGTGTTGTCAATGATATCATACAGGGTATACTTGTACTAAAATTGAGACACGCTGCCAAGGCAGTGTAGTATAAATTTATTTTGTAAACTCTGAAATTATATTGTGATCATGAATGGGTTTCTCCTGCTCGTGTTTCTGTTCATTTCACACGCTAGAGTGGACTGTGTGACCAAGAATGGCAAGAAAACATGTTCGCAGCTTACAAGTGCCCGTCAAAACATTCCACAGACTTTAATATTGAAGAATCCGAGCCAAGGTTTGCGAATTACAATGTTTAAACAATGCTCGCCTAACGCTATATAGTGAAGCAATATTAATAATGCGTCGCTGTAAACTTTGTGGATGTAAATGTAAATCTGATTATCATGGTTTTGTTCCATGATTTCGACACTGTTGTCTTATATCTATAGGTCATAATTTGAAAATATGTCGGAGTAATTTGACATGTTGTTCGAAGCAAATGGAGAACGAATTGTACATGAGAAGCAGCGGGGTTCTAGAAGGTGCTATAAATGAAGAAATGAATGCCACACATCACTTTCTAACAGCACAAGCGTCCCTATTTGACGGTAAGTGTGTTTTATTGAATGTGGGTTTTTGTAATAAGGCAAGTCATGATCACAGATAGTCTAGTACTAATGCTTTAAGCTTCATTGTTGTAGTTTATGCATCATAAATACTTTATTATTTATTAGAATTTTAAATCAGTATTTTGTTTGCCGTTTTTTGGGGGTTGAATAAATTCTATTTATCAACACTGAAGAGCCGTTGTTATCGGTTTTTGCAACATTAGTCATTAGTTTTCAGATTGGCTTTTGCGTCACACTTATTTTGAATGGCCGCCTTTTGAAACGTTTCTGTTTTCTTGAACTAATCAAGCGTTCCGAATATGGTTGACATTAGTGCGAAATCGTGCGGCTACAAGCCTACCGTGGTATGATTGTCTTTTTGAAATTTCATTAAACGATAAGTTGTCAGTCACTCATCGAAATATCACCCTTCAATTAACTTTAACGCAAAATGATCCACAGGCATGTACTTCTTATATTGTCAAATGACGCCGCGAAAACCGCAGAAAAACATCAACGAATTTCCTACGCTTAGACATTAAAATTTATCTTTCTACCTGTCTATTTTGACGCCAAATCTGTTCAAATGAAATAGATTCGGCAGAAACATAGCACTGATCCGACACTATTCACCACTAAGATATAAAAGGTAAATGAGTGTCATATGGTGGATTGAAAAGCATATATAGCTCGCATGTACGCAGTTGTGTTGAAAAATAGAGACAGATGCTTGGGGAAAACATGCACTATTGTTTTCTTCATCCGCCTATCTCATGACACATAAATTGAGTATTAGTGTTAGAAATTAATCAAAAAGACATCATACACTTTTTTACATTTGTATATATATTGACAAATGAACAATTTAGTTGTCTGAGACGTAAAATAATGTGTATCCATTACTAACTATAGTCTATTATATGATTTGGATTATATTGTTACGGTCTTACGGACATTGTAAATTCTGTCCTTTGATCTAACCAAAATTTGTAAGGTTTTATATAAGATTGAACAGTGTGTATGAAAAACGCGTTTTGCATATGCCAAGGGTCATGCGTGTTTCTAAAGTTGACATAGTCATAGAACTGGGTCGACCTTATAGAACTGTGAATTATATAGAACTGTGTCGTAACGTGAAAATGATTTGAGAAGAAGAAAATTCCGGTTGTATTATTATCTTATAACCCTCCATACGAACGTAATATAAAATGCAGAGACACAGACATAGTGAAAAACAAAGTGACAAATTTTTTACAGTGAGGACATGCATAGTGGTAAAGACAATAATCAATATTTCGCCGTGTATGCTTGATAATGGTAACACTGCATGCATGATTTTGAAGAAAAATTCTGTCTTTGTAGCCCTATAAGAACTGAAACTAACGGGTAATATTTAGCCGCGTATCCTTCATTGTACTCCGTTTTATATCATTTACACATTTTGACTTTGTGGTTGAATTCGATGGTATAAAAGTAAAACATTAGTCATTACCTAACAGAGTCATTTGGGTGATATTTATAGGAATTTAGATTGCATCTGTTTCCCAATTCAAAACATAAAAAGTGTTATTAGTGAAATATTCTACTCGATTCTTTACGACTAGAAGTTAAATTGTGATATTCTCTTTCAACTCGCAATGTATTTTGTATCGCAAATATTCTACGAGACATGCCACTATATAATATCTGCATGGCTACTGCATGTATAATTATTAACACCAGACCATGTTCGACACAGATGTTTATGATTCGCTTGAGGGAGAAATTCACTTGAGTTCATTTAAAGGGTACACTTCTTATAATGCAAGTCGTCCTGCATTTTTTATATAGGCTATAATGCTGATGCTCATGAGCAGCTTGTATATTGCAAGCAGCGGTTGTAGGCAATATATAGTGAAACTATCGCATGCCTACTGACGATAGCCTGACGCAGTATGAGCATATTGTTTCTAATTTTTGACGAAATATTTGGCTATTCTTCTGAGTGATATATATTTGCTGAATATTAGCTATAGGCTATGTCGACTCAGATACTGCGTGAGGTCGGTGAAGGGTATATACCTATACCGACCTCGTTTTTAATGTGAATGTGACTGACATGTCGCAGCTTATATCTTTCTGAATTTTGTTACTATAAATATAAAGGGGCAATATTTCCCTATCAATCAATATGGCAAAAACGAAAATATTTATATGAAAACTGTGTTGTGCTGTCAACTGCGAACTATAAATAGGAAATATAATTCTCCCAAGCCATTATTAACATACAGTAGTTGTTATTATCTATTGTTGTTGTATATTGTTATTATATTCATAGGAATATCTGATAGTCTGCTCTTAGTGTCAGGTGCATGTTGTTATTCCTTGCGCATTCAACTCAAATGTTTTATAAACACTTTGAACTCGCATTTAGCGACCAGCTAGGAATTGATTGTAGCCGTAGGAAACGTCAACTCAAGTTGTCTGGGGCCGGTTGTATGAAAGCCGGATAGCGCTATCCACCGGATAGTGATTTTTTCAACCGTTCTAAAAATTGTTGAAAAGCAATAGATTTCATATTTGGAACCAACAATTATTAAAGAAGATCTTCGATTTAGGAATGCTAAAATTTAATCAAAGTTATGCCAAAAAACGGGCGATTTTAAAGCGATTGAAAAAAACACTATCCGGTGGATAGCGCTATCCGGCTTTCATACAACCGGCCCCTGAATTTTAATTGTCGTATATTTTTGGTGTGTTGGATTGCTCGTGTGGAAATATAAATTATTCCATTTGAAATAGCTTCACAGCCTTTCAAGAGGAGAACATTTTAGAATATGCTTCATGTAGTGACTTAAAAACTCGACCAGTATAGAAAACGACTGTTTCTGTCACTGATCTCATAATACACTGGATGCAGAGACTATACCTAACCAAAATGAAGCCAAAATTAATAAACATCCGGAACCCAATTGAAAAAAATTAATACATCACGCGAACCCCTAGAAAAGTCTTTCTGAGTGACTGTGTATCTTAATAGTAAAGCTCAAATTGGCATCATGTTCTGAATCAATCTTCAATCGTCGTATTATGATAGCGACGCTCGTATGGTAGTTTTAGGCAGCCGGAGAACGTGAACATCAAAGACGACGCAAAATGGCAAATAAATAATATAGTGATGCGCCTATCTATGCATGGGCATATGGACATGTCACGCTAGTTCGCCATTTTCACGTCGTCCTTGCCGTTCCCGTCCTTAAGTTAATCCTTCTATTTTTCTCGGTTCTTTGTGTTCTCCGGAAGAAAATTAATTCCGAATTCGATTTTCGTAGGTATAGTTGCTATTTGCCATGCCCAGTGTATTCTAGTCAACACTCTAATTGCTACGACAACATCTACCCTGCCCTGCTCTACCGCATGGATAATTTGTAGCACACCCCACAACCTCTTGACTTTTGCCCTCGCTTCTCTTTACGATCTTTCTGTCTTCCTCAGATTTCAGTACTTGAAGATTTTAGCCTAAGTGCATTCCAGAATAATATTTGCGCGCGTAGAAGCGACTCTCTTGATGCGTTGTGTTGTTAAAAAAAGAAGATATTGTTTTTCATCTTACCGATATGAAAAATCTAAATTAACATTTGCGGTAGTATGTTTTGCAGTAAAAAAATTCGCTATTATACTTATTAGCATATACAACCCATTCTGCACTACCGACCAAGATTTCAATATAGGTGGCAGAGAAACAAATACACAAATATATCTTCCATCCTACACTGGATGTTATACATATGGATGTTATATACTGCGAGATAAACTATATCATTAAGTTTATTGAAAAGGTAAAAATTGCGTGACAACGGACAGTCTGATTACTCATGCATAATTTTAAACTATCAGTGAAGAATCTTATGAACAAAAAAATAAAGAATCTTTTTGCCTCCGTGATGTTGTTCTTTGAGGTACAATATCTGCTTGTCTTTAAATACTTCAAAACATAGACGTTGAAGAAACGTCAATATCAGGATATATATTTAAGAAGAAATATTTCATAAGAGCATCAAATACATTTTCATCTGGAGTTGCATTAATCTTCAATATTCCGTGATCTTTTGTGGTTTGTCTTTAACATGAAAGAAGAACAAAACAATCTAAGTTCTTACATAACCTATATATATCTAACAAAAAAGAACTTTGAAATTATAAAATCATCGTCAATTAGCGTGATCGCCGGCCTGCAATTTATAATTTTGCATTTAATTAATACATGGGCATAATATATACATTTATTTTGTCCGTGTGTAGAATAAGAAAAAGGTTTATAATTGATTTATGGTGCTCCATACAGCCTCTACCCGTTGGTATCCTGAAAAATTATAACATTACATCTTGGAGTCTATACATTACATGCGTCATTTCTAGAAACGTTCAATAACAGATTCAATATCTTGTAATGCGTTTTTTCTTGGTATCGTGAAGAATACTTTCCATTGCCAGGCACAGCGTAGGGGCAAGCGGTATATTAACGTCTACTACTATTCTCTGCTATTCTAAGCTGGTTCTCTACGATTCTGAGCCGGGGGAGCGTCAGTGCTGTACATACAATACATTTAAAAGTTGTGAACGGAACATCACAGCCCCTCACCCCCCGAGATTAAAAATCTGCGTGTCGGCGTGATACTCTTTCATAATATTTTTTGTATCTATTAATTAATCAGTAATTAAGGTTAACTGTCAAAGAAATTTAAATCTTTCTATGGAAAAGGAAAAGTAAATACATATTTATTATAATTATTATCTTCCAGGTTACTTCAGGAATTTGCTAAAAACGTCGAAAGTAAAGTGGCACACTATGCTTCTTTTAACCTACAAAGCTATGTACCAACGGAACCGTGATATTTTCGACGACTTTTTCTCCACCTTAGAAGAGTACTATCTGAATGGTGATGTAGATCTTGACAAATCATTCAATTTGTTTTTTCAAAGAATTCAAAGTACGATGTTAAAGCTACTAAAAAGCAATTTGTCCAATAACCCAGGATTCTTATCCTGTACATCAGATCGAATTAAGGAAATTAAACCATTTGGAAACTACCAAATGCAAATTACGAATCAGTTAAAGTCGACACTCGTCTATGCCCGAACATTTGTTGTCGGACTTCAAGCCGGTAGTAATATGACGCAATCTGTCATCAACTACTTGTCACGAGACGAGTGCAGGGAAGTCTTTACTAAGATGCAATACTGCTCGGTGTGTGAAGGAATACCTAATGCTTTAGTGTGCAATGCAACGTGTCATAATCTTCTTCAGTCTTGTTTTGTACTCGACGCACTCCTTGAGTCGCAATGGAATGGTTTTATTCGCGGTGTGTACTTACTAAGCGAAGGTCTCGATGGTCGTTATGACATTGAAGCTGTATTTGGACAGCTTTCCTACGACATTTCAAGTGCCATTATGGAGTTTCAACGTAAATTCTCTACCATTTTTGTGAAGGTTTGTGGCATTGCTTGCTCACATTTCATTTTAACATTTTATTTCTTTCGTTTGCATGCATGCTATTGTTCACGAGAAGCTTGTTATACCACGAGATTAATTAGTGTAATGTATAAACTCTTGAATGAAACTCTTAACTGTTGCCACAGATGTAAGCTAATAACTCTTCCTTCTTGCCTCCCCCCCTCGCTCTATACCTATTTCTGCCCAGTTGCTGCACCTCGCGGGTACGGGTGCTTGAGGTGCGGGTACACCTTAAGATAATGAGACTTGTTTTTATTTAGTTCATGCAAGTGAATCCAAATGAATTTACCTCTGAGTCTACAACAAGTGTATTATTTTCATTTCTTTAGGCGAAAGCCTTGTGTCCCTCAGGGAACAGGAAGAAAAGAGAAATAGACAACAGCGGAGGTGATCTGTACTTAGAGGGAGAACGAGTACGAAGAAGCTCGGATTTAGTTTCACCTTCATCGACATCCGAGCAACTACCGCTGCCTTTGGACACGTAAGACGTCGTGTTTAACTACTCTCTGCATTCACCTGAATGTCAAATAAAATTGTCATTTTCTATTCCACTAAGGTTTACTAGAGATTTTCGAGAAAAGATCGCAGGGATTATAACAAATTCATGGATTCGTCGTATCGAATCCCTACCAGAGAAAATTTGTGGTGGTCAAATTTTGGTCTCTCGCAACCAAAATCAAAGTTGTTGGAATGGAGTAGAGATGGGAAAGTAAGTCGTTTTATTGTTGTTGAATTAACGAAAGACAGCCATTTGACAAAAGAATCTTACAAATTGAAAGGCAATCTCTGCCTCACATACCCCTCGTGGTATTAAAGAGACGGGAGAAACACCTGTCCCCGTAGCTCACCTATTTCCCCCCTCCGCTGTATTGATTCTACATAGCAGAAAATATATCAAAACGTTTACCTTTGTTCACTGTTAATTCAAATAACCTCAGGATTTCAAAAATATTTCAAATCGAAAAAATTTCGACGCATTGACATTGTGAATGATTTTTTCTTCTCAAATCTACTATATTTCACACGTTTTTAGAAATTCAGGAAGAGAACCAAGTATTAATGTAAACATTGGTGGAGGCAATTCACGACGGTTGTTTGTAGAACAAATGCTGAACTTTCGAAGAATTGCAGAAAGTGTTTCGGATCCCGACAAAGACGGCAATGTTGATGAAGATGGAAATGGTGAACCGGATTATAGTGCGAGCGGCAATGGATCTGCGTCAGGAAGTGGATCAGGCTCTGGTTCTGGTGAATTATTTACAACTAGATATCCTTTCCATGCCCTGACCAGACTAACGTACCCCCCTGATCCTTCAGACAGTTCTACTAAGCCACCCCATGTGGTTAATCCTGCTACGGATGGTGGGGATGAAGGCTCTGGTACATCATCATACAACGAGTACACTACAACTCCGATATCAGTAACAGACATAGCCATTACCGACGATGAGGATTTGAATATCCAGTCTGGCTCTGGAGATAATGACACGGATCCCACGAGGGAGCCGAATATCTTGTTCAATCCAACACGCAAAAAAGATGATGAGCCAATAATTCATGTCAAGAACATTATTGGAACTCGGCCTCCGGATAATGGTACTGATGTTAACGTAATGTCACACGTCCTGTTACTATTTCTAATATTCGTAGGCCTAAACAACATTTAGTTCAAACTTAAGATGAGTTTTGAGACAGACAATGATAGTTGTTTACCTGCGTTGAATTGGAAGTATTCAAGTTGTAATTTTAACATGCATGAAATAATCGTAATTCAAGTGTGCATGATATGTTTCTTCTGTGGGCGAAGTCAAATTGCATGAATTGAAAATTGAGTGAAAACTAGAAAATATTTTGTCTCGTGTTAATAAATAGCAATTCAGTAGATATGGTGGTTGAATTTAAAGAGATTAAATTGTAGTGGTTGTCGGTAAATCAATGAATGAAACGTATATATACCCGCATGTACAATTAAAAACACAATCGCTTGAAAATAACGACGTTACTCCGACTCGTTTCACACATCATATACTAATATTGTTGTATATAGTATAGTCTTCTTCTACCTCATTATTTTTTTAAAGCATTATGTTCTGTCACATGACATGTTTTTGCGTCAATTCGAATTTAATGGTCTATATATCATAGAAATAATATTATTAATACTATATATTCATGCAGCTCAATAAAGGTTGTGTTCTGTAAACATAAAAACTCTAAATCTAAACCCGCATAAACCTTAGGGCCAAGCATATCGTTTAGACATAAAAAATGTTATTTCTCCAAATGAAAAAATTTAATACTTTATATATATACCAATATCTGCAACATTGAGCTATAAGATCGAAATCGTTGTACTAAACTTTATATATAGTTGCTGTAATCTATATATATAAATCTCTTTCAACATTTTATTTTCTAATAAAACTGTATGTAAGTATATTTTAGTATATTTGTAACCGTATATATATTATATATATATAGGAGCTGAGTGAAAATTAAATTACACGCGTGTAAGTGTGAATTATTCGGTTTTGTACATTTTGCCGGAATGCATATATATAGATGGAATTGCTTAAAACGTTGGAAATTGCATAAGACATAAGGTTAATTGGTTCTTTTGAAAAAATTCACATTATATAACCGTTTTTCTCAGTTTTTTTCTTCATGTTTTTAAAGAGGTTCAAACCGGCCGGCCGGCCTGCCTAAAGAAGTAGGTCCTAGTGGCGGAGAAAATTGCGTAATGAAATATGCAATGCCGTATGAAATTACCACAAGTAGAGTAAACGCTAGCCGCCTGGCTTTTCAGGGCGTCTGCGCGCAGGCTAAGTAAACGCTAAAATGAAATTAAAAAAAAATGAAAAGAAAATCATTTTGAAATGGGACGAGGCCCATGTCTCCTGAAGGGATGGAATTTAAAAAGTATATTAGCATATTTAGCACCAGCAAGAAAAGTAATCTGTTAATTCGACTATTAATTTTTTCTTATTAAACAATCAATGCTAATTATAATTATAGTATATTCGGTACAGTCATCACAACGTACGGACCCAGCCCCTATTCATTTTCCCCGCCAATTTGAGATAATCTCAATTCGCCATTTCCTCCACCTTTTCCACTGACTGGGTTCAATTAACAATATGCATGCAGATTGACTGTATAAATATACACAGCGTTTTCACTTTTAATTTACAGTGAAAACAGATTATATAGTATATATATAAAACTCAATCATTTCACTTTTGCTATAATACAGCTTGAATTTTAATTTTGGGTTCGGTATAAGCATTTTAATACTGAAGAGATTTGAGTAATGGCCAACTTAAAAGTGTCTTCATGACTATCCGGCTCAGAGTAAATTGCACATTTTTCAACAGAGCACAAATACAACACAAATACAGCGAGGAAGGCCCTGAAGAACTAACTCCTTAAGTGTAGCATGTACAGCTAAAAAGTATGCTTGCTACTGAAGGTCGACACAGACCGGACGCGATGCGGCAACGCGACGCGAATTTTCAGTTTTTAGAAGCATATAAATTAAATTCTATAAGATTTGGGATCTATGCACCCCAGAACAGTCAAAATGTATTATCGTTAGAAGTAATCCGGCTACATATAATATAGTCCTATAACAGAAATAATATCATCGCAGGTAGCGGATTGGTTGGTTATAAGCGGTACTTGTTACAGTGTTCTCCCAATTGGTATAACGAGAATTCAGTAGGAAGCTGCAACGGTTTATTATTCAAAAAATCGAAATTATACTTCGCTTTTCGTTTCTCATTTTGCCTGTTCAATTCTTGTTTGTGTGCAGTATTCTCAGCCTCCTTTTCCTCTAAACTTGGCTCTTTGAATAAACGTCGTATCACGTTATGAGAAGGTTCAACGTCTTCTTTTCTTATTTTCATTCTCCGAGTATCCATTGCGACCATTGATTACGTATTTCAAAGCGTATTTGCCTCAACAAGCAACGTCCTTATTCGTCCAAAACATCTACACTTTGAAGATCGTGTTCAGACTTGACCGCTTTCGAATTTCGTTTTGAAATATGCGAGAGATGCACGTTGACATAATTATGCATGCGAGGAATTCCCGCCACAGAGATGATTACTCAGCATAAATCAGTTTACCACTTCAGTGACCATGCAATGAAATTTAAATATTTAGCAATGTAATTATATAATACCAGATGGATCATTCGCGAAATTTAAGTCTAGACTATATTAGCGCAGGTTGTGACCTTGAAGCAGTTTTTCATTTCTGGCTTTTAAACTGAAAGTGAGACGGTCTCTGATTCAGAATTATGCAACACTCTTAAGGCTAGTTTCCACTCAGGAAAAGTCTCCTTTGGATCGAAACGGACAGGAAAATTTCCTTTGTCGGTGAGTTCTCAGGCGGCGTTTATACAAAGAAAACTTTCCTGTCCTGTCCGATCCAAAGGAGAATTTTCCTGAGTGGAAACTAGCCTTCAACTTATACGTTATACACATTCCTTGACTTGGATAATTCAAATAGTCAAAACTCAAATTATGTGTTCAAGGAATCAAAGGCTTATTCATACAACCATGCAATTTTGTAGGATCCAATTCACTTCTGAAGATGTAATCCGGTACTGCATGATAAAGCAGCATTGCATTGGCTTTAGTTGATATATTTCTCATGCACGTCATTTATTAAATTGCAAGTTAAAAGACCATTAAACATCCATCAGAAGTGAATTGGATCCGACAAAATTGGATCGTGTAAACAGACTTCATTGAAGAGGATTTTTTCTTCTGGACTTCGTTCTAACAAATCAAGTAATATATACAACTGCCGATTTAAGGACTTGCTTTCTTTCTCTATCCATGGTTTTCTAACCAGTAAAGTCAAAATTAGAGAGTGGTATATGAATGCAACAAAACTAACCAGTTTAGTTTCCAATTATATGAAACGTACACAGTTGGCAATCAGCTTTTTCTTTCTAAAGCACACATTCCGAGTTTGTTTTTTTAATCCTCGTTTTTTAAAATCACGTTCATTGACCCGTCTATGTCAAATAACAAGGTAAGTTGGCCGGTTAAAACATGTTGACTGTGTTTGTCCCTGGTCAAAAATGTGCACTAAGTCAAGAGCATCCAAGGGCATTATATTTCAATGAATTTTCTTTCTATATAAACACACAAATTTCCTGAAATTTTTAATTACTTGTCAGCAGGCATTTACTGAAAATAAAGAAATCGAGTAGTTTACAAGTGAACAGGAAACATAATCTGTATATAGTTAAGGCATGCTTAAACACGTCTGAACTTGTTTGATCTTGATAATGCGTCGTATATAAAATTTAACATGTATCCAACTTCTTGTGTGCTTAAGACATAATCTATATTAAGTCTGAAACAAAAATCATGGACGTCCTGAAAGAATAAATCTTACAAAAAGCTTTAGAAGGCGACAAACTAGTCTATATTAAGATTTCAGTTGCCGTGGTTACGGATACTGACGACAGGTCGCCAACAATGAACAATCTAAGAAATTATATATGGGCTCAGAATTCGATAATATATTTTTATAACATAGATGCCTTGGTATCAATGCACGTATTTTTTTAGCTTCACGTTACACATAGTCATAGGTACTGCATGGGAAGAAGTCAAAGAACAGCAACGCAATGCCTATGCCTTAAACAATATTTGTATTACATATACATCAAGACAAAGTATTATCAAAGCTTGCCGGCATTATAGGCTATATCAAGTACATACAAGAAGATCAATTAAAGTTGCACATGACTATAGTATTAACAACAGGAATGTTCAATCATGTACAAAGGTACAAACTGCCGAATGAATGTGTTAAACGCGGAGGAAATGACGTTTGTTTGGCGGGAAAATGCATAAATTATCTTCATCATATTTCATCATGCGTACGAGCGCCCTTGCTCAGACATGTCTCAGCCGCCGATGCGGTAAAAGGTTGTTACTTTATCTGTGACTTTCGCTATTGACCACATTCTAACATATATAGCGAAATGGTTAAACGAAAAAATGAGGGACCAGACATTCGACCATCAGATAAGGTAAAAAAATGTCTGTTTGGCAAAGCAGACGAACACGAGAAGGAGGAAGAACATAGAAGAGTTCAACAAGATAATTTAATAAACCTTGAGAAGATGAAAGTGAAATATAATTATGATTTCATTGAGGAGAAACATCTAAGCTCTCCTAATGCACAGTATACAGTGGCCAAAGTTATCGAGGAATCTAAAGAGAAATATTTGAATACAGAGATAGCTTCAATATCTGTTGGCGATGCAGGCGTTCAAACATCAAGCAAGCTATCGATAACAACCCCTAACAAACAGTCTCTGAAGAAGAACGAATCTTCCAAAAGCAACTCATTGAACGGTACCCCAAACGAGAAAACTGGTAGTCGGGAAAGCAACAAGGTTATGGTAGACTCACAGGTAGACTCAGACACACAGTCTTAAAATAAGCTGGCGATATGTCGTGAATATTATTAATAATTTGATACTCAATTCCATGAATGAAGATTATGTGATGCAGCATTGCAACGACGCTGCTAATAGTGAAGCAACAACAGATCAGATCATTAGAGATGTGTTAAATGTATGGTATGCATGGTGATATGTTTTCATGTTGATATTCTGAGCTGCATGCATGAAATTGAAATAACTAAGATCAGACTCACAAACCAGCGTCGACATTGTCTACAGGCGTGTGTCACATTCGCTGGCAATGCCAAGCCAGCAGTGTCAAGTAAATTTGGTTTATTCGAATAATAATAATATTAATATGCTAAATCAATATTTAGAACCAAAATGCAGCATTACTAAGGCATGATTACATATATATTTGAACTGTAACTTCATTCTAATTGAACTGATAACATTATATTTATGATGCGTATGTATTTCAGTATAGTCATAGACATAGTCTATTGCCTTTGTAATCATACCAGGATATGATTTAACCAGGAACTGAAACACAACTTAATTCAGGTTGTAGACAAAGAGTTCCTCCGTAATTACTGTTGTTGTATAGTCTATATATAGAGTTTAGACTGATGCAACCAATATAGATAATGGTTTTACTGTAAATACTCTGACCTTAAAGATACTGCTCGGTACTGCCAGTCGAAGTCGTGACAATGCACACTATAACAGCAATTAGGTAACTGCTATTGTGTATTATCGCGTTTGTAAATAGAATTCTCAGGGTTAAAAACCATGTATATACTTCACATACTTCATAATTCATTATTGAAAATAATTAGAAGTTGCTGATTAAATCTATATTATAAAGCTAGACTAATTTAATTTGGCTCCGCTATACTGTCTACTGAATCAAATTATTCCAAAGCATAGACCTAGTTGTAATAACAATAGTTAATACTTTACATCGCCTCTATTTAGAAGTTCAGTTAGATTCACAAGAATGGCATCACGTGAACCACATAAAAATCAACGAGTTTTAGGTTTTCTCCCAACGACATAAGCTAAAATAATTTATCGATATGATGATATACCTAAGCGTGCCGAAGGTTTAGACTGTATATCAATCGTTTAATCAAGCAAGACAATACAGTCAATATACTTTCATTTTCATAAGCAAAAAATAATAATGTTTCATGCTGTGAATAACTTTATACCACGCATAGTCGCATAACTCATAAAGGCAAAGATATTTCTATAGAGTACTGTGTAATTTCATGATGATTTCAGTCTGAGAGCTAAACTGGCAAACAATAAATCACTCTAAGGTGACGTGATAAGACATTGAAAAGGTATTTCTTGCCATGTTTTAAACTCATCAAACATTTTCCGGATAAAAACATGGCAAAGCAAATAGTTTTACGCGTCCATCCGATTGAATTTTTAATAATGGTGTTTATAAACGCTTTACTCCTTCATATGTAGGAAACAAATGTTGTTTTAAATATTTTTGATAACAAATTAAGTCAATATGTGCAAAAAGTATGTTTGTTTCGTTTTGTTTTGTGTTTGACAAGGGTTGACTTTTGGTGCTAGTAAGGTAACCGGTTGCTTATTTACATAGTCCAGCCTGAACGTGCAAGAAGCACAACATGTGAATTTAGAGGTAAACATTTGATGACCATTTCGATATTTGTAACAAACTTCTGTCATCAAGTATAACGAAACACACGCAGCACGAACTTGTAAGATCCAGGGGGGATATGCGTTAAAATGTTTTGTGTTGCGTGATGTGCAGGGTGAGTGCATAGTGTGGTTATAATGAATTATAACTCCACTTGTGTTTACATTTTTTAACCTATATTTCATCCGACTTAGCTAGCTATATGAGGTGTCAAACAGAGCCCGTCTAAATCATTGGTTGTTGTACAATTTGCGATGACTGTCATATGCATATGGGATACTTGTTCATATTGACACTGCAGTAGTATCATGCATGAGGGCTTTATAATTATTTATACTATTCTCATCTGTGCGTACTCATTCGTTTACTGCATGCTCGTTTTCATAGAAAACAAGAAAGATTATGGCCGTTTTATGCTAAACTATAAAGTGTGCACGACAAGAGCAAAAGCAGGTAAACATGGCGTGTTGCATGTATAAACAGTAGACAGCATTATTGTCATGTCATCAGTCGCCAAAAAAATGAACCACCCGTGGTACAGCGATCAAATTTGTTTCCTGTTCATCTGCGTAAATCGCTAGGGAATCCCCTGTATTTAATATATATGGACATGCATGAGAAATGTAAAATTGTGTATTTCTCCTTGATCTGTATGTCGTTACAGTTAGGGCTGCTTTCCACTGTCGTTTTTTTCGCACGCGTATATACGTATGCATGCACGCACGTATATATAAAAACTTAAAACTATAACTTGTTGTATAATTAATTTTATGCCAGAAAAACACTCTAAATCATCAACAGAATCCAACCCTATGCATCTATTCAATCGTTGATTTCATAAGTATCATTTAAATTATTTTAAACTTTTACGTGCGTATACGTATATATACAACAGCCCTAAGGCTTATAGGCTGATAGTCATATACTCGAGATGTATTTGTAACTTCATGTATAGCTACGTTTGATGATTCTGATCACATGCACCTGCATGGCCAATATATTGCCATGACTACTGGCAGAAAACTTAAATGTTCACAAACACAGAGTCAGAGTGAAGTCAAGTGAAAAAACCATAAATAATAAAAAATATAAAAGATACATAAATGTTTCTACAATTTAGGGCAGCAATAGTTGTTTATGAGTATGAATATTATCTACAAAGTCAAGGCTATATGATTATTTATATATACATTCAAGAACCGTATTTTCCGTATATGCTCGGTTGAGAGCAGTTCACTGCTCGAAGTTGGTTTTACAACATAAAATTTATGCATATGTTATATGAGTAAAACCATAAGCAACATCATGTTTCAAAATCAGATCCCGTTTCGTCTAATGAAAAGTATTCCATGCATGTACCAGTCTTGAATTGCCCTTGCATTGAAATAGTTCTACATTTTCACAAACAAAATCTGAAAGTATATATGTAGATATATATAAACATACAATATCGTGCTTTAGCTTCAACACTTCACTATAATCAGAATTACAAATTACATGCAATCATTAATTCCGGATGTTCGTAACGTGCATATAAATGCACCAAATGAAGTCGTGAAAAACTAAATAGATCGATACGTGGCTAGAAATTGTCCAAATTAAAGCGGGTTCGTACTCTTCTTCCGCGTTAGAAGTTGACAATGAAACACTAGTTAGTAATTGACCTGATTTATGCACTAAAATGGAAACAAGTTCGTTTAATGATTTAAGAGTACGATTATTTGAATGTTTCATGAAAGACAATGGATGCATCTATGCATGTCAGCCAGTCATGATCAGCAGGATGTCCTCATAACCTTGGAAACAAGCCATTTAAAGAGATCAAATAACCGCGTCGGTAGTAAATTCATTTATAACGTACAGCCGCGTAGTACTACGCATAAAAACTTCATAGTTAACGGCATTGATCTTCTAAAGGACGTTAAATATTTATCAAAATTTAAGCGATTCGTAAGCGTAAGATCGGGATGAGCGATAGGAGAGGTGCCAACGTCCGCCGAAGGTTGTTTGACGATTCAGCAACGAACGAGGGCTGTGAACAGTTGAACAATATAAATGGCGACGAAGGCAACGAACAGCTTCTGGATCGCAAGCAAGAAGAATGGAACTTTGATTTTCGAAACGGTCATCCTTTACCAGGCCGTTATGCGTGGCAGGCAGTTGAGAACAGTTCACTAGCAGAATCTAGTTTTACACCAATAACATCCAGAGGCAGAACAAGAGCAAGCAACAATGAATCAATTGGAAGTGCAAGACATACAACATCTACAAGACAGGATACAAGCAGGATTGCAGAGACTAGCACGAGCAGATATTCACCGTATAACCTAAGAAGCCGGTCGAGAGGAGGACGTAATAGCAATGAAAGAGGATTTCTCCCAATAGGATATACAAACAGAGATCGAAGCAGTTCTAGATCATCAAACACATCAAATGAAAGACTTGAGGGCGACGTTAGGACATGACCTCAAAAGGTTTCAACGATGACCTCTTTACATTGTTCTTTTTAGCTTTATTTAAATAGCTCTATGAACTCTAGAGTCTGGTATTTTGTTCTGGTTCCCTAAATGTGTAAATAATTCATAAAATAAACATGTGGGACGTTAAATATAAGTTACATAGAAATAATTATGTCTGACGGTAATTGAAGGTATCTTAAAATAATATATTCGATAAACGTATTGCCTATTGTCTGAAGCAATCATCTTTATGACTAGAAAAGCATGCAGATATAAAGATTGCGGTTTGATTTATTTCAGCGAAGACAGTTACTGCATGTTTTAGTGTCACATATAGCTGTAGCAATTGCTTGCATTTCTCCACGTGCTCGTCTTGAACTTGAACAAATGCAATATATAACCTTTCTCCGAAATAGTTCGTTGCATGAATGTCTTCACAGGATAGCGTTCCGTTTGTGAGGCTTTCCAGACATGTTCGAACTTGTCATAAAATCGGGTACAGCTGAGTACACAAATGCAGGTTTATATATGTAAGGTCTCGAATCAATCAACAGTGGACATCAAGTAACGATATTGCTATAAAGACGTTCGATTCTTTGATATAAAACTGTAAGCTTGCAAAATGAGGAAATGAGGTAGACTAGTTCACTGTACTAAGGAGGCATATAGACATTAGTCACATTATACATTTGATTAGACAATATAGCAATGTTACAGTGTTATAATGGTGTTATGAGGTCGCAGTATCCTGCCGGTTTATACATAAGTAATATGAAGGATTGATTCTTGTATTGTGATGTTCCTAAGATTCTTGTATACACCTATCGTGATTCGTGGGCGAATAAAACTAATAACTTTTTTAACTAAATTTTAAAAATCACATGAACTCTATACGTCTATGTAAGCAAAGCTAACTTGTCATGTCAGTCACATGCATAGTTATAAGGAAAGACTATCAATATCAAAGTATAGAGCGTTTTATGTTAACACTTCAAACCACAGCTCAAACGATGCATGTCATGGCGCGCTCAGTCGGTTGTGTGGCTTCATGTACTACGGCGCATGCATGCACCATTCATTGCTATTGGAACTGGCCGGGTCTCAAGACAAAAGTAGGCTCAAAATATGTCGAGATGAATTCTTCTTTCTTCTTTGTAAAATTATTGCTTCTGCATGCAATCAATCACTTGGCGTCCAGCTAGTATAATTATTGAAATGACTATATAGTTTCGTGCATAATGATTAATGGGTGTAATTATATATTTGTTAGCTTACTTAAAGTCGTATTTGTAACTAATCCTTCTAATCCGTAGTGACAATAATTTATTTTTATGATCAAATTCAACAAAAAGTTGCTGACGCTATGTTATATCACAGTTATATTAGTAAAATAATATTAGCACCGAGCGAGAGGCGTCACCAACATTTTCCCGCACATGCAATGATTGTATAAGAGGCTTACCACGTACTTGAACAAAAAAATGCCTAACCCCCATTGCCCTTTTCCCACGGGGGGAAGGAATCGAGCCCAGTACTCGCCCGTAGAAGTTGGGATATTACAAGCGACAAATGATATAAATATATTAATACTACAAGACCGCGGATATCATTCGAAATATGTGACATTTATATGTATTTAATCTGCTTTCTATGCAGGTGTTGGAAATCGGCACGTGCCTTCTTTCAAAGACATTGCCTTATGCCCTATTTTGAAAGTGCCCCTGAAAGCTTGAGCCTCAAATATTGCTACGATCGATCAAACAGGTTATTACGGAAGCGAAATCAATCCGGCGGGCAAAGACGGGTGAGCGGTTGTGACACTAAACGGTAAGCATCACAAAAATAAACATTTTTTGAACAGAGACACAGTGAAACAGATTCTTCAAAAAAATCGAACGCAATATGTCAACCTTAATTAACACCAGGTTGTTAAAAAATTGAATCATTATCGAGGAAACGTATGATGGAAATCTCGACATCTAGGAAATGTCACATTGGATGATGAAGATTTCCAAAAAATTAAATTGTACGACTTTGTTTTTAGGGGTTGTGCCATGGAAGAATACAACCATGTGCGTCAACTGTTTTTAAACAAAATCGTTCATTCTTCAACAAGAAAGACCGACGTAGGAATCGCATTTCCACTGATATATGTAATACGATATACCAACCATTACATACTATTTTCTCACATATTTTGTCTAGCTTGGCCCAAGCATGTTTAAGTATTTGTTTTGATATGATATAAACCACCCACAAACAGTTGACGGCCACTTTGATCCTTGAAAATCGTCTATTGTCGTAAGGTACGGTCGTTCATATTCTGGACTAAAAATTTTGTTTTTGCGGGAAATCATGTTTATTTGAATGTTCATCGATGCAGTGGATTAATTAGCCTTCTTAATTCCATTATGAGAAAAGCTTTTTCCAATAATGCATCATTAATTATGCCCACATTAAAATCATTACGTCATTAAATTGCGTTTTAATTATCTCCATGGCAACAAATAGAATTGACAAGGCAAAGACTACATTGTTGAATTACTTTTGAAAACATAAAAATGGCTATAATGACTTTGTTCTCATTTTTTTTACTACTTATTATAAGTAAATCATCAGGTAAGCGGATTGTTGATGATATTCTATAGTTTTTATGAATCATTTTTGTTATGTCCATGATTTCGGAAAATCGGGTCTCGGTCTTCATTGAAAATTGTTCGCATGGTCATTTACTATGCTAATTCACTCGTTGACATTTATTAAAAGAAAATCCCACATGTAATTTACGTATTCTGTGCCTGAAGTATCAGGCTCGTATTGAGTTTTGACAGCTCAGCAGTTTTTATAATTATGGAACATTTGTATGTTTAGGTTTTCAAGCAGGGCAACACGGTCCAACGATACTAGATACTAGTTCCCCACCTGTTGTCTATACTGAGCGTGGGAAATCAATTCGCATTAAGTGTGACTACCACGCTGAGCCAGAACCCAAAGTTAACTGGATAAAGAATGGTGTTGAAATTCGTCATAACTGTGATACGTGTATCGCGAAAGTGAAAGTACAAGCAGAAACAAGCATCTTAGAAATCACACCCTACTTAAAAGAGGATTTTGGAGATTATGAATGCCGCGTTCGTAACATATATGGTTCTTCTAAGATGAAAGTATCTTTGAAAGAGACTGGTAAGAAAGAGTATCACAATTTTTATTTTCTAGGAAGGAAAATGTTTATTGAGGCCAGTGGCTGGCTAATTTCTCTATACAGTATACTTGCCCAGCAAGTATTTTTCTGTAAATACGGGTCAAACTTTGAAGCCAGTAACACCCATTTTAGAACTGCGACAAACTAGATGCGAGAAAGAGAGATTGCTGTCGGCAGATCCACGAAAAAAGCGTGCATTTCGCCCAACTTGCGACGAAGATGGATCGTATCATGACGTACAATGTTCAATAGAACATGACTTATGTTGGTGTGTCAACAAATATGGCAAGAAAACTCTAGATGTGATTGATGGCTCTAATGGCTTACGCTGTTTTGCACCAAAAGGTATAGTAAGATTATTATTTATAAATCTATGAGGCCAGTGTACATCTCACAGCTTGACAATCACGATCGCATCTGTCCGCCTTGATCAAGGCAGTGTGGCTTTTGAACATTGACACATGGACAACCAAAGTATTCAACCCTCTTTGGTAACGTGAGTTTTGTATTCAATCAATTGCTAATGCAAGAAAAGCCTGGTTTTCCGTGATCACAATGGGTCAGGTGGGGGTCTGTTCGCCCCAGGGGCCCCAAAAAACGAAGGGAGAAATCAGTGTTTTTTATTAATCTTATGTAAATTATAGCTCTATGCATTGTGTTTCATTCACGGCAGTGATTTTCATTTTAGATTTATCTGTGGTGGCTATCGTTGTTTTAACTCAGGGTATTTTGGTGACAATAGTACTTATTGATCAGATTATAAATGCATTTGGCTATAAAAATTACAGTGTCTACGGGGCTCTCATGAAATATTACGGGCAGCGTGTGTTGGTACCCAAGAAAAGATGTGAGTATAATGATATATTTGTCATACATATAATATACCATGCTGGCAATGGATGGTGCATAATAGAGATCCTGATTTGCGCAATACTGCATGTGCTTACTGTTTAAAATCATGAAAGTTATTAGATTTTGACCATTTATACTAGTCTTTAGGGTTTCTTTTAGAATAACCCAATATGATGTTTCTTATACCATTACTATATTTACCAGTAAAAATATGATACTTGACATAACACTAACAGCGTGCTTATTCATACCATTGGTGATTACTGAGACGAAGTGTTATGCCTTTTTGCATGTAGGTAAAGTTCTTAAAAAAGAGATGCAAGAAAACAATATGAAATGGAGACCATTGCCTGCTGTACCTGGAAATGTTCAGAAAAAAAAGAAAAGAAAAATGCCACATAAAGATAAAGTCCTAAATATAAATTAAATACAAGTAGAAACATGATCAGAAGGTGAAATATTTTTCCTTGGTATAAACACAGGTATAAATTTTGGAAAGTAAAAGAAAAATGTAAAAACACCAATATACTTTAATGACCTATGTTTATGTCATGGCTTATTTTATTTATTTTAGCAACAAGATAGGGCCCATTTGTGCGAGCGGTGCATAACACTATGCATCAAAATAGATTTTTCACTTTTTTAACGTTAAACTGATAAATTTGTGAGAGACTAAGCAACAAACAAGTTTGTAGATGGACAGAGGATCAAAATATTGCAAGCTAAAGGAAATGAAATATTTGAAATGAACATGATGACAAAATACACTATATCAGTTTTGTGGAAAAACTACATTTATTGCATAGAGATTTCAATCAGCAGAAACCTCCATCTTCATCAGTTTTATGAAATATACAACTCAAAAACTGATTTGCTCAAAATAAAAAGCCCAAGATGTAATGTAGACTATGAAACAATACATGCCTGTAACTCATGTGGCAATTAGAAACTTCACTCTGTATTCTCATGCAATTATACTGAACCACCTCAGTAAAAGATGTTAATATCTGCATTAATTTTAAAAGTATTAAAATGAGGTGTATACCATTTTTGGCATACAACTGGTATGTGGTTAAGCATGCACAACCAGTTTTGCATTAACCTTTCACATCATGTTTTATCCAATGTTTTCTTTTTTTACCCGCACTAGTCGTCACTTCATCATCATCACCTGTCCCTAAAGCAGTAGTTAAAGCAGTTGCCCCACCATCACAGTTTAAAAGCATAATTGAACTGCAAACAGCAGATAGGTTGTCTAGAACATAAAATTATAAAAAAAGAATAAATAAATTGCAGGACCATAGTCTACAGTGTATATGAGAGGAAAATTGGTACAAATTCAGAATTAACATAATGAATAAACATGTTGTATCTAGACAGATAAATTATACAAAAACAAACTTACAAGCTGGTGTTGAGAGAGGCCTAGTGACATCATTTCTATTTAAAATGTCTTGAATCTTATTGTTTAAACTGAAATTGAAAATTTGAGAGGGGAATTATTTATAATCTCCAATGTATAATCGCAAGATGAATTGTTTGGATTGCTACACATATAACCATTACCAACCATTGTTTATCAGCTACACCAAGTATAGATACTGTTCTGGCATGTTTCACTACAGTTAAGATAAAATCAGCTTGAGGATTGAAGAGAGCGAAATTCAATCAGCAAATGCTCTAGCTTTAAACCTACATGAAAAATATACCTATTTTAAAAAATCGATTTTCTACTGCTTACCTTGACATGCTCTTCCTATATTTTTCTATGAGAAAACACAAAAAGAAACATTTATATAAATATGATTCGAGACAACAAATAAAGTGCACCACAACCTACCCTTAGTTTAGTTGAGAATTTTAAATTTGACCGAATATATCGAAGACTTCTTGCCCCACTTACAAATGGCAGCATGATGAAAAGCAAACAGTGGAACGAGTGGATGGAATATGGAATATATTGCTGCGACCGCGCGAGGAAAATCAGTGAGGGACCTGGGTCTTTTCATTTTTTCAGTCTGAAAACCGCAAAGCTTTCTGGGCATGTTCTCTTTGCCTAAACAATCATGGCGACTCAAATCAGTAAAAAACGGAAGGTAGATTTTATGGACGTAAAACGTTGCTTTTAACATAGATATTAATAGGTTTACGATGGAAATAGATAGATAGTTTATCGAACATAAAATTTGCTTGGTATTTAAGTCGTGATGATTAATTTTCGCCTCGGATTGAGATGGATGCAATGAAACATTTTTCTTGTCACCAGACTCTATTTCAATTCCCTTATCGCCAAATACTTATTTGATTATTTTTGGCCGCCTTGAATGGGATTTTCCTCCCTCATAAAACCCTCAGGCGTATAAGCCATGAGGTTTTTAATATCGTAAAGTGATATACAAATGTATAAACTATAGTACATCTTAATTTTTGGTCATCAGGTCATAAAAATAAGATTTAGTTTTACCCTGAGAGTGCTGTACGATTCATTCTAAGGTATTGTAGCAATCTAGCTGTAGTATTTATGAACCAAGAAGGAATCCAGAGTTCATTTCAGACTTCGTACACCACAATTAAATTTAACTATGTACACTCAATGCTGCTCTACATAAACATTGAAGACTATGTACACTGTATGCAAAGTTTTTTATGCTGTGAAATTACATAATAAATTTTATATTATTTCCCTTTGCTGAGACACTACCTCTGTAATGGTTAAAGCTAATATTTCATCTCTTGTTTTGTAGTTTGTCTCTGATGGGATCTTTAAGGCTGAACTGAACGAGTTCTTAACTCGCGAGCTTGCAGAAGATGGCTATAGTGGTGTTGAAGTACGAGTTACACCCATAAGAACCGAAATCATTATTTTAGCAACACGAACTCAAAATATATTGGGTGAAAAAGGACGTCGGATTCGCGAACTCACATCAGTGGTACAGAAACGATTCAACTTTCCTGAAGGCACTGTTGAGGTGAGTGGATTTAAAAGCAGGCACTGCAAGCTCAATATTTTTATTGAAAAATCCAACATCAATTCTGCACTATCTATAGGTAAAACGTAACTACTTATGCAACCCATTGCTAATTGTTATTACCTGTTTTGTATTTATCCTAGTTGTATGCTGAAAAGGTGGCAACTCGTGGACTGAGTGCAATTACACAAGCAGAATCTTTGAGATACAAGTTGCTTGGAGGTTTGGCTGTAAGGAGGTATGTAAATTTACACTCTAACCAGGCTGTTGTGGTATTTGAAAATTCCGATATATCGATATTGAAAATTTCGACTATATATTGCAAGTCACAAAATTATTAAAACGTAGTTTAGTCAATATACCTTCAAAACTAATCAAATATCAAAAAGTTTATTTACTGTGAATGTTTGAATTTTTTGCCAAAAGGTTTATTTAGTAAGTTATAGTATTTACAAGCAATTCATATGACTATTTAGTATTTAAAAATATTCCTAGATGAACACTAGCGGAACTGATTGAATTATTCTTAGCTGCTAAGAATTCAATATTTTCCAACAAAGCAAGGACATTTGTACCTTGCCTTGAAACAGTTGACTTTGATAGTATTTGATAACATGACTGCAGGCTGAGTCCAGGAGAGTCCATAAAAACTTATGTTTTTTCGATATCTCGGTATTTTTGATATTTTCGGTATTTGAAAAATCGAATATCAATATTTTTGAAATTTTTATATTTATTGACCAAAGGTTTAGTTTTGAGTAATTCTGTTCTGTATTTTCAGAGCATGCTATGGGGTTCTTCGATACATTATGGAGAGTGGCGCTAAGGGTTGCGAAGTTGTAGTCTCTGGCAAACTACGTGGTCAACGTGCAAAATCTATGAAATTTGTAGATGGCTTGATGATCCATAGCGGTGAACCTACAAAGACATATGTTGATACTGCTGTCAGACATGTGTACCTAAGACAAGGTAAGTGAAAATTCAACAGTTTGTCTTGTAACATTTTACTGTATAAAAGTTGTGTTAAAGGACATTCTTTTGAACTAATTTGTCAGGTGTTCTTGGTATCAAAGTGAAGATCATGCTGCCATGGGATGTGACTGGCAAAAACGGGCCAAAGAAACCACTGCCTGATCAAGTCAGCATTGTTGAGCCCAAGGAAGAAGTAAACCCAGCAACTCCGAGTTCAGAACACAAGGGCGGCAAGCCTGATCAACCTGCACCAATGGCTACATAGGTATGGTATTCTGTCAAATGCTAGACCCATTAGTGAAAACGAAAGACTACTTCATCAGTTTTTTGAGAGATTACATTATTAACACATGTATTTTCTTTTTCAGGTCTACGTTTTCATGTACCGGTGAATGCAGTGTAAAATTTATGAAAAATAAATAATAAAGAACAGAAAATTTTGTCTCTTTTGCAATTCAACTTTGCACAATCTTCGAAAATCTCTTTTTCGTCACGTTTGATGCTATTTTCCCTCAAATTATGACAAGTAATCGCCAAGCTTTAGTGGTGTCTTGACAAATTGGCGCATCCCACTAAAGAGAATAACGGCTGTGATTACTCCGGTCAAAGTGACCGCATAACGGTTGGTCCAAACTGGTTTTTGACCAGTCAGTATATCAAAGACTTTTCATAAAAAACTTTAATATACATAAAATGAAATCGAGACCAAAGCACAGTGCAACCTTTAACGTGAATCGTTAGTATTCTACCGCAGCGCTTTTGTGGATATGATCATATGGTAATCTTGTTCAAACGCAGAATTCTGGTGTTGATAATTGGGCCAAGCGAATTATGCATAAATGTGGTTGTCAAAATGACTGGCAAGCTGAGAAATCAATCGGTGAACCAAGCATTTTTGGCGGGTCATCCGTTGACCGGCCTTTATTTTTAAGTCAGGAATGTACCGGCAGTCTTGTCGTTATGATGTCCTGAATCCGCTATGCCTGGCTCATCACAGTTATATTAACTGCGTGTGGTCTCATATATCGCAAGAATTAGCAATGCCAGAGACCTGGATAATTCATGAGATGAACTGAGGGATAATCATAGTTCTTATACATAGTCATAGTGCTTTTTTCAATCGCTTAAAATCGCCCGTTTTTTGGTACTAAATACTTCTGTATGTTTTTGTTCTTTTAATAATCTTCCTTTTACCTTACTCTATACTCACTTTCTACACAAAAAAGGCATCGCGCTAAGTATTCCCATGGATAATAAAATCACTTTTAACTATCCATGGTATTCCTAAACCGAAGATCCTCTTTAATAATTGTTGGTTCCAAAGCTGAAATTTCATTGACATTGCTTTTCAACCATTTTTAGAACGGTTGAAAAAACCCGGCTTTTATACCACCGCCAAGCGGCCCCTGGGTCGGGGGTCCACGAAACAGAAGTGGCGGTCCGTTGTGCTAATGAACGTGGTTCAATTCATATCGGTTAAAAATAGTTCCCAAACAACAAATATCAAGAAACATGTCTTACAATAGCATGGAAACAGGAAAATTAGTAGATTAATTTATTAAACTTGTGATTTAACTGGCGTCCAAATGGGAAAACCTTGGGAACGAGCGTATATGAGCGTTGTACTCTATGTGTACTATGTTGTCTTGCTTGACCTTATATATCCTTTAACGTCCTGCAACATACTTTATTCAAAATGGAAGAAATAGGAATCGTTTCTCAGGTAAAAATTTAGTGATTTTCCTAAGAAACATTGTATATAATACAGTTTCTTCCTATATATGATATGTAAACGTTTCTTTACATTAGCATTATACGAGAGTCATTACTTTTCATAATGATTTAAAGGAGCGTGTTTATTAAAGTTTGAAACTTTTAACTGTTATAAGGCAAAAAGAGCACTTATACATATATTTTAAAGTGGTTTCATGAACTCAACTGAAGTTGAATTTGCTATATATAATTATTAATATATGAATACAACACCTTATCAACCCTGCCATTCAGTTTTACAAGGAAACCAATTATAAAGATCCACTACAGCTAATAAAGAGAGATACTAAGACAGCTAGACCACATTGTATATTCTATTATATCAAAAAAATTGAATGAAAGGTTCAGTCAAACAGATAGCATAAGGTACTACAAGTAAAGGCTACTACAGACTACGGCCCAATAAATAAGTGTTTACTTTCACAAAAATATTTTCACCATGCATTGCTTCTATCACTAATATTGTTGTTTAGGTAACATCTTAACATACCATCTTTATATAAAAATATCGTAAAAAGCAGACTTCCATTAAATTAAAAATAGACTTAAAATAGACTTTAAACTGAGCGTTTTGCACATACAATAGATGCTCTCCGCATAGCGATTTTGCTTATGCAAGTTCATGCCAACATTGTGAATGTGATGGGAAATACACATATTTACCCATATAATATTGTTCTGATGCTGACTGGAATTTCCTCTACAGCATATTATTAATCTAAATATAAATAGGAAGAAAATTTCAATAAGGGCAACCTTATTAGCAATGCACCAACCACAGAAATAGATGTTGATGACCTGTATGCTAAATACAAGAAACTTCAAAAACAACTGGAGTTTCTTGAAGTACAAGAAGAATATATCAAAGATGAACAGAGAAATTTGAAAAGAGAGTTGCTGCATGCACAAGAGGAAGTCAAAAGAATTCAATCTGTACCGTTGGTGATTGGACAGTTTCTTGAAGCTGTGGATCAAAATACTGGCATTGTTGGATCAACTACTGGTGGGTATTCAATATTTGGCAATTAGCATCGCATGATTAGATAGAATATCAGAAAATTATTATAAAAACATTAAAATATTTCCTGTAAAAGTGCTTTGTTTAGACACATATGTTGTGTTTCCAATTCCGTGAAAAAAAAACTTGTTTAAATAGTTTTTATATGGTCATTTATACCAAACAATTATTCATCATTTTACTGTAAAATACTCTAACCAAATGCATTGCAAAAAAAACACTTTTAAATATATGATATAAATCAGAAAACTTATATGTTACAGTTACACATTGTCTAGTAAGGCTAAAACCCCTAAAAATATAAGACTTATAATTGGAATTTCGTTAGTTGTAGAAGATATTAAGTACGTTGTACATTTGTTGGAGGGGAAAACAGCCACTCGTAGCTAAGCATATCCTAGGTACCCAAAACATATTTTGATCCACGCTGAAAATAATCAAGTATACTATATATTTAACCATATTTACAACCACAATCAGAGTGTATGCATCACAGAGTGCAGTCTAAACTGGACTCATATGGGCAAACTTCAAATGTTAATTACATTTGATATCCTCAGTCTCTGCTCGACTGCTCCATGCATTTAATTTTTGATATTGATTTGTTAGGTTCAAACTATTATGTCCGCATCTTGAGTACGATTGATCGTGAATTACTCAAACCAAGTGCCTCAGTTGCCTTACACAAGCATTCCAATGCGCTGGTTGATGTTCTACCGCCCGAATCAGACAGCAGTATTGCTATGCTTGGTGCAGATGAGAAACCAGATGTCTCTTACTCAGATATCGGTGGAATGGATGTGCAGAAACAGGAGATACGTGAAGCAGTCGAGCTACCTTTGACACATTTTGAGCTATATAAGCAGATTGGTATAGATCCCCCCAGAGGAGTTTTAATGTTCGGACCCCCCGGTTGTGGGAAAACGATGTTAGCGAAAGCAGTTGCTCACAATACAACAGCCGCGTTCATTCGTGTCGTTGGTTCAGAATTCGTGCAAAAATATCTTGGAGAAGGTCCTAGAATGGTGCGAGATGTGTTTAGGTTGGCAAAAGAGAACGCTCCCGCCATAATTTTCATTGACGAAATTGACGCCATAGCAACAAAGCGTTTCGATGCACAGACAGGAGGTATGTGAATATCTGAAACTTATGATTTAGACCAAACCTTGTTTCATTTTTGCGAAATTAATGAAATTTTATTGATAAAAGAATACTGTAAACTTTCAAACTGTATGCAGTAGAATCGCCTTTTTTTCAAACGCAGCTATTAACTAGCTCCTTTTGAATTATTTAGCGGACAGGGAAGTACAAAGAATATTACTGGAACTTCTTAATCAAATGGATGGGTTTGACCAGAACGTTAATGTCAAAGTAAGTATAACCTTTATATTTCTATCACTTTCCTGCACTAGAGACAATGCTCAAGAGAGCTATAATCAACAATTGTAATCTTAATCCAAATTTTAACCTCGACCTGGATATTAGCACTTGTCAGGTTGTTGTACATTTCTAGTTGCAGCGGTTGCTATAATATCACACTACAAGAATAGGATTACAATACGTGTTGTATGATTACCTGCTGGAGTATAATTACTATGTAGGATATTGCTAATTTGTGTTCATATCTCGTGTGTTTTTTTAGGTGATCATGGCGACAAATAGACATGATACGCTCGATCCTGCTCTACTTCGTCCTGGCAGGCTCGATCGTAAAATAGAATTTCCATTACCGGATAGACGACAAAAACGGTTGATTTTCTCCACTATAACAGGAAAAATGAACCTATCAGAAGAAGTAGATTTGGAGGATTGTATCCTTTCATTAAGAACATGGTATACTAGAACCGTTACAGTGATATACTGTTTTAATGAATATTAAGAGGGCGTTTTTTCGTTTATTTACGCTTTTCTGCTGTGAAAAAAAAACTGAAGAAACAGTATACATAGGCTTAGGCTTAGGCAATCGATCCAATGAGAACCTTTGGGTAATGGCGGGACAAACAATTGTTGCTCAGTTATATCGCAAACTTTGGGAGTGTGCGCGTGCGATAAAATTGATTTGCGTCAAAACGTTGGGAGCCAATATTAATTCAGGTAAAATCGAGGGCATGCCATATCCAGGTGGCCGTGTGTACTTGCTTGAGAGAGAGAGAGGGAGGTAAAATTATATTAGAGCGTGGTCATGCTAAGCAACGCGCCGCTTTATTGCGTGATACCATTTACATGCTGCAATTCTTTAACAACTTTATCAGATGTAGCGAGACCTGATAAAATAAGTGGAGCTGACATCAACGCCATTTGTCAAGAGGTTTGTATTTTATTCCTGCGTGCGTTGGCTGTCCTGCAGGCGAAAATAAATAGTAGTTGTATTTATAGATGAGATAAAAAATGTATGATGCAATATCTCATCTCACAATTCAATCACCTTACAGTCAATCCTAATGTGACACATCTCGTCCACATTTAACCTAATTGTTCCTTCCAGTAAGTAATAATGCGATATGTTTCAATTCAAGGCTGGTATGCAGGCTGTGCGTGAAAATCGTTATGTCATCCTTTCCAAAGACTTCGAAAAAGGATACAAGAATAATGTGAAAAAAGACGAAACTGAACATGAATTTTATAAATAAGAAGTGCAAGACACATGTATAGTGTGGATTATTTTTCACTTTAAACTCTTATGGAATATTTTAAATACAACGAGTTAGCACTTATTCATTTTATAATTTTGCTTTAGTGCCTTATTTATTTTGAGATATATACCATCCTTGTTGTTTGAACTAGTTTTTCCTTTCATTCGTTAGCAAAGGAAAATTGTCAAAAAAAGGAAAGTGTGATACAACCTATATACCTATCCAACCGATATTCTATTGACAGACATTCTATTAAAATTCATCCTTTCCAGTAATTTTAAGAAAAATGCTTCAGTGTATTTGATACCACGTTCAGCGCATTATCAAGTATCGTAATTTTTACGTAGATGGGTGAGCTTAAACAACAAAATGAGATAAATATAAAGTCAAGAATTCCGTTCCACATATACATTGCATGTGAAATTATATAGAAAATAATATTAATTACAAAATCAATTAAGTAAAATGTCGAAGCCTTGATATAAACGGAAAGATATTCACTATAGTCTATATTTCTCAATTGAAAGGGCATAATAAATTACAATTTTTTTTTTTCGCGGTAGGAGTTCAAGGTTTACAGTTTTGAAAGGACAATTTTTGAATTAGCTGCATACACATAATCCAAAATATACTGTTGCTATAAACTAGAATTGATAACAGAACGCGTGTTGTGCCAGCGTGACGCATGACATATTTTTGAAATATTTTAATTGCTTGCCATTGTTAGAAAACCGACCCGCTGCTGGCTTGCTCAATTTGATGAATGATTGGGGAAATTGGAGTGATGAGCCCTAGTAGCAAGCCTGATCTACGTTAAATTATTGGAATTAAACGAATTAAACTTGAAACTATTCATATAACATAATGATAAAATGAACAATTAGTATGTTATTATAATGAGGGCGGATGTTCGATTGTTTTTTACCCATAATTATATAAACTTTTCTTGCGGAAAAATTGACTTTATATAGTTCACGGAAACAGTGTTAAAGTGTTGTCATTTTGGAGGTTTTCTAACCAGCTTTTACAAACCCCAAGTTAACAAACCATGCATTGTCAAAACGCCAAAACGATTTTGCAGAAACTATAATGCATATATACATTCGCAAGCCTATGCATGGCCATGGCCAACAATTGCTGAATAAAAATCGCCGGTTCGTGAGTTCGATCTTTATTTTCCCCCTAAACGAGGGGAGAGACGGTATGCCGGAGATATACTGCATGCCGGTATATTTTTGGTATAAGTAGCTATATATACCAAGCCTGGGGGGTTTCATCTATACTCAGTATATTACTATAGGCTTGGAAATATATATAGCTCTTGTAAATCCAGCAGACCTGTAAGAACAAGATGGAAAGCGATGGTTAAAATATATTACTTGAATAATCAAATCATGTAATTAGCTATATGCATGCAATGCACTAGTGAAATAGATTTTTTGCTTATGTAGGTACTTAGATATTATATAAGGTTAATCCTACCAGAGTCTATTATTATTATATTCTGCCACATATAATGGCCACATGCATGCATGCAAGCATTAAAATATCAGTCTTATTTCATGGCGGGTTTAGTGAAAGAAGAACATTTGTTTCGGGTGTAATTAAAATACAACAATTTAGATTAATAAAAAGGTCAATTAAATTATTTAAATAAAAAAATATATTTTCTAAATACAAAATTGGCCTTGAAGTCAACTACAACTCAGAGTGTTTTCACTATATATTTCAGACTATTTTTATTTTACTTTGTCTTTAAAGAACATTTTGAAAATGATGAGTATAGTGTTTTTCTAATTTCTATTTTTTTCATGTACATAACGGAAACATGAGAAGGTCAATAATTAATTTAATTAAATTTTTACATTGAACACGAGTTTCAACTGATAAGGACCTAGACTCCCTATAGCTATATATCTTATATCTATTGTAATTCCACTGAAATTAAATAATTGGGCGGCTGAAACTTGCTTGTCGCTTTGCACCATCCATATTAACATCGATCGTTTTGCCAGTATAGCTATTTGAATTCAACAACATTTCGAGGTGCTGAATGACTGCATCAACCCCAAAACGAGGAAAGTGTTATTCTGTAATCGCTTTCGACGAAAAATGTTTATAGAACGCTACTTTTCGAATTTAAATTATACATCACAGTTGAGATCTGTAGTGAATTAATAGCTGTTGAGTTGTGCCATCGATCTCGCTCTGTATATAATTTATGCGAAACAACAGGTGTTTTAAAATTCTGTTCTGTTAGACCCTGACTGAGCCAATAAAGTCATATAAAATAAAGAAACGTTCTACGCCTATTTTGGTTTCGTTGTTCAACGTCTGATACATTTAAAATCCTACTGAGTTATATAATTTGTTCCTTTGTAAAATGAAGACGATTTTCATGCTTATCAATGGAGTGGAAGGGCGCATTGACAGTTGTTTTAAATGTATCTATATTGCATGCATGCGAACCAATTAACATGTTTAAAACTTATCGAATATTGTTGTCTTTCTAGAGAAGTGATTGATATAACTACAAATATATAGTTCCATGCATATCTGCATGTCTTTGTATTACAAAGAATATTATGTTTTATAATGTGCATGATTGAGTAAGTGTCATTTTGCATCGCGCTACATCATGTAATAAAAAATAGGTATTGCGAGTATTGTACTGCATGCTATATAAGACTTTTCAAAACAGACGATATATACCTGAGTTTCGGTGTTATATAACTAATATTAATGTTCATTTTTTTGCACTTTCGTCGATTTTTCAACTGGTCAGAATTACCATATAGAGAAACGTATATAGAGCAATAGAATTTTCAATGCTTATGACCAACCCACGATAACATTACAGGAATTCATGAAAATCGAGTTCCCTAACACTCACATGCATGGGAATCGAGTCATGCATGCCTGTCTTTGTAATTCTGAAACAGTGATCTTGCCACTATATATCTATAAACTAAGGGAAAATGATATAGGTCTATAATAGGGATAAATATATTTGTCACAAAATGGAACGACGTTTTCGTCCTCGCAAGTTTTCTTTCAACATTCGATCGCACGGTTTTGAAAATTTGCACTGAACTATATACAGGCTTAAGGCTCTCAGTGTAAACTCCTATAATTTAATAAAAAATAGTCCACAATGCCATGGGGTAAAAGATTCAGTAATAGCTTGTTTTGACGCAGATGCATGAAAATTAATTCCCGTGCCGTTTTCATTACCCAAAACTTAAAAATTAAAAGATCTAAATTAGTTTGACTTTACGTTACAATTGTATTCTGATGATATATACACTCAAGTTGACCTTATTCAATCTCATATAATATTCTAGTTATATGCTTTATAAAGCTATATACATGATCATTATATACAAAGTTTTACATCATGCATGATATGATATATGTACAATCTGATGAAAATGAGTTAAATTACATGCACTGGTAATAAATATATGAGTCTACTGCTGTTTTCTATATACATGATGTAACTTTTTATCCAAGAAGTTACCTTGCACGTCATACTCAAAAAATGAAAAGAAAAACGCTATATGAGATTTCTCGTGTAACTGCATGCATGCGCATGAATTTTTTTGCCCTGAACTGCAGGATAACGAATTTTACATTGATTTCGTAGATATTCTTAAATACAATGGGCTATATTAACCCTATATATGGAACAACTATATCACTAAAACGTTATACCTTTATATACGTCTTATGAAGGTTTCAGAGAAATGCACATTCGTATAGATATTCTCGGTCTATGGCTCTAGGCCAGGGAAAACCATACACTGGCCCCTGCATGCAAGTTACTGGAGAGAATTTATACTATTGCATGTAAAAATTGTTTCTCTATCTTTCTTCCTTAGTGGAAAAGTCCTCATCATCAATACTTTCTGCTTCACATTTGACAGTTATTCCTGAGCTGCAGGACATCGTGCTTGACATTCTTCTGTCTTTCTTCCATTTCACACGACGGTTTTGGAACCAAATTTTCACTTGCTTCTCAGTTAACTCCAACATGGCAGCAATCTGAATTCTTCTAAGACGAGAGAGATAACGGTTGTTGCTGAATTCTTTCTCCAGCTCTAACAACTGCAGACTCGTGTAAGCAGTTCGAATTCGTTTTGTACGCGAGTTACCTTTGCCGCATCCATCATCATCGTGACCTGCATATGAATATAAAGTAAATAGTCAGGCCGGGACCTCACAAAAAATAATGTTGTATACATATATAGTTGGAGATTGTCCATGATGTGTATATACAGGGTTCTCATCAATGAACAGAATGGCAAATGAATCAAAATATGTTGTTAGCGTTGAGTTAAATCAGTGCTTGTATTTTGTTCCTGCGCTGGGTTATTGACGCACATGCACGCATGTCCCGTCTCTCTCTTATGTCAAGGCACCAAAAGATAGTGTTATATCGATGATATATCGATGTTAACTTTGGATCAATGGAGTGTGTTAGTGTTGAGAAGGTTAATTATAGATGGAAGTATTTACAAAACCTCTGATTTCTATCAGAGGTTTGAAACAAAGACACTTATAAGAGAAAAGGGAACTCAATGTGATGATAGATCTTCGAGCTGATAGCTTTGTTTCGCGAAGATAAAACCGAGATAGGATTAATAACGTGAACATAAAACTGATTTAAAATTTGAGTAACTTTAACTCGCACTGATTATTTTTATTCGACATGCAAAAGTTTTTAGTTTCAGCTAGTGATTTTACATAGAGTTAAATATTTCGTCCACTATGTAAGCTTTAAATCATGATCTTTCTACATGCATGTGTATATTAACTCAACGAATACATTGTGTGCGATAATTTTCTGGTAAAAAATACAATTGTACTGAGTATCCAGCGTCATCTTAATTTTTACTTGCAATGTTTTTTAAACTTACCAAAATTTGAATCTAAGCGCATACCGCTTTCAACCGGGCCGAGAAAATGTTCCTGCAGTCGTGAGTAATCCTTAGGGATCATAGTTTGACGCATGGCAGAGGCTGGAATGACCTGACTTCTTACTGGCATAGCATAAGAACTTATGGTGGATGTCCCGGGAACGCATAACTGACAAAAATTGATCTTATCATGTTGAGGTGTCCAACAATAGGTACATGCCGTCAAGTTGTAAGGCGCTGGTTCTCTGACAGTGGGCGAAACTGGCGATGTTTTTCTTTGATTGCTCTGAATGAGCGAGTCAATGAGGAAGGAGCTCATCTTAGGATGACTGCGTATATAAAATGTATTAATCTCTGCTAACTGCGCGCCTTAAATTCCACTTAAACAAACGTGTGTGACATATATGCAGCATCACCCCTGCCGCTTTACACACGTGGAAAAAGTTATTACTGGTTTGTTGATCATTGTTGCAGCCGAAAAACCGTTTCATTAATAATGGACGATTTTCAAAATGCATAAGCGTCTAATTAGTGTCATATTACTATCAAACAGACTTTGTATCATTCTGTTTTATAAAATATTGGACCAACAGATGTATTCGCCCAACACAATTGTTAATGTATCGGCTTGAAAAGAGATTCTCTGATATAATTCTTCTTGAACTGCGAAAAATGTACAAAATATACGCTAGCTACTACCATTTACTCGGTTGCCTTCCAAGTCACGGAAAGAAGAGTATTTCACCTGCCATCATTTGACATTATTAGACAAAAATCGTTCCAAACTTTAATTATTGCACCAGTTGCGTTAATAACTGGCTAATCTGATTATGCAGAATGCAAAAGGCCGTTTTCTAAAGAAACCATGTCCATGACTAAAAAGTTGATTTGAATGTTGCAGGGAATGAAACTTGGCCTACAAATTTTATCTTTTTGAGACTGAGCATTTAGAGAAATTAACTGAAGTGTATATGTATAACACCGGCAATTATCGATGAAAATAATGATAAAATACTATGTGATTATCCCAAAATAGGATTATATATGACGTTTTTTGTTAGTTGACATGAAATTGAAGTCTAAAAAGTCATTCTTAATTTCTAAATTTTTAATGAAATGTCAACTGACGCGTGTTTGAACAAAACGATATATAGTTTGAATGCTTGGTTTAAAGAAAAAGAATCTAAGGACAGGTGATGAAAATGATTTACGAAGATTTTGTGCCAGTCGCCGATTTAAAGAAAATATTTTCCAAACAATCATATATTAAACTTTAAATCTAGGACAATGTTCGAGATAAAGAAATTAAAATTTATCAGTCACTTGACCTTTTGACAGTAATTTTCAAAGACAGAGGTCCTTCTTATATTTTAGCCGTATTATCTTATCCTTATTACAAAAAATCATTCATCCAATATTTTACGGTCGACGAGAACACAGGTAATGCTTCTCATAACTGCACCCCTTCTTGAGAACCATGCAGACATGCAGAATATCGCTACGGATTTACTTCCATGCATGTATACATGAATGTACTAATAATTCTTAAGTGAAACGTTGAGAGAAATATTCTGATGTTAGGATAAAGAGAGTAAGGAATGTTCCAATTATTTTGGTATTTCAATATAATATTTCAATTTAAGAATGCAAACTTCTACTCCGTGGCCGCAACTAGCTACAGTACACCTCAGACCGAAAAAACGTCCTGCTTGCATGTAAATGCATAATTTTATAGCTTGGATCACTCGCTTACATCTGTTGTGTTGGCGTTTAATCAAGCGTGAAACAAAAATGGTTTCCGTGTATGTCATATGGAGCTTGAGTATCGTGACATTTTTTGTTAATTTTATTTCACCGTGTAAACAATTTAATTTTCTTCATGTAATGTGTACATAATCTTTTATTTTACAAGCAATTTAATGAAAATATAGTTCATAACGTTGCTACAATTCTGCAAATTAAATCGACTGTGTCCGTTTTGCCGCGTCTTCATTGTCATAAACTAAGCAATATATATTTACTTCGATACATATTATTCACTGCTAAAGCAATAAATTGGATGAACAGATGCAGCGTCTTTTTTGTGTTTCTTTTTTAGTAATGAAAAGTTAGTCTCCGTTATTTATTCGTAAATACAATCATATATAACAGAAGACAAGGAAATAATGTAAAATAAGAAACACTTCTTTTTAGTTAGCTGTTCCAGAAACAATAACGACGATTATATTGCTTCACTGCCACTGGTTGTTTATGTAAGGTTTATTTTTATATGTAAAACTGTTTTTTATGTAAGGACGTTATTCATCTGCCGATGACCTGCGATGTTTTATTGACGATTCATTTTATATGATAAATAAAGTTCACGCAACGATGACTACCGCCGACAAGTGTCAACAGACATCACCGACATGAAAAACTTTAAAAAGGCCTGGATTCGAATTTGTCATATCATGTTCTGTGACGATAGGTCTCTTATAGTGCCTGTGCGCAAAAGCTTCAAAATTGTTCATAAATCCAATTTTTTGCTCTCTCAATGTCGTGTGATCATTTAATGTTGTTATGCAGCATGTAGTTCTTGCTTGACGTTACAAGAACACTGATGATGAGTGCATACGCATCAAGCATCTGAAAAAGGTTAACCGACTGTGTATAAACCTTAACAACGGGTCGGTTTACTTCCCGTCGGCGTGAATAAAGCAATGCCTTCCCTAAGCATAATATTAATTATAATTTATCAAACGGTGGAAATTTCAGTGGGCGATCCGGCAAAAGAGACTATCCCTCTACATTACAAACAGTTGACAATTTTCAGTTCAGATATTTTGTAACCGAGTGGGGCTCGGTTAGCGTGAAGAATGCCCCATGCATGAAGAGTATCTGCTACTCCATAGCCATGCAGCATAGGCTTTTTTACACCCTCTCGGAGAGTATAATTTTCCGGCGGGAATAACGGCGGTCGGAGTGTTCGAGCTGAACTGTGGTTATACGCATGATCATGCGTGATGCGGCTATTAATTGTAGGTTTAAAATATCAGTTTCAAATACCAAAGTCTAATATTATAATTATTGCGTCTCTTTTTCGAGCAGCTATTATGGAAAAAATAATTACAAAGGAAAATTTATCTCATTAACCAACATAATTAATTAAATGTAACAACTTGAGTAAAATGCCGCTTCCTAGCTAGATATTTTGAAATTCATTTAGGTTTTATTTAACGACAACGTAGTCATTTTGAATAAATTAAAATGCATCTGTTCAATATAATGTAGACTAATTATCCGTTCAAACGATTGTATCACTGGAATTAAATTTCCGCTAACCCAATAAGCAAAACATATTAGGAAATATATTATAGGATTAGCCTTCTATTAATGTATTGTGTAAGAACTCCAAAAACTCAATAACTTCGTAATTCATTTAAACAGTGAAAACAGTTTTAGCGGAAATTAAAAATATAAAAAATAAATCAAGAAACATCTGCTCGTCTGTATTTATAGGTAATTAAAAGTGTCCAAAAAGTTAAAAAAATATCCACATCTTGCATTTACAGACGTATATAGTTCACGTACTTTGCTTTCATAGAAAAAAGTATTTTAAGGGCGAACATTGCAAGAAAAGACGCCGAAGCTATATTCTCCAGTCCCTTAGGACAAGTTCCCCTCATTCACACCCAGACCCCTTCCTCAGCTCGGTCAAACGTCGGGTGATTTTCTAACCCTTTTATTCCTTACATCTCTAGCACACCATATTTTTTGAAATGCTTTTCACAGAATAGATGCACGTGGGGGCACCGAAAAAGCGGGGACAACCGCCTGGCGCCATTGTTAGTGTCCTCCCCTACTAACTTAGCTATTTTTTTAAAACTTTACGAACTGAACCTCTGAACATTTCTTAGTAAAAGATCAACGATGTTTTACACCCGTCACCGATAATGGCATTTATAGTTAAATTAAGATTTATTTCACTGGAAACTCACCATTAACAAACACGCAAAAACACTTCGTCACAACTATGATTCTCACCTAATTCAATCCGATCTTGAACTGAAAAAGGTGTCTAATTCAGTGGAAATGTGGAGATGATTCGCTATTCTAAACGCTATTCTACAATCATGTGCAAAAATTATTGAAACACGGTCATCACACCTAGTATCTACCCCCTCTCCCCCCAAAACAATGTTGTTCCTATGATACCAAGCCATTTGATTTGCCGAAAATATCACTCTCAACATTGTCAATGGGGGAAGGGGGAAATAGTCAATAATAAAACGAAATACGCGACAAAATAGTTGTCAAAATGAAAAAAATATGTCTAAAATACGTACTCTCATAATTTTTGCACACCGATCACACGGTGTTTGTTTTTCCAACATGTTACCTGCTGTGTTTTTTTGCAAGGACTATCGAGTGCATGTGAAAATGAATAAATAAACAATATTTTGAATAGGACGCCTCACGAGCACTACAATAAAATATGGCTTTAAACAGAGGCTACAAGGAATGGATATTAAAAGTGATTCTTTTCTGCGTAGTTCTATTCTCTTTAAAAACATTGATCAACTGGCCATTGTCATTGGAGTTTAGAACTCCCTTTAAAACAAGAAGTGGACGACTGTCACATTTAATTGCAGAAGATGGCACAAATGATAAAACAGTTAACACTTGGTCTGGGACAAAGACCCTGAGTGACGAGGTTAACAAGAACCAAAGTACATCGACAAGTGAAAAACCAAATAAAATAATTTCTGTGCAAAACAGTTCAAAAATTGAGGCGAAAAATATTTATGGTTTAGACTGTCCTGGTAATCCTCATAAGCAAACACTTACGTACTTGTTTAACCACTGGATCGCTTTAGACAATTATTATAACTTATCTAGCTTTTTGTGTCACGGTTCTCTTATTGGTTCGTTAAGGGATGGAGACTTAATACCTTATGATCGAGATATTGATGTCTGCATAACGTGGACAAATTATCAAAAACTACACGTGATTCGTTCAGGAAAACCTTTTAATTATCATTCCAGTGGAATATTCCTTGCAGTGCAAGAGGACTTCTCGAACAATGATGTACGTGGTAGGACTCGGGTAGATTGTAAGGGACGTATAGTACAGCGAGCACGCGATCCCTGCTCTTTCACGTTTCCAGGAGCACGTTTGATATCTCGTGAGATTTACATTGATATTTTCGTTTTTCGCGAGCACGGAAAACATTTAAGGGATCACGAATACAAAAAGAAATTTCTGAAGAAAGATATATTCCCATTACAAGATTGTATGTTTATGAACGTCCAAGCAAAATGTCCGCGCAATGAAAAACCATTGTTACTAGGCTATTACAAGTCTGACGTTCTTACAAAGCCACATTATAAATGTAAAAACAAAACCTGGGTGGCAACTAGTAAAGACGCAAAGAAACAATGGAAAATATGGTATAATAAGAGGCTAGAAAAACTTATGAACTCTCAAAAACAGTTAGTAACAACATGATTAAGAAATCAGGAGGGGAATGAGTAATTATACCATGCAAAAGCTAGAGTTTAATATGTTTACCCTTGTTCTAGGAGGTGTAAGATCGATGATATACTCATAACAAATTCATATTGTGTAACCAGTTTGATCCTTATTTATGCCTCCAAGAGTTAGAGTCAATTATTATTCCAACCTCGTACGAGTTTGAGTTTATTAACCACAACTGACTCGGCACTGACTTGTCTTGTTGTTAATATTTTATCTATATAGATCTATGGTTATCACAGACTCAACTAGAGTGGGCTGTGGCCCACGGACATCCGCCGTTCTTCGGTTAACCCGTCACTTGCAGTCTGCACCCTGCTTGACTTGAAGCGTTGAAACAGTCAAGCAGAGTACATAAATGATAAATGAGAGCAATGCTATGTACGGTGCCAACAGGACGCTTATTCTTATACATAAGCGCGCTGGTGCCACACGTGCAGTAGGCCTTGATGCACTCTCTGGGTGTTACCCACCAGCCTAGCGGCTCCAGGTACCTCAAGTCCTCACCCTCCAGGGCCCGGTTGTATCAAGCCCGTCTATCGTTTTATTCAACAAGCAAACTAAATGTTTTTAACCTTAAAAGCAACGATACTGTTTACAACTACATATTCAGTGCATAATATTCAAGTTAACTCATTCAAGAGAGATGTAAGGGTGTTATTTACTTTTGACTTAAATTCCGTATCTCACTATCTGTTGCACTCAGTGGTCCCATCGGTTCCCGCCAATGGAGACTGGGACAAACCTGAACCACTAGGCATTAGCAACTGGCAAGATGGCGGATAAACCAGTGTGCAAATATGGAAAGAAATGTTATAGAAAGAATGCTGCTCACCTCGAAAAGTTTTCGCACAATGACAGGGAAAATATTCAGGTGAGTATATACCGCTTGAAGCGATCAAATCTGGTGTGAAGCCAGTATGGAAGACTGGAAGCAGACTGTACACACTACACAGTACAGTAAACTGCTGTCACTGCCTGTCAGTAGTTGTAGTTTGCAGTGAATTGCGAAATATTATATTATATTATATCTGAGAATTATCTCCCGGCACTGGAAAGCTCCAGTAGAATACTCACGTTTACGGTTCATTTTCGTGCCTGAAAATGTATCGTGCAAAAAGCTTTTTCTCGAGTCTGCACAAATGTACTCTCTACTCAGAATAAAAGGTGTTTCCGCCCTCGCCCGCCCTTGTGACAAATCTTCCCTGTGCTCACCAAATTGACACCTGATGACACTTTTATGTATAGAACAAGCTTTGAAATTGAAATAATATAACTTCATTTTTATAAAATATTTCATGCTTTCAGGATGAAGGAAATACAAGCGCTTCACTTGAACCTCCTATCAAGAAACGTCGAAAAGATGAAAAACAACCAGAAACAACATCTAAGTGCAGTAAAGAGGAAGTATCAGACAAAATTTCACATGAAATAATAAAAGAGAAGTTTGGTATAAGCATGCCACAAGATTTTTATGATTTGTGGCTATTATGCAAGGAGCTCAATCCCCAGAAACCTCAAGGTATTATTAGTACAGTTATTATTAGTGTTACTTCTTACACCCTGAATAAACATGTAATTTACATATTCAAGAGTGCTTGTTAAGTATGTCTGTTTTTGTATTAACATGTTATCAGGAAACCCTACAACTAATCCTTTATTAATTATTATTATTTTTCCCTTTTAAATCTCCTTGCTTGCTCTCTCAATTAAACTGTCTACACAATCTTTCTTGATAATGGAAAGGAGGTAACAGTGAATAATACTAACTGATTGTTTCATTGCTCATTTCAGATGCTCTTAAAGATGTAAGTCTGGAATTGGTTGGTCCTTATGATATCCTATCTGGTAAAGAGTTTCAAACTACAGAGAATTCTTGCTCCCTCTGTCTTCACTATCGCTATTTTTGTGATCCTCCTGAGTTTGTCACAGTTTTGAAAGGTGATGATACTGTTGGGTTACATATTGGTTATTATCGGTGAGTAATCAGGAAAAATAGTTTTGCAGTTTCCAATCAACCTCAACTGTGAAGACAATGTGCACTGCTCAGTCCATCTGTGAGATCACAGTTGAGATTTATGTCATATCAATTTTTAACAATGAGCAGATTTTTTTAAAATTATTCGCCTTATATGCTTCACAAATTCTACTATTTGATCATAGTATTTGATGCACCCAATGTAATAATTTTTGTTCTGGCTAGGACAATAACTAGCTAGAACTGAGTCTTGCCAAAACAACATGCCAGACATATTCCTCTAAGGATCATTTAATTGTTTCATACAGAGAAGAGGCATCAAATCCACACCTAAAGGGTTTGGCTATTCTATGCTGACAAACACCAACACCTTTAAAATACAACCCTAACTTGCAACAGTGCAACTATCCCGTGTATCCTGTGCCTGCGGGATTTTGTTATTTCACCGCTTACATATAAATATCATGTATTATAACAACCTGACCTATTTCTATCGAATGTATCGTAGCGGTTAATCTGAATCCAGATTATCTGCGTTTGACGTCTTATTCTCCGTCGTTTTTGTCATGCCTTTTTTCGCGACGAGTTTTTCTTGAAATTGTGCAGGTTTTGTGACAAACGGAGTTTTGCATGGTGCTCTCGGACTCGGAAATCGTCGACTAAGTCTCGTGTATTCTTGTCGTCCTGACGTCTGCGATGTCCTTGTGAGTGATGATATTTTGTTGCGAGGTGTTGCGTTGGATGGTCGTGTAACAATCTCTAGTTTTCTCATCTTGCTTTTTTGTAAGATCTTTAAATGAAATTAAGCGGTAATTTCGAACTTTCGGTCCTTATTATGATACAAAAGATTTAGGCTCGTAATAACACGCTTTGACTAATAATGGAGAGAACAAACTCGTATTTTTATCAGCACTTAAACCAAAGATAGACGGTAATGATATTTCATGTTAAAAAAATAGAGCAAAAAAAATTCGAATAGACAAGACACAAGTTAAATTTCGAATAGACACAGGTTAAGAGTTCTATGTTACTCTTTGTTTGTAAAAAGGCTCAGAGCGTGAAATAGATCGGCTAGTTATACCTTGGAGGTTTTGCGATTCACCCGTTTTTCATCTTTACTGCATTTTGTCGTAGACAATTTTTCACATAGCATTTGTATTTTATCATCGATCCCTGGACCTTCCTCTATATATTTATCCCTGCATGTTCGCGATTTCTTTTCCTTTCTTTTCTCAGCGTGCACACGACATCGCGCCACCTTAACACGCCATTTCAACAAAAAATATGAAACCATATAATACAAACCATTGATAATAAACTTCTTCATTTATGCGATTCCCCCTTTTTTTTCACGAGTTTTAAAGTTTAGCGAAGGGAAACGAATATGCCGCCCAATAATTTAAATTTTTGGTTGGACGAACATCCATAAAATTAACATCGTATACCGTAGCCCCGATAAGCAATTTAATTCTCATTCACTATTTTCTAAACTCCAAAAATATTGGGCATCGTTCAAGATAGGCATATTGAATGTAAAGGTACAACGTATCGTTTGGTTGGGAGAGATTTGGCCTAAGAGTCTTACCTCAGGTTTGAGGAATTGGAGAAAGAGGGTCATTGCAGCTTTTAGTGAACGGCGATTTGGATAAAAATTTGTGTCGTCCGAACTACAATTTGTGTCGACGTCGACTATTTTAAGTAATTTTTATACGTATTGCAGATGTTACCTTGAATGAACAAGTTTCAAAGCTTGGGAAATGGACGTTATAGTAATTCTCTTCTCTTCCCTGTTCGCATGAATTATTATTTTCTGATTCTCTCTTGATCAGCTCAGGATTAGTCGCAGGCACCTCTCTAGCATCTCTGTCTTTTCTCCTAGAGCGCAACGCATTATGGGTTACCCATTGCTGTCGCGTCGACATCGTTCTTGTGTTGGCACAGCGGCGATTATTCTCATGATAGTGCTCTTGTAGTCTTGCCATTGTTACGCATTCTGTATATTCGTCAATGTACCTCGAAAAATCTTTAAAATGATGAAACTTATAGTTTTCCTCGAATGAATTCTTAGAAATCCTCGAATTGAAAGTGAAAACAGATGGTTTCCGAGAGTTTTCGTTCAACTTCGAATCACTGTAAGGTCGTACGGAACCCTCAAGTTTTCCTTTTTTCTTAGAACCTATGCTAGCTTCTAGAGTCGACACCGAACGTCGTTGAATTTGATTTTTCAATTTGGAGTTTTCTGATATTTCCAATTTTTCAGAAAGCATTGCGCAGGTTTTGTGTGGGTCTCGTAACGTAGTGCACACTTGCCATTGGGACATTTCTAGGAACTCAAAGACGGTTGGCCTCGATTCATGGAGTCTGAGCTGGTTATAAACGCTTGAAAAACCATCCGGTGTTTTAGTTTTGGTTTCTTCTTTGATCCCATAAAGAATGTTCGTGTAACCTAATCTGCCATAACGATCGTAGCATTTGTCCTCGTGCCCTAACTCATCTGAGGCATTGCGAGAATATATTTCTTTGCAAGAACATGGTAGGCTGGTCATGCCTGGGTTAGCACGAAAAAACATCGTCTAGTTTCAAGACTTTTACCATGGAACAAAGTTAGAAATAATTCTAACGCTGGCAATTAGTCTAAATTGACGTTCTAATTGGTGTTCATTTTTTAATTATTACGTCATTGATGTGGATGCTAACGCTTTTATTCAGATCGTGAGGACCTGCCAAAGTGATGCACTTTTCGAGTAAGGGACTGCACATCAGTCGAGTAACTATAATCGCAAGTCAATTATTGCTATAAACGCGTGGAAATAAACCTTTGAGTATGTTATAGGAATCAGCCACCTGAAGCTCGTCTCTCACCTGCGCCAAATAAATTCGCGCGAATAACAATTGGTTCGCGAAATGCACAAGTTTGTTTTTTTTTGCAAATTTTATATTCTTACAACGGTAGGATGAATATACCTGTGGTATGAAAGTAAGGTGGTATTTTGGCAATTCTTTGCCTCCCATATCTTTATTCCATATATTTCAGACATATATAATTATATATGTTGGTTTTTTAAAAAATATTTCTCCACTTATAAAGTGATAATCCAGACGACAAACCAGTGTTAGTGGCTTCTAATGAATCAAAGACAAACTGTGAGTTCAGAGTACTTGGTGATAACATATTTGCAGGAATAAGGTAAGATAGAGGTATTTGTACAGTGATTTACTAGCGAGATCGTAGCATTCCCATATTCTGCTGACAAATATGAATTTTTATCATTGGGAAGTTTTGAGTACCAAAATGCTCTTTAGGTTCCATATATGGAACGTATATGTTTCCCTACAATTATGGAATCTATTTAAAGTTTATGTTTTGTTCAATATTTATAGCAATAGTTTAAAACATACAACCAAGAACAAAGGCACGACAGAGTCAAGAATGCTGAAAGAAAAGATTGAAAAAAATGCAAGAGAAAGAAAATTAAATTTAGAGCCGAACCCTCCATCAATTAAGGCTAGAAATAAAAAAGTTGTTGCGAAAACATTTCACAAAATGGGCATTGTTGTTCCATTGGATGAAAATGGCGTTGGTTATCGAGATCTTCAAATTTCAAATGGTGAGAAATTTAAGATAATCACATGCACTGGTGTTCTTTATTTTGACTTTAATGCACGGGTATTCTTTGTTAGGGTATCGTTTAGGAAAGTGACATTGTGTACATTAAAAATTCGCAAACACTCAAGTTTCTCACGTAGTACAAGTTAAACAAACGTTTAAGGCCAGGAAAACTGCATCTTAAAAGCGGTTTACCACTGCACCTTTAATAGCTTGTATATTTAAGTAATTTGAGATCTGAGTTCTAAAGGCTTTCTCGTCCCCGGTCCACCCATCGCAAAAACCAACTCACAAGCTCGAGCGAGTTATTTCGCCCAATCACAATGCTTGACAGTTTATTTTTCAGATGCAAACACTCGCAGCGAGCTTGTCGCTAGTGCAAAACCTGCTTAATCTATATACAATGTCAAGGGAGCGCAGACATGCAAAACAAGAACACAAAAATTTTTGTTTCATTCAGGGGAACTTAAAAGAATGTTGGCAGACATTGTGAACGACAACCAACGAGAAGCTTTTCTCGACGAGTTGCAAGATATTATAACCCGTGTTCAGTTTGCCAATGATGAATGTGACTATGGTATGGGTCTTGAATTAGGCCTGGATTTGTTTTCATTTGGACATGAAATGTTCAACAGAAAGGCTACATTGTTACTCACATTAGCATACGAATTACTGGGTAGAAGCGCATTTGGAAAAGTAGTCGAGCGTCATCTGGAGCAACGCGATAAGAACTCTCTGTACATTAATCTTTTGCACTAAGCTTAACTCGCTATCTTTTTATGACGGCGAAATCGGGACTTTTTGTTAATAGAACCATGTCAAGGTTTTTGTTTTTCCATGTAAATGTTTTAAAAAAATTGAAGTCAATGAGAAATTTTGTTGCCAATACCAAAGGTCCAAGTGTCTATGGGATCATTGGGGTGTACCGCAAGCCACGCACGATGGTTTTAGTAACGATTTCAGTATACTCTTTACCCAAGACATTATGAACGGTAAAACCTTCCTTCTGTGTAAAGCCGAAGAGATTTAAAACAACTATGTTGATAATCAGCGAGGTTTAAATTTCACTTTCATGGCCGGCCGCTACCTACAGGCCAGTCCAAGGGCGTGGCGAACAAGCTGAGATTGGGGGGTGTCATTTGATATTGACCAACCTTTCCATCCCCGCATATAAGAACCACGTTGTTACTTTTTAGTGATCTCCGATAGCTTAATCTATATTTATGCATCAACTATATGTATTTATTATTTATTGTTGTCACGAGACCGGGCGTTTGGCTCCCCTGTCTTATCTCCTACCTTGCTCTTCTTCCTAGCCAACACTTTTTGCGCGTTTGAAACCACCCACCCTTCCCGTTATACTGCCCCCTTTGTTGGTTTAACTAGTTCTTATCCCATCGCGGGGGTTTTTTCCTCTTCTTTTGTTCTAGTCTTGCTCGACAATTACACGGATCCGGGTAGGTGAATTCTCTTTGGGTTCGGTAAGTTTATTCTAGTCTTGGTATTACTTGCTTTGGCCGTGTTTACTTCTTATGTGTGTTTATTGTGCGTGTATATTTTTTTCCACTCCACGGTGAACACGGATTCACCACAGCGAATCGCGTGTGACTGCGTGATCACAGGATGGAGAGGGTACCGTCTAAGTCTAGCTGTTCCTGATAAAATTGTCAGTCTTAAAGAACGTTCGCATTCCCTGACCTAACACGATCGCATCGCCTAGCTCGATCGCATCGCCGTGTTACCCTCACCATCCCTACCCTCTCTCCTCCGCAGAGGCTTTCGTCCTTTCGATTTATTGCGCTAGACAGTGGCGCGAAGGTAAACCGCTAGCTTTGAGATTCGCGGTCGACGAAAAAGCAGGGGGGGGGAAAGTGAATAAATCGAAAGGACGAAAGCCTCTGCGGAGGAGAGAGATCCCTACCGATCGGCTTAGACCAAGTCTAGTATTGCGCGCGAGTGAACCTCTGCTGGGGAACTATCGTTGAGATCATTGCTCTTGAGATTCCTGAAAATATCATTCTAGCAGTGTAAATCAAGCTTTTCTTAACATGCAACTTTTAGAATATTTATATACACAAACTATTCTAAAATATAAATTTAATCTATTTCTTTACAAATATATAATTTGTTGAAAAAGCATGCCCATTACAAGCTATTTACAGCACTGAAAATAAAATATATTAATCTGAAATAGAGAAATTTATTAGGTCACAATACATGGCACATTACATTAAGATTTTGGCAATTGTGAAAAGGAAACAACTTAACTACATCAATGAACTAAATGTAAAAAACCCAAAAAGATAAAACTAATCCCCCCAATAGAGTTCAAAACTATTTGCATTTTTGTTTTGCTGTACAAGGTTGAAGTGTGTATTGAAAATCCATTGCAGTTGACTTCAGTTTTTCTTGTATTCAGTTAACTATCAGAATTGACAAGGTTGGCAAGCATCTGTTTGTGACAGTGGTTGCACACCAAAATTTATTTTGGAGATGGTTGAATCACTTGCTCCCGTCAATTAGTCAGGCTTCAGTATTTGTGCCTTTGGTAAGAACTCAACCAAAAGCACCTAAAATATAGAAAATAATCTGTGAACAATGCCTGCAATGTTTACAGTACTATGGAAGAATGGCAAAGTGTCAAAGACACTATATATCATCTGTAAACTTTCTACTTACATATTCCATCATACTACTTGATGCACACTTTTGTTTCTTCAAACACCAATGAAGACCAAGCTATCATAAATAACCATTTTAGAAACATCTTCAGTCAAATAAATGCAAGGTCAAGTTGCAACTGTTCAAAAATTATACTACTTGTTTTTACAGATTTTTGTACCATGTGTAACTGTAACTTTGTACCATAACTTACTTTATGGTAAAAATTGACATTCTCGGAATCTAAAACTTTGTTAATTGTATGACGGGTCTAAAGAATTTAAATTTAAATTAGAACATGGTCTGAGACAAGATTGTAAATCAGTGGTGTAACTACTAAGAGCTCAGACTAGGCAAACCTAAGCCATGCTCCTCATCCCCAGCCTGAATTATAATATAAATATCAATTAATTACCCTTTTATTGAGACAAACAACAGGCCATAGAGACATGCCTAATGTGCAACAACAACATATACATCCACATAGCCACCACCTAATATTGACAGTCATTGTTTTTCTGAGGACTTTGTTAACTTGATTTATTGTCATCTCAAACTCTTCACTAGCAAGCTGAAAATTTGGCAATAAAGAATATATCTTATATATAACTCCCTTTCCATAAATGTACGGGGCTGGTTGTACTATGAAAGCTGGATAGTGATTTTTTCGACCATTCTGAAAATACTTGAAAAGCGATAAAATTTCATCTTTGCCTTGGAACCAACAATTATTAAAGAGGATCCTCGATTTAGAAATACTAAGATTAAATCAAAGTTATACCAAACAATAGGCAACTTTAAAACGACTGAAAAAAAAGCCCCTGGTTGCTATGACATATATGACATGATATGGCTATTTTTGAAATTAGGCATCAAACATTTTCATGTTTTTTAACCCATTAATTGACACTGACAGATAAATTGTAGAAAAATCATATAAGACAACAATGAACATTAAATGTTATTCATGTCTATTTTGGGATTCCTATTTGGATAAGGAGCCACACTATAGTTAAATTGCCATACAAAGCATAAAACTGTTATTTTGTTGAGTCAAAACTATTGTTGTTCAATAACTTAGGATTTCAACTATGGGTTTTATTTTAACATATCTGGGATAATATAGCCCATGTTCAACATTTCCATTTATTATATTAAAACGTGGCGCCTAAAAGCAGGTGTAGAGTTTGTACCAACCTTAGCATGTAACCCTGATGGGAACTCCGTATCGTATTTACAGTTCAAGCCGAAACTAGATTACAAAAACAAAATACGAATGTTGCAAGTAAAAATGGGTGATGAAAAGTCTGGCTATTGTCTGTACTCTGTATATTTTCCCACTCTATATGTAACAAATCTCTCTATTAAATATGTCAGAGGCAGTAAAATAACTTACATTGTCATATGCCCTACGCCTCGAATAACTATTGCTTGTTGTACCGTTGGAGAATATTCGAGCGATACTTGAGTGTTTTCAGCGTCATCCTCAGAGCTGTTATCGTGAAAAATTGTATCAAAATTCGCCATCTTTCATGCTTTGACCTGTGTCATTCATGGTCTGCTTCTGGGCTGAGTGGGTCACCGTACTCCTCGAATAAACGCCTCACTCGAATACATAAACGCCGCACTTTTTTCTCGATCAGTAGTTGTTGTTCACCGAATCACCGGAAACTTGATTTACATTGGAGATCATAGGACAATGTTTTTTTGGAGAGTGTTATTGCTCATTTATTTTAGTTATTTCACATGGACATGCGATCTACGTTCTGTGTCAGGAAGTAAATTTTTTTAAAATGAGTATATACATGTCTCTTGACTAAAGTCAATCAAAATAAAAAAAACTTCATTTACTTACGTTTCGGGGCAAGTTCTTCAGAATCTGAGTATATACCACACTTTAATATTTCCCCCCTCTCCCCCCCCCCCCCGCTTTGATTTGTTTTATAATCAGGCTTAGTGTTCATTGTGAAAATTCACATCGGGTGAAGCGATTTGTTACGAAGTGGCTACAGGTTTTCAGAGAATAGTAATGCTAATAAATAGTAATTTAACAGTAATGCAGCTACTCAAACAGCTGAAAAGACCAAGTTAAAGAACTGATTCAGACTTCAAAAAGTATCTTGTAAAGCATACTACACGGATAGCCGAAAAAAACTCATATTGTGCTTTTATTCATCAAAACCGTTCTACAATATATTTATAAATCTAAAGTATATAGATTAACTTTTTTTATAAGCGACAGTCTTTGGTTTTCAAGATTTATTCTTGTCAGCTATTTACCGCAAAGAAGCAAAGATATTTCGTTCTGGCTTCAGACTGGCTTCTGCTGTTTATCAATTCCAAACGAAGAATGCCATGAATAAGAATACGTTCATAGACATAGTGGAAAATAATATATGAAACATTTAAATGTATATGAGAAATACTACGACAGCTAATTTATGCTATACGGTATGCAAATTCTTTTGACTGATCTTGGGTAACTGGAAGTCTTGCTTTATGTGTAAGTACAAAAAATACTGGAACTAACGATGTTGTCATGATGGGAATAAAGGCTGAAACTATACCGGGGATACTTGGACTTTGGGGCGATGGGAAAAAGCTGTCAACCACGTAAGAACACCAGGACAAGAGAAATATTCCGATCGCCGCTTGAAGATGGCCGTGAATTTGACTTTCATCCTTGCATATTTGATCTTCAATTTCCGACGTCGATTCATCGCTGATTTCCGAATTAGCTTTAATCTCGTCCGTTTTCTCCCTTTCTCCACTGATGCTGTTTAGCATTGAGAATGTAAGGGTGGCGATTGGAATAAGGAAAAGAAAAGACACGATCATGGATATGGGAAAATCAGATGAAGTGAACTCCACTTGGCAAAACGCTTTACGGCTGATAAATGCGTATTTACTCCACAACAGGGTAAGTGAGTAAGATAATGTGGTTTGGGCAACGACATAACCAAGTAAAGCCACTTTGTATGGTGCTGGGGAGTAACTGTTTGGTCCCTGTGATGAGTACTGTCCAAATTTACCTGATTCGACATGGCTGTTCTCTTTGGTCACAATGTAGCGATCTGTCGCAATAGATACAAGCGTGGAAACAGACACAATTATGTAAACGACATTTGTGAGGCCATATGATCGACACCATTCTGTTTCGAAGTACCATTTTGAAGATAACGCGACAGACAGCAAGAATGGAAGATCTTTGATGGAGACTAAGATATCCACCAGAGCGATATTGGCAACAATAAGAGCTGTACACGATGATCTGAGACTTCTTTTGCTATAGATTCTATAGCATACCCATATATTAACCAGCATTGTCAGGAGACAAAGAAAGGCAATACATGAAGCAGTCATTGATTGAGATACAATTTCTATTTTTGTTGTATGAACATTGTCCTGTGACGAATCTTTAGCTGTCCCTAGCGTTTGATAGAAATGCCAAAACATTTCGATGCTGCGCACGAGAGGTCAAGCTCAGCCCTGGAGTTTAATATGACCAGCTGACGATGTTGTTAAACAGTGATCCTCACTGTAGTCACAAATATTAAAGCCGTTAAAAACTGTACAACTTCAATAAAAATATTTGAAAACTTGTCTTTCCTTGTCACTTTGTAGATAAGAACTGTGAATTTAGTTAAAGAATAGCTTTTTATTTGTTGACTTAGGAACAATGTAGTACCTAACAGAAACAATTTTTGTGGCAATAATACCTACAAGTAATCGACTGGTGTTCTTTTATCCAACCACAAATCAGTTACAATATTTAGATAAATTATTCATATAACATGTTTCATTCACATGTTCATGTTTTCGTTACGTATTTTATCGTATTCTCAATAGAAATACATTCTATTAAAAGACAGCGCATGTTCAGAAGTTAAGTCCATGTATTTGTTTAATGTTTTCTTCCCGGCTGATGTCTTTGGAAAGCGATTGTTTCAGATATGGCTAGTACTGCATGAACTTGAATAATTAAATGTAAACTGACAACCTTGAGATATTATTTTTTTTATAAAATAAGTATTCAGTATTGGCTGCCATTTATACTGCAACTAAGTTTGTATTAATTTGTGTGAGTTCACATGCACGAGTCCATATCAAATCATGAGTCCATATCAAATCAAATTACAAATGGTTCACGTTTCACTTGAAAATGCATGAATGTAATAATATAAAAATTATTGTGTTGAATGAAGTTGGTCTGTTACCAATTACCATTGTCTGTTTCGGATGTCTGGTTAATGGTTATATGAAGTAGTTGTTAGCACTTAGCAGTTTCTGCATGCAGGCTCGTTCTAAGGACAAAATGGCCGCGGATTACAGTCTCATTGTAAGTGCTGTGAATTATTTTTTAAATTAATTTTAAATTACGTCCCAATGTTGGAATAACTTTTTCGAGATTCGTTTTTTATATATAAAGGATTAATATGTCATTACTAATAATTCATTCAGTGCGAAAATGCGAGAAATTATGCCTGTTGAGTTTCACTAGTTTTTTCACTTAATAATTTTGCATTGTCATTTGGATTTGGCATTGTCTTTATAATACCCATCGTGTGATATTTAATCTTTGCCATCGTGCTTCTTTCAAGAAATATAAACTTGGGTCAGGAATGTAAACATTTATTATAATATATATAATATTAGTATAAAAAGCGCAGGTTTAAATATGTCTTTATCAATACGTTTTGCATATTCGATTATGAAAAATATTCCTAGCGTAATATTTCAATCTTTTTATTAATTATGATAGTTAGAAACATATAAAAGTATTTTCATGTTTGCAGTTACATTGCACATCCATGGGGCTGGCTAAGGGGTGCACAAATACCAAATGCTTTAGGTCAGACACAATATACCCAAAGTCCCAAATGACCATATAGCCAATGGTACTGAAAACTTATTAAACTGTTCATTACACCACACTAGTAGCAAGTAAATGCAGAATTTAAGCTTGTCAAAAGTGTGTTAGGGACTGATGTAGTAAATATTGTTTAAGAAGACAGTATTTTTTAACTGTTAACATGAACTTCTTGTTAAGGAAAAGGAGCTTCCTTCTTTAATTCCAAAACAAAAGGATCGTGGTGCAGTGAAAGTACAAGAAGGACCCTATGGACCTGTACCAGATACTTTAAGACAGGGGTAAATGTGCTTGAAGGTCTACTTGAGGCTGAAAAGTATTTATCAAAATATTTTACTACACATATTTTGCAGAATAGATAGTTGATGTCAAAAAAACATGGTTATCATGTGACATTTTACTCATCACATTTGTCCTCCAGAGGATAGGGATGTGCTATGAAAACCATTTTTAACCATCAATTTAACAATCATTAATTGATGTATTTACAAGTAACATTAATGTTTCTTCATTTAGTTAAATTATTTGAAACCTGGTTGTGTGAAGGCCAGATAGCATCCAGGAGCCAGTTGTATAAAAGACTTGTTAACTTTTACCTGTAGTTAAGGATAGAATTGGCCAATCAGAGTTGTGTATTTCTGGGATTGTGTATTTCTAGGATTTAACTATGCAAAATGAGTTAAAGAGTTTTATACAACCAGCCCCAGCTTTGTAAAATGACCTTTGGTATTTGATTGCAAAGCAAAATATTCGGGCTTTGCATCCCAATAAGGTAATATGTAATTGTAAATTACCTCCAATGCAGATTATCCTGATTTTTCCAATTTGTTTTTTAGGTTTTCTAGTGTAAAGAATGATATATCGTACTCGCATCCTTTAGAGTCTTCTGTGAAAAATGTAAATATATTTAGTAATCAGTTTTAAAAAATGAATGTATGAAGTGGTTAGCCTGGTTGAAAAAATATTTGCGAAAGTAATGATTTGATCTTTGATAGTATTTTCAAGTGCAAGACAAAAGGAATATGACAATGTTACGTAGTATCCAAGGCCTCCATGCACCACTTAAGCTCCAGCTGGAACGATCATTGGCTTCACAGGTACTTATTGTTCTACCATATATACCAGTTTGGTTTGTATTAGTAATTTTGTTACACATGTACATGTTGCGTTGACTTGTATCACCTAAGTTTTTGCAAATCCGTATAGTTTCCATTACAAACAAGGCTACTTATTCTCCAGTGACTGATCATCAATGTTATTTGAGTTTACTTGCATATCTTCAAGTAAAAATAAAATTTTTTATCAGTAATGCAGGAGGAGAAATTCATTGACAATAAAGCTTTGACTAAATTAGCAATTAATATTGTCCGTTTAATATTTACAAATTAGAAGAAACGACTTCCATCTCTCCCAAGCTCAATGGTTGCTTTAGAAACACTTCTTGGATTTGACACAACCATTGATTTTGATGATTTTCTTAATGGTAAGCATTTTCCATTTTTTAATTTACAACCCTATATATATATATATATATATATATATATATATATATATATATATATATATATATATATATATATCCTCAGAGATTCTTCCACAACCAAATATTATATATATATATCCTAATAGAGACTCACACAACCAAGATATTTATCGTCATTGGAACTCACATGCAACCCAACATTTATCTTATACATGACATATATCGTAAAATGTATCGGGAAAAGAGACTCTTCTTCAAGCAACCCAAAATGTATTTTATCAGGATAAATAAGAAACCTTTTGTTACGAACATTTTTAGACCCAAGTGATTCAGAAATTGAAAGAGTTACACATTCTGTGATGGAGGACAAATAAGTGAATTGTGCAACTGCCAACTGTATGCTATCTATTTGCTGCATTATAGCCAATGTTCTTTCTCTCTTTAACAATAACTATTGAAAACTTTCTTTTCGTTTTTGTGTATAATGAAATTTTGTTCCCTCGACATGACATTTAATGTTAATCAGATTTTGAGAAAAACCTGCTTGTCCTTAAGTACCCCCTCCGAAGGCCTTTTTCGTTTTTTATTTGCTACTGCGCTTTTGGGATGGACATAGAATGATTTACGTTTTGACAAAAAACATTTGATTACATTCGAAACCGACAAGTTCTAAATACCTATAGTTTTTTTTCTCGTATTCATCCAAAAAGTTGACAAATTTCTTCTGATGATTACCCCTGTTCATGAGTCAACCGGTCAACTATGACTATACAACTTCTTCGTGGGTTTTGGCGTAAAGGAAAACTTGGCAATATGTCGCCGCGCACTTGACTTGCCTTCAGCTGTTATTTGTTTTACTCTTTGTGGTCGATTAGTTCTAAATTTACTTTTAAACACTTGAAAAATTAAAGTTCCGACGTTACGCAGTACATTAGAATCTGAATCCTCAATAAAGCACCTTTGATGGCGTTTATTAAACGAAATTGAAATGAAACGAAAACGTCCTCAAAGAGTTTATCATTTATCACTCTTCATAGATCCATGAATTGCGTATTACTTTAGTACAAAACTGGGTACGAAAAATATACCACGAAAAAACTTAATTAAAAATTTACTTCACACTGTATATGGTTAGACCAAATTAGAACGCATCGCTAGGATTTTCTGTTAAACAAAAGATGTGATTTCTGACTTGTGTCGCCATTTATCAGCTATGCAACACGAACATTTCCTTTTGAGTGAATGCCGTGAAGATTCGTTTCAAAGCAATAACATTGAGATTAGGCAACTTAGTTTGCGGTCGAAATTTAGGCTAAGCTCTCGAAATTAAAAGCAATAAATATAATTAGGCAAATAGGTTGGTTAATTAACTTTCGAAATTAGGCAAATTAAAATTTAGAATTTAACAGATATACTGTATATATATATGCTCAAGAGTAAGCTCTCAGAATAGTAGTCAAGTATAGTTAGCAAACCGATTGAAAGAATAGTTTATTAATGCTTTTTATGAAACGTAAGAAGCACCAAGTTCAGATGATTATTCAAGGGCGTCTTTCAAGAGTATTCAAGAACGTGCGAATGGACACCCTTTTCGAAAATAATCCTGTTTGACGTCATTTCATCATATCATGATTATATCACTGCACCTGTATTGATTTAGCTGATTTAGGAAATACAAGTGTTTCTTTTTCGAAAAAGCCATGCAGTACCGCAGCGTTAGTTCGGTATGGCGTCTTTTGTTGGTATTTGGCTTCACGATGACTGGAGAAATTATTTGCGATTTAATTAGCCTTCGCCATCATGACGAATATCCGCTATTTGTTAGCACTTTCAATTTTCTTATCGGGGTTTCAACAAATATCACAATATGAAAAGCATTTTGTTTTAGGTTTAACTAACCATTCAGACTTTGTTTGATGGACATGCATGCAGCGTGTTTCTCAAGAGTGAAGCATATTGTTACTATTGCATTGAGCTCAGCTCATGCCAAGAACGGCGTCGCCCTTAAACCCTGATTCTACCGGCGACATTTTAAAGCCAATTGCGAAATATTTCGCCTGCTTCTTTTGAATTGTCAGCAGTCAAGCAGAATTCATTTCTTCAGGTCTTAACACGGTCTTTCTCACTGATTAGAGAAACGCAGAAAATTAATTAGACATTTGTTGCCTGTTGGATAAAAATCAACTTCCGGCCTCCTGTGTTTTCCAAGACCAAGAGAGCCCTAAAGACGAGTCACTCACTATTGATCAATAATCGACGAGAGCCCTTTATTGTTGGAGGAGAAATATTGGAATCTAAGTTGCCGTAAGGCGAGGTTCCGCAATGAATTATGTTTCCTACTTTCAAAGCGAAAATGAGAAGAATTGCTTCATTCGAGTCTTTGCATTCCAAAACACGTCCGAGAACTTAACTAAAATATTTTAGAAATGAATGAAAAGCACTTCCTTGCATGTGGTCTGCCTGATAGCAAAAACATTTTAGCTGCCAGAAAATTCAAAAAAGGTGTACTGACTGTGGTGTGCTACAAAACTGTGGATTGTAAAGCATTCAGTAGATACTTTCACTAGGCTTCTCTCGAATAATAAAAGTAAAATCCACTGGAATGATCACACCACTGTTAACGTGCACCACCCTATGCATGCGTCAAATAAGTTACGAGGTTCAAGTAGCCGCAAATAGTTTCAAACTGTCTTGGTGATCTCAAAGATAATTAACTGCATGAACATGTTAAATGCGCTGTGAATAGTCAATATCGACTGTTTTCTACTTGCTTACTTTTGAGAACAAGAATTCGCTTTGAGGCTGAGATTGCATGATCGTGATTTACCATAATTGGGTAAATCTTTGGAAAAACAAATGGTGTTCTAATCGTATATACCGTGAGGTCAATGAAGATTAAAAAAAATACAAGATTTATTTAATCTTATTTCGTTATTACTCCTGCATGGCATTTTGTTATGCCCAATATGTCAACTCATCATTCCTGACCGTTGCACTATCGTCATAATCACTTCGCAAATATTGCCTCACTCTGGTTCATTCCTTCTGTAAGTCTTTCAAATTCCCACGGGTTTTCATGCTTCCAATTCCTGGGCGTGATAACAATTCATTAGGAAAACATCACCTTCCCACAATTCATCGTATCCCAGTGGGTATATTTACTGCTCAGCTTGACATGCTGGTTTCAGTTTACAACTTATAACAAGTCACAGCACAACTAAGAGACAACAGCAACGAAAGAGATAAAATTTAACCATGGATTCCGCACTTCAAGTCTTGTGCATGGTTTTGATATTGGCTTCTTGTTGTGGAGGTATGAATGGATCTTTTAATGTGTTCATGCAAGTCCTGTTACAACAAATATATTGCGCGTAAGATGAATATGTGAAATATAATCACGTCTATCGCGTACTTGTCTGTTCTCTAATCATTGTTCTTGAATAGGTGGGCTTTGTCTGAGCACTGCAAACATTTCGAAGACAAAGATCAATGTACTGGTTTTGCGCCGTTTTTGTCGCGCGCTTCACGTCCTGTTTGCGACATAAATAATTTATTAGTTTGCATAATTTTTACTTACATATTAAATTCTAAAGGAAACCATGACATATTATACTCTAACCTTCAGTAGGAGGCTAGGATAGGTGGCTAATAACTATCCCAAAAATATATTTAGGGAGAGATACATATTTACGCAATACGATTATATCAGTTTCCGGTTACGAAGTTCACAGGGTGTTACGATACAAACTGAAAGTATCTTACGTAAACCACAAATAGTTAAAATTTGTAAAACAGTTTTAAGATCGTATCGACAAGAAAACGTTTTCAAATAACCGTCTCTTAACAGCTTATCTCTGGCATGTACCACGAGATGTCATAAAATTTCCGCAACCCACCAGCTGTCGTCGCCTTAGACCGTAGATGGCTATAATTATTGCTTTTTCGCAGATCTTGCGTCTACTAAAGTTCCCATAATGTCTCATCTCACTTTGTGTTCATTACCTGTGAACACAAAGATAAGGGCTGTTTTTTTGTGATAGTTACGATCTCAGAAGGAATTTGAGCTCCGTCTGTGGGCTTATCTTTACATTGTTTACAGGATCTTGGATTGTTTCCACCTCCGTACAGCGTGGTATAATATATTATACGATTATATTTACCATATGGGCAACCCGCTTGCGGCTAGGATGCGTTGGTTTGATTTTTCCTATCTCTACTCTCGACATTCTGGTTCCCTCTAAATTCTTTAAAATAAGATAATTAGTTTTGGTGGAATAACTGTTAAAATAATGCCGCAGTGTGAGTGGAAGTCAGCCGTAATTAGCATTCCCTGCGTAGGAATTGTATCCTGCTCCGGCTGTGCATAAACTGACAAGATTGATGCACTCTGCCATCTGGATACAATGTTTTGAAGAGTGTTTATATTTTTTTGGCGAAGGTAGATTGATTGCAATCTAAACAAATTTACTCCCTTTAATTCTAAAGTTTACATTGTTTTTGAAAATATTTTCTTTTTGCGTCTGCTATTGCGGTGGTGCGTTGAAAACGTGGTTTTAATTTGTGATAATTTGGCAAATTTGCTTCACTTTCTAAATTTAATTTGATTTTTAGGTAATAGACACACGAGAAAACAAAGATATTTGTTCGTATCGTACGGACATTCAGTTCAAATCAACTGTTCTTTGAGAAAATCTGAGGTCAATGTGACGTTGTTTGTGAAACGATTTAGCACACCATACACCAAAGTTGCTATTGACAACGTGAAATGGAGACAAAGTGGAGGCCTCTTCACCATGTCAGCGACACGACCATTGGACGGTGGCGAATATATGTGTAAAGCAATAAATGGAACTGGGCATGAGAGAATTACCAAAGAAATAACAATCATCCCGATTGTTGCACCCACGAACGGTAAGGGCAAGGCGATGAATTTCAGTGTGAAGTGGGTTAAACGTAGGTGGTTTTTTAGTGTTAAGATTTTCCCGGCCGGAGAGCGTGCATTGTCTATGAAGAACGTTTAGGCACCCCGTAGACTTTTAGAACAATTGTAGGACTTTAACTTTGGTATGTGGGAGTTTCATATGCATAGTTTCGGGATGTTATAAGTGGGATCATGAGGATCTGTAGTCTATAGCCCAAGGCATTCTCTTATTTAACATCATGCATACAAATGATACGATATTATTATTGCTACCATATTTAGATGTTATTTTACCGTCTTTTATTTTATCCATTTAACATATCGGAAAACCATGATAATTTGAGTCACGAAACATGTTTTAGTTTATGGAGCTGTGGCAGCTCTCTATATATGCGATTAGATGGTAAAAAATGTATGAATAAAGAAAAGACGTATGTAGCGTTTCCTCGGTTAGAATATCAAGTCCACTGGACCGATCTGTCAGCAATTTGAGAGTGTTTTTATAAAGAATAAATGTTCATATGGCTATTGTTTTTTTTTTCGTGAACATTTTTGTCAAATATGGGCAGTATCGGTTCTTCTCAATCGGATTAACGAATATCGTATTGTCTCGTATGACGACCCAATTTGTAATTTTTTGGGGGAAATTTGCAGTTTCAATAACACATGAAAATGGTTTATTTAGTAAAATGCCTTGATATTAATATTTAAAGCTGCATTTTACAGATAAATTCAAGGTAGAGGTGAAGCCACCAAGCCTGTCGTTACAATATGAAGATTTTGCGAACATAAGTTGCAGTGCATTGGGAAAGAGGAAACTCAGATGGTACAAACTTGGTCCTGGTAACCAGGTAACTCCAGTGGGTGGAGACCAACTGATTAATGACGATCACTATGATACGGATGGTGGATCCCGGATATACCATAGCAGGCTTATTTTGTCAATCAAAGACGCTACCAACAAGAATGCCGGAAAATACAAATGTGTTGCAAGGTCAAACAATCAAAGGCTTGAGGAATTTGTGGTGGTCAGCGTAAGAGGTAAGTTAAGATTCCAGAATATTGCCTTTATCTATTTATTTTTGTTTTCATCGCATTTATCATCAACCCCGGATGTACCAAAGGATTGAACACGAGTTGTGTCTGCATGCACCTGTGCCTTGGCTTGGCTCGGCTCAGACGAAGGCAGATTAAAATCGAGAAGTGGATGGAATGTAATATAATTCGAACAATCTGCACAATCTATCCGTGCACACATAACTACTTTTTGCTTTAAAAAATTCTCAACCTACACACCTAACATCATGTTTTTTTTAAAAATAGAAGCATTGATAGTGTCAGTTGCTATAACACTCACATGCGACGATTTAGGTAAATTCAGTATAAAATGCATAAAAATAACTGGTTACCTAATGGTTTCATTTTTTTGTAGCCCCCAAAAAACCAAGTATCCGTAATTTTCCACAAACGGTAATAGCGAGTGAAGGCATTTCCATCACGCTAAAGTGCAAAACTAAAGGAAGTCCACGACCTAAAATCACGTGGTACAAAGACGACGAGCTACTTGGTATTTGTGAAGGTGGGAATTCACGCAAATGTCGATCGTTCACAAGAATGAACACTGAATTTAAGAAGAATTCTATAACTCTGCATCAATTATCAAGCAGGAGAAATAGTGGGAAATACACTTGTGAGGTTGAGAATTTTATGGGAAAATTTAGTTCGTCAGCAAGGATGATTGTGTTCAGTAAGTATGCGTGGCATCTTCATTCACACGTCTTTATGATATTTTGGAGCTTGTTAATAAAAACTAGAAATTCCTTTTGTAAGCGAAGTGCTGATTCTAGTAATAACGCTTCTTATTTCGTTGCAGGCAAACCTGTTTTAGCCAAGCGTTCTGACACAAACTTCTACAAAGTCGTACCCATCCAATACACCCGAAGTCCACCAGCCGTACTGCGATGTCCTTTAACCGGGGGGCATCCACAGCCGAAAATAACCTGGGAATTCCAATCTTCCAACTGTTTGAAGAATACATTTGCATGCAGACCAAGTGGGGACTGGAAAAGATTTGATAATGGCGGAGAAAGAGAGAATGAATTTATCGTTGCGCCGCCATTTGGGCCTGGGTTCTATCGATGTTTAGCAACAAACATTTTGGGTAACGACTATCAAATATTTGCCGTACGAAAGTTGTCTAATGGGTCTTCCAGGCGCAGGTTTCGATAGATTTGTTTACCAGGGCTGCGTCACAAGAGCATTATATATATATTAAGTTACATAATTTTGCCATATACATTCATCATATAAAGTATATATCGCACTATCATTGACCACTCAGTTTAAAGTCAGCTACAATAATATAATGGTGGAATAAAGACTGAATGTTGGTGTGATAAATAGCAAATACGGCACTGTTTGCCTAATATAGAGGCGATATACAGCTGATTCAACCTGAAACAAAAGCAAAGGGTCGAATAATAGAAAGAAAACGGTTGGTGAAAGACTTACTGGGAGTCACAATTAAGTATAATTGGGAAATGGGAAACGTTTCCTTTCTGGAATTCTGATTCATTATTGCACATTGTGGTTGTCCTTCAAAAATCTTAAACCTTAGACATTGGGTAAGACCAAGATTAGATGACGAACTTTTCGTGTGTCGAACCTAATGTTAATGAGCTATAATAAAGTCTTTGTTTGAGTTTATTTGCATTCGATTCGGCACATGAAAAGTTAAAACGGGCCAAAGCACTCGAAGAGTAATGATCAGTCTATTCAGCCGCTACAGTAAAAATGAACTATTTATATTAAAGTTTGGAACGGGTAATTCTATAAGGTTTTCAGTTCACGAGATATGCCAATTGAAATTTCCTCAGATATATGATTCCAGATAGGAAGTCATCTCATCATTCTTTGCTTGCGCAATGTTTTATGGTTTAATCTTCTTGAAAGGAACTCTTTGTAAACGGAATCGTGAAGATCAAAGTTGTATTTTTGTAAATATTGGCTGTAATACTAACAGGCATGGGACTGGTTAGAGTTTTATTAATATATATTTGAAGTTCTGAAGTACAAATTCCAAGTATAATTTGATATACTATAATATATATAATAATGATTGTCCGCATGTGAGAAAATGGTGCAGTTATGTTTAAAGATCAGTTTGATAAATGATTCTTTTTGCTAAAAAGCACAATATAATTAATCATATATTATAGATAATGATAGTGCGTATGGAACAAAAAGAATGACAGGACACTTACGTTGAATGGTGTGTCTGTTTAGAGAGCTTCTGTTTTAACTTATATTCTGCCAAATACGTCTTTGTTTCCTTTATTTTTATATGCCCATTAAAGACGAATAAAAGAGGCACACATGATATACTTTTGGCCATCATCTTTATTTAAAGACAGATTTCGTCTCGCCTTTGAATTTCCATCTTAAGAGTATGACTCTTGTCGATCACTTTACAAACCCTTCCAAGTTTGGTTTGGTGATTCGATATGTTTTACATGTATAGTTTGACATATAAATAATTAAATATCTATAAAAAGGGTTGAACTCAATCGCATGGATAGGAATTAGTATAGGTTTTGTCCTGTATGTCCATGAATGATTTACATCTACAAATATAAGGGAGAACATTCATGCATGCAGGTTACAAAAGAGATGACATTGATTTGTGGTTGCCTGGAGGTCTAGTCCTCTTATCCTTCAAGAATCAACAAGAATGACTGCGGCAGCTTCTCGAAGGCAACTTCCGTGGAAGCCATGCCCCGCCTCCCAACTTGAAATTGTGGTCAATTTACATGTAAAGTGCGACAAAGGAGAAAAACATCCTAGCTTTGTCGCAGCCTCTGTCAGCATGAACGTCAAATCTTTAAGAGGGGTATGTTCACTGTGTTTTTTTTCCGGGACATGAAGTGCTCTTCAACTTACAAATATTAGAGAGTTTACATTATAGGATTCACGTCGAACGGATTTTAGGCTAAAATGCAATGAAAAACTATTAAACTCGATCTCATGCAATGTTTTCATGAAAATATGAAACAAAGATGAGCGAAAATTCTGCCAAGAGATTTTGACCTTGCCGTTACCCGGAAACGCGAGGTTCATTTAAACTTCCTATTATCTTTAGGCGTAAAACCATTACAGGTTAGATAAAATGCAATCTATATACTTATAAACAAATAAACAACATAATAAACTGCACTCTATACCAGTATTTAAGTTTTTCTCGCAACTCTTTTCGTGATAAGTATATGAATAAGGCTGGATTTCCACTTACAGAGAAATAGTTCGCTTGCGAAATATTTGCATATTTTCTTTAGAATTTTAACAGCATAAATAAATTATTTCAACATGACTGCTCTCAATTCAAAAGAAAATATGCAAATATTTCGCTTGTGAACTGTTTCTCTGTAAGTGGAAATCCACCCTAATTAGGTTGGATTTCCACTTAAGCCTGTATTAGGTGGAATTTTGCGCGCGAAGCGGAATTTTTCTTTGTTTTTCTCACATTTGATTAGTACTCTGCATGAAAGGGCGCAGACAATGAAAAATTCCGCTTAGTGGAAAACATGCAGGCCTTACAGAGAAATAGCTATTGAAATCACCATAACAATGCAATAGTTCGAGTTTGCATACCAAAGTACCCTGTTAGCATAAGCATAATATTGACATAATATAATTTCGTTTAATATTCCATTTCGTTTATATTGGTATATAATTTCAATAATTTGGGTTTTTTTTGGGACACCCTGTATTTCTCTGTAAGTGGAAATCCAGAGAGTGCATATATGAATTGAATCATTGTATGTATCCAATGCATCATGAGTCGTTTGGATAGTGAGACTTTTCCTTGTCATCTCGTTTATATATTGTCTTAATTGCATACGATGCAATCAAAAAGAGACAGGCCTGAGGCAGGTATTTAATCAGTTATGTACCAGAATTAAGCACAATTACATAGTGCTGCTTTTTTGGCACCCTGTACTCTGAACTCATCAGTGCGTAAAATATGGTGTCTAAGTTTTCTAACTGTGTCTAACTGCTGTCACAATAATTTGCACCACAAATTCATTTGCTCACACGTGCAATTATTATGCTTTGCTGGAAATTTGTTTTACAGTTTTCCCTGTAAACTAAAACACACTATTACAATAAGTGAAGTTCGTAACAGTTTCAAACTCAGCTTTACGAAGATTTCCTTCGATCCAAATATTCATGTAGCCCTTCAATAACACTCAGTCGTTTGACTGTTGTTTTAATGAATATTCGAAAACTTGCATAACTATATATGACTTTGGGCAACATAATAAATAGGCGCCTTGGGATGAAAACTAGCCACAGCTACTCGTATAGGGCTAGCCGCTTATTTATACAACATCACTATGGTGTCTATTGGTAACATTATATAATTTCTTTTATTTTTCCTTGTATTCATGATACTTGGAGTATAGTCAAGAGCATCCCGGAACCAGCCTTATTATTTAATATATATATTGGCAGTGCATATATAAGTAAATCCCATATATGTAGAAACCAAAATGAGCGTGACATCCTGCATTCGGGTTATTTTTACATTTTTGAACATCAAATAAGGAAAATTTATTCTATTGATTACTGTCGGCGTAGTTGATGTTAGCAGCAGAATATCTTATAATCATGGGAACAGCTACTTTCTTCGTTATAAACATCAATCACACGCACGCCCCCAAAAAATTCACTGCTAACAGATCTGCGTATACAAGGGTAAAAATATAATCACTGAAAGAAGTCATGAGATATAAGTATACCTTATTCAATTCCTCTGGTTCTACACCTTATACTTTTAGTTTATGAGAAAAGTCGCGCTCATACTGATTTCGTGAAATAGTATTAATATGAACCCAACGAAAGGGATAAGGATTATTAAATGTTAAAACGATAACTTAATTGGGAATTTGGTACAGGCTGAATGCCTACAAGAATAGAAGACCAACATATCAGAAGACTTGCAAGTCTGTATAAATTTTAATTATTTATACACACTGTTTTCCTTTGCGGCCAACCTCGTACCCAGGGTTTGGGCCTCAAGGCTCCGTTTGAATCAGCTGTATATATACAGAAAGTCGAAATTAGACGTCAAGGATATAAATCGCACTTAAGATGAAATATCTCTAGACTGTAGGACTATAGGAAGCAGTGTATCACTATTCCGCTTTCACTCTGTAGGATCGATACTTCATGTTTTCACAGATTCTTTTGAGTATAATTTTTAGACCAGTGTGAGTTACAAGATTGAATTGAATCACACGCACCACCCAACTATTTGCTTTCGATCAATATAATCAGTCTACAAATTTATTCGTGTATGCATGTCCATTTACAAGTCTAGGCTTGTTTGTTTTGTGCGAGTTTATGGTTTATTAAAACTATATAGTTGATCTTCTTTCAAAAGTACCCCACGCATACGACTAATATACTATATACAATTGAATATTCAGTGCTGAATCAATAAGGTAATCTCAGATTATAGCGATTACCTTAAACCGGTTAACTTTTTTGACCAAAACCAACAAATATTAACTATGTCTTCTCGGAACAAATTGCATGTTATAATCACAAATTTCGGAAAATGTCTGTTGTCTAAACTCTTGAAATAATGATGTTAAACGGCCTAAAGCGATATCAGAAAACGATAAAATTGATGTAGAACTTGTCAATATGTCCAAATAACTTAACAAAACTAACAAAGTTAACGTGTTTTGAAGTGACTCTCGATATTTCTGTAAATTACCATAGTTTTCCATGCATTGAATATTTTAAAAACACTGGATGCGTCTGGGTCAAACTTACTTGAGTAAAATTACGTACATGATATTTGGAGAAAATTTTCTAGTAAGACAGGTGCTCCAAGCTGGGGGTGAAAATTGTCAATCCCACACACTATTTTTTTTTGCAGGCAACCTGCATGGAATATCTATTGCTATAATATAAAATAAATAAACGTTTAGGCAACACTACATGTCTACATCATCAATAATTCAATCATGCAACGCAGACATTTGCTGCATGAAGATTAACATATATACTTTAAGTCTTAACTGCATTTCCGTTGCATGGTGTTGCTCAATATAAGTTCTGGCAAAAAAACACAAAGAAAACCGGCTAAAAATAATAGTGCGGCTGATGAAACTCGTATCACAAAATTTCTACAAAGTTTGTTTTCATTCGAGCGCTTTTCCTGTCTCTATATGCTGATACTGTTCCAGTTAAAAAACACAATTTCATCATGTCAATTTCATTCGAGCATTTCATCAACATTCAACAAAACTCGTCCTCCTTATCCTTAATATCGAGGCCCATATATGCGGAAGTAGGTATGCAAATACATATTCATATATTACAGGTAAACTGACGCATGTATAGAGTATCACTATACAATGTCTTATATAATTTTCAATTCATTAACATATTCGAATATATGTATTGGTTTGACCAGTTAATGAGTTAGTATAAGACGATTACAAACCTATATACAAGCAAGAAGAATTCAGTAGTGAACGGTTTTTAATCAGAGGTATATATATATATATATACATTATATACTCTTCCTTTACATCAACTCTCATGCTTAATGATATGATGGCACTCGTTCCTACTCCTTAGTTCCGCTCCATCTCCTGAGTCAAGACGTCCTCCTATTGATTTATACTATATCATCCTGTATATCGGTAATTAATTTCTACGCCCGGCATGCATTGATCATTATTTTTCCCGAACAAACCTTAGTTCTCAGTGAGATTCAGAGTGAGATCAAAGTTTATCCGCGGGTGAAGTTCGAAGAAAGGACTACTGCAAAAGGTTAGTTGGTTGAGATGTAATTTTCATCACCGACTCACTACAGTCTACATGAAACCGTGCAATGAAACAAATTCGTAGCACGCTATAGTGTCTTGGCCATATATCCGTCGAAACATGGAAACCTATGAGCCAAACGTTGGTAATTGCAAAGAATATAGAATTAAGTCTTCCGTGGACATTTTCTTGTTTTATTGGTTATTGCAAGAGTCCTGCCTACCTCAACATCAACTTAATAAAAAATATTGTTTGAAGTCGAATTTAATGAAACTTCCGTTAATTGTTGATGTGGTTAAAGATAATTTGAGTAAGAAGTTACTATATACTCTGTCTCTCTGAGAAAAGTGATGCATGCCTTGGCAGTCCACAGTGAATTTTTATATTTTTAAATACGTATATCAGTATATGTGGCAATGAACTGTGACTCCTCCTGTGTAGCTATATGTGATGCGCTCTCAGAGGGGAATCATATGTATAATGTAAATTCGTTTTCAAAAAATATAGACTCTCGTTTTAAAAAAATAGACTCTCGATCGGCAATTGGCGCAGTTTTACCTTTATCGCCGTTTATTCTTCAGTCTGTGAGATGTGGCCGGCAATGGCAAGAAATAAATCTCGTTTATTTGTTTGCTTCAGGGGTTTGTATTTATAAAAAGGGATGTCAAGCATATATATTTTCAGATGTGTACTGATAATGTGCCGTGCGATAAGTCGAATCTTGGGAACACTAGCAGACATTTTGAATATCTCAATATACTCTGCTGTTCTAATAAGACAGTCCTGGCGACTTTTCTATGAAGTCAAAATTTTGTTATGAGAGACTAGAGTACATGCGTGGCACAATATATATAAAACTATGTTTGTGAACAGATCGAGCTATGGTGTATTTTCAGGCTGAAAAGCTCTAATTAATCGGTATCGATCGTAATTATTTAGCAATTATTTCCCCTAGTAGGCGAGGTGAATATAATAGGTTGATAAAAAAACAGCAAAATAAGTCGTGGTTCTCATTCACCGATATCGACTCTCCTCATGAACGCCCTAATTCGGTCCTTCATGTCGAAACGTCGAGAAATCTTTTTTTAATATATATATATTTTGAAACGTTGATGAAATTATTCCACTATTTGTCATATATATCAAAAAGTATTTATTGCTGTTTTGATAAGAGTTTACTAAATCAGCAATTATATAAACATAAACATGCATGTGTCTATATATTCCGCGACATTTAATTGAGTACGGGCGTATTTAAAACCTGAAGTCACCGACTGACGAGCTTAGGAATAACTTCCGGACAGGAAAATTCTCAAGAACTTTCAATACAATATACGCCGAGGGAGTTAGGCATAGACAACCGCGTTATATAATTGAGACGACGGCAAGTGCAGAGGAATATATTATACTTTAATATGGTATAATTATTTTTTGAGACTTTTTTGCGGAGAAATTGGCAACACAAAAATGCAAAGGTTAGCGTACTCTAAATATGTACTTGGACCTTGGTTATTACTTATCAGAGCAAAATTTAAACGTTAATTTCTTTCATTAAGCGAGTTATCAATAGCCCATCGTAGACTACTTTACAAGCATGCATGCTCAGTGTTCATCCTTTTCGAAGGGTCTCTTATACGACGCTTTGTATGTTCTGAGTATCCTGATATAGTATATAGAACAGCTGTGCCGGGCCATGCATGCACACGCATATATTGATCAGCATTATTTACTTGCAATTAGAATAAGTAGTTTGTGTAGTCATAATCAGGCATTTTCAGTTTTATTTTCGATCAGGTTTCATGATTTGAATTTTGTCTTCCGGTATGCCGACATTTTCATTTTCATATAAATGCAAAATCCATCCGCGTTGTGCTTAATATGCAGAGAATACATTCACAAAATAACAGATAAAATTGAAAGGAAGTTTCGTATTATATTCAAAACTTCACTTCGGGTGATACAGAGTGCAGGAAGTCGTACAGAGAGCAAGCTGCAGGTACTCCATTAATCATTCATCGTATAAAGACGCATAGAGCAGAGATATAATCTTTTAATGTTTAAATTTATCTTTTATTGTTAATTAATCATTTTAATGCGCCATTCTGGCTGTGCATGCGTGCTAAGCATATAAGAGGTCACTTTAAAAGTCCCCTTTTCATTCACTAGCAGGTCGTATATATCACCAATTTTAATGGCTGCATGCAGCCTGAACTATATGAATAAATACAAGTCAAGTGTCAGATGCATGTGCAGTTCACGAACTGCGATTATAGGATAGAAAAGGGTGATTTACAAAATAGGGCAGGAAAGAACTAATCGTGCAATCTTGAGCATTGCACGCGAGTGTCGTGAGATGAAAGAACAAAGAGTTTCGCATGCATTTGTACATGAAAACATGCACAGTCAGTGATTTTGGCAGCTATTATAGGCCAGCATGCATGTATGCATGGGATATTAATGTCGAGAAAAAATTATAATATGAGGCATTTAAGGTTCACGTCGAAGATCAGTGCTAGCATTTTCACCTTGGAACTTTCACTTTGAAATATATTGTTTTTGTCAACCGACAAAGGTTTTTTTTTACTGCCGCTCGTTTGTCGTATGAGTAAACAGGCCTAAACTTCCCGTTATACTCGATCCTTAGCACGGCCTTGTCATGTAGTGTAATAATATTTTTTTCCAATTTCTATAAAGCGTTCTGTATATTTTCTTAATGTTACTTTGACAAATGGCAAATAATTCAATACTGGGAGGATTATATTGAAAAATGAGTTAAAATCCATGCCATTGATAGCTATAGCCCTGGCGGTGCCATGGCAGTATATCTGAATTTTAAAACATGTTACTTATACATAAATACAATCAACGATATATAAAAGGGCAATAGCTCACGGCAATAACTATTTTTGGCATCTGCCGCACACCCATGCAATCTGAGGATCCATTTTTCAAATTCAGATCGTGTCGATTGGTATTCGTTATCTAGCCCGACGCTCATAAAGGTATATAGGGACTCATTTGTTATCAAAACTCATTTGTAAGGACCGGTGTGCAAGTACATTTACTTGTGGGACAGTCATCGCCATATTGGCATGACAATGGCCGCTATTTTCGAATGGAATTTTGGAAATTTGGTACGTGTGAACAGGAGATGCCATATTTCTGCAAAAACGGCTTAAATAGCCGTATAGATAACAAAAAGTTGTCGCGACAGTAAAAAAAACTTCTAAGGTAAACTTCTAAAGTACTAGTTTGTATCCGATTAAAATCAATAAAAAAGCATTTTGATTGGAAGACGCAGCGAGCTTGCGAATTAGTTGTTGCGATTAGTCATGAGTGTTAAAGAGTTTTTAACAAAGGGGACTCGTTTGTTGTTGACGAGTCACGAATATATATAAAAATATCACAAAATGACTTACTCACGCACATAGTTTTTTAAAAGTCGATAACAATATGTGTTATCATGCATGTATAAGTTAAATCGACATTGTCCTGAGTTTGAGAAACGCATGTTTTTTCAATCATGCATTTACAAGCCAGACCGAGAGAAGTATGACGCTATCGTTAAGGACTGATTATGTATATATACATATAGCACGGTTTTGGCAGCACAAGAATTTAACTGCGCTGGATGGGATCGTCAAAAAGTACAAAAAAAGGGAGGATTTAGTTTCAGGACTCGTGCAGCATGGCAGCACATATAGCCCCACACATATAGCATGATATAACTCTTCAAAATTCGTGGTTTTGACTGAAGACTGTATCCGTCTATATGAGCGAACTTTACATGTGTAAATTTTACCAAAGAGTACAGCCTCTTAGAATATAAACGGGTTTAAACCATAGATGTAATATCTTTTGCCATCTAAGCACAGGCAGCATATCGTTTAAATAAACTGATATGCTGTTCAATTTATGAATACTGCATATATAGGGATCCTTAAATTTTTATTTCTCGCAAACAAATAAGAGCATAGAACGATGTAAAATTATTTTAGTCTTTTCCTGACACCAAATTATTTAGTACTGTTACTTGTTCAGCTTAGCATGAAAATTCAATGATCACGGTCGGAACATTTTTTGAATGTATTGTATTTGTAAATAGGAGAAGGGAAATCGTTTTTTCGCGTCTAAGTTATACGTTCATTGTATAACTGCACAACTGTTCCTAGGGAAAAACGTGCAGGAAAAATTCATACTTGAAATTTTCAAAGGGCTTTTTGTTTATTGGGACGGTCGGTTGGGGCCTGGACGGAAGACATAAGAGGTATAATGTCCGCAGTCATCTTGACGTCATTCGGTGTTTGACGCCTACTTATGCGTATTTAATTATTGAATGTGCATGTAGTTAATTTTCGAAGATTTGCTAGTCAATAAGTCAGTGATTAATTGATGAACTCAAATGGTGCAGCGTGACTCAGGAAGAACCGACTCGATTGAAAAGTAATAGGACAAATAACGCCTAAGATTGATTCATTTAGCCGGAGTAAACTACGCGTTTAGTAACTCAAGCCCAGATCAGGCCAAACAGCAATTAACGTGTTTACGTACACGTTTTTGTTTAAAGGTTTCACAAATGCGGATGATCATGAAGAAGACAAGGCCGACCGGAGTTCTTCAAACTATCGTAACAGTGTTGATATGTTTCACAACTTGTGGTAAGTTCCTCGTAAATTTTATAGAATATGTTTAATCTTCTCAACACGGACAATAAGCTGGCTTGTAATCCGAACCATATATTAAGCTGAACGATAGTCTAAAGGAATTTACGTAGATATAAATCGTTGGCCATTTTTTAGATATGTAACTTAAACGTTAAAGTCGTATAGTCAGTCATTGTAGGTAGTATATATCTGTTATTATTAAAGATTGCCATACATGTTTGTATTAATTTAATATTAGTCATTGTTTGCCTGTATCCAAATCCGGTTATGTATTGATGGTATTGTAGTGAACTTGACCGATTTGGCAATCGCTTTTACAGACACAATAGTCTATGACTATGTCTATATGCAAAAAAGGTATTCATTTCATCTATATATGAATAAGTTCAGTTCTTTAAAGTTGTTAGTCTTAGTCTAGTGATACCAAGAATCCTATGTGTAATAAAATGATATCCGTGGCCACAGGTTCATGAACATTTATATAATACATATATGAATATATGAATTTTTATAATAAAGTCACGGAGCTTGTCTTTCTGAACATCCGCTTTGCTTTGTCTTGTTATATTCTCAGCTGGAAATGTCAGGATATTGTCTGAGATTACCTTCAATCCGTCGTTCTGGTGACTTTTTGTTTAAACTGATGTGTATATTCAAAAAATTTAATTGAAACTCGATTTTTTGTATTAATATGCATTGTACACAAGATGAAACAGTTGATATTTGACTCGAATTCCTGTCAAAATTATTGACATTTTCGAGCTGCGCTGTTTTGATATAGTATTCTACCCACAAGTGGCCACAACCCGATCATGCGGTCAATGCCTCGGCGTTTCTAATATAAGCGCGTGTATATAACTCATTTCGCTTGCGATTGTGTCCGTCAACGCAACTGTAAATGGAAGAGCCCATTTTCTCAAAATAGACCTTATGCAGTGGCCCGTGGTATACTTAATAATGATTTTTAAAAAAATAAGTCAAAAGAGCAGGTGTTTTGTATAATATTAATTGAAATACGCTGCTAGAATGATGACTTGATAATTACTTTTTAGAATGAGGAGCGTCGTTTAAATTTCTGCGTGACTTTTAATATGTTTTAATGCGGTACAGCTGCTTTTTTTGCCAATGCCATTGGCGATGTATCCAAATCATTTATTAATAATAATTTCAGTATTCACGTGTATTCACGATCACAATTTTTAATACTGCACATGAATTAAAATATTTTGGGTTGCTCTTTACTTTTGAATTTGAAAGACCAGGCTCTCGATCTCTTATTAAGATTTCCGTTTTCTTTAGTCATAACAAATAAGTATTTTTAAAGAGAATCATTCACTGACAAATCTTTATTTTTTTCCATGTACCAACTTTCGCGGTATTGATTATACTCTTGCATGGATAAGCTTTTGTAACGGGAATGTTTCAAGACTCCCAGTATTGAAAAATTTCTGATAATTTTTTCATGTATAAATTATGATTACGCATGGTTGTGGGCTTGTGGCTAGACCAAAATATTGTTTAAGATATTGGGAGATAATTAGCAAGGACAAAGACGGAGGGAAAGCCCTTAAAACACGCAGAATGAACTAGAGGAGTGCTCGGTGCTTTTCAAAATAAATTATGTGTATCTCAGTGTTTTTCAGTCTTTAAAATAAAAATAACAAGTGCCATCTCTTATGCCATGGCCTCTCAGAGAGATTTGAGAGATTTATGTTCATTTATCTTGAGCAGGGAGGGCCCCATAATTTTATCCCATAATATAATTCTTTTTTAAATGCAAGGTCCCTGTCATTTTGCAAGAATAATACAAGAAAATAATTGTTGCCTCTTAATACAAGTTCACCTTCCCGTTCTCTTACAAGATCACTTTAGCAAAAAGAGGAGAGGAGATTCAGAGCAGGGAACTTTATGATATCCGAAACCATGTAACACATAGAAGAAGCCCTTTGTTTTTTTGTGTAGTAAACGGTCTAAAAGCGTTTCTCAAAAGTATACATGTGTTATCTTCGAACTAATATTTTTTATAACTCACGGTGGAACTCTTCGTAATAAAACATATTGAGGCATCGCAATTGATTATCTGTTCTTCTTAATGCGTTTAACGTATGGTAAGAGCGATGTTTGAGTCTAATCCCAATAAAAAGATGGTTATCGATTCAAATAGCTTTGGGAAACGAGATCTTTGCAACAACAATATATTTCAACTGCTTTTAATAATCAAACTGCACCTTGAAAATAGAGGCATGTCTCTGAATATTATATGATTTGATTCTGAGTATAACTGCAGTCAGTGTGCTTGACACTAAAAAAGTTATTCGTGGTTGATTCATATATTTGCCGCACAATCAGAAGAGGAACAATTTTGAATCTTACTAATTTATGCCTTATACTTATAGGTTGCTTAAAGTGGCTTCCAGAAGAAGATAAAAGTTTTCTATTCGTAGTGAATGACGTCATTGATATCAACTGCACCCTCGATGATCCTACTGTTAATGTAACATTATGGGTTGCAAAAAAAGCGAGTTCAAGTCTACAAGATTACCGCCAAGTTTTTCCCAATGGTGTTAATATTATCCAGTCTCATCAAATATTTCGACTTCTCAACGTGGCTATATCAAATAGTGGTCAATATCAATGCCGGGCAAAAACAATGACACCATTCCAAGTGCTTCGTGTTCACGTGTCACACGGCAAGTATTGTAATAGTTTAAACATTGAGTTTGGTATTTATTTATTTTCCGTTATATTGCATTTGGGGACAGGGATTATTTAAGGGGGTTCTTCAAATTTTGTTTGAAGTTTTATTATCGATTCATTATTGCACATGTACGAATGTCTCCAAAACTTCCACTTTGCTGTATTCGATTTCCCGCATATTTCTATGCTAACACTAAACAACTGTGTGCGTGTCCAGTTTTAGTCCGTATTTTATATTAGTTATCAAATAAGCATTACATCAATGAAAGCTCTTATATATTTACAAGCTTGAAATATAACTTACTGTATGCAGCAGTCAAAGCATCACGAAAACACAAAAGTAGACAATCTATAAACCAAAGTCCAACAATTAAAGCCGTGTTACACGATAAATTTTTCTGCATGATTGTAAGTTGCAATCTAATTCAACGTTTGTGATGTATAAATTTTGCTATATGAAACCTTTGTGCCTAATCCCTAGTGCCTAATGCCCTCCACGGATATTTTTTATACACACATTTCGAAAACTCTCCACTAATTAACATCTTTCCAGAGAAGAATTGTATTGCCGTCTTTACTGTACGCCATTTTTTTGTCGGAAAATATATATTATCTCTAAATATATACTTGTATTAATTTTCTAGATGGTCCGCCAAAACCCAAACCTAAAATATCAGTTGTAGATAACGTCGTTGCCTATGGTAAAGAAGTCAAACTGCAATGTTCTGCCTTTGGTCCAGTTGACTTAGCTTGGTATAAAAGTGAAAATGGAACTGTAAAAAAATGGCGAAAGATTAACACTGAAGAAAGTGTTACCAGTAATATGGGAAGTCTAAAAGAGACTAAACGGCTTTTGATAATTAAAAAGTTTAATTTTAGTGACAATGGAGTGTACAGATGTGAACTCGAGAGGAAAGCCGTCAATTGGAAGGCATTTGCAGATAAAAAAGTTGACATCGGAGGTACTGAACACGTGACTTTTGTCCTTTTTGGTTATTTGCAGTGACGATATATTAGAACTTTAGGCGACGGGCAAGTGCACAAAAATATTGTGGATTTTGTGTTGTTTTGGTCGAATGTACCAGTAGAAGGACGTCTGAAGCTAAAAATAAATTCCTGCGAGTTTAATTTTCTTTAATTGCTATGACGTGACCCATTTTACGTGTCCCAGATGTACATCACATACATCTTCAGCATCTATAAAGTAGTGTAAACCTGTCTTAAATAAGATTTATATAAAAATATTTAATTTGTTTTTTTAGAGGCCCAGAAACCGAATTTTACAAAGTTTCCAGAACCTGTAATAACTATGACGGTGATGACTGAGAGTGTTGAGTTCGAGAAATCATACAAAGTCGAAGGTACACCGTTCCCTACTATTACCTGGTACAAAGTGAATGGAGACAAGTCTATATTGCTGTCCAAGTGCAGTAGCAATCCTGAAGAACCATGCTCGTTCCCAAAGGATCATTTTCTGGATATTTCCAGGAGTTATTTTCTTTACTATTTAAAACTTATTACCCTTTCCGAAGCGCAATGGCACGTATAAATGTGTCGCCACGAACTTTGTTGCTACAGTAACGAAGACATTTCAACTAAATCTGTTGGGTAAGTGCCATTCATTATATCCCCGTTAAAATGAGAGTATGCAGCACAGTGTATATGATATTGCATGCCAGTAGCAGTAATGTATACACTTTGTGATTCGCTGTCGTATGGTTGCATGTAAGTTTTCGATATGTATAATTGGCTGAATTAATCTATATTCATATATTCAGGTTGACATACCGTAGAAACAGTACAGCTTTCAAAAGAAACCGGGCGGGCATAAGACAAATATATGAATATGCACACCCTCCCAATAAAGCATCTATTTAGCTACGGCCCTGGGTGTTTAGATCTAAGGGCCTTCGTAAGGATTTAGTATGATGCTACATGTATGTGATATTTACTTTCCTGTTTCTGTAATTTAGTTCAACCAACAATAAAAGAGGAGTCTTCCCTTGTCCATGCGTACGAAGACAGCAAAAAACCCACGCCGTTGGTTTGCGAAGTGGATACCGCAAATCCAAACCAAATACAATTTGCATGGGAAGCCCAGTTAACCGATTGTACAAAAACTGACTGTATGCCAAATAATTCTAACTGGCAAGAGGTTACTGAAGACGAAAGTGATTTTAGTATTGAATCTAACAACGAACGTAGTACGTTAACTCTTAAAAAGGTTGACCAGCAAAGGTTCTACAGATGTACCGCAAGAAATGATATCGGAAAAGACTATTTTGTGTGGAAAGTTATCCCTGTGACAGGTACACTTTATTACACAAATCTTCTGCATGAACTTCATTTTATAGATCTTCTAGTACGTTTTCAATACTCTTATATATCTGCCATGATTAACCACACGTACAAAATGCGGGACGTGCATGGGATGGAAGGTACTGTCTAGCGTTCTCAGGAAATTTCCTGATAACAAAAGTTTGTCTCTCTATATTCTTTTCAAATGTTATTTGTCTCAACTTGTTCTCATTCTTTTGAATTGACACAACGAATTTTTAATTATTGCACACACGAAGGCCCGGTTTAACGGACCGTAAGCTTTGCAGTATTAAATACTTACGTGGTGTACCTACAAGCTATTTTACTTATTGATGTCACCATGCAAACATACAAGAATATTGTTACTTTAATATTCCTTTCTTTTATTTTAATGTAATTTTTCAGGGGTGCCGCCGTTAACAGCCGTTTCTAAAAAGGTGGATGTTGATGAAGGAAATAACGCGAAGCTATCTTGCCGAGTTGTAAAGTTTGTGTCTCAACAGGTTGATTGGTCATTCAACAATATCGCTTTACAACTGGGTCCACGCATGAGAGTTGTTAATTCAACTTTTAATGGAACTGTGTATAATACGTTACATATAACGAATGTGAACACCAGTGATTCTGGCAAATACAAGTGTTCTAGCAATTTTAATCGCGTGAAGTCTGAGGCAGAAATAATGCTTAATGTTCAAGGTAACACTTATTAAATTTACAAAATATGCATTTCGTTATATTTACAGTAAAAATGTGTTTATTCTGGCTTACGAAATGCTAAAGTGTACTCTGTGTATTCTTATATTGCATGCGATGAAAAAACAGATTGATTTCAGAACAGTCAGGCAGCCTTAAAACTGTTAAACCACAATACTAACCAAGGTGTACGTATTGTTAACCTCGTATATCCATGTTCTTTCGCAGGCGTCCAAAGTTTTTCGGTCAAATTTGTCTAAATTTCGCTCTTTATCAAAGCCTTGGGGACTTAGAGCGTGGGCAATATCGGTTGATTTTGTCATTTTGAATAAACTGCATGTATGATCTTTATTAATTTAGAATTAACTGCACCAACGGTCTCTGTCAAAAGCCTAACAGAAAAACAAGGCTCTTCCTTCCTCGTTCCCTGTGACGTTCGTGGCCATCCAAAACCTGACATTGCGTGGAAAAAAGATGGAAAAATACTATCAGTGCACGAGGATTTCGTTAAAGGAACGGACGATTGTTCGAGCAGAGTTGGAGGTTTTTATATGTTGTCAAATGACGTACAAAATTCAGGGAGCGTATTAGTTATCTGCAAGGCAGATTACATGAAACATAGAGGACAATTTTCTTGTATTGCACGCAACAAATTAGGAAACGACACAGCTAAGGCCTTCATAGACATACGAGGTGAGTATTATATTTTTCTTCTAAATCATTTAATCATCTACATGCTGTATACTGTTTGCTATAGCTAGGTGAACATTTTTTTATCACTAGCCCCACCGCAGATCAACGAATTCCCATCTCCAACTGTTGAACTTGGTGAAGTGTTCTCCCTAAAGTGTGTCGCAAATGGCAATCCCAAGCCTCGTATTTGGTGGGAAAAGAAGGATGCAGAATCATCGACATTCAAACGTGTGAATAACGAACGCAGTTACGAGTTATATTTTGAAAAAGTGGACAGAAACATCCTTGGGAGTTATCGATGTTTGGCAGAAAATGGAATTAAAAAAGTAATCAGGAACTTTACATTAGGTTGGTTTCATTTTATCGATATTTGTATTTTGTAGATTAAATAGCATATATACATAATAATCCATGTGGACTCTATATGGTTCAATAACTTCTCAAAGATTGAAAAATTTACAAACTACAATGTCATTAAGATTTGGTATACGCTGATAGTACATGCATGTACATAACATATTCGGCACTGAATATTCAGTAATATTCAGTAATCCTAGGTATCACATTAATCCATGCCATTTGTTACCAAGATTCCACAAATGATGATTATCCTTACGAGCTTTGTTTTTGATATCTATTCTCTGTTTGTCAGGACAACAGGAATTACAAAAGTTTATATGCCATTCAACAAATTATCTGTTCTTTTTCTATATGTAGCACTCACGCCGCGAGTGAGCGCCAGTGCAGGTCACGTGAAAGTTTCGAATGAGTATCCAATTGTCATTGGTTGTGTTAGTGCCTCCGTTGTTGTATTGGTGATTATCGTTGCTGTGGTACTATACAAAAGAAAGAAAGCTTATGGTGGATTCTATATTTTGACACTACCACCTCTTCCTGACTATATTAAGAAATTAGATCCACACACGCCATTGTCTGAACAAACGAATAAATTACCGTACGATGCTGAATGGGAATTTCCAAGAAATAGATTGAAATTTTGTAAGTAAACAGAAACTCATGTATGCTACCTTCTCGTTTTTTCATCTCAACTACCATGCATGCTATACGGTGTTGTTTCGTTATACAAATGGAAAATACAAACTTTGTTAGTGTAATCGCAAATGGACCAAACGATAGTTTCTTAATACGAATGATGCCATTAAAACTATAAAAATCTCTTGCTGAGATTAAGTGTTCTCTTACTTGCTCGAATGCTGAAATATTTTGATCGAGACGTCTCCTTTGTTACTATTCACAGCTCGAGAACTTGGATCTGGTGCCTTTGGCAAAGTATACTTGGCTGATGCCTTAGGTATTGTTGCTTTTGATCCTCGTGGAAGTACTAAGAAAAGGTCTTCTCGTCGACGATTTGGTGGATCTGTTAGACGTAATCATTACGTTAACAACAATAAAATGACAAAGGTTGCAGTGAAAGTTCTTAAAGGTATTTTAATTTTTATCAAATCTTTGTTTTAAGTGATTCTTGGTGTATATACTGTATTTAATGTGTTCTTGGTGTCCGAAGACGAAAGTGATTGCTTGATCTGCTTCTTCTATTAGTCTGCCATTAGCTAATGTATTTTTTTTATTTTTCAGAGGATAGTGGTGAAACTGAATACAAGGACCTGTTGTCAGAGTTGAAAATACTTATCCATGTTGGGGAACACAAGAATATTGTCAATTTATTAGGCGCGTGTACAAAAGGTTAGAATAACTTTTTGATAAGTCACATAGTTATTTAAGCTAAGAGTATTATCCTTGGGGAAGGAGGGATCTTTTTCCTATCTAAATAATGCAAAATCTTTCCCTAATTTCCCATAAAAATTGAACTTAGATCAGTGATTCTAAATTCAAGAACTTACTTGGGGAGACCTTAGACCTTCTTATGGCAGGCTTTCTCATTCTCATTGTTTTAGTTGGATTGATTAAAGTTGAAAATGACCGTTCTTTTATTCTAGGTCGGGAAAGTGAGCTGTGGGTTATTATCGAGTTTTGTTCAAATGGAAACCTGCTGCAGTTCCTACGTAATAGAAGAGATATTTATGAAACTGAGTGGAAAGGTGTTTCTAAAGATCCTAACGTACAGTTGACCATGACAGATCTTGTTATTGCTGCATATCAAGTCGCTCGGGGAATGGAGTTTCTCGCCTCAAGAATGGTAAGTATTGGACAATTATTGAATGAGGTTGAACATGATATGAAGAACTATCAAGCCGAAGTTTGTGGTTATCAACCGAAGCCGAACATTACAACTTTGAATTGTTCGCTTGAATTTGTGTTGATTTCACATTCCTGCTCCTTTGGGACGTTGATGTCTTCGCCATTGGTGTGACGTCATAACATGGGATACGACTATTTATCACACGTTATGACGTCACACGTTGGACATGACGACTTCACACATGGCTATTAGCCAATCAAAGGCTGTGAATTCTTTTAAATAAATAATAATAAGCTTTATTGTGTGGGAACTAGAATATATGGAAATGATTTGTAGTACAAAAGTTCATTGCTTTTCATCTGAACTCTATTTACAACTGTCTCTGGTGAAAACTGTACCACTCTGTTTAGCATTTGTGCAATGTATGTGCTCTAATGCGCGTATACAATTTTTTAGTGCATCCATAGAGACTTGGCAACAAGAAATATCTTGGTAACGGATAACTACGTCATAAAGATTGCTGACTTTGGTTTGGCACGTGACGTAGGAGAAGACAGTCAATATGTAAAGACATCAACTGTAAGTGAAATACTGTAATAAATAATGAATTTGGATTTTGTTTTCATTTCGTCTTATTTTATATACACCTTTATATTTATATAAATTTGAATAACCCATATTGAGCATTCATTTATTTATGACGATTTCTAGAAATTTATGAGATTTTAGCTACAGTTTATCTACCACTCGTGCGATACACAACTAATGCTAAGTGATATATTTTTCTTGAATATAGGGGTTATTGCCAGTCAAATGGATGGCAATCGAAGCAATTATCCAAAGATTATTTACAGAGAAAAGCGATGTGTATGTTTCTTTCCGTATTCAGTTATTAAATAATTTTATCATGAGCTACTGAACTTTCTTTTTTCGGGTCTTTCTGTGCATACCGTATTCGTGTTTATCTAATTTTAATAAGTATTTTTTCTTCTCTTTTCAGATGGTCATTTGGGATTGTTCTATGGGAACTGTTTACACTAGGTGAGAAATTACTACCGGCAAAGTGTCTTAAATTAACGCGAAATATCACCGGGGCATTCTGTATAGTAGAGTATTTTTTCTTCCTTGAAAAGAATAAAAAAAGATATCTTAAGCAGTGGCAGTCGAAATTTATTCAAGCTGTTTGTGTTTGAACTTGTTCTGTTTAAATATCTAGGTGGAACTCCATATCCAAACATTTCCCCGAATGAAGTCGCAGAATTTTTAGCACGTGGGTTTAGAATGGAGCCACCTCATGCATGTCCAGATGAAATGTGAGTGATTTTATTCTTATTCTGTCGTATTTTTGGGATTGTTGCATGGCCTTGTGTTTTCACCTCGTTTCATTAAATTTGCCGGATTGTTAAAGTGTGTTAATGATAAAACGTATATTATATTCTCTTAGATCAACACTGATGATTAATTGTTGGCAAGAAGATAAAGATTGTAGACCAACGTTTAAAGAATTGGTTGAAATATTAGACAAAATTATTGAGCTTCATACTTCTTCTGAGGTAATAGAGATTTTATTTAAAAATCCTATATGCTAGTCTCTGTTCCTATATGCACGAGGTTATGCTTTAGTATGCTAAAAAAGTGTGTACTTATAAACTCTTACCAGAAACAATTACTTTCTTTCTAGGGCGGGCGTGGTTACCTTGAGGTACAGGGAGAGGTGATGAATGAATATTTATCTCCGTCAGACGTAAAAACTCCGGAAATGGACCCGTTTCAATGTAATTCACCTTTACCGCCCATACCATCGCCAGGCGATAACGAAAATGATTCCCTTCTGCTCAAAGATCAAAATGAAAGGAAAGGGAAATTCCAATTTGATAAAGCAATTAGAAACAAAGGGAGAAAAGATAGCGAAATTGAAAAGATGCAAAATGATTACAGACCCGAAGTTATAAAAATGGCCGACGTTATAAAAATGCCCGACGTGAAATGGTAAGGCAAACGTAAAGTCAAGAAAACAATGACCACTGATTTCATTCAATACTGAGTATTTTGGCTAGTTGCATGCAAGTCATGCATTAATTTCAGTTCAAACAATAATTTCAGTTCAATCTCCTTTTAGTATTAACGGAAATGAGCATGATGGATATATTGATACAAGCTTAACAGGAAAAGAAAAAGAAAGGATTGAACGTGATTTAGAAAAAGATCGTGACTCATCTGAAGAACCAAATCATGTTGGTGCAGATTATGCGTATTGGAAAAAATCCCTTGTGTAAAAAATAGACAATGTGTTGTTTCAGTAATTCCGTATCAGGCTACTGCAAGCCAACCACCCGTGTTGACCAATCAAAATTTCCACTGTCAAAGTAACAAATTGATATCAATGAATTGGGTTCAGACGCGATCAAAGGTCTAACAAAAGTGTTCGTACATGTCTGTACAGAATCAAGTTCACTGGTTTTTGGCGAAAACTTTATGTAACATAGTGAATGATTTACAAAATTCTCATTAATCAGATTGTTACCCAGGCCAATTGAAGGTTAGGAAACCCGACCAACTTTTTTGCTTTAGTATAAGTAAATCCGAAATCAAAACGCTGATATGGAGGTCTAGCCGATTGGGGAATGACAAGCCATGGAGGAAGGGCAAGGTTCGCGGGCGAATATATAAGCCAGATATCGGTATTCGGTATGGTTTTCCATTTTTTGATATGTACATATATAAAAGCATTCACATTTAATGTAAATCTACAAAATTACTATGGTGTATAATTGCATGTTTATGATGAAATGTTTACATTAAATTCACGATTACAAAAATTTAATTAAATTTGAAAAAAATCAAATGCTCTTTTTCACGGAGAAATCGATTGGTTTTGTGAGAAAAATCAAATGCTCTTTTCGGATAAATCGATTGGTTTTGCGATCCATCGAGGGTAAATCGATTAGTTTTGTGAATCATGTGAACGAGACACTCTGACCCAGTGACGTTTTGTAAGTACAAAGAAGAACGTATTCACGCCGGTGATGTAGCTGTCCGCGTGAGATGATTGGTTGCGTGCAGTGTTACTTCGAAGCAACATCCTAATTGGACTGTGAAACTCCTGTAGTTTGCCCATCCTTGTTGAGACTAAATCCAATTATGTCTCCATGCGTAATATGGTATACTCGACCATGGTCGAATACACCGGAATATGGTGTACTCGACTATGGTTGAATATACCCGAACTTGGTATTAGTATAATCGACCATGGTCGAATCGAATATACCAAGGTTAAATTACTCGAATATACCATATTCCGGTATAATGGACCTTGCCAAGGTTGAATATACCATATTCTGGGGTATACCAAGTTTAAGGTTAGACAAGTCTGCTGGTAGATTGTCTGGCGTAGTGCATGGTAATGGACGCGACTTGCGCTTTAGACTAATTTTTTACATTGGCGGTAAAAAGGACATTTTCTAAAAGAGCTTACTAAAATTAGTAAAAATGCCAAGTTTGGCTGGTATTTGTTGTAAATTACGGAAGATATAGCCAAGTGAAGTTGACGAATTTTGTATACTTATGTATTATGGCTGGAATTTTGTAACTAATTTAGTTACATATTTCCGCACGTAATACAAAAGTATACAAAATATGCCAACTTCGCATGACTATATTTTCCGTATTTTACAAAATTTAGCAGCCAAACTTTGCATTTGTAATAATTTAAGTAAGATCTTTCTGGCTGTGGTGATTTATTTTCTTCTAGTTACTTCCATCAAAAATTAGTCTAAAGCGCAATCGTCCGTTTGCGATGAGTAGTACAGTTGACACAGTGCAGCTTACATAAAGTTTCCTGTGGGTTTGAATTATTTGTTCTCGGAATAAAGTTATTTTAAAAATATGGAAGACGACAGAAAAGTGGCAGAAAACTGGGGTAAGAATCTTGTTTTGAAAAGCAGACGATGTACATTTGAGAGAGCAGAGAAGTTTATCTCGAAATTATATTTCAGCGATATTAATCTTCAGAGCAGGTGAGTTTGTGAACATTGATTGTATGTATTATTTTTTGTCTACGTGTAAGTCAGTGTAATATTCTTGTATGTTTGCATGGTGACAGTCGATATTATAAAGTAATTTAGCTTGAATTTACAAACACCGTTTTACGCGGGAAAAGGTGTAGAAAGTCTATGTAGTTGGGGTTCAGTCATGTGCGAAAAATCCGTTTCATATGTGCAATAATTCTGGCAGGCAAACCTACTGTACATTTACTTCACATATATATAATTTAGATCTAGCATAATTTTTATACCCTTTAGAAAATTTTAGATATCACGGCAATGTAATAACATAGAATATAGCTGTATGTCAGGTGTATCATGACTGTAAAAACTATTTTCATCTAACATGTAGCAATTAATGCCGAATTCAATGGTCGAAGTGCATAAATTCACTTATATGTATATAGTATTTCTATTCTGTATTTTAACACAATTATACAAAATCTAGACTTTATCCCAAAACAAGTTCTGTGTTGGAATTGCTGCATTGTTCTGTAAATAATCGCATAAAATATGAAGATGCAGTAAAATGTCAGTTTTCACCTGCAAAAGTTGGAGACAAGTTTGGACCCAGGTAACAAACTTATGCAACACTTGCATGATAATTTAAGAGGTTGTCTCTTTGTGATTCCAACCAATTAATTCATAGTAGTGAATAAGCATACTTCAAATTATGGTAAATCATACGTGTGTATTTGTTTTATTATCAAACAATGATATAATTTGGTATGTGGTATGTGATATGAAATTTAGTTGGAGTACGCATTGGTTTAAAGTGACAGTTCAAATCCCAAATGACTGGAATGGAGAGGAAGTACATTTTAGATGGAATTCAAATTCAGAAGCAATGGTGAGTAAGAGTAGTATTTTTCAGTCCTTCCCCTAGGACGCATGTAGGGAGAAAAGTTTACCCTTACACCACAACATGGTCAACATGGCCACATATTATTTGCAGCCGGTAGAGGAGGCTGGCTATTTCCTCAGAGAATTTTATTGTAGGCTGTACAAATTTGTCATTTTATTTTCTCCTTAGGTTTGGAAACATGGTAAAGCAATACAGGTAAGGCTAAATTGTTAGGTTGTATTAAACAGTAATTTCTATGTAGAAATTATTAATACAGTAAATAGTTCTAGAGGCTCACCTTTTAACTGTGGCCTGCACCTATTTGCCAAAATACGCTTGCATTGTGCAATGTGCAATGTGACATGTGCATAGACTGAACAAGATAACTGGATTAATGTCTGAATTAAGATTGCTCATACTCAGGCAGGCATGTGAAGCAGGGTTTTCAGTCAGAACCAGGAGTGAAATATGGCAACATTAATTTGTTAGAAACGTTAATTCGACCGTAGTACCCTCATCTCTAGAGGTCTTTGGTTTCAGGTGAGCATTGTTGGCATGTAGCATTATACTAGCATACAATTAACATGAAGTTTTTAATTTTTAGGGCTTATCTGGTTCAGACCGTACGGATTATATCCTAACGGAAAATTCAGTACCAAATGAGTGGTATGGACGTGTGTATTGATCGAAATATAATGCGTAATCATTTGGGTTTGTTCGATACAATCACTCAAGTGATTGAAGCATAAAATTTGTTTAAATCTTTCATTCAGCTTCACCTTTTACATTGAGATGGCATGCAATGAATTGTTTGGTATTGGTGAAGGCACTATGATCAGTCCTCCGTCATTAACTCGATATTTTGATTTATCAATGGCGGATATCGCTGTCTTTGATAGAGACTGTAACCAACTTATACTGGATCTTACAATGCTTATCGGTATGGCAGAAGTAAGTACTTTACGTCTCTAGCAGGGCGCTTTGGCCTCGACGGCCAAAACATTCGCGCATGCGCGATTCCGGATTGTTTCAGAATTACGATTACGTTACGTGATATTGAGCCAGCTTGCTGAGTGCGGTTAACCAGGACAGAATTGTGCCTGGCATGGCCACAGGAAGGAAGGGAGAATGGGCGTTGAAACGACGTATGTTGGAGCTGTCGAAAGATTAATGCGAACATAGACCTTTCTCATAATGACGTTGCAAACACGGGATGCAAAACACGAAGTTTCATCTCACGAGCCAATCAAACTTCGTATAACGTCAGGCTTTCTGCATTTGACATAAGGTCTATTACCACATATCGACCTGTGCTTGAAAGTTAAGTCAATAAGTGTAGTGAAAAAACACACGTGCAAGGCCAAAACTTGAGGGGCGTCTAAATTTTTATATTCATCTTAAGCTCGACTAATTTCGTGTGAAAGAAATTGCTTTTCAAGATATAAACAGGAGTATATACATCCTCAGTTGCAGCGGCCAGCTAGTTACGGCCCTATCGTAACTTTGTACTGTAGAATATGACTTCCTCTACCTTCTTCTGCCTTCCTGCAAAACAATGTGACAAAATGGGCAAAAACGTCATGTATGTACAATGTTTTTACTTTCAGCATCTTCCAGAAGACAACTTACGAGGTTCCCAGGCACTATACGTTGCTAATGACATTGTTAACATGTGTGATGTGACTAAACCTGAAACATTTGAACGGTAAATGGCCATATATTTTATTGATATAAATAGATTAGCCGGATTTCTCACGCTGACGAATATGTCACCATTTTTGTAAGTCCTCGTAACCGTGACTGTTTCAAATTCAATTTAGGCTAAATTTAGGCTAAATTACAGTTCAATACTTTTTCTACCCTTGATTATGGTAATTTTGTTTGCACATGGTAATTTTGTTTCGTTTTCCTCAAAAGCTGTCACGAAATTGCCGAGACGTTTTTGAAACAAAAGAATGGCGAGGGTCAGCACGTGATTCATGCTATGGGACATTGTCATATCGACACAGGTATACTTCATATTTTCTTTTTATTTTTAAGTGCCTATAATTGTACATGGTTTTCTTGGCTAATTCATTCACTGAGATGATATACTGTATGAGTTTTCTCTATGCATGAGATATAGTGCACTAAAGAACTAGAGGCGCTTTCCCGACAGCACCGAGACCTCAGATAGTTTCCTCCAACAAGACTTTAAATATAAGTTGCATTTTTGCAATATTCATTGTTTCGTCAAATTTTTAGTTTGTTTATTTTTCTCTTCATTCTTCTAAGCAATCACTTTTGTTACAATGTTACTTACGATCTTGAATAGGTGCCTTACCCATTGTTGTAATAGCCTACTTCGCACATACATACATACATGCATGCATGCATGCAGGGCCCGGTAGTGAAACCAATAATATTGCAGCATATGAATAATATTAAAGAATCATACGAAGGAACTGTTTCGTTCAACATACACAACATAATTGCTGCGTTTCCCATCACTTTAAACTACCTGTTGCATGTAGTCTCCCATAAACGACCTGTACATTACGTAATTTTTCTGCTCATTGAGCCGCACAGAGGACCTCCTGTTCAATGTTTCGACTGCATTAGATATAAAAGTATTAAACTTGATCGTTTTTAGCCTGGCTGTGGCCTTATGCTGAGACTGTAAGAAAGTGTGGAAGAAGTTGGTCTTCAGCTGTTCGTCTAATGGAAAGATATCCCGAATTTACCTTCACATGCTCCCAGGTAATCCTTCCCTCGTTGCTGCAGAGGGGTATAATATTGGTACAAGACGTGAAAACAAGTGTAATATAAACGTTCTTTGTGTTAGATTGTACTCAGTGATTCATTAATGTCCTTAATTCCATTATGTTTGCAAAAAGATTGTGGAGAGTAATTAATATTGTAAGTGCTTGCGTTGGTTAATGATTATTTCATCTCACGGCGTATATTCGTCCTACTTATGACCAACCCATGCATGTCCGCTACTTCAATAGTCCTCTAGCTTTCCTGGACGTAAATACCGCTACAGATCAATCACCTTTGCTTACCACTCAGGGACCAGCGCTGCTGCTTAACTTAGCTTTTCTCTTTTACTGCAGTTGGGTCTTAAAATTCATAAATGTAGTGAATCAAACATTCAAATTCTACCATTACCTCAATCAAACGCGATCCATCTAAGACCTCAATGTCTCTAAAAGTCGAAAATTCGATTTTCTTTTGCTCACCTCACAGGCTCAACAATTCGAATGGGTTAAGATTCACTATCCTCATTTGTTTGAAGATATGAAGAAATTTGCGAAAACTGGAAGCTTTTTACCAGTTGGTGGAACTTGGGTAGAAATGGTAAAATTTGTTTTCTTTTTGCCATTTTAAATTTTTTGCCATTCGCATTCAAGGTAAATGATTATCGAGCTTTCCTTTTTTGGTGACCTGAATTACCTCGTGTTTTGTAGGACGGGAATATTCCTGGAGGTGAATCATTTGTTCGACAATTTTTATTTGGACAGTCTTTCTTTAAAGAAGAATTTGGTTCTTTCTGTCAAGAGGTAATATTACTCTATCGAATTTCTATCGTTACGTTTTCAACGTATATCATGCAAGATTTAGTTATTTGTGATATATTTTATAGTTTTATTGGTATTTTATAGTTTTGGTTGCCTGACACGTTTGGTTACTCCGCCCAGTTACCACAAATTATGAGGGAAGCTGGAATGAAATACTTTGTAACACAAAAATTGAGCTGGAGTTTGATGAACAAGTTTCCGGTATGTTCAAAAAAGTATTGCATGTAAGCAAAAACAAAAAAGTATTGCATATAAGCAAACTAAATACGAATAAAGAGGTGGTATAGAACCAGGTATAGGCAGTCACAGTCCAAACAGTTATTGAGAGCTAGTAGGCCATGGGGCACACACATGCATGCAGTAACGCAGAGTTACAACGTTTCTTGATTGTAAGCAGAATGAAGTCTGCTGACGTCATGTACACGCCAGTATATGCTGACTTTTTCTATTTCACCGGCCTGCACTTATTTCTAATTTCAGCACAATTCGTTTATATGGGAAGGCATTGATGGATCGAGGTACTTCTCTTTTGCGTTGTTGCAGGAAATTTATTCCTAATGCAACAATGCATGCGTGTAACACCTTATAATTAAGTTTTACAGAACTTGTGCGTCTTCGATTGTATATGCATGCGTTGTGGATATCCACTATCTCCTGATGTCTTAACTATCTTAGCTATCTACTTGCTATATATGCAATGTGCTTTTTTCTCGAATTTCTAGTTTTATATAACTCGTTACTTTTTCCTTTAGATGTCTTGCCCATTTTCCTCCTGGTGATACATATGAATCCATGGCCGGCGTTGATGATGTAGGTTCTTCAAATGTCTAAGAATTAATCAAGAATACCATTCTCTAAAAAGGACATGGGAACTAACTTTTCAGGATGTGAAAGCATTGCCGATTTGACAAAGTGGCAATATTGTTGTTTTCAAGTTACAACATGAAACGTTTCCGTCTAGATGGAGTTAAATGTAGTTGTATATTTTTTACTGCAGCTTAGCCTATTTTTTAACGTAGTCAATATCAATATTTTCTATTGGATCGATGTTCTATGATTACTGATGACTGTGTTTTGGTGTTTACTTGAAGATGATTAAAACGGTGAAGAATCTGAAAGACAAAGGCCGAACTAATAACAGTATGTTGTTATATGGGTATGGTGATGGAGGCGGAGGACCAACGTACGTATTTATATATGCAATATTAAATCTCTTTCTTGAAAAATATATCGTAGAAAAAGAAGACATATCGTAAAAAACAGAAAAGTATTATCGAAATAAGAAAGCAATTTCTTGATAAAAGAAACAGGGGCGTGGCGTGACGATCAGGTGTGCGTGTGATCGATATATTTAAATGAGAGTTAATCCGTCGAAATGACAAATGTGAAACGCTCGCTTAAATTGATCATTCGTTTACAGTTTTTTATTTTTAGTGAAGATATGATTGAAAAACTGAACAGAGTAAAAGATACTGATGGTTTACCAAAGTAAGTTTGTCCATTTCATGTGCGGTTAGTTGAATATCTTCCAGATATAGTTGGCATTATTACCTTTTGCACTATAGTATGTAAACTAGTAATGTCTTTGAATCTTGTATAGAGTAGTTTTATCAAGTCCTCAAAAATTCTTTAAAATTCTGGACGAGAACGATTCTTCTAAGCTCTGTACATGGATTGGTGAATTATATTTAGAATTACATCAAGGAACATTTACAGCGCAAGCAAATGTTAGTATACTAATATGTACACATGTGATCTACCTATACCATTATGAAGGCAAGTAAACAAATTGGAAGTCTGTGTGTTTTTTTAGATTAAAAATGGTAATCGACGGAGTGAATTTCTTTTACACGATTTGGAATTTTTGTCTTCCATTGCACTCACCAAGAATGCAAACCAGGGAGCGGAACAGTCGAAAGGTGCAGGCAAATATCATGATCGAAATTGTCCTCATGCAGTAAAATTACAAAACGTTATACCGAAATTATTTATATATTCCTGTAGCGATATGACTTAATATACCAGATAATAATATATTGCTTGTCTATTAGTTACATAATTATATACGACTTGTTGTATTGAACCTGATGATATTTCGACATTAACATTTGGCTTTAAAACATATTTAAGATTCATTTGCATATGCAGTTGAAGAACTAAAGCGATTATGGAAACTTTTGCTCTTGAATCAGTTTCATGACGTCATACCAGGAAGTTGCATTAATGAGGCAAGTGATCAGCACAAATATTTCGAATTTTCATAGAAGAAAGAGTATGATGCATAGAAGTAGCTTTTCAGTGGTTCTAGGTATGGGATTGCTGTTACAACCTCATTTAATTGTAAAACGATTATATTATTAGGACTTCACCCTTTGAGATTAAGCAAGGTTATCATTGATAAAATCTCTGGTAAGAATAACCGTGGACGAATAATCGTCAACATTTCCATTTTATTACGTTTAGGTTGTTGTTGATGCTTTGGAATATTATACAGGTATATTTGAACCGTGTATGTAATTTACTTATGTATAGTTGCATTTATACTGTGATTTTATTCTATTAAGACATCAGGGAGAGTTGTACCGGATTGCTAAAACAAAGTTTGGATGCTATAATTAAAAGGGTTTGCTAATTGTGATAACTTTATGCTTTTGGTAAAAATAACTTAGACGTTATAGCGTTATAGTGTACGTTTAAAACATGGTATTTTTTTATCAAGGCATCTTCAGACGCCAAATTAAAAACACCTCAACTCGTGGCTTTCAACACTCATTCCTGGCCAAGACAAGAAGTTGTCATATTGTCCGATACAATTTCTGAACGATTGGATAAAATAGTGACGCAAAAGCTGGGATGTGGTCAGACTCTGGGTAGGTTTTCGTCTTTAATAATCCCCAAACTATACCGTTTAAAAAATAACTTAGACGTTCTCAGTGCTTACTTTATGATTTCACATGTTTGAACAGCTCTTGTTGATGTTCCAAGTATGGGTTATGCTGTTGTTGAAAGTAATGTAGAGTATGAGCCTTGTAGTATCCAGGTGCTACAGGTAATTCCATGCATAAAAGTACACTTTGTTGAAATGCTCCCATGCAGAAACGTCTGACAGCTGTACGAACAAGTTCATGTACTTCATGTTACCCGTTAACTCAAGCTATTTTTGTCCTGGAATAGGATTCAGAATTTGTGGTTTTGAAGAATTCATTTTTAACAGCAAAAGTAGATCGATGTGGTCGTTTAGTATCACTTATCCACAACAAGAGTAAGAGGTACGTTCTCTATATAGTCAGGTTAAGAGAGGTTTGTTTATAAGTTTGTTTATAAGTTAGAGAGGAACTGTTTTTCTTTTAATTGCATGTGAAAAACTGAGATTATTTCTGAACCTACAATATATATTGTATTGCATTATTTATTTAGAGACATCATTTCTCCAGGATGTCGTGGTAATCAGTTTGTTATTTTTGACAATGTTCCGCTATATTGGGATGCTTGGGACGTTATGCCTTATCATCTAGAAACCAGGTACATATGAAGTTTTTCATTACTTGTCAATCTTATTTTCACTCTTTGGGTTGAGAAAGTATCCGGGATTCAAATCTGCATGGCATCTTCATTTTAATCTCAACTATGTTTGTTTCAGGAAAGAAGTTTCTGAGAACAAAGAGGGCACTCGTATTGAGATTGTGGAACAGGGGCCACTTCGCGTGTCTGCCAAGGTGAGCGAACTCTTCAAGCAGATTGTGTTATTTATCTTCAAATGTAAAGTTATGAATATACGCCCGCCAATTTTTTCCATTTTATTAATATTTAGGAATTTCAAAGTAACTGTATAGTTAGTGACAAAATCGCCTATTCCAATCAATTGAATTTCAGTATAATAAGAAACTTGAAAACTCTGAGTGTTGCAAGATTCAGAATAATCAGAAACTAAGGTCTGGAAACTCTCAGTGTGTTGTAAGATTCTCTGGAAAACTCTCAAAGGGTTGCGAGACTCAGAATAATAAGAAAACAAGGTCTGGAAAACTCTTAGGGTGTGGTAAGAGTAATAAGAAAATTCAGTCTAGAAAACGTTCCTTACGTAATCGGAAACTAAGTTCTAGAAAACGCTCATGGTGTCGTCAAATGATTTGGTATATTGAGAAAAATTCCATCTAGAAAGCGCTCAGGGTGTTGTGAGATTTAGTAATCAAAAACTAAGATCTAGAAAACATGCCCACATTCCTTGATCTATAATCTCGTCTTATCAACGAAATATCAAGTGTCATTGTTGCCATGGGTGTTTTCCTGGTATAAATGGTATGTAAACAAAGCGGTATAAATACCGTATAAATATATCACAGTATGGTCCCATCAATTTAACTTTCATGTCCTGATCATTGGGAAAAATGATAACAATAACGAACAAATTCACCGAATGTTATCGTGTAAAAACTAGGTACGCAATGCGTACTGGTGGTACTATCGTGTAATTCCTTGCACAATTTTCTCATTGTAAGAACTTTATTATAAAAACCTGTTTATAAACTTTTAAAATTATAAACTATTAAAACTTTATCGCCAGCTTATCAGCGTAAAATCCAATATCATTTATGACATATATGTGTAAAGACCCTGGGTACGAGGTTGATGTGTTACAAGACAGAATTAAACGTCTGATGTTTTGATGATTTTTTAATAAATCAGAAAATAATATAGTTATATCAACACTGAGTACTGGATCAGTCGAAATGGGTAAACAAGGATTGTTTTTACACAATTTTGCGATTTTACGACACAATTTTCAGTCCTATATTATTCTCTATATTATTATCTTTGTATGCAAAGTATAAAAAGTACAGGTTGTTATGTTGATAGTCAGGTTATTATGTTAATAGTTATATTTTTCATCAACATGTAATATGATATGCTGGAACATTAGAACCTACAGGTTGTGTGTCGCCAAACATTGTTCCATGAACAATACATCAAACTACATGAGGTAAGTCAGAGGTCGTTTCACTCAAGGTCCGAGAACATTCAGCCAAAACTGGAGCCAAAATGTCTTCCTGTTTGATCTACAAAGCATTGATCTTTACTTTTTTTATATCTTTGACTCATTGTGAAGCAGAACAATTGTTTCGTAAGAAGTTTGTTTTCAGTGACAAGACAGCGTATCATTTCCTAAACGAAACCATATCTCGACCGTCAAGATGCAACCCGGTGTATGTAAACATGGTGCTCAGGCACGGTTCAAGATATCCTGCTAAATCCCGTGTGTCAAACATGGGCTGGTTTCTTCGAAGATTGAATTCATTTCTTTCTCTGAATAACCGGGCGAATGCGACTTTCCGTTACAAGGGACTTACGCTTCCTTGGGAAATTCCGCTCGATGTGAGGAACTCAGCGAGTAAAGAGCTGTCCAGACTAGGCGCGCAAGAGATGTACTGGATAGCTAAGCGCCTTCGTGAAAGGTTTCCTGAATTGTTCAAAAAGGATTATTCTAATAGAGATTACAGTTTCATAGCAACGGATAAGTTAAGATCGAGCCAGAGTGCGGTTGCGTTTGCGCAAGGTATTTTTGAACAACGTGGTCCGGTTGAGCTGGGAAAGTATCAGCCAATAGCAATACAATCCTCTGGTCCAGCTGATAGAGACCAAGTTCTGCGTATTTATGAAGCCTGTCCAAAATGGAAGAAAGAAAACGCAAAATCAACTATCTCTGAATACTCAAAATTCATTCATGGACCTCGCGTTCGCAATGTGACAGAGAAGATTGCCAAACGATTAAATCTAAACAATAAACCAAACCTGATTACTCCTAAAGATGTGGTCGAATTGTATCTGATGTGCGCGTTTGGTACTCAGACAGACAGCAATGATGTCAGTCTGTGTTCTTTGTTTGAAGATGATGATTTGGAAGTTATGGAATACCTAAATGACTTGAAAATCTATTGGAGTTATGGTCGTGGAAGGAAAATTAATTACAAAATGGCGTGCCTGCTGTACAAGAAAATAATTGAAAGTTTTGAGCAGTATATGCGACGTCGCAGACCTTCTGGGGTGTTTCAGTTTGCCCACACGGGAACTGTAGTTCCTCTACTTACTTCGTTGGGTTTATTTACTGATGATCTGCCATTGCGTGCTGACAACTTCATTGTACAAGGTAAACGAGAATTTCGTCCGTCAAACATTGTACCAATGTCGGCAAACGTGGCGTTTGTGCTGTACGAATGCAATAAAACCCGCTGGGGAATGAACTCAAGAAGTAGAATATCCAGAGTGATGAAGATCCAAGTGATAGTAAATGAAGTTGCTGTGAAAATTCCCGCTTGTGGCAAGACACACTGTCCTCTCAAAAAATTTCTTGATTATTATTCGCGCATCAGAAATAGATGTAACATGAACAACGTTTGTGGCCGACTTCGGAAAAGTTGTGGATGAACTCGAGACGCGGAAAAATTGGCGCTGAATGATTACATTGCTTATTTTTGAACTGGATGATCACTTTTTTGTCATCTTTATAATGTTGCGTATTCATGTAATTGTACCGTATTAATTTTAATTGGTGTAGTGACTTGCATAATGAAATTGATTAAATTGTCTCTGCGTGGAAAAGCGACTGTCTTTTCCATTCCGTTGCGATCTATCACGAAATGTATAAATCGAAAATCGAAATGTATGGATTTCTTTTTATTAAATCTAATTCTGCAATTCAGTTTTTATATGACCAATGCTCATTGGGAGTGTGGCGAACATAACTTCATGTAAGCCGTGCATCAAAGGAATCCCAGCACCACAGAGTTCTGGGAGACGTTAAGTCATAGCTTCATTATTTGACCTAGGCCGTAATTTCTCTAAAGTCCGGGCGTCTCAGTCATTCTTTGCGATGTGATATACAGCCCCCGAAAGGAACAGCCTGTATTCTATTTAATGAAATTGATACATCGATCAAATTGAAAAAACATCTGCCAATGACTGATGAAAGAAATTTTTATGTTGATCTTATAATACCTATTTAAGAATATCTAAACATACATAGCACTTCTTGTTTCAGTACGTCACGTCTTTGCATAGGTATTTGGCGGTACACAGCGGTAGTTTAGTCCATTACTTCCTTACTGGCATGTTGTTTTACTTTGAGGGGTTTTTATTCCGCAGTACATGTTGTATCTACCTAAATGTGCTCAATTTTACTTTCAGTTTTCCCTAAAAATCAGTGAAAAATCATGGATTACACAACATATTTTATTGGATGCTGTTTCTCCCTTTATATCTTTCCACACAAAGGTTTGTGTTGGTAGTCCATCAATATTATGCATACATAACATAATGTCAGTGCTTTTAAGATCACTATTTCACTGATTTAGCTCGGTTTTATACGCCGTGTTTCACACGCATGTACCGAAACGATTGAATTCACTAGATTTAGATAATTGGCCGTGTTGCCTCGTTTTCGATTGTTCTTTATGTATTTGGCATAATTATGTTAAATTCGGGGTATGAAAAGTGTCTTATATGACATACACTGTTACTTTATCTCATGTCTAATTTTTTTAATATGTTGTATAGGTTGATTGGCATGAAAACAGAAAGTTTTTGAAAGTTGAATTTCCTGTTAATGTTCGTTCACCAAATGCCACTTATGAAATTCAGTTTGGACACCTTCAAAGACCTACCCATTTCAATACAAGTTGGGACTGGGCGCGTTACGAGGTATTCTTCGTTTACCAGCCAGTCACACACGTCTTTTTATTCTTCATTCCAATCATATTTTATTTCCTCTTACTGAAAAAATCAGTTCATTGCTATATGTTATGCTTGTGTATATCCATATAGGTATGTGGTCAAAAATGGTTTGACCTCTCTGAATACAACTGGGGATGTGGTATCATGAATAACAACAAGTATGGATTTTCTACCCGGAACAACGTCATGACCATTTCCCTGTAAGTAAAGATGATTAAAATTGGGAGTTCCAAGATGGGAGATTAAAATTGGGAGCTTAGCGGTTTGTCATGTTTCTGTATACTTTTTTCACTGGACTATATATGGATCAGTGAGGCATTGCACTGAGTTGAGGTATAGTATAAGATGGCAATAGAAATGCCCACTCAAATTACACACTCCTGATTTATTTATCAGATGATTTATGCATGCTACGTATATATACGGGTATACACTTTAGGTTAGGTTGAATCAATTATGATTTTTAGCACTCGATGCAGTTAAATTCTAGAGGTTTAAGGGGGTCTTAATTTCGAGTGGAATTATACACACTTCAAATTCAAGCCAGGAATACTTAGAATAGTTGATGGAAAGTTGGGTGAGGTAGACTTTATATCACCACGCTGACCTTTCAGCAGTAGGGGGGCGTAAGTGATAATAAATTTTCGGTCTTATCTGGTCTTAGCTTGCGGGCTCCTAAAGCCCCAGATAACGAAGCCGATATGGGAAGCCATGACTTCAAGTATGCTGTTTTACCTCACACAGGTACTGTCATTCTTGTTAATAAAACACAGTATATTAAGAAAATCGCAGTTATAATCAACTATATAAGAATAAACATTAATAGCCATTGTTTAAACAATCTTTATTTGAAATATGCGAAATTTGATTTTCTTTTGAATTTTATTGATTGTCAAATTTTTAGGAAGCTTTCAGGATTCGGGATTGATACGGCACTCGTACAATTTCAATAACGAACTCAGACTGGTTCCTACAAATACTGATATTAGTCGTGGTAAGTTGTTTAATACGGTACAGCAAGCGCCATAACTAATGCATGCATGCATGGAAATATCGGGCGCAAATATTCTTTCTTTTCCGTTTGAAATGGGTGGAATGGGCAAAACAATATTAACACCCCTCCCCCCTCCTTCTCCTAACCCTAATGCTCAAATTGTACAAAGTCGCAAGTGATAATAGACTAATAGTTCGTTTTTTGACATGCACATTTGGAACCCTTTTTGGAGATCTTTTAATTTACTAATGTTATTATTTACGCTGAAAATATTCACGTGGGTGTCAGAGACGTCAAAGTCTCTTCATTGCGTTCCTTTTGATATTTGACAACCTGGCAGATGGCCGCGTTATCAAATGATCCACGTTTACAAAAGACGTGTGTGCACTTTACAAGAATTAATGCATTTAAAAAATGTTCATATAGAAGCGAATTAATCAACGTTCCAATTAATCATGTGTTAAAATTTAACCTCATTTGGCGTTTTTTTTTCTAAATCTCGTAATTTTTCTAAATCTTGCATTTTGGTGAAGAGTACATCCGATATCGTTTTCTTAATCGCGGACTCATCTCTGTCCGTCTTTTAGCTCTGACCTTAGGAAATCCTCATACTTGGGGAATTTGTTGGGAGCTAAGAATCTGAAAAAACATGTTATTATGACTGGCTAAACTATGTGTCGCTATTTCCTATATGTATAGAACTAAGACGTGTTTCATATTTCAAAGTCACGAATGAGGCTATCGTTTTGGAAACTATAAAGAAGGTTCGTTTGTGTATTATGTATATGTATTACAATGTATATAAAAACGTCAACTGAGTGAGTTTTTTAATTCCTATGAAGGCTGAAAGAGAACCTAATGCTTTGGTTATGAGATTATACGAAGCTTTTGGAGGGCACAATTCTTCGAAAATTGTATCACAATTAGGCATTTCCAAAGTTCAAAGGTATGGCGTCATGCACTACATGTGTACAGTTCTACAGCAATATTTTTATAAGGAGCACTTGCATGATAAAAATCTTGCAATTTATTTCAAGGTGCGATCTTCTGGAGAGGCCGCTGGAAGAACTGCCTTGGCAGGGTGGTGATGGTCTCCAACTGGATTTTAAACCTTTTGAAATTATCACATTACTGTGCTTTTTAATATAGTTCACTAAATAATAGTTTCAAATTTACTTATAAGTATAAAATTCAGAATCATGCCAAAAATTAATCGTAATTTATTTAAATCCACTGAATTAATTAGATGTATTGAAAAGACGTCATAGATGATAGGAATTTAAAGGACTTCCCAACTGAAAAGAACTCGTGCATGCATGGTGTTTCATATCTACCCTTATTGACCCCATGCAAGTGTGGGACAAGTTGCCTCAGTTTATCCCAATTACTTACGTATTAGTTAGGACAACCACCTGGCCCACTACTGGCACCAGGGCGGTAGCTACCGCCCACTTGGGGGGGGGGGTGTTAATCATATATTCATGTTTACGTATCATGCATGGGAACAATAGCTCTCAAAAGAAATCAGTCGGGCATAAGACAAATGTATGAAATGCACCCCCCAATTAAGCTTCTAGCTACGGCCCTGTGTCTGCTCTGGCACTAGCCTTTTAGTTTTCTTAATGGTATATAGTATTAGCACTATAGCACTGATAACATTTTGCCAAGTTTTGGCCTTAATGTTCGGCTAACCAACCAACCGCTAATGAATTCTGTATTACTATTGACATGCATATATTGTGCGCACCTTTAGGGAATATTATGCGGTATTAAAAAGTAAAACACGTAGTCAAAATATTGAGCTCCGTAGGCGTAGTCTTATAAAGATTGTACTCATTGTAGTATAAGTCCTTAGTTTCAAAAGGCTTTGATAAAACAAAGAAATATTCCTTTGACGTGGGTTGACAAAGTCGTTTCTTTATCAGTAATCCTCTTGCATAAATGAATAAATTTAGATGAGCGAAAGAAGCGGAACTCATAACAATATCCAGCCATTATTATACAAAAGACGTTTATATAGGCGCTTCAGCTTACGGTAAATATGGAGTAAAACGTAGAAAAGATTACATGTGTTTTTATATGGCTTCTCTAATACTAGGATTGTTAGTATTATGTGTGTGTGGCCCATTACTCTCGGGTATTTGTGCTGATCCCGTTCAAAGGGAAGAAGGTATGTAGAACTTCACCTCATTAAACACTACAAAACATTTTATAGACGTAACATTTGTTCGCCGGCATGTTTATACATTTCTACACATAGTTGTATCTCTGAGGTGATCCTCTTGCTGTTTCTCATAGTGTAGAGGTTACACTTAAAACTGAGCCACAAGTAAAACGGGAAACAAGTGATCGTTCAAACACCTGATGTATACATATAGTAACTCAGTTTCAGTTGACTTTTATGCTAATCTATAGAATGCAAATTAACATCTGATATTTGAGCGTTTCTCTAAAATGTTATGTTTTAACGCAGTGATGTAGCTTTATTTACCACTGTCTGATGACACGTCTATAAAAGACTATATATGTATATATATAGAATGTCATCTATCGCTACAAGAACAAAAAAAATACGGAATATACATATGTCAGTAAAAGCGTTTTATTCAACGATTTCTGTGTAATCATTAATTTATTAAAGATTTCTTGTCTGCCTTGGTGAATATTTTGGTTGTCCTATGCCATGGGCCATGGCCATATAACTTTTCTTATGGACAGAGATATTTGTTTCCACCCCTTGTAGTTTTCTAGCCTTTTTCTTTGAACTTTGACTTTTCGTAATCAAGATTTAAAGTAAAGTTTTATCTATCTTATGAGTGAGTGTCGCCTCCTGTGGGCAGAAGCAAGCCATGCATGATGCTTGAGGAATCAAGCCGTTTATACACACGTATAATACGTATTTATGATTGATTTTTACAAATATATATCTCTGATATTGTGCCGAAGAGATGAATCGCGAGTTATAAACATACATATATTGGAATCAGCCTCTCGAAATATAAGTTCTGCAATTCACGGTCGCTCGGATTGCCTGGCTGTACGGAGCTCGCATGCGTAAAGCCAAGGCGGACAAACACGCAATCGTGGCCTTAATTTTTATAAATCTAACGCGTATTTATACTTCAAAAAGCATTTTCTATCTGAAGAATGTGCATATTATAAATACTGCGTGGGACGTCAAGAGTGCATGAATCCTATTAACTCCTCTTAGTTTTACATTCAAACGTATTTGCGCTATAGAAGAACTGAAATGAGTGAAATCCTAATAACATAACTGATATTTTATTATGAAAAGAGTTATATTTGTCATACACTTAGAAAGAAACGATTTTACACAATATTAAGGCAAGTAGATATATCTTTAGACTAGCTTCCTCCCCGTTTTACTGCTTTTTTTTATTAATAATGCCTTTGCCTTTGGACAGCTGTGTTTATTTTTATGAATTTCAATTACAACTCGAACGTGTAGAAGCTACCATTACAAGTGCATTTTCTATACATGTTTAGTAACAGTACACATTCAATATGATCGTTCGTGAGCTTCTTTCCTCCTATAACAACTATATTACATTCAGCCATGACGACGTGTTTCTGATGACTAATGACTTTTCTCTGACCGGTTGACCGTGGGCTGGACCGGTCGTTTATAACTTTTATTGTGGATTTAATTCGTCAACCAAACTTATTTTCGGTGAATAACTGATTTATTTTAGATGTTAAACTATTTTGCTATGACTCAATGCATGTGCTGTGGTACATAGAAGTTTTTCGTGACCACAATCTCGCGTCTCCCTTTCCAAAATATAATCGTTTACCAAACTATAATCCCAAAAGGTATTAATAGCGTCATATAACACAATGTGATGGCGGCATATGCAAAGTTTAGAACTGGAAATAATTGATTTCGATATTTATTTCGTGCCTTGACTTGGGACATCTTATCTATCGCTATCAGACTAAGGAAAATGAGATGCTTTCTGTGAATAACGAGAAGAAGCAACGATAATTAATCGCAGTTTCGACGTGCCATGTTGCTCCATTTTCAATCGATCTGTTTGCAGTAGAAAACGAATACAAAAAGCTTTTGCGTAAGGAGTGATTGGACAGTGGGCACTGTTCACAGAACACATAATAATTAATTATTTTTTACCTGAGGCGTAGCTTAGATATTGTACTTCACAAATCATGCAAAATATTTGTGTCAAACGTATATCTGTAAGTCGCGTTCTATTTGAAATTTGGATCTTATTATAGCTATTATGGTTTCACGAAAAGTTAACGAGAAGTTCTGCGTTTACATTTCAAAGATGATATATCATATATATGCATGCTCACGAACTATATAACTGAGTCGATTTTGAAAGTGCTCCTGGTTGCCTGGAAATCACCAGTTCCCACAAAATATGCGGTCATGCAATATAATAAAGTAGTCTTGATTGATACATTGTCAGTTAAGGCATTTACGATTCATATTTCGTTAGCTACCAGAAACCCAACAAAAAAATCGCTGATATTCATCATTATCCACTCTACGCGTTTAAGGCTGAAAATTTCACTTTGTCGAATATTATGTACATAATGTTTTAAAACTCAAAACTCTATAAGTGATTTCTTAAATTTGATTGGATATAAACTTCACTTGCGTGTATGAGTAGCTACATGTGAATGGCGGGACAAAGGAAACGAACTTCAATAAGTCGTGAGTTTATCGCCTTTGTAGCACAAAATGTACGGCATTACCAGCACAAAATGTAGTGAATTGTACAGTAGAATACATTGCGAGTCTGGTAATAGGTAATATGCGTCGTTTGTCATGCAAAGACCGGCGTCGCCTAAATTGACCAACATTCATTGGTATAAGCTTTGCCATCGTGGCGAACAATGTCGAGTGTGGCAAAGAACGAAATATGCATGTCATAGCTTGATCAGAATTTGAGTTAATAGCTAGGGCTCACCGTATTGATATTTACTGCGTATCACCAATTAATATAATCTTCACTATAATGCATGCATGACTCAAGTCCCAAGTGTGTCCCAAGTTTCAAGCAATAGCTATTGAGACTTGAGAGCGAGGCTCATGCACATGCCAAAAACGTAGCGAGTGCAGCGTATACATTTCTTTCAATTGGGATGAAATGTTCACTGCTCACTCAACCTACTCTCTCCTCCTTCCCAAAGAATGTACGCCTCTTGATTAGGATTGCCCTGATTATAATCACAGTACTCCCCCATATGCATAACTATTCAGTAAGTTTCGTTGGAAAAAACCTAAAGAATTCTGCATTATTGCATCTAATACATTTGTCATGTCTGCATGTATTATAATCGTTGTATCTTAATTAATAATCTTTACCGAGCTGACAAACTGAAAATAAGCAAATCTCGTTCCAGATAATAGTGATGAAAGAAGCTTTAAACGCGAGTTAGAATTATTTGACAACGAGATGGAAGACGACTGGGAACATGATGATAATGAATACCTTTCAAAACACGAATTAGAAGAAGAATATGAAAGGGATAAGAAGAATACAAGGTGTCTTCAGATATCTAATGAAAATAAGCGATGGTTCGACGTGGATACACCTGGAAATGGTAATGACTAATGTAATATCTATAAAGTTTTGATGTCTGAGTTTTGAATATCGCTTTAAAGCTATGAGTTAAAAGAGGGTATATATAGAGGCCATGTATGTTGTGTGTACATATAAACGTCATGTTGAGAAATCAAAACTCAATCCAGACTCAAAAAAGAAAAAACAGAAATCAAAACTCAATTTTCATGGTTTGTAATATAGCTAGATTTAAATGCTCATTGGTTTTTTTTGTACTTGTTTAGATGCATCAAAAGAAGAACAATCCCCCGCTTATGACGATGAATTGCCTGAAAATGGGCGTAAGTAAATAATGATATACATGTAGTTATATATCATGCATATAGTGTTCAGAAGTCGGCAATTCAAATATAAGATTTGAGTAACCACAGTAGCCACAGACCACCACTAAAATTGCATTTTGGGATAGTTTATGAGGCATGAATAATAATGAATTGTGTTTACGAGACCTTTAGGTAATTCTTGCAGCCGGTTGCAGTTTGGTTTTTTTGAAACCCTGGCTGTGTAAATTCGTCGAATTTGTGATTTTCATTGCTAAAAATCCACCTGGCATGGCACTCATGGCGAAAAATTTGTACACGGCCATAATTTCTCTTTTTCCGTTATTTTTTATCAAGATACCTGTTTCTTGTTTTAGAATTATTTGAGGAGGACATTGTTATGGACGATTATGTTCGTGATGTACTGAATGGTTTAGCTGGTAAACGTGATGCTGTAAGCTTACAAAGTTATCGTTGGCCAGAAAGAACAATTTACTATGAATTCGGTCCAAATATTGGTAAGTGTGAGAAATTTCGTTCGCACACTTTAGATTCCCTTGCATGCAGGAACACCGCAGCCTATACCCAAACATAGAGCGATGGCGGCAGTTGTTACATGGCAGGTGTTATATATCTTAGATAACCTACGATACACACCACTCGCACTGAACTAAATCAGGAGAATCCACGCATGCACAAAAACCTTTTCATGAATGCATAATTATATTCCATAAAAAATACTACGCTTTCTGTTATCGTACTTCGTATATATAAGCGAAAGAGGTTCAGTAACCCGGATGTTTTTTAGATTACGCATCAAAATTGGTGATAAGACGTGCAATCGAGGAGTATCACAAGTACACGTGTATACGATTCGTTGAAAAAAAACCTGGTGATGGGGCCAAGGATTATGTACAATTTATATCTAATGGATCTGCGTAAGTATTCAGGCTAACCAGCGATGACTACGATCTTGATATTTACGGTTAGCAGATATAACTATAGATATATGAAGGTTCACACTCAAACGCAAAGTTTAAGGGAGGGAGGTAGGGGGGAGGGAGCTATTATAAAACAGCTTTAAGATTCGGGTTCATATCGGAGTCATATTAATATTCGTACGCACATGCGCGTAAAAAATATTGTGGACGCTGCAAAAATGGGTTTTTGACAGGAATAAGGAATTATAAGGAATAGGGCACGTAGAAACCACAGGTAATTCAATGCCTTTGGTATTACACCTTGAACTCCAGGCTGGGTTATTGATATTTATGAAGTTGGAAATTTAGCTTTGTAGTTTAGCTTTGTAAAGACAAAAGATATGTCTAACAAACAGAAATCTACACTGTTCTTTCGTGAATGTTTTGTATGTTCACGGTCAGTTACCCAATATACTAGCATGCGATTTTCATTGGCATTGCTCTCTTCTTCCCATTGCAATCAGTGTATGCATTAATGCATGTATTTAAAGTTTACCACTTGTTTTTTAGCTGTTATTCAAACGTTGGTCGGCGTGGTGGTATGCAGGTTGTTTCTATTGGCTTCGGATGTTTACGATTAGGAACTCCAATACACGAAATCATGCATGTACTTGGATTCTTCCACGAGATGGCTCGACCTGATAGAGACGAAACTATAAAAATTCACTGGGAAAACATTAAAGCTAGTAGGCTATTTAATTAATTGTTTTATTTCTTTTTACCTAATTACGAGGAACCTATTTAAGGAACATGCACGGGCCACTCAGTCAGTATGTTATTTATTCATGGCATTTTTAATATGTTTGAATTCTGAAGAATTCAAGCATAATTTCAGAATAATAGCGAAGTACTTGGATAAACAACTCATCTGTTTCAACATTATGGTAAGTGCACTGACATAAAGTCAAGGCATTATTCAAATATACGAATGAGAAGTTATCGAAACAGAGGAAAACCACTGAAACAAGTCAGTATGTTAGTATAGCGATTCAAAAAGTAACTAAACTGTTTGGTATAGTGGCAAGCGAAGGTCAAGAGGAATTGACCTATAATGCTGAACACAGGATTAGCATCAGATATTAGATCACCGTTTCATTATAGGTCAAATTCTAGGTTACTAGTATTATAGGCATTATAGGTAGACATACAGTATAACTTTGTGATACATGCAAGTTGTACTAAAATTTCGTAAAAACGGCGCAAACTAATGAAAATGATCTACAATTTAAATGGTTTAATTGGATGGTATAAATGGTTTAATGGATAATTTTCCGTATATTACTTGCGAAGCAATTCAACTTCAATTAGTTTTGATTATTTATTTTTTCTGTAGTCTGTTATGCAGTATAGTAATGGAGCGTTCTCAAAGAATGGTCTGGATACTATAACTTCAAGGGTTGATCCCAATAAGAAATTTGGTCAGCGATGTGGTTTCAGTGTGGGAGACATCAAGGAAATAAACATCCTGTACAATTGCCCTGAGTACAACAAAAAACTCGGAGACAAAAAAAATTCAGAGACGTTGTGTTAGTTACCAGGCAAAACGATGAATATATTATGAGCAAAGTCATGAATAAATTATAATTTCATATGTGTTGTTTCGTGTTTGTCCAACATTTGTTTTAATCTACAAAGAATCTCGAATACATTGAGATAATCTATTGTTCTATGGCCAATTAATGCCAATACGAAGCCAAACGTAAAATAATGTAATGCTCAACTGCATAAAATGTTCTGCTCGAATTGTCAGAGACAGAGATCGAAATAAAAGAGCAATTCCATCAAATTAATAAGCATTTTCTGTTAGGGCTTAAGCATTGCTCCGAACTCCGAAGGCGTGCGAAGATGTCGCCAAAAGCGATTCTGGTGAGGAATAAACGAGGCGCTTTAGTACAAGGGTTTTAAACACAATTGAACTGAATTTATTCATCGAAGAATCGTCCGTGAATTGGATTAGGGATGATCTCGTACTACGCTGTTATCGCTGACGCTATTCAGAGAAAATATTCCGATTCTCTACCGAAATTGTCCACGATGATTTCAACATATACCAGACAATTTTTGGCTTCTATTTAGGCGGTTGGTACTTCAACTGTGCATGGTATTTCTCATATTCTTTTAAAGAAGTTTCTATCTCTAAAACATTCCATTGTTTTTTTCTGGCGACTCGACATACGCATTTCGAGTGACAAGTGGCCACAGAAGAGCGACATTTTTTATGGTCACGACGATTCGCATGCACTGGCTAAACGAAAATGCATGAATAGATTATGGTTGTTATGGAAATTCCTTTTCTCGTTTAAATAATAATTTATCTAGCAAGTCAGCAAGATACATAGTTTCAGTGGCCGCGGTTATTGAAAAATAATTGAAGTGCATGTAACCATATGCTATCTGGGCGTTATGACCCTAACGCCAACGCCATCATTAAAGTTTTATCTCTTCAGACCATACCTACAAATTTAGGACCTGTTTACATGGAGCGAGTTATCCCGGCTAGGTGAGGTGAAAACTGCATATAATGAGGCACTAATCAGGTTAAGCCTTTGATGTGGTCGATGTGGTCGATGTGATGCGGTTTTTACCTCGCCTAGGCCTAGCCGGGACAACTTTTTTCATGTAAACAGGCCCTTGAGAAATTGAGTATCTCGTCTCGCCCAGACCTATGTATATGTATTTACGTCTATGTATATTTATTCACACATATGTATTCGACAAATGACAAATGATCAAGGAGAATTAATGTTAAGTGGTGTGCAGGTTTCTACAAAGACGAGACTGCTTGTATTTATGATTTATCAGACGAAAATAAAAAGTCGCTAGAAGACAGCGTTACTAAAATGACGTGGGAATAACGTGGCAACTGGCAACATACCCATAAATGCAAACACATCACGCCATTTTACGGTATCGTTCACGTGACCACGGCCTCGATCTAACGCATTCGATTTTTCTAGTTCATTCTCGATAGACAGATATATATTTTATTTGTTTGCTATTCGTAAATTATAAATTTCTTTTATGCATGCTTGATTATTTGATTATTCAGCTACCATTCATTGTTTCCGTTTAGTGGAGGCGGTTAAGTAACATATATAGTTTCGCAGTTTTATAGAATTGTTTCAAAATTTACTAAATATGTTCAAAAGAAATACTTGTATTCTACCCCATGTTGTGACTACACAGCGATGTATAGCCAACCCAACGATTTAGTGCCGCTATACAGAACCACTTTCTTCGTTATTAATGAAACTGATAGGTCAACAGAACAGGCCTTAGCCGGGCAAAATTGTCTTATAGAATTTGATACAGTGGCGTAGCCAACCTGACGATTTTGTCCCGCTATGACTATGTAAATTTCGAGTTATTATAATTATTCATGTCTTTGGAAATTTATCGTTTTCATTAGCATAGTGAACAAATCGACAGGCTTGTTACGCTACTGATTTGATACCGTATATAGCTGCTTGTGGTGTGTCTTACCGCAAACGTACGTGTATAAACAACTATATAGAAATTCATTCTTTTCTTCGTTTTTTGACGTGCATGTGGGTGTACCTACAAAAAATTACAACAATTTATTGTTTCTGGAACTTATAGAAAGTTCTAGAATTGCTCCAATTACATATTATTATGCATATGCAATGGACCGGATCTCCTTATATAAACCTTTTTTCAACATTGCGTTTGTCAGTCAGCTTGCACTACTTTGGTTCAACAACACTCGGAATCACTTTCTTCGGATTCAGGAATATTGCTGTAGTTCATCTCAAGGTAGGCAATTTTATGACATGTATTGACACACGATGTCAGATTTCCATTCATGCAGTTTAGAATTTCTAGCAGCATGTCTTAAATGTATAGCTATATTCGTTTTAATTAATTAAGTAAAGATTGAGTGGGTGGAGTGATTCGAAACAAAATTGTTTCCCAACTTAACGGGCGAAAAAATTAATTCCAACCATAGTTAACGTACGCTTGGTACGCCAACAGCGCGTATCAAAACTGACAGTCTATATTTAATAAAGACTGGTAGTCTAATTTTAATTGTGTGGATATAGGGAACGTGTGGCGTAAATGAGAGATACAGGGTGTACTAAAAAACCAAACCTATTGAAATCACCCATATAACAATGTTATAGTTGAATGCCTAAGCACCCTGTTGGGACCCACAAGTGTATAAATGTTTGACACTAAATGATGACACTGAAATTTGTTTGAATCCGCAAATGATTTTTATTGAACATATTACAATTTACAAATATGGATAACAGTTGTAGGTACACAACTCAAGCACCATGACCTTCGACAGGTCCTTCTTCTCTGGCAAATTTTTCATTAACTTTTGTTTTTAGGATTTTGCGTTGGACTCCGACTGGCAAAAATTCGCGAAAAGGTCATTCAAATTTTAAGAATAAGTGATTTCAGTAGTTTTGGGTTTTTTGGGACACCCTGTAGGTGGTATAGTGAATGGTAAACAATCCTATTGTCTTTTGGCATAATTTGTTATTCCATATAAAGGAAATTTTATAGACAAGTCCTATCTACTTAAGCTACTATTTGTCCAAAATATGAATAATCTTCCAAAGAAAAAAAAAGGCATCCTATATGACTCAGTTGTAGGGCTGATTAAACTTTATGTTTTATGGTATACCTCAACGATTTTGCGTTATCATAATAGATGAAGCACCCGGAAATACCTGATATATATTTTGCCAGCTATATAGGGTGTTGATATATAATTGATACAATGTATTTATCTTTTTTTTTGTTTATACAACACAGGAAACCCACAGATGGCTAGCTCAGTTTTGAAGTGTGCACTCTTGCTGTTATTGATTGATAGCGTTATCTCAAACTGCTCCAGTAAGTGGCTACCATACCTTGTGGTGAACTGATGAATGTAAAAAAATATTATGACGACGAATTTAACCAAATAGGGTCACATATGCATTAACACGGATTATTACTTTTTGACGGTTTTCCGGTAGAGACATGCAAACACCAAATTTGCTTATTTCCTATAGCCATAATGGCGAATGTGAATCACATTATTCAAATAAGAAAAACTTGAATGAACGTACGTGTGAATGAACTTGTAAAATACATGCCCTCCGATGTTAGTTCGTTATAGCATTAGGTTAATTCGGCACATGGAAAGGGCTATATTTACGATCCCTTTCATCTCAGGTATAAATCAGGGCAAATTAACTTGAAGAAAAATCGTTAATCACTAGTTACAGGTCAACTTTTCTTTCCAACTTTACCCGCGATCGATGCTCCGTTTCGCTGAAGGAAATTATTTGGTGCCTATATGTATATAAAATACCTGTTTAAATCTTTTGGCAGATTTTAAATGGGCAGACACCGTTCATAATAATTACATTTGGTCCATCGTTGGCGAGTGGAGGGTTGTTAATTGCAGCGTTAATGACAATAAAAATGTCAATGCAACGTTGTGGCTTAACAAGGCTAAAATAAGGACAACTGACCAAGAGCGGCGAATAGTAATGGTTTCGAAAAATGTGTTTAATGTAACTGATCTCCGACCTAACGACATGGGAAATTACTACTGTAAAGCGTGCGATCTTTGGAAGACTCCAGTCAGAATCAATGTTAAAAGAGGTAGGATCGTATTTTAACAATGCATTCAAGTAACCACCGTTATATCAATGAACAGACAATCCTTTCACGCCTGGCAACGAAACATATTAAATATCTTTTGCTCATATACTTAGGCAAAGCATTTGCAAAACCACAAGTTACAAAAAGACCAAACGTTAGCTCAATTGTATACGGAAGTACTGTTACACTAGAATGTTCGTTGACTGGCAGCTACAACGATTATGAAATGATATGGTTTAAAGTGACGTCGAATGGGAAGTTTTTGAAATTAAGATCAAGAATGCGGTCAGTCTGGTCGTCTGATTACAGCAAAAAAGTACAAAAACAAGTACTGAAAATAACTAATTTTACAAAGGAGATTGAAAGATATTTTTGTCAAGTTAAACGTTATGCAGTTAATCATGTTGGCAGAACATTCGTGAAATTACTTTTACAGGGTAAGTTGCATAATCTTTCGACCTTGGTCGCTGGATGAATTGGTTTACCCTGCATGCGTGTTGTGAAAATGCTGGTGTTTTGTCCTGATCTTTCTTGGCGCACGAAGTATAGAGGGTGGTGACCTAGTTTACGAGCGGAAAATTTGGATCATGTAATTATATAGTCATGAAAACACGTATCAACCTTTACATGAATGAAAAGAAATGCAGTACTGAAGAAATTTCATATCTCGTGCGCCCTTTAGTTCCCTCTAACCCTGAATACGTTTTCCATTTTTTAGAATTGTCTAAGCCTATTATTTCAAACTTCTCTTGCGGTGGAAATTTGATCGGAAACGAGAAAAAAGACCATGTAGTCAATAATAGTGTAACAGGTACACCATCTCCGGATTTTGCTTGGTATAAATCGGTGAATGGGAAGAGAAAATTTATCGCCATGTGTTATGGGAAAACAGGAGCATGTTCGCCAACTAACGATAAAGATGTCGAAGTAACAATGCAGTCATTTGTTATCAAGAATGCTAGTTATTTACTGCATAACAATGTTACATATATTTGCCAAGCCACAAATGTTAAGGGAAAAGATGAAAAAACCTTCACGATGTTGGTAAAAAGTAAGTATTAATATGGGTATAATAAATCACATCACGATACTCAAAGAGCAATCCATGACAACTGCATCAGAGTTGATAGATATGGAAATATTTGCATGAGGCCAAATTGTCATTAGTGCTATCATGAAAACAAAGAAAACAAAAGGCAAAGACAAAGAAAACAAAGAACTAGTGTGATGTTGCGTTGCCTCAAGTGCAGCTATCTACCAACTCTTAACGACATCTATAGTTAGTATGTCCCCCAAAAAAATGACACTATAGAAAATATCCTTTGTATGCCTGAGCGCTACGCTAAATCAACAGATGCATAGACTTCAGCTTCTTAAATTATAAATAACTCCTATTACAATAAAAGTCCACTTACAATGAAACCATGGCTCAACTGACAAAACAGAGTCTTTGCAGTATAACACAGTATAATTTCATTAAATTCCCTGGTGCTTAATCACGCGCGTTTAACAGAGGTTTAGAAACAATGAGAAAATTTCTATACTGCATGGGTCACTTTTTTGGGACACACTGTATGCTGAATAAGTTTTATACTGAATATATAGTATAGCTAGCTCTATGAACTTGATTCCTTTTATATTTAGCTAAACCGCGCTTGACCGCTCCCAAATCAGAAATTCAACTTTACGCTAAGAATTTGAGTCTGGAATGTTTATTATCAAAAGACTCCAATCCAGCCAACATCTCGTATTCTTGGGCGTACTGCGATAAGAATGTAAACGGTTTAACATCCTGTGATGACTGGAGCTTATTAATTTCACGAAACAAGAAAGTTCATGTTCAAGAACAGGAAGCCGGAGTAAGACTATACCGTTGTACTGTTGAGAACGAAATAAACAAAGATCATTTGATTTGGACAATAGTTCGACCCGTAGGTAAGTGAACGTGTCACACATGTTGCTGGTTCATAAACGTCATAATCATGATCCATAATCCAAAAGCGAGTTTTTTCATCTCAATGCACCGTATTCACTCAAATGGCGCCACCGAAATTTTATTTGTGAACAACAACACTTTAACATCTAATGAACTCGTTTTTAATATTTGTTTAAAACATCCTATTTTGACGTATCGATTAAGCCCTGCAGTTGAAAATAATTAGCGTCGCGCCCTTTTAAGGGTTTGAATGTGACCCTCGTTTGCATATAGAGAGCCAAATGATATTTATTGACTAGTTAACGTTTCTTCAACAGGTAAAGAAATCCCCAAATATATATGCGATAATTTTGCAAAATCGAAATCAGATGAAGGAGAAAAGAAAAGTAGCGGAATAGAAGGAACTTTTATATGGCAATGTATCGCCGCTTTCCTCGCTCTCCTTTTACTTGCCTTGCTGTTCTTCACATTTCGTCGAAGAAACCAGCCGAAGCCGCAAAATTACAACATTTTCGTTCCTCGAATTCCAGTATTTATGGACAAAAATGGTGACAGTGTTTAATCTTAAATGTATAGTATCAGAATACAGACTGTAAGATCTTGTTGCTGATCTATAGGAATACTTTCTCTTTATTAGGAATTAATTCATTTATATACTGTCTTAAGAGTTTAAACATTAATTTAAAATGTTTCATCAATATGTGGAAAACCTACTTTTTCTGTAAGTCTATAATCTAATAAACTCATTTTATCAGAGTCGATTCTTTACATTTACGCTGACTCATTTCAAAGGTTTTCATCTGCGCTGGTAGCAAAAATCACCAGTTGCAAATTATCTTTTACATTGGCAGAGATCTGGTGTCCCACTGTTATGATGGCAGTTGTGCTACAAAGAAAAAAAATGAAGATTTTTCTAATATTCAATCTCTGTTACGGATATAAAGATGCAAATATTTCGAATTTATTCCAAAGTCATCGATTTACCAATTCCATTTTTGGTTCATTAGTGTAGAAAACAAATAATTTGAATTAGATTAGCAAGCTTGATAATGACTTTGGAAAAGCTCATAGTCGAAACATCACCGGCGTTTTTTGCAATGCGATTATAATATAATATACTGTAGTTTTCTTGTTCTAGACTTTTTTCATAATGATGTCAAACGCGGAAAGTCTGATGTTACACGAAATTTGACTAGCTCAACAAAAATATCGAGCCCATCAAACTTCGTGTAACATCATACTTTCCGCGTTTGACGTCATTGTTCTGTTCATGCTAAACCATGACTATTCCACACGCATGCAGTATAACTAACCTGAAAATTTCCATCGTTATGAACATAGTCATCGAGGATTTTTACTATCGATGCAAAAGATGGACGATTGCATGGATCGTTTTCCCAACATTGATCAATAAACTCAGAACTATTGTAGTAAATAGAGGGAAAATAACCAAAAGTTAACTCCTACTGGTTCGAGCACAGTGTATTATGAAGACCAGTACAAACTCGGTTGGTTATACAAGAGGCCCAGGCATATATTAGCAACACAAAGCAACTCTAATTAATGCTTGTTTTCATATGTCGTATAGAGCATCGTCGATGAATTATCGCGTCAATTTTTTATATAGCTATTTCTTACTTATTTCTTAAAGCATATGCTTCATAGGAGTATACATTCTATAAGAACTCTCACATACATATTTGAAGAGCAGCATGTTGGTATTGTCATTCGTTTACCATCCATCAAGTATGGGAAAACATCAAGATTTGACAAGCCAGGATAGGGCGTTCTGCCTGAATGTACATATAAGAACTAAATTCCGGCATGCTGTCCGTTCAACGAGAATTACTACATACATAACAACTTTCATATACCCATGCATAGGAGGAAAATCCATTTGAATTATCAGTGACCAAATGTGCTATTCAAACTTTCTGGGGGCGACCCTAACTCGTATCCAGGATTTGTACGACCCTAGGTATATACGAAGTTATATAATCCCAAATGAAACTAATTTGCCGGAATTAATCATATTAAATCGCCTACCCAGAGTGAAGAGTTCCCACAACACAATACCAAATGACCATCTATAGAGGAGAAAGAAAACTAATAGAAAGAGGATTTTGTTACACTTCCTAATAGCTCTTCTTTTATCAGCATATGGATTTCGGTAGTTTAAACCCGAGTTTAAAACAGGTTACTGCATGATTTACTACTTAATTTTACAACAAGTAAAACAGGACTTTTTGTAGTTGCTTACACGTCTGTTTTCTCTGTGAAGACTGAGTACTGCATCGATTCAACAGCCATCCATTTCAGAGGAAGAAGAGACTGGAAAGACAAAATAATGCATCTAAGAAAGATGTAATATCAGTATATCACAATGTAATCATGCATGTGAATAATATAAAATGATAGATGTACGATTATAAAGAGGCATGTTAAATGAAACTAAATCATCAATTTTCTTCACTGTTTTAATTTGAATGTTTAGCTATATCGCTAAAATTTCAAATAATATGCGTATAAAATAGTGTATAAAGTCGCATAACTTCGCCTCAAATTTGGTGTAACCACTGCCTAAATTTCACAAAATTTTTATGCGAAAATTTTTATGCGAAGTTACTGATTTGTGCATGTTTAAGGCCGAAGTTGAATCTGGCATTTTGGTCGCGTCGAATGTATTTCAAACAATGGATAATAAGATGATAAGCGTAATGAGGTTGATCATCTCATTTTTTTGGGGCATAAAGGTTATACCCTTGCACTGAGGCATATAAGTTTTAACAATAGGATTAACAAATTAAGCCTGCAGTTTAAGCGGCATATTTGAATACGAAGGCAATCATTAAGGCATCAGGTTTTCTTCACCCGTCCTGTATTTGTTGTTGTCTCTCGGACAAACTTGTTTAAAAATAGACGTATATCAATGTAATCAATAACAATACTTGCTATATGAGTGCATCTACGAAAGAAGTATCTGCACTGGTGTCAGCTAAGCTTTGGGAACAATTAAAGAAGCAGTTAAATTTCTTACAACTAGTGACAAGTATATAACAATTTTAAAGTGCTAAAGCTGTGGTGATCAGAACTAAACTTTATAACTACGTACATGGATATACTGTGAATTTGCGAATGATGATCTTAAGGTAAGAATATGATATATTCATTTTGTGTCGATTTGAAACAAAAGGGATATCAAAGCATGTTTGACTGCGTGGATCTAAAATTCGCAAGTTATCACAACACGTTTAGCTGTGTTCAAAATGCTCACATGGCCTTCACATGCAAACTCACTCACACTCGCACTCATTGATTGTGACAGAGAGATTTTATTACTGATCAATGAGAAGGTTCTTTCTTAATCACTGGAAAGACTTAAGGTAAAACACTGAAAATCAAGCTTTTATTCGACTAAAAATATCGTTATGGAAACGTTGTGAGAAGATTGAGATCTCTCAAAGATCTCTCACTTAATATAAGTTTGCCGAGTGTGAGTGCATGAGCTGTCACGTGCTTAATAATTTCACAGGCGTTGATCGGTCAATCGTGCATGCGACATCTTAAAAATCAGCGTTTGAATTTTTAACATCCAGAACATTGACAACACAGGAGCATGTTATCGTCTCAATAAAAAAGGAGTATGACTGATAAATTCGTGTTGCAGAACGTGTCATAATTATATTGAGCGCCATAAAGACTTGAACCAAGTTCTTTCTTAACCCACATGCACTGGATGTTCAAGCCAGATTTATTTGTGAAGTGTCTATCACCCACCAATTCTTTGAAATTCGGAGCCATCGTACCATCTCAAACACGAGCTGTCGGCTCCGGCCTAATAAATGCTTTCGTTTGAAAATATAGAACCAAAGTGAATATAATATTCAGTTTATGATACTTACACTGGATTTTTTAACGTATTCTTGATATTTGTACACATCTCTTGCCAAACCAAAATCAGCGACTTTGGCAACATGACCACGCCCAAGCAAAATATTCCTCGCGGCAAGATCACGATGTATGACCTATGTAATAAAAAATAGAATTGGGAACATTTATCGTTCACTCGCAACCTTTCATCGTTCGCTCGTAACTCTTGTACTAAGTACGGTGAATTATTCAAAACTCGTGCAAATCCATGCAAACTCTTTTTTGATAAGTTGCATCATCACCATCTCCGTTTGACCGGGGCTTAAATTGCATGTCTTTCTAGATTCATGCTTTGATTCAGATTACAACACACACAATTATAGTTGATTGGAGCTAGTCTCAGCTGGAGTAGATTATTTTATACAAAGAATTCGCTCATATAGAGTAGTAACTATCAATACTAATAAAATATGCATGGACCTTTCTGGAAACAAGAAATTCCATCCCCTTTGCAATCTGGAAGGCAATGTAGATTAAATTTCTTGGTCCAAACCTGACTGACATGTTTACAGTAAGGGATGACTCATTCTCTTCATAACGATGTCTTCCATGTCGTAAAAAGGATCGAAGATCACCGTTTGGACAATATTCCAAAATAACCCACAGTTCATAACTCGTTCCTGTATTCAAAGAACGACAACAATGAAATTAATCTTTGACTATATTTTGGCAGTAACAGACGTACCTTATTATTATAGCTTAAGTCATTAAAATAGTTTGCGACATTGTTTAACTACTAAGATAATAAGATCACATCATCACAATGCTTTGCACTGAAGTAGTTTACCTTCATTTCAACAATATAAAACATGTTAGTAGAATATGTATAGTGAACGTCTTTAAAACTAGCTTAAGGCTCGTTATGTAACTTCCTTACGCAATGCACAAATTAATTCTATCGTACCTTTTGTGCAAGCCCCCAGTAGGTTGACAATGTTTTCGTGCTCTCCTGCATGGATTAATATTTTCAATTCTGACTTGAGATCAATCAACTTTTCTTTATCGAAATCATCTGCAAAAGCAGATACAATCCATTATGAATGTATATTATATATTGCTCAACCATTGATAAAAGTGCATATGATTTGTGTATAACATTCAGTAAACCTTTAAATGCTGAGTGTATAGACAACTATATACAATCACAAACACGTGCATTTCGTGTTTGAGCCGACCTTTAAGTTTCTTTACGGCAACTTCTGTGACGTCTTCTTCGCTAACATAGCTGTTTTTACGACTTCTTAGCGTTCGAATCAGCACCGATAGACGAGTTCGATTAACTCTGTCTTTTATTAAATCTCTTGGGTGAAATTTTGATATTCCGCTTGCATGAGCAAGCCAGACACTGGCAAATTCCCCCTTTCCAAGTTCAGAATCTATATCAAGCAGAAGGGTTTTATAATAACTGAGCTGCTAATTATTTGAGATGACAATCAAAGCGTGCATGCATGGCAACCCGACTTTGCTATGATTTGGCGGTCGGGTACACCCTTTGGCACTTTTGTGACGTTAGAGATCGGGCTTCGTGACTTTCTGCTATAAACGTCTTAGGTACATTTGTGTTTATATCTCTATCTATTTCATTGATTATTAGGTGGGAACTTTACTCACGTAAAGAAACCCTTCCTCTTGGGAATTCCCACTCTGGAACATAGGGTAACTTTTGAATCTGTTCGCGAATGTTTTTATTGTAATCAAGTTGATCAATGTAGTCATGAATGGGAGGATACGAAAATATGTATAAACCACCGTAAAGTTTAATCCTTTTGCACATGACAATTGAGACGACAGTAACAACTAACACGAGAAATATTCCAATAGGAATGATGGTACTCAGAAGGTTTGAAAAACTGTCTTTCACATTGGCAAACGATTCTATAAAATATGAAAAGGAAAATATATAAATGTGCGTCTATTTGAAACATGGACGTAGAAAAGTTAACAAAGTAGAGCTAGGCGGGAGAGGTCTGCAGGGTCAGAGGTGGTAGGGAAAGGTCTGCAGCTACCCAGATTATAAAAACCAGCAGCTACTTGAGCACTTCTTGTTGGCACATTATCGCAACACCTAAAACAATTTTTTCACGTATATATGCCTATGCAAGGTACACATACATAATACAAGTTACACGATTCTGATGCACTGCACTTGCTTGAGACAATAACTTGCTGCATGTCGGCTTTGCACACCGCAAAAAGAAGACCTGAAGAAAGGAATATTTACCTCCCATCTTGAATATTTCATAGGAAATGTGATCCGTTCCTAGAATGTTTTCTGCTTTGCAACGATAAAGCATTCTTTTCTTAGGTGGATCTTTAAGAGTAATAGAGGAGATTAAGCTTTCCTCTTTTGTTATTACGGAAATTGTTGTCCAGAAGTAATCGTTACGAGAATCACATGTTGATTGTTCTGGTTCACAATATTGCCAGGTGAAATTGATTGTCTTTGGGTTAACTCTCTTCACAGAGCAGTTCAGTTGCATTTCCTTTTGAAATATGTGGCTATATTGTTTAACAGCCTCAAGCTGGGGTTTTGCTTGTGAAATAGAAAGAATATATACGAGGAAATTAGTATAGTAAACGTACTTTTGGTTGTGGGCTATTCTATTTATATTCACTCTTATTCGAACTAAAGCAAAGTATAATATACTGAATAGCACATGCAACTCATATGTCATATACGTATGATGTCAACTCATATACGTATGATGTAATTATCGAAAGGGTCTACAAATTATGACATTTTGGTTAAAAAACATGCACGTTTAGTCAGAGCCACACAGTGGGGCTAAAGGGGTAATTTTCTGGGGATTTGGTGTCTTAATAAGAATTTTTCCCTGGGCCCCAAATATACTGTCAGTGAAAAAAGCCTGATAACAGCATACTCACTGTGAACCCTGATGGTGAACGATTTACTAGCCTTTCCAAATTTATTGGTAGCCGACAAGCTATATGTCACATTATCATCCCTTGGGTATTCCACTTTCAAAATCCTGAATCTAAATGAATTTTTAGAAATCTTGTCTTCCCTCCAGCGGCTTAGGATGCAATGGCTCGAATTAGATGAACATGCTATGATTTTCTCCGCATGTAATTCATTCTTTGACCTTAACCAGACAGTGTTTGGTTGCGGAATACCATGTACGGAATAACTGATAGTTAGGTCGTCGTATTCTTTCATCATTATTTCTGATGATACATAAAATCCAGAAAATGACGGAGGTCTGGGCTCTATACGAACAGATTGGTATGTAATTATGCTGACATGAAGAACACGTGATAAAAATAAACCAATAGAATTCAGGAATTATTTCAGCATTTACATACACATTTTGATAATCGTTACTCTACCTTGTGATTTCACAACAACTGTATCATTCGCGATGTATTTAACAATGAAGCGCATAATCTCACACAGATAGATCCCATCATTCTCCTTGGTCACATTTTGAATTCTTAATTCGCGTTTGATGACATTCTTATCGCTAGTCGATTCAATACCCCGTAGTTCACCTGACCCAACTTTGTACCATCTTACGACATATGAGCCATATACCTCACATACCAGAGTGACTGAACTGCCATATGGTGTTATTTTCGTACTCGGAATCTTGGTAATGTTAGGTCTTGCGAACGCTTTTCCATTGACTAGTGAAAGAAAATAACTTTAGAAGTTGTGAATATAATATAATAGAATATCTTCTACATCCTCAAAATGCATGGTCATGCAGTTGTACGAAAAATGGATATAGTGATATGGATTTACCGGATTGTTCTTTATCTCGTCTTCTCTTTCTATATATAAATTGTTGTTTCCAAATACGTACGGTTTAAATAATTGCTTTTCAAGACTCAAGTCTACACCGGGTAAAATTAACTATTCGTTGCTTTCATGAGCTTATATAGACTCCAGGAGCCGGTTGTTCAAAAGCCGGTTAGCGCCAACCTGGGATAACCTTTTAATTGCTTGTTTACAAAGTTGAATATCTTTTTTCCTAAATATTTTCTGGACCAAAAGAAGTCATATTTTCTAAAGTCATATAACGAACAGTGGTTAATTCAGAAGCTCATAAACTAAAAGACTAGATTAAAATTTAACCCAGGGTTAGCGCTATAACCCAGCTTTGAACAACTGGCACCAGTAGTAGTCAACCGAGACAGTGTTTTACTGTGCATGCGCTGCATGTGGAAACCCACCAATGCTAAGTAAACTAGATTGTGGGTACACCACGTAAGTATTTAATACTGCAAAGCTTTCGGTCCGTTAACTCCGGCCTTCATCAGTTCAATATTGCACTGATGAAGGCCTGGGTTAACGGACCGAAAGTGTGCAATATTAGATACTTACGTGGTGTACCTATATATCACAATCTAATTTACTTACTTGCTGTCACGATGCAAACGTGCAAGAATATTACCACTAATGCTAGCGGTTGCTATATCAATCCTGTGCGCAGCCCGCAACCGTCATCTGGATCTGGTGTCTTATATATACCTTTTACATAGAGCTTGCCAACAAACTTTTTCAATCCACAATTCGCTACACAGTAATAATGCCCTTCGTCACTCTTTTTGATCTTCGATAAAAGGAACGTATTCCTTTTTATAACTTGAATGTCGTTTCCATCAGGTATTCGTTGAGATAATATACTTTCTCCCCATTTCTTTTGCCATAATGTTGCATTGGACTCGTTACCCTTCAACCGACAGTCAATTTTCCACCATTCTCCGATCAATAAACTATATCTACTCCAGAAAGCACCCGGTGTGATCCATTCATCTAGCAGTTTTAAATGTATTACGTTTTTCAAAAAACACCTCTTACTATGCACTGCACTATTTATCTCATATTTATATATAGACGCGTATATGCATTGGAGTGCATGCAGGTGCAAAATATATTCACCCTTTGAAACTCCCACGCGCAGTGACAAAAAAACAAAGACAAATATTTTAACCCATGCAATCCTTATTACACGTATATATGTATATAGAAATTACAGTTACTTAAATTTGCTTACCTGATTCGGAGAACAGCCGCTATTTTTTTGAACAGTTGTTGTTAAAAGACTAGTAATGCATGTGAGCATACCAAAAACCACCCGAGTTTGGTATCCCATAGACATTATTCAAGATATATATGCACGCTAAATAAAACCGTCGAAATAATATGTTATGCTACAACACTTATTGTTCAATCCAGTTACTTCTGAAATTTTTGTTTCTATTTCTAAGAATGTTACATGCATGCATGTAAAATGTAGCTATATATATATATGTACATGTTGTGAAAATAAATTTCGTTCATGCATGAAACATAACTATTATATTAAGTTCATGCATGAAACATAACTTATATTAAGTTCATGCATGAAACATAACTCATAATTCATGAGTCTTATTTGAACTACATGCATAACTTTCTCAAATTAAACATTCATGCAGCAACACTCGAAACCACCACTAGTCATCTAGAATCAAGATAGTTACTGTATCTAAACTACACCATGTACGAAATCTTATTAAATCAAACTGTCATTTATATAATTTGTTCTGCCTTACCTTCGCTTTTCGCTTCAGTTAAGTACTTGCTCCACAATGCTTCCAAAACACGTTTGCTGTACAATTTAATCAAAATTTGATAAGAAAGTAGTATTCTGTATAAAAACAGCATCTGTTGGGAATTAGAGATAAAAATATTGCACGAAAATTTACTTAATGTATATGATATCGCACGAAGCGATCACTCAAGTGCATGGAACCGCAAAAAGGTGTCTACTTGCAATATTTGCGCGCGTAATCAATAGAAAAGAACCTTACGTGCACTCGTTTGTTTTATTTAACATTTATGTTGAAATTCCCCCCCAAATTCAACATCGGCGAAGGAGCGGTACCTATATACTGCATGGGATGGAGGATTCCAGCTATAGACTATTATATGCATATAATTGTTGTGATTAAGCCAGGCAATTAGGCCGATAAACAAAATCCAACACTCTGGGATAAAAAACTGTAGCACGAAAATCCAACACTGCAGGCATGCTCAAAAACTGTAGCAGTTGCGAAAAATATTGCCCTGCCTGAATTCTGTGTATACGTACTATATACGTTTATGTACTAGTATTACTAGTATATAATATACACAAATGTATATATCACAAGTATATATTTCCACGTACCCCTATACACTGATTCCACAATTAAACTTTGCTTTTTTCTTCATTTTAAGATACGCTTTCTAGGTTATTGTTGGAATTCACTGCTTAGATGAAATTTCAGCCTGCATAGCTGAAATCTTCCATGCATCCACTAACTATGACATCATCTTCAAAATTAATCACGAGGGTTTCTGCATAGACTCTGCCTTCAAAATGGTCATCTATGTTATAATGTTATGATTCTTTTAATACTTTATAGTCTTAAGTTAAGTGTGCATATACACTTTATTTATTATTATATATTTCTATTAATATTGGGTATATACTCCTCAGTATTAGCTCTATGCGGAGACATTTGCGAAAATCAATAAACTTTACAATGCTACAATCCAATATAAAAGCGTTGCTAAGAAGTAAAAACTGCCCTGCATATATTTAGTATGTATATATAGTAGTGATATACAATACGTTTAATATATTTCTGTTTGTATTTATATACATATATTTTAACGATTTGCAGTGAGTTGAAAAGTACGTTATTGATGGATGCATGCATGCATGCATTGTGTTGGTATATATATGCAGGTGATTAATGATCCTAATACAGACTTCAGCAATAATTCGTTTGGCTAAAAGGATATAGCTATTGCAACTATTTTATTTCAACACAAGCTGCGGTCAAGTTTAATGAAATTTTAATCTCTGTGACTGTATATGCCGCCTACACAAGCCGCATGCATGCAGCTTGTCCTAATGATAGCGATCAAAAGATATATAACTATATAGTATAGTAATAATTCGTAAGCAGTTTTTTTAGACATGCAGGACACAACGAGTTATTTCGTCAATAAGATATGAGTATACATTGTTTTCCGTCTTCGTCATATTATCAACATGATTTGGTAGCATGCAAACATCTGCATGGGTTGTATCCACACCAATAGCCGGCTGATGACCGGCCTCTGTAATCCTGATTGACATGCCGGCAGGCGATGACGAGTCGACGGATGACTACCAAAAATGACGAGAATAAAGTCATTCGTATATATATATAGCTGCAATGACGATTGTCGCAAAATGAAATAAAAAACACGCAATGATTGAGCCAAAAACAATTTTATCTCCAACCTGTTCGGAAATCGCGCATGATCAGAGATAAATGCATGCGTAATGCCGTGTGATGTCTTCATGTTGACGCGTATAGCAAAAACAACTAAAAACTGCATATGTGCATGGGTGTGAACTCAATGTGGGTGTTCGTATCCGTCGAACAGAAATACCAAGAAATGTTGTTCAAATATTTGTCGCACACACTATAAGGCCCGCACCGGCAGACTCAGTTAATATAGGTTGCATAAAGATATAATACCCTAGGTCAGTGAAAAAGTCATGCAATTACGAGATGTTTCAAAGCGGCTGCAGCCCTATTGATACTTCATTGATTAAGAAGTCAGAAAACAGCGCCTGACATATACATATATCTTTGTATATTGGCTCTACAGCGCCTCTCTCTCTATATATATACATATGTCTGAGCAAAAATGGAAGACCGTTATGTACTGATAAATGCATTTTAATATGCAAACGACAACCATCTTGTCACTTATTTCTGGCGATGCCACGAAAATACCCTTGACGACCTTGAACTATGCTAATTATATTATACTGACTCCTGTATCTCATTTTGGGAATAGGCCTTTCTCGTTTTGATGTCAAACGCGGAAAGTCTATAGTGTTAGACGAAATTTGATTGGCCCGTTGTATATATAGTATATACATTGCGTGGCCAATCCCAGGCTTTCTGTGTTTGACGTCATTATGCATGAGAAATGTCTATTCACTGAGAATAAAAGTTGCCTCACAGTAATAGAATATGCTCTTATATATATTATTTTTATAGAAAAAACATTTTTGGTTAGCACTATATGCACCAAAATGGTTGACATGCATGCATGTGCACATTATATTATCATAAAAGATATATATAATATAATATCCGGACCGCGAATTTATATAATAATTATAATTATGATCATTTGAATTGAAAGAGTTTAGGAGAATATATTAGTCATTACAGCTTAGGAAAAGGTTCGTTTAAATAATGATCGTTTACATCCAATACTGAATCCGATGTTCTAGCTGAATTGGTTAGGTCATTTCGTTGAGATTCCTGCAAGAGAAAAGAACAGTCGGAGATCATAATTGCCATGCATTCACGATCGCTGCTCTACCCCATCAGAACCGCACTTTTTTTGGCTTAATTTTTTATAGTTAATATATTTCCTAAAGAAGAATTATATATCGTCATCTGTAGATGTTATTTTCCCGCCGCTCGCAGTATTATGAAACGCCTGCATGCCTGCATGTGGAGAAGGAGTGTTGATGTTACATGCATCTTTTACTGGTATGGATGCGTGATCAGTTTATAAAGACGGTCAAGTATACGCATGTCGGAATTAAGCGCGATTTCGCGGCAGACTCCCGACTGGAAGAATATAAATTTTCCTGACATACCGCCGACGTCGCTTTATCACAACCAAGAATGTCGTGCAGCACATTTTTCAAATTTGCAAAATCAGGACGATCTTTAGGATTTTCATTCCAGCAGTTTAACATTATCATGCAACTGTAAACAAAAAGCATGCACCAGTTTGTATATTTCTCGTATGTGAAAGAACACCACTTTACAAACAAAATTAGGCTGATTGAGCAGGTCTTTACTGCGGACTTCACTTAAGCCTAGGTTTATATACCTCGCATTATGCATGGTCGCGTCGAATGCAATTCAAAGCTTAGTGTGGTTTATCAGCTCATCATGCATCTATTGTTTGACGCGACCAAAATGCGAAGTATAACCTAGGCCTCACGATCTTATAACGGTAAAACTCACATTTCCTGCGGACAATGCACAGGCGGTTTCATTCGTTTTCCATTCAGTAATGTTTGATATACTTCAAGAACATCCACTCCTGGATAAGGTGTTCCGCCTATACAAGCATACATGCAAGGAAGAAATGGAAAATCATTTTTACGTTATATTATAGAATTTAACAAAATTCAATAAACGTTTTGAATTATTCACCTAAGGTGAAAAGTTCCCAAAGTAAAATGCCAAATGACCACCTAAAAGAATAAGAAAAATTTTGAAACACATGCAATATATAGGGAAACTAAACTTGACTTTATATCTGCCATATGCAATTGAACCTTACATATCTGTCTTTTCCGTGTATATTGAATCTCTAATTGACTCGATTGCCATCCATTTTAGAGGAACCAATCCCTGTAAATAATGATTGAAATGATCTGCAACATGCACTTTCTATTGGTGAATGTAACTGCGTTGAATACAACATGCACAGCTTATATAAGCATTAAGTGTAATTATTAACATCGCGTGTCGCTTCCCAAATTGCCTCCTTCCAGCTCAACATCTAATACGTTGGTATAGGCCAACACCCTTTCGTTATGGGCTCTTGCGTCCCGCCAAAACCTACCGATGATTTTTTTAAGTATTCTTGATATTTATAGATATCTCTGGCCAGCCCGAAGTCTCCAACCTTTGCTGTATATCCCTGTCCAAGTAGGATGTTCCTTGCGGCCAGATCACGGTGGATGATCTAAATCATGAAAAATGTCTTGTGAGTTGAACTTGTACTTTAAAACCCCACCCACAAATGTAAAGATAGTGGCTTAGTGGCTACTACGTCCTAACAACTGATATAAAACGGCAGGTTTCTTAAATATCAATATATATACATATATATAAAAGAGCGCACGTACCTTTCTCGAAATTAGGAAATCCATTCCTTTTGAAATTTCCCAGGCGAAGTGTATCAAATTTCTTGGCCCAATGGCTTGGGAGGGATCCGTCTCCAATGAATTTTCTTCCATGTTGTATATAGTTCGACTGCTTCGTAAGAATTCTCTGAGATTTCCATATGGACAATATTCCATTATTATCCACAGGTCTGAGCTTTTACCTGCCAGGAATGGATTAAATATACCATTATTGCTACCTCCTCCGCAGGCTCTTTTCGGGCAAATATGCCGAAATGCTCCCTAGCGCCTGCGGAGGAGGCAACGGAGGTGGTAGCTATTATTGTATATGATTGCCGCTTGACCTTGAATTTTACTGGGCGCTAACGTTGCATCATATTCGAGCGCAATAAGCCTACTCATGCAGCAGCTGCAGCTAGGTCGATTTTAATGATTATATATGTAGTATGAAGTGTATATATTGCATAGCACCACACAGGTCACAGCAAGCAACCCCCGGACAGAAATGTTGTCCCGGAGGCCACTTATAGCCCTGATACATTATATATAGCAAAGCCAGCAACGTTGATCATGAATCATACTGAAAGAATATTATCATGTTATACGTCTTGTCGTATATGCATGAAATGCGCGACTCTATCTTTTCATCCATTTTTTTACAATTCTCATTTTTCATGCTCATTTTTTAAGGCAATAAACCAATATTGCCCTTAATTTTTGGAATTATTGAAAAGACTAACCTTTGGTGCAGGCACCTAGTATGTTTACAATGTTCTCGTTTTCGCCAACATGAATCAAAATCTTCAGCTCAGATTTCAAATCAATGAGCTTGTTTCTATCCCATTTTTCTATCGCAAAAGAAAAATTTAGCAATCGTCGTTAGAAGTTGTAGTTCATCGGAAAAATCGTTAAATTTAATAAACGATATTTAATAAACCAAGTATTTGCTGGTAGATTTAGAATTAGAGAGGAAACGTTATTAATCCGAACCCCATTTAACAAAATAAAATCGGCTGAATCTCATTTTAGGAAAAAATTAAAATCTTCTTCCTGATTTTCTCCAAGGATTCGCAACCGAAGTAAATTTATTATTATATTAAACATTCTACGGGATTGTGTCCTATATTTAATGCCCAAATCCTTCCTATTTTGTTGACATTATCTCTAATCATATAAAAGCAATGGTACGATATGATTCAGGTCATAAAACCACTATTATTTGTATACAAACCTTTCAGCCTTTTTACGGCAACCTTAGTGACTTCTTTGCAATAGACGTAACTATTTCTTTTTGACGTTCGACTGAAGAGGGAAAACCTTCGTCGACTTTCTCTTTCTTTTAAAATATCTCGTGGATGAAACGCAGATATACCAGTTGCTTCTGAAAGCCAAACTACTCCAAATTCACCAGAGCCAAGTTCACTGACTAAGAAATGTCGAAATGAGAATGCGGGTTAGGTACAAGATTGGGTTTTCCTGCCCGTACGTTCAAACGAATAATCCATCCTAATCTCACTCCTCAGTTCAATATATAGTACACAGTTTCTAATACTTACTAAAACTTATCTTTTCTCTTGGAAACTCCCATTCAGGTATAAATGGCAGTTTTTGAAGCTGTTCCTGAATATTTCCATTTTCATCCAAGTTCTTTATGTAGTCCGGTATGGGAGGATATGAGAAGAGGTAAAAACCACCATAAATTTTCTTTCTTTTGTACAACACAAAACTTATCGCTATTAAGACGGTAATGGTAATTATTCCACTTGGAACCACAATAAAGAACATCAAAGTGTTCTTTGATGACTTGGTGTCGATATCTGTAAAATTTATTTATTTCATTGAATGCTGATGAAACTAACTGATAAAACTGATAAAAAAGAAATGGTTAATATAGCAACATTATTTCTTCAGGGTGTCCCAAAACGTTCTTGAGAACCCAAGGGGGTGTGGAGGGTAACCGTGGTAAGTTGGTTAGTTGTAAGATGACAACAAATTTCGACTTTCTAATGCTATTTAATATGATAATATGTTGTAGCATATAAGTTAAATATTTCAAACGTGAAAGCACCATGAATGTGACCAATAAAAAGACTTCTCTCATAATGACATATCGCGGGAAGGCCTGATGTCAAGTTTGATTGGCTCTAATAAGCCAATTAAACTTCATGTAACATATTTCGAAAAGATGTTGTTGAGAGTGGAGTTCCTAATATCATGCAATGCTTACTGTTTGACGACTTGAACAGAACAGTTGTTTCCGCCTGATCTTGCCCAGCAGTGTTCTTAGCCACGCATCGATATCTAATCTTCGAAACTGCTTGTGTTTCAAGCCTTAACGAACTATTTTGTAATTCAAAGTTCCATTCGGCGTTGCTTTCACCACATTTACCAGTGCCACAGGAGTACCAAGTATATGTAACTTCAGGTGGATTCGCTCTCTTTATATTGCAGTTGATATTCATTCCTTTCTCAAACACATGTAACTTCTCAAGTTGTATCTCAGGTTTCACTGTGAAAAAATAAAATCAAGAACGGAAGGTTTGAATAATTACTATTTTTTAAAAATATACTATCACTATAACTGTCGTATTAGAATATCGCTTATACCTGTATCCTATGGCTCTTCACTTCAATAACAAACGAATAACTGCATGACTAAATATTTAACAGCGTTATGGTTCACTATACTCTATGTATACACGACTCTCCAATGGTTCCATATTATGTATGGAACCGATCCGTTACATTTGACTTAAACTTGTTGACTTATTACAAACTTTCTAATGTCGTGTTGAGTAAACATTTGTCTTTCCAACATCCAGCAACCTCTCATTTATCTTACCATAGACTTGTAAATGAAATTTTTTTGAAACTCTTCCGTTGTCGTTGGTTGCATTTATCATGTAAGACACATTATCTTGAGGAAATCGAGGGTTTTCGATTTCAAATCTTGTATTCGTAATACTTTCTTTTCCATAGTATTTCTCGCAGCTGCTGTTACCATTATCTGACACGGGACAGGAGTATATTAATTCATACTTTATTCCATCTTCAGATCTTGACCATTTGATCACAGATTTTGGATACGATGACACATTGTACAATAGTAAAAAATGCTCTGATTCGTTGGCAACCATCACCTGCTTGTAATTCCTGACATATATGGTGGGTTTGAACTGTGCTGGTAAAATAAATTAATATTTATATCATCAATCAAGACACCCTCACCCATACATAAAACTAACAAAACATTTCTTTTCACTTAAAACTAATACACGGTGCTCTGCAAATTAATGATTTGATTAATTTACGTCGTCCTTCCGACACAATAAAAACTTAAGTATCTAGGACCGAAAATAAGTGAGTCATAAAAGAAAATTTAGTTGCCTGAAGGCAATTTTTAAATTTTAATAATAAGTTACAACTCATCAATTGCACTTACTATTTGAGAGGTCAGTCAAAAAACGCAGTTAGATAACTTAGATTGGTTAATAGCTGGGCACTGGCCTGCACTGATGACAATCTTACACGAGATAATTAAATGCTTTTAAAAAGGTTTCAAAGTGTTGTTTTACTCTAACAAGTTCCGGGACGCCGGAGCGATACGGGGGCAAGGGGGGGGGAGCTGTAGCGGCGCATAATAAAGAGTATTTTGAACTTCATCGTCTTTAGAAATTCGCAACGTCGTCTTTTCTCTTCTCACTAATTTCAGAGTTTTTGGCACCAGACGATTGTCCGATTCTTGATGCACGCTGGTGGCACTTCCATATAGAATGTAATCCTCGAAAATGAAAGGGCAACTTTCCCCCCTTAGCTCTTGCCCCTGCTTCCCCCCTGTTCCGGCGTCCCTGAGCATGTTCATAAAACAATTCGGAAATGATTTTGAAATTATACCTTTGAGCCTTATGTTAACCAATTGAGAAGCGTGATAGTTTACTGGAGTGCGAGATATTACACACTTCCATTGTTCATCGGTTTTCAGTGGATCGAGCACCATCTCCCAGTCATTGCCACGCTTAACCTGTGATCCATTTGAAAAAAGTTTGTACCATGTAATAACATACTTGTTGCGATTTCTGCTCGAGACTTTGCCACTGGTGTTTTGAAAAGTACATATTAATTTCACTATACTCTTGCGATCATACAATTTTCTGTTCGGCTTTATTATTACAGAAGGTTTTAGATAAGCATTGCCTAAACAAGAGAAACATAAATCGTATGGGGTTTCTGCCTCCAAAAAGGTGAATTTGCTACTTTATAAACTCCAGTTGCATTTCCATCCATAAGTCGACGTCTTCGTACTGTGGTGTCCCAGGCTTTCAGGGAGACGATGTACACATGATGTCTAAATGATTTAGAATCCCCAGTTCCCCTGTTTCTTTTTGCCTCTGTTGCAGTGAGGCTGTCGTGAGTCTTAATTATAACTGTAGCTAAGCAATAATTATACCTTTAATAATTTGTAAAAGGTGAAGCAGCCTCTTCTTATTACAGACATTGCAAAAGTAACGTCCTTCATCAGTGATCGTCACGTTTGTTATATTGAAAACGTTTTTGGCTGCCATTTTTATCTTTTTGTTGTCAACTACTCTAGTGATTTCTGATGTGGTGGATCGAGGTTCCTTCCTTAGTATCAGAGTGGCGTTGTCTGCAGTATTTACAGCGCAATTGACCAATAGCCATTCTCCGCGAAAACGATATACATCAAAGTCACCAGGGTTTGAATTCTTCCAGGATATAGCTACAGGATGAAAATCGAAGATGGGTAATAAGACCATTTATTTATTTTATCAGCTGCAAAATTATTTTAGTTAATATGATACATATAAATTAGGCAAATCATGCATACAAATGTAATTTCGTAGTCAAATTTCTCCCTTAACTGCAGGCTTTTGGCAGTTCTTTAGAGGTTTAAAAACAAAGAATATGTGTTAACTTACGAGTTGAACAATTGGAAACTTCTGCATATGACATCTGCATAAATGTAAGCACCCCAGCAGTCAGTAGATATCTTATGGACTTCATATCTTTATAACAAGAAAGTCAAAGCTTCTAGAAAGTGAAACAATTAATAAAGAATTTTGTATATTAGGGTGTATATGAGAAAAATGGTAACCTAATTTTAGCGATCTAATGTGCGTAAAATACTTGATCGACAAGGAGTTACATTATGATAGATCAGGCTTTTCGCTGTTGCCCATGAATGACATACTTTCGTTATACCATATATGGAATGAGTAAATACACGTTTGATTCGCTGGCTATATATCAGTAAGCATGGTTTTTTATTCTACAGGGTGTCTCGCAACCACAAAAAACGCAACCACTTAAATATACAAGAATATTAATATTGTTCGGGTTTGCACCATAGTTCAGCTAAAATTACTTTTAGCATTTTAAATGAAGGATTAAGAGCCATTTTCAATTCCCAGAGGTGCTTATCTATTGCGCTTTAGAGCTGTATTAATGTTCTTGCATATTTAAGTGTTGCGTTTTTCTTTGAGACACCCTGTATACGCTTAAAAAAGGCAGCCTCGGCAAATTCGTGATTATATAAGGGCCCTTATTGGCAGGCGTTTTTGTGCAATCAGTCAATATGATCAGTTAGTGATAAATAAGTAGAGTTAACTGTAGTTAATGACAGGTTTAACTATATAACTATAGAATCTGTATTTTAAAGTTAACTACAGTTTTGTCTACTCAAAAATGCAGTTTTTTAAGAATTAAGATTTCTGTGCAATGGCGGCCCCATATACACTAGAATTAGCTACATGTTGTTAATATGTAGTGTATCATTTTTGAAAATATATATTGAAATTATACAGAATGTATGGGCATATACACTTGCAGATAAAATCACGCCGGCATAATAAAGGCTAATTAAGACACAAATGAGAAAAAAATTATCCGAAATATATAATGTTGCTGTTTCGAAATTCTATAGAGTTGAGAACCATCATATATAGTTGATATTATATCAAAAATATAGACATGCATGATTTCTATACCCCTTTTCTGCAAATAGTGGCCTTATTCCATGCATTTCTTGAAAGCCATTGATAGATAAATGGACAGATGGAAAGATGTATATAGATTTATTGAGAAAACTCTTTGTTGTTTGCATTAGCTAAATGGATTGCGTGTCATATTGTATGTCGATATATCAAGTTATGCAGATAAGATATATTGGCATATTGCCTATATACGTATGATTTTCCTCATGCATGCACGGAATATAACCAAGCCTGAACAACAGAAAGAACACGCGTGCATGCAAATGAGAAAAAAATAATTGATCGCAGGCTTTATAGAATATACCTTTGGTTTCCTTGCATGGACCGCATACGTTTTTGCGATACATACATGTATAGCGACTTTGTATTAATGGTAGCTAGTTTGTTCCATCTGGTAAAGTTTAAAAATGTATTATGAAGTTATTAATCTATCAAAATTTATTTTACCACTATAAAATTGTCCTTCATGCATTAATTGTTCTAAAATCTAGCACTGGTTGTTTAATTCACGGCGCCCACAGCGATCATTATATATTGGATACTGAACGTATTTACTAATTGTATGCATGGCGTTAATGCATGCGAAAAAGGGGACTTTTTCTGTCTTTATATTCCCATGCATCGACAAAATTTGACATCAAAAAAGATATTAATTAATTATAGTCGCGCTCACAACTATGGAAATATTATTTAACATGCATTTTTTTAATACTCTTTGTATACATATACATGCATATAAGATATATCTGGAAAAAATTGATCACAAGTTCTAGAGATGCTGTAAAGTAATACGTTACCAGTATTTGATTGCATATGCAATGAAGTTTGTATATTGATGTCCGCATGTGAAGTTTGGAAAAATTGTGTGAAATGAGAAAATAGTCCTATATTAATTGCAATTAATAAATTTTGGCTTCTGTGTCCTATAGCGCATGCGTGCAGAGGTAATGTCAATTAACAGCTAAAATTAAGCCAGATCTATTTCAATAAAAACGTTTGTTTATCATATAGTAAGATTTCTTAAGCCGGATTTAGCTACCTTTGTTTATAGATTAATTCTGCATACATATAATCAGGTCAAAACGTCGAGAAGTGTTTTGTCTGTTTTAGGCAGTTGTTATACCACATTTGATGCTAAGGTGTTTGAAGACGCTGCCACGCTGCTCCCTGGTTATATTGGAACTTATATAGTTATAATATATATTTTTTGAAATTTGAGCAGCCTGCATGAAACAGAACATCAACTATTCCTATATATAGCTGCTGATCCAGTGCTGTTTAACCATATAATTTACTTGATTGGCAATTTATTCCTAATTTACAAAAACTGCGCCATGTTGTCAGTTATGAGAAGACGAAAGTTTTGGCCCCATCTATATTATATGTAATAGTAATGCATATGCGCGGTGTAGATTAGTGTCGCCATTCATCTTCCTAACCGACATACACATAGCGGTTCAGTCTGGCTAAGCAAATTCTTGACGAGATAATTATATCTTGAAAAAAACATTAATGGAAAATACACTATTATATACCATCGCATGCGATTATTCTCTGTCATTAAGTAATATACCTTTTCGATGTCAATCAATTCCTCTTTGCATGTCCTCTGCTTTCTATCTTTGACGTGTTGAAACTGAAAAAAAGATATAACTGATATTTTGAACCTTTTGTCGCATAATCATTAATAGCAAAGGCTTTATATGTTCTTGCAGGAACTCTATATTATATGTGACCTCCAAGGAATATTTAAAATTTTGTTCACGCATGTATTTTCAAGATATCAAGCAATATACATTGTCATTAGGCAATATGTTTTGACATTGTACCTCATGAATGCATATAACTCGAACATATGGCAACAGCTATCAGATAAAACCACAGTCAAAAGCGGAAAAGCCCTATATACGCTTAACGTTCTTTGCTGTCACAGTGTCAGATGCGTATTTCGCCCACGCGTATATATAGATAAAACGCAATATATTATATGCATGCACTATAGTAATCATAGTACAGCTCATTCGGGATTCACTGACAAACAATATTTGGTTTGTCCGAGTATATATTATTAAATTCATGAACCAATATAAAAAGAGTATTTTGAAAGCTTGAGAGAGTTAAGACGTTGCCGCCACGCGTGGAGAACGCGTTCTCTCTAAAATGGCATTTAAATTTTAAATTGAATCTTTACGTCGTCTCGAAACATTAAACATCTGATCGAAAGGATTTAGTATGAAACCCTTATCCCTTCTTATGGAAAACCTCTTGCTTCCATAAGGATAACCCTGGTTTTATCGTAATTAGTCGCACGATGCCCTGCATGCGATCCATTGTCCGCATCAAATAAAGAAGTATTTTTTCTCCGTATTTTTTTTTCGGCAGATAAACTGATAAAGCAACAGTATACCGTATAGTATGTTATATACAGACTACAGTGTATTCAGTGTATATTAACTCAGGCGGGCATTGCGGTGTATTTTGCGGGCTAAAATGATAAATTTGTCGGGCTGAAATATATTTTAGCCCCTGATATAAGCTAATCAGAAGTATTAAGGTTATCCATTGCATAATTTTTTATACAGAGAATGCCCTTTAAAGTTAACGTAATAGTAATATAGTTGATTTCTTGGGCATAAATGAGTGGGGCAAAAAAAATACCTTTTACGCCAGCGAACATCAACTCCATTGTTTTCATATATATTATCCATATGAGTGCATGAAATTCAAATTAATTAACAATTATTTGGTGATTTGAACAATTTGTCGGACCTATATATAGAATATGACCAATTTTAACTTAGAGTGCATGTATTTTTTTTATATACAGTAGCTGCAAGCAAGGTGTGTGTTATATGTTCTTCTACACAAGTATAACCAACTGGGCAAGCAGAAAATTCTACTTGACCGCGGTGGGAATCGAACCTAATTCTGCAAATGCAGAGTTAACTGCACAACGATATTTAAGGACGAAACTCCGTAATGTCAATAATAACTTAAGTAAAATCACTGCCCGTCGTTCCCAACTTGGCCTTGTAGCTCAGACGTTAGAGCATCATTCTATGAAATGCGACGGTCGCGGGTTCGATTCTCATTGCGGTCAAGTAGAACTTTCTGCTTGCCCGCGGTTAGCCGGTTATACGTACTTGTGTATGAAGAACATATAAAACAACACCTGACATATATATCCACAAGTGAACACATATATATATACAGTCGTTATCATTAAGGTTGCATGTCACCTGGAAATATGTATAAATATATATATATATAGCGGGTATATAACGAATATTTTTAAAATTTTACACTTTAAGGAATGGTTCGTTTAAATAATGATCTTGTATATCCGATTCTCCTTGGGAATTTATACAATCCAAGTCTTCAGTTGCATTCTGTTGGGATGTCTGCTGAGAAAAACAAAGCCTCGTCTTACTATAAGACCTTTCCCCAACCCTTTGCATGTAAAGCATGAAACTGATTAAATGTTAAATTTTAAAATGTAAATTTTAAAATGACAATCAAATTATATATAGTTTTTCTCTTTGAATTATTATTCAATTTGGTTAAAAAACTTATATAAGGTCAATAAATTTCCTTAAAAAAAATTGCTCGTGTAAAGGCTAAAGCCATGCAGTTTGGAAATTATATTCTTCCATAATTATTATGAAACTACAACTAACTATTTATATATATGTTCAATTAAGTACCTGCACTATCTCCTCAGAACTAAGGATGTCGCACAATGTATTCTTTATACCCTCAAAATTTGGTCGACAATTCGGATTTTCATCCCAACACTTTGACATTATAGGGTAACTGCGAACAAATGATGAAATCAATTGTAATCGACCCATCAGACAAATAGACAGGATAAACATGACTAAGTAAAAAAATGTACAGCATTTGGAGTCAATATTCGTGTTTCTCTAAAAACGGTTTCAGTTCAAAATCAACAAAATTCTTCAATATATATGCATAAAACGTTATTCCAAAAGTTGATCAAAGAAATGCAGTTTCTAATCAGTAATATTGAATTCGCCGAAACTTTAACGATACCGGCAACATATACTAGAAATATATTAGAAATTTAAAATAAAGGTTTAAAAACATTTTATGATGGTTCCTCGCGACCATGCCTATAGTTGGCATATATTTACAAATTTTCATCGTCATGCAAATTTCCAACAAACTTCCGTGCCACATTGGACTGAAAATCGAGAGGTGCATGGGAAATAAAACATGCATATTCTGGGTCAGTTTGGCCAGGCAGCAGTCGGATGAAGATTCATTCAATTATTCAGCTAAACTAATAGCATCCATGCTCTAATAGCATCCACATTTTTTAGCTTGAATACGCGGGACATTGGTTGTGATAAGACTTACATTTCTTGCGGACAATGCATAGGTGGTTCCATTCGTTTTCCATTCAACAATGATTGATATACGTCATTAACATCCATTCCTGGATAAGGTGTTCCACCTAGAATGCACGGTTTTTATTCCACGCAATTCATCATTCTTATATAATGGTAATTATGTGGTTTTCAGGCCACACGCGTATGACGCTCCGAATTTTAAAAGAGTTGATTAATGTACATTACAAATTACTCACCTAACGTGAAAACTTCCCAAAGTAAAATACCAAATGACCACCTTAAAAGATGAAGCAAAACTTTATATTATCCTCAAGAAAAATGCAGTATAACAACTACCAAAAAAGTCCGAAACATCGAGAAGTACTTTTTTCTCTATTTTATATAGGTAGTTGTTCTACCGAGGGCGACCGAATTTTATTGAAAATTAGTATTGAATTCGAATTGCGTGAATATTCACTTCAAACCATGCGTTCATTTTCGTTTTTACTAATATGGTATTACACCATAATACTATATCATAACATGTGCTGGCTTATAATACTTAGTACGTTTTATCATTTTTTATCATTTCATTTTATTTTCTTCCGGTGTAACTAGAAACAGTTAATCGGGATTACATGCACGCACGTGCAGACTAAAGATCAGGGTTTTATTCAACAACCGAATTAAATTTTTTTAACCTTAATACAAAGATACTGTTTACAACTACATATTCAGTGCATAATATTCAAGTTGACTCATTTAAGAGAGATGTATAAGAGTGTTATTTAATTTTGACTTATCCACCGTTTAAGCTAAACGGCCTTTGGGCTTAATACAACCGGTCCCAGAGCGGTTAACTAAATACATGCTATTATAGATAGATAACCGCCCTGCTGCAGATCTTTATAATTATGAGACATGGCGCCTGCAGCTTTAGAAGAGTGGTTTTAAAGCATTTAAATTTTGACAATAGACTCTTGGGGACAACCCTGCATGTATGTAAATTCTGAACTTGCATGTATAGCAACTAAATCTTACATATCTGTCTTCTCCGTGTATATTGAATCTCTAATTGATTCAATTGCCATCCATTTTAGAGGAACCAATCCCTGTAAACGATAGCATTATTTAAATCTATGTTTAACATGCATATATTATAGCCCCGTTTACACTACAGTCAATTTATCGGCACGGCACGGCTAAAATGGGTACCCGTGCCCAATTTCACTAGTGTTCAGGCTACCAAAACAAAGGCCGGGCGCGGATGAAATGGGCACAGGTACCCATTTTAGCCGTGCCGTGCCAATAAATCGAGTGTAGTGTAAACGGGGCTTATATTGGCATTACCTATAATAAACTGAGACCAGTTGCATAAAAGACTGGTTAACTTTTAACTGTGGTTAAGGAGTTAACTAGAATTTAACTATGCAGCAGATCCCCAGCACTGCTCATTTAGTTGAGGTGCGTTTAATTAATAATGGCTAAATTAACATGCACCACCTTTTGGACATATTTCTGATCACAATTAGAGTACGTAAAGTATATCTTCAGCGTTGAAACTTGCCTGGTTCGTCAGTAAGGACATCCATATGCCAACCGAACTGACAATTTATATGACACTTTTGTTTTAGCTGAATTTATTGTATGTATGCATGAATCATAAGCAAACTTACCGATGATTTTTTTAAGTATTCTTGATATTTATAGATATCTCTGGCCAACCCGAAGTCTCCAACCTTTGCTGTATATCCCTGTCCAAGTAGGATGTTCCTTGCGGCTAGATCGCGATGAATAATCTGCAACATCGGAAAGGTTGTATAAAGAGTGAATTGCGCATGCTCATGCGTGCGTGACAAATTTCTGCGCGTAACCGTCGCAAGCGATCGAGTCAATAAGTAAAAACGGATCTTAGCTTGATCCTGACCAAATTAAAGATAAAACAGTTTCCTGGCCTCTTCTATGATCCTGTTATATGATAAAATGTCAGTATGACGATGCATGTGTTATACATCACTATAAGCTGTTGCTTTTATCGTCCCTGTCATTTACCTATAGCAATGACATGAGGTACTTATTAAAGGAGTGAATTTTTATACCTTTCTCGAAATCAAAAAACTCATTCCCTTTGAAATTTCCCAAGCAATGTATATTAAATTTTTCGGTCCTATAACTTGGGAAAGGTCTGCTGTCAGAGAATCTTCCTCCATGTTGTATCTGCTGCGGCTGCTTCGTAAGAATTCTCTGAGATTTCCATATGGACAGTACTCCATTATTATCCACAGGTTTGAACTTTTGCCTACGGAAGTGAAACGTTGAAATTTGGGTCATCTTTTTTAAGGTAACTTTTCCTGATGCCTGAAATATAGTATAGGCTACACAGAAACATTGACAACGCTGATACAGGAACTTAGATCTGATTTTAAGCTTCCTCGCTTTTTCTTGTTACTTATTGATTGTGGTGGACACTATATAAATAGTGTATACTTTATAAAGTACCAAATTTCATTCTTTCATTCGTTTTGCTATAATTTCATAGTAGAACCAATTCCCAATGCCCGACTGCGTACATCTTTTTGATAAAATGTTTTACGGTCGTCATCCAGGGGCGTTGGAACGCCGCCAGAAGTGAGGGGCCCGCAACTTTCTACGAGGTTATAGGAACACTAAATGCCATATCCTGCACTCTGGGAGAAGATTTACAGAATTCTAACAATAAAAAGGTCATTAAACCTCAAAATACAACACAAAGTATTGTAATTCCGACGCCCCTGTCGCCATCGTTTCTCTAATCAGGGATTAATTCAGGATCATTATAGCTTGTTAAATATGATATATTCTTCAACACTGACCTTTGGTGCACGCACCCAGGATGTTTACAATGTTCTCGTTTTCGCCAACATGAATCAAAATCTTCAGCTCAGATTGTAGATCAATGAGCTTGTTCCAATCCCATTTTTCTATTGCAATGAGCGCGGTTATTTTAGACAAGTAAATAATAATAAAAACTAATAATTATAAATAATAATCAACAACACTACGCAAATGAGACTATAACATGTATGCTTGTTTGTACGTTTCGTTTGTTTATGTGAATGAACATTGGTGTCACAATGAACATTGGTGTCTTTTCCTTTTCTAAATCCTTAACACTGCAGAAAACGAAACCAAACTGCAAACTAAGCTGTTAGTATAGCTTAAAACCATTTATTTTCAGTTTTCTGAACTTGGAAACAGCTAGCCGTTTACGCCGTAACGTTTTCGACAGTTTTGACGCCCTCCCGGGAATCACTACCAAACAGTAATTTCAAGTTTAGCGTTTTAGTAATGCATTTAGCGATTCCGCCACAAACCTTTGAGTCTTTTAACAGCAACTTTAGTCAATTTTTTGCAATAGACGTAATTATTTCTTTTTGACGTTCGACTGAAAAGGGAAAACCTTCGTCGACTTTCTCTTTCTTTTAAAATATCTCGTGGATGAAACGCAGATATACCAGTTGCTTCTGCAAGCCAAACTACTCCAAATTCACCAGAGCCAAGTTCACTTACTAAGAAAGGTTGAGAGAAGAATGCGGGTTATGTACAAGGTTTGGCGAAGACGTTCGTAAACCAAGGTCATCGAGGATTTATATTTTCAAAAAATAATAAATATTCCTTGCTTAATTGAAACGAAAAATTATAGGCTATGTCAATTAACTACATTACTAAATATGTAATCTATTTAACAAATAAAGTACGATGGTTGACTGCACCATTTCAACTGACTGAACTGAGTAAATTACGTTCAGTACTGTTGATGAACGATTGGTTTAATTTAAATTCTAACAAGTACCTGATTTTCCTGCCCGTTCAAACGAATAATCCATCTTAATCTCACTCCTCAGTTCAATATATGGTACACAGTTTCTAATACTTACAAAAACTTATCTTTTCTCTTGGAAACTCCCATTCAGGTATAAATGGCAGTTTTTGAAGCTGTTCCTGAATATTTCCATTTACATCCAAGTCCTTTAAGTAGTCCGGTATGGGAGGATATGAGAAGAGGTAAAAACCACCATAAATTTTCTTTCTTTTGTACAACACAAAACTTATCGCAATCACGATGACCATTATTACCATCCCACTTGGAACAAGAGTGAATATTAAAATTTTCATCGATCCTGTCGTTGTAGAGGAGACTGAAAAAAATATTACACAACTAGCACAATAGCTAACCATTGAATTTGGAAGTGCATGTGAATACTTAATTGTTCGACATATTGCTGTCGATTTCGGTATATATTTAACAGATTCTGCAAACTCGAGTCGTATATGAGCTGATAGCCCACGAGACACGTAGCGCCGAGTTGGCTATCGGCCATATATGACGAGAGTGAGCAGAATAACTGTTTTATTATATACAAAAACTTTGTCGCCCTTTCAGTGCATTTTGGTGTGCTATTATCAAGTAAAGCTTGAATTTCTATTTCACTCAACTCCCCAAATCTTTCAGCCATTTTGTTTACTTTCTCTACTAGACAGATATGAGCTAATATCTGTCTAGTAGCCAACTAATGAAATTGCATCATACCTCAGATCTGGCTTGTGTATCAGTGTATATAATGAAATTAATTATTAGGCCTACAACAGGTGCGAGTGGTCGATCATTGCTTACTACTTTCTGGATCCTTGACAACAGTTGTTTTTGCAGAATTCTCGCCAGCGGCATTTGCCACAGTACATCGATACTCCATCTTAGATAACAATTGGTTCTCTATTCTTAACGACCTATCACGTGATATAAATTTCCACCGTGCGTTTTCATCTTTATCGCAGTTGGCACACGATTCCCAGGTATATGTAACCTCCGATGGATTCGCCCTCGCCAATTTACAGTCAATAATCATTCCTTTCCTGAAGACATCTACCGGCTGAAGTTGTATCTCAGGTTTCACTGTAAGAAAGGAGATCAGTCCAAATTAGGCCTAATTAATAGTTTATACGTCGCATTTTGGTCGCGTCAAATGTAATTCAAACAATAGCTAATGAAATGAGATGACTGATGACAAGCCTTGTTATCATCTCATTATACCTATTGTTTGAAATGCATTTGACGCGACCAAAACACGACGGATAAACTATAGGCACGCATTAGGAGTTGTATATACAGTGTTGCATGAATATGTTTTAATGAACATCACCCTACCCAAGACTTGTAAATGAAATTTTCTTGAATTTTTTCCCTTTTTGTTGCTTGCATCAATAATGTAGGACACGTTGTCTTGAGGAAATTGAAGATTTTTTACTTCAAATATTGTTCTTGTAATATTTTCTTTTCCCTCGTACTGGTCGGAAATCTTGCATTTGGCTCGGCTATCTGACCCCGGACAGGAATATATTTTTTCATACTTCCCATTGTCTTCAGATCTTGACCAATTGATCGCAGAATATGGGTAAGATGATACATTGTACGATAGCGAAAAACTTTCTTTCTCGTTAATAGCGATCACCTCTTTGTAGTTCGGGATAAAAATTTTAGGTTTGAATTGGGCTGCAAAATTGAAAACATTAGAAATGTCAGATCTTGAGACGCACGAGGACGTATGATAAGTATCAATCTGCTATTCCCTGGAACTTGTTTCAACTCGTTTCTGGAAAACGAGCTATTCGTTTTAATCTTATGCACAAATATAACTGGATGTATAAAATAAACAATCATAGCCTGAAGGTTTGCCTAAATGAAATTGGATGGAAGCCATAGAAAATGGTTCACCGCACCAAGTTATTTGAACTGTCCCAGAAAACATCAATTTTCTTAGGTTTCCTAGACGTTTTTGCGAATGTCATGAATATATTTAGCTATACCTTTTTTATATAATTTACCTCTGACTTTTATGTCAACCGTATAAGAAGCTTGATATTCAACCGCTTCACGGGTAACTTTACACTCCCATTGTTCATCGGAATCCAGTGGACCGATATCTACGGAGCGCTCGTCTGTCTGCCATGTCCTTGATTTATTTGGATAACGTTTCTTCCATTTTATTTTATAGCCAGCATAATAACTCTCTCCGCTCAGTATTTTTGATGTGATGTTAACCGCGCTAGCGTTAAGGAAGCCGCATGTTAACTTCACTTTACTTCTTAAATCATACAAGGCCCTATTCGGGTCTTTTATTACAACAAGTTTTGGATTAGCTTTTCCAACTATAAATGAGGAAAATAAATTGTTACGAATTCCACATGTGCAGTCCAAAAAGAACGCTGGACTCCAAAATTGAAAACAGTCATTAACAAAGTTTTAGTTGTTCTTATATGCAGTCAGTATATATTTTTTCAAATTTATTTTCGTCCTCAATTGCAAAGAAAAACATCCTAAGTTTCGAATGGTCAAGGCTGCATCTGCATGCAGTTGACCAATTCGGAACATGCTTTGCCCTCGAAATGCATCAGAACTGAAGGGTTTTTATGAAGGTCTTTACACCATATCTGCATGCATTTGCATTACAAATATATTAATTAGGGTTTGACCAGGGTTAGGCCTATAGAGGTCTACTACTGGAGATGGGAAAAACAAAACTCCTGTAATGATCAGTACTGATATGAATTGACATGAAAAGGAAGAAGAGGAATATAGACATACAGCCCATGAGAGACATACAAGACACTATAGAGGTCAACCCGTTTAACTTCCAAAATTCTACTCACTATCCCGGGTACGCTCGAGTCAAGACAAGTCACGTTTGAGGTCGTAGATTAATTTAGTTATAGGCGCCCTTGTACTGTACCTGAATAAATATGCAAATTAAATACGGTTTTTTCTTTGTCGCAGAGACTGCAGTGGTAAAATCCTCGGTCAGTATTATTCAAATTAGTTATATTGAAAACATTTTTGGCTGCCATTTTAATCTTCTTTCCGTCAACAACTTGAGTTTTGTTTTCAAATTTAAGTCTTGTCTCGTTTGCACTATTTACAGTGCAATTTGCTAAAATCCATTCACCGTGATAACGAAAAGGTCGGCCTATCACAACTTTGTATTTCCATGATATATCTGTGTAGTGAAAATAAGAATTTGATCAAATATTACATATTAACATAAATCGCCCGACAGGCAGCAGGCAGATAGCGCTGGGGTAGGATCTGGGGAGGAGGTAGGTGATCACAGTGGCAGGCGGTACGTAATCGTCTAGGCTTAATTTTTACATGAAGTATAATGCACAATTTTTGAGTTCGCGGTCTTTAATACAGCCAAAAATTGATTAGGTTGTCCCATCCGGGGTGAACAATGATGTGCTGCACCCTGAGAACAGTATTCTTAACACGGTTGTTGAACCTTGTTAAATCATCAATGCATGTTGATGCAATCACGATGCAATGTTGCTGTAACAAGTTACAACAACATTGATGATTCAACAAGCTTCGATCGGCGTTACTGGCCATCCATTACGAGAATGAAAAACAGAGAAATTCTGAATGAAAAAGGCACAAATGCTTAAGAGAAAATTAAAATGATTTTAAAATTGATAAGAAGACTCCAGACAGTTTAGGTAAACTAAAAAATTCAATATTGTGTCAGTTTGTTTAGTATCAAATGCGTACCAGGCTACTAATACGAATTCATGCATGTGTGCATTTCTTGTTTGTTTCAAGTACAAATACATGCCTTATGCCATATAATAAACTTTTTATTAACTTTTATTATAGTGCCCCGCAGCCATCTGTTAACCGAATTTTGTATTGTTTGACAAAACAAATTAGCTTATATGGCTCTCCCACGATGACAATAAATATACCCCTGATATATTCCTGTAATATACAACTTAACCTTTAGTTGAGCAGCTGGAAGCTTTTGTACGCGTCATCTTCTGCATAAATCCAAGCACTGCTGCAGTCAGAATATATTGTTTGAACTCCATTTCTACACAAGCTTCTAGAATGTTACAAATTAACATCATTTGAAAGGTTCATCAGCTCCTTGTATATATGTATAATATGTAGACTGATTCGCGCAAACGCACTAAATGCTCTAAATCAATTAGTCATCATGAGAAGGGCTAATTAACTCATAATTAACTAGCATACGTTGTTTTTTGTCTATCGTATTATCTATATCCGAATTAGTATCCCAAGACCCATACTTATGGATCTAAACTGTTTCAATTCCTTGATTCACGTTATTTGATGATCAAGCGTGGAAACTTTCAGCGCGGAGTGCCCGTAGCTAAAGACTGAAATATATAGCATGCACGCAATTGATTTCATTCCCGTTTGAGAATATTTTTTCATTGAAAATGCTTTTTGTACAATCATATTCCTTAAAAACCTAAGTAATTGCTTATATATAAAGGTACTTCAGTCTTCAGTTATCAATTTAGAGCTGTCTTTGAGAGTTCCCGCCCCAAATTCTCCGGTATTTTCACCCACATTTACGTTTATACGTACATTTGCAGGCCGAGTTTTGCACCGCCTGAGACTATCATAATATACGAGTAGTCAGTAAAAACAGTAGGAAGGATCGTGAAAGGATTAAACTGAATTAAGTTCGAATAGCATGCATTTCTTGTGCGGCTAGAAGAAGTATAGACTAAATATAGACCAAGATAAAATCTTTTTTCCGTCGAGTTGTTTCTCGGCTGCATATATACTCTGTATATTGTATATAATCTGTATTATATTCTGTATATGAAATATTTATTCTAAAATGTGAAACCATAAATTGAGGTGAAATTGAAAATATAGCAATTATACGCCAAGTCAACGATGTCCTTTTATAAATAAACGAACATTCGATTTGCCATAAGGCAACACTAATTAACTTGTTTGTTTAGATAAGAGCCCCGGTAACTCTATAATTAGACTGACTGTTAACCTCTTAAAACAAAAACCCGGCGCAGCTGCATGTAGCAATTTTGTTTGGAAAATAGGTCCTGCATGACGAAGTAGTATAGCCTTGCATCAATGACATAGGTATATCATAATGAAGGATTTTGGCGCCTATGCTTCAAATCAAACGTATAGAATCTAAAGTCAGAATATATATAGTCTCGCAAGAAGTTCGATAGAGGTCGCATAGAAGTTGGTTCACTACGCTGCGAGCTAGGTTAGGCAAAATCAAACCAATTACTTCCCAGGATTAGTGAACCGAAAGGTATACGGATCGCGCAGCAAGTCACGCTGACCCTCTTTTATCCCTTGATTTCGTGCCCATATAGGCTAAATTCGACCATTGGTATTGTTCTGCACGCGTGACCACATCAACCACATAACTCATCTAACGTTTATCAATGTACGAATCTCTTACAAAACTCTTCATCAAAACACGTTTGCCTGAGCATTAAAGTAAAATGATGATGTTTCCTACCGTTATAGTTACCTCTGGCAATTCAATTTTCAATATTCTTTGATGTTCAAAAACAGAACGCAATTTAACGTTGTCTGCTTTTTGATACCTATGATATACATCCGTGCCTTCGGAGCACACATTTAATTGTGTTTTGTCAGTCTTACAATAATGCGGGATGTTTAACATAAACATATGCCCACTGACTTACACTGAGTGCCATGCAATTTATAATGCATTAACTGCACATGCCACATGTTTTTCGTATACGTACATGCTAGGGATTTAGATAAACATGAGTAACAATGTTCTTTAAGACCATTAAGATTTGAATTTAGCGTTTCAGGTAAAATATTTATGCATATGTACCGCACTTAATCTGATCTGTGCGTAAAAAACAAAAATTTGGGGCTGTTGCTCAACTGACACTATAGCTGTCGAGCGGTTTTTTAAATATCTTTCTTGCATATAAATTATGTGAATTAACTGGCACTGCGTAAAAGGTTAAGGGCTGCTTTCAAGTTATATTACGCATTTTATGTAAGATCACACGCACGTACGGAAATATCCAATATCATCTGTAATTGTGTGTTATAGTAGGCCAATGAAATAAAATAATAAATGACAAACGCTTTTCGATTTTTCGTACATCTTAGTATGCATACATTTGGTGAATCAAATAAACTTGAAGAACTGAATTCATTTATTTATAGAGGATTAGAGGAAACAGTTTTAAATGATTTTTAAATGAATGATACCGATGGCGATGTGAAACAACTGAATGAATAGGCTGGCTGTGCGGATGATTTTGAATTTTTTAATTGTGAATTATATAAAACGTAGAAATTTTAATCGTTGCACGGTCAAATTTGAATCCGCCTGCAAAACTATAGATATCTTGCAATGGGCGTTATTAATATCTATGGCGCCAGTCTTGAAATTACTTGTGATTGTCATTTTCGAAGTCGTGATCAATTTCATGATATGAGATAAGTTTATAATCATCTTTTAAGAAACATCAAATTTCAGCTTTAGGGTAGAGTTAGGGATTTTGTCGCGTTATAAACAGGCTGATTTAAATTAATTAGTTGTAATAAGCACGCATGCAGTCTGGCTCCGCACGCAAGCAGTCAAATTATTTTACTCATTTTTTAATTGGACTTATTATGAAGCAATGATTGCGGTTCGTTGTCAACTTTCTGTATGTCAAGCATCACACAGTTACACTACTCATTCGCCGCACACATTGAGAATAATATGTTAAGATAAGCTAATATATATATATACGCCTTGTGCTGAATCTAGCTTTAGGTTAGTCTATAGTCATATCATATGGACTGTACTTCTTGAAAGATGCATTTTGCATGACTTCACTTTCGTATATGCACTATAATTGAGCATAACAAAATAGATGGCGGATGTACATTTTACCAGAATGCATTGCGGTCAGAAATCGTTTAAAAAAGCGAACTGACGTCCTTTTTATAAAGGACAGGCATAAAACAGGAAGTTATTTTCTTCGCTGTGTCAAAATTTCACGTCATTAGGAGTTTTTCTAGCCATCTTTTTTCAGTCAATCATTCTTAATGCCCGCAATGCATTCTGGTAAAATGTCATGCATTACGGTCAATTAAAACACGTCTTGGTTTCATCCAAAACTTGCGAAACATCCTCCTTATTTGATATAAGCAGGCTTAAGATTTACAATACCTGTTGTTTTCAAAATTATCTATTCCTTACATCTTTTTGGCGTATGGGAAAGAGCGATGTTTGACTCTGGCCAAGAAAATATCAGACCGTGATAATCAATTAAGTTTTGAACCGATAACAAGGCTGTGCATGCACGTCCATTGTCAGTAGCAAAAATTAACATATTTAATGCTGAAGATGATATGGAGTAAATATATAATTTAAATTTAAACATGGCGATCAGATCAATATGAAGATTTATTCAATGCAATGATAGCAGGCACATAGGCTCGATTCTATATATAAAAGACTAAAAATGTTTAAATAACTATTTATTTTCGACTGCGTGCTATTGGCTTCCTCACAAAACGATAATCGTATGTATAGCGTGCCGTCGAATCGAAAATCATTATTTTTAATATAGGACCATGCAAGGCCTAGGAGCAGACGTAGCTACGTCATAGCTAAACTGATACTTATATATAGTAATAGCTAAAAACTTCTTGAAATGTCGTGAGGTTTCTGTCTTTTTTAGACTTTTAGTTGTTATGCCACATGATGGGAAGTTATATAAGTCACTGGCTGTCTTTTCCGCATATCGAGGCTTTCGTTAGATTTTATTAAACCTGCTTATTTCCTGCTAATATATACGCCCGCTTATTTAATAAAACTGATCTAACCATCTGCGGAGTAGAGAGGTCAAGGGCTGCATTCAAATTACGTATTTTTTGTAAGATCACGTTTTTGTAAGTTTCATATAATTTAGAATTATAAAGGAAACAGTTTTTTAAAAAATTCTTTGCTAAACTGAATGCCGATACATACGCACGGAAAAATCTATACATTAATGTAATTGTGTGCATGCCCTAGGCTAACGAAATAAATGACAAAAGCTTTTCGATTTTTCCCACATTTTAATCTAGTGTGCATTCATCAAATTCATTTATATAGAGGATACGGTTTTAAAACATTTTTTACTGAAATTAATGATGCTGAAGAGAAAATACTGAATGAATAGGCTGTGTGGATAATATATACGGTAATACTATATATACATGTCAGTTTAATTCTGAATTATACAAAACGTAGAAATTTTAATCCGGTTGCATGCACGACTGTGCACACGTCAGGCAGTCAACTTTGAATCCCGCAGAACTACTCTTTGCGGTTATGGACATGTTATCAGTAGCTATATTATATAAATATTGAATATCAATATAGCGTACGTTATATTTATATGCGTCTAAATGCCAGTATTGAAGTAATTTGTTATTGTCATTTTCGTCTTTTCGACGTCTTGATCAATTTGATATGAAATAAGTATATGTTATAAGAAGGAGCGTTTTATCATCATTAGAATAAGCGCTGGCGTTTCCACTGTCGTGTTTTTTCTATATACACGTACGTATACTAGGCTAAAATACCTAAATATTAATTGTCAATTATTATTTTTGAAGAAACATTAAACATAAATTTCAGCATTGCATGGCATGGGGCTTGATATTAGGGATTTTAGATTAGTCGCGTTAAACAGCCTGATTTAAATTAAAACAGCACGAAAGTTGAAAGCAGTCAAAAGGTTATTTTACCGTCATTTTTTTAACGGACTTATAGCTAAATTATAGCTTATAAGCTATATGAAAATGCCTCTTTTAAGAAATAAGAAGTCCGTATGATTATCGGCCTAGATAAGATATGGATTCAACACAACTTAACCGAAGGCGCAGAGAAGATCTCTGCCGCAGCTACGAATATATAGCTTCAGTTTTCTGTTGTAACTCAGTGTTTCTGTTTTTACGCAGTGCCTTTCAGACTAGGCCTGTAGGATAATGAGGCATTTCAGCTTATTATCTATTCTTTTCAACGTGTGCGCTTGAGTGGCGTGCCCTGTCACTGTGACTGTTTGATGCTTGACAGTAGACATACAGAAAGTTGGCAACGAACGTCGTTCATGCACTATAATTCTTCAGCGCAGCATTTCACAATTCACATTGTATTGAAACATCCTCCTCCCTAATATTAGATCTGCCGAGCAGGCGCATAAGTTTTACTTGCAAGACCTGGGGCCGGTTGTTCGAAAGGCGTTTAGCTTAAACTGACGCGGATAAGCCAAAGTTTTAAAATACTTTCATAAATCTTGTGAATGACCGAACCTGTATCTTATGCATTTAATATGTACTTCCATTGAGAATTATTAGTGTCAAATTAAACGCCTTTAGCTATTCTATCCTTTTGGCGTATGGAAAGAGCGATGTCTGACCCTGCATGCCATGCAAGAAAATGAATGAGACCGTGATAATCAATTTATGTTTTAAACCGATTACAGGGCTGTGCACGTCCATTAATTGTCAGTTGCAAAATTGACATAGTTTATTGGCAGAAAATGATATTTGAAGTATAAATGACGATGTCATGCATGAGTGAGAAGATTTCAAAAATCGACCCATGCATATATGACGTTTTCGTAGCGGCCAATGAGCTGTAGGCTTGATTCTATATAAAAGAATGAAGAAAGCCGTTTATGCTATTGGCTTCTTTACAAAACACTAAGGATAATCGTATAGCATGCCGTCGAAAATAAGTATTTTTAAGTAAGGAGCAGACGCACGTCATAGCTAAAATAGACCTATAGTAGTATAGTAGCCAAAAAACCTCTAGAAACGTCGTGAGGTTTTTATGTATTCTTTAGTTGTTATGCCACATTTGATGGGAAGTTATATACGTCATTGGCCACTTTGCCACATTTGATGGGAAGTTATATACGCGTCATTGGCCACTTATTATCTGCGAACAATCGTAATTCAGAGACATTCAGAGACTAGTATAGAGTAGGCAATATACTGATCAATATAATTAATGATGGGCTGGGCCAGCCTTTCTCTCTTTAAAGCAAATTTTATGCTTTAGATTCTAGTCAATTAACCATCAATTTTACTTTCATCCAAGAAGCAGTGTTTATGTTTTAAGAGCTTTACATTCATTACCCGGTGCCCAGAGCACATGGACAGGCAGGACAGTCAGCAACCAATCAGAAACCAGATTCTGCAAAAAACTGGATTATCGTTTTCTTCATTTCATTAAACTACAGCGCAAAATTTATGGATAACAAAAAATATTCATAAAGAAAACATGAATAATTCTGTTTTTTCCGTATGCAAAAACCCACGCTATTTATACCATTTACATACTTTACTGCCTCTGCAAGGTAATTTAAGGCCGGTTTAAATTTAATACTATGTAGAAGAACGCAAAGGCAGAGTCTCTCATTCACGGTCAGTAATATTTCACTATATTAGTCTTCTTAGAGAGTATACAAGGAACTAAAGCTGGTTTCTAAAAGGCAAAGAGAGTTCCCCAACTTCAATATGGAACACTACCCATTAAGAAGAATATGAAACTTCGCCGAGTATTTTTGCGAACGTGATGAAAAAATAAGTAACTTAGCTTGTAGGTACACCACGTAAGAATTTAAATACTTACGTGGTGTAGGGTGTACCTACAAGCTAAGTTACTTATTGATGTCACCATGCAAACATACAAGAATCGTTGTTTTCACTGATTAGTTTTAGAGCGGAAGAAAGCAAATTACCGAGGATTGAGAGGAAATGTTTTAAACTGATTAACTGAATACTAGTATGACATAGAAAAGACTTCATTTATCAGGTATGTTGAATCATTCCCCTAGTCCCCTTGGCTGTAGTGTTTTTTAAAATTATTCTATTCTAAAGGCTGTTTTCCAGTTACGCGTTTTTCATAGGCACGTACACGCACGTATAAAAGTTGAAATCCTCATGTACATGTTACCGTAAAGAACTTAAATGAATAAACCGAAGGAACTTAGTTTTCTGCATATTTGAGTATGCATTAGTTGACCTAGATGTTAAATAATAAAAATTTAAAAGCATTTCAAATTTTCCGTACGTGTACGTGCGTATAAAAAACGCGTAAGTGGAAAGCAGCTTTAACATTCCAGTTTATTTAGAGTTCACTACTTGAAGTGGGAAGTGCCTTATTAACTTCCGGTGAAGTGAAGTTTTTGCTGATCGGTTCATGTTATTAAAAGTTCATATTTCAAAGATCAAACTTTTGTTGTCTGGTAGTGTAAATCAGGGAATTTAATAAATCTAATATACACCAATTTTATAGAAACACGCCACGTTGCCTTTGTTCGTTGTGTGTCATGCAGTGAAGGTGAGTCTGCTTCACTTAAATTACTATGTTTACAAATGAAAATGCAGTCAGTGGTGTGGCGCTGTTGAGTCATAGCCCAGGCCATTTATTTAATGATTTTAATCCTTACCATTTTGTCATTAAATCAGAGAATTTCATATATCACTGTGACATATTTGCCATATTGTATAGTTATATCGTCTATTGTAATTCTTGTTTAATCTTTGCGTAAGCAAATTGAATTCGTTTGCAATAAACCTTAAAATCACATCGCTGTCATACCCATCAAATTGTTTTGTAGATTAATTAGGTTGTTCAAAGGGAAGTAGATATTTATTATATGAAAAAATTACAGTATTAAAGGTCCCTCCATGCAGGTGAACATTATTATAAAACTGTATGTCCGTATATTATTTAATAAATACAAAGTGCAATTGTTCACTGAACATGTACATAAGGCCAATGACCTGACTGCCAAAGTATCTTGTTTTAATACAAGGTGCAAAAAACATAAGGAAGATGTCAGCTAGGTGCCTTTAGGATTAGTAGAATCTTTGTATATTTGTCAGTTGGGAAAGCTGTTAAATTTAGACTCTGCTCCCCTGTTTATATATATAACGTTCGGTGAACATATAAGAAATCCAGACATGCTCTGTTTGTCAACATTTTTGGGGCTTACATAATTTGTCACTTGATAATTGGTATTCAGTGATAGGGTCACTTGAAACATCACAGCATATAGCGGTGGATTCAGCGTAAGTCAGAATAAATTATACAGCCAAATTTTGAATTCAAAATACTTAATAAAGATGCTATTGGTTATTCACCTCTAAAGAATTTTTACATGATATTATCCAATATAATTGCAAGTTAAAGCTGTAATAATTTATTCTGTGTTAATACCCTGGATCTGCCATCGACAACATAAATGAACAAATGTGAGAAGTATGCTTTGTAACAGCAAAGGTTATATTGATGTACAATTTAAAAATTGGGAAATCATCCACAAATGTGTGTTTGGAATGTTTAAATAAAATATAATAGGAAGTATCTCCAAAGTCTAATACATATAGGTACAAAGGTACAAATCATAAAAAAACATAAATTGTTGGATGTTCATCACATCAAAACAAATAATAACTTTAATATCATGTATATATTAAAAATTTGTGCAGATTAAAGTTTTAAGTTTGAAATATTAACCCTCTTAGAGATCCCCTCAACTTTATTTTTGCCATATCAGTGTTAATCCTCTCATTTGTATTTTATTACTCATCTGTGATTTATGACCCCCTTGTCTGTGTTTTATCCCCTCATCTATGTTTTATTCCTTCACCTGTGATTTACCCCAATTTTTGTTTCATCATTGCCCTTGTCTTCGTCCTTTACTCATGTTTTATCCCCTTTACCCTGCTTTATCCCTTTTATTTGTGTTTTTCCCCCAGGCCTAAATAATGTTTATCCTTGTTTTATCCCTGACCTCATTCATATTTTCTGTAGTTTAACTTCATCTGTGTTTTCCCCCTCATGCCTATCTGTACCTTCTGTTGTCGTTATTTTACCCATAGTTAATTTACCTAACCATTTTGAAAAGGCTTTCATTCTTATAAATTATTCTTTAATTAATTATAGAGATCAGCCCAAAACAAATACTTTTTAAAACAGTTTCTTAAATCATGGAGCACCCTAAAATAACCATCCTCATGAAATTCATAACAATTATTTGTGACATATTCAACTCATCTGAATGATTAAGTAAAAATATATAGGCATGTAATTTTCTGAACATGTATGCAAATTTATATGTAGTGAAGGCATGTAATGGCTGATTAACTGATATCGTATATCATTGAGACAAAAAGATTAGCTACAGTTGTATATATTATATATAATAATATATTGCTGTATAATATGTACTGTATAGGATCTTCAAGGATTGTCACTTGTAAGCATTAAAAGGAGTGAAATATAATATATATTTTTTGATGCATTTTTTCATAAATTGTTGCCTAAAGTAATCTTAAACTTTATAAACAATCATTTTAAATGTAGTAAAGAAATGTAATATTTGTATAACATCACAGAATAAAGGTACCTACAGTGAAGTTACATACACCATGTTTGTCAATACATCTATCGTTTTATTCTTTACAGTTTGCCAAAGATGAAGCTCATTGGAGATGATTGATCGTTTCATTTGTTGTTTCCTGGTTTTCATTATATTCTGTATCATGTTAAATATTATTGGAATCTTTTTTTTTTACTTGAAACACTTCATATAATCTTTTGCTTGGTTACTAATACCGAATTTATTGAACCTTCTAAGAGTAAGTATTATTATTGCACTATTATCATTGCACTTATAATTGATAAATTTTGTAAACTGCCCTAGGTTTCTGTCACTCCCCTTTAGGCTCATTCCGGTATAGATAATAAAACACTAGCGTTGATAATTCTTGACTATACGCTCATATGCTATGGATTGTACCAATAACGTCAATAACTTTGGTATTGCAAGCTTTGCTGACAAAACGTATGAAAAGATAAATTATACACATATTCCATGCATCATTTGATTCATTTCGTCTGCATGGCTGATACAAATAGACTGATAAGATACAGGAGGAGAATCGGGCTAAATCGAGCCCAGAGCCTACAGTCAGAATAACATGTTTTGAAGTAAGTTCTCCTTCAACAGATTCACAAAACTGTTTTATAGTTCGAACCATCCAAAATAGAATGAGTTACTATTTCTTTCTCACACATGAAGTGGCTTTCCTCTTCCCGACCGACGATCACATGTAGTATAAGACCTGCTCTTCTGACACTACTTTAGAAACGTATATTTACTGCGAATTTGACCTTAAGGCAACACCTCCATGTAGATGCTGTGTGCGTACAAAAACTTTCAAATAACACTGTACTTTGCGATTGGATTTGGTCTTGTGTCTTGATCTGCATTCTGCATATATTAGCAATAACGCCATTTTACCCTTCTAGGTTTTTGTAATAGCATCGTTCAAAATGCTTCAGCAAATCCTAAAAGACATGTATATAGACCCAGAGCTTCTGGCTGAATTGTCTGAAGAACAAAAGCAAGTGTTGTTCATCAAAATGAGAGAAGAACAAGTTCGTAGGTGGAAAGAACGAGAAGCTGAATTTGAAAAAAAAGAGAAAGTCATAAATTTGACGACGAAAAAGACGAACAACAGTATGTGGCGATCATTCAGTAGATATTATTTGTGTTAAACAAATATACAGTTTACACAAAAACGTTTGACGTTTTCACACAAGGGCCTTCGTCAGGAGTCTTTCGTGTTTTAAAATACATCGTATATGTTTCGTATATTAAACCACATTTCTTGATAAAAAGATGTTTCGATTATGTTTTGGGTCTGAGAGCCTCACACTCAATTTAGTATAGGACAATGCGAATTGAAGAGTGTGCTACAAGTCATGCCCTGTCAATGGTCGCAAATTTCGACGGACTATTGAGAATACCACATGCACTCGAAATTCACAATGGTCAGAACAATACTAACATAAAAATCTCCATTCAGATCTCCAAATGGAGTCCATGCAGAGTACATACATAGACTGCATCCTAGTGCATTGTTTTTTTGCAGAAAAAGGAGCGAACGTCCATTATTTAATGGGAGCAGACGGAAATCCGTGGACTTGGGTGTTTGGAGAAAGCGATGAAGATACGTCAGAAGACGAAAAAGAAAGAAGTAAGTGCAAAAATAATATGATTTTTCAAATTCAACCACATGGATGATGTTATTTTTCTTGGATTTCATGTCGAGTCGTAGATGTCATAGATTTTAGTGGTGGGCAACTCAAAAAGTGAGTTGACCTTGTGCGTATTACAAATATATGCACTACTCACTCCTTGTCCTTGATGTTAATAATTGATGTTATTGTGCATAATATCTGGTTTTAGTTTGTAGCTTCATCTAGTAATGACTCTTATCCTTCATTATGTTATCTTTCTGCAGTCAGTAGTCATACGTATTTTCACTGCATAGGTCTGCGAGCCTTGGAAGACAGAGAGGTCGAGCGAAAGGCAAAGGAGCTGGCAGAAAAGGAAGCCGCTGAGCTGAGAAGAAAGGAACTTGCTGCTATTGAATTGAGAACCAAGCAACTCAAAAATGAAGAAGAGAAACTCGAGAAAGATCGTGCTGAAAAAGAGAAATTACTCAATGCAAACAAACAATTGGTAGATCAAAACTATGCAAAGGTACAGACGTGCATACATATCATCTATTATTAATCTGACTATCATGGCTCAATCCGCAAGAACTGAACGGTCGATAAAGTCGTATCCAATTTGCCAATCGAAAACTGTAAATTCTTTTAAATAAATAATAATAATCCAGTTTATTCACTGGTTAAATTTTATATTAATTTTTCCTTAGGCGAAAAACAAATTTGTGATCAAACTTGATGAAAATGAGAAGCGGCAATTCATAAACCGAAATAATGTAAAAGAGAAAGAACAGGCGGATAGGCGCAAATTGGAAGAGTTGAGGGAAAGAAAGCGAAAGGAAGAAGAACAACGAGAAGCAGAGGTTAGAGAAAAAGAGAAATTGGAAAAAGAAAAATTGGAGAAAGAGAGAAAAGAAAAAGAAGAAGCGGATAAAAGAAAGGAAGAAGCAATGAGAAAAAAAGACGAATTGAAAAAGCAAAAAGAACGCGAAGAGAGACAAAAACAAGAACTAGCGAAAAAAGAAGCGGACGAAAAACGTATACGAGAGTTGGAAAAACAAAAAAAGGAGGAAGAAATGAGGATAGCGGAACTAAAAAGACTGGAAGAAGAAGAAAACGAGAAAAAGAGAATAAAGGAAAAGGAACTGAAAGAAAAACAAGAGCAGCGGGAGAAGGAAATTTATGAGAGGATAAAAAAGGTATGATTTATATATTCCAATGGCCTTGTGTTTCGTTAGTTTCAAACCTCCTCCCTTGTTAGCAAAACCATTCTCCACAAGTAACATGTCGCGTAGTCAATCTTGTGACTACGTTACTCATTCTGCTCCTAAAATCAGAAAAATAAGGTTGATATGTCGTAGTCAATGTGCACCATTAGAAATTTGAAAATTTTGTTTGTCCGATTGTTTGCCTCAATTTCAGCACTTTAAAAACCAAGATGTAACCACCGTAGTCCGTGCCTTTGTTCGCGGTGTCATCTTAAAATCCCTATTGACGGAATGTTGCTTTTCACTCTAGCAAAAAGAGGAAGAAAGGAAGAACGAGGAAGAGTCAAGAAAGAAAGATTACGAGGCTTGGATCGAACGTGAGAAAAAGGCGAAAGTTGCGGAATATGAAAGACGAAGTTCTGTCAGTATGGCGAGACGAGAAGTAAAACGTCGTGAGGAAGAAGTTAAAGAACTTCAAAAGCAAGGTTTTATCGAAGTCGCGAGTGGTTTATACCGACGTCTTTCACAGTCAAAATCCAGGGCACATCGTGTAGACTTAAAACAATCGGAAAGTATGAAAAAAGAGCGGCCAACTATTTCTTCACCTGAACTGATTAGCGCTACTGGAGCAACGATTCCAGTCCGTTCAATCAAGCCACCGAAACCAGAACGTTCGCCGCCCTCAATACCTCGGAGGTATGTAGGAAATTATAAATGCACTATCGTCTCGATTCCTCTTAACCTGTAACTTGTGACTATCAATTTTCACTTGACCAAAGCTATGAAATAATTATCAAGTTATCTTTTAGAAACACTCGTCTCGGTCCTGCCCCTCCTCCCCCAGTAAAAAATGGTAATCCTGTTCAACAGAAAAGAACCGATCGTCCACATAATCGACAACAAATTATTGAATGGTGGCAAGAGATCGAATTACCAAAAGGTTCCGGATTTCAAGATGATGCCGCTTTACCTTGGTTTCATGGTAAGAATATTACATCTATCGGAGTATGCTATAATGATCATATTGCATGCATGTACAATTTTTTGAATGGTGTAAAGTTGATAAACGCTTTTCTGGTAAAAGGCCAATATGCAGCACAGTATTGCCAATTTTAGCCCGCCAGAATAAAAATTGATTATCACACCTACATAAAAAGTCTTTATATAAAAAGTCATTTTGACGTAGTTTGCAAACAATGAAATTTTGTCATTCTTAATCTATTAAACAATTACTTATACACACATCCACACACACAAAAGAAAACATACGCATGACAATACGAAAACAAAACATTATTTCCAGATTAAGTTTTAAGTTTGGAACGAATAGAGTCCGATTAAGTGTTCAGAGATGGTGTATAGTTTCTAATAGGTTACATATTATCATAACTTGAAAATGATGCACGCTTTAGCATCGAAACGTCGTTTGATAAAAATAATATCGCTATAATTGTTTGTGTCAAAATTAACTTTTATTCTCAGGTATAATATCAAGACAGGAAGCTGAAAGTTTGTTAGAAGAGAGACCTGTCGGTAGTTTTCTAGTCCGTGTTAGTGAACGAGTTTGGGGTTATACAATCTCGTATCGAGCTGCTGATCGCTGCAAACACTTCCTTATTGACACCAGTGACAATTCCTACCAATTCTTTGGTCACAATCAAATAGCACACGCCTCGCTCAATGATTTAGTAAAATTTCATCAGACCAGGCCTGTGTCTGGCATCGGAGGAGAACTTTTGTTAAAACCTTGTGGACAGAAAGATGTCAATGAACCTGACTATAAAGAACTTGTCTCGCAAACAACAACAATCTAACAAACAAATAATTGAAAAATCAATATATATTTTTTAAAAACGAACTAGAAAATAATTTTGTACGTTGATAAAAATCTAACTATATTCATTCGCATTGGAATCTGAACTGTGGTAAATACTGTATGTAGAAAATTTATTAATTGTTTAGTATATGTAATTCATTATAATTTATAAATCATATAAATTGTTTATTACAGTTTACTTATAGTTACCTAAAAGTATAATGCAAAATTATTCGGAAGATGTACGCGATGCCTTTTGTTAAGGGACTACATTACAATCACGATTCGCAAAATGGCTTTTTTTCACCTTCTTGGCTGTAATCACATTCGAATGTAGTAGAATTTTCACCATGTTTTTAACATTTTTAGAACATTTTCAAAAGCCGTCAATTTTGACAAAAATGGTAAGGGGTATACCTCTCACAATTTTCGCCCAAATTCACGAATTTCTCAATGAATTGAAAATGAATCTCTCAATCTTTGCAATTTTCAGCATGTTAACACATTTTTAGAAAATTTTCAAAAAATGGTGGTAACGGTTCCCCTTACAATTTTTCATAAATTTTTTTTAAAAAATGTGTTAACATGCTAAAAATCACTTCAAATATTCACTAGGATTAATCTCTATGGTTTTTGAGAATATTTGGTACTATGTTTTCCTATGGTAAGGGCCTTACCATACGACTTACCGGACGACTTTCAAAAATTTTCTAAAAACGGGTTGATGCTGAAGATTGCTTCAAATATTCACTAAGACTAAACTCTTTTGTTTTTGAGCATATTTGGCTTGTTTTTGGAATATTGAAAAATCATCATTTTTGGCATGGTACGTAAGGTTCACCATACCATTATAGCAAAAATTGACGAATTTTGAAAATTTTTAAAAAATGTGTTAATATGCTGAAAATGGCTTCAAATATTCACTAAAACTAAACTCTTTGCTTTATGAGCATATTTAGTTTGTTTATGGAACATTGAAAAAGTTGCCAATTTTGGCCAAAATGGTAAGGCTACCCCGATTTTGGCCAAATTGACGAATTTTGAAAATTTTAGCTTCAAATATTCACTAAGACTTATCTCTTTTGTTTTTGAGCATATTTTTTATTTTTTTCTGGAACATTGAAAAAACATCATTTAGGCATGGCACGTAAGGTTCACCTTACCATTAAAGTCCATTATAGCAAAAATCGACGAATTTTGAAAATTTTCCAAAAATGTGTTAATATGCTGAAAATAGCTTCAGATTTTCACTAAGACTAATCTCTTTGGTTTTTGAGCATATTTGCTTTGTTTCTGGAATATTGAAAAATTCATTATTTTTGGCATGGTACGTGGGGCTCACCTTAAAATTTTCGCCAAAATTGACGAATTTTAAAAAAATCCAAAACACGTGTTAATATCCTGAAAATGGCTTCAAATATTCACTAAGACTACTTTTTTTTTTGAGCAGGTTTGGCTTGTTTTTGGGATATTGAAAACGTCATCATTTTTGGCATAATACGTAAGGTTCACCTTACTATTATAGCCTAAATTGACGAATTTTGAAAAATTTCCAAAAATGTGTTAATATGCTGAAAATTGCTTCAAATATTCACTAAGACTATTTTTTTTGTCTTTGAGCAGGTTTGGCTTGTTTTTGGGATATTGAAAAATTCATCATTTTTGGCATAGTGCGTAAGGTTCACCTTACTACTATAGTCCAAATTGACGAATTTTGAAAATTTTTCCAAAATGTGTTAATTTGCGGAAAATAGCTTCAAATATTCACGAAGGCTATTACTCTTTGTTTTTTTAGCATATTTGGTTTGCTATTGGAACATTGAAAAAATAATCATTTTTGACATGGTACGTGGGGCTCACCTTACCATTTTAGCCCAAATTGACGAATTTTGAAAATTTTTCAAATATGTGTTAATTTGCAAGAAATGGCTTCAAACATTCACTAGGAATAAAAAACTCTTTTGTTTTTGAGCATATTTGGATTGTTTTTGGAATACTGAAAAATTCATCATTTTTGGCATGGTACGTGATGCTCACCTTCCCATTTTCGCCAAAATTGACGAATTTTGAAAAATTTCCAAAAATGTGTTAATATGCTGAAAATTACTTCAAATATTCACTAAGCCTAAACTCTTCTGTTTTTGAGCATATTTAGCTTGTTTTTGGAACATTGAAAAAATTGTAAATTTTGACCAAAATGGTAAGGCTACTCCGATTTTGGCCAAATTGACGAGTTTTGAAAATTTTTCAAGAATATGTTGATATGCTGAAAATAGCTTCAAATATTCACTAAGACTAATCGCTTTTGTTTTTGAGCATATTTGATTTTTTTCTGGAACATTGAAAAAGTCATCATTTAGGCATTGTACGTAAGGTTCACCTTACCATTTAGCCAAAATTGACGAATTTTGAAAATTTTCCAAAAATGTCTTAATATGCTGAAAATAGCTTCAAACTTTCACTAAGACTAATCTCTTTGGTTTTTGAGCATATTTGCTTTGTTTTTGGAACACTGAAAAAATTGTCAATTTTGGCCAAAATGGTAAGGCTACCCCGATTTTGGCCAAATTGACGAATTTTAAAAAATTACAAAAATGTGTTAATATGCTGAAAATGGCTTCAAATAATCACTAAGACTATTTTTTTGTTTTTGAGCAGGTTTGGTTTGTTTTTTGGATATTGAAAAATTCATCATTTTTAGCATAGTGCGTAAGGTTCACCCTTACTATTATAGTCAAAATTGACGAATTTTGAAAATTTTTCAAAAATGTGTTAATTTGCGGAAAATAGCTTCAAACATTCACGAAGACTATTACTTTTTGTTTTTTTAGCATATTTGGTTTGTTATTGGAACATTGAAAAAATTGTCAATTTTGGCATGGTACGTATACGTGGGGCTCACCTTACCATTTTAGCCCAAATTGACGAATTTTGAAATATTTTTAAAAATGTGTTAATTTGCGGGAAATGGCTTCAAATATTCACTAAAACTAAACTCTTTTGTTTTTGAGCATATTTGGTTTGTTTTTGGTTCATGGTACTTAGGTTCACCTTACCTTTATAACCAAAATTGACGAATTTTGAACATTTTCCAAATATGTGTTAATATGCTGAAAATGATTTCAAATATTCACTAAGACTAATCGCTTTGGCTTTTAAGCATATTTGGTTTGTTTTGGAAAATTGGAAAAATTGTCAATTTTGGCCAAAATGGTAAGTCTACCCCAATTTTGGCCAGAATTGACGAATTTTGAAAATTTTCCAAATTCATGGTAACCTTTACCATTATAGCAAGAATTGGCGAATTTGGAAAATTTTGTAAATATGTGTTAATATGCTGAAAATGGCTTCAAATATTCACTAAGACTAATCTCTTTGGTTTTTGAACATATTTGGTTTGTTTTTGGTAAATTGGAAAAATTGTCAATTTTGGCCAAAATGGTAAGGATACCCCGATTTTGGCCAGAATTTACGAATTTTGAAAATTTTCCAAAAATGTTTTAATATGCTGAAATGGCTTCAATATTCACTAAGACTAAACTCTTTTGTTTTTGAGAGCATATTTGGCTTGTTTTTGGAATATTGAAAAATTCATCATTTTTGCATTGTACGTGAATTACGAATTTGCATTACGAATTTTGAGAATTTTCCAAAATGTGTTAATATGCTGAAAATTGCTTCAAAGTACAAATATTCACTAAGACTATTACTCTTTGGTTTTTGAGCATATTTGGTTTGATTACTTTAGTTTTTAAAATTCACAATTTTAGTAAAATGGTAAGGCTACCCCAATTTTCCTCAAAATTGACAAATTTCGAAAATTTTCAAAAAATGGCTTCAAATATTCGCTAAGACTATCACTCTTTGGTTTTTTATCATATTTGGTTCGTTTTTTGAACGTTAAAAAAATCTTTTTATTTGTTTGGTTATTGGAACATTAAAAAAGTCCTCAACAAAATCAAAACAGGCATCAACAAACAAGGTTGTAAGTGTAGCTTCGAATCCTGCGTGGGAAAGGTTCGATTTTTCCCATCGAGATTACTATTTGATTTAAAATTCTTTGAAAAGGATTAGGTCAAATAAACAACCATAGCCTTCGACAAATGATGTTGTAGCAATGAAAAAAAAATCAGGCTGAAAAATTTCGGTGTGATTTAGAAGCTTTAAAACAGTTAAAAGATTCCTCGGCCTTTAGGATTGTATATTGATACCAACCTTACAATATATATACGTGTTATTTCGGTGGCCCAGTGGTTAAAGTTACGGGCTACTAGGTTGTAAGCGTAGGTTCGAATCCTGCATGGGAAAGGTTCGATTTTTCCCACCGAAATTACTATTTAATTTAAAATTCGTCGAAAAGGATTTAGTCAAATAAAGAACAATAGCTTTTGGCAAATGATGTGGTGGTCTAGTGGTTAAGGCATTCGTCTCTCAATCCGAGGACAGACGTTTCAACCCCTGGCAATGCAAAAAATTTGCCTGAAAAATTTCGGTGTGATTTGGAAACTTTAAAGCAGTTAAAAAGACTCCTCGGACTTTCGGAAAGACTGTAAATTTAAAGAAGTTTGAAATAAAAAAACTGAAAAAAAATTCTCGCGTTCAAAAGTACTTGAAAATTGAAAAAAAAAGCGCAAGTCAAGAAATTTTAAAAACATATGTCTTCTAAAAAGATTGAAAATTAAAAGTGGGAAAAAGAAATTCAAAATTTCCCGCTTTTAAAAAACTCATGTTTACTTACCTTAAGTTTTTTTTCACGAAAATTTGACAGGGTGATTTTCTCGAGACTGAAAAAATTTAATTTTTTTCACTTTTTTGAAATTCTCTTAGATTTTTTTTTCGACGCGAAAATATTTTGTTTTGGGCTCCCTGTGTCTGTCTTGGGCTACCTGTGTCTGGCCTGACACAGGTAGCCCAAGTCAAAATACTTTCGCGTCGAAAAAAAAATCTAAGAGAATTTCAAAAAAGTGAAAAAAATTGAATTTTTTCAGTCTCGAGAAAATCACCCTGTCAAATTTTCGTGAAAAAAAACTTAAGGTAAGTAAACATGAGTTTTTTAAAAGCGGGAAATTTTTAATTTTTTTTTCCGTCTGACTTTCTCTTCATTCAGTTCAGGCTTTTTAGAAGACACGTGTTTTTAAGACTTTTTTTAATTGTGCTTTTCTTTCAATTTTCAAGTACTTTTGAACGCGAGAATTTGTTATCATTTTTTTTATTTCAAATTTTTTTCAATTTACAGTCTTTCGCAAAGGCCGAGAAGTCTTTTAACTGTTTTAAGGCTTCCAAATCACACCGAAATTTTTCAGGCCAATTTTTTTGCATTGCCAGGAGTTGAAACGTTTGTCCTCGGAGTGAGAAACGAATGGCTTAACCACTAGACCACCGCATCATTTGTCGAAAGCTATTGTTCTTTATTTGACCTAATCCTTTTCGATGAATTTTAAATTAAATAGTAATTTCGGTGGGAAAAATGGAATCTTTCCCATGCAGGATTCGAACCTACCCTGACAGCCTGGTGGGCCGTAGCCTTAACCACTGGGCTACCGCAATAAAGTATATATTAAGGCTGCCATCAACATGTAACTCGACGGCCGAGTGGTTAAGGCAACGGCCTACCAGGTTGTAAGCGTAGGTTCGAGTCCTGCATTGGAAAGGTTCGATTTTTCCCGCCGAAATTACTATTTAATTTAAAATTCATCGAAAAGAATTAGGTCAAATAAAGAACAATAGCTTTCGACAAATGATGTGGTGGTCTAGTGGTTAAGACATTCGTTTCTCACTCCGAAGACAAACGTTTCAACTCCTGGCAATGCAAAAAAATTGGCCTGAAAAATTTCGGTGTGATTTGGAAGCCTTAAAACAGTTAAAAGACTTCTCAACCTTTGCGAAAGACTGTAAATTGAAAAAAATTTGAAATAAAAAAAATGATAACAAATTCTCGCGTTCAAAAGTACTTGAAATTTGAAAGAAAAGCACAATTAAAAAAAGTTTCAGAAAACACGTGTCTTCTAAAAAGCCTGAACTGAATGAAGAAAAAAAAAAAAAAAAAAAAGAAAAAAAATTTAAAAATTTCCCGCTTTTAAAAAACTCATGTTTACTTACCTTAATTTTTTTTCACGAAAATTTGACAGGGTGATTTTCTCGAGACTGAAAAAATTCAATTTTTTTCACTTTTTTGAAATTCTCTTAGATTTTTTTTTCGACGTGAAAGTATTTTGACTTGGGCTACCTGTGTCAGGCCAGACACAGGTAGCCCAAGACAGACACAGTAGCCCAAAACAAAATATTTTCGCGTCGAAAAAAAAATCTAAGAGAATTTCAAAAAAGTGAAAAAAATTAAATTTTTTCAGTCTCGAGAAAATCACCCTGTCAAATTTTCGTGAAAAAAAACTTAAGGTAAGTAAACATGAGTTTTTTAAAAGCGGGAAATTTTAAATTTCTTTTTCCCACTTTTAATTTTCAATCTTTTTAGAAGACATATGTTTTTAAAATTTCTTGACTTGCGCTTTTTTTTCAATTTTCAAGTACTTTTGAACGCGAGAATTTTTTTTAAGTTTTTTTATTTCAAACTTCTTTAAATTTACAGTCTTTCCGAAAGTCCGAGGAGTCTTTTTAACTGCTTTAAAGTTTCCAAATCACACCGAAATTTTTCAGGCAAATTTTTTGCATTGCCAGGAGTTGAAACGTCTGTCCTCGGATTGAGAGACGTACGCCTTAACCACTAAACCACCACATCATTTGCGAAAAGCTATTGTTCTTTATTTGACTAAATCCTTTTCGACGAATTTTAAATTAAATAGTAATTTCGGTGGGAAAAATCGAACCTTTCCCATGCAGGATTCGAACCTACGCTTACAACCTAGTAGCCCGTAACTTTAACCACTGGGCCACCGAAATAACATGTATATATATTGTAAGGTTGGTATCAATATACAATCCTAAAGGCCGAGGAATCTTTTAACTGTTTTAAAGCTTCTAAATCACACCGAAATTTTTCAGCCTGATTTTGTTTTCATTGCCACAACATCATTTGTCGAAGGCTATGGTTGTTTATTTGACCTAATCCTTTTCAAAGAATTTTAAATCAAATAGTAATCTCGATGGGAAAAATCGAACCTTTCCCACGCAGGATTCGAAGCTACACTTACAACCTTGTTTGTTGATGCCTGTTTTGATTTTGTTGAGGACTTTTTTAATGTTCCAATAACCAAACAAATAAAAAGATTTTTTTAACGTTCAAAAAACGAACCAAATATGATAAAAAACCAAAGAGTGATAGTCTTAGCGAATATTTGAAGCCATTTTTTGAAAATTTTCGAAATTTGTCAATTTTGAGGAAAATTGGGGTAGCCTTACCATTTTGCCAAAATTGTGAATTTTAAAAACCAAAGTAATCAAACCAAATATGCTCAAAAACCAAAGAGTAATAGTCTTAGTGAATATTTGTACTTTGAAGCAATTTTCAGCATATTAACACATTTTGGAAAATTCTCAAAATTCGTAATGCAATTCGTAATTCACGTACAATGCAAAAATGATGAATTTTTCAATATTCCAAAAACAAGCCAAATATGCTCAAAAACAAAAGAGTTTAGTCTTAGTGAATATTGAAGCCATTTCAGCATATTAAAACATTTTTGGAAAATTTTCAAAATTCGTAAACTCTGGCCAAAATCGGGGTATCCTTACCATTTTGGCCAAAGTTGACAATTTTTCCAATTTACCAAAAACAAACCAAATATGTTCAAAAACCAAAGAGATTAGTCTTAGTGAATATTTGAAGCCATTTTCAGCATATTAACACATATTTACAAAATTTTCCAAATTCGCCAATTCTTGCTATAATGGTAAAGGTTACCATGAATTTGGAAAATTTTCAAAATTCGTCAATTCTGGCCAAAATTGGGGTAGACTTACCATTTTGGCCAAAATTGACAATTTTTCCAATTTTCCAAAACAAACCAAATATGCTTAAAAGCCAAAGCGATTAGTCTTAGTGAATATTTGAAATCATTTTCAGCATATTAACACATATTTGGAAAATGTTCAAAATTCGTCAATTTTGGTTATAAAGGTAAGGTGAACCTAAGTACCATGAACCAAAAACAAACCAAATATGCTCAAAAACAAAAGAGTTTAGTTTTAGTGAATATTTGAAGCCATTTCCCGCAAATTAACACATTTTTAAAAAAATTTCAAAATTCGTCAATTTGGGCTAAAATGGTAAGGTGAGCCCCACGTACCGTGCCAAAATTGACAATTTTTTCAATGTTCCAATAACAAACCAAATATGCTAAAAAAACAAAAAGTAATAGTCTTCGTGAATGTTTGAAGCTATTTTCCGCAAATTAACACATTTTTGAAAAAATTTTCAAAATTCGTCAATTTTGACTATAATAGTAAGGTTGAACCTTACGCACTATGCTAAAAATGATGAATTTTTCAGTATCCAAAAAACAAACCAAACCTGCTCAAAAACAAAAAAATAGTCTTAGTGATTATTTGAAGCCATTTTCAGCATATTAACACATTTTTGTAATTTTTTAAAATTCGTCAATTTGGCCAAAATCGGGGTAGCCTTACCATTTTGGCCAAAATTGACAATTTTTTCAGTGTTCCAAAAACAAACCAAATATGCTCATAAACGAAAGAGTTTAGTTTTAGCGAATATTTGAAGCCATTTTCAGCATAATAACACATTTTTGGAAAATTGTCAAAATTTGTCAATTTTGGCTATGATTGTAAGAAGAACCTTATGTACAATGCCTAAATCATGAGTTTTTCAATGTTCCAGAAAAAAACAAATATGCTAAAAAATAAAAGAGATAAGTCTTAGTGAATATTTGAAGCCATTTTCAGCATATTAACACATTTTTGGCAAATTTTCAAAATTCGTCAACTTTAGCTAAAATTGTAAGGTTAGCCTCACGTACCATGCCAAAATTGACAATTTTTTCAATGTTCCAATAACAAACCATATATGCTAAAAAACCAAAGATATTAGTCTTAGGGAATATTTGAAGCTATTTTCAGCATATTAATACATTTTTGGAAAATTTTCAAAATTCGTCAATTTTAGCTACAATGGTAAAGGGGCACCCCTTCCCATGCCTAAATGATGATTTTTTCAATGTTCGAAAAAAAACCAAATATGCTCAAAAACCAAAGAGATTGGTCTTAGTGAGTATTTGAAGCCAACAGTGTTGGTCGAAAAAATATCAACGAATCTTAGAATATAAAATAACAAAAAATGTCACTCGTTCTTTCCACTAGTGTGCGAGTAATAATACACCGTGCCTAACATTTTTTTAAGTATCTTTAGTTTTAGGTTCTTTTTTAAGGTGGTCCACTACAAAAAATCATGATTTATTCTCTTTTCAAAATTTCAAGGAATGCAAACTAAACGTACCCCTAAGTGATCCTGAATATTTTTCCCCAAAAATACTACAAAGAATGCGAGAATTAAACGAAAAGTTTTATTATATAAGTTTTTACCCGAGCAACAAAAGGTGTCGATTGGCTTATTCTTTGTTTCATTGTTCTATTGTATTGTTCTCTATAATTTATCAATATATATGCAAAACCTTTTTCGGTTTTTTTCTTAGAAAACTAAAATTCTCATTCCCCTTACTTTCGTGCACGATAACTCAAAAAGTAATAAAGCTAACTTGATAAAATTTTAATGGTTGACTTTAAAGACAATTGGCTCGGAGGGGAACTAAAAGTTTTGTATTCCGTTCGGCCTGCAAAACATTTAATACTGGACAAGTTTTATTTATTCTAGTTCAGCTCCGAGGCAAAGATATTTAGAACTAACATCTCGGGTGATACTAAACGAAAATGCTCGTGTTATACATCAAAATTTAAGTTAGGTCTTTTGGAATTCAGCAATATTTATGCGAGGACTAAGGTGTTTATAATTTATCATTTTTACTCTATAATAACTTAAAACGTCTGAACTTGCGCTGGTAGCCTGGTATTTCAAGGTAGTTTGACTTGCAAATTAGATCCTACAAAAAAATACACGATAATCTCTTAGTAATCCGCAGCTCTTACTAATCACAATTGACGCACAAAATGGGTTCACACATTTGGCAATCGGAACAGAACAACACTTTCCTTGATTTACTCACAATAATTGGAAATGAAATACCCGGAGAGGCCTTGTGCAGATTAAAAGTATTGCTTCGCGGCCATGTTGATAAAGATGCACTTAAATCTATTGAAACTGGTTCGCAATTGTTACTGATTCTTCACAAAAGAGGATTAGTAGCTAATAAACGACTTAGCTTCCTAAGGAAATTTCTTAAAGAGGCAAAGTGTTTAACGTCGTTAGGGTATTTAGACAGTTATGACGACAGGTATAAAACGTGGGATGGTAAGTGTGTGACGAATGTCAATAAATAGGGAAGAGTACTTATTTCTTTTTTATTTCAGGTGGTCTGATCTTGCTACATTCCTTTGTTACTAAACACAGCATATTGATAAAATCACGCCGTTTATTTATATTGTGGGCCCAACCACCGCCACTGACCAAGGCAAGCTATCGCCTAAATGGTTACAAATATTTCGCGGCCACGGTCTTTTCATGCACACCCAACACGGCAGTTTAATTTCGTAATCTTCGGACCATCCCAGTAGTGCATGTTGCGGCGTTCAGATTTGAGCCAGGGGTTGGCAAAGGATAATTGGAGAGCAGCCTGTGAAATTGACTTCCTGTCGACCATTATTCAATAGATTAATCTTTTTTATTTCATTTCATTAAGAAAACTGCAGGTTTTGGAATGAAAAAAAAAACAGCAGTCACGAGAGTGACAAGAACGCGCCATTTTGTCTGTAAATGAACAGGACACATCAAGGAAATATTTTTTTATTTTGGTTTAGACGAGGGACGTCTCCAAGCTGCTATCTGTGATGAAAACAGAAATAGACGATTAGATACTTTAACTAAACGAATTGAAGACGAAATACACGTTTCCAAGAATACTCATGAACATCTCAAACAGGAAATCGACAATTTGGAAGACGAAATTCGAAAAAAGAAGCAATCTATCATTGAATATGAAGATTCTGTGCATAACTTGAAGTTGAGTATCAAATCAGAACAGTCTCTCTTGCAATCTGTGCGAAAGAGGTTGGAGGATTTGAAATATGTAATAAGAAAGCTTTACCGCGAAGAAGAAAGTTTAAGTGAGAAACTTACAAACAGCCTGAAACCAAAGCGTGTTATTCGTGATGATCTGGCAGCCAAACGTGTGGAAATCAAAGGAAAAGAGTTGCTGGAATGTGAACTATTTCACAAATATGAACGCGTCACAGAACAGATTCGTCTCCTGAATACAAATTTCCGACATCACACTTCTGAAATCATTCACTTTGAGGAGAAAATACAAGAAGATACGTCGAAACTGAAAAATCTGAAAAAAAATCTGTATAAGAATGTAACATCAACGGACGAACTAAAGCAAACATTGGCAGAGCTGCAACAAAATTCAGATAATGATACGTCAACTGTACGCTCATATCGCCAAATGAAAGGACTAACGCTTAATACAATCGCTGGAGCTTCTGTTGAAACATCTGTCACGAAGGTAAAATATTAAAAATAGTTCATTGTTTTATATATACTATATATACTATATATAAAACTTAGTATATACTTGAAATGTCTTGAACATGCCTCTTTCTGAAATTTCTCATTTTCCTGGTTTAGATGATTGATCATAACAGCTTGGTGGAACCGACAGAACCACGATCAATCGGTCGTTACGGAACACTTGAAAATCCACCACAATTCAAATATCCTCGTGGTGTAGCAATCGATATTAACAATGAACTTTATGTAGCTGACTCTAAGAACTCGCGTGTTCACGTTATTTCCCTGAATGGCAAACCTGTTCGAAAACCAATTTATCTTGGAAAAAACTTTCACCCAACCTCACTGGCAGTCAGCTTGGACCGACACGTTTTCATCAGTGATTCCCACGTTGTTCGTGTTTATTCCTCTAACGGTAAGTTATCTTGCGCGCATGTTATGAGAATACCTTCAGTTTTGAAAAGAATCCTCCCATGCATGCATGCACGCAGTTGCATTTGCATTTTCTGTCGATCACGACGAAAAAGCCCAATAGCCGCATTCAATTTTCCAAATTTACTTTTATACTACATCGTTCCGCTACACGCATGCTCAGGAATCGACGTAATGACGCGTTTTGGTTTTTACTGAACATTATTTGCAGGAGAATTGCTACGATATATTTTGCCAATTTACGCAAAATCCGACGTCCACCCTCAGATAACTGGATTAGCAACAATGAACGACGGTTCATTACTTCTTGTTGATAAAGCAAACAAACAAATCCAGAAGTTTCGTCAGGACGGAATATTTCAGCGCTTTATTGGGGGTAAACAAGTGTTTCAGTCACCGTTAGGAGTTTCTGTTACAAGCAACGGCGATATTGTGGTGATCGATGCATGTCAGATTAAGATCTTGGATGGCCGAGCTGAGTCAGTGAAGAATATCATTGGAACAAAAGGAATCGGAAGAGAAAAATTCCTAAACCCAAGTGGTCTTACAGTTGACAAAGAAGACAATATAATCGTGGCCGATTCGGGAAGTCATCAAATCCATGTTTTTAATCTTAAAGACGAAGAAGATAGTTTGCTTGGTGGTCTCGGAACAGACGCAGGCTACTTTGACACTCCCTGTGGTGTGGCTGTGAGCAGCGATGGGAGCAAGATTGTTGTAGTTGAAGAAAAGAATCATCGCTTACAGATTTTTACTCGCCTTTTACCGGCGGAGTTTGATTACGAAAGATACTTAATGCAGAAATAGTGAACGAATGATTGGCTAAAGTTATAGCGGGGAATCGTGCGCAGTACAAACTTAAAGTATAGTCATGGAATGCTAGGTAGTTATCTGGGTTCAGTGTGCCCCTGCATGCGATTGCCACAAACCGTTCCAAGCTCGAATCAGCCGAAATCTTTATTGCTGCATGCAAGGCATGCAATAAACTTAGGATGACGACTCGATCGTGTGTTTGCGCCAAGACATACCATATCCAAGTTGTCAGGCAAACCAATACCCTACCCTTCATACAAAAAGGAAATTTTCATGACGTTGGAAAGATTAAAATTTAGGAAAGTTTTTCTAAAGTGTTGATTTGTTTAAAGTGAATACAAAATACGGCTGCATTTATCCCAGTATTTTATATCATTATTATACAGCATAGTGAAATTTCTTTACTACTTTCAGGTGCCACTATCGGAGGCTGTTTTTTCTTCCTTTGAAGAATTCCTTTCTGCTTCAGGCTTAAACCCCAGTTCTTCTCGCGCAACCTTATCGCCAGTTTGGGAAGAATGGCCTTCTTCGGCGGCTAGGAACGGATGAGCCTTGATTCCTTTTATTGTAATCCTGTCTGCTATATTCCAATTCAACATTTTATAGATTAAACTCTTCGCACAATCGGATAGTTTAACTTTGCTGGAAAACTCAACTCTTCGATGTACTTGTTGAAGGAGTAACTTTAGATTAGAATCATCAAAAGGCAATCGGCTGCAGAGCATGGTATAAAGTATTACACCCAAGCTCCACACATCTGCCATCGTGGGGTCATAAGCAATGCCTGAAAATATGAATAAAATTATAAGAATGAGTAAAAGCCTTATTTCTACATTTTTCATTTTGAAGCATTTCGAAGCTTGCAGATCTAGACTATAAAAACTTTACATAATAGCTATAGTTAAATAGGACGAACACGGGTCAATTTTGTCTTCTTATAAATCCTTATTTTGTCAGATTAATGTTTTCAAACGCTTATACTATTATACTAGTTTCGAACTTAGAAAACACTTATTATATAAATGACGATAAAGTACTATAAGGAATGTAGTAAGATCGTACCTTTTAAAATCTCTGGAGGAGCATAGGCATAAGATCCACAAAACGTATGACTCAACTTCTTCTTGCCAGTCACGGTCGTCATTCCATCTCGAGCAAAGCCAAAGTCAGAAATAATAATAGAGTTCGTAGCATCAAGTAGTAAATTCTCGCATTTTAAGTCACGATGAACAATATCGTAGGAATGGCAATAGTTTATACCCTCTATAATCTGTGCAAACATGCGTTTAACCTCTGGCTCTGGTAACGCCCCTTTATTTCGAATGTGCTCAAGGAGATCTCCATTCTCCGCAATATTTGTAATGATGTAAATCCTGGTATTCGTCTCAATCACTTCAATCAAGCTGATTACATTTGTGTGTCGAATTTTCTTCAAAACCCGGATTTCACGGGGAAGAAATTTACTGAGAAAATCTTCTGGCGCCTTCTTTTTGGTGATAATCTTAATTGCGACTGCTTTGGATTTTTTCTTCGAGTGAGCCCTTCGAACTACAGCATAAGAGCCTTGTCCTATTACTTTTCCTACATCATAGCCATACTGTCCGAGTATATTTGATATTTGACTTTGATTTGTTTCTGGTATTTTCAGTCCTTTTCCGTCACTGTTTCGTTTACTTGCTGTCTGACTTGCACTTCCGGGTCGGTTGTCTTCGCTCATCACACTTAGTCAAATCAACACTTTTTTATCCGAAAATTCATTCGTTGCTGATTAGGCAGACTAAATGTAGTCAGACCAAACAGCTTTATTTTTGGTTAATTTTCTGGCATGTTGTCTTAGCAAATTAAGCACTAATTATCCCAATTATCTTGAAAGAAGTACGTTCGAAGTGACGATTGTTACGTCATGTAATTATTTAATTTTTTAGATACAATGTAAGTACCATGTCGTGTGTCTAACAAGTAGAAATTCTAGAAGTATAATGAAATATTCCCAATGTTTTTCTCTATTTTGAATGGTGATCAAATGTACCAAGTAAGTATGTTTTGATATAACAGCCGTCCTAGACACTTCACAAAAAACGTGAATCACTCGATTCCTACAGAGGACATATCACTTTTTTATACTTTGCAAAACCCGTTTACCATTGACAGATAGTAGTTCTACCCTAAAAAAATTATAAATGGCTTTATCACTTGAATAATTTTACAAATTCTGTCTCAAGGTACTTTTGTTCAGTATCACTTTCAGGGCGTTTATTAATACCAGTAACGGTTCACGGTTGGGTTAGTGGTTACTAAAGCTGGCATTTCGGAAATTCGGCAGCCAGCCAGAGTGTGACAGACTGGTTAATCGGTTTATTTAATTCCTATGTCTATGTCTATGCGAAATTTTTCGCTCGATTTTCTTCTGAAACATAATGGGCTTCAGTCATCCTACGCCAATTATTATAAGAAGAAAATCGAGCCAAAATTTTTGCTCGATTGAAAAATCATGCCTCCTGTAAAACCACCTTCAGTTCTGTGTGACAGGTAATTCAGTTCAGTAGTTCTAAAAATCTTTGGATTGTGTTATTCATTATTTAGCGCTGATTTTGTGGGTGGAAAAATTAGACCATACAGGCATCACATTAATCAAACTTATACCAAGTTTAGTAAATTATACCATTGCTAAAAATCAATTATTAAAGAAATATTACAGATGCCTCCGCAATATTGTTCCCATAGTAACGTGTGATAAGGAATGCATCATGCACGGCAACAAACAGATGTCACAGCAACAGTGTCAAAACCAGCTTGGAATAATTCCTTCAAAAACGATCCTAAAACAAAAGCAAAGAAATGGCCGACTAAATCTAAAAAACGTGGCATCTTAAAGAAGCGGAATATGGCTACAGCTTTAAGAAAGCTTACTGTTCAAGACGATAATCCGCAAGTTGAAATGGACAATGAAATCATGAGATTACGCGAAGAAATTGAACAGGAAAAGCAGATGAAGTAAGAGATCATGAAGTTATTAAATGAACAGTCAAGTTTATGAATCACAGGCACTTGATTTTTTGTCAGTTATGTAACCTTTGTTGCGATATAGACTGTGATTGTAGAACAGGATATTATTTTATTATTTTATATGACAGACAGAAATAAGTCATTATTTGTTTTAGCATTCATTGTACAGTACATCGCGGTGTGAGACTAAGCCATTTAAGGCCTGCAGGATTTAGAGGAGACTGCTGCTGTTAATCTTATATTCAATTTTAAACATTTTGTTTGCTTGTATGGCGGCATTGCCAAAAAAACTAAGCAATTAAGGTATATGTGTCTTGTACCTCAACCAAAAAACCATTTTGGGCGTCTACATATCAGGCGAAGCTGTAAATGCAGAAGAAATCCAAACAACTGCATCATGTGATTCCTTGGTAATTTTATAATAATGTATCGCAGAATTCTTAATTTTTCTTGTTTGAAATTCCCTCGAACCTTCCCAAACTATATTATTTTACAATGTTTCAATGTTTGAATTCTATGATGACTAGATGTAAAGCTGGTTTCCCCAGGGGAAATTATTAAACCTGTTCAGTCTGGTTCCAAGAATAATTTATGAAGACCATCTTAGTAGATCAAGGCTGTGTAGAATGGTTTCAGAAGAGCATATTTCCATAAAAAAGTGCATATCATTCCACTAATAGTCGATCTGCATCCCTCAAAACACACATAATCAGTTCTGCAGATGTTAAAGGCAGCTTTCATTTAACAACCAAAAAATGTACAGTCTACAAACAGGTTGAACCATGCTGGACAAATCCATTCTATAATCAAATTTTTATTTTCAGACAAATGTTGGATCAATCAAAATATGAGCTTGAACAAACTGTTGATAGGTTGTCCGAAAAACAGGATTCAATTGACGATGAAGGTATATAACTTGTTTCCTCTCTCATAATCAAAAATCAAGGCCATAATTTTACTTTGCACACAAAATTTGAAAGCTGTGGTACTACATGTGTAGCATGATAGCAATACTCAATAATTTTGTCATGTCCATTTTAAAATTAATCTTGATTCCTGTACTTCTTCACCTGAACCTTGATTCTTGAAGACAAATTATTTTTTTCTCACACTAAGTACCTACTACTCATATTAATGATGCATTATTAAATATTCTACCCTTCAATTTTCCAAAAAAATTGCTTTCCTAACAGATACATCCCTGGGCCCAGACCCAGGTTTTATCCAAGTTTAGCAAAAGGACTTTTGACAACATTGTGATGTAAAGCTTTTCTGGAATATATATATAAACATAGAAGAAAACCTTTCTTCTTGCTCTATTTCAAGAAGTTTGAGTACTACTGCAAGTATTTCTGCAGCTGGTTTTAGGCAGAAATGTTTTGCAGTCAAAAGTATGGCGTTCACAAACTACCCTCCCTTTGACTAATCCTGAGTGCGTAACTTCCAATGTTAGCTTGAGCTGAGGATGCTGAAAAACCTTTACTAACACACGTCTACCCAATATACACCATACTCCAATATACATATTTATACTTTTCCAGGCTTCTGAGCGTCCACTTGCTATACACTTCGACTGCAGCATTTCGAACCAAGTTGAATTTCGTTTTAGATAACGAGTGGAAAACACGCTATCAGACGCAGTATCAGATAAACGAACAATTAGAGAAACAGAAAATTATGCTTCAAGATAAGCTTCAAAGTTTCCGTGAATCATCCAAAAATGGTAAGCTCCTTAGCTCCGATAGCTCTCGATGTTAAGCTTATGAAAAACATGTCTGATGCTTCCTCAAGCGTTACACGGCCATACGTTATGTATATTATACTTATAGTAAGCATATATATATATATAATATACACGTTATTTTAATATTGTATTTAGGCAATCGTCACATTCAGAAGAGGACAAATAAAGAGGAGCTCTCGGACGTAAGTAGCCCGTGTTCCGTGACCCTGATCTGCGACTGTGGGGCTTATGAAAGCGTACCCATGGCCATGCAATAATAGTAAGTTTAAAATGCACCAAATCTATGACGCGGCTAAGGCGTCAGCCTAGTGGGTTCCTAACACTAACAGCTTCAATTATTCATATACCGTAACTTTGTCAAAGCATTTAGTTTTTAATAGTAAAATAATGCTATCAAACGCCGAACCGAATTGAGCACATGTCCAGCGAGACTCGTGTGCCGATCGATTTAATGCCTCAGCATTGTCAGTTCTCATTGTCAGTCACATCTCAAGAAAATAGCTACTTTTATTTCTTACGATTTTTGTAGGTCGATATTAAAAAACTGATGAAGCAATTAGATAGGGAAAAAATAGATCTAGAAGGACAATTAAAAGATTTAGAATGGAGGTTGAATAACGAATCACGGGTAAGATGTTGTTTCCTATTTCGACAATATCAGCCAATTCAACCGATGTTACTTCAAGCTAAAATACAGAATGCCTAGATATCGAACTACTTAGCCATATTGCAAAAAAACTCAAATGGGTCAATTTTCTTCCTGTAGTCATTTCATAAACTGGAGGAAGATAGGAAAATGTATGCAACTGAATTACAAGAGGTATATGAATTAAAATCCATTCTATATTATTACACACATATTGCATGTTAAATCTCTGCATAGGAGAGTAATTGATGTTATGATTGCAGACAAGGGCTGTGATTGGTGAGACGAAAGCCAAACATCGACATGTCCTGAACGATATGCAAAGAGAGAATGAAACGAATCATTGGCCTGAAAAAAGGTTTGAACATATAAAGCAAAGTTTCATAACAATCCTAGGCCACATCAAGACTGCATGGTTTGTTATCTGTGTTTTTGCATGGCTGCTGTGTTTACATGCGACATGTATGCGTAGATCTCTAATGCATGCGTATACCCTCTTGGACAAAATCTTACTGCATGATAATACTGATAATCCTTGCTATGGGGACTTTTCAGGTTGTCTGGTAAGTTTGGACTTCCAGATAATCAAAGGATCATAGACCCATCGAAAGGTCCAGTCAAGAAAACGGCGGTTGTGAGAAGGTTACCAAAACTGAAGAACAATAATACTTCGGTTAGAAACAATAAGTCTTCGAATGGCAGTAGGTAACGCCTTTCTCCTGAGGTGACCTGCCTTGGGAGTTAAACTATAGTTACATGTATATATTTAAGTGAACAACAGTGTAATAGCTATATATACTTGACAAAACACGCAATCATACGATCTTCTTGTTCCAAGGCATTAAATGCAACATTTATAGAGGTGTACGGTTTTAAGGCAAAAAATATTATAGGAGGTATATATATGCATATAAGATAAAACATATTTTTTATAAACATTGTATATTATTTATGTATTAAACGATAAAAGCGATAATTTTGCCACCTTTTTGCAATTTATGTCCAGCAAAACAACCATTTTAGCATTTCAACCTTTATTTGAATTTTTCGCGCCATAGCAGTTTGTTGACTTTTAGGCAGAATTATTTGTTTGTTTGGTATAAATGCAGACATGCTCTAGAAAAACGCGTGGCCTGCAAGTGTTCATCAAATTTTTACATTCAAAACGGGCGATTACATGCCTGTTTTACAATCTCTACCAAAGTCCAAACCAACCTCTACCAAAGAAGAAGAAATACCCGATCAGATATACGATGTTCTAGAAGAAATACCCGATCAGATATACGATGTTCTATCGAATTTATTCCGCAGTTTGCTGTCCAACAATACTGTATGAAAAAACTTTCATTACGGGATAGTTCTCCATTGTAAATTTTACAACCAGTGTTGCTAGAAATTAATTTGTTATTTGGCATGTCCTCAACATCGAGTTTTATTAGGTTTCCTAGGTTAAAGACCCAGCGTTTAGTCTTTCAATTTTAATTGAAAAACCTGCTTTCACAGAATCAATTACACGTATGCTTATAGCATACAATCTACAATAGCTTTTGTCATTTGTGTTTCAGATCTGTACCTGCTCGTGAGGATCGGGTAAATAATTAGAAATCAAGGTATAGGCTTCGATTCTGATAGTTGGCCTGTTATGTGCGCAGCAAGGGCTTCTCGTTTTACTTTTACCTATAAAGAAAGAAAATGAAAGCAATTCAATTTAGGATGCATCTGGCGACCATGCAGGCCTTATAGCAAATCTAGATTTGACTTTTCTACCCTTATAATTGCATTGTATATTAGGAAAATTTGGAAAATTATAGCAATATTTCTTCGAGTAATTTTTCGTCGAAATTTTTCACCTTTTTTTTTCGGGACTTTCAAAATTTGTTGCCGATGATTTTAACGACTGATTTGAATTTTTTTCGTAAAAAAACCCCCCCCGCCCCAAACCAACATCTCTACACTTAAAAACGCACCTCTTGTCTAGACTGCATATCTCTTAAAGTAACAACGCCATCCTTTAATTCACTGTCCCCGATTATCGCACAAAAAGGAATGCCATGTTCTTCACAAAACTGAAATTGACTTAACATTTTCGGATTCTTTTTGTACAAGATTTCTGCCTAATGTCAAAAGATTAAAGAAATTGTTCAGTGCATGTAAAGCGATAAATACACGGATTCATAGGTAAAACTATCATATAATACATGAGTTAACAAATCGATTATTTCGATTTAATGTATGGAAAATAAGATCATTTAAAATCCAATTGACAGATCCAGAAGAGAAAAACCAACCTGTACTCCTGCTTGCCAAAGATCGGTACATAGTTTCATTCGTTCATCTAAAAAGTTTTTCTGCCCAGATGCCACTAGCACACATGTCTTAGTAGTTCTTTGTTTACACCCAGAAGCCTGTCGTTCCGAAATATTTATAAAGAATGGAATATTATACAGTATGCAGATGACACGATGAAACATATTTTTCTTTTCTTTCTAAAAGTTGAAGGGCTTCAATGCATGTGTATCATAGTTACAAGCGTTTGCAGTAAATTGAGATATATTTATAAGCAATGGGAGTCACCTCATATTTTTTATAGTTTATTTTATAACGACAAGCGGCTGGACAAGACATCCGCAAAAGTTTAGCGGGAGGCGTCAATCCAAAAAAATACGACACGGATATAAAATGAAAGAAACAATGTACATGCAGGGAGCGTCATGCATATTGCATGAAGGGATATGACGTTCTCAAAGGTCAGCCTTTTATCATGACGCATTATACATACACTAGAGAAACATTCCCCGCGTTGCTCCATATATCCAGACAGAAATCAAGTACTCACCTTAATCTTAGCTTCTAATATAGCGAATATTCGTTCTATTCCTATACTGACACCGACACAAGGTACCTGGAAATAAATTACAACAAAGATGAATTGACAAACGAACAATAAAAACTCGGAGAAGCGTCTCCAGCTCACTCTTTCAACCCACCTTTCTTCCTTTCGCAGCAAACATTCCCAACCAGATCATCATAACGTCCGCCACCGGCAACTGAACCAACACCGACAGCTTCGCCTACAAAAATTTACTTTGAACTTTAGGCATATCATGTTGGCAAGAATGCAATGATTAAAATATTGTAGTAAATAAGTGCATCCTTTGTTTTTAAAATATTTAAGAACAATGCGTATAGTGTGAGATCAACCGTTGTCGATTAAATTTCATACCTGCTTCTTTCTTCGTTATATTTTCAGGCTGTTGAACTAGGATTGCTTCAAAAATAACGCCAGTATAGTAATCCAAACCACGAGCTAAACTCATATCAAACGAAACCTGAAACAAATACAGAATATTTAAACTCTGCCTGACAACAAATCACACGTGGGTTCTACCTGTTGTCAATAAAACGGGCGCACAGCAAAACAATATTAACCTTTTCAAGGACACCAAACAATTCACAATATGTGAATAGGAGCTTCATATCATCAATACCAGCTTTTCCACTCTTATTCTTTCCTAATTTTTCATCTGCTTCCATCTTCTGCAGTACTTCAACTCCACCATGATGTTGTACATATTCACCAATTGCATCAGCCACAGCAGGATCTAAACCTTTTTCATCGACCATCTCGGAGCGCACGTCTTGCCATGGCGTCTGGTAAATATACCAACGTCATAGAACTGTAACAATCCATCACGCGATATCCATAAATATATAAACCAATCATGTACCTTATCAAGTTTATCAACAGCTGATGAGATGGTTCTGAATTTTTCAGCAGGAACGCCGCACACTTCAAACATCCCATCAAGTATTTTCCTGTGGTTGACCTATAAATTAACATACTCTTATAATTGAAGTTAAACTGCAAATAAATCTCGCCAACAATGATGCAGCAACAAAACATGCAATAACTTCAGCAAACAAGGAAACCAAAGATGGTATAAGTTTCAAACAAGGAATCCAGAATGCTGCAAGAGAAGCAAGATAAATATGCTGTATTTTATACCTTTACTTTGAAATCGCCAAGTTCTAAATTGGTCAAGATTTCTGCTACTATTTTTACACATTCCGCATCTGGTATCATCGCGTCATACTCGCCAGCAATGTCTATATCCTAAAACATGTGCCGGGAAATTATATCAATTCTTAATTTCAATTATATATATAATCACATGTAGTTGATATATAATGTTTCTATAGAAGCATCGCCTCTTGCATGATGCCGGAGTGTTTTATCTCCTGTGCTCGGTTTGAATTAAGAGTGTGAATAAATATTTACAAACCAAGGACGACTCGTACCGATGCATGTGCCATACTTAACAACAAATTTTCAACGAATTGTCATTGAACGAAACGACTTCAAAACCAGTGATATAGATTTGGTTCGAGATCGATTAAGTCATTTAAACTTACACATTGGTAAAATTCTCTAAATCTTCCTCTCGTCATAGCAGGATTATCTCTGCGATAAACTTTTGCGATGTGATATCTTTTGATTTTATCAATTTTATTCATGGCAACATATCTAGCGAAAGGTACCTTTTAACGTTAAGCAAACTAACATATAATAAACATTATAATGAATTTAAGAAACCCTCAAAAATTATATATATATAGAAAAATTGCAAAAGTATAGGTAATCATGCAATGTTGATGTTTCTCTGAAAAGATACAGTTAAATCATATCTTAACGAAAGAAGTTCCCCTCCTTGATCAGCCAAATCATAGATAAGTTTGGAGTCTTCGCCATATTTTCCTGTCAATGTTTCCTAAAACACATCAGTCATGTATGATCTTAAACACATACACATATACATATAAGTTATTTTTACACCCTTACACATGCCAGTAGCCGTCTTCAATATACGATTACGATGTGGTTCACGTCGCTACCAAAATGCCATTCTATTAGCTTGTTAAATTTCAAGTATATATCATAGCCTTAATTTATTACAATAGCGTAAATATGTAATATAGGCCTACTTTAGATAATTGTCTGTAAGAGTACTAGAAATCAGATAAATCCTTCTTCTCTTTATCTGGCGAAGGGTACTCTATTAATTTTGGCCACTTATTAAACCACAGATTCATTTTATTGTTTTGAGCGTAATACTTGTACCGGCCTTGCCTGTCAGTTAGCTCACATCATCTGTGATGTAAAAGTAAGTAGCCGGCTTAAAAAATACAGTCACATCCTAGAGTGTGTATGCATAAATGGGTGGACTTACAATAATACAAAAACAAGCCGCAAAGACCTTTTTCAGTACTGTGCATGATTTCTGAACTACAACATATTTAAAATTTTGTTAACAGCCGAATAACTTAGAGATGGACAGACACTTACATATAATGCATATAACTCGTTCCCATACTGATTATGATAGCACGCGAATAGAGTTATTAGAGTATATGAAAAATACAGAAACTACACTGACTCATACACTGACTTATGACTATATAATCAAATTATCTTGTCGCGGTTAAATTACCATGCCAGCACGAAAAAACCGGTGAATGAAAACGATGTCCAGGTAAAACTGTACAATTTTTCAAAGACTATCTTTGAGGGTTCCACCATTTATACAGTTTCAAATTAATGAATTATCCTGAGAAAGAGATGTTTGCGATGTTACCTTTAATTCAAATACAGGAGTATCAATACTTTCGGCACCATGTCTTTGAAAACATTTCGTAATCACATCAAAGACATTTTCTCTAATCGCCATTTGTTTGGGAGTGTAGTCTCTTGTTCCCTAAACATCAATATTTCAATGTTACATAAAGTAGATAAAATCATGCATTTGCGAGTAAATAAATGTTATAAAATATCTAAAAATATCCAAATGTCAAAATACACAATTAACCTAACTCATGCAGCTATTATAGTTTGAAAATTCAATAAATAATTTTGGTATAATACAGATATATACCTGGGACCTACGACGCGGACGTGAAGTAATACTGTCGTTATTTCAGCAGTTTCACAACAGGAATAAAAATTATAGACTTCTTTTGGTAAACAAAGCCAGAGCCGTATTGAAAGCAGCAAGTAAAACAGACTAAAACTAGGTTCCTAGCACTAGCTAGTGGTTGTTTTGTCGTGTCGTAGATTTGGTGCATCTTAAGGTCTCTACTTTATCTGTCTGATATCATATATATGTCTATGGCAAACCTTTCAAACAAACCAAAGGGAAACGAAGATATATGTAATTATCAGACTATGTGTAGTCTATATATAAAAAAAATCTTTTGTAGCCATAACATCATGGTATATAGCCCATAAAGTAAACCTTTATATATATAATGGTATTAAGACTTGATATTTTCATGATGTATATATACGCCCTGCTGCATAACTGGCTGGGCAATAGGCACACAAAGTAAGGGCGTTTACCGCTTCTGCTATGATGGCATGCCATTATATATGACTTGATTCACCTTTGGAGTTTTAAGCACAAACTTTTGTGGTCCATCATCTTGCAACTCGCTTTTTAATGCCAATAGCTTTGTAACTTCGTTTTTAACCTACAAAAACAATATCGATAGACTTTATACAAATTAATGCAAAACCTAATCAATTATAAGGCCAAAGGAGGGTCAACAAAATATTAATATTTCATATAGCTTAGCATGTAATCTAGACTATATTTGCTCGCATATATTGTTAGAGGGACAGTTACGTTCATTTGAGAGCATTTTAACTTGTTTTGAGCAGTTCTTTTTGACCGCCAGTGTATGTGTACGAGCAGTGTATACGAGGTTCATTGTTTTTGCAGTGACTTTAGGTATATATTTAGGTGTGAGAGTTTCCGTTTGGTCGTTGCCTGTTAATTAGCTACTGCAGTAACAAGTGGTCGAAATGAATTTAATCCAAGTTTCGGTAATCTAAGCTTCCCATGTGGGGTATCAAATCAGACATCACCGATCGCGGAAACATTATGACACTCTTTTACATCCGCCACTTGTCGTTGAAGCGACAAGCAACGACCAAATGGAAACCTGGCTTAAGAAATCGACGATTAATAACTAATCACCCTGCGCTACGATAAGAATGAGATAAATTAACATTTAATCTCACATCATAAACAAAGGATTTTCAGTGAAGTAGCTACGATAGTTGTATAAATTATTCACTTTAAAAACTTGAGAGGTTTTATTTTACATCCACTACATTTATTTATCATGGACGGGTTGGAGTGCGCGTGAGGGCTATTTTCCAAAACGCAATATCTTTGATCTCTTTGAATATATAGAAAAATATTTTATTTCACATTCAATTGCTGGATGTAATAAAATCGCAGGTTCCGAAGTTGCATTTTCCCCAACGACCCTTAGTGTCGGTGTGGCGGTGTTTCGGTTTTTCTAGGACCTTCAGGCAAAGTGAACCGATTTCCTGTTCCAAAGAAACTCCTCGCAGCTCATTAATGAACACCTTATTTTTTAAAAAACATTTTCCTCATACATTACGACAAACGCGTCTTTTGCAGCCCTGATCCAGATGATTTACCGTTAATACCATTCATAGACCAGACAGAAGGTTGACATATTTTCATGGACGTTTTTATACAGTTTTTAAAATGTATTCTTTTACAATTTGATGGAAGGTTTTCTTTACGTGAATTTACTCGAAATGTGCCCATATATAGTGATTTGTCAGGCCGAATTTGGTGATTGCTTTTTCAATTTACGTAGTTCATGGCATTTGCCATGTTGCTTCAAAAAATCTGAATCGTCTCTAGGTTTCTTAGAATGCTACTAGACGTTCCTTAGTTCTTGCTAATACAGGCTTGTTCACGCATCACTTACAATATTTCGTAGGAATAAAAGAATATTATTTACGATAGTTTATGAGGTTTTAAAACTGATTGAAAAGAAGCAGGACTAGGAGTCTTGAAAATTGAAAAGCTCTATCTTCATGTATAATTACTAACCTCATATTGTGATGAATATCTTAAAATACAACAGCTATAACTTCTTAGTTTCAAAAACGTGCGAGCGGTGTTCGAAAATTTCTTAACATTCATCCCTCAGTCTAGGAAATAGAGTTTGAGAAAGGTCCATGAGAGGTCAATCAATAATACTATGATCTTTCCTTGTTTTATGCACAACAAACAACAAAACCTAGTCAATCGCCAAAACTTTTTCTATTGTGATATGCTCCAGTCAAATAAATTACAATCAGACACCACATCACAGCATAAACGTTTGACTAAGCCTAAAGCCCTGGTCTTTAGTAAGAAATCTTTGCTAAATAATTATGAGTTACACCCTAAATGCTATTTTGTATGCGAAATAACCTAGCAATGCCTTGAATGCGACATGCTTATCATGGTAGTTATCTATCTATTCTGTTTGACCATTTGTCAATCTTTTTGACAAATTTTACCAACAAATTCTACAGATGAAAAATACAAAAACCAAAATAATTTGGCAAGAGAAAGAAATTCAGGTAATTTTGGCAAGAGAGGGAAGAATCAGATTTAAAATACAATTTCAAAGCCAAACCAGGTATATATGTTGTGAAAAATGCAACTATAGGAATTTTAAATGATGGAAGTGAGCTAGCTGTCACAAAGTCATATGTTAATATTTTCATACAATCACTTTATGATATAAGTTTTATTCAGTTATGAAGTGTCATTCTGAAAACATTGTACCAATGCTGTAATTAAATAATATTTCAGATATGAATATTCTATATTGCAAGCAAATGATGCAGGGGCACTATTAATGTGATAAACAAATCTTAAAGATTACAAAACAGCAAGTTAAACAGCAATATTATCAGTAACATAGCCTGATAGCCAGCCTGAAATTTATTCCCACATTGTTACTGTGTAGTCCATGCATGTATAAAATTCTTGATATTAACCACTGTCCACGTGTAGTTAAGCTACATAGCAGCACTAAGCGGTCTAAGCCTAATTCTGGGTCTAAAATTCTAAATCTAATTTCTGCTTCTCATTACAATTTTATACAATGACTTTTAATACGATTTTGCGACTTCAATTACTCAAAATACGTCAAAATTTCATAATACTTAGGTTTAAACTCAACTATTTTTAATATAAATAAAAGACCCATTTCATTCAAATGTAAACGAATATTACCAAATTTGTGCACTTATGTTAATACCTGTTGTTTCACTTCATCTGTCTGTGCTTCTAGCTTTAAATTTCTAACGATTTCTCCTTGTTTTTTAATCTCTTCTTGTAGTTCTTGCCGACTCCTCTTTGTTCCTTCGGCAGCCATCTTGCTGTAAGGCTTTCACTTGTTTCCATCCCCCAGACTCCTACACTGATATCAAGGTGGTTCGGTTCGCTAGTTACACATTTAGCAATTTTAATGACTTTTATTTCACAAATCACGACATTACATTAAATGGTTAACGGTTCGCATACTTGTATAAGCCCTTTTAGTGAAACGGAGAATATTAGGACAAAATTTAAAGGATATCATAGATCCAGTGAACTTGAAGGAAGCATTAAAGTCACAGGTCAAGTATTTGTATTAAATGTATTTCTTTTCAACTTTGCCTTGATGATCCGTTTTGCCGAAAGGGCTTTCATACAGGCTTTGGAGAAACTCAAGATTTTTCCCAGGAAAATGGAAGTCTTCTCTATTTGTTTTTGTTTTGAAGTTTTTTTTTAAAGTTTTAAAAGTCAAAAATGTTATCGAGGCTATCAGTTACCATTTCGTGGGATAGTTCGTATAAGTAGGATTATCACCACTGACCACCGCTATACTGACCAAAAGCGATCATCAAAGAAACAACAATCATCACTCGTAGAGAAGTGTGGATGACGGTAGTCAGCCCTTGGTTAGATGACGTCATATCTCAAGTATAAAAGAAGCTTGGTTATGATTTCAGATTTCAAAAAGCACATCATCGGCAGTATGCTGGGTTGTGACACAGTGACACTCTTTCGCGAATGCAATTGGACCGCTTTGCGTTCATTTTGCGTTCATTTATTTTCTAGGGAAATATGGCTGATAATGTAACTTGTTGCTGTACGGAGCGAAGAAGCTATAAACAGGTGATGTTCTTCAATAAGGTATTGGTCATATGCCTTGATCATACGATGTTATTAACCCTATGGTTTTAACACAGACTTGAGAATATTTACACCATCATGAATTAACAACAGTTTTTTTTACCTATTTCAGCCTTACGGAAAACTGACTGAATCAAGTACATACTATAAACGCCTTCTAGCCACATACGTGATCAGCCAAAGTTTTCCAAAAAAATAGCACGACGGCTTGCACCTCGTATTAGGCTGGCTCTCATGATCTCATCCTCTTTAACCTGAACCGCAGCAGTGAGCATTCAGAACCTGTAGAATGTACAAACGCGGAGATTTGTATATTCGGAGTTAATAGCTCGTATATTTGATAGGAAATGCCGTCGCATCTAATTTCAAAATGCAACCCCCATGCATGCATCTATGAAAAATGTACAAAAAGGAGAACAGCATCTACAAACTGTAGCTATGCAGATCAATCAAACTGAAATGTCGCAACCTTTTCCTCATTATCTGTCAGAAAAATATATAGAATAAAGATCGTATCTTACCCTGTATTTTATCCAAATAACTATAGAAAATCTACATTTACCAGCTACAAGACTAGTCGAATTTTTGAACGGCAAAAATTGTTCTCACATTCCAATTCATTCCATACGGGACGAACAAGAAAGTCAATAAAACAGGCTATATGGGTCTTATTGAAACCGCACATGTCAGTACCTTAACTGTCTTCCTTCATTGTCAATTCTATAAAAAGACAAATAGCTAGTATATACAGTATACACTACTTTTCATGTTGTGCGTCACTCAAAATACTGGCGTATTTAGGTGCATCTTGCACCCTGTTTGATAGGAAAACAACTGGGTAAACTCCTGGTCGCATCGTGTAGTGAGGGAAAGATACTTTACTGTCGCAATGTAAGGTCTGGTCGACTCCAGTCTACTCATTTCTATAAGGCTATGTATATGTGCAAACTATACATACCGGTAGTCTGTATCTTACCACATAGGCTTTAACAGGATCGATAGCCAGACCTTAAATACTTCTAGAAGTTAGTTCAACACATTCATTGCAAATCCAAATTGCATTGCATCAGTTAAACAGTTATTTTCTATGTCATATGTATTTAGTTTGAACTGAAGACTGAGTTATCCTCATGAGACAAACGTCCGGTTGGTTTTCCAGTATAGAATCGTATATTGATTACTATTAACAACGACTAAAATAAAAAGCTCATACACAGCCCAAAGAATTTTACCCAAGACATAATTACAGTATATATAAGTATAACTATGATTATTACCTAAAACATAAATACAATGTACATAACAAATTAATAATCATTTTAGAAAAAAATCAACTGAATAGGTCTTACGTAATTGTCTTAAGTATATACTTGAATTATGCTTGGTCATGCACATATCAAATATTAGGGGCTCTAGAAGATATTGAGATGGCTAATTTAAATGTACAAACGTAAGACGAAAAACTAAAATGAGTTTGACAAAAAAAGTTAAAAAGGTATGCGTTGTATCTGCATGAGCCTTGTGAGTACATAAAGTAAATAAAATAGTGACGGGTATAATAAACACATTAAAAACATGCATAAAACATTGGAGCCGCACTTTTCATAGTCATTTCAGTTGCATGCACTATTTGTTGATAATACTATTAGTCTTCTTTCAGGTTTCCTGAATTTACTGTCAGCTGGAATTGGACAACGTGTCTGTTTTCTACAGGCATGCAATGTATTTACTTCAGTCTCAGGCATGCAGCTGGTGAACAACCACAATAGCCGTATTTTATATCTCGAACATAAAAACGATATAGCACTGACGAGAAAGAAATTGAACAGTTGGTGACGCTTTAACTGGGGCACTTGGAATGATTAACGTCTCTGATATTTATGTTATGTAATGTTCGGATGTGCGTTGGCAGTAATTGCCAACGGAAATCAAGAAATGTCTCATCTCATCCTACCCACTTCATCCCAAAGTTTTCTACGGTTTTAAAGCCACGCACACTTCAGCAATATCACTGAAGTAGGTCAGTAACTCTTAGAGCTGAAACATGATTAAACCATGCAATCAAGGCAATATTCCAAAATTGCGACTTGCGAGTGGCGTTGCTTGTCTCTTTTTAGACCAAACTAAATATTTCAATTTAGATTATTCCTACTGTACTGAACAGGTACTGGTGGACCGTGGACCTTGGAGGGGGAGACGAATGATTTCACAAACATTGCCCGAATAAATTTCAGTAACTGGGCAGATTTATCAACGAACTGCAATTTCATGCACCCTTTAAATTGGGCCTCTTCTATGTAGCTGACCCTCTTGCACCCTCCTCTTCAAGTTCGTCGCCCACGTATTTCAAGTCAGCGCGTGCGTCATATGTGTCACTTCAGATGACCCGTGCAACAGTCTTAGTAAAAAGGTGATATTGTGAAAGCATTGTATAACATTCAAATGAGTGTATTTGTGATTAAATGTGATATCAGCTGCTGTTTTTGCACTCAATATTTTTGAAGTGGGTACTCATTTCGTTAATTAAATTATGTTCCATTACGGGTGTAGTTTACAGTAAACGGGCGCTATAACTATAAACGTTCATTTTCGTCCTGATCATTAATTTATCATTCCACTTGATGTTAAAAGTGCAGGAAATACCTTGAAAGTTTCGGTTCAACTTCCATTACCTTTGATCCCCTCTTGTACTTATAAAAACATCTTCCCACGCTACCGTCCAATATTTCATGAAGCCAAGGTAACAGTCGCACATTTATTCGTATCATTGCCATTCTATAATATATGCACATAATTCCAATCACAATATCGTATTAGGCTTGTACGAAACTTCAAGCGACAAATGATAAGATCCACTTAATCTTTGCAGGGTCTAAGTTCATGTAAATTACCACCCCAGCTTTTCGTTAGCAATTATTTCCGTGATTATTTAAGAGCAATCAATGATACCTTAAGATTTCACTTCCTCATTTTGAAGTAATTCAATACCACGTTGGACACCAATATACTATAAAAGATTGAGCAAATCGCCTAATTAACAGTGTCATTGTAACTGGTCGCATTGTCATCATTCACGTTACAGGATAGTAAATATCGTAAGCAGCATCGTCTTAGCGCAGTAAGTGAACCACAAGCTATGAAATCTTATCAACACCGTGTTATGCTATTTTTTGTGGGTTTGATTATTATTTCGAGTTGTTTAACTTCGACTGCCGCCCCTTGGGAAAAAAAAGATGGAAGGAGGCTAATAGTTCCAGAACGATTGGCAAGACTACTGAGAAAGATTACAAAACATAAATCAGAGGAAGGTAAGTTAAAATATGGAGAAAATGATCAGTCCAAGTCATAAACTATCTGTTTTAGTTTCATCACGGTTGATGTTACACTGATGAAAAGGCCCTTTTAATGATGCACGCAATCTTTTTTGAAAACCTCTTTTAAAGGGCAGGATCTGAAGAAAGAGTTTAGTACTTTTACTATGAACTAACCCCGACAATCGATGCATGTACTTAGTTATTCAATTAAACTGGTACAGTACGTGGCATGTACTTACTTCGTTACTAGTTACTAAGTTAGACGTAGTCGTGAATTAAGCTAAATTAAACTTTATAATCTTTTTTCTGCACTGAGTTCAGTTAACACGGCGAAAAGATCAAGCCAGAGAGTTTAGTTAGCTATATATATGCGGTCGAAATTGCTCATATACTATATTAATGGAAGATTGTGCACGAAAGTGTTGTTGCCTAAAAATGATCTGAATGCAACAGTAAGTGTTACGTAATTTTTCCAAGCTTGTCAATATTTTAGTATAATCATCTGAACAAAAAAGCTTCCGATTTTCACATCCGTGCGATATCCGGCAAACTAGAGCAGAATCGTTATCACTTGGGAGGTAGCACATGGAAACTTTTTTGTCCATTCGCAATCTGCATGATAGTGCACTTAAACGTTCATCATGATCAAGTGATTGCATGTTATGGAACATAAGAGATCATATCATTCTTGTTCATGCAAGATTCAGTTAATTTAGAACAATATTAGGCAAAGAAGTTTGCGCATAATTTACGAATTAAAAACAATCAGAGACCAAATCCAATCCATATGCATACATACCATGTATTGACTATGCCGTAGCGATGTGCACGCATATAGCTAAGTACCTTAGTTTACGGTGTTTATTTAAAATATAGATTTCCAGAACTATGATGTGGAAACTACGCTAAAAATGATGAGCTTGAACGGAATACGCAGTCATAATAAGGTCCAATCACCCGTCAAGGACGAAGAAGCTGACAGCGAGCTTGGTTCCGCAAGACCGCGACAAAAAAGATCAGTGAAGACAAATAATCTCCCATCCTCGTGCCACAGTGACAAGGTCTATGTGAACCTCACAAAATACCAGAACATCATTGCTCCACTTGGATTTCATACTCATTATTGTGGTTCAACATATTTAGTACCTGTTGGAAATGACCCAATCGTCCAAATTCTATCGCAAGCCATCATTGAAGCGTTCAACTCGTTGAAAAAGTTCTCATCCAAGGTGTTGGCCAATGCGGGCTGTTGCGCGCCCAAGAAGTTACAAGATTTGTATGTTCTTTATATGGATCAGGGAAAATTTACTTCAATCAGATCTATACCAAACGTCGTAGCCTCTCACTGTGTTTGTAAAAATAATTGAAGCAGAATAGATCTCAGAGTGAGTCAAACTGAGCCACGAAACGTTTTACTCACAATTTAAATTCTGACAATTTTACCGTGGCTAATTACATGTTTGTAAATTAGTTTATTTCTCGGTCAGCATTTACACTATCGACAGAATTAAAATGCCCCTAACATATTGAGTAAATAACGCGAAAAGTCGCTTTTATATGCCAGGTAAAAATGCCCTTTACAACGAGGCAGATATATATTATTACTTGGTTTGGCTGGTTGTATTAAAGTTCTAGCTCCGATCACACAATGAGGGCGTGGCATCGGCACAACATCAATTTAATCACTTCGCAATCATTCTACATCTATAATTTTTCCATGAGTACATTCTTATATTATCATAACTTTAAGTGTAAAACTAAGCATAAGCAGTGAATTCTTTGATGTCGTGACGTTGCCGTGTTCCGGTATTGTGTGACTGGGGTTTTAATTGCGTTCTAATTGAATGTTTCAACGTTTCAACAAGTTGGAACGATACGCCAAAATCCTGGATTGTGATTGATTAGCTTTCACACTAACTATATTTAACGTTAATAGCACTCCTGCGCAACCGGTCACAGGAAAAAATCAAGTTGTAACTAGTCATAAATCTTTACAACGTCAACAGACTTCGCAAGTGCGTAAACGAATAGAAATGATTAAAAGCAAGCGTAGTTAGCCAACTTAGTCACTATATCAATGACCGCGTCAATCATGATTCAGCATTACTCTAAACGGACAAATATAAGCAGTGATTATATATTTATACACTATATATTATCAAATATAATTAAAAAATTATTCCAAACATGGTTTGCAGACTGATCACGGTCTTGTTCTTGCGAAGAATCATTCAGTATATATAAGTCCTATACAACTTATGCTATAGCATACTGGATCGATGTTTATGTAAGACTGTCTAGGCGATTCTATACATGCAGAACTGATACAGGGGCGCAACGCCACAGAAAACCGAATAACAAAGAGGGGGAGGGGGGAATCGACCGTGGGCGGAGGCAGTGGGCCACAAACTAAAGATCTTCCTCTGTAGCTTCCAGGAAGGGAATCGAAATCAAAGACGAAAATTTTGAATTAAATTTTTTCAAAATGTATCATTTGTATGATTCGTATTTCGTATCAGTATAACCCTTCCCCGTGGAACTTTCAGGATTTTTTTTTCTCTTTTATATTATGGGCACCTTGAAATCTATGCTAACAAAATAAGAAAGTTCCCAGTTCCCACCTGGAGCTGTTTTGTGAAGCTAGTTAAATTAAAAAGGACTTCAAATTTATTCATTTTTATGGCCTCATAGGCATAGACCCTTACTATATAATGGCCTAAGAAATTACAGCGCCAGTGACCCGTCGCGGGGTTATGTTGAAGGTTTCTATATTATTTAGTTTCTTGTGCGAAAATATAAAAAAAGCAGTAAATAAAAAGGTCTTAGCTGATGTGCTATAGCTATTTTATAGCTCGCTAAAGAATCAAAACTGGTGTGAGCCAGGCTGACTGGAATTATTCATTATGCAAATCATTCAGCCACACGCAAAGGCAAAGTGGAGGAAGTGAATATCAACGTTGCCTAGGCGATAATATTTTTATTAAAAGCTTAGATCTTCCTGTACTTCATTGAAACTTGAGATTGTAAGGTACGTTTTTATAGAGATTCGATATTAATATATTATAATCTGTACTTTTTTAAATTTATTTTTACATTACAGTTATCGAACATTTAGTTATACGATAGAACGTGCATGATATGTCATTTAAATTGTACACATTTTTATTTATTTATTTACATGCAGAAAATGCTATGCGCTTTTTGTGATAAATTTTGTAAAAATCTGTGCATGTAAACGTGTATTTTAAGTAGATCCTTGTCGGTCAATAAGCCAAAACGCTTCACAGAATAATTGTGCCATTAGACTGGAATTTTATAATTGTATTATTCGAAATATTTAAATAGACACTTACAAATATTTTCCCACCATTTCAAGTTAGTTGTTGACATTCACATGTACCCCATATTTATGTATGCTAAAAAATGACAAAAATTATGTCATGTTCTCTATAAAAAACTATTTATTTTTCATGTTATCATATTTCATACTTGTCAATGTTTAGAGACCTGATATGGAGATGTTTAAAGCTAATGAAAAAGAGTACTCAACTCACAAAAGAGATATTTTACCCCCTCTTGAAGCCTCTGGAGCTGTTAACCATTCAATACCAAGTTCAGAAGGACATAAACGAAAAAGAAGGAAAAAGAAACGAGATATTGGTAGTAGAATAAAGACTGACAGTGAAATTCTTGTTGAGAATGATTTGTTAGTTCATAGAACCAACAGTATTCCAAGCACAGTAAATGGATCATACATGAATGTTGTGGAAAGTGAAACTGCAAATAATAATTTTGATTTGCAACAGAAAAGAAAATCAGATTTACCTGAGGATGTGAGAAAAGTTGCTCTCACACTTGCAGTTAGTAATATAAAACCACAAGCAAAGGAGAACCTAGCCACACTTGACCATATTGACTATGTGCTTGTCTTTTGTGATGATGATAAACACAAAGAGATGAGTAATGAAGTTTTAAATGAACTAAGAAATAAGTTTGAAAAGAAAGTGGAACTTGAAGGAGTCACAATTGTAAGAAAGAAGAAAGGAAATACGACATTTGTTGTAATGAGTTGTTCTTTTGAAAGACTTTGTCAAGAAGCAGAGGCTGTTTCCCTAAAAATGCCACTGGCAGGTGTAAGTATGACAGGATAATTTGCCTCTCCTTAACTCAAATAACTTCTTTCATGATGCTATTTTCAATGATAAATGTGCATGTTAGACATGATTATAGCTGAGGTCAGGGAATCCAAGGACGTCATTTCAACAACTGATAATTAATTGTGATGCGTTATCAGTAGTTGAGCTGGTAAAAAGCCTGCAGGTATAAATGGTTTTTGGGCACTAATTAGAAACATTTTGTGCCCACACTTTAAAATATATATTGGGGCATACAAATTTGTCCCAGTGGTACGTATCATGCCAGCAAAATGACTTCATTTTATTCATTGAAGTTTGAAGCTCCATATGACCGTGGGCCTTTGCCAGGATTTTGGGAAAGATTCAAAACAGATGATGAAGGTAGATTTGAATGACAGCTTATTTTCACATCAAAATTAGTCAATTATCCATCTTAGTAAAGTATAGTCATAGTATAGAATCCATTTTTGTACAGCATCCATCTTAGTGGTAGTACCTTATTAGTACATGATCCACCTTTGTACAACATCCATTGTATTTCATATACTTTAGTTGATCTCGTTAGTGCCTTATTTTGCGCTTCCAAAAAAGAGATTTACGAGGGCATTGAGGATCCTAATTCATTTTTTCGACCGTCACTTCGAACGTTATTGGTAAGTAGTCACTGGTAAACCACACAGAACGTGCTACTCTGTGCAGTGAATCGTTTACAAAAGAAATTTATGGGTAAAAGAAGAACGAATTCTTCATTCCTATGTTTATAGATTACGATACAATGCATTTATTAACAATTTGATTTAGTTGTACAGACTACAGTACAAACAAACACATAAAATAAACGCCTTAGTAACCTATTGTACTGACCCGGCCACGGCATAACATAAAAAAAACTGAAAGGGTTGCAACGTATAACCAAGTCGAGAGTCTGAAATAAAAAATGCCGAAACACAATTGATCAAAACTGAATTGTATTACTGATATAATTCCAGGTATATCATATTCTCATAAACTTAAATCTTAAAGAAAATACGGATGTGAATACTTGGCACGTTCATAGGAGTGACCAAGGTAAACAGACTGCGTCCTTCTCACAAGTTTTTCAAAGTGGCTACCCACAAGAACGACAGTGAACCACACGTTCCATATTTTCGCACAAGTATTATATATTTAACAACTCTAATCTACTCTGAACTCAATTACTAATTTTACTTTACTTAAACATAAATACAGGGCTGGCATACATGTTGATGCACGGTGTCTATTCAGATGCCTTATGTATCCACGCACCATCAAAAATGGATCCAATGTATCCTGATATATCTGATGAAGAAAGCATAGGGAATAATAGTTTTTTATCCAGTTTGAGTGACGTTAAAGAAAGTGATCCGCGGAAGAACCTTAACGATACCTGGTTAAAATGGAAAAAGTTCCAACCACTCTGGAAAATAAGGAATTATTTTGGAGAACAGATTGCACTTTACTTCGCTTGGTTAGGTAACACGTGATTCGTGAATCTTGTAGACAGAAATCAGTTTGTCAATCATGGCACGTAAGCTGTGTCTAGATATAGCTAGAAAAGCTTTTGGTATAGCACGTAATGGAAAACTCGAAATGCACAGTGTAATTTGTTGTTATTTAGGTTTACTGGTCAGTTCCTTGTGGATTCCAATGATAATTGGTTTAATTGTGGCTTTATGGGGATTCACAAATGCGTATGTGGTACTCTCTGATTCTTCATGATGTAACACTTGCCCGAAAATCGGTGCATTTAAAATGTTATATTCCATAAATTAAAGCTCTATTCGCAATATCCCTGAATGCGTTATTCTTATAAAATCAAGACAAAAATAATAAAAATAAAGACAAAAATAATAAATTATAAAACTTAAAAACTAAAGCTCTTAAAATAAAGTTCAACCCATACCAACTAATAAAGTTCTATTATCCAAGATAACATAATAATTTAATGTTACTAATCATTAATTTAAAACTAATCCTTATTTAGAACGTTAGAATTAATAGAACACCAAAATGCAGGGAGGTAAGCTTACATACAAACAGTGAATTTATTACTTATAAAATCCTTATTAAATCCTTACTAAATCTTAAATTTATAAAATTAAATTAAATTTTATATTCATTGACGTTCAATACTAAACAATGTTCGTAAGGCTTAAAATATTCATAATAATATTATAATTTCATCGTTCAAATCAACTTAAGGTGGTGTATATAAGTGATAGTATTACTATTGTATTTGTTAATATCTCGGATATTTTCTTTGATGTTATGAGCTAAGACAATTACTTTTACTGCGTAAGTAGCACTATCACCCCGAATCGAGTGTTTCTGCTACGATTTTCTAAAATTGCATTCTTGCAAATTTTACAGAATTGAAGAGCGCAAAAGTAGTAATGATACATTATCCGTTGGTGACACTGTGCAAGGATGGTTGCGAGGTTCTTTCGATAATGACGCAACACCATTCTTTGCCCTTATAACCTGCTTGTGGGGTAAATTATGATTCATTCACTTTTTTGTTCATTACTCATTCAAGCCATTTAAGGTCCATGTAAGTGCTATATGCTGCTATCTTATACATAGGAACAATATTTCTTGAACTTTGGAAACGCAAAAACGCAGAATTAGCATACCAGTGGGATGTGAGTGATTTTGAAGAACAGGTATGCACGTAGATCGATAGACTAATCTCTTCCCCTTTCCTTCTTCTCGTCTCTGGAGAGGAGGAACACGATACTTTTATCAATGCTTGTGTTTGTATAAGGAATGGTGAGGTTCTTTTGCAGAGGGTCTGATATACCCCTCATAATATGAACTCAGCTTCGATATTCGAAGACATGCGCATAATGTATGTGTGGTATTGATAACAGAGTATCATGCGTGATACTATAAAATACAAAATCAGTGCAGTCTAGAATATATCTGCCAGCGGGACATTGTAACTGGTGTAACTAGTCAGCATTCTCTAATAACATTTTGAATATTGTTTCATTTTCATAGGAACCAAATCGACCACAGTTTTATGGAACAAAAATACAAAAGGTAAATAAATTTTCAATTTTGCGCAAAACGCGAATAACCTGGGTATTTTTCCCTGAATGGAGCATTATATTACCGCTGACTGGTCTCACAATAGTCCGCAAGAAGCGTTATTAAAGTTGTGGTACGTGTTTAAATTGTCAGACCATTTTGTTTCTCTATACATCTAAATAAGAATGTTCAGTAAAATTAGAAACATGAAAAATTTAAGCAATTTTAGACCACGTAGCTTACCCATCGTTACAAGAAAAAATAGACACTCGCACACCACCGTAAATTGATAATTTCGAGGTTCACGATATAAGGAAAATTTGTGTTCATATACAGGATCCAATTACTGGTAAAGATGTCTGGGTTTATCCTCTGCTGAAAAAATATAAGAAACTTTTTGGATCTCTTAGCGTTTTGTTGTTTATGGTAAGTTCATTTTTAAAGTAAGAAAAATACAAGCAGAATAACAGGTAATCTTTTATATAGTTTTAGTGATTAAGAAAAAACTTTCATACCATCATCTAGGTATGCCTGGTCTTAGCAGCAACCGCTGGCATCATCATTTATCGTGTAATATCACGGGTCGATTTATTTGACAGAAAAGGATCCATAGGCCCCACTTTGGCGAGTGTGACGTCATCATTCTTAAATACAATCTGTATTATGGTGATGGGGAAGGTAGTGATGCTTTTAAAATACTTGCATTTATTTACCTGCGGATGCCTATTGCCTTGTGTAATTGATTTATTTTAATCATTCTAGTGCTATCAACGCCTTGCAGTTATTCTCACCGAGTGGGGTAGGCATTGATATTTCATGTTTTTTCATCTAGGTACATTTTAATGATCAAAAGTACCCACATTCGGAGCACGAATTTCTATTTCTATTTTAAACAGAAAATCATCGCACTCAAACTTCTTATGATGATGCCCTCATCGTAAAGTTATTTGCATTCCAGTTTGTTAATTCATACGCTTCATTATACTACATTGCCTTCTTTAGAGGGGTGAGTATCTAGCTTATACACCCTTTCGTAATACATAATTTCTAATTTTTATTCTTTTTATGTTATTTTTAATATGTAATTTTTCATCTGACCACTAATATGTGCAGTATCAAAATATCATGACAACTGAGTACATGCATTGCATAGCATCTATCAAGACTTGGTGTTCACGTATAAATTGTAGACTTTTAGTCGTGCATAACTTCTTGTGATGTGACCCTAGTCCTTCCACGTGCAAAAATAAATACCCTAATATCAGCCAAGATTGTGAAAAACTGGAAAAAGCATCCAGGTTTCAGCAATGCCATTTTTACGTCTGATAATTCATATACGACGTACAACATGTATAATCAAATGAAAATTATAAATTATTGTTGTAAAGTTCAGCTCTTAAAATCGAGTATTCTCCTTCGTACAATTTTTAGATGTTCCCATCATGTTCTTGTAGTAATGAACAATACCCGTGGTTGTGCAGCCTAAGTAATATACAAACGACATCTGATAAAATGAAATTTTTCAACCATAGAGCACAAATGAAAATGGTGTCCTGAATAAAGGTGCTGAGTACAGCGATAGTTGCGGAGAAAATAACGACTGTATGACTATGTTATCATTACAAGTTGCTATGTTGATGATCATGAAACCGCTACCAAAGTTTTGCACTGATTATCTTTTGCCGTAAGTGCCTTCGTGTTTGCCTTTCTTCATAAATTGTTCTTAAAAATTGTTCGATTTTGTCAGTTTCCAAAAATCTCGTTCGTCCTCAGATGCCTTGAACGATTCTGGCACAGACATGTAAAACGGGGATGTTGCTGGTGTTGTAAGAATCAGAAAGTTCATAGCTCATTTGAAATTTCTATCGAAGATGTCATTGAATGCGAGTTAGAAAAACCTGAACTTGGAGATTTTACACTTTCAGAATATAGCGAAAAAGGTAATTGCGAGATAATTTTGTGTAGTTAGTATGTTGTTAGCATGCACTGTATTCTATTATTCTTTCGGGAAGTGGTAGCAGTGTGCAATTGGTTATCATGTGCATGAGAAGTACCACATATAGCCTACCATGGTCGTTTCTCTTTTATGTTTTCCAGTGATACAGTATGGATTTTTGATGGTATGTTGAAATATACAACTGAAAAAGTAACATTTCATTTTTTAAAGATGCCATGAAATTTTGCTTTAATGTCAGGATTATATTACCGAAATGTCGTACTACGATCTAATATATATATTAGGCTATACAAGGCTTGTTAAAGCAAACACACCAAACATAATAAATTGATTGATAGCTTGGGACAAATAGTGATTGTCAGCTTGTTTGCATGCTGACTTGTTTCAAGATGGGGGATTTTCGTCTGTATCACAGGATCTGTATAGAAGGACGTTTTTCTTCGAATTATTGAGTCTATTCAAAGTTTTTTTGTTTTAAACGCAACTAAAACTCAATGTATATTACCAAGACTTATTTTATATACTTTCTGCAGCTTTTTGCAGCTGCATTTCCCCTAGCTCCCTTGATCGCCCTTGTCACCAATATGTTTGACTTGCGATTGGATGCAAGGAGGTTACTATGGACAAACAGACGTCCGGTGGCTTTTAGAGCTGAAGATATTGGTAAGTGCATGAGTCAGCATGACTGCATGTTTTTCCACGTGATGCGCATCTTAAGTTTGTGCATGAACTGCCTGCGTGTATTATAACATATTGCGCATGCTTGCTGTTAACCGGCGCTGGCCAGGTTTTCGTGTTCTTCTATTTTTCCGTGGTAGCAATTCTAGTGACTAACGAGCGAAGTGCAAAAATGTCGAAACTCAAATCCTTGGCCAAAGTATGAGCATAATGTCCTACGGGACAATAAGCTAGGATGCGGAGTAGGTATGCGCAAGAGATATTAAAACACATGCAGTATATGACAAATATCTTATCTCCTACATAAGGAATGTGGTATTCGATTCTGGAATTCTTAAACGTCGTTGGAGTTGTGACGAACTCATTTTTAGTGGCATTTACATCACAGTACGGTCGTAATTGGGAAGGTGACTTGACGCACGTCACGGTTATTCAAGAGATACATAACTCCACCACAAATGCGACCGTTCTGCTTCAAACTATCACCGAGCAAGCTCCGAGCAGAAACAGACTGTGGTTGATCATTGGTTTCGAGGTGAGATGGTTTCATTTTAATTAACTGATAGCAATGCAATTTGGCAATGACAATAAAAGCCATTAAATGTCGATGACTTTTATGAAGTTCGGCTCCACCGAATTTTTTAGATCTAGGCGTTAAATTGGTTAAAGATTAAAACCTCGTTTAACTTTTAGCATATCGTGTTTGCTGTGAAGTTTCTCATTGCACTGGTTATCCCAGACGTCCCGTCACATGTGAGAATAGCAGAGCGTCGGGTAAGTAATAATAAACAAAGTATAATAAAAAGGTATAGCCCGTGACTTCTATCATGTCAGTAAAACGTCACTTTTTTAAAACGTCACACTAGCCCCCCCCCCTCCCCCCAACTATTGGGTTACGACAAAATATTTTTAAATAGTTGGTAAAATTTTCGTTCAGGGTATAATCTAAATTCTAATGCTAAAATTGTAGGAGAAATACCATGTTGATCAGTTGCTTGAAAAAGCTGGAGTAAGCACTGGACCAAGGAAAAAACCTTCGCAAACAAAAGAGCAAAGAGATATGGAAGTACAAACCTCTTACTCAACAATTCCTTCTTCCAGTAAAAGCGAGTTAGGCCATTCAAGTTTCCTTCAGACCCAGGTCCCATCAAAACTACGTTCGCGTGCGAATGAAAAAGACTGTCAACCCATGGCAACATCAGTTGAAAGCGATGCTGCCATAAAAAACACAAATATAGCGAAAGAGGATTTATACGAACATTCACAATTTGTCAATCCAATTCCGCCTGCTCTGCCTCTAGGATATAAACCAAATTTACCCGTTATTGACAATCCTGCAATAGGTAGTTCTGTAGCGTGAAAAACCGTTATGGTCTGGTGAAGAATGTATCTTCACGAACTTTTTCGAACAATCATTGAATGCTACGCCCACGGTTAAAAAGCGTGTTTGCAATCTCGTGTTGACCGTCATTCCAAACACTGAATGAATTGAAACTCCCCCAAACCAAATAGCTCTTGATGTTCCCGAGATATAGCTGATCTTCAGCCTGAACGGCCGCAGCCTATTATCGGAAGGTCGGAACCCGGGGTTTCCATAGCACCCGGCTCGCTACACAAAATAATAGACTAATCTAGATAGCATATTAACAAAATCATGAAACTTCTACATGTGTTTTTGGTAAATGTTTAGTAAATGATTCTATACATATTACAACACTATTAAATATACCGAACTAAAATTTTTATAGGTTTTATATGCTGATGTTACCCATATGTTACCATGCACAGAAATTTTAAAGACAATTTTCAGCGGGTTCCCACTAAAATATTTTTGTGTATCAATATACACTCACTATAGTAATATATTCAATGAATAACGTAAGAATGTTTATGTGCAAATTGAGAGACTTGTGATTTTAGCGAGGGTCAGATTTGACGGGTACGACCCACCATGGTGTGCGAATAACATAATTTGTAATTGATACTTATTCAATATGTTGACGAAATGAAAGTTTTGTAACCGCACTCGAAGTGGAATCTCAAGCTCGCCATCTAACGATCTTTCCCGGAATCAAATTCAGGCCATACAACCCTGATTGAATGTCACACACTAAAGAGAACTAGAAAACTACCTGTTTCTATATTATTAGCATCACTACACAACATTTCACTACAATCTACATGTATGATATTTAAGATGTGTCCGAGGATGAGTCAATGGTCTGAACCGTTATAGAGTCCACTTCTACAGCATGACATTTATTCTCGTGGACCTTCAAAAAATCTTTACGGCTGAATGTCATATCACACAATTGGCACTTGAACGGCTTAACTCCACTGTGAGTTCTCTCATGCCTCACCAGATTACCATGCTGCGCAAACTTTTTATCACACTGCTGACATTCATACGGGCGTTCTCCCGTATGCACCCTCTCATGAAGCTTCAAAGCACTTGGTTGCTCAAACCATTTATCACACTGAGCGCAAGGATAAGGCTTTTTGCGTAGAATTCTTGGGGTGTTCTTAAAGGGACTTACAACGGCCTGGAAATCACCCTCAGTTTCCCTATGAGACTGACCGACTTGGGTTAAACCAACAAGGGCTTCAGCTATTATCGTCGAAGTCTGACTCGTTTCGACATCCTCCATCGCTTCGGTTGGGCCAACTTGAATCGCCTGGCTAAGATGGTCAGTTTGTGCATAAAGAGCGGCTTGGGGAAGTTCGGTTACGAGAACAATTTGGGTCGTGTCAGGCGTTTGGTCATCTTCTGTTGTTTTACGCGTATCATCTGTAGGGCTTGTTTCACTGCCCCCGCTAATGTTAGCAGCACTTTCCTCCACTCCAGCATCTAGGGTTATATCGCCAACTTCATTAGTTTCCATAACTTCCTCAATTTGACTTGACTGACTGATAAGACTCGTTTGGCTCATATGATCAAGTTGATCGGTATGACTATCCTCCGCAGAATCTTTGCATTCACAAGATTGATTGACTTCAATCTTTATCTCCGCATCACTTTCACTCAGTTGACTTGACTCACCATCTGGACAGGTTTGACCTTCACTTATTTCGTTAGGTTGGTTTATCTCACCCACCTGACATGTTTTACCTGCAGATTTGCTTGCTTCACCAATAGTCATTGTTTCGCTAGGTTGGCTTGCTTCATCTGTCTGACTTGTTTCAACAGCATGAATAGTTTCACTTGTTTCACACACTTCGTTGTTGTCGAATTCATTTGTTCGATAGGACTCGCCAGTTTTAGCTCCATCAGTCTGACTTGCTTCAGCATCAGCAGTCTGACCTGCTTCAAAATCAGATATCTGACTTGCTTCACCGGCAGGAGCCTCACCTGCTTCATCAATTTGACTTTCTGCACCATTCACCATAGTCGAATTCTCTTTATCGGAATGCATTTTTGCATGAGCCTTTAGGTGATCTAAACGTCTAAATGTCTTTACACAAACACTACAACTATACGGTTTGTTATCAGTATGTCTCTTCTTATGTCGAAGCATATTTCCAGCTTGACTAAAACAACGTCCGCAGACATCGCAAGCAAAAGGTTTCTCTCCGGTGTGTTTGCGCATGTGCTGTTTCAACGAGCCAACTTGATCGAACACCTAAAAAAACGGTTATAACTTATAAAAACATTATAGTAAGTAAAACAGGGTCACCTACAATATAGTAAGTAAAACAGGGTCACCTACAATATAGTAAGTAAAACAGGGTCAGTTTTAGCCAGTAATAAATTTTTGGCTGTTTAATAAGATGCTTCGTTCATTTACTTCAGCCTGTTGACAAACCTTATCACAAGTTTCACAACGATGTTCCTTCTTTCCACTCTTCGACTTCGTGTGTGATGTAACATGAAGGACAAGTCCCTCTGGATCGCTAAAGCTCTTCTCACAGATAGCACACTTGTAAGGTTTTTCTCTGAGGTGCGTTTGAGCGTGTTTCACCAAGGCTTCCGGATCAGGAAACTCTGCTTTACATTCCTTACATTTTGTCTCCGGATGATCATTCTTTTTATGCGCTTTTAATTCTTTTGCCATTGAAAAGACCTCGTTACATTCATCGCATGGAATTCCAGCGAGTGGATGAACGGTCTTCTTGTGCTCTTTGAAGTCGTTAGCAACGGAAAAAACCTCAGAACATTGATCGCACTGGAAGCCGTTTTCTGAGTGGGTTTTTTCGTGGACTTTAAGAAGGTCGGGCCGGTTAAAATTCTTCTGACAGAATTCGCATCGGTAAGGTTTCACTCCGGAATGTGTTTTTTTATGTCTTTTCATGTTTCCTAATTGGGCAAATTTTCTGTCACACTGATCACACTCATAAGGACGTTCTCCAGTATGTGTTCTTTGGTGAACCTACAATACACAATATCGCATTAAGCCAGCGTCAGAATGGATTCTAAACTAGAACTCAGTTAACACCTGTTCTAATTACTTTCTTTATGTGGACTAACTCACTAAAATTCACTGCACAGCAACTCAAGGCCGGTTCTCCATTATGTAGGTGAAATTTTTCGATCAAACGAATTTTTTTGCTTGATTTTTCCCCCCGCGCCCCCACCCAGTCGACGGGTAAAGTAGGATTCTTGGCTAAGCCCCTGTTCCTGACCCCGTGTGAATTCCATACCAAAAATGTAACTTCTTCAGTTAAAACACGAGTAAATTGGATAACAAGCCTGAATGAACAAGTGAATATTAGGTAAAACGGTAAAGGTAAACGCACCTTTAGAGAGCTCGGTAAGTCGAAGGATTTTTCACAAACGTCACAGATGAAGGCTTTTACGCCGGTGTGAACTTTCAAATGTTTGAAGAGAGTTGTTTCCTTTTTAAAGCCTGCACCGCATGCTTCGCATTTGAACTCGGGTTCTTTATCATGAGTTTTCTTGTGGTTCAACATGTTGGTTAGTTGCGTGAAGCTCTTCTCACAGACATCACAACGATGAGGCTTGACGTCTAAATGCGTCTTCTCATGAAGCTTCATTATATCCATTCTGAAACATTAAGTATACGAGCATTGCAAAGTTTAAATACCACATATTATAGAGACTGGTCCCACATCAAAACGTACGAGGTCACAAATCAAAGCTTTAAATTACATAATAACTCACCTACGGAAAGTCTTTTCACAAACCGAACATTTGAATGGAGCATCTCCAGTATGAGATCTCTTGTGTCTCATTAAATTCCCCAGTTGTGTGAAGGATTTAGGGCAATCAGGACATTCAAATTTCGTTCCTTCAATATGAGTTCTTGCATGACGATTTAATGAACCTACAGGGAAAAAGAGCAACTATTAGAGTTCTAACAATTAAGACATCAGTTACCCAATTAATCAGCTCACAATAATTTTATTATCAGTTCATTGCCCCATTAACCATGTCCTACTCAAACAAGACCTGTGTGTACTTACCAGTATGAGAAAAAATTTTCTCACAAACTTGACATTTAAAAACTTTCTTCTCTTTTGGTTGTTTAGGTTGTGCTTGAGAGACTGGCAACATTTCATAATCAACTTGTTCTTGCTGCTCAGAAGTTTGAGCTGCTTCAACACAAGCGAAGGTTGTTTGGTCAACTTGGCCTTCTTGTCCACCTGATTCTCCTATATTATTAAAAATATTTAAAAGAAGCATTCAATGATGATGGAATACTACATTGACAACAATTTACTCTTTATCATTTTATACAATACTATATCTAGCTGCAAATTTATTTACAAGGCTCTGTTTCATGACTATGAACTTTGTTATTTGTTTTTTTTTATTTACAGTAACTGTAGCAACAGAATTTGGTAAGTGATTTGCTAAAAATGTGTGTAACTGTCACTAGTGTGCGCCTGGCTTAAGGTATGGTTGCATCTATAAGCAAGCACTAGCATAAGCACCTTGTTCATCAGATTTTATTAAGAACAATTGATAAAAAAATATATATTGATTTTGGCAAAGGCGAAGGGTGAATTAGGGTGAATTTTCTCTAGTTCATTCCTACGGTTTATAATATTACATAACTCTAAGTAATTTGTACATTTTAATTTTCTTTCTTCAATATTTCAAAACGTATCTATAGCTCATTTTTCATTTCTTTGTTGGTCCTTAATTTACAAAACCTAGATACCTGTTAGTTACATATGGCACAGCTGCAGTAGGATTGTGAATGCAAAATTTTCCCTGCTTCATGAATTGAAAACAGCTTTAAAATTTGTTATTTTGTTTTTTAAATGTATAAAACTGTTTTCCCGCCAAAAAAGTCCACATGGCGCAGATATTTCTTGTCTTAAAGGCGCAACAAACATCAGCTCAAGTCAAATGTCGTGTATTTTGTAGGTTTTTATTAAAATTTCAGCTGATCTGTTGTCCTACAAAATTTCGACGACCTACAAAAATTATACAAATATCAGAGATTATTAACCGGTTATCATACCTGAAACTTCATAACTAACTTGTTGTCCCTCACTGGTATCGACAACGCATTGGAATACGGTTTGTTGCGGAGCTTCTTCTCCCGTCTCTGCCGGTTGAACGACATGTTCGCTCGTGTTTACAACACACTCAAAAGCCGCTTGACCTCCAGCTTGTTCTAATGCTTGCTGCTGGTTTTGCACAACACAATTTAGAGCTTCGATAATAATGTTGTATTCAACTGGTATTTCTTCCATAATATCTGAAAGAATTTCCTTTCAAGAAGCGAATTTTGCAAAGTACACTTTTAAAATGGAAATATCGCAAAGATAATAAAATGGCGGCAAAGGAAATTTAGCTGCGGAAGTACTTCATGTAATATGTAACAAATGGGTGCGCATCGGACTCGCGGTTGGTAACCTATCAACCGCGAGTGGCTTTTTTGCATCCAAATAACTCAATTTTGGACTTTTTATTTCTTGTTTTATAGCTTGAAAAAGGTTTGGTTGATTAAAAGATTTTTTATCAAGTGATAGGGATTTCTCACGAAATTATGTATGAGTGTATCGACAGTATCGTTGTCAGTCTGTCACAGGATGACACATCTCTATTTGGCATCCAATCTAGAGTCTCAAAAAAATCATTTTAAAAGTTAAAAAATGCCATTTCGGTTTGCCCATGCGGGGAAGGGTACCAATTACCAACCACAACTACACATCAGGTCCTCAACCAACGAGGTTAGGGTTAACGGTTACAAACTTAGAAATGAACGTAAAAAGGTAAACTTTACATGTAAAGACGTGGTCATTTAGAGTTTGAGCAGAAAAATTGAAAAACGTTTAAAATTTGAGTCTCAAAGTTGTTGTAAACAGGTCTTTTTCGGAGCTCATGCATGTAACCATTTCAACCCTTTTCAATTCAACGATCATACTCTCCTTTCGTCAATTATTTTACTAATTATGAGATGGTTGTGCAGGTGTTAAACTTGGTGTAATGACTAATGAGTACCAACATGCAACTCTTTCCAGCTCACACGTGCAATCGTGTTTCCCTTTTTATTGATTTCGTTTAGGAACCCCAGCCTACGAAGCCACAGCTTCATCCCCGGTACTTTTCGGCCATATTTGACAATATAGACTACATGCATTCTGGATAGATATCACAGTAAAAAACTCCCACAACTCTTTGCAATCATGCAGTCAGTTATTTAGTATTTTAGGTTCAAACATTTGTAGCATCAGAGCAAAGCCACTTTTGACAATACGTCGACCTGATAGCTTTTACCGGGTACTGAATATTACAACTGACAAGTTTAGTGCGGCTTATATATTGAGAAGAACACTGAATTAACCGATTAAAACGGAAACATTAAAAAACCACTAAAACCCTGCGACTTGCTTTATTGAAATCACTGAAGTTTTCGTCAATTAAGATCAATAACTTCAATCAAATGAATGTTTTAGAAAACGATCCTACATATAACAAAAAATACCACGTCAATAGTCAATTCAATGTTAATCTGCCTGAGGCGGGATCAAGACGGTGTCGATAACTTGCATTACTCCATTGTATGCAATTATATCAGCTTGGATCACTGTTGAGTTGCTGTTAAACACCACTTTTGTTCCGCTTACAGACACATTTATACTTTCTCCTGTGTATGTTTGTATCTTCCCAGTTTCAAAACCGACTAAACAGTATATTTCCAACAGTAAATGATATTCAAGAACGTCGTGTAGAAACTTGAAGCTGCTATCCATCTTTTCTTTTACATCTGATGACAATTTTTCAAATGCAGCGTCATTGGGTACCAGCACTGAATGAAATAAATTATTGGAACAGTTAATAGTTAATTTCAGGGGCGTGGCCAGCCTGAAAATTTAGTCATGACCGAATTGTCAGGCTGGCTACGCCACTGGTTAATTTTAGCAAAATGTTTCACCTGCTTGAGTGGGTTCAATGGAAACTTTCGGCGAATATTATTTTTACTGTTTAACTGCTTAGTTGTCGACAACTAATAATTTAGAGTTTAGTTAGCAACAACGTGCGCGACAGACTACGTTTTTTAGTTGTCGATCACAAATAGTTGCCGACCGCTAAATCCCTAGACCTAGTCTGTGGAGGCCCTTACCTTTATTTTAATTGCATGTGCACTTCGCCTTCGGATATATCGTTATGTTACGGATTTTTGGTTAGGAAAGGGTGGCGGTTAAGGACTGGGTTCAATGAGAAAATATTTCGTGCGCATAACATATTAACGACAGTAACTGCACTTCCTTTGGTTTTTCGATGGATATATAGGTATATGAACGATATACTCACATGTCATTGGACCTGGACTACGAAACATCTGTTGAATACTGCCTTGGTTCACATACTTGAAAAAGCTTGAGAATGTTGAGGTTTTGCTTAAAATGTCATAGACGTCTCCTTCTGGGGGATTCATAACTCCATTCATGATATCTAGGATACCATTGTCATATGTAGCATCGGTAACACTACCAAGTGGTTGACATGATCCATAATAGGCCTATATATAATTATACAATTTATCTATGATCAATCATTATGGCCAAACGAAATTGACTGGTTAGGGAGCTCTATTTAAACTCTGTAAACGAGGTTTTGAGAAACTTAAAATTTACATTGTTCTTTCTCTGTACCGGTAATAGCATTTTAGCATTGACGGCGAACTGACGAAGCACAGGAAGAACTCTTCTCCCTCGTGGCGCTCGCGCGTGTACGCGAGTCTACTCGGTCTATTATTTATTATTATGATTATGACATAATAACAGACCGAGAAGACTCGCGTACACGCCCGAGCGCCACGAAAACGAAAATATTTCTGGGCTGTTATGCTTATTCTTCTATACATAAATGCTGGTATACTATAGTCTATATATTGGAATTGGTCGCTCCTACTTCTCATATTACAAGATCATTATAGCTATAAGCCATCATTGTATTCGGAAACTTGGGCACGTGACTCTATATTTCCTAGTATTTGATGCAAATGAGTTGAAATACTTGGAAATCGACGCATGCGGTCCAGTACAGAACGCAAATCGAAAGCTAAACTGGGCAAAGAATATTTCATGTTTCGACTTAAAATATCGGCAAAATTAAAAATTGCTGTCAAGATGCTATTAGTTTGACTTACTATATAAATTTTGACATACGCAAAAAATAAATTAATCTTAACGGCAACAGTAACAAAAAGTCTACAATTAAAACAGCAGGATGGAGATAAGTGTATTCTTCTCGTACAGTAAACGCGTGCACTTTGTTTGACATATGTTCACAATGTGTACAAACTCACCCCATTGTATCTTTCAAACCTAATTTTCTGCTGACCTCCAAGTAGAGTTTTTACTTTCATATTTGGTACGATCCTGCTTGTTGGGAAGGCACCCAGATGTACGTGGTACTGGAGTATTTCAGACAGACGAGTAGTATTTGAAAGTACGCCTTTGGCTGCATTTATGATTGCTTTGTTAGTTGGTGCAAATACGGTGTAGCTCGTGGTTGTAACGTTTAGCTTCTCAAATAACTTGGCTTGCTTCAGAAGACTTCGAAAAGACGTCAAGTTGTATTTTTGGAGCATTTGATCGAAGTCGATTTCCTTATTCACTCTGTTGTTCACTTCAACAGCCAGTTCGTCATCATTTATCACCATCGGGAGGGTGTGGCACAGAGAGACAAACAAGAAATGTAACGAAAGTATAAGATTCATTCCATTCATCTTGCTAAGACAATAGAAAAATTTTGAAAACTTTACCGTGCACCAACCAGTCTGAAATAAAGTGAACTGTAAAAGGCAATATATACAGTATATATATTTATGTATCGACAAACTTTAACGTCATAAAGAGTTCACCAATCACAGAATGGCAAATATTTATCAATTGCCTTATATGGCCAAATATACTTCACCGCCTCATACCCAGGGAAGGTAACGTATATGGGAGACGCATTATAACTCGTGAACGGGTAAAGGTAGATATTTTATCAAATGCTTATCTATTCGTCCTTTTCAATAACTAGCTAGTAGCTAAAGCCGTATCTGAAAACTAAAACCTGCCCGTGTTCTCAGGCATACTCCCTGCTGAGCCCCTTTTGGAACTTGGAAGGCGTGAGAGAGAACGCATTACGCATGAGAGCGCTTGGGAGGCAATTCGTGCCTCGTACATCAGTGATTGGTCTCGCCGCCTCGTAGCATCCCGGGTGACTGTAGCATAACATCCTCGTTCCCAGGTTTCCCGCAAGATCGTGGTCACTGGGATGATTCGAAGCATGATTCGAAGGTGCTCGTAATCTCGTATATTGATCATATCAATTAGATCGTTAATTCATTATTAAATAGTGATCTCCAAAGCGCTTAGGTGCGTAACTTCGTAATGTTGGGAACAACGCTAGACACGTGCCATGAAATGCATGTTGTCCAAAATTGGGTAAAAATTGAATGATTAATCGTATGATTTAAGTTTGAGTTGTTCAGTATTATCCAAGACTAATAGTTATAGCATTATAAACAATAAATCAACGTAATTTTACAAGCTGGCGTTGGTGGTGTAAAGGCTAGCATTGCTGCCTTCCAAGCAGTAGATCCGGGTTCGATTCCCGGCCAACGCACATTTCTTGACCCCCTCCCCTTTTTTTCTTTCAAATCCTGGCGGTTCCAAATTTTAAAACTCTTTCGCAGATTATTTATACCCAAACAGTTAATATTTAAAAATTGTGTCATTGCAGTTAGAAGTCCACTTAGTGGTCCACCGCAATTTCTATTTAGTTGCCCCCAGTCTTCTCGCCTTGCCCTTAGTCTTCTCGCCTAACACTATGCCCGCGCCGCGCGCACCCGCACGGTACCGTTTTTCGTTGCTTTTCATATAGTACCAGTGTAATACAAGAAAACGAAAATTATCGATCCTGTGATTACAGAAAGCCAGCACGAAAATGAACTGCAGATAAGAGGAGCACAATAAACAACTCACAATATCCACAAATACGAGCATTTCTTCGAATCGTAGCAGCCGAGCCTGATTGGTGGGATACCAGAACTTAATGCCAATTTCACACACCCCATCACGCGGAATTTTATGCGATACTTATAAACAATAAATCAACGTAATTTTACAAGCTGGCGTTGGTGGTGTAAAGGCTAGCATTGCTGCCTTCCAAGCAGTAGATCCGGGTTCGATTCCCGGCCAACGCACATTTCTTGACCCCCTCCCCTTTTTTTCTTTCAAATCCTGGCGGTTCCAAATTTTAAAACTCTTTCGCAGATTATTTATACCCAAACAGTTAATATTTAAAAATTGTGTCATTGCAGTTAGAAGTCCACTTAGTGGTCCACCGCAATTTCTATTTAGTTGCCCCCAGTCTTCTCGCCTTGCCCTTAGTCTTCTCGCCTAACACTATGCCCGCGCCGCGCGCACCCGCACGGTACCGTTTTTCGTTGCTTTTCATATAGTACCAGTGTAATACAAGAAAACGAAAATTATCGATCCTGTGATTACAGAAAGCCAGCACGAAAATGAACTGCAGATAAGAGGAGCACAATAAACAACTCACAATATCCACAAATACGAGCATTTCTTCGAATCGTAGCAGCCGAGCCTGATTGGTGGGATACCAGAACTTAATGCCAATTTCACACACCCCATCACGCGGAATTTTATGCGATACTTTTTTGTCCAAAGGATAAGTGAGGGCCTTCCTCCCCGCGGTGCAGCGTGTTTGATTCCTGCCAGGGACCCAAAATCCATTTTTAATACGTTAGTAAGATTATGACCGAAGAGATATGCAATGCGTGAAAAGACAAAGATACTAGTATACTGCCCATCAGGTAAAAATTAATTTTTAAAATACTTTCAACCTTGTTGCACATCTGTACACTTTTAGTCCGTGCTATTCCCAAACGTTTTCAGTTTTTCTAAAATGCTACAAACCCAGGGCTGCCTTCTTCGCTCTTTACGTACAGATGCAAGTGAAAATTTATTTACTGAATCAGCAATGTCGTGTTCTGTGACAAATGATTTTTTGTTACCTAAGCCGGCAGACCGATCGACATCCTTTTCGCTAAATGCCAGCACGGCATACAAAAGGAATGTGTAATAAGCAATATAAGTATAACACAAGACGTAAAAAATAAGCACTGAACGTAAGTGGTACAAAATCAATTGAATAAATATTGAATTTACTACAAAAATTCTACAGGCCTTTCACTTTTAAAAAAAAGCTACAACGATAAATAGTGGAGCAACTTAATTAGTAAAAGATGTATGTTCATAAATATGATACAGGCAACGGCTACACGCTAACATTAAAATATCTGTTAATAAATAGATTAAAAGTTCCAAAACAAAAACGCTATAAATATTTACAACGTTCATTATGTACAAAAAGAATAGTAAATGCCTTCTTCAGCATGACGAAGATCTGAAAATCTTTATTTCGTCGGGTAACGGTGCAATAAATCGAAAACTTTCCATTTGGAACTTGGAACAGGCTTTTAAGCAGACTTTGTATCAATTTTCAAGTTCTATTCTTCGTAAATCAGCTATATAATACGGCACGAAGAAGGCATTTATAACATTTATTTCACTATATTATAATTGTGACTCTTGGAGAAAAGTTTCCCCACGAGAGTGTCTCACGGTCGGTATTTTTTCTAACATCGCTGATGTCTCGTCTTCATGATCACTTGTACTCACAGAATCTCGCTGATCACTGTCAGGAATAAAATAATCAACTTCATCATCATTGTATGTCTCCAAATGTCCCGTATGGAATGGTTCATGTGCATCAAGTTGTGAACTCAAGGATTCCTCGTCATCGTCAGAGGGTGTTGATGCACAATTTGTCCCTAACAGATCATCCACGACGTCCGCAGTTTTCGTAAACAGTTTCTCGATGTCATTAGTGCACTGTCGAATGACTTCCAAACCTTCTTCACCAATTTCCGAAAAATCTTCACAACTTTGACTACGCACAGAGCTTTGTGATGACGCCCTGGAACAACGGTACTGCGTGGGTTTCTTCGGAACATCAGGGATACCTTGAGTGTCGTTGTATTGTCGTGGTCTCCTAGGGACTTGAGGAACAGCGTTTGTACCTGAATATTCCCCGCAGTCATCATACTTTTGATAATCTCCAGAGTCGGCGAACTTTTTGAGCCTCTTAGGTTGCATTTCAGGCAAATCTGCGTAATCCCAAGATGGATTACGACTTCCCAAACGTGTTGGGGGGTCATCAACATCCCCTCTTCGCGGAGGAGGTACCGGCGGACAAGAAGGCATTTCATCAACGGTTTCTTTAATCTTTAGTTCATGTCTTTCATGATTTAGTCTTGCAGCTTTTGCTTTTCGACGTCGTTTATGATAACAGCGACATCCGAGGGCAAGAATCACGGCAATGAGGATTAGTACAAACACGGCTGATCCGATATAAATGAACTCTTTCGTGCCCATCGGTTCTGAATGGGTTACTGCAGCAACACGGTTATCACATCGCAATCCATTAAAATTGCTATTATTACAGTCACATTTGAATGAACCAAATGTGTTTATACATCTTGCATTGTTTTTACACGGAAGTAATTCACATTCATTAACATCTTCACTGCAGTCACGCGACTTAAATCCAGGTTTACATTCACATGTAGGTTCATCATCTTTCATTCTGCATTGTCCATCATTATGGCAAAATGAAGGATGGCAGATGTCAATAGAACAGTTGTTTGTTACGTCTTTTGCTGAAGCTGTGGCTGCCCCATTGCTGCTTGTTAATGACAAATCATTACCATTCAGTCGAGGATTCTCCATGCACCCGAAGAAGCCGTTGAAAACAGCTAGGGAAGAAAATATGTTTATGTGAATACTTGAATAAAACAACTCAAACATAGGAAAGAGTGTGACTTAAGTCATCAGAACCACCAAAAGTTTCTCTTTCTTCAGATTTCAGAACTAATTTATAGTTCCCTGTGTAAAACGACAAGCTACTCACTGTTTGCACTTCTTTTTGATTTTTGAGCCGATTCTCCACCAATGATTATATTATTTATATCAACATTCAGGAAACTCATTGAACCAGATGCAACAGTTGTTACAGGTTCCCCAGAATCTAAAGTGAGACGAACATATCTCTCTTTTCTTTTCATTTCAACTTCATGCCATTTTCCATCATTTGTCTTGCCATCAACAATCACCTCTCCTTCACCACTACCATAGTCAAAACGAGCACGAATCTTCCCATGGACAATCTGAATTGGTTGATATACAGTACATATATTAGATTACATCATTTAATAACTAATTCTTTTGATGAACTTCGCATAGCACAAGTCATGTGAGAAGTGATTCAGAAAATAAAAATATGAATAAAATATGATGCAGTGGACTGTACCTCAAGAATGAAATAGTCGTGAGCTCCTCTCACTGAAAATATTGTACCAGAAGGTTTCGTTGTTCGCAGAGAAACGGAAAATGATAAAATTTTTGCCTTTTTATCATGAAGCTTGTAGCGGACGTAACTGTTGCCATTGAATGTCATAGCATCTTAAAAATGATACGATAGTTAGGTTGGATAAAACATCTTTTTTTAATAACGTGCATAAAACATCTTTTTTTAATAACGTGCATCTCTTGAATTTCTTATTGAAACCTGTACATGCAACCTTTCTACCATCCCCCTTGACGTTATTTCATCATGCAGAGTCCTGGAGGTAAACTCTTTCACCCACCCAGAATTACCCAAAATACCATATAAATTAGCCCCATGCATAAACAACTTACTTATATGACATTTTCTTCCAGTACAATCATGACCACAATCTTTTCCCTTAGGACAGACACATTGGTAACCAGTTGGACGGTCAATGCATTCAAATCCAGGTTTGCATGGTTTATTTTGACATTCGGATTTCTCCAAAACGCCGCATTCAACATCTGCATGTAAACAACACGTATTGTGAAAAAATCATAGATAAGCATAACTTTATTTTGTTGTTTCAATTTCATATATAGGCACATGAGTTTTTGGGCCAATACGAATCCCTAACCTTTTGTCAGTTTGCTACATACACAACACCAGTTTACTAATTGCATGTTAGCTTTTTTACATTAAATAAATTTCTTCTACACAATTTTAGACGCGACTTACCTGAAATTCCCTCAGGACAAACACACTTGCTCGTCTGCTCATTCTTGTAGGACAAAAATATCGCCTTATTACCAGTTAAACTGCTCCACTCGTTTATCACGTTAATAACATTTCGACATTCTTTTCCAGCAGGGCATGAACGTTTACGTTTGTCACAAGGAAATAGACCAACAGAAGACACTACAACTTTGGACAACTTCTGAAATGACGTGAGTCGATCTTCTAGCGTCTCTCGCAGGTTGTTTGGGCTGAAAAAATCCTAAGAAAAAGAAATGAGAATGACAAGGTTGAGAACTACCGGTCCTACATGTGCGTTCGGTCAGTCCGCGCAGTGCTAGCTAGCGCGCATGTTCTAAAATCCTATAGTAGGTTTAGACGCGGTGTTTTCAGTATATAAATATATATGCAATTTTACACTAAGCACTATTATAGAAACTCCAAATAACCATACTTCTATTTCTATCACTGTATTAACACCATCGCTGCCTAAACTTTCTCGAATGTCTATTCGATAAGAGCTCCCAATTTAATCAATTCGACCTATAGATATTTGTTAGAGATTCCTCGAGATTCCAAGAATACTCCTCGGCCTTACCTCTTGCCCCTTTTTCTTCACTGCAAACACGATATCAAGCATGTTTTTCGGTGCTGTTTGAATGCTCCATAAATATATATCATCGACAGAGCACGATTCAATGTTAGCCAATGTTTCTATCATAGCGGAAAGCGATGTGGATACAAAACTACCAAGCGTTTTTCCAGTTACTCTTACGGTCACGCTGTTATTAACAACCCCTGGTGTAATCGTCTTTACACGTACAGTCACCTTGGTATTCACTTTGTAAGTTCCGTCTGCGACTAGGACTTGCAGAGGATATGAACCAGACTTCAGTGTTCGCAGCATTCTGATGGTCCCGTCTTGTGATCCAATCGAGAATGCCGAGTTACCTTTCAGTAAAGTAAATTGCAAAATGGTATCTTTGGCTTGATTGTTCACGATGACCTGTCCAATTATTCCGCCGGTGAATTCATCAACAAGCATATTAACATAGACAGTGATTGGTTGGACATCAGGTGGGTTCGTGGTCGGTTTAACAACCACTATTCCAACACTTGTTCTCGCAGATAAAACGGGAGAGCCATTGTCAACTGTTTGTATAATCATGTTGTATGTTAAATTGTGATTTTTGAGTGGTTTACGTAAAAGCAATGCCCCAGAGGACGAATTTAATCTGAAGGCTTGGTTCCCACCGGTTATGACGCTGAATTTGAATGGTTTGGAATTTGTTGGCCCGTCTTTGTCTGTAGGTTTGAGTTGCAACACTACAGATCCAATTCGAGTGTCAGAACGAAGTAACATGTTAACCTTTTGTCTAACTATCGGGGGATTATCATTCAGGTCTTTGATGTTGATAATTAACTTGACGTCGGAAAATAATGGAGGATTTCCGTCATCTTGGACACGTACAACAATTTCATACTTGTCTACTTTTTCATAGTCCAGTTCACCCTGTACCCTAACGATTCCGTTCAAAGCTTCAACTACGAATGGATTGTCACTTGGCGTCGACTTTATGATGACAAAATGAATATGACTGGAGGTATCGTTATCAGTGGCAGACAGAGGAATCACTATTGTACCATTATCACTTCCCTCGTTTACGGATACTTCATATAATCGTCTACTGAAGACGGGCTTATTGTCGTTATAATCCAACACTTTGATTTTGACCGAGGCTGAGCTGATGAGAATAGATTTACCAGATGGTTTAACCATGCGAGCTTCAACAGTAAATATGTGTGCGCGTGAAGTTTCATAATCAAGTGCTGAAATTAATGTGATTTTTCCTGTATTCTCATCAATCTTAAACAACTTTTGAATTTCGTCAAGTTCATCTGCTATTTTATAGATAATATTGAAATCTTTTCCACTACAAGAAACCGATACCGTATTGATCTCATACGGTGGTTTAATATGTTCTGATAAATCAGTTCTGTATACGTTTTCAACAAACGGGCAATTTTCTATCGTGGATACGGTGATCTCAACAGTTGCGATGGACGATAGTGATGGTACGCCACTGTCAGTTGCTATGACGTTGAAAACAAAATTCTCCTCATCTCGCTGCAGCAGCCTGCTCTTTAATAATATAACTCCAGTTTCCTTTTCAAGCGTAAAAAGATCAGCGGTGGATGAATTCATAAACGCATAAGTTACTTTGCGGTTCACTCCAAGGTCTTTGTCTGTCGCCTCAACTCGAACTAAGAAAGCATTTTCTTTGGCATCAACGGCGATCAATTTTATGTAACGCGTTTTCGTGAACTGTGGTGGACTATCGTTCACATCTAAAATATCTATCGTAAGATTGGTATAACAAGAGCTGTCTCCGTCTGAAGCAGAAATCAGGAGGTTGTAGCTGGATTTCTTCTCGCGGTCCAAGCCATGTTTTAGCTTAACAATACCTGGAGAAAGAAAAAAATCACACATACGTTGATATATCGCAAGCACGGGAATTACGGCAATTTTAACAGCGAAACAGAAATTTGTGCGGTGGTGTAAATACTGGTGAGTAAATACTAGTCAATGAAGGAAGTCGGTTGTACCTTTGTCTCTATTTACAGTAAACATATCACTGTATGTCTGGAAAACGATTTTACTGTTGTTATCAGCATCGATATCGGTAGCATTGATGGTAACAATGGAGGAACCAACACTGAGATCTTCATATACACCCAAACGTAAACTTGACTGTTGGCAGACTGGTTCGTTATCATTTACGTCCGTTATTTCTATGTGAACAAGCGCTGATGCAGTGAACGCGCCATCAAATGCTGTGATATTCAACAAGTATCTTGGAAACATCTCACGATCGAGTTTATCACTCAGGTAAATCTTTTTCGAGGCTTGATTAATGTCGAATTTATTATGGAGATCTCCTTGTACTATATAATAAATCACATTTGCATTGGTATCCTTATCCGTTGTATTCAAGGTAAGAACTTCAGAGTAGACAGGTAGATCTTCTCTTACTGACACTGTATATACTCTCTGAGAGAAAACTGGCGGGGAGTCGTTGACGTCGTCAACACTTATCTTAACACTGGTGGAACTGTTCAACGAAATGCCTCTTCCATGATCCCTCGCGTCAATTTTGATAACGTATAAAGAAACAGTTTCTCGATCTAAACCACCATTGACACTGAGCCAACCAGTTTTGGAATGAACAATGAAAGTTTCGGCAAAATGCTTCGATTCAGATGACAAATGATACGAGACAACAGCGTTCTCTTTGCTGTCCTTGTCGTGTGCTCGTACTTGAACTATGTTACGTCCGATGGCGGCATTCTCCGGGACATTCACGATATAGAGATCAGATTCAAATTCTGGCTTATTGTCATTTGCGTCAAGGATATCTATATGAACCAATGCATATGCAGAAAACGTCGATCTGTTTGCTTTAATAGTGAGGTCGTAGCTTTGCACACTTTCAAAGTCCAAACCTCGTAACACCTGTAACTGTCCAGCCGAGTCAATACCAAATGTTCCAAGCATATTCGTTCTCTCGTTATTGCCAATATCAATTGAGTAGTCAACTCCCGAAGACACGGCAGTATCTTGGTCATCAATAAGCGTGAGTCTAGCTGGGACAGGTCCTAGGACAGTCTCAGAAAATGTGAACGAATAATAAGGGGCTTTAAACTTGAATAACAGGTTTTGAATATAGACACGCACAGGAGTATAGCTTTTCAATTTCAAATATCCATTATCATTTGCACGAACGTAGAAATCATAGACATTTTCCAATGGCTTTCTAAGAAATGTGATAACACCTGAAGATGAATCAACACCAAACACATACGGCGATCTCTGACCTACGAGAGTATATGTCAGTGCGCCATTGTCTCCACTATCAGGATCAACAGCAGTCACTCTGACAACACTCTCGCCTACGGAAGTATTACTTGCAGAAACAACGGCTGTGTAAGACGGCATTTGGAATCGAGGCCGGTTGTCATTCTCGTCCAGAATTTTAACCTATAAAAATAAAGATATGTTAAGCCATTTACACCTGAACAGAATGTATAAGGCAACTATCCCATCAACTAGAAGCAGTTACGGAAGATCAACTGGAAAACCTACGTTATGATGTAGTTTCCAGGCAAAGCATGTTTCTGATTGGCCATTGACTCCAGTTGAGTAATCAGGAACATGCTTTGTACGCAAGGTCCATAGAAAAAATAATTCAAGCACAATGTTTCATATGAATTAGCATGAACGAGAAAAGAAGAGTCGAACTGTACCTTGACATTGCAAATGGTCGTTTCTCCTCCCTCATCACTTGCACGGACTGGAATAGTGATTGAGCTCATCTCCTCGCGATCCAGAGATCTGATAGTCGTTATGATACCAGTACTTGAATCAATTTTGAAGTCTTTCGCCGCTCGTGGACTGTCAATTGCATAGACGAGCTCACCAAACCTGCCAGAATCTTGATCGGTTGCAGTGACCATGGCAACATAGCTATCAGCCGGGTAGTTCTCTGTAACCTGCGCGTGGTAAACATCTTTCTGGAATTTTGGTGGGTGGTTATTAGATTGTCCAACAACGACATCAACTTGTGTATAAGACGTATGGTTGCCATCAAACACCGAGACTTTTAAATTGTAAACCTTGCCAAGTGTAATACCGGGAACTTCAGAGAGAGAAACAACGCCTGACTTTTCATCGATTACAAAATATTTTGCACCAAAACCAGGAACGATAGCGTATCTTAATTTCGAGAAATCACTTTCATCAGCATCTTTAGCAAGAACCTGGGTGATAAAATGCCTCGGTCCACCATTCTCTACAACTGTTGCACGGTAAATGGATTTCTGAAATACTGGAGCATGGTCGTTCACGTCCTTCACCAGTACCTAATAGAAATGATTTAACATCAGGTCATGATAAATAATCGTGTGAGAAATATCGAGCGAATACAAGGCACCACGAGGTTTGAGTAATTACTGTTTGACACTACTAGTCCTCGTACCAGGCACTTTAGAAATGTAAATGTTCCAGTAGAGACTACACGCAGGCTAGGCACTTTATTGCAAAGCATGAATGCTCGTATCCATGTACTTATACACTAAATATAGAGTTCTCGTCGCATTCCCTCTTTATTCAAACATCAGAACGTCTTCGAATGAAGCACCTGCCGACTGAAGACGCCAAATAAATTAGATTGTAATATTTCTATTCTATTATATAATCCTCATCTTAAAATATTACAACCTAATGTGTTTGGCGTCTTGTTTTAATCGATATCCTAAAAATTTTTAAAGATGTTTATTTTCGGATTGTGGCAGAAGAGAAATCATAAAAAACTACTACAAACCGTTACTGAAGTTTCAGCAGACAAGGAAGGCACGCCATGATCTTTGACTCGTATAACAATATCATAACGTTTCTGTGTTTCATAATCCAATTTTTTCTCTATTCTTAAAATTCCCGTAATATGACTGACGGCAAATGTTCCCGGTACAACTGAGTTATCATTCACGATCTCGAAATATAGTCTGCTATTCTCCCCAGAATCTTTATCAATGGCATCAACACGCAATAAACTCATTCCAACAGGGGCGTTTTCCTTGATTTTAACGAAGTATGGAGATGCATCAAACACTGGAGGGTTATCATTAATGTCTTGAACAAGGACAATGATGGTAGCGAGGCTAAAGGCTCCGGTCTTCGAATCCTGAGCTCGAACGGATAGGATGTAACTGGGGATGGCTTCAAAATCCAATTCACATATCAAGGATAACTCACCTACAGTAAAAATACATGTGTAAATTATCTGAATTATCTTATATTGCCGTAATATCAAGCATTGCTTAGAAGAATCCTTGATGTTAGCTACAATATCAAAATGTAATATGCAATTAACTAGGAACCAATGGCAATAGACAAATTCTACTTTGAGTAATCGTATGTCACAAGGCCGTTGAAATATAAGAAAACGGCTCACCAGAATCAACATCACACTCAAATTGACTATAGTTATCTCCTTTTACAATGCTGAATACAGGTTTTCCCTTCGGACATCTAGCATGGAGTTGTTTGAATACTTTATCAACGGCGGTATTTTCGGCCAGTTCCACAGTATAGGAAGGTTTCTCAAATATACAAGCATCTCCAGATTCAATCCTCACAGATATTTCGGCTTCGGACTTCAAGGGATTCTCTCCTGAATCTTTTGCTTCAACAGTCAGTGTAAACTCTGCAGGAGTTGGCAGACCAGCTAACTTATCAAGTACACTCAGTGCACCAGAGCTAGCATCAATACCAAACATAGCACTGTCGTCTTTCTTTATTTTGTAACTAAAAAATGTGGATAATCATTTTTTTCATTATACTGCTCGGAAATTAAAGACGATAGCATGCACAGTTTCATTACGCATTTTAATCAGTGATTTAAGTTGGGATCCGCTTTTAACCTACTCGCTATATATATAACCCCAAAGCCTATTGGAAGGAATTATACACCAAGTTCTGCCAGTCCAGTTAGGTGTTTCCATGAATAATACAAGTGTGAATAGTAGTCTATATGGTTTGTGCAATCACAATAGACCTTCCTGAAGCATCGACGGTTTGTCTCTGCTGAGCGAGCGATACAATCGATCTCATACACATCACTTACCTGATTTCTTTATTTTTTCCAATATCACAATCAGACGCAGCTATATTTGCCACAGTTGAGCCAGCTTTAGCGCTCTTTGAAACGACGAAGAAAAGTGGTGGCGGAGGGAACGTTGGTATGCAATCATTTACATCGTCCACGATGACTGTAACTAAGCAACGGGCTATTCTCGGTGGAATGCGATCATCCTGGACCATTACAATGAGACGATACGAGCCTCTCTGTTCTCGGTCTAGTACAACTCCAGGTTTTGTTTTAATTTTGCCTGTACTCTCGTGAATTGAGAACAAATCTTCAAAGATGCTAAGGCTAAACCGAAGCTTTTCCCAGACGTTATAACCACGAACAAATGGAGTATACACAGTCTGTACTTCAGAAGTATTTTCTCGGGCGTGAGTTTGAGCGAATGGTTCAGAGAACCGAAAGCTTGTTTTTATCATTGGTTTGAACACGACACGAAGTTTAGCGTGATCGATCAATGTTCCGTCACTAACTTGTACCACGGCGTTGTACCAACCTTTCTTGGCCTTGGAAGGGTCCTTGATAAACACCCTGCCACTGGAGATATCGACATCAAGTAGAGACGGAGTATCTTGTCGGGTAATAGAAAAAGCTAGGGTGCCAAGACGATCACGATCTGAAGCAGTTAAAGTGGTAATATGGACATCTTGGTACACTGGGAGATACACACGGCTTTCAAAGGTATTACTGGAGAATTTTGGTTTGTTATCATTGAGATTGTTTGCGTGAATAATAACAGTCGTGGTGGTGCATAATGAGGGCGAGCCTTGATCGCTCACTTTCACCATGAGTTTGTATGACCGTCGAGTTTCATAATCTAGTGTTACCTAAAATAGAAAAGAGACGTTGAGTTTGCACAAAATTACACCTTCATGCACACAGGATTGATGTTTTAACAAAAGCAAGAGGTAATGCCATTGGTGATACCTTGGTGGTACGAATTTCCCCAGTATTTTCACCTATCTTGAAATGACGTGCAGGGTTGATCATTTCATATTTAAAACCAGAATTCCCTACGTCGCTATCATGAGCTGAGATAACCAAAGGACGACCGTCAACAGTTAACACTGTCGAATCTTCAGCAGAGTTTTCCTCGATATATCCAACAAGAGGCTTGTGTTCAACCACTGGACTGTTGTCGTTCCTGTTATTTATCTTTATATGAAGTGTGATTTCTTGTGAATACCCGCTTCCATCCTGAGCCCTCACGCGTAGCGAACATGATAAAATTTTCTCAGCATCAAGAATTTCCTATGAAGAAAATTACCGCACTTAATCGTTGTAGTCTTACCGTTGCATTTACAACTTTTTAAAACGATATAATTTAATTTCTATATCCAGACCGGGGCCTGACGGTGAATGAAATATACATGTATATATATTTAACAATTATACCACGAGCTCGAGTCGTATATGAGCTGATAGGCTATCAGGAGTATGAGTACGACGAGAGCGAATGGTACAATTGTTTTATAATACAGTCAAATACCATTTGTTAGGCGACAAAAGTATTCCAGAATTCTTTCAATTTCTTCTTTATTTACCTCAGCAAACCGATCAGCCATTTCTTTGGTTTTACTACCCACCGTATATGAGCTGATATACGGTGGGTAGCTCGACCAATCAGATTGCAGAATAGCTCATATACAGTGAATAGCTGTATATAACATAAATTACCTTCGTTGTTATCACACCAGTAAATGGATTAATTTGAAAACTGTCGGCACATCCAATGTCCTCAACGAGTGTATACAGTGTCATAAATCCATTGAAGTTCACGGAGGTTACGTAGGTATTTGCCGGTTCATTCTCGTAAATAGACGCGAAATATGATGACTTGGTAAAACCAGATTTATAACCATGTCGTTGCAGATGTATCTAAGTAAAAAAACATAATAACATCGTATTATTAAAGTAATTTAATTCAGTTAGGATCATACGATCATGAAACTTTTCAAAATCTTCATGTACAAAATCCAGTGAGAAAATCTTGCTTATTTGGATTCATCCTATAACACCATATTGACGAAAAAGAAAAATTAAGCAATTCTCACTAACCGTAACGTTGACGGTTGTGGTAAGTCCGTGTGAACCATCGTCTCTTGCTTCGACAGTCAATAAATACTCTGAAAGATCTGACGCTGAAAGTACTTTATTTGTTTGAATTACACCACTTTGTGGCCTGATGAAGAAAGCATAATCATGATTTCCAGACGTTATTGAATATTTCAGCATTCCATTCACACCTTGGTCGGTATCCTTAGCAATCACCTTAACGACGTCACTACCACGTGGTAAATTCTCCTGAATGTAGACCTCGTAAGATGGTTTCACAAAAGCTGGTTTCCACTCGTTCACATCACCCACATTAACAACAACGTACATCACACTTTCTTTGGGCTTAGATGATCGGTCTCTGATATCTACTATTAGTACATGTCTTTCAATATCCTCGTGATCCAACTTACCAGTGAGGAAAACCTCACCTGAGTCTTCGTTAATCGAGAACAGATCGAGAGACTTGGGGTTTATTGCCGACTTGAATGAATACCTCAATCTGGCGTTGTCGCCAAAGTCAAGGTCAGAAGCTATGGAAAAATGGATATATTTTAATCAGAGGAGTTTCGAAAAAAATAGAGAATACTAGATTCAGAAACTAAACAAGAAAATAGTCATAATTGCACATGTATGTAAAAAAACAGAGAACGTTACTTAAATCTATTTTTACCGGGATATAAATTTTTTTAGTTCAAAGGATTTAAACGAAGCATAGTTATTATAGTTGAACGAAGTTAATTTAACTATTAACCAACAATAATTTTTATTTGCAGATCATTGCGCAATTTCAAAAACGGGCGATGTTTACTTCACTTTATTATTTGTTTCCGAATAATAGAAACATCAGATATCGACTCATTTGAGTCATTGCATAATATAAGCTCAGGTCTGGCTGGCTCAGGAAATGTTTTGCTTAGTTTAAAATTGAGAAGGGCTGCTTATAAAATGAGCATCTATTCAATCAACGATCGAAATAGTTATAAGATAGTATTATAGGTTAAAAAATAGTTATAAGATAGGTTATAAGATAGTATTGTAATTACTGTGTATCTGAACGATGGACAGCAAGACAAAGACAGGTTTTGTAACTTAATCCTCCATACAATTTTCGCAATTTGCCAAAAATTCCAAATTTCTTTGGAACGGGGATAATGCGTGGGTAATTTATCAGTTTTAGCTAACCCTGATGTCAAAGTTAATACGATTATTAAAACCGCAAACGTTTTAATACTTAGGAAGGAAGTTGTCTATTTACCGCACTTAGGCAACCTCTTAAAAGCACACCGCACTTAAGATAAGCAATAGACGAATACACTTGTCTTGATAAAGTAAATCACGTTCACCACCAGAGGAGATTATATATATTAAAAATCATTGAAATAAAACATATTCTAAAATTTCATAGCTTCAAAAACGGGTGTTTTTGATAGACGATGCTGCAAATGGAATTATCTAAACAGGCACAGACGTGTTAAAATAATGTCATGTGGGGAATTTCCGTCATCATGCCTATAATGCTCTTTTTGTTTTCTATAAACGTGGCATCCATTTCGATGTGTAATACAGCAATTATCTCGTGTAAATTTAGCAAATCAGATTTTATCTCCTTAATTAATAAAGTCATGTTCCTAATAAAGGTTCCTCAAAGGCATAATAGGAAGCTGCTGTATATTACTACACGTTTATACTATCATTTATCATTTCTATTTATCAAACATTGCGCAAAACGCGCACTTAATGCGTAAAATTTACAAGGAACTGAGAAAATAACTGGGGAGTGTAGAAATCCTGAATTAGGTTTACGCTCGAATTCAAGGGCGTCTAAAATTTCGTTGCGGGACTTCTCATAATCTTACTTTAACATTCTTAGCATCACTCTTACAATGACATATCTCATAATTAGCGTAGCAATGGAACGCAAAAACTAACTCTTAATATCTGAACTTACCAGAAACCTGGGTAACCTTTGTTTCATTTTCAGCATTTTCTGGAATTGTTGCGATTTTCTCTGTAATTTGAGGTATTGGATAGTGGTTATTAATATCTATGATTTTAATGTTGAGCGTAAAATTTCCAGAAAACATTCCATCACTTGCACCAATGACTAGCTGGTAGGAAGGTGGTTCAAGCTCTGCAATCACTTCTAACGTGTTTCCAAAACTGTTTAGCTTGAACTTTTGCTCATCATTGCCCGTGTATATGAAGTATGACAGAGTATCAAAATCTTTATCAATAGCTAATGGTATGTCAATTTTATGACCAATTGGGGTGCTTTCTGACAAAGACCTTTCCACAACTTTTGTTGAGTAAGTAGGAGGGTTTTTACCATAAACAATTTCTCGTTTCAGCAGTACATTAACTGTTGAGAGTGCCGATAAAGGTTGTTGGCCACTGTCCTTGGCCTCTATTTGTAATTGAAATACTTCTAAATAGCCAATAGGAACATTATTATATAGTTTTCCAGATCTAGGATCAATTCTAAATTTCCCATTGGTATTTCCACTAAATATTGTAAACATCAAAGCACCATTTGCACCCTTGTCTTTGTCATGTGCAAGAACTTGACCAAGATACGTATTAATTGGAAGACTATTACGACCAGACAAGGGGTAATTCACAGATTGACCAGGCTGGAATTCTGGAGTATTGTCATTCTCATCTTGAACATAAATTGTGACAGACACTTGATTTGTCTTTGGCTGTTTGCCAGCATCACTGACTGAAACTAAAAGCCTAAACATTCTTTGACTCTCAAAGTCTAATGGTGTATCAGTTGTTGTGATAATACCAGTTGTTGCATTGATTTCAAAATGTCCTTTGTGATTTCCTTGAATTATTGTATATGATAGTTTTCCATTGTCACCAAAATCTGCATCATTTGCTGTAAGTGCAACAACAAGTTGACCTGCCTCTGTATTCTCAGGGATTTTGCTTTCATACACAGGAGGATAAAATATAGGCTGATTATCATTTTCATCTTCTACTTTAATGAGAACTTGCAATACTCTTTTAAATTGTTTGGATTTCTTGTTAATAACTTTGATAGTTAGCCAATAGAATGGTACTTCTTCACGATCCAGTGGTCTGGTGGTTGTGAGCCATCCAGATACACCTGTAATCTTAAACATTGTTACATCTGTTCCATCTATTATAGACAATAAAATTTCATTCCTTTGAGAAATGGAAATATCACTGCCAACAAGTTCTGCAATTTTTTGTCCAGCAGGTAGATTTTCACGCACAGCATATTGGGTAATTCCACTATAACCGCTTAATATTTTGACATTCTGATCATCAGTTCTTTGGATAACAATGATATTAACATAACTATTTGTGGTCAAGGATGGTTCACCTCCATCACCAACAGCAATAGTTAAATTAAAACTTTCTTGTAAGTTCCCAGTTAGTGAACTGCTCAATTTTATACAACCAGTGTTGCTGTCAATTGAGAAATATTGAGAACCTGGGCTTACAATTATAGAAAAACTCAATAATTCATTGGTTCCAGAATCAGAATCACCAGCTGTAACTTGAGTAATAGGACTTCCTACTGGAAGGTCTCTTACTATGACGATATGCTGACTTGACTTGTACACAACTGGATAATTATCATTCACATCCTCTACATTCACAATTACATCTGCTTGAGCCACTGGCTGGTTGCCAAATGTCTGACCTAAAGCCAACACCTGGATTTCATAAATGTTTTTCTTTTCAAAGTCCAAGGGTTGATTGAGTACCAAATTCAATCTTCCACTTCTAGAGTACACAGAAAAGAGGTTGTTATAGTCGTTGACAATAATGAAAGTAAATCCTGCATTTGCTGTAGCATCATCTGAAATTAGCTCCACAATGGATGTCCTAGTAGGAAAATTCTCAGGAATAGAGGTATTGTAGAAATCTTGAGAAAATTGTGGTGGATTATTATTGACATTCCCAGCTACTATGACCAGTTTAACAAAACCCACTTTTCTTGGAACCCCAGAGTCCCATGCTGACACGTTCAACTCATGCCTTGGAGTGTGTTTCCAATCAACAGCTGAGACTAACGTCATTTTCCCAGTTATGGCATTGAGAGAAAAACAGTTATTCTGTTGTTCATCATCCACAATATAGTATGTTAATAGTCCTTCATAGCCATTATCTTGATCAACAGCTTTTAGTGTTGCAAGTACAGTTCCGACTTTTACATTCTCAGACACAGTGACAGTTTGCACTTTGTCTAAAAATCTTGGAGCATAAGCATTCACTAGCATCTTATTTGTGACCACGGGCTTGACAGGGCTTCTGATGATCTCAGCTTGCTTCAACTTTAAGGCCCGGACATATATATTGGATACTGTACAGGAAACATCTTTTATTGAAGTGCGTTGCTTTTCAATTTTTATTCGCAGGATGGCATTACTTTGGGACTTCTGGATTCCATCATCAGCAGAAACAGCCAGATTTAATGAGGTGTAAGAAGTGGAAAGTGGTTTTGCAAGACTCACATAACCAGAACTTGAATCAATTGCAAACAATCCATCAGTGTTGCCAGATACCAAAGAAAAGGATAATTGTGTAGCAGAGTCAACATCAATGTCAATAGCTTCAATCTGAACTACTTTTGTACCAACAAGTGTGTCAGATGACAACTTAATCATGCACTCATCTTGTTTAATCACTGGACTGTTGTCATTGCGAGCTTTTATTCTGACTGTAACCACTGCCTCTGCTTCTCGGCGCAATGGCAATCCACTGTCAGCAACTCGAACAACAAGGTAGGCAAACTCTGGTGTCCCAGCATCTCGATCATAAACTCGTTTCACAGAAATTATGCCAGTATCTGGGTTAATTTTAAAATGACTGGAGTCATTCATTAACCAATAACTTAGCTTTCCATTGTCACCAACATCACCATCATTTACTACGACCTTGTAAACCTCAGCATGAAGTGCCAAGTCTTCTGATATTTCCACATATGGTTGTTTAGAAAAAAACAGGCCCATGGTTATTAAAGTCAACCACATTTACATGAACAATTGTTCGTCCAGAAATAGCTTTTGCACCCAATATTTCATAAGAAACGTCAAGTACATAATTTGATCTAACCGTGGCATCTAAAGGTCTCCCCAATTTTATTTTGCAAGTGTTTTCTGGAACAATTAAAGTATCCCCTTTAGCAATTCTACAGGATATGTTGGACATTGCACCTAAGTTATTTGGCTTCAAATCAATGATAGTATAATCAATCGGCATCATTTCTGAAATTTCTACGAAATATTTATCTGCTATGAAACTGTCATTCTTTAATGATGGATCCCTCAGGCTGAAATAATGAACCTTCCTTGTAGTTAATTGTGGTTTGCCTCTGTCTGTTGCCTCAAAAGTGATTCTGAAGAGGCAATAGTCACAATCAAGTGGTTTCACTAAGTTCAAATTGAAAACAGCACCATTTGGGTCAATCTTTTCCACTCCAAAATTTCCCTTTTCATCACCTGATGCTATTTTCAACCCATCAATCCTGCCATTCCTACCTTGGTCATGATCGCTCACAGTTATTACTGCAATCACCTGCTTATTCCCTTGGTCTGACTGATCTTCTAAAACCCTCACATCTATTGTAGGTGCATACTGATTCACATTCCTTATTTTGATATTCACACTACATGTGTTATCAGTGAACTTTTGCAGGTTTGGTTTCGAATCCCACTTGGTTACCGCCGCCACCAAGTTAAACCTGTTTTGCCCGCTAGGCAATTGCCTTTTCAAGGACAACATGCCATTGACTGGGTTCAACATGAAATAATTTGATTGCCTTTTTAAGGAAAAATATACTTTCCCCAAATCCTGTACATCTTTGGTTTTCAATTGCACAATTGGTTGGAAAAGTGGGAAATTACTGGGTATGGTTTCGGAAATCCGTGTCATGTTAAAACGAGGATCAAAATGTGCGGACATTCGTGCTTGAATAAACACTTGTGTTTTATCCACTGTTCTTTTGTTAATCTTGGCCTCGACATTTAACAAATATGACTCACATTTCTGCTCACTTACCAATCTCTTTGTTTTTATCTTCATCATGAAAAAGTTTCCATAAAGTTTCCCTTCCACATCAAATATATCCGTTCCTGAGCAATTAACGCCAATACGTCGTGTCTTCTGACCAAGTGCACTTATCGCATACTCGAGTACTGCATTGACCGCGTTATCGTCGGCAATATAAAGTCCCATTTTCAAAGGTGAAACTACATAGCTACCGATCACAGAGTATTCATTAAACGTCGCCCGGTATAGTCCACCGCGGGTAAACGTGTTCACTTGTCTTGCGCCCTGGATTTCAAACAAGGATAGCGGGCTTTCCCGCACACCAAAGTTATTCTCGTAAAACCCATAGTCAGTATTGCCACCATAAATGCCATCCAAGACAAGTAATAAACAACCCCATAACAAGTAAATATCTTTCAGAGCCATCCTTTCAACAAATGTCTTGGAAAAGCCTCTGAAATGGAAAAGAATGACTTTTAATAATGTTTGAAAATGACATGTTGACGAACAACATTTCACGCTGTGGTGCCTTGTTGTGGTTGTTTATGAATCCACCATGAGGTCAAAATGTTCACGTTATATGCCATGAAATATGCCATGGTAGCTCGGTCACTAATTTTAGATGAACAACATAAGTCGATTACACTTTAGATCACAAGTGATGACCGAATTAACAACAAGTTAAAGATTACGGCGTATTTTCGGAAAAAATATCAAATTGCAGCAATATTAATACTTGCTTCGCCACACGGGCACTGCAAAATTAATTAAAGTCAGCGGATCAATATTCTCTGCATAAATTAACAAGGACTTCGGTGATTTAACCTTGCGGTTTCTTTAGGTCGTAAAACAAACACAAACAAACCGAGACTGGACGGAAATTTGCTGTATTGATTGAAAAAGACTTAACTAAGCAAACATGCTTTAGTTTACACGATACATTAAAATTCAGCCAACGATGTTTGTTGAAATACGTTCTACAGAGAAGTTTGCTGGTTCGTCAGCTAGACTGCTAGACTAGAGGCTTGTGCTAAATAGCTAAACCTACTTTAATTTCAATATCATGTTGCGCAAAAGACTATGCTTCTACAAGACTTCATATTTCTCACGCGCTAGTAACCCTACGGAGATGAGTGTGCTCGTTCTTTTATTAAGTTGACCCTGCTGCGTCAAACCAAACTTCTAGTTATATCATATATAATATTGCTTGAAAAATGGATTGGTTTGAAAAGATACAAATACTAAACAACTGTAGAATCGCGATTATTGCACGATTACATTAGCCCCATAAATTACCCTCTACTCTAGTCAAGCTAACCTTTTATACGTAGCCGTATGCATAGCTTCAATGTCAATGAAAACTAGTCTATGACTATATTATAATCTAATATAGCTAGCTAATTACTGTATTGGTCGGAGAGTCGCATTGACTTAAGAACGGTTTGCAGTGCCAACTGGACTTCTACCGTAAATTTTATGTACAGTATAGATATCATAAGACATAAAAATACAAACCATTCGAGAGTCAAATGTAGTTTACCAACTTAATAAATTGAGATTAAGAAATGTTATCAACTACCCCTCGTCTTCGAACGTCATTTTTTTAACGATGCTACACAGCACCCACACCCACAGTTTAATATACAACAACGATTCCACAAGAAGTATTAAAATAGTATACTTTACTATAAATAGTTCTGATAATAATATATATTTAATGAAAGTAATAGCGATAATTATATCATAAACCTAAATTGTGTTCTTTATTCGTGGGAATGTTATGTGTGTACGTGAACTGAGAACGAACTAGATGTAGTGTCGAACAAAAAATAATGATAATAGAAAACGTTCATATTTATGGCCTATACAATGCATGCATGATTAAATTAGGTTCTGGCTTCTGGCTATTTAGATGCCAATCAAGTTTCATAATTGTATAGTTACACAAGTCATAAACCAAGTATACCGCAGTTTTTGATAAGAAAGTGATACAGGGGACGGCAGTAATATATAGTTTTTAATATGTAGAGTGATAGTATATGCCCAGTATATCGGTAGTAAAGCTCCAGTATGATAAAACACTATCACTGGAACAAGTCAATACTGTCATTGCCGCATGCACTAACTTTTCAGCTACTGAAAAAGAGGGCTTTTCCTAACTTTCATTTTCAAGACAAGAGCAAAACCAAAGGTAAGAGATGAAGAGATGTGTATCTGCCACTGCCGTATATTATATATTTATGATAGCTACTTTTACCCTTACTCTTAGTCCAATAAACTGTTTTAAAAATCACAAAACAGTAAAGAAAAACAGTGTCATAACTTACTACATGTCTCCATACATACTAAGAAACTATTATTAGCTATATTTTATATATATATATATATATATACATTTTTGACACTAGGATGTTGAATATTTTATCACCACTTAGACATAGTAATCTTGCATGACGTCTAATAGTAATCTTAACCCTTGAAGTCAAATTAAAGTAGTATAATGGATTTCAATACTTTTTCTTTACTCACGCACAACATTGTCGGCTGCCATCACTGTTATAGCTTGCCCTTGGCCTTTGACCAGTAGGCAGAATGTTTATACGGCGGACCTTTCAAACGTTATCAATCATTAATAACGTTGTCAAATGTTTTGGTACAATACTCTGTTGGACACACAGGAAAAGCATGCGTGCGCCTCTAGTTTTGATCAACTCCTATAGGGCAAGTTCAGCAGGCATGTGTCCTTGTCTTTTGAAAAGCCAAACATTTTTTCAAACTTTTTGGCATAATAACCACATACTTAAAAATTGTTCTAGAATAAACCCACTAACTTCACTACTCGGATATCCTTACCACTTAGGGAAATTTCCGCATGCAGAGGAGCGTATGACAAAAGTTTTACCGCATGCATGCATGATGAAACTTTTATATATGCACGCTCAATTTCCTTTTGCGGTAAAACATGATGGATTTTATATCCAGCTGTTAACTAATTAATCTTTAGGAATCATCCTTACAACAAAAAAACAAATTTATAATATTACCTCACCTTTTTAAGTATATTTATCACACTAATACAGTATCACATCTTAACCAAAAATAAAGTTTTGGAACTATTCTTATGCATGTGCATGTTTAACTTTTACTGTGTGGGATGATTTCGACACTTGCTCGAAATTATACCTGGGTTAAATATTCATAAAGACAAAACAAGCGCTACACGGAGTCAAAAACAACTGCAACTAAATTGGTTAATATTTTTAAATACGTACTTTAACAACAAAGATCACACAGACCAATGGCAATGGACTGGCTACAAATTGACAAAATTTCCGTCAAATATTCAGTTGTCAAAATCATGCAAGCGTATGATAAGTGCCTGAAATGGTTGAGGCAGTGACACCAAACCAAAATGTTAGCAACAATACAATTACTGATACTCGTGATATATAAGGCGTTTAGCTTAAACGGTGCCGGTGGATAAGCGAAAGTTTAAAAATACTCTCATACATCTGTGAATGATTGAACCTGCATCTTATAGATTAAATATGCACTTCCATTGAAAATTAAACTATTCACATCGAAATAGTTTAGCTCAGCTGTTCAATAAATAGATAATTTTGTTTTCCATTTCGGAACTTATCCACCGTTTAAGCTAAACGCCTTTCGAACAACCGGCCCCAGAGTGCAATATATGCATGTCTTAGACTTAGTCTTAAAGACTTTAAATGAATATACCTATATATATGATATATATTTATCCCAACTCGCTTTCAGTTTGACCCTCAAAAAGGCCTCAAAAATCGTGCTTTACTAAATTCAAGTATAGAGAAGGTCTCCGAGGGGTATTATTGAACAATTGCGCGGTCTCAGAAAAAGAGAAGCCAGCGTAAAAGGGAATTCCCATGCACTAAAATAACGACTCGAGCATGCAACAAACTATTTTGAAAGAGTTGGGGATAAAATAGATCAAACCACGGGGCGAATTAATTAAGACGAACAAACTATGTAAAGTTGGGGATATAATCGGTTAAAACGTGTTCTCTAACTGAGTGAAGAGTAAATCATTTTATCGAGGCAACGGCCTCGTTTGCGTGAGAATTCTCGTGAGGGGGGTTTTAAAGGACTTCAAAGAATGCATCTACAACAACAGCTAGCATACAAGGTTTGATTCCTTCATCGGTCATCTTGCATGCATGGTATAAGACTAAAGACTGTATATAGAAACTGCAGGCTATAAGACATTAGTTGCTCTATCAGAATACCGCTGTTAGAGCGATGAATCATGCTAATAGAAAATATCTTTTAGCACCAAGATATTTTCGCAGCAGGTATCACGAAAACTAAGCTCTATATGATAGCATATCAACAAAGAACTAAACGATAGCTAGCTATATATACCTGTATGATACTGAAAATATTACATTAAGATTTTTAAAAGGTCTAAGTTTCAAGCATACCAAATCTTAGTGAAGGACTGAGCCAAATCTGTTAAGAGAATCACATTAACGTAAACGTGAAGATAGAACTGGAAAACGCAAAAATAACTGGAAACATCCAGCTGAACAAACCTGTAACTTCGAAGTGTAAACATATTTCATTACCGAATCAGTTTGTTTTGATTGCATGCGCCACGGCCATACGTGTGTTTCCATATGTGTGAATGATTTATTAGATAATATACGTGAAGAAAGATCTTTCTGCCCACCCTCGAGTTATAAAACAAACAAAATGCTGTTAAAAGCCCATACTTATGACCTTTGTAAATTAATCTGAGAAACTTTAAATATACTTTTAGCTAAAATTAGTCGGACGTATAAAAACTTACGATACTTCACGACTTAGGATTTTTAAATATAGCCTAGTTGTGGTGTTTAAACCAAACCTTTTTTAAATACCTTTTAAACCTTTTAAAGCACTCACTAAAACAATTTAAAATTAAGACTGCATGTATCGGTATAGTAAATCTAGTGTATATAAAGTCCATAAAATTATTTGATATGACCTCAACCTCTATGACTATGTACTATAAAACAGTCTGATAGTTTTCTCGTATAGTTAACTGCTCTTGCCCTTTCAAGATGATAACGACACATAAAGTCTCATCTTACACAATATAGTTCTTTTTTTACTTGAGTGCATGGCCATGGGTCACAGATTAACGTAAAAATCTTTCATCTCTGTTTGCATGAACGAAGTCATTTTAATGATGCATGGGGTGGACATGCAATTTCAATTTTAATATAGCATATAAGCTTTAATTCTATTGCATTGTCACGGCCGACTATATGACGGTCAGAATAGCTTTTCGCTTTATCCCAGTAAAACTGCTGAAAATATCTAACATTTACAATTTCAGATAGGTTTTGTAACTTATTAAAACAAATATTTCAATTATAATTTATATTCTAACGTGCAGCATGTTTTTAACTAAACCCTTATATATAGCTACCA